TGGCGCCAGACCCGACACATGCTAGGCCTCTTCCTGCGGGCTCCCTACCCTTGGTTCCTGGCCCTGGGTCATAAACAAAAAAGCATTTTCTCCTGTCTGTCTCTTGTCGCGCTGCGAGCCCGGGTCACAAGAGCCGCATTGTTGCCACGCTGCTCTTTGTGCCCTCGGCCAGGGAGCACCCGCAGGAACAAAGAGACTACGGCGACGTCAAGTCACCACGTACCATCCCAGCATCAATGTGCTTTCAGACCTCCGGGCCGGCGCAAGCGACAGCTTCTCCACTGTGCTGGTCCAAGCCGTCCCGCACGCCAAACAGAGTCCGACAGACAGCCAGCGGCCAGGGTTTGTAGTAGCCTGGGAGCCTGGTGCGTGCATTCACCCCCGGCAGCGCATTGTTGTCGGTGGCCCCATGCTCGTCTGGTTCTCTAAGTGCGCCTGAACGGTGTGGTGAATTTCTCATTCGCTGCGTCTGCCTCTGCCGTGCCTCGTCTACGATGCCCAAATCTGCAAAAGTGCGCCTGTGAATAGCGCTCCCACCCGCTCACCTGAGGCTTGCTCTCGTGCCATTTCATCTCCCATCCCAATCCAGATCTTCATAACGCTTGGACTAACCCTATCGCCTGGTTGGGCCCTTGAGCAGAGGAAGCCCCAGAACGCCAGTCAGCCACGCGAACCCGCCAACCCTGACACCCTTAGCCCGCCATACATATACGTGACCAGTGCTCTCCACTCGCTCGCGGTAACAAAGCCTTAACCCACTCAGGTTCCAGCCTTCTCCGCCATTGCTCTGCTAGGGCGCCCAGGTACTGAGCTTAACAAGGAGGGATCGCCGCTCCGCACTCCACCACCAACAGCTCATCAGGCTCGCTGTCCCCCACCTAAGGATCAGTGGCTCCCATCATCAACGTGCAACACCAGATCCTGCAACGCCGCTGTAGTGGACGCTCACAAAAACGACCTCATCTGTGCCTGTTTCCAAAGAGGGAAGTCGACGCCGTCCCAGTGCCTTGGTTCGAGTACTAGAAGCTTGACTACCAGCCAATCCAGCGCCAGCTGGACCACAACACCAGCACGGTCATAGCAGGAGCACCACCGTCTTGACCGAAACCCATCATTCACACAGCCTGTGCTACCGCCTCAGTAGCACTACGTCTGCGCAACCAGGAAACCGGGCCCTACCGAACGCTCCGACTTGGAGGTCACCACAGTGCCACGAGTATCTGCTTTTGCTCCTCTGTACGCCCCTCTGCCTCGGCCTGCGACATCGACCACCACTGATACCAGGCAGCGATTGAGACTTCCTAGCAGTCTTTTGGCGAGGCCTGCATCTGTCGGTATCACTGCCCACCTGAACCAGCGCAGGTACCATTTCGAGGACCGTTCACCAGGTGAAGCATCATCAGGCCTTCGGACCTGCCAGTCGCCGTCTGAGCAACAAGACACTAGCCAGGAGTACCATCGCAGACTCTTTGGACCGGGCGGGTATTCGTGCTCGCAAGAACCTTTTACAAGATCGTTTCCCCTCCACAACCTGCATAACATCAGTACTTTGTCCCTCTTGACTAGAGCTCCTACCTCCCACATTACGCCTTTGAGCTACAAGTAGCCGGCCGCCCTCCGTGGATCATCCTCAGCCTACACGTGGGCTATATTGGTCTGGTGCTCATTTCTCAAGTCCGCCTTTTGCAGCGTCACAGCTGCAGGCTCTTCCAACTCCTTCTCCATCCGAAGCTGGTAGGTCATCAGGACCTTACCGGAACACAACCGCCAACGTGGCTGCTGCAGTGGCTCACCCGGCTTCTATGCATCCTGGGTCTGACCCAATGGGTGCGCCTCCCAGCTTTGCGCAGCGGAGGCCTCATGCTGCTCAGTTGGGTAGCTTCGAACTTCCACCTCCGCCAATGCACAAATATCCCTTCACTAACCACGGTACCGTTTCGCAGTCGTCACAGGCGCCGACAACCATCGCTAGTGTTGGCAACCTTCTCACACCGCCGAGCACCATCCACGGCGACGTGATAAGCCCTTCGTCTGGAGTGTCGACAAGCGGCGCAGCCTCGTCGACAATGGCCTACTCCCAAAACTACAACCACATCTACTCTCCGCCTGCACAGCAGCCATCATACGGCTACCCGCCTGCACACTCACAGCAAAACCAATATGGTCAACAAAGCCGAGGTATGTATGCTCTTCTGCACCATGATCGTCCGCTCGGGCACCAAGACTTACTCCGCAAAGGGCTGAATCCACCACCCTATGAGATGAACAATCAGCTGCCACCATTTACGCCATCATCCAGTGCATCACATATGCCGTCGATGCCCGCACACCACCACCAGCCTCACCATATGATGAGCGCACAAACGCCTGTATCGTCATCAGCACCTCAACAGTCGCCAGCATTACCTCAGGACTCATTCAGGCAACCACACCCACCAACACCAACTTACAACTATCAGCCATCCGGAACGCCTCAGCACTCGAACTTCCCGTACTCTACAGGGCCATCGCCGACTCAGCAGCACAGCCAGAGCCCAATCAGCGCCGGTGGCCCCATGCCTAGAATGTCGCCAGCGGTTTCGCAGGGCCAGATGCCTTCGGTGCCATCGAACAACCCAGTGCAATCGCCTTCTTACTACCAGCGGCCACCACCATCAGCATACGCACCAGGACCAGCACCAGTATTTTCGAATGTCCAGAACCCGAATGGTGGGCTTGCCCTGGTTGGTGTGCACCCTGGGATGATGCCCGGCTTCAACAGTGGACACGCAGCTCAGATGCCTCACTTCATGGGAGGACACAACCCTCACCAGCAACCGGCCTCGACCGACCGACCATTCAAGTGCGATCAGTGCCCTCAAAGCTTCAACCGCAACCACGACTTGAAGCGACACAAGAGGATCCACTTGGCAGTCAAGCCTTTCCCTTGCACACACTGCGACAAGAGCTTCTCGAGAAAAGACGCATTGAAGGTATGTTGCGCATCAAATCAAAGCTTATGAGCGTTTGCTAACAGATCTCACAGCGTCATATTCTTGTCAAAGGCTGCGGCAAGGCTGCTGCGAACAGCGACGACACAAAGCGAGAGAGCCACTCGCCCAAGTCGGAAGCCGTCAAGTCGAAAGCAATCCACTAGTGTCGTCGCTGTACCTTCATCTTGAGGCTTCGGCCCTCTTCACTTCTCTTGTATTAAATACCCTTTTCGTCCTTGTCATTATGGGTTTCGGCGCACATTGTTACGAAACCATTACCTTCGCTGTGCAGCTATTGGGTCACGATTTGTTACGTCTTCTGTTTATCGCGTATTGGACTACCCTTGGGACGCTGGATATATCCTATCTGTGGGGTTTGCGGGTATAGCATGCGACCATGTTCTTGTTTCTTTTTTGTTTGAACGCGGATACCTTTAGTCGGTTCTCTGGGGATGTATCAGGTATGCGGAAGGAGTTGCTTTTGCGACCATGTGTTGTTTTTGCTCGCATTCGCAGCGGTGGAGGCGGCACGTCCGCAGCATCGGGAATCGGTTGGGATCAGGGGTCTGAGGCTACAAACAGCTTCTTGGTTATAATGTGCATAACGGGCAGGGGCGCAACATGCACCTGTGTGGCATTAGAGCAGAGATCTGGGTACAGGGGGACAAGAGGTGCTACGATACCGAATACCATGATACGACTGTCGTTCTTCTAAACACCTTACCTCGTACTGTGCCATTTGTGACTACAAGTGCGTCGCGGAGCATGTCGCTAGCCAGCAAGTGATATCGTAGAGTATGCAGTGTATTCCAGAAGGAGATGACGATACATTAAGGTTCTTGTGCGGACGGCTACTTGCAGTCTGAGCGACCCACGAACCTGGCGCGCTAGTCGGCATGTTCCATGGCTCTCGCCTCGCGATCAGCGCGTTCCTCACACTTCACCTCATCATCACTCCACGTTTCCATCTCATCCCCTTACGGCCGCACTTCTGCTGCAGCAGTAAAACACACTCATTGAGCTTCTGCTCGCATGTCACTGCGACACTTGATGTGAATGATACACCCCTTGTATTCTCAATGACTCCGCTGACGCGCTCGACTGCACCCGTTCGTCTGCGTTAAACATTTCCAATCGTTCACTTGGAGTAGCTTAACATGCAGCCCTTGCGAATCCACGAACATTTCGAAACGGCTCGCAGCTTCATGAGATGACGCTCGCCACGCGGTCTCGTCACCGCAAGGTACGACTTGTACGCAAGGAAGGAGACAGTGGTCGCGATCACCCGTCCATAATGTCAATGGCCTTATAGACGGTAGGAAGAATTTGTTTCTTCATTTTCGGCCTTCAATGCATATCTCTAGTCCTCTAGCCAACTCGTTTCTTTCTACTCCTTTGGTGCACAAACAAAACATATCTACTCCACCTTTGTCATCTTGGCACATTCCTCAGCAAAAGAGCCTCCAACAGCGACCTGAGGATGGTTCGGTAAATACGCGCCTTCTCTGCTCACGAGGCCTCTGTTCCTTCTCCTGTTCCTGGTGGTGTTAGAGAGCACCTTCCGTCCCGTTTGCACACCGGTGCCGCTCTTGCCAATGCGTCCGTGCGCGCCATCTCCCTTCCCCTCCCAAGCTCGCATACGATCGCCTCTACAGGCCTCTCTACCGCATGCATTCAGAACTTGTTAGCTTTTTGGTCGTTGAGTAGTTTTCAATTGCACTTGCACAGCTAGCCGCCCCTCCTTTATCGGCTCCGTCAAGCAACCTACAGTCCATTGACTGTCCGGCGCCCTCAGTGTCAGCAGCAGATACCAAACAGCACAACACGGCGGCTCTGCCATGGCCTAGACGCATTCTGGCAGCACAACTACGGCGACAACTGCAACCACCGGCAGCATTACTCGTCTTCTGGTGCTCGGTCTCACCGCGCATCCTTTCTAACTGTACATTTTTGGCCCATCATCCTAGCCAACTAATCTAATAGCAGTCGAGGCGGCCCCGCCTTGACCGCTGAAAACAGCAACACACCATGGACCACAGCTACCATGGCCGCCCCCCAACGCGTCGACGCGCCCTCGGCGACGGCACTCACCGTGCGAACGAGAACTCTCATTCACAGCGGCAGAGCGAAAAGCACAGTCACGAGCACGTGGCTCCTCCACCTAAGGCTCTACCCCACAACGAGTCAATAGTACCAAATGGCACACTCGCCGTGCGTCACGAGCAGCAGTCTACTACCCCTGAGAACAAGCGCCTTTCCGCTGTACTGGCTCACGAGGCGCGCCCACACAACCCGAAACGCGACTCAACCATCTCCAATGCCAGTACCAACGCGTCAAACACCAACCGTCGCCGCAAGACACACATTGGGCCATGGCAGCTGGGCAGGACTATCGGACGAGGTGGATGCTCGCGTGTGCGGCTGGTAAGGCACAGCATGACAGGGCAATTTGGAGCCGCCAAGATCATCTCGAAGACCACCGCGGAGAAGGTACGTGCGCTGAGTCTGGCGAACTTGATCCAAAGTGCAGAGCAGGATCCCACACTGTACCCTGACGGCAAGGTCATCCCCTTCGGTCTGGAGCGCGAGATCTGTATCATGAAGCTGCTGGATCACCCGAACATCGTTCGCCTCTACGATATCTGGGAGAACAGGGACGAACTGTAAGTCCCTTCAGCAACAAACGTGTGCCTCGTCTAACGTATCACAGCTACCTTATCATGGAGTATGTCGAAGGCGGCGAATTGTTCAGTTACATTCATGAGCAAGGCGGTCTGATCGAGATCCACGTTGTCCATATCTTTCGCCAGATCATCGCGGCCTTGATCTACTGCCACCGAATCAGTATCCACCACCGCGACCTCAAGCCGGAGAATATCTTGCTCGATCGAGAGACGATGACAGTCAAACTTGTTGACTTTGGCATGGCAGCGTTGCAACCAACTGGCAAGAAGCTAACGACACCGTGCGGCAGCCCCCACTATGCAGCACCTGAGGTCATCAAGACTACTGCGTACGACGGTGCCAAAGCTGACGTCTGGAGCTGCGGCGTAATCCTCTACGTCTTACTCACAGGCACGCCACCCTTCAATTACTCGGGCGATGATCGAGATCTCAAGTACCTGTTCAGGGCGATCGAGAAGGGTGAATACGTTCTGCCTGACACCTTGTCACGCGAAGCCGCAGACCTGATCAAGCGTATCTTAATTCCTGATCCCAAGCGACGTGTTGGTCTCGAAGACATCTGGAATCACCCTTTCCTGCACAAGTACAGCAAGGAGCTGAACTTTGTTGGGGATAACACTGCGGCCAGTCATTGGACAGGACCACTGCCATCAATTGCAAGCTGGGAGACTCTGGAGCGAACAACCATCAATCGAGAGATCTTGCGATACCTCCGCACACTTTGGCATAGCGAGAAGGAAGAGGTCATCATCCAGCGCCTCATGAGCAGAGAGTCAGTACCAATGTGACACATGGGAAGCATGAGACACAGCTAACGATCGTGACAGAGCGAACCAAGAAAAGTACTTCTACTCGGCACTCCAGAAGTATCAGCAAGACCAACTCGAGAACTACCAGCCAAGTGCTCACCACCCGATCGCGCACTCCAACAGCGACCATCATCACAATGTGCGCCATACGCCGACCAAAGAAGACATTGAGCAGATGCCCAAGCAGAAGCACAAGAGGTCGCAGTCCGGGTACTCGATCTTGAACAATGAGCACATGTACTCAAAGCACAGCTTCTACGAATCGCCTGCGTCAGAGGCCAGTTACGACCCGTTTCGTGCCTCGAGACAACCCATCCTTCCGGAGAAGGCCACACACCCAAATGTCACTGTTCGTCGCCGGGCCAGCAATGGTAGCCGCAACCTTCGACCAATTACAGCCCTGGGTCATCGCACCGGCAGCTCACTGCGTGTCCAAGCTCTGCGGAACTCTAAGCGTGGTTCTGCTGTCTCTCGCAGCTCATCCAAGCACACCACACCTTCTCAACGATCGGTATATGCCCGTTCTGTCTCACGATCTTCACTCGCAAGTTCACACTGGCCAAGTAGTCCTCCGGTCATTGCTCGATCTGGCGGAATCGGTAGGCGAGGCGTGAGCTTCTCGCACTTGCATCGTCGAGGCTCTACAGCAACTGCAAGCACGGCAGATACAGGTGCGGTACCATACACTTCGAACCGGTCGTTCGACCGTCGCCGGGAGTCTATTGGATCGTACGGGTCCTCGCTTCGGTCAAGCACTATTCAGCCGTCGCCCGCTACTCGAACCAAGTCGAGGGCTTCTGCGAGCACAGCAGCACCTCGCCTTCGAATGCGAAAGCCTGAAAGTCCTAGCAAGTACATTCAAAGCGAGGCGCGTAAAGTCAGTACCGAGCTCGGGAAGGTCATGGAAGAAGCCTTCAACCGTTCATCCATGAGCTCGAGTATACGAACCACACGCACCGATGCTTATCAGGAAGGAACCTTCTCCCAGTATGACACGCCACCTACCTCGTTCTCGAACCGAGACTCAGGTGGCAGCACGATTGCCACTCCAAACACGAAGGCGATGCTTGCATCTCGGCCACTTCCACCAATCCCAAAGGAGACGCCGAACACTTTCTTACATCGAAAGCTTGTTGAGACACGAGCAGACATCGCTCGACGACTGACTGAAGATGACGACAACACCGAGCACTTTACAGAAGTGCTTGAACACTTGGACCGCTTAATTGTTCCGCCTGCTAACAGCAAGCGTGTGGTATCTGCTCCTGCTAGATCTCCAGAGCACATTGCGCCTTTGCATGCTATACCGGAGGAGGTGAAGGTTGATGGTGGAGCTGGGTTTGAAACAACCTATAGCCCTCACTATCGAGCCGTCACTGACCCAGTTAGGCCTCAGGTTCGACGCGCAGTTACAGCGCAAGAAACAATCCGCATTGTGGACCAATCACCCAACCGCATCGCACCTCTTAACATTCGAAAGCGCAGTGGGGCAAGCCTTTCTTCGAAGTATGCGAACGATGTGCCCACTTCCATCCCATGGCCAGGGCCAAGCGCGCAAAACTCTGTTCGGTCTTACCAAGACGTGCAGAAAGACCTGCCGGCCGCACGCGTCCACATTGCGCCTCCTCCCGCACCTGAGAAGCAGCCCATCGTCAAGAAGAAGAAATCCTTATGGTTCCGTCGCAACACCGATGAGAAGGAGCAACAAGACAAGAACGAGCCTCAAGTCAAGACGAAAAAGTCGACCACCCTACTGCAGATACCCGAAGCATGGCAAGGTCTCGACGATCGTATCAAGAACGACCCTTCCCCCACACTGAGCACTCACAATGAAGCTGCTAAGCATGCCTCGAAGCAGTCTGACGGTAGCAACGCCAGCGAGTTTCCCATGCGCAACACAGGTTCAGCTGCTACTAAGAGCGACAGCGCCCCGCGAAAGGGCCTTCTTGGCTTCTTTGGCAAGAAGAAGGAGGAGAAGGCCAAAGGTCCTATGGAACTCGATCGTAAGTGGACCGTTCCACATCATCTACGTACTACTGACACCCGCGTCTAGTCAACTCCAGCTCATCGTCCATTCTCTCGAACCACGGACTTGGCCCCGAATCAAGCGAGTCAGTGAACCGTTCTGGTCCACCTGAAGTGCAGATGAACTGGCTGTCACGCTTCCTGCACATCAAGCCCGCTACAAAGACTCTCTGCTTCCATGTCGGTCGCGGCAAAGTCCGTGGGGACCTGGTTCGCTTGCTGCGAGACTGGCAGCGCTTTGGCGTCCGCGACGTTACTTTCGACCGCAAGACCAACATCATCCATGCTCGTGTAGACAAGATCAACCGTAAGTATCTACCTTCTGCACGTTTTCTGTTCAGCGAGTGGAGGCTACAGGCCTTCTGCTTCCAAGTGGAGGTCTTGGAGGTAGAATCTGTCTCTCAATGTAACCGCACGCTTTCTTTTCAATGGCTATCTCAGCTCCAGCGGACACTGAATGCTAACATCGTTGTCTCGCAGATCTCAAGATCAAGCCTGTATCCTTCGTTATCGAGCTCTTCGTCGTTCTGGAGCACGGGCGCCGGGCCAACCTTTGCCTGGCGCGATTCACACAGACACGGGGGGCGGCATCGAGCTTCCGTAAGGTTGTGGACATCGTCGAGGATGTGTGCCGTGCCAAGTCTATGCTGGTCGAGGACCCCGAGAAACAGGCAACAATGATGGAGGTGCTAGACTAGGAGACTGGGATAAGGACTGGAGATTTGGCCCAAGGAATTCGGCGGGTTTCATGGACACTTGGTGGTATACTTTCCCACCTATGAGGGTACATATTGCCTGAGCATCTGTTTGGCACGTCTGGAGGATGCTTGGATACACGATCTTGGTGTTTGGCTTCGCACACGATACCCCGAGCAGCCTTAGCCCAGCATGGTCAGTTCGAGCAGTACCATTCCCAGCACCTTTTCATCAGCCTTCCAATCGTTGGCTCTCCAGGTTCGTGTTGCAGCTTGGTGTAGTGTTCTTCCACACTTCTCTGTACTTATTAGCATTGGCCTCGAGTCGATAGTTGGGACGGAGTCTGGTGTTTCAAGCAAGTATCCATCTGTCGGCCACGAGCCTCTAATGAGTAATCCATGAAGTACTATTTCGAAGTATTCACTTTGAGACATTTCCAACGTATGGGCCGCCATCATAAGACCGACCTACGAGGGTTGGTATGGACAGTAGCTGCTGTTGTGTTTGATTGACTTTGCACATATGTGGTTATTTGTGAGGAGCTTTGGGTCAAGGAACGCGTGGCAGCTGCAATGTGTAAGGTTGCACGCGCAGTATCTTGCAACATCATCTTCCATTCTTGTCTCAATCACTTCTCTGACGGTATCTAGTGCGAACGTGTTCGTGAGGACGTGGTATTGCATTGGCCCTATGGCGACGCCGGAGTTTGTATCCGGCACGAAGAGTGTAAATCATCCCATCCCATTCATTGATTCCGTGTTTGACGGAAGAGAGTAAAGGAACACCGAGTCGCCCCGAAAAATCCGCTGAACCCAGTCATGCACACATGTTTTCCATCTTCAACCCAGCACAATCGCTAGTTGCTTAGCGGGTCCTGGCCTGGACCTTAGGAGCGGCGCCCTTGGAGCCCTGCTTCGACTGGATCTTGGCGACCTGGCCACGGGCACCGGCGGCGGCGCTCTTAGCCTTCTCAGCCTTCTTCGCCGACTCGGATGCGGCCTTCTTGTCCTTGCCCTCCTTAATGGCGGCGGCGCGGGCGGCAGAGCGGGCCTCGGGGCGCTGGGAGCGGCGCTCCTTGATCACGTCGAGAGAGGCACCGACGATGGCACGCTGGTGCTTGACTGTGCGGCGGGTGCGCTTCTTGGCAACCTCCTGGAGGGGGGGTCAGTGACCTGACATCATGTCGAAAAGCACGTCGCAGGAGGTTCTCTTGCGACGGAGCGAGCATTTTCATGTCTTCGCTGCGACCGCACGAGCAGTCCTCCTGGACAGATAGCGTACCTCAGAGATACCCTTCTTGTGCTGCCTCCTGTAGAGGGTGGTCCATGAGATCTTGCGAGGGTTCTTGCGCTGGAGGAACAGAGACTCGGTCTTGCCGTTCTGGAAGCGGAAGATCTTGCTGTCACCACGGATGTAGAGCTTGCCCTGTGTATGCCGTCAGCGCTGCGCTTCCAATTGCATGCCCCGTAGGCACTGTGCATTGCCCAGTTGCTCTCTCCCTGCCCATGTCCTGTGTGTTCGTGCGGTGTTGTCCTATGCGCTGTGGAACTTCGACATGAACCCGGGAGACACAGCTGGGGTGCTTGGCGGAACGCACCTTGCCAGGGTAGATCTTCTGGCCGGAGAAGGAGTCGTCGTAGGTACGCATGTTGGCGGTGTTGGCGGTGACCTGTGGTTAGTTGCTAATTCTCAAAGCGACAGCGTTGGGTAATTTGCGTTGCGGCTGCCGTGTGCGAACAACGGACGGGCGTACTATTAGCCGAGCTTGGCGTTCCATCGCCGAGTCCGCAAGCATCATCACCAACACCATCACCAACACCATCTGCACTTTCTGACCGCAAATCAGTGGTTTGACTGTCTGCACCAGCACTAATCGCATCGCCAATACCATCGTAAGCGCTCTTGTGTATGCCAGTCACTAGCCTCGAACACGGCTGCTCCACTCAGTCGATATATACAGGGCCTTAAGAAGCAACCAACGGGTCATGACGGCTCTTGGTGTACTTTCAGTACTTGCAAGCGGAATCATGATGATGTAACATGATAGGCAAGTTCAGCATGATAACTGCGATCAGAATTGAGCACGCAGTCAGGGCTGCCTAATAATAATAACGGCAGCGATCACAAGTCGTTCAACAGGCGAAAGCAGTATTAGGCGTCGTCGAAACGTAGGTAAACTATAGGGGAGTAAAAGACTCGTGGGTGCTCATGACACCATGCATGAACAGCTCGAATGAGAACATTCACTCACAAAGGGTGTGGCCTTACGTCCTCATTTAAACTGCCAGGACCACTTTCGAGATCTAGCATCCACCAGCCTCTCGATTGATAAACTTCTGGAGACTCTCAACCCTCTAACACGTGCAAATTGTCATCGCCCAGCAGCTATCGTTTACGCAATATCTAACATCCTCAAGCTTCACACTCAAGATCGACTTGATGTCATGGGACATCCATTGGCCTTGATTACTTTCTTCTTCCGTTGACTGAAGAGTGCTCGAGACATGATGGACGCATTGCTCGAGTGGATCATATTCAGTGCTCTTGCGTCGCCTCAACATATTATCAACCTGTCACGATGCCAGCGGCTATCCAATCCTCAGGCTCGATATACTCTCGCAGACATGTAGTCGGCACGTGTATGCCCGTCTATGTGATCGTCAGCTACGTCCAACACATCTGCCCAAAAATTCATCACCAACCTTTTCCAAATCCCACGCCTTCAGCGTATCTGCCTGAAACGCATTATACGCAAAGTCTAAGCTAAACTGGTACATTTCGCCAATCTCTTTACCCGCTCCACCTGGTATATGCTCGTCCAGATCCTTGACTGCCGTCTGTTTATAACTCGTCTTCACGCCAGTCACTTTGCCCCATGTCATGATCCAGTCAGGCCAGGTCAGCCATGAGGGTCGAGTTGGGCAGTAGCTGGAGTAATGCACGGGTCCATGGGCATGTGTCTCTTCGTGGATCGAGATGTGGGACTAGCATGTTGGGAGATGTTGGGAATTGCATTTGTATTGAGCCGTCGGGTAGCTTGTATAGTCAGTGGACTGATTCTCTCGGATCTGGACCTGGTATCGTCCACAGATCATCTTACCTTTGCAAACCATCGTCCCGGCAGGAATCGCCAGCTTGTAAAAAAAGAATCCCGTGTATAGGTAGCTCGTCTTTTTTTTTTTTTTTTTAGCTAGTTCCAGATACTTTTCTTGTAAATATGTTGGGAACATGTCTGCTTTGCTGTTGAAATGCCATAGCTCTTTGTATTCTTCGTTGCTGCCCTCCCTCGCGCTACATAGCGTGCTTGCCATAAGACCTACGTCGTCCAAGCGACGTCGTGTCCTTGTCCTGGTCAGGCAGGTGTCACGGGAACCCCCTGTAGGGAATCTGCACACCAAGTCAAACCAGATCTCTTAGTCTAGAAGCGTTTCAGCTGAAGCGCAAGAAGACTTCTGCTTGTCGCTTGTGCAATGTACGTGTCCAGAACATGCCTGCCAGGGGTGCACCAACGGATCGCCTTCGGCAGCACTTCGTAGACTTCCATTACCTCCGTAGTGAGCGCTGTATGCCAACTGTCGCGTGTATGTGATCTGTGATCATTTTATCCTACGCGTAGACATTCAACAACTTGGTTGAAGCTTTCAACTGCACTAGCCACTAGACAGCTTTGGGGCTCTGTCCACTTCCAGGTCACGAATCTGGATACCTTCAACTTGCGATATCTGAGTTCTGTCACCACTCTGAGACCCATGTAGACGCAACGTGTACTTCGGGACCGCCCGTTGATGTGTTGATGATCTGCGGCGATCCTTATCTTTTCGGCGTTTGAAATGAAACACATAATCTGCTCCGCTCCTCTACGTCCAATCAACAGTTATATCGTGATGCACGCGCTTGTTCAGATTCATGTTGCGAAAGTACAGAAGTTCGGCGTTGTGCCTCCAATTAGGCAGGTATCAAATGCACGTGGGGTCTCATTATGACATCACCCGTCCAGTACAACAACATTACCGCGTCCTTCTACAACGATCGAATTCATCGAGATTTTTACCCACCCGAATATCAATCTTTAACATGACGCAATCAGAGGTAAATTATTTCTATGCATTGGTGTGGCTCGCAGATTAACGTTAATTGCAGGATCAAAAGAGGAAGATCGCCGACATTGTCTCAAGCAATGAAGGAGAGGCCGAGAAGATTGATCAGATTGCTAAAGTCAGAGGCTGGTTCCGTCCAGAGGAAAACAGCGCGTACTATCCTACAGTGCAGAAGTACCTTGAAGACGACATCGACATCGACACAGCAACCTCCACGCTCTTCGAACCAATAGATCAGAAGATCATCGCTCGGAAGTTGGCCGACGTATACTTCCTGGATCTCTGGTACTCCGTCATTCATGCCGCAAAGCGAAAGTCGTTTCACGAGGCTGAAGGCGATGGCAAGTGCAACCCACATTTCCACGCCAAAGTGGCCGACCTGGTCGCCGCCTTCCGTGACCACAAGATCAAAGACCACGAAGAGTACAACTACCTCTACAGCTCATTAACAGATTTCTCAATGGCCTGTCGTGAAATTTACAACGATGTGCCAGAGCCATACGCGTCAGACATCGAGATCAATGCCTGGGCAAATGTCAACTTTTTCTACGCCCGAATTACGGAGAAGGGCCTTCAGGACTTGAGCATCTACGCAATCTGGAGCATGCGAACTGTACTCGAAAATGAAGCCCAAGACGACGCCGAAGGCACTGCAGCACAAAAGTACAACGTCTACGTTCCTGCAGCCGCATCCTGGATCTTCGGCATGGGCCGCGCTCTGTACACAAAGGAGGCTGATCTTACGCCCACAGACCGCAAACAAGGGAACCCCGCCAAAGGCGGAGAACTATGGAAGGGAAAAGCAGAGTTCAGCAAAGAGCGGTGGGGACTGTGGAAGGAGAGGCTAGCGGTGATCAGCAAGATGGATGAGGTGTCAGATAAGACGAAGAATATTGCGAGAGACGCGATTGAGGCAATGGAGAGGGCCGAGAGCTTCAATTATAACACGCATTCGGGATCATAAGCTCAGGTATGTATTCAAGCTCATCGAGATCGAATAATAGCGGATGAGGCTAACGGCTATAGAAATCGATATCTTGACAGTGGTGTGGTGTGGCCTCACTGACGTACGAGGGAGGTGTATCAAAGAGGTAAGCATCAGTGAAATAGTGCAGAAATAGTTCTCAGAGACTACTATCAGACTCGACCTGCGCTGCAGGGAATCAATCTCATCGTGCAATCCATGATGGAGCTCTATCATCCACAGCTTGCCCCCTTCCCTTTTAGTCCTGTACAGCTCTTCCCACCCCATCAGTCCCTACGCTGGTTTCCTCCCTGCAACAAACGTTCCAACCATAAACAGCACACCACTCCCCAGACCCAGCCCTGCACCGCCCAGCGCCGCCCGCCCAAGACTCACAGGCACCGTCCCTCTCCTCGCCGCAACTACACCAGCCAGCGCACCAACACTCGTCGCACCAATCGTCTCCCAATCCGTATCAACCTCGCCCTTGTTCTCCAACAACCGCCAACTTCTGTCCTGCCACTCAACTTCCTCTTGCCCTTGCATGCGGCCCCAAGTCATCGTAGCGCCCGCGACGGTTCCTACGATCAAGCCACGCCCGGAGTTGAGCAAAGTGCGAGAGAGGAGGGTGCGAGTGTTGATGGGTTGTTTGCGGAGTCGTGATGTGAGAAGAGTGGCGCCTGTGAATGGGAGCGAGAGGAAGGAGAAGGACATTGCTGAGGCGCGGATTACATGCAGGTAGAGGATGGCGTGGGCATTGGGTTGGTCTTCTGCGTATTGAGGGTGTGGGAAGAGGGATGTCATTGTGATTGGTGTGTTGAGGAGTAGGATGTGATGTAGAAGTGGTTGTGTTGCGGGTCTTATAATGTTGTAGGACGGGGAAGCTTGAAGGTGATGTAGGCGCTTCCCGTTCGAGCAGCGGTGTTCGGAGTGGATGCGGAATTCTACGTATGATCGTGATTGTAGTAGATTTAGGCAGCCAGGATAGATGGAGGGTCAATCGGACGTGAGTGTTTTTGACTGCCTATATGTTCAGGGCGCACGCAATCTATATACATGCTGCAGCAACCGGAGCTGAATCGACGAGACCCCGCCGGTGAGGCTGTTCGGCCGCATCAGTCAGCTCTCAGGAACGCCATTTGCGGAGGTGGAGATGTTTTGACGATGCATTTTGTCCGGCCTTACCAATCAGGCTGCGAGGATTCTTCAGCAGCGCACCGGGCGGAGCGTTTTCTCCGCAACCTCTACCTCCGACCACCGACTGTTTCTTGCTCTCGCCCGTAAGGGTTACCGACTTTCAGCGCTGTCGTGATGATTGAGAGCGAACAGCCCTTTGCGTTGATTCTCATCGAGATCTCGCTTGATCAACGCGCTCACCTAAACTGACCATGTCGACAAAGCAGGGTTGGTACCCTCCTCTAGCCGTCTTCGCACGATCTGAACAAAGGTTCGACGCGTGTCGCATGCACGTCTGCGCGCGCACAACGGCAGGGCTGGCAAGGCTCAAGAATTCACAGGACCCTTCATGAAGATCCGTCGTTCGTGAATGGTTCTCACAGTCCGGGGTGCATGTCCAGTGCAAGTCACAAACTTGGCTGCAAGACATTCCCGCCTTCTCACAGCCCCGTGACGTCATATATGCTATCCCACTATAACAGCCGCCAACACTCGCCCTAACACACGCCAAAGTTTACACTACTTTTCTATACCAAGTTAGCACGACCCAAGAACCAAAACCCCTACTTCGAGGAAAGAAAAGCTCGCAAACTAGACCACGAATCAACGTATACCATATCTTTGCCCCGAAAGCAAGGCGAAAGCGCCGATCTAAATAAGTCACCACGATGCCTATCGGTCAGCAAGAATCCGGCGTGACATCCGGCGTCAAGTTTGTCACATCGACAGTTGGTAACACGGTTGGCGGCGTTACAAATACGGTTGGCGGTGTTGTCGGAGCTCTAGGACGAGGTGTAGGCGAAACACTTGAGGGTGCGACGGGCAGCGCAGGAAGGCCTGTTGCTCGAGGGATCGCGGATGCAACGACCAGCATTGAGGACGGTGCGGCTAGGATTGCTGGAGGTGTAAAGAGGGCTGGTGAAGGCAAATGATTTGAATAAGGTCGAATGGATAAGGTTGGATGTACGGGATGAAGACGCATGAGTTTTGATATTCCAAAGATACCACCAGATTGATTGTTATGCTGTTCACGAAGCAAATCGTTTTTCCGTCGACATTTTCATCACTTGACTATGCTCAGGCCTCCGCCAACTGCTAACACGTATTTACAAGGCTGCACAAGGCGGCGCACGAGTCCTTAAAAGAACAACGACACCCTCCCAAACCCCAGAAGATTCGTTTCCAGTACTTGTTGGTGTTAAATTGGTGTGACGTTGACCCAGAACCTAGTATCATCAGACTTGTACTTGGAGTTGCTATCGATCTGTTGCTGGATCTACTGCACAACAGACTTGTAGGCTGCGCAATTTAAGTCAGTAGTCTACATGTTGTGTACGTCACAGAGTCCTACGTACTGTTGATGTCTGCAATATCCGGGTTCGCCAGGCCAGAAGCTCCATTGCGATGGCCAGCAAACCATTTGTCGTAGCCGTAGTAGTTCTGGCAATCCCATCTGGCTACAACATCGGCGTAGAGATCCGAGCTAGTAGGCACATCAGTCTTGCACTCATCCAAATCATACCTGTGAGACTGACTTGAGCTTCGCACCATCATTCCAGTTCGCCTGGCTCTGTCCTTTGAAACCAACTCGGCTTGCGCAGACGCGCAACATACCCCAGTTCTGCTTGAAGATGCCAAAATTGGCCGCATCTTGGGCCTTGCCATCGCCGTAGACGTAGTTAGTACTCATATTGTCAGTTTCCAACATGGCGATGGCGAGATCCAGAGTGCTTCCTCCAGCATTGAGGACGGCTTGCTTGCGGCTGCCGAGTCCGCTCACGGTGTAGGAGCCACGGTCGGTGTGAGCATCGAGTGCTACTGGAGAGGCAATTGTCAAACCTGCGAAGGCGGCGAAAGAGAGGATGGAGAGCTTCATGGCGTTAGGTAAGCAATTGGAGAAGCTTGAAGTTTCTCTATTTCTTGACCGCTGTTCAGCCCTTATACAAATCATATTGGTGTTGAGTAGCTTCATCCTGCCATAGCATTCGATGCCGAATCGAATTTGGCCTACGGAACATGAAATCCGTTGCAAGGGAAGTCCTCCTGGAGATGAAAAGTACCACAAAGCTCTTGTTGATGCCGCTTCGAGCGCGGAGAGGACATTTTCCCTACTTCTTCTAGATAGCAATTGCCTTTCGAAATTGCTCTCAAGTAAACAAACCAGACTTTGGGCAGTTCTTCATTTCAAGAAATTACTTGAAGACACCGGTGAAACACTGTAAGAGCGGCTTGAGATGTTAGCAGTGCTATGAAGACGTTCGTGATTGCCTGATTCAGCCGAACCCATCGGGTACGGAATGCGCATTCCGCAGAGCTTCCAGACGAAATAGAGCCGACCTTCGAAATGCAAAATTTCGTTCAAAGAGTTCAGAGTTGTGCGTCCCTGGCTCGTTTGCGCTCGCCATGTGTTTCTCAAGAGTTCGGGTCCTGGTACCTGGTACTTAGGTACAGCCGAGCGCGTTTAGACAATGGAGGAAGTTCGGCATTTTTCTTGACGTTGTTATTGAGGGCCTGGTCGACTGATCGAACCATCCTTTACACTAAGGTGCCGACACCCCGGTACTCTTCGACATAGACCGATGCCCGTCCAATACTGGTCAGCCTTTGGTGACTCTTGAAGTCTTGGAAAGCAATCCCACAATTCACTTCTGAATGACTTCAGCAAAACCTAATGCTCACCGCTCAATGGCTGTGATCAGCTCCAATATCTTCAGGCTGGGGACAGTGGGCGCTGGATGTTTGACATCTGGACTGTGCACCATTATACCCTTTTGCCAATGCTGGAGACGGCTGAAAGTCTGGGGAAGCAGCAATCGATAAAGCCTAGTCCAATGAAACCTGAGGTAAGCGTGGTGGCGGAGAAGGATGGCGAGACGAGTGGATAAGCTCACAGACGAAACTTGTACGTCATCGCTTAGTCCAACCGTCTGCAGCGCGCCTGCCGTGCAGCAAATCCTCCCTTACATCTGCCATCGCGACCAAGCAATTGCGGTGTTTCAACGCGCAATCCAGGGCTCACCGTCAGCAGTAGGGATCTACTTTGTCAGCTCTTTTTAGCATTACGCTTTCCGACCAACCACGAGACTTATCGCCGTATCGATAGCAACAGGTCACGCCAGCACTCAAGCGTCACCAAGCGTCTCCGATGCGTCTCAACGAGCACGACTAAAAGCGGGCGAGAGCGAGACTGCTGAATGAAAGCCACATCTTACCCCACAAAAAGCTGAACTAGCTAGGTTAGCGTGCCCAGAATCGCGGCTAATCGACGTTCCCACCGCGGGTCCCAACAGTCTTGACATCACTCCAGTGTCCACAGGCTGCGCGTCCTCGGGATTTTCACTTTCTGGCACGTTCAATACCAATTGTCTCCCAAGGATTTCTAAGGCAATCTGTCTTAGTCCAATAATCTAGGCAGGCATGTTACGGTTTTATTAGCACGCACCTGCATGTCAACATGCCGTTCAGCGAATTGCATCCCGAAGGATCCGCTGAGGGACTGCAGAAACGCAAGCGAGAGAAACAGATTCAGCACTAGCATCTACCGGGAAGGGATGCACATAGTGGATGGTCTTTTCCCTTTACTGTTCACGGTTGTACCTCAGTCCGCACGCATGAGCCACTCGTTTGTCTGTGCGGTTGAGCGCTGATAGTTTGGCTTGTGGTTTGTTGATGACGCTATGATGGCACAGTGACAGTCATAGGGCTGGTAACACGCGAGGTTGGAACAAGCACCTTACGTCTCGTGTGCGAACGCCTGGGGTACAGCTCGGCTGGGGTTGGCTGACGGCTAAGCAAAGTCAAGAGGCGGGACATCCCTTTTCTCATGCATTCCTGCTACAGCTCACGAGAGGTGGTGGGTCAGAAGGAGGGGTTCTGTTCATCCGGCCCAATGATACCGAGGCGGGCCCACTACAGCTGTCTTTCCATACTTTCGCGTGCGGCGAACCACCTCCAGCCTTCCTACTTCGCAGCTCGAGCGTCAAGCTAACGATTTGCCTTGACGCGTTCAGTAGATCCCCCATGGCTGACTCTGATAACGCCGATCCGCGATGAAATGTTCGATGAAGTAGGTCGTACACTAACTTCGCCCGCTAGGTGTTGGTATTTAGCTGTCTTACCTCCCGGTCGGTTTCGTCTCTTCGCTCTCGTTTGTCACAGTTACTGCTCAATTGATGCTTGATTGATACCTCGTTCATCAATCTATCCTTCGTTGTCTACTTAAAGTCGCTGTCGATCATCACTGTCGCTCAGTATCAACCAAATTAGTACCTCCTCCATAATGAAGTCCTACATCGCTCTCGTCCTTGCGTCCACCGCATTGGCTCTCCCCCAGACATCTAGCTCCTCTGGCTGCCCTTCCTCCGCCTCAGGGACTTTCCAGATCCAGACTGTCAACAAGCCCAGCTCCAAGCGTGGTCTTGAGGAGCGCCAGCTTGCTGGTGCCCTCACCCTGACCCTTCAAAATGGTATCTTGAAGGACCAGGCCGGTCGCCAGGGATACATCGCTGCCAACGACCAGTAAGTTCGCCTGTCAATTGCTATTCTCTATCAATATACTAATTGACAACAGGTTCCAGTTCGACGCTCCCGTCCAGGCTGGTGCTCTCCAGACCGAGGGCTTTGCTCTCTGCAGCAACAACTCCCTTGCTCTGACCTCCGGTCAACGCCCCTTCGGTGCTACCACCTTCTGGCAGTGCTTGTCTGGAGACTTTTACAACCTGTATGCCGACTCCCAGGGCATGCAGTGTGTGCAAATCTACATCCAGGCTGTCAACCAGGGCTCTGGTTCCGCCTCTCAGATCAGTGATGGCCAGCCTCAGGCTACCACCCCCGCTGCGTCTGCTACCAATGCAGTTTCTCAGATCCCTGATGGCCAGCCCCAAGCCACCACTCCCGCTGCTTCTGTCTCCAGGGTTGTTTCCCAAATCTCCGACGGTCAGCCTCAGGCCACCACTCCTGCCGCCTCTGTTCCCGCCGTCGTCTCCCAGATCTCTGATGGTCAGCCCCAGGCAGGCACGCCCGTGCCCTCTGCTTCGCACGTTGTCTCCCAGATCTCCGACGGCCAGCCCCAGGCAGGCACGCCCGTGCCCTCTGCTTCGCACGTTGTCTCCCAGATCTCCGACGGCCAGCCCCAGGCAGGCACTCCTGCGCCTTCCGTCTCTCGTGTCGTCTCTCAGATCTCTGATGGCCAGCCTCAGGCCGGTACACCTGCTCCCTCCGTTTCCCGCGTTGTTTCCCAGATCTCCGACGGCCAGCCGCAGGCTCCTGTCGCCACTGGCAACACCACCGTTTCGCGCCCTAACGCGACCTCTACCCAACCCGCCCAGTTCACCGGCGCTGCTGCCTCCACCACATTCGGTGCTGGTGCTCTCGCCGCTGGCCTCATGGGTATGTTCGCCATGTTGTAAATATGCTCTCAGTCTACTGCGCCTCAGCATAGCGAGTCACTTCATGTGTTTATGATCTCCAACTTAGCGTTCGAGTTGGATACGAGTTGGATAATGTTCCCACTTACGACCCTCCTTACGAATCATGTCGGCGTAATGGCATCGGTATGACAACCACTCCTTGGACTTGTATATATTCATGGCATTGGTGTTTTGGTATCTCTTGGAGGAATGGAAATTGGGTATGTAGCTTAGGTAGCCGTGCATCTTTAGGTTGGATCCTAATGCTAATGGAAATCGATCACACTGTTCATCGTCGTCTACTTCATCTCGCTGTGTGATCTTGTGTTCCATCTTTCTCAAGTTTTGACCCTGCTCGTCACTCTCCTTAGGTTACACAACTTTGGAAGTTTCTTCAATACGACCCGTGTCTGTGCACGTCGAAAACTGAAAAGACATCGATATTGCCCTGCAGAGCCCTGCATCTTCGTCGCGTGACTTAGAGCCCCGGCAGCCTTTATCTCCTCTTCAACGTCCGACTTTATGCAGGTACTAGCGATTGCGCCTGTTCTTGCCCACGCATATGCGGAGATTTGACATCCACTGTGTAAAGTTCCGGGCTCAGCAGCCGTCCACAGGCTACCCCCGAGGTATATATGTCCAATCTTGCGGTACTTTCCGCTGAAAAGAATAGCAATCGTCCTGAATGGATGTGGACGCAGTCAAAGCAGTGTTACTTCCTCAAAGGAAATTTTCGTATCGAGGTTCTTGCACAGGTAATACAGATCATGATTCAGTTCTAGGCAATCTTTGTAACTCACAGTCCTGATCACTATAAGGCTTGCTCGCTACCCTCCAGTTGCCGTATCCTTCGCCTTGTGATCTTGCGCCCATAGCTCCAGTACAAGTTCATCAGCAGCTCCCTGACCACAACATCAAACGTCGTCCTTGTGTCGAACTTACTCCCACTGTACGGGAACGGCACAATCTTGGTCCATTCCGAGTCCTTTTCGAAATAGAACTCCAGGTCGAATGCTTCAGCCTTCTTCAGCATGTGCTTCAGCACATCTCCCCTTTCTCCATTCACGTCTGCCCATGCCCACAACCTTGTGTCCAGGAAATCCAGCACATCTTTGGATACGTTTTGTGCCAGAATCTGCGCGTTGAATAGCAGGTGTCTCAACATGTTGATATCGCACCCACACTCCAACACCGCATACCTCAACAGCCCTGTATCAATCTGCTTCGGCACCCCCAACAACGTTGACAGCGCCGCAACAGCCCTCTCATTCCCCTCTGCCACCGCCTCCCTGATCCCCTGCTTTGCCGTCTCGCCCGCCATACTACCCTCCCAATCAACCTCCCCATTCAGACTGACCAGCACATACAGCAAATTCACTTTCCCCTCGTCCCACGGCCCATGCAGCAATTTCTCGGGAACATGAAACCCCTCTGCAAAGGCGAGATACGGAACCGTAGTAAACCTAAACGGCCACAGCCCGTCAAACAGTCTTATTCCAGGGACCCCCACACCGGTCCTCTCCCACGCCTTCCCTCGTAACGCGATCATAGCATCATGACTCCTATCCACATACTTCAGAAAGAAGTCCCACGTGAAGAAGCGACAGGAAAGTAGGTTGCTCTGCAAAACTCGATCACCGTTCTTTTTGCGGTCCCGGTAGTTCGTCGTGTGGTCGACGGTGTGAAAGAAGGCGCGCATGGTGTATTCCAAGGTCACTGCACGGGAGCTGAGTTTGCGGCCGAGGAGTGGTGAGGCGCGCGGGAGCGAGATGTTCATGGAGTGCAGGAAGATGATTTCGAGAAGTTCCTGGGGGAGACCGAGGAGTGTGGGCATAGCTGCAACGGTTTGTTTTCGAAGTTTCTTGGGTTGCTTTGCGCGGCGGTAGTTTGCTGAACTTGCTTCTGCTATTGATGGTATTGATGATGAGGGAGAAATTAAGGCGATGGGTATTGGTGTGTGCTTGCGTTTCTTCCCTCGTATCTTGATTGGCGTGAGATGCAAATCCGGATCCATTTGTATGTCAGGACGTGACCAGGCAGCAGGATTCCGGGGAGTAGTTGCATATGCAGAGTAAGTGAATGGGGAAAGGTCTGTTGGTCGCGTGTGGCGCAGTAGTGAAGTGGCTGACGTTCTTTCCCGCGGCGTTCGTGCCTTTTGTGCTTGAGCTCCACCATCGTAAACACGACATAACCTCCACAACCTTGCACACACACCACGCATATTGTTGAAGATGCAAGTCCACGCTGTGTCTGATGCAGAGCGCGCTTTCGACTCGCAGGGCAGGAGATTGCCGTGGGGCCTTGAGTTTGCAGAGTAAGTGAGAAATGGTTGGCGCCGAGGGACAGGAAAGAGGTGCATTACAGTAAAAGGCGCGCGCAATTACTGTCTCGCTGCATACAATTGCCCACTGAATAACTCTGCCAGCTGCCGCCGGCTCAGGAAGTAGTACTGACGAGCGTCAACAGCAGCGACCACAACCAGCGACGGATACCCGAAGAGAAAGGCCCATTTGGCAAGGCGCGCAAACGCGGGTCTACACGCGCAAAGACACCAACAGCCAAATCTGCCGAGGACAGCGCGAAGCTCGACAACCTGCGCGCAATCGACGACATCTTTGGGCGCTTCAAGGCCGACGAGGATAAGAAGCGATTGCTCCCAGGGCATCCCGTAGCCGCACTACCACCGTCGGCATCTGCACCGAACCTGATAGAAAGCAGCGGTCTGCTAGGGACATCGTTCAATGGCGGCGCGCCCCCAAATATCACAGCGAAAGAGCCCAAGGAAGTCATACTGTACGGCTACGGCTCAGAAGTGCAGTGGGCAGCGATAGACTTCTTCGAGAAGGTCTCCAACGGCATCATCTACGAGGAATACGACCGCGAACCGTACAACCCTAAATTCAACTACGCCTTCGGCACACAGCGAACCTCACACTATCAATCGCTCTCAAAGGCCGCGCTGAGCAGAGTCAACCAGTTCGTAGGCGGCGACCACTGGATAAAGGTCACATTTGATTCAGCAGAAGCCGCTGAGCGCGCATGCCACTACTCTCCCCACAACATCCAAGGCTACACCGTCTTCGCCGAAGCATACAGAGGCACTGGCCCTCAAGGCGGCGACCGCGCCCTCCGCGCCCAAATCGGCGGCGCCGTCTCCCTGCTCTCTTCTCCACAAACCGGCGCCTCAAGCACAGTACCAGACACATCCACGACCGCGTCCTCAGCCACGGCAACAACTGGCCCCGCGCCAACCAACCTCCTGCGATCAACAACCATGCCCCTCTTCCCCAGCGGCTCCTTCCCCATGGACGACGGGCCTCTCGACCGCGCACCACCAACACCAGCACCAGCTGCCTTGCCACGCCAATCACAAACCCAAACGACGACCACATCTGCGCAACTAGCGCCCACATCACGCCGCGCAACGCTCCGCCTTAAGGGCGCAAACGTAAAACCCGCCGTCTTCATGCCGCAAGAGAAAGCCTTTTTGCCAGCTCCACCGCTGTGGCAGCAGACGTTTGGTTCGTTGCCGATTATCGGGTGGGTGATTGGGAGTGGGCAGGGGATCATAGGAGATCAGGTGCCGAGGAAGGAGGACGGGAGTTTCGACGCGAATACGGCCAGTTTGTATTGGCGTGTGTGGTACAGCGTCGACTCGTGTCTAGGGACCGACTTTTGTGGTGTGAGGGATGCGGAGTACGATGATTAGAGAAGAAAGGTGGAAGGATACGACACATGACAGGATGAAAATGGAGTTGGCAGCATCAGGCGGCGTTTTGGGCTTTGCATGACGGCGAGGCATTGGTCCGTTCTTTTTCTTATCAGTCTGATCACATTTGCGATTGCAGCTCAGAGCAAGCAAGCGATTCCAATGAAGCCATAGCTTGCATAAGATGCGTGTGATGAACATGACTGCTGATTCCCGAATGCCAACCTGCTGATTCCCGAATGCCAACGCCAACGCCTGTGACAGCATATCTAAAGCGCACGGCCATACATCATTATCTTCATCCTCTCGACCCAAGATCTCACACATCCACCATCTCTCACTCCAGCTCCGGACTCATCTCCCTCACCCCCTCATAACCCCCCTTCAGCGTCATCTAAACATACTGACTCAACCACCTAATCCCCTCTCCATACCCCTGCCTCATAACCACACTGCACATGAACACCTCAATTGGCCTGATGCCCTCGAGCGGCACCTTTCCCTTACCTGTTGTCTGATACAGACCCAGCGCGCTACGTAGCTGGTCCTCGGAAACAGCGTCCGGGTGGTCGATCTTGTTGCCCAGTATGACAAAGGGCGTGTTCTTGAGCTCTTCCATGGCGAGCAGCGCGTCGAGCTCGGCTTTGGATTCGGCGAGGCGCTCGTGGTCTTTTGCGTCAACGAGGAAGACTATGCCTGATACTTCGGGGACTGTCATCGCAATGTGTCAGTATGTGCAAGTCCATTTCAGACATTTGGAGGCGGGAGGACATACAGTAGTCGCGCCAGAGACGCCGGGCTTGCGCGTGCCCACCCAAGTCGAAGGTTGTGAACTTGACGTTGCCGATTGAGAGCTCTTCGGATGTGGGGTGCAGAGTGGGCTGCAGGACGGCTACGCGGTCGTTCTTGAGCATGTGCAGGAGCGTTGTCTTTCCGGCATTGTCGAGGCCGAGGAAAAGGAGTTTGGCGTGCTTGTTTGCAAGGCCGAGTGAGGCCAGGACTTCCCAGACTGTGTGTTGTGTTAGTATTTGTTGGATGTGACTTATTGCGTTGCTGTTCCGCGCTTGTGACAATAGCCGATGACGAACAGGTTGGTATGCGCGCATTACGATACGTCTATACTGCGTATATAGGTCTGTTTGCCAGAGTTTTCATGCCGATAGCGGCCAGATGAGTGCAGGCGAATATTTGAACGGCGCATAGTCATTGCAGGCGTTGCGCGGCCACGTTGCGGCGGAGACGGGAGTGACATCTAGTACTTACACCTAATTTGAGATTAGCATAGCACTTTCAAGAAGAGTGAGACCAATTACCAATCGAGGATCCACATGTTGGCAGTGGGTGTTGAGTTGTAGAGTCGAGTGTGGTGTTCACGAGTGGTAGCATGAGCCGCGAGTTGGGGAAATCGATTGAGACCCTGCTGACGTTGTCTCACGTGTAAGCTACTTCACTCTTGCTCTACACGCAATATCGCCAAATCAATAGACCTTCACTTTTGTGCATGTTAGGTCTGCTGTTGAAAGTAGTCCGAGATATACGGAAATCTACCATAACGTATTTGTCGCCTGAACAGTACGGACTAGGTCTTTCAGAACATGAGCATGAGCTATCCTTATCTACTATAGGAACTAGCCGAGTAAGTGATGTCTGTAAGGAGGAGCAAGCAACAACTATTGACTTGCATGGGATATGCACCTAGACGGTGGAGTGTTCTCAATCAGACACATAATCTTAGGGAACATATATTACACGTGGACATGAAGTCAACTATCTACAGTTTTGCATCGATAGCCTTCCTCAGCCGCCGCGAGCAGAGACTCGAAAAGCGGACAATGAAAGCAACCTGGTGCACACAGCAACAGCCATGCATGCCTAGCGAACAACGCTGATCGCACTGGAAGCGGTCATGATGTGTACATCTAAATCTGCAAGCTTGTTAGCTTATGGCCAAAGCGAATAGTGTAAAGCAAGCATGAGATGATGAGTTTCCTCAGTGATCTTGGTGTAAAAGAGTTAATCACTTGATTCGGATAGATGGTCCGATCAGTTACTATCTATTGCAAATTGTAATCATCGGAATGGGGGCATGGAGAAGCAGACGCGTTCAACTTACCAGAGGGACGCGTGCTGTGGGTGAGGCTGCTCAGCTTGATCGCAAGACGTATCAAGGTGTGTTCATCTGCTGTCTTTGACGGTTAGCCATGCTTTCTTGAAGCGTTGAAAATCCAAGAGGGATGAGGTGCTTAAAAGCTCAGAATATGTAAGAAATTGAATATCACAGGGACGACGCCGTTAAGAGTCCCCGGCGAGGGACTCCGACACCGACTCAATCGCAAATTACGTCATCATAGGACGAGGTGGTGAAGTGGTGGAAGAGAGGAGAACGTACCAGTGGAGTGTGCAGGCCTTGCTGGCTATTGCGGAGAAGTTAGCATCACCGAGCTCAGAGCTGTGCAAGCATGCAGTTGTACAGCGAGATCAGGTCGCCATGCAGTGCATTGTGAATGCAGCAAATACAACGAGGTGGCTGCAAGCACCGCGAGGCACTTGTTGTACTGATGTCGTGGTTGTCATCGTGGTGATTGTGGTGGTCTCGCTGGTATTGCGGCGAGCGCGACGACTTTTTAATGGGCGCCGCACAGACCACCTCTCACTAGCGCTTCTTTCGCTAGAGCCCACACACTCCAAATTCCGTCCATCTCGACATCAATCTCGACATTGAACTAACCTCACAGCACATCCTTTCCGGTACGCCTACGATACCTTTCACGCTCTTTACACGACCTAATAAGCATCACAGCACAACCGACGAAATGGGTGACGCCAACATCACAACGAGCGCCTGGAGGCTGGTCGAGGTCGGCCGTGTAGTCCTCTTCAACGAGGGTGTCTACGAAGGCCGCCTTGCCACCATTGTCGAGATCATCGACCACAAGCGCGTACGGAGCCCTGCGATCGCGGAGGAAATGCAGTTGCTGACACCCACAGGTCCTTGTTGATGGTCCTTCCGAGAAGGCGCCTGTCCCCCGTCAGGAAGTCGCCCTCGCCAAGCTCTCCCTCACCCCCATCGTCATCCCCAAGCTGCCCCGTGCCACCGGTGTCGGCCACGTCGCGAAGAAGTGGGAGGAGCACAAGGTGCAGCAGAAGTTCGACGAGAGCGCCTGGGCCAAGAAGCGCGCTGCGCTCCAGAAGAGGAGGCAGTTGAACGACTTCGAGAGGTTCAAGGTCATGAAGTTGAGGAAGCAGGTAGGTTGTCTGTGGTCCAGGTGATGCTGGTGCGCGGTGCCGCACTGCAATCCAGCATGCGCCTACAGCAAGAACATTACTAACATACACCAAGGCCCGCTACGAGGTCCAGAAGACCTTCGCCAAGATCCGCGCCAGCGCAAAGGCATAGACGGTTACGATGATGTCGGGAGACACGGCGGAGTGGAGGTCGCTGCATGCAGGTGCTGGAGGAGGCATGATGTGCATTTCTTGAGCATCCCGAAGGCGACCTACGGCATTCTAAAATTCAAGACCTGGATCGGGTGCATTATTTCAATGATTGGCAAGGTGCAATTCGGATGGGAAGGTTAACACGGCTCTTGCATGCATCCACATGTAGCAAAAGAGTCCAATCCACAAGTTCATGAACCACAAACCGCAACTAGAATTGCAAATGATACCCATTGAAACCTCATCATCTCAGAACTGTGAACATCAAATATAGCGTATTGATCAGATAGCCGATTGCGCTGCGTTCCTGGAAACATCATGTTCAGCGATGTCATGGAGACTCGCTTACTTTGCTTGTCCGCCCACACGCTAGTCCTTTTTCGTCACTCTTTCCACCTGAGTTGCACTTCGTCACGCACGTCGGAAAGAGCTATCACCACATCGCAAAAATGGCCAACCCCCGCATTGAAGAGCTCCCCGACGAGCCCGAGAAGAAGAACGTTCAGATCGAGGAGGATGAGTCCAGCGACTCCGACGAGGGCGAGGAGGGCGATGCCGTGATCCCCCAGGGCTCCTCCGTCACCGTCCACTCCCGCAACGAGAAGAAGGCTCGCAAGGCCATCGCCAAGCTCGGCCTGAAGCACATTGAGGGCATCACACGCGTCACCCTCCGCCGACCGAAGAACGTGAGTGCCCGGGCAATTGGGGGGGACTGAAGCTATACAGAGCAGAGCAGCTGCGGGGCATGCGGAATTTTGGCTAACATGTCTCCCAGATCCTCTTCGTCATCAACCAGCCCGATGTCTACAAGTCCCCCTCCAGCAACACCTACATGTAAGCAATGGTGCACCCTCAATGGCACACGGCGCATACTGACCCCGCACCAGCATCTTCGGTGAGGCCAAGATCGAGGACCTGAACTCCCAGGCCCAGGCTTCCGCCGCCCAGCAGCTCGCTCAGGCTGAGCAGCAGGGTCACGACCACGCCGGCCACGACCATGACCACGACCACGCCCACGACGACACCAAGGGCACGGGCAAGGCCGAGGAGAAGCCCGAGGAGGAAGAGGACGATGGCGAGGAGGTCGATGACTCTGGTCTCGAGGCCAAGGACATCGAGCTCGTCATGCAGCAGGCGTCCGTCTCCCGCAAGAAGGCTGTCAAGGCTCTGAAGGAGAACGACAACGACATCGTTAACTCGATTATGGCTCTGAGCATATAGACTATTGTCTAGTGTGAGGGAAAGCCGAACTTGACTGGCAGGGCATAGCATCTGCAAAAGATGGCTTGCTCATGGGCAAGAGACATAAATATGAATCTTCTACTAGTCACGATTGTGAACAACCTCGGGCTTTTGAAACTTGAAACTGTGATGTTGTGTGACTTGCCCTGGTGATCATTCATATTGCCTGCAGCTGTTGGTCTTCTTGAATATTCTCTACGACTGTCTGGGTCAATGGACTACTACCATGCTTTTGACGTGTTTGTTTGTTGATCTGTTGTAGTAGCGCTTGCTAGATACAGCTCTACTCTTCAGTACTTGAACATGATACTTTAATATTTAGCATGTCTCTGATCGAAGTCGATTACGGTGCAGCAGTTTTTCAGAAATCCTATGCCAGACGACTGTTGTAAGCATAATTACATGTTCATGTTCAAGTCCACGTTGTGGTGGTTGACAGCTGCGTGCTCCGGGAATGATTCGGCGCTAAACCTATTCCCATTCCTTGGCTCCCGGCCGCGAGAAGTTCACTTCCAAACTCACCCTACGACCCCACGACCCCATCCCACAATCCGTCCCTATCCATCACAATGGCCGTCGGAGTACGTTGACCCCCCGCCGGGCCGCCGCTGGGAGCTCGCGACAGCTCAATTGCCGCTTCCCCCAAGCTCCTGCGCGCGCAATGGCAGCCCCAGCTGTACTATAGACCGACCTTGAAAACTAACGCTTCTCCCGCAACAGCGCAGCGCAGCCCTCAAGCTCGACTGGACCAAGCTCGGCCAGCAGCTCGGCCTCCGTGGCAACACCGCCGCCGCCCTGCAGTCGTTCAAGAAGCGCAACGACGATGCCCGCCGCAAGGTCACCGTCCTCTCCGAGCAGGCCCAGACCGTCGACTTCGCGCACTACCGCTCCATCCTCAAGAACCAGGCCATCGTCGATGATATCGAGAAGCAGTTCAACGCCTTCAAGCCCCAGACCTACGATGTAAACAGGCAGATTAAGGCCATTGAGGCCTTCGAGGCTCAGGCCGTCAAGAGCGCCGAGGAGACCAAGGCCGTCGTCGACAAGGAGCTAAGCGACCTCCAAAAGACACTGAAGAACATCGAGGACGCCAGGCCGTTTGCCGACCTCACTGTTGATGAGGTTGCTGCTGCCCAGCCCGAGATTGACCAGCGCACCGAGCAGCTCGTTTCCAAGGGCCGCTGGGCCGTTCCTGGCTACAAGGCGAGTCCACACGTTATTTGGACGGATGTCTGGGTAAATGCTAACAACCGCACAGGAGAAGTTCGGAGACCTTTCCGTATTGTAGACGTCTCTTTCTCGATAGCCAAGCTTTACCCGACCTGGGTTGTATCACCTACGTATTGTGAATAGTGACCGGGGAATTCAATCATAGATCTCGATGTTTCTTGTTTCCACTTCCTTCGGCCCCTCTTTCGAACACCCCCCGCAACTGATGGACGCAGATCAGCCCAATTGTGCGAATCGGTGACGCTATAATATAAGACTCGCAAACCTCAGCCCTGGGATCGAGCAAAGTTCACAACTGAGTGAGAGATTGGTGCTGGGACCCACTTGGACTGGCCAGCTGATGATGCCAGGTGCCCCTTCAGATCAGCCTTGAGCTGGGGTCCATTGTCTCGGGACCAAGAAACTGACCGCAAAAGAAGTTGGAAGCAGGTCTTATTGGCAAGAGATTTGACAATGAAGTTAAAGCGGCAAGGTGTCCGCTCGTGATCTGGGCTTGATCGTCAGACAATATAAGCATATTCCTAGCTTGAGCGATCGTCACAAGTTTCGATGGTTAGTACCCAATCCAACCTCGACTTTGTCGAATCTGAGCACTGAGACAGCTGGCGTCACCTGAGTCCAGGGTTCGTGATATGAAGCCATGTGCGCAGGGCCGCAGCCGCGTGTCGATCTGACGTGATGCAGCGCTCGAGTGCAAGGCTGCTGACGACAGTTGTTCAGCCTCAAGGAAATGTCGAATCGACAATCCAGTAAGATGATACTGAGCAAGCCACATTATGGATGGCTAGAGAACCGACGACCAGGATGAGACTCGGCGGAGAGCACGGCCACAGAGCTGCAGACTGGTTCGACAGTATTCCAGATGCAGCTTGCGCCTCAAGGTGAGTGAACGTCGCCAAAATCACATCCTTTAGCTCAAGCACACAGAATCGCATAAGTCCATAGAACTAGGAGAAATTTCTTTGTGCGTGTTCGATGCTGCTTCATTCGGACCCTTGCGATGACCATGAACAGGCGGACAGCAGTGGTGAAGTGCACTTGACATCTGTCTCGGCAGGGGCTGTGAACCGCGCTAATGCACACTAGCCACCACGCAACCGTCTTCACGTCAGCGCAACCTTTCAACTTCAACTCTTGGAAACTCAACCTCCCGAAGGTCCATCGCCCTGTCCGAGGTTTCAAGTGCGCTACTCGACCTTTTCGCACCCAAGACTTCAGCATGGGGACCTTAGCTGAGCTTGCTGATGGGATCTCGAATAGCGACAGTTTTCCGATGCACATGAAGGACATTCGAAACCAATGAAGATGTGCCAATATCATCCAAGGATCCACCTATGTCCACGCAGGCTTGTCACTTTTTCATCTGGACCAGTGAGGTTTCTCTACCTTTGTGTCGGCATCAAGCTCAAACCACCATCATCAACCATGCAGCCCAAGCTTTGATCTCCCGGACCGCGAAGATCAAGGTTGAGTCAGATCCACATGCGCTCCGGCTTATACTCACATCATCTTTCGATTTTGACAGTGGAGATCCCGCAAACCAGGGCATACTGTTTGATCGTGACCAAAGCAAGATAGCGGACGTTCATTCCGAAACTCTTTCATCATTAGAACTGCTACAGCTGAGTTCAAGTTTCCTTTCTAGGCCATGTTTCTTACTCGAGGCCTCACATTTGGTCACTCCCAGCTGAAACCATACAATCAGGTCACGACCCTAGGATTGTAGATGTCTACTTGCGGCGCTGTAGGGGCTACGGACGATTGTCTAACCTTGGACGTGACAGTCAACCTTCGACATCATCAAAACTTGGCTCTCGATACTACAAACCATTCGCTGCTGCGGATGCCTCCTAAGCTCAACGGTCTCACTAACCTATCACGCGGAAATGTAAATATGAAGCTCGTCTGCGCTTATTTAGATCTAGAACTACCATCGTCCAAAAAGTCCTTCAAGACCAGACCTCAATAATCGACACTTCCCCTACCAGTGTCAGAATACTCATCGTCATCCGCCAACACCTCACACAGCGAATTCAGCAAACCACCAGCACGCCGCTACCGCCTACACAACATGTCTCGGCCCCAACGAATGTCGCTTGTAAGAACACCCACCACCCTTCACAGACCGGAGACTTACTCCCCACAGGCGGAGAAGCACGAAACAATCCTAGCGCTCCAACAGCACCGCATCAACACCCTAACTGGCCTGCGCCATGTCGAAAAAGCCTTCGCCGCTCTCAACACGCCCGACGTCAGCGAGCCCATGACCGCAGCATGGACATACTACGTCTCGTCCAACAACTTGTTGACCGAGCTGCGCGGCTTGACGAGGAACTACCCATTCAGTTCGTACTGCGTGGACGAAGCGAAGCGCAGAGTCTACGCTGATCCGGAGAGTAACCGGAGTTGGAATCTGTGCTGGCTAGTCCTACAGAAGATCAAGGATGAGTGAGTTTCAGTGCTTGTTGTGAGTGTTGAAACGGAAGCTGATGGCGTGTAGTAAGTTGATAGGGTATTATGCGCAATATCAGGCAAGTCAGCCTGCGACGTGGGGTGGGCACAAGCCGACGGATGAGCATGTGAAACAGCTTACGGGTGTGCTTGTTAGGGAGTGGAAGGGTGCGCTGGAGCAGATGTTGAGGTATTGGGAGGAGCCGCCAACGCAGTGAGTGTGTATATCGAAGGGGAGTGTCGACTGTTGCTTCAAGCTTGATTGAGAGATTGCCGAACATTGGGTCTCTTTGTTTCATTTTGTTTTGGTTCTACATACTGTCTTGCATCAGAGGTTCGTTTATGTCAATACTCATTGTAGTTGTGCTGCACGAACTCTACGTGAATATGCTCAACACAAGTACAGTGCCCAGCTTCGTTTCCAAAACTGCTAAAAGAGTCTTAAAACCGCAAGAACGGCCACTGATGGTGTCTTTACGGTGACTATACGGAAGATGGACTCCGCACATGTGTTCGGTAATTATGTAGCCGGCAACTATTCCCGTGGCTACACTCTCGAACTCTAGACCTGAACCGCAACACCAGAGCCTCATGTCACTTCCGCGATTGTCGGCGCATCGCCTCCTTCGACATTGGCATCCAACAATATGGAGCAGCAAGAGACGTATCGCTCTGTCGAAACAGCCGAGTCCCAGGAAGCGGATGCAGCAACCGGGAAACAAGAGCCGGCGTCAACCTTGGACATCACCTGGGTGTCCTCAATCGAACCTCTCCCAAACGGCGGATGGGTAGCATGGTCGCAGGTCCTCGGCGGCCACATCGTGACCTTCTTCGTCTGGGGCTTCATCACATCGTTCGGCATGTTCCAAGCATACTACACCTCTACCGAAATCTCCTCACCTTCGAACATCTCGTGGATAGGGTCATTGATGATATTCTTCTTGATGCTCATACCGCTCTGGTCGGGGTCGGCGTCTGATGTTGATCATTTCAAGTTGATCCTGAGGGTGGGCACCGTGCTTTGGGCCCTGAATATATTCACGACGAGTGTGTGTCATGAGTACTGTCAGTTTTTATTGGTGCAGGGTGTGTGTATTGGTGTTGCGAATGAGCTTTTGTTTGTGCCGACGATGTCGGTTGTGTCAACGTACTTCGATCGTAGCCGCAGGCGTCTGGCCATTGGGTTGATCTTATGTGGTTCTGCGACGGGTGGTATGATCTTCCCGATCATGCTGAATCGCCTCTTTGGTATCATCGGCTTCGGGTGGGCGGTCAGGTCCTTCGGCTTTATGGCTCTTGCATTGCTGGTGCTGGCAGAGCGCTTGCTGAAGAAAAGATTGCCGCCAAAAGACTCCACGAAGTCCTTTGAGCCGGGTGAACTGAAAGACATTGTATTTGTACTATTCGTAAGCATATTCCGGCGTCCGTACGAGCTTCAGCTAATGCAAATAGATCATCGGCTCGTTCTTGAACTTTAGCGGTCTTTACTTCGCGTTCTTTTATGTCAATGCATATGCGCGCAACCGACTGGCGATGACCTTGGAAGAGACCATACCGATCTTGATGGTTCTCAATGGAGTTAGCGTACCTAGACGACTCATTCCAATATATATAGCAGATCGCTACTTCCGTCCAATCCACGTTAGTCTTCCAATCAACCTCGTTACAACACTCCTACAAACAGCCTCCATCGAAGCTCGTCATGGTGCTTGTAACGATTTGCCTTTAGTTTCCATCTACTGCCCTTGCCGAGTGTCATTGACGTGAGGGTTTTGACCCATCAAGCGCGCAATGGTCACAGCTTCCCTCAGCGCCTTTCCGAGGTGACCACGAACACCGGCTTCCTCCATCACCATGAGACCACCAATTGTGCATCCCTCTGGCGATGTGCCTTGATCTTTGAGAACACCGGGGTGGATCCCGCTCTGCAGCATCGCGGCAGTACCCTTCATACTCTGGTAGATCATGGTCTGCGCAGTCTCTCTTGGCATGCCAACAGCGACGGATGCATCAATCAATGCATCGCAGATGACGGCGAACATGGCTGGTGTTGAGCCTCCTACAGCTGTCGCTGCGTTCATCAACCTTGGGTCAATGTGGGCGGTCTTTCCAACCTGGTTGAAGATGGCATCGGTGATTTCCACAAACTCCTTTGGGATGTCCTTGTCCGGGTCTTCAATTGCTGTAAGTGACTCGGAAACTTGTGCGGCAATGTTGGGGAGTGTGCGAACGACCCAAATCTTATCCTTGCTTGAGGAAAGGATCTTCTCGATATCTGCTCTTGTCCACCCAGCAGCAAGACTGATGAGCAGCTTCCCGCTCAATGCGTCGGAGAGACCATCTTGCTTCAAAGTTGCCTCTACATCTGATGGATCGACACCAAGTAACACAATATCTGAGCCTTTTATGGCTTTGACATTGTCCCCTTTTGAAACGGAGAGCTTCCCCGACTTGACAGCTTCCGGGTACTTCTCGCCCAGCTTCTTCTCAGAAGCCTCACTCCTTACGCAAGCAATGTACTTTTCGAACTTTGCATTCTTGTCGCTGCCAGACTCGCTAAGCAGACTGCTCAAAATCGGCTGCCCAAGGTTGCCTGTTCCAAATTTAGCTCAGTCTACTTCCAGGTGGTCCTCAACATACCACAACCCAAGATACACAAGGTTTTTCCAGACATAGTTCTTCGGTGACGCTTGCGTTTCCGTTGGTTGAATCAAAAGTTGGAAGGATGCTGCGATTGTATGTTTGAAGGAAGAAGACGTGCTCGTTGCGTCTCATACCTATGGTGGTCGTCCGAAAACAAACCACGAAGTGCCCCGCTTCGGGATGGCTCCCGATTACACACTATGCCATTGGATCAATCCCTGGGACGATCCCGCGTAGATAAGATCAGCCTGACGTGCAGAGGAACTGTTCGCGAGACCGACGTTAACCGCTTTCTCCACATGAACCCCGCAATGAATCCAGACAGCTCCACCACCGCCGTTGCCGGTGGTGAAGTTCCGGTCCACATCGGATCTAATGATAGGCGAATATCACACACAACAAGGTGTCACAGAATTGTTTAGAGGAAGATGGTGGGTGTTTTGAAATGTTTTGTCTTCATCTACTTCGTCGAAACGGTTTATCTTGAGAATTTCGTGAACATCGCTTGTGAAATTTATGCTGCGCCAAAAACAGATCGCATCCTTCTCCCTGCCTCCTTGCGGAGCGCATTGTACTCATCGTTTGTCCTCAGAACAGCGTCCTTGTTCTCAACTGCTCTCCTGAGCAAATAGCCAATACACTCGCTCATACTTCCCCATGTCGAGCACTTGAAAACAGCAGGTGATTGACCGTTGCTGCCCTTCTCGGCCAGAAGCGAAAAGCTGACCTCATCCGACATACCGTGAAGCTGACCGAAGCCGACATCAACGGTAGGCAGACCGGCAGCAGTCCTTTGCTCGTGCAATCTTTGTGCAGAAATGACAGACTCGCGGTTGTGGGATGCAAGGAATAGCTTGACCGAGGGGAACGGGCGAGAGACACCGTATTCACCGAGCTGCTGGCGGAGAGCACCCTGGGCGATACCATTGTAATTGTCGTCTGTGTCTTGCTTTGTGTCATGGATCAAGGAGCGGTCATCAGAAGCGATGTATGCACCGCGGACAAGTTTGAGACCGAGAGTGAAGCCATCTTTCTCGGCCTCAGCGAGGTGAGAAGCAATGAGTGACTGGGTGTCCTTGAGGTATGCCTGGTATGTGTTGTAAACGACGACGCGACCATCGGTGTTGAACTTGCGCATCATCTCGAGAGCAGCACGAGCAATTCCCTTCTGATAATGTTGAGATTCAGCGTCGACAATGATCTGAATGTTGCGCTCCTTGCACTTGGTGCCGATTTCATCAAGAGCATCAAGCATCTGTTGTGGTGGCAAGTCTCCTTTGTTGAATGCGTCGACAACTGCCAGGCCAGCTCCAGATGTCCTGTGACGATGTTAGTAAACATGGATTCTGATATTGTGGTGGCAAACTTACTTGATAGCCAAAATGTCTCCCTCCTCGATCAGGTCAATGGTACCAACAGTGCCTGCTCTCCAGGACTCAATGACATTGTCGATCTTAACGCCGGTCGCTTCCTCCTTGATTTCTTCTGCTGCTGCACCTGGGCTGTACCCGTTGCCGCTCTTGTGGTCGAAGACCATCTCTTGTGCGTATGTGAGGATGACACCGCGGAATCCCAGATCCTTCAGTGCTTTCACGCATGTTCTTGTTTCGACCGGTGTTGTGCCAGCACAGAACTGATCGTAGAATGACTTTTTGATGATGGCCTTCAAAACCGGGTTCTTGTCAAGGTTGAACACCAAAGTCCTATCTGGCTTTGCGAAGAAGTCGAGGAGGTGAAGAGAAGGGACCAGCAGCCACTTCTTGGAAGAGATTGTGGCAACGAGGAGTGATCTCAACAACATAGGCAAAGGCATTGCTGACAGTGGTGAGGCCTTTGCCAGTGATCTTGTCTCTTGTATTGATGTGCTCATTGCTCCTCTCTTCTTTGCCGCGTAAGTTGAGGACAACCTGATGGTTGTGAATGTGATCCCTTCCTTCCTGCCAACGCCCCTCAGCACCGCAGGGGCGCCGTATCTTGTATGAAGCATGTTTTTCTCGCTGAGTAGTATAGGATCGAGTGGAGAGTAGTAAAGTACTGAAGGTAGAGGACTTGGAGGCCCAGAAAGATAATGCAGTTGCAAGTGATGAAGCCTCCGGTGTACACAGTGAATGATGATTATATTGGCTTATCGCCTACGCCCATCCACTATCGTGTAATGTATATTTCAAGACCCCGCTTTACGCTGCACGCTTCGAGAACGTGGGCCTCGCATGCCCTTGTGACTTTCGCATCGAAGTACCGTAGGCCGGACGCGCTGCCGGTTCGCACCTACTGCCCATATCCGGTACCGACCATAGCGTAGTTCCAATGCCACAATGCTTATCACACTGCTGCATGATGTAGCAAGCACTATTAAAGTCGGCACGAACATCGAGATGCTGCCCAACTCATCTCCTTTTTCGGTGAGCGCGGCGTGCGGGGTGAGACGCGTCGGATCGGGTTAAGATCTCGGGCTAACAGTGCAGGAGCTGATACGCTAAGCCACGTCATTGGTTCGAACAATGTGTTGGATGCTCGATTGGGTGGTTTCTTATCAACTTGACTCAATTCTACGTCGAACAGGGCGAAGTGAGGCTGGAAGTCGAAGATGTATGGAAAGTGCATAGAAGTTCTTCGATTCAAGCCCAGTGCAGCCACTGCATTACGCCGGTAAATGCTAGCAAAACGATTCTATGGTGGTTCTTGCCTTTGAAGCCTATACTCCAGATCTCCTGCAGGGCAATCTCTTCAAACGTTTCTGTTTCACGCGGCTTCCTTGACTTACCCGGCCTTCTCATGGAAGTAGTCCCGTAGTCCAGTGTTTGCAATAAGTCCGACACCAAATGCCGGAATAATCCTGGCACACCTGACCAACGTCGTTGCTCCGAGGTTCTGTCTGATCCTCGCCATTCGTACCGCGCTATCTGGATGGCTGTACATGTCCAGTCCCAGAAGGTGGATCGGCGTGGCAAAGACCTGGGAGAACACTGGAACCAGAAGTTGCATTGTCGCCATCTTGAGTATTGGATTGGCGAACGTGTCTTCTGGCAGTGACGACGCAATCATCGGAGGCAAATTGACAGCTCCAAAGATGGTGATTGCGTCGCGAATGAGGAAGGTTGCTGCCACTGTCCTAGGAAACTTCAGTCGCGGAACCGGTGGAGGTGGGACCTTCGCACCTTTTGTCTGAGCAGCAACCGGCACTGAAGGCCTGCCGAACATCTGAACGAATCGTACATCTTTCCAGACTCCAAGTGGTACGTTGACTGTGATCGTCGATAGGAACGTAACAGATTGCACAAAGAGATCATCAGCTTTTTGAGTCAAGTGCCTCGCTGTGGTTTCAACTGTGTTTGCTGTTGTATATGTCGCTGCATATAGTGTCCAGATAATAAGGAATGATTTCGTGCCAAAGAAACGCCTTGGATGCTTGAATGAACAGAGGATGTTCGTCTTCAAGGCCTGAGCAAGTGGGTTCTGGCCTGGTCGAGCTGCATTCTCTACAACCGCGCTGATGTTCGTCAATATATGATTCAGTGTGATCTCACCTGATTCTGGTGACACCACTTACCGATCAATTGCTGTGAGAACAGGTGATATCAACGTCGCCGACACAGCTGCAGCACCTAAATCTCCTGCAAACTGTCCTGTCAACGTACTTCCCCTCCAACCTCCCCATGTAAACATTGGCCGCTCAGGAGCAAGTTGCTGAGTCATCGAGGACATGAAGCTGTAGTGGAGAAAGTCGTGATGGTCGTTTCTTCAGCCTTCACAAAAACGTACGACGTCCAATTCGAATGTCAACGCGCACAAATCTTACCGACTCTTCAGACCGAATTCGTATCATCAACAACACCGAACGCCGGCCTCAGCTGCGCTTTGCATCGCATCAGTTTCCTTTCTGGACCCCTTGATCGCGTCGTCTGGCCATCGGATCCCAGGCCCCGGTGATACATGGCCAGGTGTGTACTGGTGTCGGTTTCGTGTCCGTGACGCGCACGGTATGCCTGCCGGTGCGTAGCGAGTGCGTAGTGCTGCAGCTGCGGGGCAGTGATGCATCGCCATTCACACTAACGCATGCGAAGCTTATCGATAAGACGAGTATTCCGATAGTCTCACGCGATTTCATGGAAGTGGAGGAGACACGGCGCAGGGTTCGGAATTGGAGCCCGTTGATCGTGGGTGCGTTATAATGTGAGGTTTCCTTGAGTGGGGGACGACCAAGTATCTCCTCGCTTTTCTTCGGTCCACTGTTACTGTCTTGGGTTCTGGTCGTCATATTTCGTCACAATGGGTATCTCAAAGAACGAGCACATTGCTATTATCGGTGGTGGAGCGTTTGGGTTGTCGACTGCTTTCGAGCTGTCGCAGCAGGGCTACACAGATATCACAGTCTTCGAGAAGGACACAGAGATCCCCTCAAGATGGTCTGCCGCAAACGATCTGAACAAGATCATGCGTGCTGAGTACGAGGACCCTTGGTACACAGAACTTGGTGTTGTAAGTTACTCAATTACTCTTCAGTCAAACTGCAATCCTAATAAATCTTCTTTCAGGAAGCTGCAAAGAAATGGCAAACTCCTCTCTACGCGCCTTACTTCCACCGAGTCGGCTACCTCAATTGCGTCTCTGGCGCCGGCACACAAAAAGCTATCAACTCCATGAACTCCTTTAAGGCCGCCGGTGAGGCCCACCCAGAGATCAAGCCTTGGGTTTATACCGTATCAACCCGCCAGGAGCTTCAAGACATCTGCTGGCAGTTCAACCAGGGTGAGATGCCCGGGTGGAAGGGCTACTTCAACCGCTACGATGGCTATGTCCACTCTGCCAACGCTCTCCGTGGAATTTACCGCGCCGCAAGATCGAATGGTGTTCGTTTCTTCCTTGGTGAAAGGAGGGGTGCCATTCAGGAGATCGTCTACAAGGGTACCGGGTCGAGTAAGAAGAGTGTTGGTGTCAAGACAAAGGATGGACAGTTTCACGCTGCTTCGCTAGTCATCGTAGCTACCGGTGCGGCTGCATCGAAGATCGTGCCCGAGGTTGGCGCTCGCGTCTCTGCGAAGTCATGGTCCGTCGCACACGTCCGACTTACAGATGAGGAGACTGCAGCGCTTCGCGGCATCCCCGTCACATATGCCCGTGACCTCGGATTCTTCTTCGAGCCCGACCCGAAGACCAACCTTCTCAAACTGTGCCCCATGGGTGGTGGTTTCATCAACACCAACCCCGCAACCGGTGTATCCGAGGCTCCCGAAGGCGTCCAGCGCTTTGTACCTCCCGAGGATGAGCGGAAGATGCGCGAGCTCCTCCGTCAGACCCTGCCCTACCTCGCCGATCGTCCCCTCGTCGAGAAGACATTATGTTGGTTCGCCGACACCAGCGACTCTGACTTCATCATCGATTACCTGCCAGAGACTGGCAGCACGGTCATGGTTCTGTCTGGTGACTCTGGTCACGGCTTCAAGATGTTCCCCATTGTTGGTTCGTGGGTGAACAACCTGCTCAACGCTCCTGAGGGCAAGCAGATAGAGAAGAGGTGGCAGTGGAGGACAAACAAGCCCAACGATGGTTCTGCCAGTCAAGACGACGTCAGCTGGCGTGTTGGTGATGTCCAGGAGCTGAGGGACATCACACCGTCTGTTGCGAAGTTGTAGATTGTTTGACATAGACAGCGTATAGATCCGTGTAAAGCATTTCTTATCTGTTGAAGTCTCGAGACAAAAAATTATGAGTGCGCCGACAGTCGTGGATTCCATGTAGCCTGAAGTGAACACTGTAAGAAATGTTTTGGCGGTACCATACCACTTGCATGTGTATCTCCACGGTCATTATCGCATTGGTTGTCGCGTGGACACTCAAACAGGCGGGCGCATTGGTAGTCGCACAGGAAGGTGCACCGGAAGTTGCGTTGGAGGTTGTCTTGAAAGTCGCGTGGGGATTTAACTTTTCGAATGTCGTATTGTGCAAATCTAAAATCTTTCATGTACCCCAAACTCCATTTGTATGCAGCCGAACCTCATATTGATGCATTTCCAAGTCGTGACATATTTCGTACATGCTGTCGTGTGCGTCTTATCACTGTGTGCTCGCTCCTCAGTGCATCGACGGGTCCACCATTTCCAAAGGTTGGTAGTTGTCAAAGACGCCAAAAGAAAGCCAATCCGTCCCCTCGATGTCCATAGATTCGGCAACTGCCAAAATCTGTTCGGCCGTGAGATCATCACCAAAACCACTGCCCTCGTCGCTGAACCCTGAATAGAGTGGGCCGCCATCTGGCGAAGCATACATAGGTTTCGCACTCGTAGGATCCTCGGGGATTCCTGACACGGTCTGAATGATGTTTGTGCTGGGCTGAGGGAGTTGTTGCTGGTTGAGCGCCTCCATCAGTGGCGGTCGCTCCTGCATTGCAGCATGTTCTGCGAGCATTTCATCTAACCTGCACAGCTCGCGCATGCGGTAGTCCGCGATATGGTTGCCGCCGGTGATCATAGTCTCCATCAGCGTGAACGCTTTCTCCAGCCAGAGTGTTCGGTCGTCCAGCAGGCTTGGATCGACGAAGCGAGTCAAGATGAGGACCATGGTCGATACGAATAGCGCGTCAAGATCCCAAGGAAGGAAGGTTTCTTGATGACGTTAGCTTCAATCAAGCAGTTACAGGTGATGTTGCTAACCAAGAAGCCCCTGGTCTTGTAGGCTTTCGAGAATTGCCAGGATCTTCTGCGATGCCTCTAGAGACATGTGCAGCACCTTTCGGATCTTGGGTGAAGAGATCAAAGGAATGACCTGCTGTGGGGATTCGAAGACCTTCTTCATGCAGCAAAATAGCAGTGGTCTAGTGACGATTACAATGGTCTGAGACGATTAGTAAAAATACTCCTGGAGCTGCAGTGAAGTCCTTACCTGGTAGTAGTACAAATGAGAATGCGCTGGTAACCTGGAAATGCCGCCAAAACGTTCATCAGCGTGTAGAGGAAACGAAATGCGGAGCTCTTCTGCTAGTCCAGCTAGTTTGTCGAGAACCGTCTTGATGCTGAGAACAAACTTCTTGCGAAGCCTTCCTTTCGAGCCGTATACTGTGCTCGCGATATCAGTGTGCACCTTTGCGAGCTTGATCTGCATGTTCAATGCAGCTGCTCGTTGAGGCGAGTTCTGGTAATTCGGGAGCTGACATGACACGTCTTCATCTCGAATCGTTTGCGGTAGACCCATGAGGGAGGTCATGTGGCGGTCAAGGATGAAGATGGTCCACCAGATTTTGCGGCAGCGCTGAACAACGACCTCCCCCAAGTTCATCACCGGCATGTCTGTGTGCATGCCTTGAATGAGAGCTATGCGCATAGCCTGGCCCATCGTGACGTGTGCAGCGTTGCGAGAGTCTAAGGATTGGAGGTAAAGCGCAATGCAGCACAGGACCTCCGTTGCTACGATAGGGTTCCGGCATAGCTTGTTCGTGTCCGGAAGTAGTTGAAGAGCATGAATGAAAAAGTCCGCACCAGGCGGCCTAGGCGAATGGTTATTCTGCTGGACGAAGGTCTTGCCAAACGCTATGATCATCAAGAAATGGATATACCAGAGACTCTCTTTCCAGAGAGCTTTGTCGCCTGTGCCTGAGTAGAAAGCATGCAGGTTGAACATGAACTCTTCTTCTTCAAAGAGATGCATCATTTGAGCGCAATGAAATTTCACTGCGTTGATCAAGAAGATAGCGTGGTCGATGCTCGGGATGACTGGGGAAGCAGACTCAGGCAAGCTGCGGGTACCATCCCAGGGAAGGTCGTACGCAGATCCATCGAACAGCAGTTCTGCGGCTGGGAGAGGCGATTTGTGCATATGCTCATGAACCAAGCTCAAAACCTGACCGTGGAAGGACCAATTGGACGATGTTCCCATGTAAACTGTATCACGTGTCAGTGTTATCAAGTATTATGGAGCTTATGGAGAAGACCCACAAGTTTGTCCATTAGAGGCTGCCATGTACCTGGAAGGGGCTTCAGTGAGGGGGTTAGTTAAGTTGGCTGTCTCTCGAGGTCCATCTGTTCCTGGTGTGCTCTCTCGAGTGCCGCCGCCGCTGGACTGTGCCGTCCGCCTGGGAGCCTCATCAGGAGAGTGACTCCTCTCTGCTCGGGCTCGAGCATCTTGATCGTTCTCTAGAAGTGGATTGGAAGCGGAAGGCGCGTTTTGTGCGTTCTGGAGTCGTGCCACCTTGGCCTGAAGGTCTGAGAGGTAGCTGAAGGCCAGTCAGAAGAGTGGCTCGAAGTAAGGCTGGAGTGGCGTACCCTTGGGTCACCAAGATCTTGTTGTCTCGATCATCGAAAATACAGGTCAAGTTTCGCTTGCCGCAGTTAGCACAGGGCTGCTGACCGGAGCACTTGATCTTCTGTCTTCGGCATCTGGAGCAGCTACACCAACGTTAGCGAGGGAACCAAGACTACCATCATTCAGAAGCGTACGCGTTTGAGGATCTCTTCGTTACTCGTCTGTGTTCATTCGAGGTAGCCATTACAGCAGATGTCTGTTATTCTGCAGCATTCCTCTTGTAAAAACAGTTAACCACAGTCAGGTGGGGCGCCGATTACGCTGATAAGGCTCTGTCTATTCCGGAGCAAAATTGGTAACAACAAGGCGATGAGGCTCGAGCCAACGTCAAATTTTGGTCGCATGGTCCTATCTGGCCCACATGATCACAACTCACGAGGAAACTGCCGCGCGGGTGTGTGAGCGTGCGGGGAATGTTGGGGATGAAGTCACGTCTTAGGTAATGAAGACTTGGCAGAGTTTTATTTCCTGCCCGCATCACCGAACGTCCCTGCGTCAATCGAGAACCACAGATCTCCATATCAGCGCGTTTTAACAAAATTTCAGGGCCTTCGAGAAGCTTTGGAGAAACAATGCCCTGCATCGCTATCTCTCTTCGATGAAGTCTGGCGCTGCGCCACGGCGTGGGGAGGCGGCAGGGGTGGTCTAGCCTTTCACTCAGTATCAGCGACTTCGCAACTCCCAGGTATCACACTTATCACCATGAGACAACGCGCGCGTTTAGACTCGCAATTGGAGCCGCAGTGTAAATGCTAAAGCACTGGATCTTATTTCCTATTTGGATCATGCGGATATGCGCGATAATATGTGATTCGAAAAATTCGGAAGCTGACCCGAGATCAACAGCTTCGCTCCCCGACTTAGCTTATGCCCAGCCTGCTGCACCATGGCATCACATGCACATCAATACAAGAACAATACGGCAGTTCACTATCAGCTCGGTCCTTCTACAGTTTACAATCGCGAGGACGGTGCGCCTTGGACCACCTCATTGATGGCCTGTGCTATCCTCTCGATGTTCGACTGGTTCATGCCTGAGACGTTGATGCGCCCACTCAGGAGCATGTAGATGTGGTGCTTGCTACCAAGCGTCTCGCACTGTTGTGGACTCAGCGGAAGGAAGCAGAAGAGGCCGGTCGATGTGAGGATTACGTCCCAGTTGCCTGGTGTCTGTATATTGTCAGTGCTCGAACACAAATGGACGGTGTTGTGGGAGGCTCACCTTGTGCTTCTTCGTCAACAAGTCGTACAAGGTCATCCTGAGACCGACCAGTCGCTCTCGCATCACTGCTAGCTCATCTTGCCATTGCGATGTGAGGGCGCTGTCCTTCAGTACCGTGTTCACCAGTCTCGAACCGTATGCTGGGCTGGATGAGAATTCCCACCTGATCAGGCACCTGAGCTGATCGTAAACATTGTCTGCGGCTGCCTCCTTCTCTGTGAGGATGTGGAGGACGCCGCACCTCTCGCCGTAAAGACCGAAGTTCTTCGAGAATGACTGGCAAGCCAGCAATTCGAAGCCCTGCTCTGTGAAGTGTCGCAGACCGAATGCATCCTCCGCCAGGGGCGCACCGAGACCTTGATATGCCATGTCGAAGAAGGGAAAATGACTCTTTGGTTTCATGGCCCGAGCGAGTGTTCGCCATTGCTCCTTGCTCAAGTCTGCGCCTGAAGGGTTATGACAGCAGCCCTGAAGGACGAATATACTACCGCTGGGAGCTTGGTCGACGGCTTTGAGGAGATCAGCGAACGCGACTGTTCCACGCTCCGCATTGTAATGTCGGTATTTGACGACTTCGAATCCGACGAGGTTGAACAGGGGCTCGTAGTTGCCCCAGGCGGGTGTTCCAACGTATACCTTCTTCCCTTTGAACTCCTCAGCGCGGCTCAAGAATAGAGCAGCAAGATGAATGCTTCCTGTTCCTGAAATCGCTTGTGCAGATGCAATCCTCTCTGTCTTTACTGGCTCCGTCTCTGCACCAAAGAGGGCCTTGCACGCGTTCTTCACGAACTCTGCATCTCCTGTTGTGACTTCGTAGTCGTGGCCGAGTTCCGCCTTTGTCAGGATTTCCTTCGCCTGTTTCAGCACACCAAGTTCATTGTATTTGCCCTGCTCATTCCTGTATACGCCGACACCGAGATCGATCTTCGAAGGCGATTTATCGGCTTTCACTTTCGAGCTGAGGATGAAGACTGGGTCGGCTGGACCCTTAGGGACGGAGCGGAACATGGCTGCTGGAATGTGAGATGTGAGGTCTGAACAAGGTTGGATCGAGAGTCCTGCTTACGTTCTGCATGGCTTCTCTGCAATCTATATTGCTGCGCATTCTGCCTCCGGTTGTTTGGTCCGTCGCGAGACCATGCTGCACGGCGTGCCCACGCGACCGGTACCGCTCCCGAGAAATTTTTCGATAGTGGAGATCACACCGAGTTTCGTTAAACGTGTTGACCGTGTGATCCATAGTTCGAGCCGTTGGATTCGTCATACCGTGGTGGTTGTAGGGATGTAGATGAAGTTCTGGTGGAGAGTCGCACTGTCTCGGTCTGTGGGAAAGTGGCGATCATCACAACGACAGTCGAGCAATAATTGCAGTAAAAACACTTCTCATTTCTAGCAAGGACCTTCTCTACAACAGAGCAAGCGAATTTTGGGTATCCAGACAGTCTCCCACCGTTGACGCGAACCAGCTATATACTCCCCTGGAGGTACCCAGCTCCTCGCCACCGAACGACTAGCACGCTTCGCCTAAGCGTACTGCCTGTGCTTCTTACGATCCTTCATGCCGCACATCAGCATCTCAAGGATCTCCTGCCAGAAGCCCTTAGTCTCCTCAGCGAACGAAGCCTCGTAAGCATCGATGTACGCCCTCTCCCATACCAAATCAGCCTCCTGGGCCTTGACCATCTTGGTGCGCTTGAGGAACTTCCAGCCGAAGAAGAGAACAGGTGCAACGAAAACCATCATGTAGTATGTGAATAGGCCGTCAATGGTGAAGTTGCCGGGAAGGAAGGTGCCGTATCCGTAGCAGCCCAGAATGAGGATCAAGAAGATCATGCTGATCCAGGTGCCGTAGGGCTGGAACCATCCGTAGTAAGGCATGGCCTTGCGGTCAACACCCTGGGCCTTAACGGCTCGGTAGAAGAACAGGTATGTGATGCAGATAACGATGTAGTTGATGATTTGGGCACCAGTGATAATGTTGATGAACCAGGTGAGCACCTTGGCGGATCCAGAATCGACGTTCAGAAAACCGAGGAAGGGGAAGCAGATGGTGACGAGCAGGCAGTAGAATGGCACACCCTTCTTGGTGCACTTCTTCAGGAACTTGGGAGCCTGGCCCTCGAGGGCAAGACCGTACAGCGAACGGGTTCCGTAGTAAGTGTAGGCGTTTCCGGCGGAGAAAATGGATGTGCACAGAAGTGCGTTGGTGAGATGGGGAAGACCGCTAATGCGCAGGTTCCTATTTGACTATCGGTAAAGGTTCTAAATAAGTGTGGAGACTTTCACATACCTCATGGAAATGACGTAGGGCGACGCAGCGGCAGTTCCAGCACCCCCAGAGGCGCCAGACATGATGTCTAGAAGAGTCTTCTCGTTGTAGGGAATGACGATTCCGACGCAGAGCGCACTACCGATGAAGAAGAAGGCGAAACGGGCGTAGGTGACCTTGAAGGCATTCTTGAGGTAGGTTCTGGGAAGCTTGACCTCACCGGAAAGCATGGACAAGTACTCGGGGCCGACAACGGTGAAGGCAGCGCTCCACAAGCACCCAAGAAACCCCTCGAATCGGCCAAGGTCGCCGGTGGTGTTGTATTCGGCAAAGGCGCCTGGATTGTTCCAGTAGCGGAAACCGTATGCGTCCTTGATGGGGTTGCCGCCGACCATCGTGATGAAGGTGAAGGAGAAGACGATCAAGATGAGGAAGACCTTTCCGAGAGCAAGCCAGAACTCAGCCTCTCCATATGCCTTGACTACGAATGCATTGGTAGCGAAGTACAAGACTACACAGATAGCGACGACGGCGGCGACTGGAATGTCGTCGCTCCAGAACTTGAGCACAAGGTTCAATGCCGAGATTTCGAAGGGGATCAGAATTGCCTCGTAGAAAAAGAAGTTCCAACCAGCCCAGAAGCCCCTATAACAGGTGTCAGTAATTGTACCAGAGACAACTCGAACGGACCGGAAAGACTCACATCGCAGGGTCTACCCAGTGTCCAGCCATACGAATGAAGCCACCGGTGACAGGCATGAACGAAGCCATCTCCGCCATGGAGTTGTTGACAAGACCAAGCATGCAAGAGTAGATGGTGTAGGCGAGGAGCAAGCTTCCCGGACCACCCTTGACCAGACCGTTGGCAATCGAGACGAAGGTAGCGGTACCAATCGAGCCACCAATGGCGATCAACTGGACCTGACGGTTACCCAAGTGCCTCTGCAGCTGATCGGCATTGTGAACTTGGCCGTGTATGAAACCGTTCTCAGTATTCGCACGGTAGATGTCCTCGTCCCTGCCCTGAACCTCAGTTGTAGGTGAGGTGGACTTCTCGTTGACCTCGAAGGCCTTGTTGTCAGACATGATGTCCACACACGACAACTATGTTAGGATATGATGAAGAGTAAAGAAGAAAAGAGATGGAGATGATGGATCCGGATCGGTGGGTCATTGTTGGAGGGCCCCCCATTAAGCGGTCAGAGTGAAGATCAAGATCTTGATATCTCGTAGCCCTACTGCAATGAGTTAGCGCTTGGCACGACCAATCATTGACTTCTCGGTCTTGGGTCATGGTTAATACGAATCTCGCCCATACCACTTTCCTCGGTTAGCTATCTCATGGTATCTGTCACAGTTGGAGGTCTTTGGGCGTAGTCGGTCCATACGAGCGGGCCAGACACAGGGATCTTTCTTGGGCAACGCTTCGATTCACTTCCCCGCATGAAGCGACCCCGGACAGAGTAAGCCACAAGCCTAGCCATGGGTCAGCCCATACTAATCCACACGCTACGGTAACCATGCCGTCGTTCCCATGTACATTCGGGTCTCGTACCGAATCTTATCTGAGTCTAGCCTCCACGTGTGTAGATAAGCCACGATGTCCCGAAAGCCTCAAGCCTTGCTTGGTTGCTTTTCCTGAGGCTGAGTTACGATCCCTCGATATCCGCGCGGAAGTGCAGGAGATATTGCACGGAGCCAAGATATATACTGATGAGTCTATGATTGTCTATGAACCCACACCGAACTCCACAACATCGTATCATCATATCTTCGAAGAGATAGGCCTGTTGATAAGAGGCAGGCTCTGTTCGATCTCCCCAACCTCCGCCGTCCTCGACCTGACCATCTCTTGGACAGTAGCGGCTGGCGCAACGTATGGCCTACGCGGTGCCATCTTGGCGGGGGCGTCCTGGATACCGGCATAGGTAGCGCTGTGAATTGCCGCAGCGTACTTTGTTGGCGCAATACCGCCCTTGATCGCCTGCTCAGCGAGCGCAGTCTTCTGGTGCAGAGCAAGAGCCTCTGTGTGCTTGCCCTGGCAATAGAGCTCGTTGATACGGACGATGCATCGTGGGGTAACGTTGGCAAAAGCAGCGATGCATCCAGAGGAGCCTGAGCTGAGACCGCCAATGATGAAGTCGGCCTGGCCACCAAAGACAGCGAACCTCTCCTTGGGCAGTGCGGCTGCGAGACGCGTGATTTTGGCCACGGAGCCGCACGTTAGCTTGACGCCCACGATGTTGCTGTGGCGCTTGGCCATGGCTTCGATAAAGTCTGATGAGAGATCGACGCCATTGCACACGCCGGGGAAGTTGTAGATTACAAGAGGCAATTCGCTGCGAGCCGCGATCTGGTCGTAGAAGTTCTCCAGAACCTGGGGTGTAGTAGCGCCACCTTTCGAAACAAATTAGCCGATGCATCTTCCGATTATAGAAACAAATATTACATGCCGAAGTAGGCGTTCGGCAAGACTAACACGGAGTTCGCGCCAGCCGCAGCTGCGTCAGATATGAACTCGAGTGTCTGTGCGGTGCTGTGCGCACCGACACCCGCCATGATGGGGAACGAGGGCCCTACGGCTCGCCGTGCAGTCGCGATCAACGCTTTGCGCTCTTCCCGCGTAAGCAGCATAGTCTCTGCATTTGTACCCAAGATCACAAGGCCTGCGAGCCCTGTGGTAGAGAGGTAGTGGAAGTAGCGTGCCTGGTTCTCAAAATCGACCTTGTCTGTGTCTGGGTCGAACAGGGTAACCGCAGGGCACCAAACACCAGCAGGAGGGACTTGAGAAGGCATTGTGACTGTAGAACTGACGAAGAAAAACAACGATGGGTATAGTGATGCTATTCTGCAGCCAAATTAAGCCTCCTCTCGCGATATTTATTGTAGCGTAGATGCGTCTCGCGTTGCCGGCCGTTCATGCTTCGTCTCGAACTCCAGTATAATCGGGCAGGTACCCGAATACTACCAAAGACGATATCGGCATTCACAACAATGTATCCAGCAGACGTAACCTGTGACAATCTCAGCGGCAATCGACGGCTGAATCAAAGTACGTGAACGGAATGCCAGCCGGTCGATGATGGAGCTTCTCCACAAGACCCCTCATTGTGCATACTCAAAAGGCAGAGGCCAGCATTGAGAAGTGCAGCAGCCTCAATCCCTCGAGTCCTCTCACATACACATTCTCAACATGTCGAGCATTCGCAACATCACATCTCTCCGTGCCACAAGGCGGCCGCTGATCAAAGCGCCTCGCCTCGCTTGTCTCCAGGCGCGCACCAACGTTACTGTACCCTTCAGACTACCAGCTGCACGCAACGAGCCTAACCCTACCTACAAGGAGGGCTCAGAGGAGCGCACAGAGCTTGTTAAAGAGCTCAAGAGGCTCAGGTCTCAACTTCCTCTTAAGTCTGAGATCTTCCTTAACGGTACATCACAACCGTCTGCTGGATCATGGGACCAGCCCATCCCCGCAGAGAAGGACACCGTTTTCACCAACTATCCTCTTATTTCCAAGGAGCAGGTCTCAGATGCCATCACATCAGCTCTCGAGGCCAAGAAGACATGGGAGAAGACACCATTTGTCGACCGTGCTTCCATTTTCCTAAAGGCTGCGGAACTGGTTGCGGGGAAATACCGCTATGAGCTGATTGCTGCAACCATGCTCGGACAGGGCAAGAACATCTGGCAGGGTGAAGTCGACGCCGCCGCCGAACTGGCTGACTTCTTCCGTCTCAACTGCAACTATGCTGCAGAGATTCTGGCTCGTCAGCCCGACCGTGGTTCTGACGGCATGTGGTCGCGCATGGACTACCGTCCTGTTGAGGGGTTCGTCTATGCCGTTTCTCCCTTCAACTTCACAGCCATTGGTGGCAACTTGATTGCTGGACCTGCTCTCATGGGTAACGTCGTCCTTTGGAAGCCTTCCCCCTCCAACATCTACGCCTCTACCATTGTGTACAAGATCCTGCTCGAGGCCGGTCTCCCCAAAGACGTTATTCAGTTCATTCCTGGTGATCCAGAGGTCATCAACGATGTTGTCTTCGCCAACCGCGACTTCACTGGTCTCAACTTCGTCGGTTCTTCAGATGTTTTCCGCTCCCTCTGCGCTCGCATTGGTGAGGGCATTGGCAAGGGCACTTACCGCGAGTTCCCGCGCATGGTCGGTGAGACCAGCGGTAAGAACTTCACCCTCATTCACTCTACTGGTGACATTCCCTCTGCCGTCAAGCACACCATTCGTGGATCTTTTGAGTACCAGGGACAGAAGTGTTCTGCCACCTCTCGCCTCTACCTCCCTGAGTCCCGCTCCAAGGAGTTCCTCGACGCTTTCATCAAGGATGTCAACGAGATCACCATCGGAAATCCCGACAAGGATCTCTCTGCATTTATGGGCCCCGTCATCCACGACCGCTCATTCAACAAGATCAAGCAGATCATTGACGAGTCCAACGCCGATCCCTCACTCAAGCTCATTGCTGGTGGAACCTACGACGACTCCAAGGGCTACTTCGTCAAGCCCACTGTCTACCTTTCTGACTCTCCCGACCACAAGCTCTTCAACTACGAGGTTTTCGGCCCTGTTCTCGCCATCCATGTCTACAAGGACGCTGACTGGAAGAAAATCCTTCAGAAGGTCGACCAAGCTGGTGGCGGTTTCGCCCTGACGGGTTCAGTCTTCGCCAACGACCGCTCTGCCGTCCGGGAGGCTGAGGACACTCTCCGCTACTCTGCTGGCAACTTCTACATTAGTAAGCTTTCCCATGATATAATCATTTCTGAACCATTTGCTAACAAACTACTCCAGACTGCAAGACAACAGCTGCTCTCATCGGTCAACAATCTTTCGGTGGATCCCGTGCCTCCGGTACCAACGACAAGGCTGGTTCCTCCAACCCTGTCCTCCGCTTCACCTCTCCTCGTCTGATTAAAGAGGAGTTCTTCCCCCAGACTGAGTACTTGTACCCCAGCAACAAGCCTGCTGAGAACCTCGAAGACGTCAAGGGCGCCCAGCACTAAATTCTGAGTCCACTTTCTGACGATTTCTCGAGTTTTAAACGGGTTGCAGCGCGTAATGCTTGGTGATTTTGTATAGAAATATTCAAAACAGGGTCAAGCGATGGTCATACCGCATTGCAAGGAGCAAAAGGTCTTTTCACGCAGCTTTATGTATATGTTCAGGATATGATTACGATTCGAGGGCCATGTTCGCATTTTCTTGGTAGTCATTTCAATTATAACGAGTCTTTTACTCATGTGTCCATACGGACCCCATGCATCCGCACAGGTGAACTTTTGTGTCTTTCAGTGCAAACGCTATCATCAAAGCTGTCTCGAGACTCATATCTTCGGAAACTACCCGCTAGCCGTATTAAGCAAGGTGCCCACCGCTAGCTTACTTTTGTAACTCAGCATCGCTCTGTAAGGAATATGGGCCATTATCTAGGAGCATTGAATAACTCAACCCTAGGCTGGAAAAGATACGCTCCGTTGTTTCAAGGTTGTGTCCCGCTTTCCATTCTACTGACTTCGACCCAATTGCTGGACTGAGAGTATGATAGTCGCTGAAATGTACAGACCCCCCTGAACTTGGTTTGTCACGGTTCAGGGTGCTCTTCCCAGTCGAACCTCACCTGCCATGGGAGTGACTGCCACGTCACACTAGCGTTGTTTACAGCTACTCACATATACATACTGTCCGTAGCTTCACCCAATACAACCTCAGTTCAATCCTTCAATATTTCCGCACATGCGTACTGATCACTCACGACCCACACCGCGACATGGTTCGCGACTGCGACAGACTGATGTTATGTAAGAATGAAGGCTTCTAAGTGGATGTTTCTATCTTGGTTGACAGAATTGACAATTTGATACATGTCCTGCAGGGCAACAACGTGGCGAACGGTCACTCACAAGGCTGTCCGCCCTCATGAACCACGGTACGTACCCACTGCACGCATCACTGTACCAAGGTCAGGGGGGTATGTACATTCTTGCAAGCACCGATACCCTATTTCGACTCTTGTAATCTTTTCGAAGTGGCTGATCGTAGTGCTTAAGCTAAACCGATACTATTAAAAGCTTCCAACAAAAGTCTTCAAAGCTCCGCAAATAAATAAACCTTCTTTGGTGCATATGCAATTTCCAGCCTCTGAATTCATATATTGGCCCTTTATATGTTTCCCGTAGAGCCTCCCAGGACGGATGGTAACGATCATAAGCCGCAAGATTTTTGTCCGCCACAAAGGGCGTCGAGTCGTACAGTTCGGGGTGTTCGTTCTGTACTACGACTACCCTCTGCGTTCAAAATCAACTCCTAGGTTCCAGGGCGTACCGAGCCTTCTGACGTTCAACGCCTATGGTAGACGTGCTTATCAGGAACGATCGCAGTCTGACGCTTAGTACGCCACACATGACTTTGACACATCTGGCAACTACCACTTCTTGGATGATCCAATACGAGTCCAGTACGGTCTGTTCTCGAGATAACGAAGACTGCCTATGAGTGCAGGGTCTAGGAGAAGGCCACAACCTTCCACTGATCGTCGAACTTTCAATCATTGCGGTGATGTTCAATAACATCCAAGAGTCGGTCAGTGCCATGATGGCTTGGGCCAAGCCATACTTCGATCGCTCTACTGTAGATTGATCTCATCTGGCTCACCTGATGCGATCTCTCGTCCTTGCTGCTCTGATTGATGCATAGCGCATTGATCCATAGGACGTCTAATGGATGTGTAACTCTTAAATGTAGAAGAGCCTCGTGAGAATTTGCAGTAACGTGGAAAGGGTGTCCATTGAGTGAGATCAACTTAGGTAAAATGTGTCATCCCAAGCGTAAGATAACGTGTTCCACCAGTCATCCGCCAATGCCATTCATCCACCAGCCCCACCAAAACCAACGCAACTCAGCGTACAATTGCTCTACAGCTACATATTCATTCTGTCCCAAAACTTGACAGATAACAGACTAGATTGATTTACATTGAGTTCTGTTATGACCATGTATATGGCATTTACTACACGTTGGTGGTGCCTGCTGACATGGCTGAGCAGGCTGGGCCTGGTCCTCCTATTCAACCACTACATCAGCCTGTAAGTCTAGCAATCGACCTTGCTCAACCTGTAGAGCTCCCCCACAGGCTACATACTGTCTATACTTTTGACGCTTACATTGTTGGCGTTGGTTAGAAGCACGTAGCTTTGTATTCTCTTAAGCTGGGATTGGTGCTGATTGCATTGCAAGCTGACAACCTCTGATAAGCTGAGACATAGCTTGACTAGTTGGACTCTGTGACTCATGCTTGAGGAGATCTTGTATGAGATGAGCCTGATGCTGAAGCTGATCAATTGTACACGGTGTCTCTGCTGTCCACACATTGTGTTCTGCAGCTGTCCCTGGCGGAGATAGTGTTCTGACAACAGTGAGGTTGGATAGGACGCGTTCTGGACTGGGTGGGATAAGTCCTGTTGCTTGAAAGCCAGCCATGATATTGTTCTCTGATAGTGCTGACAGCCTGATCTTCTTATATATGTATAGGAAGTCAAGCTTATCTACGTGATAGACTCCTTCATGTGCAGGCTCAGACACCTTGTGTCCATACAATACCTTAAGAGGAGAGAAGCAGCCAACGTCAAGAGGCTAGAGGAGGTGTGAGGTGGCATGCAGAGAGTGATGATCTTGTTGTCTACCCCCTCACAATTGCCTGGCTGAACAACAGTAGCGCGACCAACAGTGTCAGAGCTAGTGACAACCTTTGACGTTGAAGCTACACCCATCAGGAATCCAGCCTCATCAAAGTTGTACACATCCTCATCAAGTAATGCCTTACGTGTCTCCTCTACTAGCCTGAACTATGCGTTGATCCTAATACCAATTTGAGTATCAAGCGCTGCAATATTGCCAGCCCACGAGTCCGCTAAAAGCAGCGTACGCTCATCCAGCCTTGCAAGCCCATTGATCATACTCAATCCCGGAGTATCAGCCATCTTCCCAAATTCCGCAGCTCCATGCTTGATCGTCAGGTCAATCGACCACACGCTGAACGAGCCAAGAACAGGCGCATTCGCAGACGTATAATTGCCCGCCGCAACCGCGAAAATATTATCGCACGATTCAGTGATGTCGAGGATAGCGTTAACGCTGGGGATATTGGCAACGAGGAAGGCGGTTGAGGGTATGGTGAGAGGATTGATCATGTGTACTTGGGTCTGCCGATGACGCTGACTAGTAGCGATCCATTTCGCGTTGCGGCAATGTTCTCGAGCCATGTCGGTTTGGGAAGTTGGTGTACGATTCGAGTGTTGAGCGTATGGGTCGATGCGAAGTAGAAGGAGGCTGTGGCAGCCAAAACAGCGGTCAGGAGGGTGTTCATGTTGTTGGGGCTGGAAAGTGCAGCTCGATGTCTATGGTGGAGCTGGCAGGGAATTGTCTTTCCGAATGAGATTCAAGACTTCATAGTCTTAGCGATGAAAGAACGGGTGGTAGTGTCTAAAAGGTGAGCATCTGTGGTCTATTTGCAACCAGGTGAGACTAGAAGCATAACGTTATGCTCTTGTAGTCGCCTGCTGTAATGTTACAGTAACTTCGTCCGCTGAGCAATACAGAGCCCTATAGAAACAAGCTTTCTGCGTGTTAGGTTTGCGCGAAAGCTTAAATGGACTTAGTCTACCTCCCTGACGGTACGCTTGGGGTCAGGTCCATCACGACGTGCGATGGGTGTTGACCAAAACCACGGAGTTTAGTGGGTCAACGTGATGCGTGAAGTTAGGTGGATGACGAAACTGGCATTTGACTCGATGTCTTGGGATGTTGCTTAGCATGATGAAGTTTGGGTTGCCCATTGCAGGATCGTGAGGTAGGTCCGGTGCTGGCTGAAAAATGTTCGATTGTTGGTAAAATAGGACGCCTGAGCAACATAGGCGCGTGCGCTTCAATACATTTCTACTCCCTCAAATAGCCCAGATCATGCAAAACGCCAGTTCCGCGACGCGATGTCGCATGCAATATGTGGAAACAGTATGCAAGACTTTGTACAAGCTGGATACAGGGTTTGGCTTACTTAAAAGCCTGCCGCGAGCATGAGCCCGTAGCCAACGGTAATGATAACAATGAAGGTAATGATGGAGGCGGGCACACCACGGGTGAGGAAGTGTTTGACCTCAAGGTAGCGTTGTCCAGTTCTCTGATCTTCCATCATAATGGCAGCTGTTACACGTTAGACCAACTGTGGTAATGAGCATCACTGAGGCTGACTTACTCATATTGGGGAAGCCGCTGGTAGGCAGACCCATAGCGCCACTTGCCATAAGTACAGCGCCCATGACGAGCAGGTTGGGGTGCGGCTCCGGCATGCTTTGACCAACCTGTTGTACAAGCGGGAGCACAATGAGCGCCGCAACAGTGTGGCTGATGAAAGTAGCGATGACGAGAATGAGACCGCAGAAAACAACAAGCACTCCGTACAAGCTCATACCCTCGACACTACTAGTGATGGACTCGGCAATGGTGCTGAGCAAGCCAGAGGAGTTGACAGACTTGCCAAGGGCCAAGCCGCCAGCAGCGAGGATAATGATGGTCCACAGGAAGTTGTTGAAGTCTTCCTTCGTGAGGATACCAGTACCGAAGAATAGCACAAGAGGAATGATAGCCACAACGCCCATGTCTCCGAAGATGTCCTCGAGCTGGTGACTCACGCACCAAAGTGCGATAGTAATCACGGTAACGATGCTGATGAACCACTGAACTCCAGTGAATTTATCCTTCATAGGGCGGATAGGCACGATGGTTGTGCCCTTGCCTGGCTGGAAGGTAACGACCAACAGACCCCAGATTAGAAGAATAGAGATGATGCACACAGGCAAAGCGATGAAGAACCAGATACCCCAAGACGGCTCAGGATTCATGTTCTGAAGCGCGATGAGGTTCTGAGGCGAGGCGATTGGCGATGCAGCGCCACCGATGTTGGACGCGAGGGCGATACCCAGGAGTAATGCCTTGGTCATGTTGGAATCGGCGGGTAGGTTGCGAAGAATAGGCTAATTTTGTTAGTACACATTCAGAAAGACTATAGGTCGTAAACATACCTGAATGATCGAGAAGCACAATACAGGTGCAGCGACGTTACTGATCCACATACTAGCAAACATGGCGACGAACATGTTGGTAAGAAGGACAGTCCTCGGCTTCGTTCCAGCCTTACTCAGAACGAAAGTGGCCATCATCTTGGCGATGTTGTACTTGGAAAGCGCAGCTGCGATAGTGAAGCCTCCGAGAAGCAGCATGATGACGGGTGACCACATGGCAGCAAACACATAGCCTGCTGCAGCCTTGGAGCCGAGTCTTTTATGCGGCTCAACATCGCTACGTACGACATCGAGAGTAACGGCGAGGAACGGTACAAGGAGTGACGTGACGAAAAGCGGTATAGCCTGTATTTGTTAGCACATGCAACGATTGATGGCGATTCTAGCCTTACCTCAGTCGCCCACAGGGCACTGACAAAGATTACCATCGCAAGGCAGTTCTGCTGTTCTGGCTTCTCCATAATGGGTACCACCAACAGAACAACAAACACTGCTATGCAAGCGACCAGTGTCCAGAAGGTCTTGCTGATCAGCCATTGCGGGCATCTGTATCTCCCAATGGGTGTGACAACCTCCTTGATCTCAGGCTCATTGTCATCTCCCTGTCTTCGTACCCGGCCTGCGTTGACATCGCGGCCAAGTAGAGTCTGTGTGATGCCAATGTTCGCAGCTTGGGCCTTCCTCTCGATACCAATCATCTCCCTCCAGACTGTGTTCCGCTCCCACACCACGTGCTCTCGCAGGTGCAACCTCAGCTCGCGCTTGGCCTCTGCGACATCGCCCTTGGTGCAAATTTGGGAGTAGGCGTGCTCGACGTGCTTCAGCTTCAGCGTAAGCTTATCCATGGTGCTTTGCTGGAATGGGTATGCGGGGTACACATATTTGTTGAGGTATTGGCTCTTGAGCTTGCGATCCAGGATCTTGTCGTACTTCTTTAGAACTTTCTCGAAACCAGTCTTATTGAGCTGGATGAAGGATCGAAGTTCGCACAGCGATACGTATACGCTGACAGTTCGCTTCTTAAGAGAAACACCCTCGTCATACAGCGCCGAAAATGCCATGTCGTTGTAGTCATCGAAGGCTACACTTGCTCTGCGCTTCGAGGAAACACCATCTGAGTTCATGTTCTCGTCTGTAGTTCGTCGCCGCCTTCGTTGGCCATCAGGGCTCTTCTGTCGCAGTCTCGAGGTCTCGTTTGCATCGACGTCGGAATCGTCGTCGTCGTCGTCATCGTCATTGCCGTCGCCCGTTGAGCGGCCGCTTACTGTGCTCATTCCCCGTGGGCGATTGAAACCGATCTGCTTGAACATGCTGGTACTGCGCGTCTGCTTCCCCGGCGGCGCATCTTGCTGCTCTTGGTCGAGCTCCTCTTGCTCACGCTCATAGTCTGCCTCGTCGTTGATCAGGGCGTCCAGCTCCCCGTAGATCTCAACTTCCTTCAGCTGGTAGAACGATGTGACCTTTTCCAGTTCAGCATCGAGAAGATTGGTGAAGGCTTTGTCTGGGTCGTCGGCAGCGCCGTTCAACAACGGTGACGATTCGGCATCGGTGGTCGCAGTGTTCTTCTGGTTGATCTGTGTTTCAAGGTTGTAGATCCTATACAGCGCATTGCTTGTCAGCCTCTTCACTACCAATTGAAGCGCACCCAAGCTCCTCCACATGCAAGACGTACTGCTTCTTCAGATTGCTGTAGGCGACATAATGGTTGCTCCAGTCCGGCACCGCATTGAACTGCAGGCTGTGGGAGAACTTCATCTCGTCGGCCTCGCGAAGCTGCTCGAGCTTCTCCCGTCTCTTGCGCTCTCTCTTACTCTCTGGCGCCCGTACTGGGTTGCTTCTCTCCTCTTTGGGTAGTTCGTAGAGCTCAAAGGCTTGCTCGGACAGGCTCTCGCGGTAGGCTGCAAAGCGGTCCAGGGTGGAAGCTGGGTGCAGAATAGGAAGAAAAGAGCGTCAATGCGGAGCACAGGTGCGGGAAGACTAGGGCATTCGTGCAGATGGTGATCTAGGTCAGGTGCGAGAACGGCCCTCGGAGTGCAGCCAAAAACAATTCAGGTCGCCGGCGATTGGTGGGTGGTGGGGTGGTGCAAATGGTGGTTCTCTGGTGCCCACCTGAACTAGACTGTGACGTGTGTCTTCGAGGCCAAGGGAATCTGCCCGTGCTAAGATGGTTGGCTGTCTGGGCGCACCGCGCTGCCACACCTCCAGGCAGATGCTCATCTCAGTATCGCAAAATCAATGTTTCACTCCTCGCGAGGACCGCATTCTCTCTGTTATAGTTCACGGCATTCTTGAGGGAATGAACGGTGAGCGGCACACTGCCTTAGCATATGCAAGTGGGGCCGCTAGAAAGATATTCAACTGAGGCTAGCTGTTCACGCACAACGAACGTCATGCATCGCGACCAGCCTCAAATTTGCACGCTCAACCAGGTATCGGGTACCCACGGTCGCGGGAAAGGGATTTTTGGAGGGGTTGCAGCCTTGCTGATGGATCTGGTCGTTGTTCGCTGAAGTGGAGATGGCAATCGTGAAGCGTTGCACGAGGCAGGTACCCTTGAAAACCACAAAGTGACTCGCCGGGAGGCAATCAGGGTGAGACTCGATACAGCGAGACAAGTCAGCTTTGTAGCTAAGCACACGACGTTCAAGTACTGACACAACACGATGCGAGGGCGTGAATGATTGTATTGCTACCTGTCGCCAGATACTGCAACCAAATTGTTGCATGTGATTGAAATGTGAAAGTAGACCGCAGTCTCGTGTTCTCCGTGTAACCCAAATGCCATTGGGTATATAACGCCGTGCAATGCTGCATCCCAAAATGCTCATGCATAATCATGAAATTCGTCCAAACAGGTTCTCGTAAATCGTTTTAAAACAGCCAATCCTTCCTTCACCGCGGCATGTACATGCCAGTCGTCATCATTGCAGATCCATAGCGGTCGTGGGCCTTGAGCATGTAACGCAAGAAGTTGAGGGCCTTGAGGTAGACTTTCAAAACCTTGCGGCGGCGGACCTTGTCGGCTTCGAGGACCTTGCGAAGCACGCGGCGAACAGAGGTTGCTTTAGCGGTAGTCATGCGCGCAAACTGAATAACAGTGCCCTTGGCGGTCTTTGTAGTGAGCTCTGGTTCACCGATGGAGATATCAGGAATGAAAGCCTCGGGCACATCCTGCGACGCGGAGTCGATCTTGGTGAGTGACGGCCTGACGGGTTTGGTTTCGGTCTCGACGTCTGATTCACCCTCGAACTCGGCGGCCTCAGTGATGCTGCCCAAGATGGGCTCAAATGCGGGTGATCTCGGGCTGCACTGGTAGGAGTCGTAGTCAAAAGACATTTTGTCAGAGAGGGAAGTTCGTTGTTCTTTGTTGTTCCTTCGCGGGGTTGATTGTGGAGAAGTTTGTGGGTAAGAGTTGCGTCGGGAGGAAGGCGCGTTGGTGGGTTGGCGAGTACGAGGTGAGGGCGATGTGGATAGAGAGTCCACGAGCCAAGCGAGCACAGATGGAGTTGGAGAAGTGAAGGCAGCGGGAACTGTCTGTCGTCCAGATGCGGAAGGTACGCGAAAGTCGCACCTTGGCGGTGAAAAGAGCATCATCGTGCACAAGTACTACCTAGGTACCAGCCAGCGATCCACAACGACATCAACGGTCGTCTGGAAATAAAGGAGAAGAAGGGAACAGCCAAAAGAAAAACCGGAGACGGCGTGTCAGTGGGTATATACTGTGGGCCACCCCGCATAATTACAAGGGCGGGTAGCGGGCGAAAAGACCCTTCTTTTAGCATAATCATGACTGTGATCGTGTGGTCTAGCGACGTTTGCCTTGAGACAACACACAGCCGCACGCGACGTCTGCATTCCTCAGTCATCCACGCGTCTTAGCCACGTTGGCTGGAAGTAACCAGTGGCGTGAGCCGAGTGCGTTTACAGCAAACGCGCCTCCAGACCGTCTGGCGCACTTGAAATACTAGAAGAGAACGAGAGCGATTTAAGTGTCCCATGACGTCGCATCTGAGAGTTCGATCGAGAGATCCAGGCATTCTTGACAAGAGCCGGCGCTCTGTGCTAAAAACGTGCGCTAAGACAAGAGCCAACCAGATGACATGCGTCGCTTCCTTTCTCGCGAGAGAGCAGCAGTTCACACCACTTCTTCAGCCCTTGGCCTGAACACCCACCAAGGAGAAGTACCGCGCGCAGCAACCCAATCGATTACAATGGCATCGACGAAGGATTTCAGCTGATCACAAGGCTTCTCTCGCTTCTCAGCTTACAGCAAGCAGGGGGGTGTTTGTGCTGCCTCCTTCACTTGCCGCCTCACCAATCGAGTTGGCACGCGACATCCTCGGCCTGCGCTCGTCCTGCACACCCCAGGGGAGGTGCATAAGAAGTACCTGTGGTATTTCCTTATTATCGTGCTATGCGTTGGGGATCTGAAATCTGAAATACATGCACGTAGATACCTGCTGAGCTCCATCGATTCCCCGCACGAGCGTCTCATACGCCTTGCTGGAAAGCGGAGTTGTCGTACGAGATAACGCTCATTGTTTGGTCAAGACACTGACACTAACACTGACGCTGTTTGATTCGCATCTCTTTTGCTCTCACCTTTCCTTCTAAATCACTTCTTGTCTTTCTACACACGACTTTGCTTCTTTTATCAACAACGCATACCCCGCCATCACTGGGAACAACATCGCCAAGATGGCCCGCTACACCAGGAAACAGATCGTCACGTTCATCAGCATCGTATACCTCGTCTTTGCGACTGCCATGGCTGGGTAAGCTGATCGTGGTACTGCAGCGTCTTTGGCTCACTCTCCCAGTTACGCAGCGTGCCGTGCCAACCGCCTCTCCTTACCCATATCTGACACGCTCACCGGCTTTGCAACCGCTCTTCCTGTCATATCTGGTATCCTCCTCGAGTGTGGTTACGATCTGACGCGCCGCAAAGAGCGTCGCGCTCACATGGAGCGGGGCGAAATCCAGCGCCCACCTTTCGTGATCGTAGCCAACTTCATCATCTTCATCTACTCGACCGTCGTCATCACACTTCTGGGAACGCATGCGGCCCCGCCTTCAGAGCTGGAATGTGGGCTGCGACGGCAGTGGCAGTCGCTGTTCAGGAGCAAAGATTCGAGCGCCATCAGGACGATTCAAGACCAGTACAATTGCTGCGGGTTCGCCAACTCGAGAGACATGGCTTGGCCGTTTCCAGACAGAAGCCACGAACCAGATGCTTGTCAAGAGTCGTTCGGAAGAACGAACGGTTGTCTAGGTCCGTGGAAGGCTGAGGAACAACATGTCGCAGGCTTGTTGATGGGCGTTGTGGGTTTGGTGGTCGTTTGGGCGGTCCGTGTCTTCAAGCTCAAACTTACATGCATCTACTGACATTGGTCTAGTTCGCAATCATCGCCATCCCGACTCAGCGCGAGTCCTGGCTCCACAAGATCGCCCCAGAACAGATCTCAGACTTCATTGCCCGTGAAGAGCACGGCAGTACTGGCGACCGACGCCGCATCAACTACCTCCCAGACACAAACCACTACACCGACCGTATTCAGGAAGAAGATGGCGAGACGACACCGCTGAGCCCGGAAACTCGACGTGCCCTAGAGAGCGGTCGTGCTCAGATTGGCACTGGTCTGCCAGGAAACGTTGCCATGGACGCACCGGCAACAGATGAGTGGGCACGGGAATAGCCTGATCGGTTCGATCCACACGCCTCTTTAGGAGACACTCTACGAACGTTGGTATTGGGGTTCAACAAAATGAGCATGATTAGGATGGCGTTTTGGGGCGCTTCACTTTGTCAGACTGTTACACAGGAATGGATACTACGGTCGATGCCTCCGATTTTTCTAAGTTGCACAGACGGCACTAATCGAGTCATCTTTCATCTCCAGAGCTATCGTACATTGGACATCGTGCTCAGGTCATCGTACAATCATCAGCCATTTTCAGACTCGTCACCATCTCAACCCCTCTTCACCCCATCTCACTTGACCTCCTTCTCCAACCAGTTCATCACGCCAGCAACACCTTTCTTCGCCTTCTCCTTGTGCGACTTCGCCGTCTGCGCCTCTTCTTCCTTGTCCAGATCAGACATTGACTTCATCTTCTCGGCAGGCACAAACTGGTTTAACGTGGAATTAGTCGTCGACTTTGCAGCAGCGTAGTCGTATAGCGTACGGTGCAGCTCGGAGATCTTTAAGGACGTGGCAGATGTTGACTTGGATGTCGTGCGTGAGTTGGGGGGGGGGGGCGTCGGGCGTGCCGGTTGTACCGATGGAGATGCGGCGCGGCATGAAGGTGGCGACAGGGCACAGAAAGGAGGGATTTGACGTGGAGTGGTGGTGGTTGGAGAAGACATGGTGTTGTTGCGGAGGTGTTTTAAGTGGTTTTCGATACTGTAGTCTTCAAGGTGTCTCTGGATGAGTAGCGAAAGATTTAGTCTGGAGGGTATGTGAGGGTATGAAAAACATTCTGTATATACAATGCTGACTTCCTCCACAGTGCGGTCAAAATCAGAGCTTGATTTTGTCTACTCCCATTGCCCACGTTGGTGGCATTGTGATGAAGTGAATGGCACTGTGCGAAGCAAAGGTGCAAACAGTGTACAAGAAGGCACGTGGAGGAGGTGCGACACATTCACCTGGCAATCCAATATGAGAAGATTGGGAGTACTTATACTTTGGGTGAGGTACAAGAGCAAGCAGAGCATGATCACACACAAAGAGCTCGTGGTGAACGAGGACAAAGAATTGCATGCTGCAGAACAAAGAGATTACAGAATCATCCAAGAAGACTAGGATTTTGATGTGACAGCGGTGAACTTCTTTGAGAAGTCCTTCACAGCTGTAGACTGTTGACATAGACGCGTAGTGGCGATGTAGCGGACGTCATTTGTTCGTCGTCTTGTACTCTGGGGGGATGTAGCTGTAAGTTACCATAAGCGATTTTTATCTTGGTTTTGTGGAGAGGCAAAAAGAGTAAACCAGGTCTTTGTATGCCTTTTCAACAAGCAGAGTTCGCGCATAATAGGTACAACGGTCGCCAACAACCTTTGCGGATGTTTCAGTCACCGGATGGAAACGAGATCGATTATCATGTCTCAAAGTCAGGTAGTGCATTAGCTTTGAACTATCAAGACAATCAGTGAGAACTCTAGAAAGAATTAAGAGGGCGAATGCAAAATACAATATCTCGACTAATTGAACAATTATGTATGGCTCAGTAGACCACATACAACAACCCCTTGGGATACAAAAGTTCCTATCACAGTTCAGGGTGCTCCTGCCTATCAAACCTCACCTGCCATGAGAGTGACTGCCACGTCACACTAGCGTTGTTTACAGCTACTCACCTATATGTACTGTCCGTAGCTTCACCCAATACAACCTCAGTTCAATCCTGCAATTCTTCCCATATGCGCACTATCCACGCTTCCCGACAGTTCCTCAATCGACCCAAAGAAACCCACTATCTGAACCCCCTACTCTTGTACGAGAATCAGTACACCAACAGTTTGACCAGATCAGTTTGACCAGTAATAGCGTTATTGATGCCAGTGTCAGTGCAATTGCTGGCGTTTCTTCGGACTCAGTTGTTTCCCGCTGAAACAACCAAAGATGCGTTTACGCGACGCAGGCAGAGCAAGGCCTACAATTGACAGGAGAAGGGGAACGATGATGGCAACAATACCAATGATAGCCTAGCCAACCACTGTAGTCCAACAACCATCTTGGCAAGGGTTTTAGCTGTCGTCGCCCACTCGACATGCCGCCCGACTTACCTCAAGGGGGCGATGCACAACTGTATGACAAAATCCGGCGGGTAATCCAGCTTGCCCGCTGTTGCAACGAGGGTCCATCTACTAGAAAAAACCCGTGAGGTGAGTCCATAAGGAACATGTCATGAATTGCAATTTGCTGTCAGGAATACCATCCGCTTGGCCTACAACCTGCTCCTGATTGCCATGAAGCTGGGATTTAAACTTTCGCCAAATGGAAAGCGGTGAAGGCCGCCCGCACAACAAAACAGTAAGACAGCAGCCACATCATCGCTACAATTGCGCGCCAGCGGTGCGCATCCTTCCCTGACTCGATTTCAATATCTCCGATGGAAACAATGAGTGTCCAAAATTCCTTTTACGAGACCGCGCTCTCTTGTGTGGCTGGCTAAATAGCAGGCGATGATCAAGATAGAGGCATAGTAGAAGATGTGGTAGATGAAACTCTGTTCTTCGCCTTGTAGCCTAGGGTATACAACTGGAAGTTACTATGAACAACTGCTAATTGCAGTCTCGTACAAAGAGAGAGGGAGACACAAATTGTAGTCTTCGTGACGTGTTACGCACGCAGTTTTCGTGTACAGCAAGCTATAGTTCATCAAAAGCTACGAAGGCAGCCCTGAAGCTACTGTTTCAGCCCTTGCGACGGTGCTGAGCTCGCGTCACGCATTCTCTTTATTTCAAAAATCGGCCTTGAAAATCAAGAAAATAAAATTTAGTGCATTAGAAGTCATGAATCGTAAATCATCGGTGCCCCTTTCCCCCTCTCTCCCTCCCTCCTCTCCTATCGCCCCAACATTTTTTCTACAAAGCCATGGGCGAAATCTTGTTCCGTCCACTCCCAAGGTGACGCTCCTCATAAGCGCGACTAAGAAGGGCTGGAGCAAGAAGAGTTGTCGTGCGTAGAAGTGCGATCGTGGATAGATGCCGATCAAAACCCTCCTCGTCTCATTCGTGAACGTTCGTTGTATTCCTCTTGCTGCCGTATGCGGGTTGCCGTTAACTCATTGAGAGGCAAAATCGTAGCTGTAATAACGATAAGCTTTTACCAGCATGATGAACGATGACAATCCATACCTTGACGCTTAGCTTTCCAACTTTTGTACTTGGGTAGTACAAATCTATCCAAGACAAATGCTAGGAAAGCCAAGACCCCAGCTATGGAGCCTACGATAGTCCACTTATGTGTCGAGGTCTCGACATTGTTATTGGGCGATTGTCGTGAAACAAGCTTTGCAGTAGGGTCCGTCGGCGTTGACAAAGCCCAGCTTGGAGCGGCAAAGATGAGTGATGTCAAGATTAGGTAGAAATGGTTCCACTCCATGTTCGGGTGTATGTTCTGCATGACTTCTGATTGCAGCTAGACTGAAAAAAGAAGAGGCTGTGTGAATGGTAGCGCCGCGATGAATCCACATGGAAGGCGGGATTCCAGGGCATAGGTATATTGTCGAACGCTTCGAGGAGGCTGTGTACATCTTGCCTCACCCAAGCGTTGCTTGGCTCTTGGTGCATCATTCGCCATCTACCTTGAAGACGAACACCTAACGTCTTCATTTCCAGCCTCCCTGGGCATTGCGCCCCACGGGCACTCTGCGGACTAGACGGCCAAGGTTGTTTCAAAGGACTGTGAGCGGGGCATCGCCATGAACTGCATATTCGCCGAATCCTTGATCGCTGTTGCTGTGATCGTGACAGCAAACGGAGACCGCCCAGAGGTACTAGATTTCTCGTTGGAGGATAGACTCTCGAATGAGATGCCCAGTCGAAACAGACTGTGGTTGGATGTTAGAAGTGCTAAGTCGCCGTCATGAACTCTTCGCTGCAGTCTATTGACGAATCACTGTACACTTGCACTTCAAGGCCAACTTCGCCGAAGTGGACGGTGCTGGATGGGCTCACTCATTGTGCCCCACGGTGCCTTCGCGTGGCTAGTCTGACCGGATTGTAAGACATCACGAGTGGGGCGTTGCTGCGAAATGAAAGGGTTTGAAGGAAGTTGTCAACCGTTGCCATGATCATTGCAGTTCTGTTCGAATGCTAAGAGATGACAATTCTCTGTCTTGAGGAATACGGCGTCGAGACTTGCATACCAAGGACGACAAGCCGCCGGCGTGCCTTGACGGGGGCAGTGCAAAATTGTGTGATAGCATCGCAGCGGGGAGTTGTGGCAACTGTGAGGCTGAGTCCGTGGGCGTCAGATTTCAGCATCCTGCCAGGATAGCTTTCACCAATCATAGCTGTGGCACATCTGTCGCGAGTCCTGAGCATTGCGTCTGCAGGCTCACCAGAACGGGGCTGTACTGGCTCAGGATCTTACAAGTAAGCATCGTGAATTGATCTTGTACAGTTTGTACAGAAAGCGGACGACTGAAGGGTGTAAACAGGGAGGTGACAAAGATCAGGCTACTATAGAGCTAGACAAGGCTGGCGGCCACTTATAGGTCGACCTTCGTGGCGCAAGCTCTGGCCTCTGAGGCTTAGCAGAGCACCTGAACTGCAACTGGCTCTGCCCGTGTTGAGCAGGGCACGTGAGTTCGAGGCAACCGCGGGACTGCTAGAAGTTAGATGGGCTTTTAAGACAACGGCCTTCGAAGAGGCTTGACCTGATGCAAGCAGCCGAATTTCCAAGCATGCAGGCTCAGCAACAATGCACCTTCTTTGCCGAGCGTTTCTCCAGTAAGAGAATGACGCAGATAAGAGCACTTGCAAAGGTTCCTCAACGTAGAGTGGAAGCATGTGACACGTACACAAACCGTGTATAGCCGCGAGAAAACGGATCTCACCAATGTCTGGGGGGTGAAGACCCAGCCACACACCTCAGGAAAATCAGCTAAAAGCATTTCGACTTGAACAGAAGGTGGTGCTGTGGCGGGTAAGCATCGTGGCTGCTTGAAGCACGAATGGTTCCTGCGGTTGATTGTCGGCCCGCCATGCAGGGCAACAGCTGGGGACAGCAACGTACGCTACGTCGTCACAACACAACCTCACATCCACACATTTGCGCGCCATGCTCGTCTCTCTCACTGTCGGCAAGGTCGACGCCGGTGTCGCGGTGCTTCTGACCGAAGACAAGCGCCTCGTACGCGTCCCAATGCCTCGCAGCAGTCCACCACTGCACAGGCGCATCCCTGCAATTCACCCGTACAGCTGCTGACCCTGGCGCAGATCGAGTTCCCCTCCATTCTCCTGCCGCCGGACATTTCCTCGGGCAGCATAGTCGACATCGACGTAGCGCGCAACATCAAGGCCGAGACCGATGCCGCGACTGCCTTCTACGAGCTCCAGTCTGAGATCTTCCGCACATTCGGCCAGAGCACTCCCTCAGCACCTGTCCTCCGCTGTCGCAATGCCACCCAGACCTCAGTCGTCCTGGAATGGGACCCCGTAGACGTTGCAACCGCCGAGCTGCGCAGCCTCACCCTGTACCGCAATGGCAACAAGGCGGGCACCATCCCCAACCCCAAGGAGGTCCACAGCACGAAGCTCAGTGGACTGGGTGTCGATACTGAATACGTCTTCCATCTGGTGCTCAAGACCAGCGCGGGTACATTCAGCAGCGAGAAGCTCACAGTCCAAACACACAAGATGACAGATCTGTCTGGCATCACAATCACACCCGGCCACATGCCTTCCGCTCTCCGCTCGTCGCTGCAGCGCTCTGTTGAGAGAATTGGCGCCAAGATCGCGGACACAGTCCGCATCGACACCACACATTTCGTCTGCACAGAGGGGCGAGGGCCGGCATGGGAGAAGGCTGTGGAGAACAACATCCCCGTCGTGGTGCCAGACTGGGTCATTGGCTGCGAGAGAGATGGCAGGATTGTGGGCGTTAGAGGTTACTACCTGAACGCCGACCCACGGCTACGGACAGTCAGTCAAGGGGGTCCAGCACCACAGCAACAACCGCAGCAGCAGCAAGCACAACCCCAGCAAGCACAGCCGCAGCCACCACAGCCACCCCAGCCCAGAAGTCCAATTCAGAGCCCGCGAACAGAAGTCACACCGCCCACCCCCGAGCGACCTACACGAGAACGCGAATCAGACAGCGCAGCACCCCCTCCACCACCGCCGAAAGATGATGCGAGCGAGCGAAGCGTGTCACCCGCGCCAGAGCCGAAGACCCAGTCAGAACAAGACGAGCAGAAGGCCAAGCCTGAGGATCTGAAGTCACAGCCAGGGAAAGGAGATGAGGAGGTAGTAGACTCAGAGGACGAGCAGCCCGTAGGCGGTGATGTGAAAGAGGTCGAGGCGGGCTTGCCGAGCAGACCAAAGGCAACGGTCGAGGACGACGAGGATGGGGACGATGGGGACGATGGGGCGAGCTTTCAGGAGGTGGCATTGTGAGCGCGTATGGGTGCACGATTGACAAACTTGAATGGAGCATGGCATGCGTGCGAGCGAGTCATGAGTTTTGGTTCAAGCCAGCAACAATGATGATGATGATGTACCAAGTCATGGATCTCGTCGCCATACAGCTTCAACTCTGATCCAACAGCATGCTGATGGTTATAGTGCTGTACCCCTTGGGGCTGCCAGCCGAGGGTGAGTAACGCCGGTCCTTACCACTAGGCTTATCGGCTAGTCAGAACAAGCCGTGTGCGAGTGTCAACAGCGCCTTCCCTGGATATCTAACGCAGCATAGGCCCACTCGGAACTTGCATCGAATCCTCCGCAAGGCGACCACAACACCTCCAATGTAACGTACTCCCGGCCTTCTGATTGGCCAAGCTCGCATAAGTCGCGCTATGGTATGAACTGTGGGGCCAAGAGCAAGGATACTCGTAAGACACACTAGGGGACTGTCCGTCATTTGAGAGCGGACTACAAGTACCGTCCGTAAGACTGCTGTTGTTGCATACGCAAGCTGTTGCCCTCTCCTGTAAAAGTGCGGCAAGATGACGCCGACCATGCCGTCCCTACAACTTCCACCCCTCTTCGCCGCCCTCCAACTCCCCCTCCTACTTACAACCAACATTCTCGCCCTCACCATTGGGCCCCAGCACCGTCTTCTCCAACTTGCCTTCAGCCTGCCCATCTGGACCGTTCTCGCAAGTCAGTCGCTGTACAGAGATTACTCGGGAGCATGGGGTATGCATTATGCGGTTAATTGTGGCGTTATGAGTTTGGCGGCGACGTATGTGGATTGGGTGGTGTTGATGAGTCCGGATCGGGAGGGGTGGGTCAAGTTGAGCTCCCGGATCGGCACAGTGAAAGGGTATGCAGATGGTGCTGAAGCGGCAAAGAACAGCGAGAGTGTTGTGAGTGATGGGCTTCCGAAGGATGACGGTGGTGTCGTCAAGAGCAATGGGGGTTTGAAGGGCAAATCAGCTGTGGTTGACGAGAACACGGCGGAGAGAACAGCACCAATAGGGCTCCGGAGCAGACTATGGTGGGCGATCCGACTCGCATGCACGTACCGGTACACAGGCTGGTCATGCGAAGTCAAGAATGTGCCCGTTGAAGTCGATGCTGGGTATCCGCGCTGGTATGTCCCCACTCTTTTCTCATCCGCCTCTTCCGTCTCCCATGACTGCAAAGACGACGGCGACTGACTTTCCCAGGCGTTTCCTCCTCCGCAAGACACTCCGAGCAGCACTCTTCTATCTCGCCAAAGACGCCATATTCGCCTACACCGCCTCATCACCGCACGGGAGCTGGGCTGACATCGCTTCTATCAAGCCCGCGCACAGCTACACAAACTACCCCTTCTGGCACCGTTTCTGGTTCTCCTCGGCACACATCGTGCTCACGTACGTGTCGCTGGAACTGTACAACACCGTAGCCGGGGTCGTAAGTGTAGCGCTAGGATTGGCGAAGCCGAGTGAGTGCCCAAGTGCATTTGGCGATTTGAGGGGTTTGTGGAGCGTCAGGAGGGCGTGGTCGTAAGTTCTTGTTTGTTGTGTCATGGGAATGGAAAGCGCTAATGAAAATAGGAATGTGTGGCATCAGCAGTGCCGGCGAATTTGCTCCGCGCCAGGTGTGTTGATCGTGAGGGACGTCCTGCATTTGCGCAAGGGATCTTTCGCATCGAGGTATCTGCAGTTGTTCATTGGGTTTGGCATCTCGGGTCTCGTGCATGGTGGTGCTTCGATGCTCTACCATAGGTCATTCAACGATGATGGGGCGATGAAGGTCTTCCTTTTGCAAGCTGCCATCATCTCTGTTGAGGACCATCTGATCGACCTTGGTAAGCGCATTGGATTCAAAGACTCGCTGTTCTGGCGTCTCGTGGGTCTCGTCTGGACGGTCCTTGCTGTTGGTGCGAGTATGGAGAGCTGGACGGGCTTGCTGTTGGAGCATGGTCTTTGGGTACACAACCGGGAGTCGGACTGGTTTGGCATTGGACCGAAGATGTGAGGTATGACTACGAGGTACCCTAGAGGAGCCTCCTCAGGAGTCTGAATGCTACACCCCAGCTTCACATAGCTGTTCCTGTATGAGATTCACATCTCCTGATGGGATGCCCCAAGGAGGTTCCAGAATCTCAATCATAACTGATCATCGATGGCCATGCTCTATCGTCCGAGTTTGCTCGCGCGAACGTGCACCTCAATGCTCGAGTCAACAAAGGAACATTCATTCCTGGAAACAGTACTCCTGATCATGCCTCCAAAGGTACTGTGAGCTATGACGCATAGCCAATGTACGTCGAGGAATCACATCTCAACGTAACAATTTTATACCAGTCGAATCCTCTGTGTACTTTTCTTTCCTCTCTTGACCAAAGCTGCAATTTCGCCGTTCATATAGCCATGGAGGTAGCCCTCGCCAATGACCTGCCACGCATCTTGTGACGCCTCCTTTCGCAGCACGAGCGGAATGCCGCACCCATACAGAATAGCCACAATATCGCCTGGTCTGGCACGACACGGAGCCATACCGACGACACCCTCTTCGGTGATCATTAACCTGCATGCTTTCTTTCGCGCTGTATCGTGAAAGCGTGACAGGAAGGTGTCGAGCTTGTCGTTCAGCTGATGCATAGGATGCGAAGAAGGCCGGTGAAGTGTTGGCGGCGGCGACGTGACTTCAGAAGGGACTTGACCGACGAGGTCTTCCAATGTGTGGTCGCCAAACTTCAGCTGTTTGTTGTGCTCAAACCACGTTGAGAAGCTCCAGTCGACAGGGTCACCGTCGATGCAGGCGTGGCAATGGAAGAGGAAGTCGGTAACGTAGTGCACTGGTGCTTGGAAGCAGAGATATTTGTCTTGTCGATCAATAACGAGGGAACGTGCGATGGCCCCGAGCCAGTCCATAGGCTGCATAGTACCTCTTGGAGCATTGCGCTGTTGTTCTTCAGACTGCATCAAGTTGTGTCTAGTATCGCTACAAACGAAGCTCTGGCATCGCAGTTCCTGTGCGTCGAGCCCTCCAAGCCCATGTATGGTGTCTACTATGACACCATTGCAGCAGAGTTCTTTAAGGTCATCGGAGAAATGGATGTCCGCTTTCTTTCGCAGGTGCGACCCTGGAGCATCGTAGATCGCTTTCCAGCGGGTTGAATGAACTGGTCTGAAGTTTCCGATGTGTTCACTTGCACTTTGGCTTGCCATGAGCGGCACAGGAGAAGCGAAGTCGATCGTGGTCCTCCAGTCTGGGGCCCACGTTGGTACTGCATTGTCTGGGCCTGGATCTTTGGCTGCAGCATCTCGGCTGAACAAATGCACGAAGCAGACGATGTCCAGAGATCCATGTATGCTCCAGAACGAACGAACAAGCTTCGCAAATTGATGTTCGATACCGGTCGAATACTCGGCGGGTCCAACGAGTGCACGATCTTGTTCCGTGATCAAGCCGAGAACGGAGTATATGCGGTCTCTGCTATCGGTGGCGGAGTGGTTGCCCAGGTAAGCCATGATAGCGATGAGATTGATGCCGATCGAGGCTGGGTTCGTGTGCCACTGATGAATGCGGCGGCGATTGAAAGCACCATCAAACAGCTTTCGTGGTACGAGTTCGTGTTCAAACTCGTTACTGATGGTGCTGCAAAGGAAGATGCTGTAGATGGCACTCTTGAACCTTCCGCGACTGATGCTTGCCACACCGCAGTATAGCTTCGCTTCTTTGGAGAGGACGAATTCTTGCAGGGTCCACACACGTGTCCACCAAGGCCTCGCGAGCAGATTGCTGACAGCAGCACACTTGTCAGTGAACTCTGGGTTTTCAAGATTGCTGCGCATAGCATCGTCGTCCCCACGGAAGGCGATTTGCAGGCTGGAGAGGTAGTGCAGGAAGTCGATTGCATTCGTGCAGTCGCTGCCGTCTTCCTTCTCTTCACCAAGCCAGATAATCGCTCTTCTGGCTTGCCTGTAGATGTCCGCCATGATGCGCACTTGCTTCTCACGCTCTTGGGCATCTTGAAGGTTGATGCTCAGCGAGTCAATCCACCACCAGTCTGTGGGCTTGAAATCACCATGGCGCGTGACCATGTGTATGAAAGGCGTGAGGGTGCTGAGCACTGGGAGCGTTCCACTTTTCAGGTTGATAGCCGTTCCTGTATACTTGCGCTCGCCCCACACATAGCTGGCTGTGTAGTAATGAGGGGCGCTGGCAAGCGGGAACTTCTGCAATTCTCCAACAAGGACGCCGTCTTCAGGCTGCGAGAAGCGGAGGAGACGAATGGAGGTCTCGTCGACGGGTTCTGAGAAGACTGAAGCGTTGGCTGGTGGTGATGCGTCAACGTCCATAGAGGTGCATGTTGCAGGAGCAGTTGGACAAACGGCTGCAGGCGTGAGCGCCCCACCGCGCTAATTCACGGGAAGGGAGGTGTAGCGGCGATCTTTGAACTCGTGGGCGAAAGGCACAATCCAAATGCAATGTCAGAACAAGACTCTCGTGAAGATGTATGCATGATTCGTCTATTCAAATTCTTGGATCATACCGGGATATCATGCACCTCTACTCCTGGCCCCGTCATGCTCGTCATCTGTTTCACCTTGTAATTTCTTCCTCCACCACCTTAACTTTAGCCAATCGCCAGGTCCATCGTGATTGCTGCTGAGCGTTCCTCCTCCAAACCCCCAAATCCCGCTCCTGTGCGCGACAAGGTCTGAATCAGAATGATCGTCGTCGTCCGGATCAGGGTAATCGAGTAGTGCAGACGAGCTATCTGAGCGCTTCTTGCCCTGCGATGCACTGCGGCTTCGTTGTGAGCCTGCGCTGATGCCATCGAACCATGAGCGTCTGCGCATCTGGTCTAGCCAGGCTGACTGTGTGTTTTGTCGCTGTCGAGGAAGCGTGCCTGCTCTTGGTCTGCGGTCTGACTCGACAGATCGACGAATGACCGGCGAGGGCAGCGAATCTCTATCGTTCAGCTCGTCCCAGATCTCGCTCGTTTCCTCAGAGACAGTCATCCTCCTCCTTCTCGGTGGTCTGGGACTCGGTCGTGGGCTGCGGGTGTTTGTGTCTAACGTGGGGCTCTTCTTTGACCGAGACGTGATGGTGTATGCGGGTCCGGTGGGTGATCGTGTCAACAACGGTGTCCTTTCGTCGACAGACTTGCGCTTCGCTTGCTCGGTTGCAGCCCCGTGAAGGCCTGGTGTTGCTTCCTCGATGTCCAAAGCAGCGTCTGGTTCGTCGAGAGCGTGAGCGTGCAGGAGACCCAGACCAGGCTCGAGTGCAGACTGGGGCATTGGTACGTGTCCGGGATGCTTGGTTGATACGGGCGACAAGGGTTCCTCTTCGTTCTCTTCCAGCCTCCAGCTCAGGCAGACCACTCCTGCAAGCAGTACAACAGTGCCCAAAGCGATAAGGCCAGCATGCAAGTTCGACAATCGTTCGCTCTGGTGGAAGTAGATCAGGCCATCTATGATGGCGATAATGTTGTAGACACAGAAGACGAGGGGGTACAGCACGCTTGTACTGACGAGCTTCAGTCCACAGTGCATGTAGTACAGTTGCGTGAGGGCGAAGACCACCAGCCCTATCAGGATCACCCAGGACTGCCAGCGGTCGAACTGATTGTGGCGGTCGACGATGGTGCGCACCAGCAGCTCCACGGCGCTCTTTGCGATGAGCAGCGAATGCGCAGAGAGAATCCCGCTCACACAGCCGTAGAACATGCCCCGAACCAGACGCAGGCGCGGGGTTGCGCGGGGGTATATGTGGTGGAGGACCCAATTGGCCACAAGCAGGAGGACGACTACGATGCCGGTCACTATCATCCACACGATGAAGTGGTGTCGACCCAACAGCGCTAAGAGCTGGTCCAGGTTGTGCGAGGGTTCAGCGATGGCGCCGAAGAGCGCTATGAGCAGGGCACCGGCAGCGACGAGCATGGTGCCAATGAAGGAGTAGCGGGTGAAGGGCTCGTGGAGGATGATGGAGGCGCATATTGAGTTGAAGACGAGGCCGGATGCCTGCAGGGTGGAGAGGACGGGCAGCGGCAGGGTGGTGATCTGGATGGTGCTGCCCACCACGTTCGCCACGATGAACATGAGCATGCCCAGCTGCCATCGCCGGCGCTTGTAGGGCGGACGACGGTCATAGTCGTCTTCCTTCTCTTCTTCTAGCAGATGTGATTTTCGCTGCAGCGTCAGGCCGACGCTCTGGACGCTAGTGGACAGGAGGCCAACTATCACTCCAAGCTGGTACATGCAGTGTGAGCTCCTGGGCGCATTCACTGGGGCTGCATCATGTGACTACTTACAGCAACGCTGGCGCCTGGCGAGAGCTCCACCATAGTTGGGGTTGGGGGTTGCAGTCGCTGCGACGGGCTCTGCTACCTCGACAGCGGGTACATGCTGTGTCTCTGCGGAGTGTATGCGCGAGTGTGTTCGGCGGTGACGGCCAAACGTCACGCTGATGGTCCGTCGCGGGCACGAGTTGCTGGGGGGGGGTGGGCCAGCCGAGCAGGCGTCAGCCGAGCGTGATGTGGTAGCAGAACGTAAGTAACAAGCACGTCTCCAGACGGATCCTCCGCGTAGCCTTGGAGAGATTCGCGATTTATGTAAGTGTCTAGGCAAAGGACAGCCAACGTGCATGCGAAACAGTTGCAATCCCATGGTTTCGCTGTTCCACATTCCATCTGAGGCCTAGCCCCTTTCAGCCTCTGGGTCGTTGCGGGTGCATCATCGCTGCTGCTCCGTGCCCGTGGCTTGGACGTCAATCTTCCAAGCTTCCCATCGACATCGACCACCAGCGCCGCCGCTGCACCATCTCGCAACCCTCCCTCACCACCGTCGAGCCAGCCCGCCCTCCCACACGCCGCCCACCATGTCGCAAGTACACGCTCTCTCCGACGACCAGGTAGGCAGCCCTCCGCCGGGGCCCAGCCAGCTTGCTGCCCTGCACAGCTCCCCACCAACCTACGTCAACAGCACCAGCTAACAACCACCCCCCCCTGGCAGGTCGCCGGCGAGCTCAAGAAGATGACGGCCTTCATCCGCCAGGAGGCTATGGAAAAGGCCAACGAGATCCGCCTCAAGGCCGACGAGGAGTTCGCAATTGAGAAGTCCAAGCTCGTGCGCCAAGAGACGTCCTCAATCGACTCGTCGTACGAGAAGAAGTTCAAGCAGGCTAGCATGTCCCAGCAGATCACACGCTCCACTGTCTCCAACAAGAGCAGATTACGCATTCTGTCCGCGCGCCAGGAGCTGCTCGATCGCCTGTTTGAGGAGGCAGGCGAGAAGCTGGGCGATGTGTCCAAGGATAAGAAGAAGTACCAGGGCGTCCTGAAGAACCTGATCCTGGAGGGTGCATACGCCCTGAACGAGGACAAGCTGCAGGTCAAGGTCAGGAAAGCAGACAGCGAGGTCGCAAAGCAGGCCATCGAGGAGGCACAGAAGGAGTACAAGAGCAAGATCAACAAGGACGTTGCCATCACAATCGACGAGAGCGACCCGCTGCCGTCTGAGTCGTACGTCAACTGCTCTTTGGCAGCGTTGCAGGTATGCTGACTGTTTGTAGCTCTGGCGGTGCTATTATCGTTGGTACTGGCGGCCGCATCGACATCAACAACACGCTCGAGGAGCGTCTGAGGCTGCTCGAGTCCGACGCCCTGCCCTCCATCAGGGTCACACTCTTCGGCGAGAACGAGAACAGGAAGTTCAAGGACTAAGCGAGCCAGACTTGGACCGAGTTGAGTTGCGGTGCACATCACGACACAGATACAAGCGGAAGACGGGCGACGATTAGGTCGAGCGCAATCGGCCTTCCGTGAAGCACACTTTTGCAAGGAAGGTTTCTTCTGACTAGAGGAGCTTGTAGAATACTGGAAGATTTAGCGGCTGTCTGTGCAAATTATCATACACTTATCACCACCCGGCTCCTGCACGGCTGATCCCTGTGCATGCCTAGCAACAGTTTTGCCCGCGCTCCATCGCTGCCTCGGTTCCGCGGAGGTCGCGCCAACAGCCTAGGAGGAAGCTCCCTCGATTGACGAGCTTCGCCACCTGACTGTAAGAACCCATGCGCTTTCGCCGCGTCCAAATCGAATTTTGCTCCAAGGAACTGACCCGTGTTCGTATGCCTGTTCTCGAAAGTTCGTCATCGAGATGGGTTCATGCAGGATGCACAGCCATCCAATCGCAACCCTGTTACTATTGGCGCCGTGAGGTCAGATAGCTGAGTGGGGGGCCTCCAGCCTCGCAGCTGAGATGCATAAGTAACCTCACCAATCTGCACACAGTCTTCAGGCTCACGAGGAACACCCGCATCAGAGTTGCCTTTGTTGCAAGCCTACAAAACAGCCCATGAACGCAATATGGCCGATTGGGAGCGTACTGAGCCCAGGCGCCATCGCTACTATACCAGCCAACACCTGACTGTCGAAGTTCAGCCATCCCAACGACATCGTCAGCGTCAGCAAAGATCGGGAAGTCCAGAAAGGCGCAAACCCTCGCTTCACCGAGGCTATCACTCGGATAATGAGACGCGAAGATACCGGCGAGACGACTACTGCTCAGACGAAGACAATGTTCGAAGCGCACGAGGTACGGAAAGAAGCAGGTCTTCAAAACATCAGCACCCGTCACCTCCCCGCGCCTTCCATATCGAGGTGCCTAGGTCCCATTCAGACAGACGATGGAGGCTCTCCTCTTCACCTCCCCCTCCTCCTTCTCCACCCCAAAGGTATCAGCAACAACGTGCTGCACCCGGAGATCGACGTTCCTCGGTTCCAAACCTGCCTATCCATCAAGTGCACAATCAAGGTCTAGCCCGACACCCATCGGCCCCAAAACCGTACGAAAGACGCAGTGAGGATGACATTGCGTCTCGACCAACTGAAAGGCTCTGGGGTGGAGAGCAGCGAGGTTACAAGAATGCTCACAATGGCGGACACTCTTCCGGTGTCCCTCCCCCCTATGCGGCCACAGGCTCAAACTTCGACACCATTACTCCGGCTGACTCGAGGTCTTTGATGGGACACAGATCATCAGTTGCTTCGACTTCTGGAACACTCGGGTCTGAGTCTTATCGTTACGATCCGCTCGAACCAAGGCAGTTTCGATTGGTAAAGATCCTTCCGGAAACGATGACAAACATTAGGTGTGAGATCGTTACGCAGCCACTCGACACTCAGTATGATTATACGGCGATTTCCTATGCTTGGGGTGATGCAGACGACAAGACTGAGATCACGCTCGAAGAAGATGTGCTTGACGAACAACGCAATGTCACCCGACAGAGAGTTACCGTCCGTGTCACAGTGAGTCTGCACGGCGCACTGGCTGCTTTACGACAGCCGGACGAAGATGTCTTCGTTTGGGTGGATTCATTAAGTATCGATCAGCAGAATAAGGACGAGCTTTCTCGACAAGTTCAGCTGATGTCTCACATATATGGTAAAGCCACTTCGGTGGCAATTTGGCTTGGTCCCGAGCGCGACGACAGCAGCATAGCCTTGCAACTGATGGAAGAGTTGGCCAGGCTTGCGGACTCACGAGGAAGCGTCTATCGCCGAATTTCAGATGAAAAGAGGCGTAAGCACTTCTCTGCCCTAGTCTCACTTTTCGAGAGGGAGTATTGGAACAGACTCTGGGTCGTCCAAGAGGTCTTTATCCCGGATCCGACGAAAATCAACGTGTACTGCGGCCATTCTGTCCTTCCCTGGAGCTATTACAGAGCAGCTTCGAATGCACTTCGCGACCACAAACGCGACATTGATTACTATTTTCCTGGAACTCAAGATCACAGCAAGGGACAAAGAGTGTCTCAGCAGCAGTACAGTTTCGCTCAAGTGCTCGCATACCAAGGACCGGGTAGCCTTCTGGATGGATCTTTGAGGGATCTTGTGGAGCAGCCGCTCCTGGAAGTTATGCGTTCGTGCCGCGGCAAGTTGACAGCGAATCCTCTGGACAAAGTATATGGGATCCTTGGCCTTCTTTCCGAAAGAGTCCGTAGAGATTTCCCAGTCAACTACAGGCTGTCAGTCAAAAGACTATATCTCGATGTGGTGGATCACATACTCTCTACAACTAAGCGTCTGGATGTCCTTTGCGAATCCATCCACTTCCCGCTGCACGTTGGATCCGCAGGTCTGCCTAGCTGGTGCCCAGATTGGTCACACATGCCTGCAACCAAGTCTCTCCAGACTGCGGCCAAATTCTCTGCGTCGGGATCGCGTAATGACAAGCCGAGGCTCTTTGACCAAAAACGAAAGTTGGAAATCTCTGCTATCAAGTTAGACACTATCGGAGTTCATGGAGTGGCAGTGGGGACTTTGACCACGTCCGCAGATTACCTGATGGCTTTCCTCAACTGGCGCGCCATCATGCTCGACACCATTAAGCCACAAGGGAAAAACCACTATTATCGTTTGTTGGATGTTTTCAGCAGAACCCTATGTCTGAACCAAGTACCCTCTCTCCCAGGCCGGTCACAGAATTGGTCGGATGTTTGTCATCATGTGTTCGCATCCTTCCTGAAGGATCGTCTGTCAGGACTTCCTTTGACCCAAGAGCTCAAAAATTACGCTGACGCGTCTGATGTCTTGCAGCCAGGACAAAGGCGACAGATTCTACAAGCCTTTGGCACACATATGATGGGGCGTTCTTTCTGCGTCACCGAAAAGAGACAATACATCGGTATGGGCTCAGGGTTCATGGATGTGGACGACGTGATCGTGGTGCCGCTTGGCTGCAACACGCCAATCATTCTCCGACCCGAGGGGTTAAATGAGTATCGCTACGTCGGCGACATTTATATCCATGGTTACATGCATGGCGAAGCCATTCAACAGCTGGACGCGGGTCAGAGAACATTGCAAAAATACGTCCTTCACTGAGCACCGTCGTCCAGCACGGCTAGCTGTCACACTGCGTGAAGGAGATATGGAATATATATTTTTGTTGCAAAGACCGTTGATTCGAGCGACGAGAAGCTTTACCCCGCTACTTAGTTTCCTCGTGTGACTTCAACCAATACTCGATGATGGAAATGTGCACGAGTGACTAATAGAGTCACTGCCTCGCTTAGTGCAACGAACTAGACTGACGGTGGGCTTCAGCCTCGCACGCACAACGTGTCCATTACCTCGTACCCTCACCTATCCAGCATCTCAAAGGTGACATTTGTGGGTACCCCGTTAGGCAAGACATTCTTTGGCGCCTCATGTCTCGGTCAAGCCTACCTTTTACATCTCCATCTGCCCCATGCGAGCTAGTTGAACTGCACGATGAGCACGCTGAACAAGTGGCGCAAGAATGGAGGAAAGTGTCGGCTCTCCCAGCGAAACACCGGATTCTGACGGGAGACGAAGAGGAGGTGGAAGGCCTTGAGGACTGTTCTCCCAAATATACCTTTGTAGCGCGCGAGCGCTTCGCTGCATTGAGACGAGAAACAAGCAAAGCAGCAGAGAAGCAAGTCGCACGAGACAAAAGGAATGAAGATACAAGCACACCGCTTCTCTTCGCCCCGTCGCAGCGTATGCATCATGAGCTTGTCGAGAAAAAGCCGTTCAGCCCTCATAGAGAACAAGTGGATTGCGGTGCTTCTTCTCCCTGTTTGTTTCCCTGGGAGTATCCAAAAGATTGTCCCAAGCTACATGACACATCCTACAGTGTGGAAACGAGCACGGAAGTAAATCAATGGTCTCCGTCTGGTTCAAAACAGGATATTCTGCAGCGAAGCTGCTCTCAGTTTCGTTGCGTCTCTGCTGCAGAAGTAGAGAAACAAAGCCTTGAAAGATTGCGCAGGGAATTTACCGAAGAACCTATGCAACAGAGTCGGTTCAACCATTTTGTTGAGAAGCTACCGAGATCTCTCATCCCCCGTTGGAAGCAGGAGGGAGATGTTGCCGCAGCTACTCAGACAAAGACCGGTCACGTGAACGAGTCTACACAAAATGGATCAGAATATTTGATGTACCAGGGCGGACAGCACAATTCCAACGAAAGACCACCTGGTCCTCCTGGCGTCATGCATCTGCCTGATTACGAGCCCACACACACAGTCCAGGAGAGCCTGTCTGGCTCCGAGCAAGATAGCTCTCGAAGAGACCGACTAGATCTCCTTGGTACTCAGCGTGCCTCTACTGCAAAAGAACTGCACTGCAACTTCCGCAACTCGCGCAACGGGGACAAAAGAGAGGCAGCCAGAGGGACGGAACCAGGAATAGGATATCCGACTTCTATAACACAGATTGCGCGCTGGATGTTTGGAGAGTCAAGACCTAGACCATTCCTACCTCGCGCCAAGCAAGAGACCCATGCTGCTATAGCTGAGGCGGCATTCACCTCAGACCATGTCTTGAAACCAATCGGTATGCACTCTGACGATTCCAGGCAAGATTATGCGTCTCACAGGGCGAGAAACAGGCATGCCATCGGTTTACGACAAAGCGGTTTGGGCGGACGAGATCAGACTGCTTAATATTTTGCAGGTGCAGATGAAACTGTCCAATGCGGGCTACTCTATTGTTCTCTCAAGCACCCACCAAAATACATAGCGATATCCTATACGTGGGGAGATGTTTCTGACAAGCGCAACATTCTCATGCTGACGAAAAAATACAGTCTTTCACTAGGCAAAGAAGAGTACATATGTACTGCAGTGTCAGTCACTGCTACTTTGTATGACGCTCTAAACGCCCTCCGGAGCGATCAGGAAGATGTACTAGTTTGGATCGATGGCTTAAGTATCAACCAAGCTGATACAGACAAGAGAACGAGGCAGGTTCGTTTGATGACCGAAATCTACCGTAACGCAAGTAAAGTTGCTATATGGTTAGGGCCAGAAGCCGACAACAGCGACATAGCGTTGCATTTGTTGCAAGATCTGGCAATAGCAGGCAGTAAGGCCGACTTGGTGTCTGTATCTCAACATGTAGCCTCGACTATCCGCTCCAATGCCCAAGGTCCAGGTTTTCCTGCTTTGGTCTGTTTGTTCGAAAGAGACTATTGGGATCGTCTTTGGGCGGTGCAGGAGGTATTTAACGCAAGAGGGAACATTGATGTATACTGCGGAAGCGCTGTAGTGCCATGGAGCATTCTCCAATGCGCACCTTCACTTCTGTACAGCCAAAGGGCAGCGTTGGATTTCCACTTCCCAGCAACTGAGCATCAAAGCAGCAAGAGATATGGGTCGGTTCAGACGCTTTTGACTTACACTCAGGTGCTTACACACCGCGGACCAAACACCCTGTCACTCGACGGTACTGCTACAGATGTCTTCCTAGACGCGCTGCAGATGTGCAGAGAGAAGCTCTGCGCTGATGCACGAGACAAAGTCTTCGCTGTCCTGGGACTACTGCCCGGCCACGTAAGAGCTGAATTCGCTGGTCTTGACTAGACCTTGTCGGTACGAGAAGTATACGTACACACCATGAAGTACATCGTGTCAACAACAAATCGACTCGACATCATGTGCGACGCTATACATTTCCCGGCTCATACCAGTTTTGCGGGATTGTCGTCTTGGTGCCCAGACTGGTCCTACGTTCCTGAGTCTGTCCCTCTGCAGTACAGGCACAAATTCTCAGCCTCGGGAGACCCAGTGGCCAAATACACGTTCTTCCAGGACCAACGCAGGCTGGAGATATCGGGCATACATCTCGATATAGTGGATGTCCACGGGATAGCTGTCGGTACCCTCACCACCATCGCTGACTACCTCATGGCCTTTCTGCACTGGCTCGCATTGCTCCTCGACCACTTCCATCTTGAAGATGGCGACTCTACACACTCACTTCAGACAGCTTTCTGCCGAACCATATGTATGGAAAAGCTACCCACAGATTCAAGCCCGGAACGATGGGTCGGGACATGCTATCGCATCTTCACCACAATGATTCACGAGCAACTGCCACGAGTGGCCGTTGACGAAGGTCTGAAAGGATACGTGCAAGCGAATGTGTCAGAAGAAGATCGAAAGTTCTTCCGCGAACAGGTCTGTACCCGAATGATGGCACGATGCCTTTGCATCACGAAGCAGGGCTATATCGGTATAGGCTCTGGGTACATGGTCGCTGGTGATCTCGTAGTGGTGCCACTCGGCTGCGCGACGCCTGTGCTACTTCGTCCAGAAGGTCGTTGCGGCGAGTATCGATTTGTAGGCGACGTCTATGTTGACAAATTTATGCATGGAGAAGTGATGCAGATGTGGAAGGAGGGGAAGGCACAGCTTCGCAAGTACGTCTTACACTGAAAGCGTCGAGCACCACAGCACCGACTCGACCGCCTTCCAGCTTTTTTTTGACCGGAGTACTCCAGCATTTTGCGTGAGGTGTTCCTCTTGGGAATTCCGGCTGTTCCGTGCGGACAATGTACTCCCGCTGCCGTCCGGGTACTTTTCCGGAAGATGTTTCGCGATGTAAATATATGGAGACAGCTGCCTCTTGTCGACTCTTGTCCTCGTTCTCGTTTCCTTGCGGCTCTTGCTTCGTCTACGTACTGTATCGACCAAACTTCGACGTGTTGCCAACCATCGTGTCACGAGATCTGATACACATTATTGATCGGCGAAAGCACGCGAGTTCGCCCGGAGCGCTGGTCAACCGTCGACCGTTTGACTTCCCCAAAGCCAATCTACCCCATGGGGATGCACGTGCGTTGCTGTCGATGAACCGTCCGTGTGGTTGATGGTTTGTTGATGGGCACCTTCTCCACGAGGTCGCCAAGCGTTCACGGGCCTCGAAACCCACAAACAATCATCGCGTTATCCTCCCTACTCCGACTGTTTTTCGACACACGTGAACAACAACGACTCCGCCGCCAACAATTCGATCAAACAGCCGCCTGAGGATGCACTACTCAACCACTACTGGGCAGCTACCGTCGATGTGGAGGCGCGCATTCCGGTTGTACTGATTTCCAGCTGTTCGGGAAAGCGCCCGGACAGCACAACTCCGTGGACTTGACCTTGAGACAAGGTACTCTTGCCGTAATCTGTGAGTCGTCTCCCGAAATCCCCCGTGGGGCAGGCACTTGGTGTTGCATTCCGCTGATGGCCAAGAGCGAAACTCGACTTGGCGGAGCTGTGATAGGCTGCACAGCTCGTCAAGGAACCTGGCTCCATTCAGTCCTCAACATGGACTCGAGACGAAGCTCGCACGCTAGAAAGTTCTAAGCCCTCTCTGGTTTAAGTCGCACGAGACGCACGCTTCACACGAGCGTCATGTCTCGCATGCAGCACGCCCGGTCGCTTCCCCGCAATGAAGCCCCGTTTAAACCTTGGGGAAGTCTGGGCCCTCCTTGGCCTAGCACGAAATGCAATGCCCGTGTGCCATCCTCGGCAGACAGAACCACGACCTTGCCCGTCTCCAAGAAACTTGTGGCTTGCCATGACCAGTTGGTGTCTCTTCGATGGTGACAAGAGCGCAAAGCGTCAGGCTGGTTTCTGGGCTCGTCACCGGACCTCGCAGCGAGTAATGCATCTGCCGGTGAGTGTGTCTCCAAATGCGATTTCTTGCTGTCTGGTGGGGTGGTGAAGGGCTTGGTATGCGATTTTCTTCCCCAGAGAAGTATCCCGCTGGCCACTCGCTATTTCACCGTTTGGTCGTTGAGATCAGCGCAGCAAGCTGAGGAATCGCAGAATCGAACTGCAACAACAAATCCGATCGATGTCAAAGGTGTAGGAAGACAACTGGAGGTCCGTTACTGGCACCAAGGCGTGTGGTGTTCGTATCATAGCAACTACCGGGGCTCTAGGAGAGAGCACAGTATCGGTGGTAGCAAAAGAGGTTAAGCCCAACATCGGACCAACGCTACAGAGAACCAGTAAACAGCACAAGCTATTGGGGGGCGGAAAGCTAGCAATGCCCAGCAATTCTCTGAGTGGACCGCTCCTCCGATTCAAACGCCTCTGAGAGTATTCCGCATGCAGGCCTGAGGCTGAGTCGGGTGAAGTTGCCATCGGAGTCTCCGCTGAACCCTAGCATACATGCACCAAAGGCCTCAGACTCCAAGGCGGCCGGGAGAAGCGTGCACAAGTGTCTTGGTATGCGTTTGAACGAGATCCCAGGATCAGTCGAGATTCTTCGGGCTGTTGCCAACCCGATATGGGAACTGATGTGTATCCCACATAGTGCGATGAGCGTTGGTGTTGTATAAAGATCTACTCCGCATCCCCAGGTTTTACTTCCCCAGATCATCAGTGAATTCTGAAGATTGATTGGTCCTCTCCGCATCTCCACATTACCCTAAAGACCTCGTGTTCCGAGATCGACATACTTCTCTTTACTTTCCTCCACCTGGACTCCAGTCACCATGTTTTCCTCTGAGAAGAAGGACAACGAGGTTGTCATGCTCGAGCAGCAGAGAACCAATGAAGAGTATCCAGAGAAGTCTGTACCGGCCATCGCGAAGGTCGATTACTCGGGTGCCTACGAGGTTTGTTCACATCTCTGGTCTTAATCGTGAACAGCTCTTACTAACTCCAACCAGAAAACCGACCCCAGAGAAATCGCTCTTGTAAAGAAGCTCGACCGATGGATCATGCCCATGTTGTGGTCCATGTACTGGCTTAACTACCTTGACCGCAACGCTATCGCTCTCGCTCGTCTCGATGACCTTGAGGAGGACCTCAACCTCACCAGCACACAGTACCAGACCTGTGTGTCCATCCTCTTCGTCGGTTACCTTCTGGGTCAGATCCCCTCCAACATGTTCCTCAACCGAACTCGTCCTTCTCGCTACATGGGTATTTGTATGATGCTCTGGGCTGTTGTCTCCGCCCTGACTGCTCTGGCCAAGGACTTCAAGGGTCTCCTGCTCACACGTTTCTTCTTAGGTGTCACTGAGGCTCCTTACTACCCTGGTGCTGTCTACCTTCTCTCGATGTTCTACAACCGTAAGGAGGTCGCCACTCGCATTGCTATCCTCTACACCGGTAACATCCTTGCCACTGCCTTCGCTGGTCTGATTGCAGCTGGTATCTTCCACGGTCTTGGTGACGTTGCTGGAATTTCAGGTTGGCAATGGCTCTTCATCCTCCAGGGTATCGTCACCTTCCTGCTTGCCATTGTTGGGTGCTTCCTCCTTCCCGACTTTCCCCACAACACCTGGTGGCTCACACAGGCTGAGCGCGATCTTGCTGTCTCTCGCATGGCTATCGACACTGTCGGCAAGAGTGAGGACACCTCTGTCTGGACCGGTTTCCGACAGGCCGCTAAGGACCCCATGGTCTGGGTCTTCGCTTTCATGGCACACATGCACTTGGCTGCCAATGGTTTCAAGAACTTCTTCCCCACTGTCGTCCAGACCCTTGGATTCAACACCACTATCACCCTCGTTCTTACCTGCCCTCCCTACCTTATCGCCGGTGCCGTCACCATCGCTGTCTCTTGGTCGTCCGGAAAGTTCAACGAGCGCACATGGCACATCACCATCTCCAAGATTGTCGCTACCATTGGTTTCCTCGTTGCATGCGCGCCCCTCGGTGTTGCAGGCCGCTATGTCGCCATGGTCATTTTTACCATTGGTACATACGGTGTCAATTCTCTCATCCTGGGTTGGTGCGGATCCAGTGAGTTTTCTCATTTACGCTGTATTTATGAACTACATGCTAACAAGCATCATAGCGTGCGGTCAGACCCCTGAGAAGAAGGCTGTCGCCATTGGTATCGTCACTACGATCATGAACGCCTCATTCATTTGGACCCCCTACCTGTGGCCCAAGTCCGACGCACCCCGCTACGTCATCGCGCTCTCGTCTTCCGCTGCCTTCTCCATCGCCACCTTCGCTACTGCTTGGGTCGCTAAGATCATCTTCATGCGCCGTAACAAGAAGCTCCGCGAGTCCGACAGCGAAACCCAGACCTTCTTTGTCTACTAAGCGCTTGCGAACTCCGATGCACTGTGTGCACGAGCTCATAGCGAACTGTTCACGAAGATGGATGGGATTGGATATGATTGATCTATGATTTATGAGAAAGACAATGAGGTGATAATAGAGCGCTGGGTCCTGTATAGAACGTGTCTGTTCATAAAGCATTTTCCATATGATAACTGTTTATACGCAAACACTGTGCCATCTTTGGATGATGGGGTGCTGACTGCCATCGAATCAAATTCTGTTATGCTCTAACTCTTCGACACTGAACGTTGTTGGTCACTTACACTCGCAAGCAGCTGTCTCTACGCTGTAGTGATGACGTGCGTTCACAACGCCAGTCGCGATGCCAATGTTGCTTGTCGCTGCTTCCATCGGACTTCGCGCCAGCATCGACATTGCCAACGCTCAGCCCCGCGCCTCCCTTCTCTCGTGTCATCCTCCCACGTCCTCAACACACAACACAACCACTTCCATCAGCCCAGCACCACGCACAGCACATCACCGATCACCACGCAAAACTCCCTCACATGCCCTATCATCGGCCCCGGCCCAAGTGTCAGCGGCGCAATCAGCGCACAGTCGAAACATGGTTCACAAATGCACCTGCAACCCAAGCCTCCACGCTCTGACCCCGCCGTGAATGTGGCTTCTGGGCAAAACTTGGGATAGCTTGGTGTTTTCCCGGCCGGAGGCGTCGAACTAGGAAATACGCTAGAAAACACATGGAAGATACGAGGAAGCTGACCATGAGCGGGCGGCAGATTATGAACCAACCAAAGCAGAGTATTGCGCTCCGACATTCACTGGTAGTCGTAGTCATTTTTGATGCTGTCTAATTCACTAAACCCCGACATGCGCTTGAAGCGTGTTGCAATACGCTTCAGTGGGTATCAATCTAGCCAGGCTTGGATGTCATTGCATGTATCGCACCTCACTGTTAGATGCCTTTGGGTGTCACTCCTTCCTCGTGAGTTGCTAACGACTCACGTGTGTCTGCCAAAACTTCACGTGTGAGTTTTCTTGTCACCTTTCCGTCCTGTCTTTATGCCCTTTGCTTCACTCCGCTAATCAAGCTATTCACAAGGTATGATACTTCTCGGCGTATCAGTTTATCACCCAACCGATTGTCTTCAGGTGATCCTGTTGAGCCACCGCCCATTACACCCACCTACATGTCGTCACCAAAAGTCAACCACCACCACCTCGAAACAAGCTTGTGGAGATTAACAGAGAAACCAAGCACCTTACACAGCATATGCAAAGATTTTTGCAAAATGCTAAGACCTCACAAGGTGAAAAACAAGTCATAAGCTCGCATCGAGCACTCTCCTTGATACCGGAGAACATAGGTGTGTAATCAGCTTTTCCTACTACTCGAGAGTTAGTAGGGCCGTGCCCAGATTCAGAGGCTGCTAACACGCTGGAGCTAGTGGGTATGTACGTATCTCTGAGGACGTGTGGGCGTGAAGTCGCATAAGGCCCAGAAGTTTAGGTCAAGCTCAGGCGGCTCGTGCTGGTGCAATTGTTCATCTGAGCCACCTCACTAGCCCATTGAGATCAGTGACGCCAGACAACGTGTGTGTGCAAGAGTATTTCAAAGAGCATGGACCATGGAGGCCTTACATCTCATAAGCCTGCAAACGAACGTTGTCAATGTTATTGCTATACATACTTGCTGTGTATCTATCTTGATATGACTGCTCGCACCATTTTCCCATAACTATCATATCGTGAAGCAAATGCTAACAAATAACATGCTGGAACCCATTCGTAATGTCAAACAAGCTTGTATCGGCCCTCCCAAAGAACGATCTTGGTCTGTCTCGAAGGTTGAAAGATGAGAATTGACACTGTGCTTTGTCGCACTCGTCAATCGGACTCAAAACGTTGCTGTTGTAGATCATCACAGCTATCGGTCCCCGTGTTGAGTCGATGCAGTATCCTGCTCGTTGGACGACTGTCAAAGTCAGGTGTACGAATGGTCGAGGTGCAAAAATCCTGCGAGCTCCAGCTGGCGCGGTGCAAACGAGCGCGCCGCGGAAGGCTCGAGAGAGACATCTGAGACTGAATGCTGGCGGTTCTAGGTAGAGGCAAGTCGATTGTATCATACAAATGACTTTCCGGCAACGACAGTTGAGGGGCGTATGGGTCAGTCTTGATCTCGTGCATGAAGACATAATCCTCGTCCTCGACCTTTGGTAGTCGCTTCACTTCGTTGACGTAAAAGTATGGACCGCTTTGCAATTCATGCTCGGAACGAGCCCGTGTGTGTCGCGGGCGTGGTATGTCGTGCGATCTAGACTCGACATGCTGGAGGTACCTGGTGCGCATGTGGTTCCACTGCTTCGGCCTAATCGTATTCTGATTACGCGTGATCGACATGTAGCTCGTGATGGCGCCGATGATGACCGCAACCAGCACCGCAATTGTCAAAAAGCCATGGATGACGATGATGATGATTCCAACGACTGTGGCTGGGATTCGTGGTAGGTCAAACCTCGTCATGAACGTCGCCGAAAGTGCAACGGTTACGACTTTGCTGAAGCCCAAAGAGTAGACGACAACAACATTGAGCCGTTGACCTTCGAATGGTCGCAGTTTTATAAGCCCTAGCAGGGCAACTACTTCCACGGCAAGTAAGCCAAAGACTTGGACCATGGGTTGACCAGCTGCTCCAGCCAGGAAACAAGCACGGATAAACTCATACAAAAGCCAGACAGTGAAGAACCACCATCTTGTTCGGCGGAACCTAGAAACGAGCCAGCCGAAGTTCTTCGTGAAGTCGCTGTCATGATGAACTGACTTGTCTTCAGCAAAGGTGCTGATCCTCCACCATGGAACCGAGCCGATGTACACCTTGTCTCCTGAGCGTGGTAAGTCGCTTTGGCGCGACAGTCGGCACCAAGGTAGGAACTTGAGAATCTTGATCTTTTCTAGGTTGATGCGGTCTGGCTCGGATATGTGATAGCTGTGCTTGTACTTGGAGATACAAGCCCAACATGCGATGCCACCGAGTCCTAGCAGGAATCCAAGGAGCACAATACAAGCAAGTACTGCAGGTCCGGCGGAAACGAGGAAGGAAAATTGCGAGATTGCGAGGAAAGTAATCGTGAAGAAGCCGATAAGCAGAGTTCGCAGGGCGGAGATTAATACATAGCCACCGAGGTGTCCACGGAAGTACGCACAGCAGTTATGCCTAATCAGCTTTAGGTGACATAACCCCTCGAGCAGAAGTTTGAAGGAGACGACGGCGAAGATTACGCTGGCAACCAAAATAAGGAACCAGATCAGGCCAGTTGTGAAGGCATTGACAGCTGGTATGCTTTGTTTGGCCAGGGTACCTGCGAAGCCAAAATGGTCGCCAGGTAATGGCACACCTGGCTTGATGGATCGGCCGTAGAACCTAAACGCAGTGCCCGTGTCGACAGAGGCTTCTATGTTAATGGTGTTGGCAAGTCGACTGGCTAGGATGCCGGTAACACTTCGCTGAACAAGGTCCTCGATTTCAAAAGCTTTGGAGGAAGCATATCGCTTGTAGATCTCGTGGATGTTGTACGCCGATTCTATGCTTGCGATAGTGCCACTGGTAGATGATTTGGCCGTGCCGACGAACCAGTTAATGACACTCTGCATCCGCTCAAGACTGATCATGCCACCAGCCCAAGCATAGTTGCTCCAGAAGGCAATTAAAACGGTTGGCCAGTTCACCGAAAGAGCTCCACTGTAGAAGATGTGATGCCATACAGCAAATACAACGAGTACAGAGCAAGAGTGTGCGTAGTGGTTGCGTGTACTTATTGTCGAGTCGTAGTATGCGACCGTGGCGAAGGAGGATAGCGCCGCGAAGATGGTAAATGCTGCAAGAGTGGATGACACAACCGCTCGGTGTTCGAAGGTATTGCCGTTCGTGATCTGCGCAGCGAAACAGCCGATCTCGGTTTGAGTGGAGTTAGAGAAAATTCTCAGTACAGACTCGCCTTCGAAATCAGGAATCGTCAAAGCGAGGTCGGGTATGCCGGAAACATCCATTGGGCTGACTGGTATGAACCCGGCCGCTTCGATAGGAACTCCGGCTTGCAGTGGACATGCGCTTTTGCGATTAGCGATCATCGGTACAGATTAAAATTTTGCATACCTCCAAATGTTGGCATTGCAGGGATTGAAGGTCAGCTCGAAGCGACTCTCGCCGTAGGCATAAACACCAAGAAACATCATGATATCCTCTTTCGCCAGGTCTGTGTATCCGCCAAGATGAAACGCGACAGTCATGTTATCTTTATAATAGGCAGCCTCGAAACGAGTGACATTGATGAGACTGCTGCCACCCAGACAGTCGCCATAGTCTGCAGTGAACAAGGCAGGCTGTCTGTCGTCTCTGACAAGCAGCCTCTCTCCATCGATTGTTGCTGGAACATAGCGAAGGTCTGTCGCAGCGATAGCATTGGAAAGGAGAGACAGTGCGAGGTAGGCTGCAGTTGATAGTCTAGCCGTCGTTTTGATAGTCATATCGTCAAATCATCCATCGATGGAGGGTGTTGCGCAATCGACGTGACGTAGAAACGAGTGTCGCAAGACAAGCAAGAGAGGCATTGTGAGTTGTAAACAACAAGCCTGCTCAGAGGTAAGAGCATATTGGAATCTCGAGAAGTAGGATCGAACGCACCGTGGGAGGAAGTTATGATGTAGCGTCACTAGCGCGACCCACGGCTGTCGCTGCCTGTTCCTGCATAAATACGAGCATGTCAACCTCAATGCTCAAACGTCTTGACATCTCGAAGAATCCGGAAAGTAGCGTTAATTCGGTTGATGCTTGTCGTGGGCATAAACGACGTCGGTTTCGTTAAACTATCCTCGACGGATGCATAGCATCGAAGAGGTAGTTGTGATTGTGAAAACTTGGCGCAACACTTGTCGCTACGCGGCATACTCACTCCAAGAGGGTTTCCCTTCAGACTTGAGGAATTCGACCTGGGAGACGCTTACAACTTACAAGCAAAGGCTAGGCGATCTTTCTTCTGCGTAAGCAGAGGTGCAGTCAGATCCCATCAAGCTCGAAATCAACCATGCTGAAGCAGAGAGGCAAACTCAGTGTGCTGTGTTCCGTGTCTATTGTTGCACAAGTTTCTACTGACAATCGCGCTGGACGATCGCGTGGTCTGGAAGGTGCAACAGCGCGCCAACATCTTCACTACTCGCGCGCATGGTGACCCCACGGAGGTCCGGTGAGTCGCGCTGTCGACCAATCAGTCTTGATCGAAGGCCAACAGTACAGCGACTAATGCTGCATCTTTCGAGTGGACTGCTGCGGTGTAGCGGTGGTGTGGAGAATGTAAGCGTCGTTGTTCATCGAGACAGTTGTCATGTTGCTTTCTCGTCACGGTTTCCTTGTCTCTAGGGTTTGATTACCGGGAATCGACCTCTGTTGGGTCAAGTCGCCCAGTGAACGCTCATAGTACCCAACAAGGACAGCTTGCTTCGGTATCAAGCACAAGTGCGTTCGGAACTCTAGCTCTAGTGGTTGTCTGAAAAGTATATGCAGCATAACAAGCCTACATGTTGTTGACGTCTTCCGGCTTGGAGGACCCGCAAGTGTATATCCGCCAGCTCGCCTTCTAGTGCCACACCTTTCTCAACATCGATCAAATATCGATCTGCGTGTTCTGGACAACTGCAGGTCGTCGCAACCCCAAGTTAAGTTTCGAACCCAATGTGGATCAAAAGTCTCCTTATCGATACTGACCTGTCATCTTGAAGCTTGTTGGCTATCTGTCAGGCACCACGGCAAGATCGTTGACACTGAGGCGGGCCGACGTTACACTCCTGGTGGATGTTGGCCGTGCTCGACCGAACGTCTGGGTAGCGTGGGCTTAGTGGAGAACGGCGGTTTCGCACATGCGACATTGAGAGAAGCCGGGAAATTAATGCGCCTGGTGCCTGACTTGCAGGTACTGAATGTCACCAAGAGACATCCTTTGCACGTCATGATGCACGCCTCAGAAAGCTGTACATGTCAAGCCTTGGGTAAAGACTACAACTCCAACGGCAAATCCATCACCGAAACCGTTCGCCAGTTGCAGGATTCTAGAGCCGCGAACATGATCGCTGTCAGCGTCATGATTTTCATGTTCCTGGACTGCCGGCAGCGGGGACACCATGTGAAGATCCGTTCTGGCTGGGGTTCGTGTTCAGCATCCTGCGAATGTCCAGTTGTTTAGTTTCCACAGACGCAAAAACATGCGGGTTTTACAAGCTTCTCGACAAATGATCGTGGTGTTTGAAAGCCCCGCAATCGTCTTGCAGCAGTGTTTGAAGAGCAGCCGCTCGCTTCTCGCGTGCGACGGTCGTGCCACTACGCGCCTTTAGTCAGGAACCAACATCTCTGGCCGTTTCGACCCTATCGATCTCGCACTCTTCCACTGTTCACAAGGAACAACGAATTATGCGCCGGACGCTGTATTTCCGATCCAAGGTTGAGCAGGCGGCAACGAACGTCACTGCAAAGCTTGGTGGTTGACAACGCAAAGTCATCCAAACCTCAACGAGTCATCGGATTGCAGCTCCCAGCCCCTGACAAAATTTGAATTCCGTCTCTAACAGCGCGCGGCTCGCCAGGGCTACGATCCGCACTCGGCAGAGATGCACCTAGGTGGATCTAGGAAACTCTGTCTGCTCAACTAAACTCAAAGCTGATGGTGCTCTCTCATGGCGGCCCTCACCACGCCTAGGGCTGCCTGCAGCGTGCTGAGCCAGAACGCTCACATATATCTACATAATGCGCCCTTTCAGGTAGGTGCTCTTCTTCGCTGTTCTGCACACCATTCGGCCTCTGGTACAGGAATACCATCCATTCATTCATTTTTTCAATCACACTCCTTGATCTTGAGTCCGAGACTCGATAGCCCTCTTTACAAACACCAAAAAAACACTCTTTTGCCGGTTCATTCCTACGATCTGAGATCTTGATACCCCTTGCTATAACGACATCATGCTCACCAACATCTTCGCTGTTACGGCGGCTATGGCCGCCACCGCCTCCGCCTTCGACTGCAGTGGCCACTACTTCAGCTTCTTCAACCGCGCTGGACCCATGTCCTACCAGCGTATCGACCCTGCTCTCTACCCTGGAGAGCAGAGCCCTCATCTTCACTCCTTCGACGGCGGCAATGCGCTCAGTACTTCTTCGAACTTCGATGGCCAAATGGGTTCGACTTGCACCACTGCCCGCATCAAGTCTGACAAGTCCTTGTACTGGCGCTCTACCCTCTTCTGGAACGGCAACAATACTGGCTTCTACCGTGTCCCCGAGAAAGCCGCCAAGATCTACTACAAGTCTGGCGACGGCTCTGCGTGGGCCAACGTCACTGAGTTCCCAGAGGACTTCAATATGATCGCTGGTGACCCACTCAAGCGCTCTGACGGCGACAACCCGGGCGGCATCCGCTGGGCCTGCCACCAGCCTGATGGCCGCGATGATAAGATATTCACCAACAATTTCCCTACTGGTTTCCAGTCCTGCAACTACGGTTTCGCCACCGAGGTCACCTTCCCCTCGTGCTGGAACGGCCAGAAGCTCAACCCCAGCGACCCCAGCGCTCACATGGCTTACCCTACCAACGGTGGCGTTGGTCTCGAGAACTGCCCTACTACTCACCGCGCTGCTCGTTTCCCCACCATCTTCATTGAGTTCTGGTACGACATTTCCTCGTTCGACGGCCAGTACAGCTCCAGCTCTTCTCCCTGGATTCTGTCCAACGGTGATCCCACCGGATACAGCATGCACGCCGACTTCCTCAACGGTTGGGAGAAGGGCGTCCTCGCTAAGGCCACTGGCGAGACTGGTGGTTGCAACTGCGGTTGCAGTTGCGGCAACGACGAGATGAAGCAGTGCTTCGGTACTGACAACGTCAACGATGACGGCGACTCCAACTTCAAGCAATGCTCTGCTTCCCCTAGCGACGCGACCACTAGGTACGACAAGCTCCCTGGCTGCAACCCCATCCAGTCTGGCCCTGCTCGCGCTACTGTTGCTTCCGGTACTGGCTGCGATGCAACTCAAGCTGCCTCTCCCGTCGCAAGTGCTACCAGCGCTGCTACCTCTAAGGCTTCCTATGCTGCTTCGGACGTAGCATCTACTGTCTCCTTGGCTTACTCCGACGCTTTCTCCACCACCGTTGTCCGCAGCAGCAGTGCCGCTGCTAGCATCAGCCTCGCCAGCAAGCTCTACGCTGGCGATGACTACGCAGTCCCAACTCCCGCCGCCAGCAGCACCACTGCCGCCCCCTACCCCTACCCCAGCGGCAACTCCACCATCGCTCCTACCGCCACCGGCCGCTACTCCTCCTACCCCGTCGGTGCGAGCAGCAAGCCTCACGGTCACAACCACAGCAAGTTCCACTCTTCCAAATCTAGCGCTGTGCCCGCCGGCAACACTATTTACCCCGCGACTCCTTCTAACACCTCTGACAATGAAAATGATGCTGTGGAGGCAGCCTGCAAGTCCCAGGCCCGTGTCACCGTCACATACACACCTACTGTCTACGTGACTGCTCAATCTGCTGCTGTCAACAGCACCCCGACTGTCACGCTGACCAGCACTGTTACCGTGCCGTCGACGCTGAGGGCTACTGCCAGCGGATACAAGTACTAGAGGCTAGTATGATGGTGGTGTATTAGATCATGATCTTAGACCTGGGTGGTGCGTGTGCATACCATTCGTTACATTCGCTTGGAAATATATGGAGAAGAATTGGAGGAAAAGATGTTAAAGTTCTTGTATATACCTTGAATCCAAACTTGAAGTCTGAAGACAATAATCTCACCTAAATGTCCATCGTCTGCCTCACTTCTCTTCTTGCTTGTTGCGAGGGAGGCAATTTACAACGAAAAAGATTGACTTTTAACGAAGCACTATGCTTCCAGTAGCCGTGTTGAACATGATGTCAATAGTGTTGTTAGGTTAGGTTGCAAAAAGGTTGAAGATTTCAGCATCGGGAAGTCAGACATGCAGGCTCGTGCCTATAACGTGTGCATGCTTAGAGGAGGTACAGTATGTTTTTGTTGTTACGCTCAGATACTGGCGAATACTCGTCCTCGTAAGTGGTAGCCTCATCGGCACATAGTGAGTCGTAGAGTAATCGCGTTGTCAGGTGTGAGGGTTGAGCTCGGCATGTGAAAGTAGACGGCAATACAATAGCAATGCATGTCTCTTTGCTGGGCCTCGGAGGGACGAGTTGATGGAGGATCGATTAGAGAATTAAACGTCGTTCGACTACAAAGTCGAGATATTCCTTCTTCTGTGCCATATCCCCGCGCCTAGAGTCCGTGGACCACTTTCAATGTGGAGACTGCACTTCAAGACGTATACTTCCATCACAAACATCGCAAAACTCTGTAAATGCACAACAACTATAACGGCGAAGCCAAAATGGAACATGGCTCGAACAATATCTCCACAATCGACTGATTGAACGATGTGGACCTTTTGATGAACGAGCGAACGCTAGTTGCTTTTGACGATGGCGTTGACGCCTGCCGAGCTTGAAGACGGTAGTAGGTTTCGAAGGAGCGGCTCGCAAGTAAGAGAAGTCGCATAAGGTCGAGAGAGCATGAAGATCGCGTGAGATCCGCACGCCCAATATACTTTGCAATTATCTGCATAGTGTTTTTGCGTCCTTCATCGCGTGCAACTGTGGTACAAGGTGTCACCTACCTGGTAGAGCCGCCCCACACGCTTGAGCAATCGCTGAGCAAACGTCTTGCTATTTGAGGATACATTTCTGGAGTGTTCCGCGACCCCACAATCTGGTCACGATCAAGATGTTGCAGAATCGGAGGCGCGTGGAATGCAGCCAGTTGAACCCGTAGAGTTGGGTGTGCGACAATGCTGGGGAACCTCAGCTCTCGATAGTGCAGGACTGGCGGTCCCGATGCGTCCTTTCGCGCATGGATGGCTTCAAGATCTTTCAATAGTTGGACAAATATTCCAAAAGTAAAGACGCTGAAGTTTAAGGCTGACGCTTTGCCGTTTGGAGTGACATGTACTGATGGTGTGATGATGATGCAGTCATAAGCAGGCTCCCGTGCGCCTCCCTTATGCAGTGCAATGGGATCTTGCTTATGCACGCTGTAGGACCAGATTTGTAGGTCATCAGGAGTGGGGTTCGGATCGCGCGTGCTAAACTTGTGAGGCGATTGCGGGTGGCTGTCGTGAACGGTAGTTCAGGGCTCACGGGCCTAGCGTTCCCCTAAATTTGTGCTCCACGAGGCACGGCAAACTAAGAAGCATGCCACCAATCGAGGAACAGTAACAATAAGGAATGATGATATTGAGCGCCGCGGAAGATTCATTGACCGCAAATAAGGTAATAAGACCGGGATGTTGCCGCCAAGTGCGCCGCATACGAGATTTGGATGAGGTTTATGCAGGATGTCGCACCAAACGAAGCAAGGAATGCAGGTCGTTTCGCGCTGCAAACTCAAACGTCTGGAGTTCGCAAAAGAAAATAAAACATTCGTAGAAAGCAAAGACGTTGTTGCGCATCGGCCTTCTCTGGAGGCTTTTCGTGTTAGGGGTGCGCCCCAAGGATGGCCCTTGGACTTGCGGCACGTTAAAGGATCGGGCCGGGGGGTGCAATGTGTGTTTGTCCAAATCCCGGTGAGGCGGCTGATCTACCTGGTCACAGCCGGATGCACATACTGAATTCCCCGTCCTTGGACATCGATGGTGTAAATGCGGATCGTCTTCCTAGCTGCTCTGAACAGTCGCCATTTGCCGGACAAGCGAGAGGATGCAATGTCGCGAAGGCCTGAACAAGAGTACAACTACTCTATATTTGTGCTATACCTGTCGGTTCCAGTGCAGACGCTAGCATAAAAGCAAGCTCGATCGTCTATTGAGCAGTCAGGAAGGTAGCAAAGCCGAAGAGGACTGTGTCCGTGCTGAGGCGATCGAACAGGTGACATTGCTTAGAAGTCGAATCTGGAAGCTGTATCGAATCTGTATGCGAGCTCATGACCGGATCAATATGACACGAGATGCAACGTCTCGCATAAGAAACGTGGAACAACAATGAAGTCGTGGACTTGTCGTTCCCACCACCAAGTGTCCTGCCAATAACAACCACTCGGACACAACGCACAAGCATTTCAGCCACCGCCGATTCCGACCACCTCTGGCCCGAGCACTGCGAAGACCGTCATGTCACTCACATCAGCCCTCTGCAAAAGCAAAATCCTGCCAAGACTAGGCGGAAGCGGGAGGTCGACCGCTGTACCCTAAAATCTCTTGCTCCTCTGACTTCTCGTGGTTCCAGAATCTTACGGCCTTCCGTCGAACGGTGTTGCTCACCTAGGGTACTCATTCGAGCATGAGTATTCGGATAAACGCAACTGTCAACGAGGCCCGGGCCGCCGCAGGGCACAATAGGGAACAATGGGACCGGTTCTATGTGAGTCGCAGAGTGTTGTATCGAACCAGAGCGCGGGGCTGACGAGAGGAGTTCATAACGAAAGACGAAGCGAAGAAGCTCGCAGACGCACACGAACAATGGACAAGGTGGATCCTGATACCTGCGAATGAGAAGGAACAAATGCTGCAAAGGATCAATGGTCGGTTGCAAGCTGAGGGTATACCGCCAGTCGAAATGATCATCCTAAAGTGGCGAGTCTCGCAGCTCTTAAGAGACATTCAACGCAAATACAGTACGTTCGAACGCCCCCGCCTTTACATGCGTGCCATGGCGTACCAGCAGACGTACGTACTGCACTTGGAACACTCGCTAATGATCGATGCTTAGCTGAAGGTAGTATGACGAAAGGAATGCAGAGCTCATCATCCGGGTCGCCGATACAAGTCCAGATACGGTCGCCAGGTAGCAGCGTGCAGCAGTTGTTAAGCCCTCGACATTCGGAATATTCGCCAAGCGAGTCCCGCCCATATGACCCGATCCGGGATGTGTAACAGCCACAACCAGCATGTTGCCATCGCTTAATTCCGCGATTAGATTCGTATGCATTCGAAACGAGAAAGCGTTTGATCGGTTTTCATGGCGTTCGAAACAGATACCCTAGAGCGAGAGTTGGCAGAGAATACCAGATTGTGGAGCGTCTGCTGAAGGGCAATCGTTGGGCCCACAAGATGAGGTCGACATCTTTGAATATGCTCATATCCTGAAGAGGACGTGCATTATTAGCGACGGTTCGACAGAAGAAATATGCGTATCGGCGGACACTGATGGAGCACAACGCTTGTGAGTGCAGAAGTAAGGAACTTCGGCTACACAAGAGGGTCTAGGATCTGGCGTTATGCGGATCATATGGTACGTAGGCAGGACAGACCTCGGTCTTCATACACAACACTTGTAAAGTTGCACGGCTTCGCTCTCATGGTGTTTCGTTCGAGCTCCAAGAGCGTTGTTGACCATCTCCTCCAACTTGCTGCTCGCGGAAGTGTTATTTGTTGCTCGTGGTCGGTTGATCGAGCCAGTGCTTTTGCTCATAATTTTGCAGGCACCCTGACGATCCTGTTCTGACCAGTGACGATCCTGTTCTGACCAGTTGAGACGGACGGTCATATAGCAGGCCTTGGGTTGCTGCAAGGACGTGCATGTCTGAGCCTGGGTCGACTGACCTCCGAGCTCAGAGTGTTTCGCATGGCGTCAGCGCTCGGTAGTCGACTCTTCGAAGCAGAGATGCTTGAATGGATTGGCACACAGCTTTCGCGGATCGAGTGGTGGCTCATTGAGTTTTCGGGCTCAGCCTGATGGTTCACTAGTTTTCGGTGGTTATGGTGGTGTCTGAAGTTTCACCGTATAAGGATAAGGAGCCAGAAAGGGGCTTGGAGGAGAAATATCGTCTTCGTCGTCTTCGCAGTGTATGTGCCGATGCGAGGAGTAAGTCGAGTTAGATGAAGGAGACAGAAAGGTGAAAGAGCGGGACGACTTGACGTTCGCTGTCGCGACTCCCCGGTACCCTAGCTGTTAGTAAATAGCCTCATCCTAGCAAAGCAACCACGCTGGAGTCAGGAACACCTCCAACATCTCTTGCTGCTCCGGGTAGCATGTCCACGTCCAGTTTACGATCCTTTCTCTGACCGCCACTGCCCAGGTATATGGAGGTACACTGTAGGTGTGAAAGTTGACCACAGTGAAGGATAGGACAGCGCCACACTTACCTATCAGCTGCAGCTTGATAAACATGAACCCTACCCTTTGGACTCACTGCCATCCAACCTCTATCTTGATCAGACTGACATGCCCTGTTCAAGGAGTGCCTCGACGAATACTCAGCAGTCCAGCGCTTGAACTGCGACCAGGAGGGCAGGACTGACCGTGAAAGTAGCAACCTTCAAACGCAAGCATGATACTGCGCCGGACTGGCGCGTCCATATCTGAACACTCTGATGCACCTCGGCGCGTTTTGTCACGCATCACAGATGCAGTGCCGTGCTACGGTCGACACTGCAAGGGATGGATCAGTGGATCAGGACCACTGGTCACACAAATCCATACCCACCCGCCTGGGAGACGTTGCACCCTATCAGCACCCGCTTGACGCTCCGAAGTCATCCTTCGAGCTGGAGTCTGTCGCTGCACTACATGTACAAGCTCAAGAAGAGTCTACGAATTATGAACGCTGGGAACGGAGGGGTTGCGGAGTAGGCCTCGCAGAAATAAGCCTCACAACAAGGGCATCGTATCTGACAGGAAAGCAAGAGCAAGAAGAAAGCATGCGCGGCTGACAGCTCAACTTATATAGTGCTCCAGATCCTTCACCAAAGCCACGGCACGACCCTCGAGCAGCCCTGACCGTATCTTCGACAGGCCACCTAGCGGCCCTGTGCGCAGCACCGGACCATCTCCGCCGCCCACTACGTCCTTTCATACCCACATCGACCTCCAACGACTACCACAATCAGCAAGCACCGCTGCAGAGTTTATGAGCTCACGGCTACTTCCATACGACCCATGACACACTTGCGATGCCTGACATCGTGGCAACGTACGATATAATCCTACCACACAACCCTATCTCCGAGTCTTCTCGATACAGACGAACACGGACACCTTCTATGTATCAGAACGTGAGCTGGCTGACGCCGATGGGTTATGGTGAGAACAACGGAGACTCATCGTGGTCTCACTCAGATTGGCACCATACACAAAGCCTGCAACATGCAACATGCAACATGCGCTATGCAAGCTTCGATGGGCATGGCTCACTCGAGTGATACAGGTCCCAAAGCCATCCAACTACAACGCTGTGAAGCTTCCGTTGAGCACGCGGTCTCTGCAGTCTTGCAACAAGGGAAATATCGCGAATACCGCAAACAGTAAGAGATGTCAGGGTCGAAGGTCAAGTCCAATCTCTCGATCTACAGTTGTATGAAGGTCCCAGGATACTATTGACCGATACACCGTGCAATTGTACTCCACCGCGATTTCAGTCATGGTAGTTGTCAGAGAGGGCCATACCTCTTTCCTAAGACAGCTCGCGCCACATGTCAGGCAGGAGATTTCCTCTGTGGGCGTGCCAGACGTCGATACTAAAGACCCATGAGGACGAGGCAGAGGGACTGTCAAAGCGCCGGGTAAGACGTGAAGGCCTGGCCTGCTGTGCGACTCAGCACGCGACCTGTGTCACGATCTAATCTTAACCCTGATCCATAGCTCTTACAATGAAATCGTACCACACCATTTCTGGAGTGAAGAAAGCCTTTTGCATCGCAGTTGGACATTTGTGTCCTGGTATCATTGATGTATCATGACAAGCCGCGTAGCTATCCAAGCCTCTTCCTTTTCTCTAGCCTTGTTGTGCCAATCCACACCCAATGCTACTTTTGTTTCGTAACTCATATCAAAACGTCCTCAGTTCATACTTCTTCTCGTGCTTCTCCTCGTCCCTGATCTCTGCGCATCTCCTCCTCCTCCTCAAACATGTCTTCTCATATCAACTATGCAGTCATCCCAAATCCAGGCTCTATGCCTGCTTGCCTTAGCGCCTTCGCTTTCCGCGCGTCTGCGTCCTTCTTGTCTGCCTTCTGCTGTGCCGCCAACGACCTAACCTGCTCTACAGGCGCAAACTTAACGCCTCGGGGTGTGTCTTCGCGGTCGAGATCTACGGTCGCGCAAATTGTAACGTTCTCGCCTCTTATGGTCATGAGTCCGGGTAATTTGACGTCGTGTATCAGCCATGCGGGTTCTGTGAGGGAGGTATCGAAGTCGGGGTTGCGCGCTGCTATCCGCTCGTGGCACTCTGTGAGGACGAGGTTGGCTATGTCGTGTCAGTGTATGGATGAAGGAGAGTGGATACGGGAGGACGCATACCGAATTGGTCGTACGAGCGGAGGATACCGATGTATTCTTTCTCGTCGCGAAGAAGGACGTCTACTTTCTCTGTAGCTGTGTCAACCATGTGCTGTGGCTAGAGTGTCTTTGCTAGGTGTCCGTACTGTCTACCATGTCGAGGAGCATCGCCGAGGTCAGGAACGCTTGTGGTGGCAGGTCGACTGGAAGAGTTTGCTGTGGTCCAGTTGGCCGTCCTCCACCAAGGACAGGAGGGCCCGAGGGTGGTGGTCCACTGGTGCTGTATACGCCTCCATAGCCTGTTCGCGTGAGTTAGCACCATGTTCTGGTGTGCGCGTGCAGGCATTGAGTCCTACCGGGACCTGAAGACGGTTGCCCTGGGACTTCTCCACCATGTTCAGGTTGTGGAGAGTCCATAGAGCGCTGAAGCATGGCGTTGAAGTTCTGAGCCATGTTCGGAGGAGCACCGGCGGGGCCACCGTGGGGTTGGTTGGGGAAGGACATGGCGTGTTGATATATGTCGCCGTGCTTACGGTAAGTGTGAGGGGTCTTTAGCGGTTTCGGAAGGTTTGTGGAGGTGTTGCCAGCATGGCGAGGCCTGCGCGCGTTCTTGTTTGCCTTTACCTCTGATGCTCGTTGTGTAGTTGACGCAACTCGAAATCGCGGGTCGCGCTAAAATTGCTTGGCATGTTTGGAGACCTTCGTCACTTCCGCTTCGCATCCCTGCATCTTGGACACGAACAAGGGTGGGAAGCAATAATGGGGTTCCCAAGCACCACGCCTCTGTGCAGGCTTTCAAGCAATGGCACGTCTAGTCCGTTCCTCCAACGGACGAACTTTGAGCAAACGGACCAGCGCTTCGTGGGTCCAGGAGCTACATAAGTGACTTGTCTGCGAAGCAACTCAGGGTACACGTCTTATACTGATCATATGATTCGTATCTTTTTGCATCTGCTGCCCTCTCTCTCCTCTGGGCCCATCTCAAGCATCGATATCCGAAATCATACTGCGTAGCCATGGCCGCTCTCGTTCGAATGTTCAGAAACAAATGGATTACGCCATCGCAGCCCACGAGTGAAGACTACAGTGGCAGAAACATCGTTGTCACAGGAGCAACTTCGGGCATCGGAAAAGAAGCTGTATACAAGTTTGCTGTGCTGGGCGCCTCCAAAGTCATCATCGCCGCACGTGACTTGAAGAAGGGAGAGTCGACCAAAGCCGAACTCGCAAAGAGACTTGGTCGTGACGACCAGCTGGAGGTGTGGGAGCTTGACATGATGTCCTACGACAGCGTCGTCGCTTTTGCAGAACTTGCACGCGAGCTTGAGCATCTCGATGTTGCCATCTTGAATGCTGGTCTGCGGCGCTCATCCTATCATGCCGGCGAGCAGGGCTGGGAGGAGGATCTGCAGGTCAACACTCTTTCCAGCGTGCTCCTGGGTGTTCTCCTCCTGCCCAAGTTGAAGCAGTCGAAGCATTACACCGGCAAGACGCCCGTACTCGAATTCGTCAACTCCGGTCTCCACCAAAGCGCAGTTGTGCCCACCGAAGTACGACAACAACCGAGCATCCTCGAGTACTACAACACACGCGAACACTTCAGGGAGGGCAGCCAGTACAAGTACAGCAAGGTGTTCCTTATGTATGCCACAAACAAGCTCGCCAGTGAGATATCCTCTGCAGACGCCATCATCACGTCCATCAGTCCTGGATTCGTCCATAGCAATCTGGGACGCGATCACTACTTCCCTGGCGTCTACGTTTTGGCTGCTGTCATTATCTTCCTGATCATGAAGTCGCCATCACAAGGGGCGAACTTGATCCTGAGTGGAACAAGCCAAGGCGAAGCAGTTCATGGGAGGTTTTGGCAGGATGATAAGATCCAGCCAGTCCCACTTGCAGTTGCAGGTACTGAGATGAAGGAGCTGGGCTTGAGAGTCTGGGACGAGATTGTCGAGACGCTGAAGAAGGATGTACCAACTTTCTCGAAGGCTCTTGACGCGGCACGCTACAGGCGTTAGAAGAGCCAATGGTACTTTGTGAATGTATCCTTTGCAACGAGCATGTTCGTGTGCAAAGCTTTGGTGCTGAGTGACAGACAAGGCCCATTCGAGTGGATGGCCTGGAACAGCGCACAGACTTCAGCCATGACGTGTGAAGGTCGTATCAAGCTTCAGCTCGAATTAACAGCGCATCCCCCTACTTATTCCACCCCGTAACTCGTGATTCTCCACAGAAAGCTTCGGCCGCCCGAGCTGGCTGGATGAGATCGCCCTTCCGCCGCAAGCCCCCGTCCGCCCGCGGCGCTGCCTCTCTCCTGCGTCTCTTGTTCCCACACACCCGAGCACGCGCACGCGCTGAACTCTCCAAACTCCGCCACAAGACCCTCCCCTCGCTCAGGCACCGCGCGCAGTCCCGCATCTACAAGTACATCGTCTACCGCCAGGCGCAGAAGCTCAGCAAGAAGTCGACCATCCTCCAGCGGCTGCGCGGCCACACTCGAAAACTCCTTGGCAACGGCTACCTCGAAAATGAGGCTAGGCTGAGGCGCAAGAATCTGGCAAAGAGCACCGAAGAAGGCATGAGCAGCTACCAGGGCGGCGAGTCGGGGGGCCGGAGACGGAAGCTGGCAGGCTACCTGAAGGCGGCGAACGAGCTGCGGCAGACCTACGCGCAGCAGTATGCGCCCAACTGGAGTAGCCGAGAGGCTCACTATGACTACGAGGACGACACACCGGGCAGCTTCCCTGATGCTGCGATTGTGCGCAGCGGTGAGGAGGAGATGATCCTCTTCCCCAGCTATGCACGCAAGCACACCAGGACTAAGCCGGAAGCAGTACCAGGGACTATACAGGAGTCTGCTGGCGATGGCCGAGACGTGCGGGACTCGGCAGGTGCTGGCGATGCTGAGTTTTGGAAACAGCAGTGGGACAGCTACGAGGACGATAACGCTGTCGTCGATGTCGACGTGCGCGGCTGGATCTATTCGCCTCACAAGGGACAGATGAGCAGAAAGCAGCGTCTGTTCATCGGCCTGGCACGGCAACTCGTGGGCGTATCAGCACCGCCTGCGGGGACATCTGCCCCGACTTCAACTGCGAACAGTCGCGACTCAAGTCCCAGTCACGTCGGGTTTCGCGAACGAGCGCAGATACGCCAATCCCAGCGTGACGAGGATCTTGCAGCAAAGGAGGCAGAAGCTATCTCGAAGAAGGGCGAACAGGAAGCTGCTGCTGCTGCGAAGGGTGCATACAGCGAGAAACCCAGTCGCAAGAACCAGGACGATACACAATTGTACCGCACGCAGAGCAGCGACAGTGTGCGCACTGCAGGAAGCACAAAGACACATCAGCTAGCGCATAGCCAATCCAAAGATTCTTTGCGGACCGACGATGAGTACATCACGCCTCTGCAGAAGAGAGCATCGTGGAATCAGCCTGCAGATATGAGTCCGGCTGAGCTTGCAGAAGCGAACGCGCGCCTGATGGCTCGACTGCGGCACTTCCTCGCTATGCCTATGGCAAACACACCGATCAGCGTGTTCTTCTATAACGACAAGATCTCGAAGCAGAGGACCATCTACACCAACGCTGCAGGTCACTTCAGCATGACGGCCGCGCTGGACTTCGTACCTACACATGTACGGATCTTGGCTTCAGAGCAGCTATCAGCTACGGAGGAGGTGCTGATCACGGATGCCAAGGGCATTAGTGTCATCAGTGACATCGACGATACGATCAAGCACTCAGCTATCAGCAGTGGTGCACGTGAGATTTTCCGAAACGTCTTCATTCGCGACCTGAGCGATCTCACTATCGAAGGTGTTAAGGAGTGGTATAACAAGATGTCTGAGCAAGGCGTCAAGTTTCACTACGTCTCAAACTCGCCGTGGCAGCTGTACCCTGTCATCTCTACCTACTTCTCCATGGCTGGACTGCCACCTGGCTCATTCCATCTGAAGCAGTACAGCGGTATGATGCAGGGCATCTTCGAGCCTGTAGCTGAGCGAAAGAAGGTCACTTTGGATAAGATCGCACGAGACTTCCCGGAGAGACGCTTTATCCTGATCGGCGACAGTGGAGAGGCAGATCTGGAAGTGTACACTGACTTTGTCCTCGAAAACCCAGGACGTGTCGCAGCTGTATTCATCCGAGACGTAACAACAACGGAGACCGGCGGCTTTTTCGATCCGTCAGTTGGGCCAATGTCAGGATCGTCCTCGCCCCGACGTGGTGGTGGCTCCAATGCCTCAGACGTAGCAAGTCCGGCGAGCGCAGCCCGTGCATTGTCCGAAGAAAATGACCCTGAGCTCAAGGCCGCGATAGCTGCCTCTTTGCACGAGTTCGAGGAGGAAGACAGGAAGCGTTCAAAACCACAACTGCCAGAGAACGACGGAGGCCATCCTGATAACAGACCTGGGCTGCCGGCGCGGAAGTCATTCCAGACTACTAAGGAAGAACCAGTAGCAAACCTGATCGACCTCTCCTCAGACGACGAGCCAGAAAGCGTCCCAGCGTTGCGTCGCGTCAACACAGACACAGAAGCTCCTAGTGGGCCACGACGCACCTCGACAAGCTCGAGTATTGGCAAAGCGGCACCTCCTCCACCGAAGAAGCCTACCGTCCTTCAAAGTCCGTCAAACGATAGCTTGTACGCATTACCCTCACCGACGTCTACCCCGAAAGCGCCTCCTCCACCGAAGCCCCGTCGACCGTCAACCACAATCCGCATGGTGGGCCAACCCAGTCCGCTCTCCCAACAGAGCGACGCACCCACATCACCACCTTCGAATCGCCCTGCGCCACCGCAGCCCAACTATAGCACCAAACCTCAGTACGACCGCAGCAACCAGAGCTACGCAGGCATGGCCCGTGACAAACTCTACTCGGTCTACAATAACATGCCCGCCTGGCCGTCTGAAGACCAACACAACTCAGACACCGCTAGCATTCGTTCAGGGTCAGACAACAGCAACATCCGCAAGGCTGCTCCTCCTCCTCCACCGCCGCCACGACGCAACCCCGCCGGCGCCGCTGCATCGTACGTCGGCGGTAAAGCATCGTCAGCGTGGCAGCACGCACCTTCCTTGCCGCATCGTCCACAGATCATGTCCGCGCAAACCTCAGCACCTTTCTCTACAACGGCACAACGCGAGAAGTTGAACCGCACAAGCACAGGCAGTACACTAGGCTTGAACGGAGCTGGGCAAGGTCAAACAGCTGATGGACAATACATCAACAAGAGAGAGCAGCTTTGGAGGCAGCGATGGGCGAGGGCCGAACAGATCCTTAGTGAAAAGGGTGTCGTGCTGAGGAGCTGGAGGGTGGGGACCGACGCTATGGCAGAAGCTGAGAGGATTATAAAGGAGAACGAGAAGGAGAACAGAACTGGCAACAAGAGCGGTGCGCGTGCGACTGTTAATGAACGAAGCAATGGGGAAGGCAGCGTACGGCGGAGATGATGAGCCTTTGATGATGACGTACATTCGATTCAGACGACATAGTTGGATTCAGTATTGTGCATAGCGCAAGCACACAGCATCGTAATGCACTGCATATTTCTTCTTCTTCCAAGTTTCGTACTCTATGATTAGAGGGCCCATAGTTTGCTGATGCGTGCTTTAGTCGTCATGTTGTGCTCTTTTCTGCGACCCGCAGGACACGGATAAGGATATCAGCAGTATGCCCGAACCGGTGAATTACATGCCGATCCCATGCCGCAGCTTACAAGCATATATGGCTGAGTCAGATTGTCGACTCATTGCAAACAGAGCGCCTGAGGCTTTACCCATTTGGGTCACGATAGCGCGGAGGGTGAGTGGAGGATCGGATGGAGGTGTTGAGGTATTCGATACAGGACTGCATATAAAGCTTTGTATCTTAGCCGACATATCCAACGTAGACAGCGTCGTCTAAGAGCTTGATCTCGAAGCTGACAATCTAATCTCACATCTTGTGTGTTCGTTGACCTGATATCCATCACGCCAACACTACCCCATCCCTCCATTCACCATCTACAATGTCTTGCCCTGACTGTTTCCGCGGCGGCGCCGCAACTGGCACACCCAACGGCACCACAAAGATGCTCCACGGCTTCAAGACTTACATTGCCTCTCCCCCCTCCCTCTCCCCATCTCCATCCAACTCAACCATCATCCTCTACACCGACGCCTTCGGCCACCACCTCCCCAACAACCTCCTCCTCGCCGACGCGCTCTCCACCTCCACCGGCCTCACCGTCCTTGTTCCGGACATCATCCCCGGCGGCGGCATGTCCCCTGCCATCCTCCCCTTCATGGACACCTTCTCCTCCCCCGCCGCCGGCGTGCTGAGTAAAGCGTGGGCCATTGGGAGGGCGATGGTGCATGTGATCCCGTTTTTCATGCGCGCGAGTCCGCAGAGCGAGCAGTGCACTGCTTCCTGTCTCGAGTATGCGAGAAAGGTTAAGGAGGAGTTGGGAGACGGGGGGAAGGTTGGGGTGGCGGGGTATTGCTGGGGCGGGTATCAAGCGTTGTATATCGCGAGGCAGGAGAGGGAGGGGCAGAAGGTAGTGGATGCGGTGTTTGTTGCGCATCCTGCGAGGTTTGAACCTGCGCATGCTTCAGATGCGGTGGATAAGGGGGTGAAGGTTAGTTTTGCGCATGCGGGGGATGATATGGCGCTGCCGATGGGGAAGGTTGAGGAGACGAAGAGCGCTTTGGAGGGGAGTAAGGGGTTTGAGATCAGGGTTTATGAGGGGTGTGTGCATGGGTTTGCCGTTAGGGCGACGCCGGGAAAGGAGAGGGAGGCGAGTGCTGCGGATGAGGCGTTGAGGCAGGCGGTGGAGTGGTTTGAGAAGTGGCTGTGACTGCTGTGGGTGGTGGAGAAGGAGGTGGGAGGTGAGGTTTTCAACATGCATTTGCGAGAGGCACTCAACATGCTACCCCTTTGGGGCCTGGGCACCCAGGCACTGAAGGCCGACGAGCACATGTGGTTTGAAAATTGCGCTGGTGAGCATCAGCTCAACCTGGTGATAGTGCCTAGTTTCGTGGGGGTTGGTATTGGAGGTCGAATACTCAGATCCATAGCAGTGTTTGGTAATGGAGGCAGATGTCGAACACAGAGCTCTGAGCGTGATACAGCCATGAGGTTCTTACTGCATGTAACTGAAGATGTCACCGATAGGATCACGCAAGATCGGGTCATTTTCGAATGAGGTTTGGCGCTACCTTGCTGAGATTGGTCCTGCGCAGGAGAATGGTGCGAGAACATGATATTTTTGGAGTGAAGTTGATATTCATGGAATTAAATCACATTTGACAGAAGCGTTCTGTTGTTTTTTCTCTGGTTGACTGATTGAGCCTTGGTGTCCGAAATGGTGATGGGCGATGATCGACATAAGCGCAATCTGGGGACCTAGCGCGATGTCATGGCTTCATGGCTTGATGTGAAAGGTCTATACTGGAGCCTGTACTAGAGCTTATGTCGCGCATAGAATTCCTGTGTTGCTGTGGAAGCGCGCGCGATGGTCGCGCGATTGAAGTGAAGGTCGACAGAGTATCTGAATTGAAAGATGGCATGCGAACACAGCCTGCAGCCGTGTCAAGGTGAAACCTAGAATACGATGTTTCGACCATGGCATCTCTTAATAAAGTTTGGATGCACTATTGCAGTATTTGCGTCAAAGAAATGGGGGAGGCTGGTACAAATTGCGCGCCAATACAAATTAATGATGTCATCCGGTATTACATCAAAACAAACCTATCTGTGGTACATCCTGTACGCGACGACACCCTTTACCTCGAACCTTTGATCATCGATCAAATTGCCAGACCCATTTCTGTCGCATACACATCACAATCGCAACAATGCCATCATCTAAGGGAAAGCCAACAGACCCCAAGCTTCGGGAGAAGGTTAAGGAGGAGGTGAAGCAGAAGCCCAATAAGGACGGCGGCGGCAAGGGCCAGATGGCCGCATGGAAGGTACGTGATCGCGCATTTCACGCGACCAAGATCGCAGTATTTATATTGACACGCGCAGGCTGCAGAAATCTCAAAGGAGTATGAGAAGCAGGGTGGTGGTTACGAGAACGAGGCTGGCAGCAAGAACGAGCCTAAGAAGGGCGCACCAGAGGCCAAGTCTGACAGCAAGAAGAAGGCCGAGGAGAAGAAAGTAGATAAGTCTGATTCCAAGACCGAGAAGGCCGAATCCAAAGAGGAAGAGAAGAGAGGTGATGCTGAGGAGGAGCAGGAGGCTCCCGCAAGCGCGCAGAAGCCCAAAGCTAACGTAGGGAAGAAAGCTGATAAGAAGTCCGATGAAAAAGAGAGTGATGAGAAAGCCGACACTAAAAAGAAAGCCGCACCTAAGAAGGCTGCCGCGCCGAAGAAAGAGAAGAAGGAGCCTCAGGAAGGTACCAGGCGAAGCACCCGAACCGCAGCGAAGAGAAACTCGCCCATCAAGGAGGTCGACACCGATGCCGACGAAGAAGAAGATGAGGCACCAAAGAAGAAGAAGTCCAAGAAGTCCAAGTCTTAGATTAGCTTTATGTTGTTTCCTTCATCGCTCGTCTCTTGTTGGATAGCTGGGTCGCTCAGACGGGTGAAGGTCTGTTTCCACGTACACCCGTGAGAGGTCGTAACTATTGCGCCTCCATGAGGATGGGATGTATTCGGTAGTTCTATATCTAGTTCATAATGATATCTCCCAAGCCACGACTACCTCTTCGTGCCTTCCTCGAGTGCAGAGCGGCGCTAGTGGCTACAGCTCTTGCCCACTTTGCCGCGTAAGAAGGTACCTTAAAAGCGGCTACCGCCCAATACCTTTCCAAGCCTTGAGAACGCCAGCTTCCGAAGCGCTCCCGCATCACTTGGTCAGCATGCATCATCGGCAGTCTGATATCAATCTCCTTGTTTGTCACCGGCGCGGCGATGAACTGCTTCAAGCGGGTTGTGGAGCCGCGACTTCGAAACCGCGTCCTGGAGCAGCAACTACAACTAGTAGGCAGAAAAGCAAACAAAGGGATGGAAACTAGACTTAGCTCTTCGACACTGCTGAGCAGAGCGAGTTTGAGCGCTTCAAACACCGAGCATACCACGGCGCGAAGGGCCGGACTAACAAACCCGGACCGAGATTCGCTAGGGGCTGCATTGATTGTACCACGCTCGATATCGAAAGTGCAATCCAGACTGGCCTGCAACAGTCCTGAAAAGCTGTTCAAGACAGTTCCTGAGAAGCAAGCATTTGACATAGATGCTGCTTTTCATTAAAAAGGGATGAGAAGGTCCGAATCGTTGAAACACATTGATCGACAGGCGACCATCACCCAGAACTGCGCGCTTACGGGACGATGCAGCTCAGACCACACGGGAGCTACCCATGCAGCCTACCCGACATTACATTGCGAGCCACCAGTTGGTTCTTGACCCGCCTTTTGTGCGTCGTGGAGCCTTCTCCCCTCGTAGCCAGCAAACGACGTTCAAACGTGTAGAGCACCGCTCTATGGCCTTAGGCCACCGCGCTTCCTGCTCTTTGGATTGCTTATTGCGACCACACGAATGAGCCACGCGCAGACGCCCGACTCTTGTGCTGAAGTTGTACGCAGTCAGCCGCAGTCCGCCTCCATGTCTACCAGTTCGCAGTACTACAGAAGCGCCAACCCTCACTCGCACTACCAGAACTTCCAAAGCAACAACCATGACCAAGGATATGCCAGTTTTATAGGAACATGGCAAGATAGCAACCATACCTCGTACGCCGGCCCGTCGTCGGTCCCGTTACTCCACTACCCCCAAGCCGGACTGAGCTCCGACTTCCCCAGACCGCATCAGCCTCCTGCTCCACAGGCATGGAATACTGGCTATGCGCAACCAAGTGTTCAGGAGTGGAATACGACTGTGAACGGCCGTGTGAACGAGCAGAGCTTTGCACCGCGCTTAAGTGGTTCCTATGACATCGCTGAGGGAGGCGCCTCTGTGCAACATACAACCCCTAATGTTGCGCGCCCGTACCCACATCAGCACCATCAGCAGGCATCAGCTACGGACCACGAACAGCCCCTGGCATCTCCCGAGGGCGGTTTTAGAGACACAGAACGCTTTACTGCGCTGCGCATTACCTCTGTGAGTGTGAAGACGTCGCATCCTACGCTAATCTTCGACTAACCTACCCCAGGATTCCCCTGCAACACCGGTAGATCGACCTTTCGCGAATCATGGCCAGAGGGCACACTCGATCCCTCATCCATCGCATGCAGTATCGCAGTCGAACGTAGATCAGACACATTCGGTGTTGCAAGCGTCGACAGCGTGGGGTACCGCACCAACGTTAGCGCCGACCAAACACCAACACTACGTAGCTCATACCAGCAGTGCGCTGTCATCTGGTATCATCACCAGTGGGTCGGTCAGCATTCAAGGTGCGCAATGGCCGACAGCAAACTCGGCTGGTATCGTGCCTGCTCCCACAGTCTATGGTCATACCCAGGCTCAGCAGCAACAATGGCCTCTATTACAGACTGTCCCGGACCAGAGGGTCTATGAGCACGAAAGTACTCAGGCCGAACAACCGACGGATTTTTCTCTCTATGCGCAAGGCAACCGACGACCTAGTGTCAAGAAGAAGGCAGCGAAGGTCCCATCATCGTACGTTGAGAGGCAGGAGAAGATGAAAGTCTCAAAACGCAAGGGTCCATTACAGGAGAAGCAACGAGAGAAGACGCATACAATGCGCAAAACGAAAAGAATCTGCGTTCGTTGCAGATTCTACAAATCGGGGTGCGATGAAGGGGATCCATGTCAGAAGTGCAATAAGATTGAAGGGCATGCTCGGTCTTTCCGCGAGCCTTGCTACAGAGAGCATCTGGAGGACACGAGCATCATTCGTCGATGCAATGGTCGCGAGCAACAGGAAGAAGCTGAGTTCCTAGGGTATGATTGGAAACCCGGAAGCCAGCTCTGGGAGATGGACATATTGTGGAATCTGCCGGGCTATGGCCGCATACCTAACGCTCAACCTATGCGTGTCGCCTTCCGTCCATACAGTCCGAGACGAGGATCACTTGACACAGCAACCTCGGTATGGACCACCAAAGAAGGTGACGTCTGCGCGGTTGAGCAGCCAGCATACGCTATTTACGACACTGCAAACTTGGTTTCCGCCTTTGAACGTTACTTCTCGAGCCTTCAGCCCGCCATCGAAGCCTGGATTTTCGACCGTATCCAACATGACGAAATCGCCACACATACATATCGAGAAGTGTTCCGGATGCGTAGTGTTCATGGCTCACGAGCTCTTGATCTGGCTATGCGGCTGCAGTGCCTCTCAGTTGTGTCTCAGGGCTACGGTACAGTCTGGTCCAACAACATTCCGGGGATACAAGAGTACGACTACCGTCATCTGGGACGAAGCGACTATGAAGCATATGATCGAAATTCGCGCGATCGACCGTTGCCTGGCGCTATCACGCACCAGATGGACGTTGCTGCTGTGAAGTACCTGCGCAAGCTGGAAAAACTGTTCGTGAAGGAGTTGGCGTCCTTGATCTTCAAACCCAAAATCAAGCCGTGGTACGAGCTCTTTCTGACGTTCTACGTCATCTTCTGGAATCTCGAATACATCAACAAAGGAGCGAAAGGCTATATGAAAGCAAAGAACGGCACTGTGAGTTCAAGTGTTTCTATTGCACAATAAATCCTGACTTTCGTAGCTCATCGAACACCAAGTCAACAATGTAGTCAACAACCAAGTCAAGAAATGGGAGTTTGCATTCCCAGTCCTGCTGTACCACTGGCGTTGTACATTACGTGGTTACTCGCCCTTCAAGCTTGCGCGCGATAATCCAGATGAGTTGCGTGAGCGTGGGCATATTGATGCAGAAGGGTTTGCATACGTTACAGAAATAGCGAAGATCTTTGACAGACTTAGTCCTGGTAAGCCCGCCGCTCTTTTGAAAATGACTACTCCTAACTTATGCAGATCGATTTCAGCCACCACTCACTGGATTTTCTGCAACACATCATTCGTTCGTAAGCGAATGGATTACCAAACTGTTCAAAGAAGCTGGAGCTTAGTCATGCACGGAATGTGATGGAAGATCACATGTCAGCAAAGGAAGAATGATTCCAAGCCAGATTTCCATATGTTGAGCGAGACTGTCAAAACAACGGATCCATTTCAGTATGTCAATAATCAGACTCTTGTACGATGAAGTACTATATAATTAACCTGTATATGCAGCCAGAGCCAATGTGCGTTCGAATGACAGAAGTCAAGTTTGCCTCCCAAATGCACACACCATACACCTCGCTGTCCCATGACACGCGGTAAATGCTTCAGAGTTTGATGCGCTCCTCAATAATGCCAAAGTTTCCTCCCGTTTCGCAGAAAATGCATTCAACCGTGGCTCTCGCGGCCACTAATGGCACGCCACGGATCCATATCGATGATGGGCAGCTCTTGGGCCCTGCCGGGCGTGAAGGGGTCGTCGAAGTTGTTTCGGAAAAGCGCCGGCTTGTCCCAGGCGTTTTCGGGATCCCGAAGAAACATGCGCAGCAAGTGTCGAGTACTCGCCTTCCCATTGGTTCCCTGGTATGCTTCGCGAGCATGCATGATGCTCAAGTTGTTGATGAACTGTATGTCACCCTGCTTGCGATCGAGCCTTGTACTGAATCGTTTTGCCAGGGTTTGGATAACATGCATGGCGTACATCTGCTTGTCTGACACCTTCGGCATGCTTGGGTCCCGCTGGATATGTGGGCTTCCGAGGAGTGGCGCCTTGACAAGTTGGCATATGGGCTTGCCCTTCGAGAAGAAAAGGGTTGGACCGAGTTCCAGATATGGCGCTTGGTCTCTAATGCTTGGTTAGTATCACGTTCATGCATATCCTTGACGCACAACTTACTTCTGTTTCAGCTCGAACGGCCAGTCTGCCTCCGCCATCGTCTCCAGAACTTCCGGCTCCGTCTTCAGCAGCTCATTGTAAATCTTCCAGAAGCTTGCAACATACTGTCTACCTCCAATGCCTGCGCCACCGTTGTTCCGTACATGAAGAGCTAGGATATCCCCTGAGAATCGATCGCTGTGGAAGTCCATTGCGGCTGTGATCTTGGATCCGGCAAGTCCAATATCCTTCGCCCACACTGGAACGACCTCCTTCGTGGCATCGCGAACATGGCTGAGGGTCTGGTTGGCATACGAGTCTGTTGCCCGCTGTGACGCAACGTATGAGCAAATACCCACGAACGCGATCACGGCCTCTTCGTCGTTGAACCTAGCTACCTCCAGACCACGCAGCACTATCACCCCAGGACCTTCGTGTAGCTCCTTGCTGACAGCAGAGAGCTTGCGTGCTAGGTTCGCCGCCAGGGGGAATGTGCGCTGGGAGATTTCGCTACGTGGAAGCCTTTGGAGCTTGAAGCCGACCACGGCAGCGCGGATGTTGTCGACCTCGGACCTCGAAAGCTTGACGATGTATTGTGCAGGATCAAGCTCTGCACCTTCCCAAGCCATAGGACCGGCAAGAGCAGGGGCGAGCTTGTCAGGGACCGAGTACGTCGAAAAGCTGCTCTGCAGACTCTCGGTGGAGGACCTCGGACTCAGCGAATGCGCTGACATGGTTGATGAAGAGATGTTGACGGTGTTGGTCGCGCGATCAAGGGCGAAGGTGTCTCGTCTATCCTGTTGAGGTTATGGAAGCAAATTGTTGAGTTGATGCTATGGAAGGTAAGTGACAGAGTCGATCCGGCAAGGTATATAAGCTTATACTCATTCACAATGCTCCATGCTGCAAGACGAGTGACGCGATGGTATGTGAAAGGAAGCCTTCAATGATCAGCCGAACTGGAGCTGATGGAGCCGCAGATATCACTTGGCTCTTGTCACCTGTCTCAGCCTGCCGTTGGAGCACCACTCAACAAACGAACGGCACTTACTGGCTGCAGGCTCCCCCTCGTATTCTAGGCCAAGCCCCATTCTCCGCCTCACGTCGTCACCTGATACACACTGCATGCTAATGCCTGTGGTCAGCGTGCTTTACTGCTCTCCCTCTGAACGCATCCTGCCTCACATCCCGGGCCCAGAAACTGCCATGCAGGTCAGCGCAAGGAACGCCTTCGAAGCTTCGCCACATGCGCGGAACTAGTCTTCCCCTCCCTAATCGTTAGACCTTCCGCAAGGCCTATGGCCGGCACATACCCGCCGCCCAGTTTCTCCACCCTCCAGCCTGGCTGGGATGGCCATGTGGGCCCTTGATCTGCCGTGTTCACGCTACGCGACATGTGGGGCCCAGAGCGGATTCCTTTCGCATATCTCGCAAAAGTGCAGCTGTTGAGGTAGCAATGTTGAGAGGCTTTAGTGTGTGCGCGTAAGAGACTCCACCGGTGTCTGATGGTTGCAAGGGTTTTCTTTGTTCTGACTCCTTGGTGCATCAGATCGTACATGTGGACGATCAGAACTATGCGTCAGCCCTACGGTTAACGAAGAGCTTAATCCTGCCACTACTTGTGTTGAGTACTCAGACGTAGTCATACTGGGGCTTGGCCCTGCATATGACATGCAGTCGAGCTTTCAGCCTTGAGGATACACGCCATGAAGGATTCTTTGTGCTCAATAATGCCTTGTAGTCAGCGCGGTCAAGGCGTGGACAGGCGGTGAACGGTCGTTTCATCTATAGCTTGATCTGAGTAAAGACGTTGATACTGTAATCACGCGGCACACCTCTCATGCGGAGTGATGTCGTGAAAATAGTTTCCTCACAACGAGAAGCTTGCCGTATTGGCTAAGCTCTGCGATCCCGAGATACCGTGATGTACCTCGCTTCCGGTCTGGCCATAGTTCACCGGTGTGCACGCGATAAGGTAAGGTGATAAGCATAGTAACTGTGACTGTGATCGAAGTGGCCATGCGCATATGAGTTCTTACCACTCGATCACGAGCATATACAGCCGTGTTTAGCTAAACAATGGCAGGGTCTGGACCATAGTTACACTTCATTGGCCGGGCCATAGAAATCGGACGGCCGCGGCTTTAGCTCGCCAACTTCTTTGTCTGCCATTGGTGAGACCTCATAACTATTAGTGCCTAGTCGCTTAGGAGCCAATGGGACGTCGCACTTTCGATCGGACGGCGTTTGTCAGTGAAGGTTCCGTGGAGCTACCCTGCTGCATGGCGCAAGCGCTATCGCTACTAATGCGATGGATGTGTGTTCACGTAGGACAACACACCTGTGGCCTGCTCTTGCTCAAGTGTTGGATTTGGGAGGTTCGGGGCGCTGTTATTGGGGCGCCACAGACGGCTTGTAGGCTTGTCAAGAGCGCTGTTGACGATCGTGTTGGAATCTCCACTTTGACAGTGGAAACAAGTTCATGACGACGCCTTCGTGTATAGCATGCAGGTGAGCGGATCATCCAATTGGACCCTGCAACGCTGCGGGTCGCTCGATGAGTGACCCTAGTAGGATTGTGTCCATGAAACCCGCCTCAACATGATGGTTGACGGAGAGCGGCGTGCTGTTAAAAGGATTCGTTCAAATCTAGCGAACCACATGGGAAGCCTGACTAATAGAGGCTTTGATATTGCATAAAGCTGTGCTATCACGAAGCGGAGATCATGCAAGTGAGAACTCCACTCGCTTTGTACAGGCTTTCGCTGTACCCTCAACTTCCAGTGCTTTCTTCTTACTTCGAACGAATATCCCTTCGTCTTGAGCGAACCTCTCGGCATAGCCAATGTGTGCACAGTGTTTGTTTCAAGGGTCTTGGCAGTTGCCATAAAGACAGAAAGTCAGGTCCGTGCTCATAGCCAGGTCGTTCTGGTGGCTGATTATAGCTGGTGTCTGATCAAGGAACCCGCGACATCGCCACCCCACTTCGGCAGGTCTGCCTGCGGCTCAGGCAATAATTTGCAGCATCGCATCTTCGGCCGATCCTGTCTATTCGGGCACGCTGGGGCGGTGTCGACCCTTGATGGTTGCTCGCGTCCTCGGACTCGGCTACAATCCGAGGGTTGCATGCCACACTCAGCTGTTACCCTGTCACAAGAGCCACCCATATCAATAAAAACTGTCGATTATTCACCGGATTGCGCGTACTCTTCTGTTGCGGGGCAGTCAGTCTGGAGATGGCGCGGCGGATTATTGGCGCATGTCGTGTTGGAACCTGCAAGCCCCAATTAGTATGTTGTAACTCCCTGTTTGAGCCTCAAATTAGCGGTGCGCTGTTTCGTTTGTGGCTCGGTATGATGTTCTTCCAAAAAGTTCATGTAGGAACAGCATCGTGTAAGTTACCTCATTGGAGGGTTCGAATACCCTGCGAAGTGTTTGCGGCACAGTCACCAAGAGCTGTCTTTCGCTTAATTTGATTTGGCGAGATAAAAGGAACAGTTGTGTAACTGCGGCGTAGTCGAATGTGTAAACGTGTAGGATGGATCGGCCAAGATGACGTCCACTCACGAGGGATAGAAGGATGGCCACGTGAACTGCAAGCCTCGATCGATTACAAGGGTAGATTCAAGCGTGGCGGAGTATCGGACGGAGTAGAAACCCTGCTTCTGCTTCCCTTTTCATCCATCAAGGCCGGAGAGCTGAAAATTGTGCCGGATGTGACGGTTCGAAGTTCGATTTGGGATCTTGTTGATCTTGGCTGCTGCAAAAGTCCCGTTTGTCCAGAATTTACGAAAGCCGGTCGTCTCTTCCACGAATAATGGACTAGCACATTCCGAGGCATTGAAATGCTATACTCTGGCATTGACATCAACAATGATGAGCTTGCTGATGGTGCAAAAGTCGCATTGGAACCAGCAACCCACATTCGGCTAGTGAATAGATAAGAAATGGTAAGGACGGTCAAGAATGGAAACTTACATGCGAAGTGTAGCCAATACCAAGTTTGTTCCAAGCACGTAGTTTGTCATCAGTAAGCACAAGCGACACTGCGAGCCAGGGCGGGAACACTTGGGTAGGCACAACTAAACACTCCGCATGAACGCGTTGAGCTAATTCCGCGGTCCTCGGATGTTGGCGTAAGTGCTCTCAAGTAATTAGGTAATCATTGAGGATGTCCACAATGACAGAGGTTGAGTTTCGGCGTGAAAGGTACGAAGGTACTTAGCTGGCACCTTCCCTCTTGTGGACTAGACTGGCCCTGACACTCGAGTGCCCAACCGCTGAAGTCCGGACGCTGCTTCCTCACGATGTCTTACGTACAGCATGTGCCTCCTGCGTCAGCTCTAATCTTACGTCAAAGCAATAACAACAGGCGAATATCATCCTGCCTTCTTTGCGTTGAAGCCAGAAGTGCGACGATCAATTTTTCCGCACCTTCACATATTGAGTGGTACCGCATAAGTTGGTGAAAGTCGAGTATGCTAGGCGTGATTGGGAGGCGGTAAAACCAGTTCATTGAACTGCAACAGAGTGATTCTGCCCCTTTAGCCGCAAGGAACACCAAAACACAGCTAAGAGGTGGTTATTCTTTTATAGCCTTTCACGGCCACCTCCTTTGCTGCAATTAGGTGCATTAAACTCGCCTTTATAAAGTTCTATCTTGACTCCTACAAAATCCTTCACACCACCAAAGGCTGACCGGCAACCCAATCGAACCTAGCACACTCGACTTTCACCAATTTATGCGGTACCACCGGCTTATACGGTCATGGCACGCCTGAGCTCTTAAACGGGGTTGGTATCAGCCACCTCAAAAGCATGTGGTTTGCAACATGGGAAACCAGTTTATATCCAGAACTGTTAGGTACCACCGTTCAGCATGATCAAATTTCGATTCGGAACTCCAGATTCAGGTTCGGCATGTTTGCAACTGCTGCAGGGTCAGGGAGCTGTTCGTTGGTCGTCAGTTCGTAAGATTTGGCCATTTGAAATACATCGCCTATCTTCACTCTAACGGGGAACGGGAATGCGAGAACTTCTGGGTATGGTGTTGAAAAAGCTTGACTTGAGTTGTACCACACCTAAACAGCTTCCAGATAAGATTGACGAGAACACCTACACGGTCGAAGGAAGGAGCCGCCATTAATATCATTCGCCTGTTGCAGCTGCCACCGACTCCTACCTCGGTACCTGGCGGCAGCGCCTACTGGGTGGTAATAAGGTGTTTGCCTTACGTGTGAACGACTCCAGCAATGTGCTCAGCAGGCTCACAAGAACAATTGGGCAAGTGTCCAGGCCAACGCCATAATCCTCGAACGAGAGCTCGCGCTCTCAACATCAACCCCGACTCACCTCCTGTTCAACAGATCGCCATCCTGAGCTCGATCGAAGAAATTCTGAGGCGCTAGGGCGATGCTGCTATATGCTTCCGTGTATAGTGTCACCGGTATATCCTCGCTTCGAGTGAAGTGATGCATGCTCGAGTTGAACCACACCACCAAATCTTCATCCTTGATGCTTTCACCATCAAAGAACTTGCTGAAGTCCTGCTGATGATGTTTTGAGTTGCCCGCGTTTTGAACACTATTGGCAAACACTTTCGCGTCATGCTGTCTTGAAACAGCAAGATGTGTCTTTGCGAACTCGGAGTTCTCAAGAGACTATGGCGACTTCAGTGTGTAAGATGAATATGTTGCGGTATCAGTAGCCTATGAGCATGACCCACACAGCATGACCATGTTGGGTTAGCAAATAGCTTGGCCTGTGTATATATATCGTTGCTTCCTAGCTAGTCAACAACTCAGCGCAGTTTTTCATCGTATTCTAGCGGCACCGTCTGCCACCATAGAATATCCGGCCTTTAGGCATGATACGATAGCCTCGAGGCTCACCCCACCCATTCGTCTTGTTCGGATTGAGCACGACGTACATGGCCTGGTTGTTGGCGGCCTAGTTGAACTGCTGCTCGGTCTGCATGATGTATACATCCACCTCCATCTGCTGAAACACGCCAAGCTCAGGGAACCATGGTTGCGACTGCTCTGCGGCTTCAGCTCCGAGACTGTAACGAGTTACCTGTCCCCGAGATGTCGAAGTCGGCTTTGAATGTGATGATGTGATCGTGCAACGAGCCTTGAGTTGCCTGCTGGATCCGAGGTCCCCACTTGCCATGCGTGGGGTAGTAGAAGGAGCTCTGGAGGTAGCCAGAGGCTCGGACGCTGACTTCGAGCGAGCCGTCCATGTGGAAACCGTAGTCAAACATGTAGTCTTAGTTGCTGACAGTTGCGATCGCGCTGACGATGAGCTGTGCGCCCTTGACAGTGCCGAGCTTGCTGAAGCCATAGTCATTGTTGGCTCCGTAGCGGTGGCGGGACAGTGGGGAAATCATGTCGGCTTCGAAAATACATAGTGAGTTGGTGTTGATGGTTGTCATGTTGCCATCGTGATATGTCCTGGAGGTAGTCAGCCATGCATGACCCAACAGTTACCGATTAGTATAGGGCCTGGAATAACTCACAGATTCCAGAACGTAGGACCCCATGAACAATTGTAGCCTTCGACAAGGGTCCCCATCTCAGTGGTGAGGCTGTAGTAAGTATCATGGTAGACTGTGTTCGCGGCCTTCGGCTGGCTGCCACCGTACTGAGCGGTGGCCTCTTGCATAGACAGCTCGTATATGATGCGCTCACCTTCGAAGCGTATGTCGTAGAACATGACAACCAAAGTTCGAGTGAGGGCGATGTAGAAGGACCATCCCATATAATCAACGTACTGGTTCTTCTCATCGACCTTGTGTCTCTTACCACCGATATCTAGGGTAGCCGGTGCTAGCCTCTGTTCGAGATCACGCTTGCTGAGCTCCGGCTTGTAATCGGCTAGTGCCCAGTCTGCATCGATCGTCTGATCGTTCTCCATTCCCAGCTCGCCAGCGTCAAAGGTTATGCGCAAAGTCTCGATCGAAGGGTATAACTTCTCACCAGTGACAAAGCCTTTCAAAGGATACAAGGAGGCGTCTGTGCCTGTGCAGTCAATTAGGAAGAAGAAGTCCAAGGTGTAATGTAGCTTGCAGGGCCTGGAATGCGGAACATGATATTAAGGAAAGCTTGCGTGCCATCGACGCTGTTAGGAGTGCCCGTTGTTGCAGTCAAATAGTCGAGCTTCTGTATGGTTGTTACCAATCATGTACTCTTGTGAATCTGGCACTTCCTTGCCACCCTCGAAGATGATCGCGCAAGCGCTGTGGCGTTCCCATCGAGGTAAGGCAGGACATTGGTCTTGTTCAGTGGCAGAGTATCAATCCAGAAGCTGTTGTAACCATCAGAGACATATACTCCTCCGTCTTCTACAAGCGAAGTTTACACATAGTTGTCCGGTGGCACCGCATAATCCGCATGAGCGAGGTTCAGGCCACTCGTAGGATCAGGGGCGGCATCTGTCAGACAAGAGACGGATGAGTTGTAGCCTCTTTTACCGAGGGCTTCATGTAGAAGTTTTCAGTCGTAGCCGAGTGATGGTAGAGCCAACGCGGTACTAGCAAAGACCGACCGGGTGAAGAGCGAAGCCACCATAGTTGCTGACGTTCGATTCACAGTGCTCCATCGCCATGCAAACACCTTTACATGCCACGAACACAGCCATACCCCTAAGATAGCGCTCTATGACTGTCCATGTTGACTTCCATGACAGTACAACGCAAGCTTGGCAGTGATACGATAAGGTGTCTTTAGACGCGCCGTTCAAAGGAAGAAGTTAGTTGCAGAAGCACTGATATGCGTCAAGTCAGTCCTACGTGTATGGCCCTCGGCCATTGTGACTTGTGTACAACGTCCATAATGGAGAGAATCATAGACAAGTCATTTGTATCATTCGGTGGCTGATCTAATCAGCCCAACATCAACAACACAGTGCTCTCATCGTCTTCTTTGTCGAGACAGCCTTTCTAATACACACTAAGGATAGGTTTCCCATCATGTAGCAACCTTAGAACGTTATCACCATTACTTCATAGTTGAAGGGCGGGGTACGGTGCATACCTTATCAATGCATACTCACCCTTGTCCGCCAAGGACGTTTCTCTGCTACAACTGCCAGAAGAAGAGATTCTGAGGCTCTGAGCATGGTGTTGATCAGAGCTTAGAGAGGATACCATCGGGTGCACAGCCGGTGTGGGTATGACATGTGTGATAGGGCTTTCGTGGTTGCGTCTTCTCTAGTATGCCTACGGCGCGATTCTTACAAGATCAGCAGTATCCAGGCATTGGCTCACTCTATCCAGAACGGAGTGAGCAAGCAAATTCGTACGTCCCCTTTGGGCCTTCTGGAAGTTGAAGACGTCAACGCATCCACTGCAAAACATCGTGTCGTGGCCTGTGCACCTTCCTTTATCGATACCCCAGCTTTCCTTCCTCAGCACACATTACCTAGCTCCTCACTCACATCCCTCTTCGTTCAGACCTTCAAAGCGTTCAGCTCAAGACGAACGCAGAAGGTGAAGTTCCAGGTCAAAAGATGCTGCATTAAAACTGGCACACGGTCTCCTACCACTCGGAGATACGCACACCAGCAACGGAGCATGTCCGCTAGCGGTCAGCGTATTGCAGCGTCGGCATCGATGATGCAATTGCTCAACCATTGATCGACAAACAGCTAATTGACAAATACTACAAACAGCTACACCGTTCAACTCTCTCATTTTCTCAGACACTCACATCAAACCAGTTACATTAGCAGACACTCTCAGCAAAAACCACAAAGACACAGCAGCAAATGTCACCTAAAGGACTCGCAATTCTCATCGGCGCTGGACCCAACACGGTTCGTAACTCAGCACACTCTATAAAAGCATTGACCGACATCTTCTCAGGGCACAGGCATAGCCCGCATCCTCTCCTCACCCGCCCACGGCAACCTCGCCGTTGCCCTTCTTGCCCGGCGTCCCGAATCCCTCTCATCCGTAATCTCGACAATCCGCTCCACCTCGCCGGATGCCGTCCTCGAAGCCTTTCCCTCGGACACGTCCAAAGCCTCCATCGAAAAAGCGTTCCAGGAGATAAAATCGCACAAGAGCTTCTCGGGCCTGAAAGCCGAAGTCGCAATCTACAGCGTGAAGCACTCGTCCAAAAAGCCGTTTTTGGAGGAAACGAGGGAGGAGTTTGAAGGCAGTTTGGAGGAGTATGTTGGTGGCGCGTTTACGTTTGCGCAGGAGAGTGTGAAGAGGTTTTATGCGGATCATGGGGAGGAGGCGTTGAGTGTGGGTGGGGAGAAGAAGGGTGTATGTGTTCCCCCTTTCAAGCGGGTGGACTTGTGGCTGACAGGTCTCAGACTCTCATATTTACCGGTACACTCGGTGCGCTACGATGCAATGCGCAATTCGCCGCGTATGGGGCTGGCCGCGCTTCTGTCCGACAGCTGGCGCAGACGCTCGCGAGGGAACTCAGCGAGAAGGGCGTGCACGTCGTGCATACGATCGCCAACGGCGCTATCGAGGATAAGGATGGCGAGGACCAGAAGACTGGTAAGAAGATGAGTGCCGACGCGGTGGGCGAGACGTATTTGTGGCTGCACAACCAGAAGCCATGTTTGTGGACGCATGAGTTGGACATGCGGCCGGCTGCGGAGAAGTTCTAGACTAGACAATCGCTGTCCTGCCACGTTCTTTTCGACAATGAACTGGGGTTGTTGATCCTGATAAGCGACCATCCTGGTACTTCATGTGCGCTTTCCATTATGTGTCTTGGATCTATGACCGTCTTCTTGGCGTGGATTCGTGGAGGAGCATCAGACTCCTGAGGGAGTTCGTATGTGAGTTGGTATGTCGCTCCGAACTTCTCGATTGGCCGTGTTCTCGACAGAGCAGAGGCCCGTGGACTACCGCAGATGGAGTTGACCGTAGCGACACAGGGCAATTCAAGTCTCTCTGAGTCCCTTCGACGGACGCCAGGTACGAGATGCAGCCTTGAGAGGCACCGCCTGTGGTTTCATCCGCGGCGGCGGCGGCGACACTGCACCAGTCTTCCTAGGCCTATCCGCCGCGTTCCTCGTACGAGGCGGAGTTTGAGAAGATGCCCGTGGTTTTACCCGCGACGGTTCTTCTGTGACTTCCGACTTCCTCTTGGCGTGCCTGGCGTTGCTGGCGCAGCTATCGGTCTCTGATTCTGTGGTCTTTGGGACTGCGAAGAAGTCCCAGTGCGCGCAGAACGCTGACCGAATCCACTGCTCTTCTCACCCTCGCCCGCACACCCCAGCGCAGTGTCCACCGAACTTTGCACCAACGCCTCAACAATGCCGCGCATTTCCTCCTTCACGGTGTTGAACTTTGCAGGTATTAGTGGCCCTACACCGTGTATCCTCAGACTCCCAGTCAAATCAACACTCCTCCCCAATCTCACCACATTCGTCACATCCCTCTTCTCTTGCATAGCATCCACATCCACAAGCCTGCCCGTCTCATCGTACCCCTTAGCCTTCAGCTCCTCCACAAACGCCTGACGCAGCCTCCGCCTCGCCCATGTCCTCACACAGCCTGACTTCGAAATGTCAATCCCGTTTGTCGCGTGCCACCACAGCCCCTCCTTCTTGTGTTCCTGCTGCTTGCGTCTTTGCGAAATGTAGAGCGGGTGCGACGGGTGTGTTGCGATGTGGTTGAGGAGGAAGTTTGTGTAGGTGGGCGAGTAGCTGACTCTGAAGGTTTTCAGATTCAGCTTCGACAGGCGGTGTACGACTGCCTTCATGCCGCCATATACACGCCAACAATTCCACTCCAGCAAGGAGATAACGAGCGTATATGGTCAGCCCTTGAGCGGTAAACGCTCGGAATATTCACTATTGCGGACGTACAATGACGACGGCACAAGTGGGCCTAAAATTATTCGGTGGGAGGCGCGCTAGCAGAGAAACGGTAAGCGCGGTTTGAGCGCACATCAAAGGTGCCCACAGGGTGAATGACACACTCGCCCCACGCTTCTTGGGTATAATACCAAACCTGCCCGCGCCCGAGGCTCGCACAACAAACAACCGACTTCTTCGTCCACACACACACACGAACAGTCGCCAGCATGCCCAAGAACAAGGGAAAGGTGCGTAGATTTTTGTTGTGATGTGACGGAGGGGCTGCCCCGCGGTGAAGCGCGCACATGCGACGACGCCCAAAAGTCTTCCAGCTGCACAGCAGCGTCGTTTCTCGTGGCGCTCACTCAGCACCGAGCCCCTCTGCGCGGCAGCAGTACTCTACACATGTCAACAAACACTAACGCCTCGCAGGGTGGTAAGAACAGGAGACGTGGAAAGAACGAGAACGACAACGAGAAGCGCGAGCTCGTCTTCAAGGAGGAAGGGCAGGAGTACGCGCAGGTCGTCAAGATGCTGGGCAACGGCCGTCTGGAGGCGCAGTGCTTCGACGGCGCACGTCGCCTCGCGCATATCCGCGGCAAGCTGAGGAAGAAGGTCTGGATCAACCAGGGCGATATCATTCTGCTGTCGCTGCGAGACTACCAGGATGAGAAGGGCGATGTGATTATGAAGTACTCTGGTAAGTCAAGCCACTCTTACGAGACCAGAGCACTGGGGGTGTAGAGGTGTTGGGAAGGAAGTGTTGGCCGTGTGCTAACATTGTTGTTCCTCAGCCGACGAAGCCCGTTCATTAAAAGCCTACGGCGAGCTCCCCGAGAACGCAAAGATCAACGAGACCGACACATACGGCGACCAGGGCGACGAGGGCATCGGCTTCGAGTTCGACGAGGACCGCGACTCCGACTCCGAGGACGATGCCGACGGCACCGGCAAGAAGGAGATTGATATCGACGACATCTAGCGTGTCGGTCGTGTACGGGTGGAGGACGTTGGGTTCCGCCATGCTGTCTCGGCTGCTGTGCGAGTGCACGGGGCTGAGCTGCTCAAATGCTGCTTCTTGCGAGCGGGCGGATGGATGGTGGAAAAGTTACTTCTGAGGGGAGGGGGGGCGGGGGGGGGGGGGGGGATGATTATGATATTGGGATAGTGGAATACATGCATTATACCCTTCAACACCCATTTCTCCTGCATTCGCCATACATGTTCATTACCATGCTCAACTGACTATATATGACTAGTTAAAAGGTCGGCAGCTGCACATCTTCATATACACTCCGATTGAAAAATCGATACACCCTCCTCCCCACATTCGTTCCAATAAGCCAACAAATCTCCCTCTCCAGCATATTCGCCAGCTCCTCGATATTCTCCACCTGCAGCATCAGCGTCGTGACAATACTCTCGTTCACGCCCGGCAGCGTCCTGAGCATGTCCTGCGTCGTCTGGTTGAAGGACCGCATCTCGTCGCCGCCCATGCTGGGATCGAGGCCGAGAGACACGGCTTTGAGCGGGTCGGGCTCGTCTTGCTGTTTCTTTAGCTCTGCGAAGATCTCGGCGGTTTGGTAGGGCGAGGAGGACCAGATTATGCGGAGGCGTGGGAAGGCCAGGGTCAGCATGACTAGTTTGCCTTGTAGATCTGGGGTCGCTGCAAGTCCGGACGTGTTGCTCGCTGAGCTGAAGTCTGCGAACGGTTCGAGGGTGAACGACTTGTTTGCGTCGAACTCGATCAGCAGCATGGGGTGCTTGTAGTGCTCTGTCATGGACTCGACTTGGTTGTACAACCGCCCATTGGCGAACGAGCCGATCAAGTCACGCACGGATTTACGCTCGATGCATATCTGCGGGGAGAGCACGTAGTCGCCCACTGTCAGCATGCACGGTACGATGACCATGGAGCGTCCGTGTAGCAAAGACGGTAGAGAAGAGCGAAATTCACGCACGTCGACGACGACGCGGGGTGGTTCTGTTGTCGCTGTCAAACGGCCGCCACCTGCTATCCTGGTGTTGATTGTGCGGAGGAAGGATTCTTCAGGAGCCAGGTTCGCGTTTGCGTTCAGCGTGAGGGCCATGTTTGCACGCTCTTTGATCAAGCGTGTGAAGGCGTCCTTTTCGCGGCGCACGGCGGAAAGGTACCGTTGTTCTTCTACGCTGCCGCCGTAGTACATGAAGAACACCTTAACGGTGCGATCGGTGTGTGATGACCGGTAGACTTCGATGCGTCGAATGAACGCAGCATCGGGCTCGTACATGATCACGTAGCGCGGCTTGGTCTCCTCGAGGATGTGCTCGTCGAGGTCGCCAGAGTAGGGGTGGATGATGATGGTCGAGTCCATCGAGAAGAGCTCGTAGTAGTCTTCCATGTTGTCCAGAGGGTCGTAGCCGACTTCGCCTGGCTTCTGTGCAGCTTCCAGTTCGGTGGGTTGGAGTTCAGCCATGAGGCTTGCGATGTGCGCATCTTTGTCGCCTGATGTACGCACAGCACCGAAGTCGTTTCGCGTCGAAGTAGCAGTGTTGCCGCCTCCTCTTACGCGTCGCCGCTTGTTAGGTGGTGGTTTGCCTGAGGTTTTGCCACTTTGGACCTTCTGATCAGTGCTGCCGTTGATAGCCTTCTGGTTCTCCTGAAAGAGGGTAGAGCTGACTTTGCTGAAGTCACGCTTCCAGGACAGATAGTTGCGAAGCTTTCGCCTCATCATGAATCTGCCGGATGGTTCACCTTCCTCCTCGTCCTCATTCGTACTCTCCTCAGACCTGACATACATGGTCTGAAGATATTCCCTCAGCTGCGAGCAGGTACCATGATCACCACACATAATCAAGATGGAGCCATTGGAGCTGTCTTGGGGTGTAGGATTGAAGTAGGCATCTTGCTCGATCTCTTGAAGAATTTCTGCGAGTTGTACCCATTTCGGAAACTCCTCAAGTACAGGTTCCAGAGCTTCGGGAGCGATGTTAGCGTCTCCTGCTAGCTCGGCGTTGGTAACCTTGCCAGTATATACCCTCCGTTTCGCGGTGCTGAAGATGGTATCGGCAGCGTCAAGGAAAAGCCACGGCGATTGATTCTGTTTTGTTGAACCTGGTGGTGGTTGTGATGCTGCTAGGACGGTGTCGAGGTACTTGTTGAAGTTTACAGCATCATAAGTGAGTAACGCATGGAGGATCGTACGAAGCAACGACAGGTCGCGAACAACCTGCCGCGTCTTGAACGTTGTGCGATGCCAGACGGGATCGAGCTGACGTCGAATAATCTGGTCGAAGTTTTTGTGGAGTGCACTGTCCAGCGTCCAGTCCTCAACCTCGAGTCCTGGGTTGGCCTTCTTGAGCTCGCTGATGCTAGCCTCTACGCACTCAAGCACGGCGTTCTGTATATCCTGCATAGCATCTGTCATGGGCACTTCCAGCTCAATGACTTCTGCCTTCTTGCGTCCCTCGAGCGAGTTTGCGACCGAGACGTGGAACCGCGGGTACAGAGCTGGCTTCTGTAAGAAGAGGTTCTTCATCATGTTCGTGAGCGGGGAGTAGCCCATAGTGAACGGCTCTGGTGTATCCGAGAAGGCCTTCAGGAAGCCTGCCTTGTTCTTCTGCCGGTAGATTCTCAGGATGAAAGCCTCAAGTGACGTCGCAACCACCTTCTCAGCGTGCAACACCACCAGGCCAGTCACCGTCTCCGGATTCAGCAGGCCAGACAAAAAGTCCACGATGAGGATTCGCGACGTGATGCTGAAGATGCCGCCCTGCGCATACATCTTCTCACGTGTCCCCACGCTCATCAGGTCTGTATTTACCAAGCTCAGCCCTCTACACTTCGGCGCCTGGCTGACAGCCGCATGCTCAGCGAGCGCCTCGCCAATCCACACATTCTCGCGTTCGTCCGCGCCGACAAGCAGGATGAGATTGTTTCCAACGGCATCGTAGGAGTGGAGGAGGTTCGTGACTATGCGCAGAAGGCCGAGGCCTCGCGCGAGGAGGACGAGCTCATCCTCTTCGCGTAGCTCCTTGAAGATGTTTTGTTGGAATTCCTATGATGTCATCAGTCGTTTTCCTATCACGGGCGTTTAGGGCAAGTACAAGAGGTAATGAGAGCTTCACGGGGGCTTGTGCATCGCCGGGCATTTGGTGCAGCTGTGACGGCGGCGGTGGGGTGTGAAATGGAGATGCGGGGGCGCCGAAAGCGCGTCGAATGTGGAATTGCGACTTGATCGCGTAGTCACGAGGGCATTACATCTCCACTACCCTCCATTGTCTGCCACTTCAAACACCATTTTAGCATCAGCTTGAATCTCCGTACAATGAGTAGTATACATCGCATAAGTTGGATTGCTAGAAAAGGCCCCATGCCACAAGTCGCAGGTCTGACGATTCATAAGCAGCGGACCTTGAAGTCAGTCAAGTCTGTTAGGAACCTCAGTCGAGGCAAAGCGAAGATTTTGTTCATTCTCATACTCATACAGATGCATGTATACACAGAAAGAAGGCAACGCTGGCAGTGGCAAAGTCAAAGTCGTGCTCATTGCGAAGCGTTCCTGATCTCTTGCTGTAGTCTCCTAGAATCCGCAGCGTATGCATCACGCTCATCCCTCAGTCGCTGCTGCTCTGCCGCTGACTTTTGTGCATCGTGCTCCTTCTGTGCAATCCAGACTGTATACGTCAGCATATTTACTCAAAGCCCCATGTCACAAGCTTCGAAACTTACTAGGCTTCTCCGACTTTGACAGGTCCTTCAATTGGGTCACGAAACCATCGAAGTCCTTCTGGCGCTGTTCCCTGTTTGCGAGTGCCTTCTTCTGGAGCTCAGGGCTGTAGGCCTGGGAGGGGTTAGATGCGTCGTATTGCACGTGGCGAAGTGGTTACCTTGAATATCTCCTCCTCAGTCGGTGTCACCCACATGACCAGCGCGGGACCACCAATGCAAAGTACTGCGCCTCTATGACATGTCAGTTGGCGAACTGGGATGCTCGAGAAACTTGGACGTACGCCGAGATGGCCTTGATGTATGTCCCCATTCCAGGCATGTTGGTGGTTGTTGCAAGGTGTGATAGGTTGAGCGGGTCGGTAACGTGTACAGAGTTCAATGTATCACGGAAGCGGCAGGACGTCGAGGCTGTGATGTCAAGGTTGTCGTTGTTGATGTCCACGCCTTCGAGAAACCGATGATCAATATCATCAGTCCAGAAGAGTTAGCTGTGGCGCAGTGACGCCACGATTGTCCAATGCGCTGCCGTTGGTGGAACCCACTGCCACACGCCCCCACCCGACGCTTGCACCCCTGCTGCATGAGACCACCAGTGTTCCGGGCCTCAGGATGGATCCGAGTGGATTAGCATTCGACGGTCTCAGGGCCTTGCAGACTGTCATTGGCACATCTCAGTTGATGGCCTGTGTTTGCAGCGGCTATGCGACCGTCATCGTGTAAAGCATGCTCGAAGTGGACAAAAACAAAGCTTGATAGTCACGGCTGAAACTTGGACCATGACCGTGAAATCTACGTATTCTCTTCAAGGGTTCCACATTTCTCATTAATATTCTCCCCGCCTGCCCGCACTGAAGTTCCACTGATCTTAGTTTGATTGTGCAGTTTCAAGGTTCCCCACGTAGCAAGATTGACTGCCCTTCCACTTGCTTGAAGGCATGGACGCATCCACCTCTCGTCTCAAGCATAGCCGGGGCACCACTGGCGCCTGAAACCACGCTCGAGAGCACAGTATCTGGGCTATCTCTACGTTGTTCGCTGTCAGCAAACGCATTGCCTTGATTCACAGAGTTAACGCCGCGGAACCCTCCCTTTTCCCGTCCACAACGTTCTTTAAATTGAAGACCCCTGCCAAGTACCACGCAACCTTCTCAGACTCACATAGGACGTTGAACCAATCAACCACGCAACCTTGCTGGCAGTTCCGACGCCCCGGCCTGAAGCTTCAGCAAGCTTTTGTTTCGGTGTCAAGGACAGTCGCGTCCGAGCTCTGGTTTAAAGGCTGCAGGTCCCCGCCGTTGAGGGGCGCGATCCGCACGCACTACTCCACGATAGACGCGCCCAGTGCATGTGGCTTTGCTGGACCCGATATACGATAACGCACCCTGCGTCGCCATGGCATACCAGCAGCAGTACGACGGCCATCCGCAGCCGCGACAGCAGCAACAGCAGCAGCAGCAGCAATACTACGATCAGGGACATGCGCCGCAGGAACAACAGCAGTATGCAGGCTACGACAGCCAGTACGACCAGCAGTACTACGATTACGGCTACGATCAGCACGGATACGATCAGCACGGCTGGGACGACGGCTACTACAACAACCCGCAGGCCGGACATGGAAATGCACAGCAACAGCAACAGTACGATGATGGAAGCGCATATGAGAGACAGCCCCCGCAATCACAAGGGCGCCGCCCACCACCACAGCAGGCGCAATATGCGCAGGACCAAGGCTACGACAACCACCAACAGCAGCGACTATGGCAGACGCAGGGACAGGATCCCAGGCGGCCAATGGACCGAGGAAATGCGCCGCAGCCGAACCCACAGCAAGGTCGAGGAGGACTAAGACCGCCAGGTGAGCTCCTATGGACTACGCGCCCAGCAACAAAGCGCTGACCAGTTGATGCAGGCTTGGATCGCTCTCTATTACAGCAAAAGTCGCCCAAAAGGAGACCCCAGGACAACCCGTTCCCGACCTTTCCTACACAAAATGCGAAGCAGGCACCGCCGAAAGAGAACTTGGACCAAGCTATGTCAAAGATGGAGATCAATGGCACCAGGCCCGAGGAGAGGCAGAGGCGACCCTCAGCACGAGGCATGCACCCAGATGGTAGAGGCCCGGGAAGGCCAGAGCCAAATGGTAGGGCAGATTCAGGGCAGTTCGAGAGTAGTGCGCAGGGCCAGCGTCGGCCACCACCAAATCGCATGGCTTCTGGCCAGCGACCGCCTTTGGTGGAGACGGACGGCAGTAGAGGACCACCTCAGCCACGGCAACAAGGTCGAAAGTCTCCCTCGCAGCAGATGTTCGGTCCTGGAATGCAGCGTGCGGTGACGATGCCCCAGAACATAGACACGACCCAGCAGCAATGGGCTGATCCTGGCGCCTTGGATAGCTACCACGGCCCCGAGTCGCCTTCGTACATCCCTCCCAGGCCCTCGACAGCTGGCAGCAACAGACAGAACAGACCACCCAGGCAGCCACAAGAGCAGCCCCCAGTGCCACGAATGCAGACTCAGCAGCAGCAGTATGTTACACCGAGCCAACAATTGCCATCTCCAGATGACCATCGGTCCACCCTGGACACCTTCTACGATGATTACTACCAGCGGGGCAGCAACCGGAAAAGCATAGCTTCGACAATAGACATGCCCAACTTTGATGCAATACCGGAGACGAGCCGCGGGCACAGGCGAGGCGACTCGATAGACAATCATCTATCGCCGAGCAACTTTGGCGGTCTGCGACAGAACATCCAGGCAGTTGGTCCAGTAGACGAAATACCTGCGCCGAGCAACTTCCAGCAGCACTCATTGCGGAGCAGATCGCAACCTGACCTGAATGCGCAGTACAATGGCGCTTACGAAATGGCCGCAGATGCCCCGCCTATGCCTGCGCCGTCGAGATCAAACACGGGCTTCGCAGGTCCCAATGGGCTGCCGAACGGTCCCCGTGGACGTGGACCACCTCCACGCGGAATGACTACCGATGGTATGCAACGAGGACCGCCCAATCAAGGCTATGGCGCAGGCCAGCAACCAAACTTCGACCCACGATATGGAAGGGAACCACCACCTGTCCAGCGAGGCTATTCAGATGATTCCGTCTACTCTGAACCGCCACTGAACACCATGAGGAACGTCTCCTCGCCCTTGCCAGGACCTTCTATCGCTAGACCTGGGACAGCAGCACCAGCACCTGGGCGTATCCCAAGCGATCCACTCGGTCGACGACCAGGAACGACTCAACCACAAATGAATCCAGATGCGCTCCCTGCGCACCCAGTCCCAATCCGAGCCGGGCTCGTGCAACAGCATCAACAGCAACCGCAACGGCAACCGACTATCGCACAGAGACCGCCTCCCGTCCGACAATACAACAGCGATCAGTCCCGTAACAGCCTCGAGAGTCAGCATTCCATCGCACAACGATCTACGGGTCAACGACGTAGCTCTGTGCCGCATCCTGTAACGTACGACGAGTTAAATCGCCTCCGCAAGGCTTGGAAGGACAATTCTACAGATGACGCTACTGGACTAAAACTAGCGAAGAAGCTGGTGGAGGCTGCCAGTGTGCTTGCTGACGAGAACGGGACAGCAGACAAGCGAGCACAGGCCAAGAACAAGGAGAAGTTCGTTGTCGAGGCTCACAAGATTGTCAAGAAGCTTGCCCAACATCAATATGGCGAAGCCATGTTCTACCTTGCGGATTGCTACGGTCAAGGGCAACTCGGCCTGCAAGTCGACACCAAAGAAGCATTCACACTCTATCAAGGCGCCGCAAAAGCAGGTCACGCTGCAAGCGCCTACCGTACAGCCGTCTGCTGCGAGATGGGCCACGAAGAAGGTGGTGGCACGAAGCGCGATCCACTGAAAGCAGTGCAATGGTACCGACGAGCTGCAGCTCTAGGTGACACCCCAGCGCTCTACAAGATGGGCATGATCCTTCTCAAGGGCCTGTTGGGGCAGCAAAAGAACCAGGGTGAAGCTATCAACATGCTGCAACGAGCCGCCAACCAGGCGGACCGAGACAACCCACATGCCCTCCATGAGCTGGCCCTTATATACGAGCAGCCAGCTAACGGAAACGAGCGCGTTATACCAGACGAAGCCTATTCTCTGCAACTCTTCATGCAAGCAGCAGACCTTAGCTACAAATTCTCACAGTTCAGACTCGGTCAGGCATATGAGTATGGATTGCTAGGCTGCCCAATCGACCCAAGGAAGAGTATTGGATGGTACACTAAGGCCGCAGCACAGGAAGAACACCAAAGTGAACTCGCACTTTCCGGCTGGTACCTCACCGGCATCGAAGGTGTGCTGCAGCAAAGTGACACCGAAGCATATCTCTGGGCGAGGAAGGCGGCATGTGCAGAACCCCCATTACCGAAGGCGTTGTTTGCTATGGGGTACTTCACTGAGGTGGGCATAGGGTGTCCAAAGAGCTTGGAGGAGGCGAAGAGGTGGTATGGAAGAGCTGCTGGTAAGTCACTCAACTCTATCAACACATCGTACAGAGCTAACGGACGCAGCATACAAATTCCCCAAAGCGCAGGAACGCCTTGAGGAATTGAAGCGCGGTGGGTCCAAGGCCCAGATGAAGCGCGAGCGTCTTAGTAGGAGCAACCAGAAGCAGCAGGAGGAGAACTGCAGTGTCATGTAGCGCATCAAGAGTTGAAGGAGTGGAATACACCTTAGGCGTACTCTTGACGCATCGACTTTTGCATGTTCTCAAATTGGGGGGTCTGGCGCATCTGCCAATGTTGGGTTGTCTCGGGTACAGGGCTAGCATCAAGAGTGAGCATCCAATCCATACTTTCCTCCTCAGGCGATCGATGCCTTTTTGACAACAGAATGCACCTACACCCCGTGGGGGCATGGAGGTTGAAGACTTCTGGCCAATCGCAGGTGCTCAGGTGGTTCGAAGTATCCAGGTATGGCAGGCGCGTCCGACAGGCATGCCTTGGCCTCGAGGTACCTGTGGCTTCGCTCCTTCGATTACACACGTGACAGTAAACATGTACCCATGTTGGCTGATCCTGTCAATCGTACCGCACCTTTCGCAGCATGTCATCAAGCAATGAGGAAAACCACGAGTCTCGATCGCGAGGAAGCATAGCAACACTTCGCGAAGGTAGCCGTCTGGTACGCCAACCATGTCTCCAGCGTCTGACGGTTGTGTTGTCTGATTGTCTCTCAGTCGCTGTGCAACCTATGCGGTAGCCTCAAGATCATCGTCCACCATTTTGTCATCCAGTCATCATGGCACCTTGGAAACCATGAACCTGAGGCAACATCTTCTCCAGCGTTCTCAACCGGTCTTACACAACTTGGTTTGCTGGATGACATTTATTGGAGGAGCGAACAAGGCTGCAGTCTTTGTGGCTCGGTCATGAAGTCCCTAAAGCACTCGCTTGGTAGAATGACTGATCGCCGAGCGAATGAGCTTGTGATTGCTGGCGATGTCATCTGCTGTATAGTTTGAGAGATTGATGGCCGTCACGCCGTTGCAGCCGGTCAAGGTTCATACCAATCGTCAAGAAAGAGACATTGTTCGTGGACGCACAAGAGGAATACGTCTTAACTAGGATTCTGACGAGCTTACCGAGTCGTGTCTTGTCTTTGTTGACGAGGAGAAATACATGACATCTTGGTCCGATGCCCACCGATCCTGGAGCCCGGACAACGCACCGGCTCCATACGTCACACTCAGTTATGTTTGGGGCAATCGAACTACTTTTGTGACCACCCTCAACCACATTGAGCTCTTGAGGATACATACGGTCTCGAAAAGACCTTAACGACACTACCTACTGTCATCCGAGACACCATCGACCTCATACGTTGTTTGGAATTGCAGTATCTTTGGGTTGACGCATTGTGCACCGTGGCGCTGCTTCTCGTTCCCAACCGCAGTGGGCCTTGATTTCGCGAGTTATACGTCCAACAGGAGGTTTGCGGTCAAGCGACATGATGCGTGAGTAGGTAGCAAGTATGGAATAGAAGCATGAGATGCGATCAGGTAGGTACCAAAGCCAGTGTTGGTGCCATAGCGATAGTATTTCTTTTGCAAGCGCTTGTTGAGTGCAGATGCAGTAGTGGGAAGAAAACCACAAGTGGTTAGGAAGATCAGGACAGGTCTGCGTTGGCACGTAAGGGCGAACACAAGTACTTGCGTGCTTCAGCCACGGTCGACGCATATACGGTATAGAGAGGAGCAGATTAAGGTGGTTCTGGTCGCAAAGGGTTCGATTTGACGGCGGTGCGCAACCATTCATGGACCATAGCTCCAGCTCAACAAAAGTTCATTCAAGGCAGACCAACACGGGTCTCGCCATGCCTGAGTTCCTGCTCTAACGCCTTGTCTTCTGGACTCTTAGTTGACAGTAAGTCATCCAGTGTACCGTCGAGTGACATCGTCCGTATACAAGTGGTTGGAGATTGAAACGATGGATCCACTTTTTCGTCGAGGCTGGGATGTCCCTTAATCGTGATCCCAAATATCCAGCAAATCTGCTGCTCGTGGTAAGTTCTCCTGAGTTCTACTTCCACAGCATTGCCGCAGCAAAGGGGTGCTCTATAGCAATCGCGGGCGTATCCGAGGTTTTCCTTAATGAGCATGTTGACCAGATGCTTGGAATCAAGCTTCCCTTGCTTCCAATGGAATTCTCCTTGCACGCCCCGTATTTTAGGTGTGTCGTACCATCTTACAAGGACTGTTAACTATGGATATTTCGGATTTCTATCATGCGAGACTGTGTGTGGATGCCATCACAAATTCCTTAGATGTGATGTTCATCGTCTCCGCTGCAACGGGAATCCACGCCCAACCCTCGGCCCCAGTCCCGATCGGCAATCTTGCTTGAAGGTAATGGTCGAACTGACGTCGATCATATATCAACACACAAGATGAGCCGCTTGTGTCCCTTTCAGGTTCTGGAGCTGCCTTGACATAAAACTCTAGGGATTCAGCATCTTCTATATCCCTGAGCCCCACCGGTGACAGATCAGAGCCTGGTAGCCTGTGGAACTGCTCGCCGTCAGAGCGTTCAAGCCAGACTCCTAAGCGCACTCTGTTTTTGTTCTCGCAATCGAGGATCGCCACCATTCGTTCTTGACTTATCGGTATACATGGTAGGTTGATCCTCAGCCCATTACTGGTAATTTCGTAAGTCGCAGTCGCTGCAGATCTATGTGAAGCAATCACCGGATATGCGCTGGATGTTGGTATGCTGCCAGGACTGTGCCAAAACTGTTGATACGGATGTATGCGATTGGAATCACTGAATCTGCTATGCAAAGATGGTGTGCTCGTTCGTCTGCTTAATGAGTTCTAGCTGCAATCGATAGAATGCTTTTGCACCTTCTCCATAGAGCATAGGCATGTTGTTTGCGGGCGGTCTCCGCCTCTCATTGGTCCAGCTCATTAGTGAGCTCCCGCCTGCGGCACCGTAGATATTCGCTCTTCCTATAGTACCAATACTACAGATCATTATTCCACTCATCACATGTTGCTATTGACAAGCTCTAGCAGATAGTATGCCATATCTCCAGCTCTTGTTGTCTGCCCCAAGGACGCCCAACTGAACCCTGTCGCTATGCTTGCTGTCGAGATCAAGTGCTGGTTCAGAAGATATGGCCTCCCTGTGTTTGTTGCACGGACGATATGACCCAGCAGCTTCGTCCTTGAGTCAAGGCATTGCCAGCTCTGGGTGTAGAATTCGACAACACTGGGGCAAGAAGTTCTTGAACCGTCCAACTTCGTGTGAACCAACCAGGCTTTCCAAAACTGTGCCCACATTGTATACGAGTTCTGGATGGTGGAGACCTGTTTTGCAAGCAACTTCTACATTGCTCATCGGGACCCGTGACGTCCGCCAGGTACGCGTAACAGGCGGCGGCTTCCCAATACCACTTGTACATCGATTTTGATCGCTTCTGACAGCTCAGCGCTGCTCTTCTTGTCGATGCAGGAGGTGTCAAATATCCTCTAACAACACATCATCTTCTCCCCAAGTATGCGACAAGATCACATACTCGGGTGCGTTGGCGACAAAGTATTGCAACTTCAAGGTTTCGTTGTTGAGAAGATGTATCTTTAAGCCGATCGGCAGGTACAGTGAGAGGATGTGCGGGCTGGACCGTAGTGGCTGCACATTAGAAGCGGGGCAAGCAATAATTGCTGCATGCGCAAATCGAGCACGATCTCGTACTGCGTGCGATGGGTCGAGAGACCTGGCGAGAAACGCTACCTATCCCAAAGTTGCGGCCGCAGCTGCTTGTTGCAAGTGCATCTGTGCGTAAAGTGGGTTCGAAAGGCTTTGGAGAGGGGCGACGCGCTGCTTTTCGGCAGCTGCAAGCCGCGCCCGATGCCATGCTGCATGATCATTGGCACCACCCATCCCGGGTCTTGAGAAATGGAGTATGCAAAGGAGAGACCTCAGCCATTTTGAGTATGATATTACTTATTACTATACAGCATCACGCGTCTCTGTACGTCTCGTCTCCAATATGCTAATGTGCTATCCTATTATAGATAGAGTCCTGCCGTGTGGGAACCATTCCTCCACCAACTTTATGGAATCGTGTTGAAGGAGAATGCAATTTGGTATATAGTTGACAACGCCTTGCAACGATGCTTGCCCTCGGGACTCACGTGCTGAGCTTCACTCAACCGCTCTTGCCTCTCAGCACAGCAAAGAGGCTACCAAAGCAGCTCCTGCTCTCAGCCTTAGCAGCGCGCTTGCCCATCAGAACCAGCTCCTTTTCTCTCTCTTCCTCAAGCTCATTCGCACGTCTGACGCGCTCCTGCATCCTTGCTTTGTGATCGATATGCATGTTTGCCTTGGCTTCTTCTCGCTCCTTCTTCCACTGCGTAAGGCTCTCTCGCTTGGGCACTGTGCGCGCCTCAAAGCTGACTCGCCGCGAACCATCGGACTGTCGATGCAGAATAGTTCGATTCATGTCATGGGTAGAGTGAGCTGGCGAAGGTGAAGTGATCCGTCGCTGCGCTTCCAGTTGTGCATGGTAGCGTAGTGAGTTCCGGTGCGGTGAAGCAGACTGTCGGTGTGCCGAGGAGTTTGGTGGATGAGATGTTAGGCTGGCATGGCGGTTCTGATGTGAAGAGCTGCATGCAGATGTTGGATACTGGTCCCGTCGACTTGGTCGCGTATGGCTATTAACAGCCGTAAGTGCCGCCAACGCCTGGTTTCGTGCTCTTTGTGCGCTGATCTGTCGAGGCTGTTGTGTTGGTAGTTGACGAAGATCTGGGGCAGTCACGTATCGGTGCGGCGCGCGCGTATACTTGAACCCATCTGTAGGTAACGACAACGTGCGGCTCGATCTATTGGGGTTCAGGTTCTTCGATCTAGCAGATTCTCCGAAGGATACCAAGTTTTGGTTTTGCAGGATGAGCTCTGCGCAATAGCCCTTCATGTCTGACGTTGTGCCATGCGGTAATGGAGGTGCATCCTGCGAAGTGTACGATGTATTAGAAGAATCTGATCTCGATCGATTAATAGCGCTATCGCGAGATTGATACGAGCTTGAGTCTGTGCTTGCACGTTCGGAAGGTTCGGGTCGCGCGTCGTATTGGCTAGCGTTGTTGTTGGTGTTCCCTAGGCTTGCGCGTCGCTCGACTTGTCTAGATAAACAACTGCCGGCAGTGTTGTTTTCCAGCAATGTTTGTGTGCTTGGAGGATGTCTTATAGAAGTCTGACGTGAGCTTGCAGTCGGCCGAGCATCTAACGTTGTAATTTCGGTCCCTTGATCTGACATGCTTCGCCGTACCCTTGCTTCTGCGATTGCCAGCTCATGCCGCATTCTTGCCCGCTCCCTTTTGGCGTTCCAACCTTCAACTTGATCTGTCGTCATTGGAACGGGTCTGCGAGCTTGTGCCGTTCGTGAGGTCTGGGATTCCTGTCCATAAGCAGGCGTGACTGTGATCGATGATCGTGGAACATGTATGTTTGGGCTCGAGTGATGTTGTGGAAGACTTTGTCGTTTGACAGGTTTGAGAGTGGGCTTGCCCACGCCAGGAATGTTGTCATGTCCTAGTCGTCGTATGTTCTCGATTCCGACAGAGGACACGAGATCTGGCAAGCTTCCGTCGTTCGTTGAGAGCTCGCTGATCGTTTGTAGGGTTCTTCGTCGATTATGTGGCTGTGGACGCTGGCTTGCGGATGCGCTCACGGATAGAGGCCCGTTGGGAGACAATTTCTGCAGAGGCATGCTGGTAGTAGACCGTGAATCAGGAGAGGGTAGTAAAAACAGAGACTTCGGAAGGCTGAATCAGTACTCGAAAGGAAAGGTTGGAAACAGAAGAGGATCTCGAAAGATGCCGTCTTCTCTCACAAACGATAGAAGACGTCCGCAGGATCGGAGGTGACAAAAAATGCGGAGAAAGGGTTCAATTACCGCCTCAGGTACCATACGGCATTTCCAGTACCATGGATTGGAGGCAAGGGGTGATTTCCGTTGCACAGCAAGTCGGGTCGCCCAATGTGCTGAATATGAACGAGCTGTTCTCTTGAGCGGTGAAAATCCCAGCTGACTGTCGTGTTACATCCTTGCATATATGTTTTTCCCCGGGCCGGAACGCTTAGCTATGGAGTTTATGATGTTTTGTTGGCGTTCCACGACCGATCTCGGGACGCGTGGATTCACATGCAAGGACAGCACGGCTCGTGAGTAGACGGTAAGGGTCCAACTGCGAACAACTGTTTACCGAGAGCAGAAGGCCGAACATTACGGAATGGTGTATCTGTAATTGGTTCCGCTTGTAATGGAATATACTAGCGAGAGATGGCAGTCCGTCGTCGTAGAGCTCGGATCGTCCCGACACCTGCATGCGTCTCTCGATACCTGCATCATCTGGTGAGGTCTCGAGATTCCACAGCTTGCACTTAAGTGAGGGCAGAGCTAATCTTAATATGCCTAGAATGGTGGCATGGATGTCCATCCCACTCCGAAGGAACACTCACATGGCAGAATTCCAGCATACAGTGTTGGTGAACACTATCCACGCGTCTGTCCTGTTCCACGGTCAAGCCCGGTTCAGCCGAAAAAAGCAAATATTGTCTCAACGTAGCCGGGTACAGCAGTATGGAGATGCGAGGAGCTGTAAGCATGCGGGTGGGCCGCAAGATCGGGTCTGTGTAACCATTGTGGCACTACTCTTCGCCGCACAACTCCATAGCCACTTGCTACCACAGCTGATTCCTGTCAAACGTATCGTTATGTCGGTCTCAAACTTGCAGCACTGTGAGAGACATTGAAGGTTGTGAAAGCGTTGGCAGCCACGAAGTATGGAGTCGGTGGTGCGATCATAGGCCAAGTTTGAGACATGTCACAATCACGCCTTTGAAATCGTGATGTTGGAGAAGTGGAGAGGCTGGCATGCGGACCGGAAGGCCTAGCGGGCACAGGCCACCGCGTAGCGCTTTTCCCGCTTTCCCCTGCCAATGTGAACAAACAAAACTGCAATCCTTTCCCACGTTTTCCATCGCTGGAAGCCGCTTGGAAATGCAAATCTCGGGGACATGCGTCATGCATTGCATATGCTTGCTCGCAGAAGCGATCGTCTCGGACGTCCGTCCGTCGAAGGTCATGCTATCACCATTTACTGAGAATGTTAAGTTCCTTCAGCCATTGTTTACAATCGCGTCTCAACAAACACGTGCGTCGCGTGTGATCCGCGTTTTAGCGGCAATGATGACGAATGCCTTGATGTCATACATCACCAAAGTTCAATGCAAATGTGGGGAACAGCTAATAACGCTCACTATTGTCCATTGTGGAAGTATCAATAGGGTGACAACGAACACCCTACGATTCCAAGAGCACAATGCCTCCATCGAAGCGTCGGAAGACCGGCAATAAGGCCAGTGTTGCCAGAGGTTCACCGGAAAAGGATCCTTTGCTGACAGACACTTCTTTTGACGACTCGAGTTCTGAAGAATTAAGGCCTGATAACAATACCGAGATGATCAGGATTCAACTGTACAAACTGAGAATTTCCGAACCTGAAGGCTCTTCTTCTGACTCTACTGATTCTCCTGATGATCAGAGTTCAGAAGACAAACTCGAACCTCAGCTTCTCAGTCACACACCTCATCGAGAGTGCAGTGGAGGACTCAACGTATGCTATATTGTAGCCTGGCCAGTATGAGCTACTAACAGGCCCAGCCTGACCGAGCGAAACACTTCGATCCCGCTTGACACGACTACATATGCTTGCATTACCCTTGGTTCGATGTATAGACCGATAGCTACATGAAGGCATACAAGAATGAAGCAAACAATATAAGCAGACCTAAGACGTGGGCTAAATTGTACGTGCCTAGTTTGGCTTGCAGAGGACTCCAAGGACATTTTTGGCGCTGCGCTTAGGAAGCAGAAGGGTCACAAGTGGGTCATCATGTGTGGTGCATGGGAACGATTCGACGCTCTTTGCCGAAAAGCCAAGTACTGCGACCCAGACAACTTCAATATGCATATCTACTCGCACTGGCATGACTGGGGCTTGCATGAGCTCGGCCAGAACATGGTGCCTATCAGCGTTACTGGGTACTTAGCTTGAAGCTCACATGGTCTAGATGCTCGACTTTGATAAAGCCTATCGCAAGAAGGGTGATACCAGACTCAATGAGATGTGCCAATGACTCTTGGAACTGGAACTCTACTCTGAAAGAGTACAAGCACAAGCATATGCCTCTCGTCAAACCGAACAAACACCATTACGATATCACGAAGTTCACCAGAGCGCAGCGTGCGGCAGAGTATTTTGATGGGAAGGATCCTTTGGCAGACGTGTCTGTGGTGGATCTCAGAGCGGATGTTCTTGATTTCATCTAAGCCTATTGTACCTTTCCTCTCGCCAAACCGAACAAACACCATTACGATATCACGAAGTTCACCAGAGCGCAGCGTGCGGCAGAGTATTTTGATGGGAAGGATCCTTTGGCAGACGTGTCTGTGGTGGATCTCAGAGCGGATGTTCTTGATTTCATCTAAGCCTATTGTACCTTTCCTCTCGCATCAACCGGCCAAATCTCTTCTATGATGCCGTTTCGGTGCGCGTAGTAGAAGTCGTGTAGGTTGATCGTAGGATCAATGTGACTCGGTATCATCTCCACACGATCCCCAATTTTCAGATCCGCCCCGTCAGTCCACGACAACGACCCATGCTCATCTCCTAAGACCCCATATGTAAACCCCAGCGTCTTACACTCCGCCAACCCACTATCTGTCGTGAGCGACTTGAGCCCCGCATCAATCGTGATACTCTTTGGGCCCTGCTTGCTGATGACCGTTGCTAGGATTGTCAAGCTGTTCGAATATTTCGTCCCCACCGCATTGCGATAATCTGTATCCATGAACAAGAAACTGCCCGGCTGAACCTCTGTGACTCCAGGCATAGTGACACAGAACTCCGCTGTCCCAGTCCCACCCGTAGTAACAACATCAATCTGATGCCCATCCTTCCTCAATGCCTCAGCTGTGTCGACCAAGATCTTCATGCTCTCGAGACACATCCTCTTCCTCTCCTCCGCACCATGAACATGCTGCAAATGCCCCTCATATCCCTGCACACCTATCACCTTCAGATGCTTGAGCCCCGCAACCGTCTTTGCGAGTCGCAGCACTGGCTCGCCAGGCTGGACACCTGTCCTGTGCAGTCCCACATCCAGATCAATCAAGCTCAAAATCCGGTCCTCGATCCCTGCCTCCCCAATCGCAGCATCAATAGCCCTAGCCCCCTCTTCACTATCAACAACAATCCTAACCTCCCTGTGCTGCCTGAACAATTCCACGAGTCTCGCAACTTTCGCAGGCCCAATGATCTCGCACGTGATCAGCAGATCCGTAAGGCCTTTCGAGCACATGACCTCCGCTTCGCTAAGTTTCGCTACGCAGGCGCCTTTTGCACCGGCGGTGATGAGCTTCTGCGCGAGGATGGCGGATTTGGTGGTCTTTGAATGGGGGCGGATGTTGATACCTGTGGGGAGGAGCTGGGACATGAGGCTTTGGATGTTTTGTTCCATCAGGTCTAGGTCGACGACCATGGAGGGTGTGTCGAGGGAGGAGATTGGGTCTCCGACTGTGGGGGAGTAAGGCATGGTTGCGGTGTTGATGATGAGTTGTGGATGGGTGATTTGTGGTTTGAAGCGAAGACTTGTGGTCGGTGCGGATTCGATTAAGACGGTGTGAGGTTCTCGAGCTGAAGATGGCTCTCTCTTTCGTCTTCTTGTGATACCTGGTCCGATTGTCGGCTTCGTGTCGGTGTTGAAGTTGACAATCTGGTGGTGATGATGACTCTATGGAGTTACTTGATACGGTAAGCCGACCCCACGTTAGATACCACCTTCCCGAAGCGGGCATTAGCTCTGTCATCCCACTCTTCCTTCTCTGAAGTCATGAAAGCACGTCAAGAGCAAACGAGGCATTGGTGTGTACTTTATACGTTATGTCTATTCTATGTGCTCGTTGAAGAGCGCGTGTATATGCGTATACATCTTGCGCCATATCGCAATGCATGATATGTACCTGGGTATCGTACCCAGCAGGTAAAGACATGTGAGCTCGCCGGCCCAATAGAGCGCCAAAACATGGACAAGCATTTACAAATTAGAAAGTGAAAGTCATGAGCGCAGGGTTGAGCGCAATCGGTAACAACAAGTGCGATCCGCAAACCATGGCCATGGGCAGGATAGCGACGAAATCGGTGATTTGCCAGCCGTAGGGAATGAAGGGACCGACTGCAAGAATGATCATACCGGCGATACCGATAATGCCGAAGATGAGAGAGTACTTGAAGCTCTTGAGCACCTTGGGCACTTCGGTGAAGAAGTTGGAGAACTCGGCTTCCTTGGAGGTGGCACCCCACTGCATATTGTATTCAAACATGTGAGCGAGAAGAGCGGAGGAAACGTGTAGGGAGAGACCACCAAGGAAAGTAGCCATCATGAGGATCCATTTGATGTTCTCGAAGAGCGAGGCAAAGAAACCCTTGTCACCGACACGGTAGCGCATGATGGCGAGGGACAAGTTACCAAGACCAGTAAAGACGATGACAATGGAGAACCATACCTTCCAGGAGTCGAGGTAGTACTTGTCAAGGTAACCGTTGAACCAGCCGACAGCAAAGTAGTTGGCCAATGTCATGATCCAGGCGGCACCGATGGCGTAGTAGGTTCCGATGTACGAGATGATAGTGACCTTGGAGGTGAAACGGATGTTGGAGAACAAGAAACTTCGGAACAGAGGGGTGAAAGGTCCACGAGTAATCCAGAAGCGCATAGGGTGGAACAGAAGCTCGTTGCAGCCGTAGGCGTACTTCTCCCAACGAGCAAGTTCATCATAGACGGTCAGAGAGACACCTTCCTTGAAACCTTCGCCGGCCCAAGCAGCAAGACGGATGATATAGCCGTTGACCTGGAGACGCAGAGACATATCGAAATCCTCGGAAACGTGGGACTCAGACCAGAACTTCTCATAGCCGTCCTCATCGAAGTACGAAACTTGTTGAACAGCAGACCAGCGGAGAATGGCGTTGTGACCGACGAAAGGAGCAACGTCACCATTCGCGACAGTGTAACGAATGGCAGTGTAAACCATGTTGGTAAAGAAAGTGATACTAAGAATCGTTAGCCGCTTGTCCAATACTCCAGAGGGGTTGGATTGTACTTACCCGTTCTCAAAGTAGTCGTGGACAACCTGCATGACACCGGACGAGAATTGCATAATACCGACCTCAGGAGACTGCTCCATCTCAGAGGCGGCGTCGAGAAAGCAGTCGATAGGGACACGGGTGTCGGAATCGATAAGAATGATGTAGTCACCAATACGGATATTGCCATCAGCCCAGGCGCGACCGTGCTCCTCAACAACCCCCTTGAGGCAGCGGTCGTACTCTTTAGCCTCATCGTCCTGAGTCCAGGACTCATCGCGCTGAACGAGAGCAAGCTTCTCTTCGACGTTGTTGCTAAGCATGAGACCGAAATTCATGTTGGAGGCCTTCTTGAACTTTCCCTTGCGGACGAAGCCATCCTCACCGTGCTTGGGACGGGCAGTCCAGCCGATGCTGTGGTCCTGGTAGAACTCGATACGTGCCTGACGCTCCTCTTCGTCAATGATCTGTAGACCGTCGTCGTTGATGAAGATGTTGGCGGATCCACCCTGAAGTTCGTAGGTAGCCATGGCAGCCTTGAGCGACTTGACAGTTGGCGCAATAACGGAATGGAGACCCTCCTTGTAGACAGGGCACTGGACGGTGATGTGGGGAAGCCTGCCGGTGATGCGACGGGGGAGAAGCGCGGAGTAGTACCTGGAGTTGCTCTTCATCTGGCGAATGGGACCAATCATCTGTGCAATACAACCGACGATGACCTGCGCAAAGAAGAGGGTGAAGAAGATCTGAACCGGGATCAGGACCAAGAATGCAATGCGGACGTAGTTCTTGTCGACCATGACCTGTACGGCGATCTGCTTGAATCCAAGACCCAACATGACTGTGATGATGACCAGTGTGCATCCGACCAAGACACCGTTCATGATGTTTGTGGGGCGGTTCTCGGGCTTGAACTCTCCAGTCTCCTCATCGATCTCGGTTTCGACGACTGCAGGGCCCTTCTTCTCGGTGGTGACCTCCTCTTCTTCCTCCGGCTCACCAGCCCTCCAGACAAGCTTCATCAACTCATCTTCAATGTGTGTCGCACGACCGAAGATTGCGTTCGGGTCATCGTCCCAGACCAAAAGCAATTGCTCGGATGCAAGGAAAGCAGCACCCTGGTTCTTGCGCGCCTTGGGAAGATCATCGATCGAGGGAAGGATCTGGATGTGCAGACCCTTGCCGAGTGGGACGTCGGTCGCGTTCGGTGTGTACTGAACGAATGTCTGAATGACACGGGAGTTGATTGTGATGACAACCGGGAGGTTGATGAGCGATGCGTAGTAGCCGAGCGCGGATTCGGCCAACGCAGGCGGGCACGCTGCGTAGTTGCCTCGCGACTTTCGTACAAGTACACCTTCGATGCCGCCACTGCCGTTGCTAATCCAGAGCTTCTCTGTGGTTGACCGTTAGTGATGCGCTAACAATGCAGGTACCGCAACACTTACTGCACTGCTGTTGGAAGAGAAAGTTGACCATAGCCTCGTGCTTGATCTCTTCCATGATGCCATGACTTGTGACAGAGTGCATGGATGTGAAAGAGTTGCGTCGCGATGTGCGTGCTGTGGTGGTGCCGCTCATTGGTCCAATTGACGGTGCAGGTGTCCATGATGGTGACGGAGGAGGAAGCGAATCCATGATGTACGATGACTTGTGTCGCCCAAGTTTTTGAGAAGCTTTGCTTTTTGGTGTTTGTGTACCGCTTGCATGTTGTGTGAAGTCATCGACCGACGACTTGGTGCTGAGTGCCGGCGTCTCGAAGACGTTGTGGCTCATGTTGGATGGTTGTTGATTAGATTGACTATGAAAATGAGAGTGAGTATCCTTAGGAGAAATGAGTGTATATGGCGATGTTTCGTAGAGCGTGGTGCCACTCGTCAACGATCGACGGAGAGTAAATGAATGTGTGATGAACGAAAGTTCTCAGCCGCAGGGCACCAGAATATGAAGAACTCCAAAAGCAGGCGTCAGGACGGCAGCCACGCTGTTTTAAGGTTCAACAAATATAGAGCAGGTAAGAGGAGAACCGAGTTTGACGATATTTGCCATGAATCTCAGCGTGGCGCCTGGACTAGAGCGCCAGAACCTGACAGATAACTCAACAGTGCTTGATGCCAGACTAACGATTGAGGTTTGCAAGAGACCAGACCTAGTTCCTACAAAGTTGGCAGCCGAAGATCGAGCTCGCCAGGCGAACACGGGCCAAAGTCTTGTCAGTATCAACTAGCCTGACAGGCGCTTCATCGTAGGCTGGCAGAAGTGACACACCAACGCAAGCCCAGAAGCTGTGGCCATGTCGAGATGCTGACCATGTCAACAGATCCTGGTAGAGATTGACAATCTACAGGCCTGAACACGGTGGCCGTAGCACATGTATACAACGGCACATTGCATGCTAAGCATCCTTGTACCGGCGCCTCCATCTGCAAATACGTACATCTGGAACTTTCTCAACGCTGAACAAGCAGGATTTGGACAATTGCTCCTTCCTTGCCGGCCGTACCATTGAATGATAGTCTGAGTCATGCTTGGCTTGCAAAAAGGGTTCTTGACAGTTCTCTGGCCGATATGGAGGAAGACTGAATAATGCCGAGATCCGACCAGCTACCACGGAGAATGCCACGCCGTATAGTAAAATATGCTGCAAGAACAATCACGACGTTCGTAAGAGAAGTCCGTGTTGCTGTTGTCAGGAGCTGGTCGTAGTCGGCAAAAGCCGACCCACTTCGGCGTAGTTAGCGTCAAGTGCCCTCGTCAGCTTCGCTCGAGGATATTGCCTAAACTATGTATGTCCCTGGCGCGTTTCAGCCAATCGTAACAGGGCGGACTATTTCGAGCACACGGTGCATTCTAAGATGCTCATCTCCCGCACGCCGAGAAGGAGCGAAGGCGCCCGTAGTGGATACGGCCACATGTGAGGATTCACGGGCAAGGCTATCGTGGCTGTCAGAATTCGACCGCTTCCTAGTTCTGGATCCTTGGATCTTGGTTCTCCAGAGGGTTGATGGCTTGTGCATCTCCATTGTTACCATGTAACTGTGGTCTGTGGCACATTGCCAATGACAACGGCTGGAGTGAGATCGATGATGATGGCCGTAGTGGCATCAGTAGTGGTTCCTACGGAGTAACAGCCTCGCCCTAAGATGTTCGTTGAGCGCGAGATCTGCATGATGTCAAGATCGTGGTGCTGGTCGCTGCAGGATGTGTTGGACGACTCCAACTCTATTGTCTGACAGAATATAGCGTCCCTCGGCTCAACAGTGCAGTCCAGCTAGGCCCACAGAGCTTCACCGACCCAAGGGTTCCGCACCCGCCCTGCTCGTGTGAGGTTTCAACCCAATACGGCAGGCCCTACATTTATGTGACCTACGATTTGAATCCCAAGATCGACCCTGAGTCCCTAAACCTCACAATAAACGCCGTTTCATCGCAACGTAGCCCGAGAACCGAGTTCCTCTACCATGGCTCACGGCGACCCTGAAGACCGAGACTGAGGAACAGCGGGGAACAGAGCAGCGATAAAACCAGCGCAGTGAGGTGGGCCAGTCAATAGTTCGGAACACCAAGGTACAAGGGCGGATGTGTCTTTGTTCTGATAGTGTTGGTGGTAGGCCGGCGTCGAGGCTAAAGTCGGTGCCCTGTCAGGCCCCTTGCTTGTGGCGGTGCAGTGATAGAGCAGCGATGAGCCCAAAAGGGTACTGGGAGTTACGGTTGAGGCAACGAACGATTCAACTGAGCGGCGACACGGGCCAGCATGTGGCGGTGACCGCTAGCCCTCGTGGGCGAACTCTCAGCTATTTTTATGAGCGCTGTGATCTCTGGATCTATGGATACCTGGGACCCGTGTAGCATCGTCCAGCCGGGAAAAATAAGGAAGGGTGCGGATATGTAAAGGAAGCGGAGGTTGGGGATGAACTTGTCCGATAAACCGGTACGAGAATGCTCTCGTAGTACCAGTTGACGATATTCCCCTATGTCGGGTGGGTGGAACAGGTTTTGCGATATTGCTGTATGCACCAAGGGTGTTGAGACAATTGCTGTAAACTGGTAGCTGCATAACTGGCTGCGACCAAGCCGAGAAGGTTTACTGCCTGCAGCGTCTATTTTGTGCCGCGGCAGGGGCTGTGTAAGTGTAGTCGTGACGTCGATTGGGCGATAAGGTCATTGTGAGAGAAGGCTGCAACGGAGTTATGGCCTGTGTAAGTTTAATCGCTTGGCTAAACGAAAGATCTTCTGCAAGGTACGGTGTCAAAAGTGGACCGTCCCGCATGGACCCCTGTTACACATCCTCTCCCCCCCTGAGTCCAAGTTAGGATCTCCGGACGGGAGTGCCGTCCTGTTGGAGCAGATATTTTTACTACACAAGATCTCACAATGCATTATTGTAGAGATCTTAAAGTTAATGAATAGAAATTATGTTGTCTATAGTGTTTGTTCATAGCCGTTGTATCAGCTCAGCGCGGCTCGAATGCCGATCGCCGTTAAGCCACCCGTACACCAAACGCCTCTAATATTAAATCTCATGTACCTCACTGCAGCTGTCGTTACGCACGGCAACCGTTGTACCCAGACTGCTGCCACATCTTCACACTCTTGACCTCCATCTGGCCATTCTTCTCCCAAGTAGGGTACCACTGGTCCTTTGCCTGCCAGAAGTCCTTCTTGGCACTCTTTGAGCCATCGAGCCATGGCTTCGCAGACTTGCCATCCTCAAACCAGCCATTGGTTCCACCGACGGCCACGTTGATGATGAGGTAGAAGTCCTGGTCGAAAGGCGAGATGTTGCTGCCAGTGGCAGCCCAGGGGTTGTCCAGACGAGTACCGTTGCTGTCCGCAAGGGGGAAGCGACCATACTCGAAGAAGGGCTCGTCGAAGTGGGTGTACATGACCTGGAGCAGGCGAGTGTTGATGTAGGTGAAGATGTACTTCTCGGACCACTGAAACGAGGTTAGCTTAGATAGTGCCAAATTACAGATGGGTTCACGAACCTCGACGCCGAAGATGTTGTAGCCAGCGGCGTAGGTGGTGTGGAGAGCCTTGCGCTTGACGTTGTTGCGCCACCAACCATCGTTGGCAGTGTTGGGACCGAAGTGAAGGGTGCTGGAGGCGATGTTGTTTCCACCCTGGGCGTAGGTGTGATTGTTTCCGCGAGACTCCATGATGTCAATCTCACCAGAGCGGGGCCAGTCGCCATAGACGTTGTCCTTGGGCAACATCCAGATGGCGGGCCACAGCCAGTCACCATCAGGGAGCTTGGCCTCGACCTCAATGCGACCATACTTGATGGAAGCACCAAGCTTGGTGTTGATGCGACCAGACTTGACAGGGTTGATGATTGTGCCGTTGGTGGTGTTGGTGGATGCAACGCAGTCCGTCCACTTAGGGCCAGTGCAGCCTTCACTGCGGAGGTCGAGGACGTTGTCGTTGTTGATCAGGTTTTCATCCTGCAGGGTGGGCTTGATGACAAGGACGCCATCCTTGAGGAAGACGTTCTCGTTACTGTTGGTGGTCTGCTCGAACTGACCGTTGCTGAAGGTGTTGTCAGTCACCGAAGATGCTCTGGTGTTTCTTGAAACTTACCCGTAACCACCGACTTCGACCTCCTTGGTCCAGACCTTGTCGTTCCATGAAGAGAAATCGTCTGTGTAGACCTCGCAGTACTTGTGAACTGCTACGCTGCGGATGCCGTCCCAGATCAAAATGCCAGTAACAATGAGACCGAGGACGAGACCGGCGATGGGAATGATAGTGACCCACTTCTCCCTGGAATCTTTCCTGTCGAGCCAAGGCTTCTCAACCTCGCCCTTCTTCACTCTTCGAGAGCGGAAGTAGTTATAGTCATTTCCGCCGCGGTAGCCAGAGCTTGAGCCATCCCTACTAGCTGACCTCGAGTTCTGGTGGGATCCACGGGGAGTAAGTGTGTTTGGTGTTTGCGCTCCTGGTGTAGCGAAAGGGTTATGAGGCTCAATGCGGTCGGCGTCGACCTCGCTGGAGTACTTCTCGTTACCGAAGGAAGCCATGTCTGGAAGTTATTGGTCTATGCCAATGTCCAGGTGCTACTAATATTTTGATATGAGAAGCGATAGATGCTATCGCGAGGTGAAGTTGGAAGTTTGCTTCAAGCACACCCAAGAACGAATGACGGTGCTAAAGCAGGAAAATTGTGGGTGGTGATATTCGAGGAAAGAGAGAGTGACTTGGTAGTTATGAATTCTGACTTTAGCAGCGTCTGTTCTTAGTAGGAGCGGCTAGATCGTCGCAGCTCCCCGAGCTGTAAGAGGTAGCGACAGGCCCTTCCGAACCAGACTCGGTTTATGGAGAGCTCGAGCTCCGTCGCCATGTTCTAGGGTACTACCAATTTTGGTTGTGGCAGACTCAAGGTGTCTAGCGTCGCCAACATCTTGAAGCGCGACACCATGCTGTACTAGGGAGAATTGCTCCACGGCACAGGACCAGGTACAGGGCCATTTCAGTGGACACTCGGCTCTCCTCGAGAAAGTCAATGAGCTTGGCCGTTGTCAGTGTCTCTTGTCGAAACGGCGCTATCTCATTGGCTTTGACAATTTATGCAGCTCTGTCGGCATCGAGTGTCATTGCCTCGGCCGGTCTACAAATCCCGCGCGATAGTGAACCAAAATCGTACCCTTGGGCGACTTCGTCATGTAGGTTCACCAGCCACACGCTAAGGTCCTCAAACTTTGGCTGCTTTAGACTGTGCAAGGCTTCGCGCTACTGCGGCGCCGCCCGCGCTAGCGTAATCGATAGTCAACGGGAACATCGACTATTTGGAGCATGCGAAGGTTTCGACATTATTTGGCTGCTTCGCCTGCATGTCGCCGCATCAACAAGATTTTCTACGTTCGAAATCCTACACTCTACATGCCTAGCGCACGGTTTCTGTAACAAGAGACGGCAGAGGCAGTCCCTATATATAACAATATTGATTGTTATCTCAACATCGCGATTAGGTCGTGGGTGACGACAAAATGATCGTTTTGGAGAGTTGTCGAGGACTAAAATTCGTGGAAGTTGAAGTTACGAGCGAGACTTTTTATGTAGCGCGTGGCTGCACTTCAGGTGCTGAAAGACACGACTCGCAACTTGGTGGCACCGCAAGTTGGTATTCCTGGCAAAGTCGTTTTGGCAGCGCAAGCCACTACCCAAAGATGAGATTTGGCCGGTACGCACCGCAAACATTGACGATAGTTGGTTCAGGGCTCACGACTCTTGGATGCAGCTGAAGGATGAGTAAACTTGAGGGACTCGAACAGTGAACCCATGCGGGCCTCGAAAGGCATAGATGCTTTGCCACAGCCTTGCATGCAGCCTTGGAGAAGGTCGCACAAAGATTGGATGCAAAGCGGACGGAGGGATTTCCTCCCTTGGTCATCTAGACTTCTGTATTGGTTGATGCTTGTATACGAGGGGCTGGCGCGTACGAGCTGAAGAGCCATGCTCTGTAGCGAGGGTTGATCTCCAACGCAGTGTCGCTCCGTTCCCTGGCAGCCTTGCTATCAGATCAGCACTTGTTGGGCTCGATAGTTATCCCAGGGTTGCAAAGATTCGAGATCCTGGAATGCTCCGGAAGTCCTCAACTTGGTACCGAACGTCGGTAGACTTGTCGCTCCCGCCGTACGGCCTTGCTGAGAAACCTGGCTATTGCCGTGTTGTCGCTTGCGCATGTCTATCACATTGCCCTAGTAGTCCCAACGAGGTCTATAGAGCGAAGTCGTGATGGATCGGGCGTTGCAAGGCCTCATCGTAGTGCTTATCGTCGTACCTCGAGCACGCTCTTAACCGTGTCTGCCGGTACACGCCTGTTCAGCCAGCCACTTCCGCTTCTCTTATCACATCTTTCGTGTCATGCGAAGTCGGTACCGAGAAGCTGGCTTCGATTCAACGTGGCCTTCATGTCTGCCGCTTGTGCACACCTGTCACTATCAGCTCCAAGCAGGGTTGCTCACACAGTATAGATAGACCAAAAGGGAAAACGGAGCGAAAAGAAGCTTGTAGGGATGTCAACCATGATTCCATGATCCTCGCCGCTACGTTGACAGCACTCGCAGGCATGCAGACTGCAGCCGCAGAGTATGTGGGCCAAGCTGTCAAAGGAAGCCCGCTTGACCGTCATTCTGCACTTCTATAGCCTCTTGCCACTGTATACAGGTCGGCTGCTGCTGGTATATGTTGGCCAGGGCGACTTGCATATCAATTCGCTTCTGCCCGTAGATCCACTATCCTGCTGACCGTTTCTTGATTGTTGCCGTCGTCGTCAGGCCCTACGTGTTCCCTCACTCGATTATACACCAGCCATGAGGCTAAGATAGATACCCCAAACCACACCGACCGAGCAGCCAAAGACCACCCTCTTGTCGACTGGGACCCAGGCGAAGCTGATCAGGCTGATCGCTGGCCAGAACTTGTACCCATCCACGATCATCGGCCACAGCTTCTGCTCACATTCCTTCCTGATCACATCCCATGTGCTCTGAGTGCTGAGCGTGCCCTGCTGCGGCGCATTTGCATAGCCCATGAATGCTAAGAACATGAGTGTGTTGACCACAGCGCCGATGGTTTGATCGAGCAGGAACTTGGTCAAGATATTCTTCTTGCTCTTCTCGGTCTTGGCAGGCTTGACGGTCTTGACATCTGGGTCGTGCGCGGTCGAGGCGACATTCGTGGGAAAGAGGTCTTCGAGAAGGCCTTGCCAGAGGATGTTTGGTGGGTTGCTGACAATGCTGAATATAGCGAATTTAAGGACTTGGGTGATGTTGAGAGAAAAGGGCGTCTGTGCAGATGCATGTCAGCAAGCAGGGCTCATAGAAATCACGTAGAAGTGTTGCGCACGCTATCCTTGTATGCTGACAGTCCCTGCGCGAGGATGTTGGACGTGATGCTGAGCACCGCGCCCTGCAGCGTTTGTGATACCATAGACATGGCAACGGTGGCTTGCGTACGGCGGGCGGGGTATTAGGTAGGTGAGATACAACGGCAGGAACTGGAAGATGCGCGAGCAAAGTTATGATCTAAAGGGGTGAAGGTATTAAGGAAGAAGAGAAGTCTAAATCTATCGTTGTGGCCAGCACATCAGGGTCGCGCAAACGTTTCGAGAATGTTTGGAGCCTGCCCAGAATGTTGCAACCGTGCTCAAGCTCCTCGGTTGAAGTCTGACCGAATGTGACGTAGCAACATCAGCCTCGCCAGCAACACCATCATCCCATCTTTCTGTATTAACACTAGGTTAGCAATAGAAGCCTCAAAATTATCAGTGTAGTTTGCAAGCGAGATGGAGCGTCATTGCGAATCGCAATTGTTGATAAACTTGTTCGATGGAACGAGAGAGTTGGGCGTGTGGAGGGTGTTTGAAGAGACTGCGCAGGTAGTGGGGAAAAGAGACTCGCTTGGCGCTAGCTAAACGTACAGGTGAAGGAGAAGCGGAGAATTTGAGAAACGACAGACCTAGTCTAGTCTGGTTGACATAGCTCACTCAAAACTTGCACGAAAATATTCCGGGACTTGAGACTGAATTTGAAGAAGTATGGAGAAAACTACAAAGAAGTACTGAAGAATGAACCTGGAGGCAGACAATGCGAAAACATGTATGTTTGTGATATCGCCGCACAATGCAAGCCGTAGATTTTGCCCGATTCGATCGTAGAGTGGTGGTCTGTATAAGAAGGTTTAATATGAAAAGACGTGAAATAGTACCATCGCGGGTATATGTCGTTAGATCGTTCAGTGACTGCCGTAAAGGGAATCGTGATCATCGTTATCGCCGGCGGCGGCGTGACCAGCAGTCATCTGCTCTTGGAAGTGGCTGTCATCCGGCTCGGGCACTTCATCATCGTCACCAGCTTCTGATGCCGAGTGTTGCTCCTCTTCACTAGCGCCTACATATGCAGGCACATCCTCCATACCCTCGTCACCACGTTGCTCCGCTTGATCACCATCCTGGACCTCAACGGTGTTCATCGCTTTTGCCTTCTCGGTGAGCTTCAATGTGATGTCTTCGAATGCAGTAGGCTGCTGGACGTCGAGCATGCCTTTCGTACCCAAGGACAAGAGCATCAGGAAGCCTTGGCAAGCAATCGTTTTGTTAGTCTCGGGAGGCGGAAGTAACTCTTCGAATGTGACTTGTTCGACCTTCGTAGCTTCAGTCTGATCCGCGTCAGGCATCTCGGCCAGATTAGCTAGCGCACGAGTGCACTTCTCCGTGATGGCTTCAGCGACGAAGGTGAGGAAGTTCTGGCCCTCGGCAGACAGAGCTTCGCGCACACGCAGTGATGGTTGTGTGGTAGCTTCCTCAGCTCCGGCCGGATCGGACGTGGGTGCTGCGAAGACGAAGTCGTCTCCACCAAGTGCATCACTGTCCAGGCTCTGCAGAGCTTCGAACTCACCGAGACGACCAGTACTGCGGCGAAGCAATGGAGATGCAGACACCATGCGACTTCCGGCACGACTACCCTGCCTGCCTTGCTCGCTCATCATGGTGACACGGCCACTGAGAGGGATAGCAGAGGAGCCACGCTTGGAGGCGCTGATATTCCACGGCATAGCGGAGAATATCTGCTGGTCGTCGAGCGCAGAGACAGCCTCGCGAGGGAGCTCTACCTCTTCGTCACCACCAAGCATGAATAGTCCTTCATCGTCTTGTCCACGACCGACCTCTTCCTCTGGCTCGGCGGTCTTCTGTCGCTTGCGACGTGCCTCTTCTTGAGTCGCTTCATCGATGCCACTGTCGCGGTCACGCTTGGGCGTGGCCTTGGGGTTTCTGCTTGTTCCAGTGAGGAGCTCAAATAGATTGTCTCCCATAAAGCGACTGAGAGGGCCTTGAGCACCAAACGTGTCCCGTCCAAGCCCACCAATGCCTGCACCCCAGACATAGTGCTCGGCATTCTTCTTCGCTTGTTGTTGAACACGATGTTGTACTTTGGAGCGGGCGGCTTCCTTCATGTTCTTGAGGTAGTTGGTGTTCCATCCCAGGATCTCTGAATTGCGTAACTCCAGTCTTGTGTCCTTCGGTAGGGCTCGCGCGGCTCGTTTCTTACGGCGCATAGGTGCAGCAACTGATGAAGACGACTCGACCACTTCGGAGGGCTCACTGTGCTGTTGGTCCACGGGGGATGATGTGGCCTCGGCTTCTGGCAAGCCGTCTCCGTAGATGGGCAGATCCAATTCCATTTGGTTGCCGACAAGGACCTTGAGAACGTGAGAACCCTTCAGTAAAGACATTGTAGGAAGCTGAACGATGGAATATTTGTAAAAGAGGGATATAAGAAGGAAGGGGAAAAAATCACAGCTAGACGTTCTATAAGAGAGGACGCTCAGCTGGTCGTACTGAAGGACCACCCGCACCTCAAGTGAGGTCGCGTGTATAGGCATGGTGAGGAACGGACAGGGGTGTCAAAAGAACGGATTCTTGACGGGGGAAAAATCATGTGGTGCAAATTGGTTGGGAGATTGCAGCGGTACTCACCTGGTCGCCACCCTGCTGTCCCTCCTCATGTTCCTGCCTCACCCTCGCACTAGCCCCAGCATCGCTGTGCATCCGCGCTCCTCCAGCAGCCGCAGGCGTCGCCGGCGCAGGCTGACCAGGGGTAAGCTCGATGATATCACCGTCCTCGCCAAATATGAAGTCTGGCTCATCGAGCTGCATCAGGTTATCGATATCGAACATGTCGTTGTCACCCTGACGATCATTGTCGCCCTCAAGTCCGACACCTGCTGGCCGATTTGGGGAAGAGCTGGGTAGGACGAGGCCATAGCCAGCGATGTGTGACGACTGCGATAGCTGCTGTGAGCCGAATGGAGTAAGGGATTGGGACTCGCCGGAGCGTGGGAGGTCGAGATTGAAGCCGAGATTGAGGTTTGCGAGGAGTTCTGGTGGCGGGAGGGCGAACTCGGGGAGAAAGGATGGGTCGTCCTGCAGGACAAGCTGCTCGGGCCTTGACACGTTAGTCATTGCAAATGTGGAGGTTGGTGGATGCTCACCTGGCCTTGCCGGCATCTGGGTCAAGTGCATGATTCTTCACCGAGCGTAGCATGAGCATCATGGTGTTGTGCGCACTCTGCGCGTCTGAGAGGACATAGCCGCACTGCTGTAAGTATACACGAGATACACCATATCTACCTATACATCAGTCTCGTTTGAATGCATCAGAAACAAATGACATACAACAAGTTACCCTGTAGGCGTAGAGCCATAGGTGCCGCAGGGTCGACGATGGTTTTACATGCTTTTGCTACATCAACGTCGAGCATCTGCTTGCGGGTGATCCTCTTCAAGCTGGACTTGGATCCGAGTGTAGCGACGAGCCTGCAGCGTGTGAGCATCGAGAAGGCACCAGGCAAGTGCCAACATACCAGACCGTCGCTACGCCATACTTGCGATTTGTTAAGACTGTATCGTCAGCTTTGAAGGTCTTGTGGCGGTCGAAGCTTCAAGCTTACCTTCGTGACTGTAAAACATGACGACACTAAAACATAAAGAAATGCGAGATAGATGCGATATAACAACACAAAGAGTAAAGTGCGTGCATAAAAAGGAAACGACGCAAGTGGTGACGATGTGGAAGGGAAAAGGTGTGTGGAGGTCAAATAGACCAGGCTCTTGGCAGCCACGAGGATTGACGTGCTGGCGCAACGCGCCGTGAAGTGAGGATGAAAGCTGAAAACACGGGCCCGAACGGCAAAGACGCGCTAACATTAGAAGTCTTCAATTCATCATGTCGTAACACTGGTCCTGCTATGCCTTTATCTAGCCTCTTATGCAATGCCAACTGCTCTGCACCGTGAATGGTGAGATAATCAAAGTCTATGTGCATACAGAAGGAAGTCGTCAACTAAAGAGCGCCTACTTAAGACATCTCGACGTCCTCGTCAACGGTGGGCAGCGGTACTGCACGGTACAGAAGGATGAGAGCCGAGTGGCTTTGACCTAGGTGATTGTTAGCGAGTGTTTTACACTTTTGAAGCTGAGATGCTTACCTCCACCAGACAGGGTCTGAATCCTCTCAGCGTCGACCTCAGAGACCTTGTCATCGTTGAACCACCACCACTTGCCATCTTCAGCCTTCCTCTTGCCAGTCACAGGGTCCTTTGCGCCCTGCTTCTTGACAAAGGAGGTGTAGTGACCGCTGTCAGCGCTGGCACCCTGATGTGTGATGACACCGCGAAGCTCGTACAGACCAGTCTGATTGGCACCCTCGTCTGCGGCGAGTTCGGGGCTCACCAGCGACAGCACCTCCTTCTTAGCAGCCAGGATTGATGCCGCGCGCTCAGCCTCGATCTGAGCATCTGTCTTGTACTCAATCTCCTCCTCGGGCTCGGCGGGCTTGTTTGCATCATCCTTCTTCTGTGCGGCTTCCTTCTTCTTCTGGAGAGGCTCCTTCTGTGCGAGCGGGTCGCTATCGTTCTCCTCGCCAGCCCTCATACGCTTCTGTCGCTTACGGGCACGCTCAATATCAATCTCTTCCTTGCGCACGTCCCGGATCTTGTCGCGCACGGGGATCAACTGCTTCTTCAGTGTGTCCGTGCAGAACTCTATCGCGTCCAGTTCATCGGGAAATGTGACCTTGCGCATAATCTTCGCCTTCTTGTTGGTGTCGCGGCGCCAGTCGAATCGTACGAAGTGTACCGGCAGGTGTACAGGGAGTCGCGAAATCTTGGATGTCTTCGTGTATACCGCGTTTCGGCCCAAAAGCTCCGAGCGCTTCTCAATCTGCTCCTTTAGACCAGCAGCGAGACCGTCTCTCAGATGATTCGTCTCGACGTTGATGTGGCAGTTGAGCTTAAAGAACGAGTCCTCGCTGGTGACTGGCTCCTCGCCCATCTCCTTCGCCGCAGGCTCGTCGCACTCCATGACCGACTCGAACCTGCCGGACATGAACTTGTCAATCCAAGAAACATCCGCCTTCTTCTCCGCGTCTGACTCGTTCTTGATCTGTAGCTTTTGTCGCAGCTGTGCGACAATCTGTGACCAAGCTTCCTCGGCATCCTGCTGAGCGTAACCGTGTCCGTCCTTTGCTTTCTGCGCGAACTGTGGGAAGGCGGTTCGGAGAGCGTTGAGAAACATGAGAGGAGGGAAGCCTTGCTGGGTCTCACCCATCTGCTTGAAGAGATCGCGGAGGGATCCTGTGAGGTCCATGGAGGCGCCGAGGCCACCAAGGCCGAACTGGCTAATCTGGTTTGCTGATCTGGACGAGCCGGCGCCGCTACGTTTGTCAGCATCAGAGGCTCCTCCTGAAGCGAGTGTAACGTACCTGTCAGCATAACGCAGAAGCTCTTCCTGCAGCTCAGGAACAGACCTCAGCACCTGGAGTGTCGAGTTCATGTAACATGTGTTGCCCAAGTTCTGCAGACCGGCCGGCGTGGCGCCTTCCAGCTGCGCGGCTTCCGCCTCATCCATGTCCTCCAAGAACTTGATCTTCTCCTTGGGCTTCTCGATAACGTTCGTGTTGTCGCCAGAGGGCGTGCCCATCATCATGATCGTTTGCCCGGACTTAAGCCCCAGCTTCGACATATCGGCGTCATCCTTGAGCTGGCCGCCTTTGACGAGAATTTTCTGGCGCTCGGGCTCGACACCGGTGATGGAGAAGAGCTGGTACTTGAAGGTCTCGCCGTTGGAAGAGATGTCGACCTCGACTTCGTGCTTCTTGCCCTGGTGCTTGACAATCACTGTAAACACCGCTGTTAGCTGTGGTGCTTGAGAGGAGCGTGTGGCTGCTGCGTACCTGGTATGGACGCCATGTTGAACCGCTGTGATACTGTGTATGAGATGTATTCAGCGATGCGCAGTGGCGGCGAATATTATTTATAAAGCGGTCGCGGGGCAAAAGTATGGTAGACGGCCGAAGCATGAGGAAGGCCTGCCAAGCGCCACCCCTGCACCTGCCCCAGCTTCACCGAGCCCCGCCCAAGGCGACCGCATCACTCCGTGCTGGCATGTCATAGCCCCGACTGCAGCTAAATTCACCGCGTCCAGGGCTGACCACAAGCTCAGCACACAATGGTACCGTCCTCCTGCGCATCCGCCGCCCCAATTCCGCGAATCATACTAACAGCCGCAGTCGCAATCCCTCCGCCCGTACCTGCAGTGCGTGCGCACCTCCCTCACAGCCGCCATCTCGCTCTCGAACTTCGCCTCGCAGGCCTCGGAACGACACAACGTGCCCGAGATCGAAGCCGCATCCTCTCCCGAAGTGATCCTGAACCCACTCACCGTATCGCGCAACGAGAACGAGCGCGTCCTGATCGAGCCCAGCATCAATAGCGTGCGGATAAGCATCAAGATCAAGCAGGCAGATGAGATCGAGCACATCCTGGTCCATAAGTTCACACGGTTTTTGCAACAAAGAGCGGAGAGCTTTGTTATCTTGAGGAGGAAACCGATTAAGGGATATGATATCTCGTTTCTGATTACGAATTTCCATACCGAGGAGATGCTGAAGCATAAGTTGGTAGACTTCATCATTCAGTTTATGGAGGAGGTGGACAAGGAGATCTCGGAGATGAAGCTCTTTGTAGGTTGCCCAGCTTGAAGCAGAACATTTGTAATGAGGAGCTAACACGTTGCAGTTGAACGCCAGAGCACGTTTCGTGGCCGAGTCTTTCCTTACACCTTTCGATTAAGCGTCAAATTAGCGAGCGATGTACAAAGTGGAGCCGGGGTGGAAGCAAACTGCAGTGTCTGGGAACAGTGGCTGTAGGCCCAATAAAGACTCCAGGCCACCACGCTACAGAGGCGTAGCAAAGTCACAACATAGACGGCTGCCGCACAGAAGGCTGGCTGCTAGCAAATGAACCCCAAAATTCACACAAACAAGCGCCACATCACCGTCCTGCACTTATCCGTGCCATCTACAGGCATTGAAGGTCTGTGCGGGAGCCGTCCTTCCGTGTCTTGCACATCATATCACAACTATTGTCAATCAAGAAACCGAACATGTGTGAGCTCATTCATTGTTCTTTTTCGTAGATGTTATGTCTATGGTGTCCCTGTTTACGGTCAAGTTTATTCACCTAAGATATCCGAGCGCCTTTCAATGAGCTCTCTGCGCCTTTCAATGAGTTCTCTGCGCCTTTCAATGAGGTCTCTACAACTTGGCGAGAACCTCCTCGGCGCCAGAGACGGTGACCTGGCCGGGATTGCTCTCGTTCTCAGCGTAGGTGACCTTGCCGTTGTCGAAGACCATGGCCCAGCGGCCACTGTATTTTGTCAGTAAAGCACTCATGTACGTCAGAAGCTCTTGAGAGCGGAGTACTCACTTCCTATCACCCATACCAGCAGCCCACCCGTAGTGCTTCGAGAAGAAAGTCTTAGTGTCGCTGAGGAATAGGATGTCATCACCCTTAACACCATTGACCTTGCCCCAAGCATTCATAACCCACGAGTCATTCGACGCAATAACAGCAACGACATCAACACCCTTGCTCTTCAGCTCAGACAACTTCTGAATGTAGGGAGGCAGGTGGTAGGCCTGGCAGCCGGGTGTGAACGCGCCAGGAACAGAGACGAGGACGACCTTCTTGCCCGCCCATTCCTTGGAGGCATCGTACTCCTGGGGACGACCGCATGCGGTGGGGTCAGCATCTGTGATGGGTGCCCATCTGTGATCTGTTAGTGTCAAGTCCGGGAGAAGGGGAGAGTTGCAGGCGCAGCGTGTTCATGCTCGACGCGAGCATCTGCATGAGCTTGGTGGGGTGGAGGGGTACGTACTCGAACTTAACGCCATCGGGCAGAGAGTCACCGACCTTGAGAGGAGCCATTGTAATTAATTGATGTGTGAAATCGAAGCGTGAGGTAGAGGTTTGTAAAGTTTGTTGCTGTATTGAGAGAGCTCTCGAAGTTGAAGGGGCAGCAGCTTAAGCTGTAGCTCGGAGCTTCGCCGGCGTGGGCATGGTGGGGCAAGGGCTGGATGACGAGCGAGGTCCAAGTGTATGGGTACTTGCGTGGCAGGCTATTGGACAAATACTTCGGTCCTATCAAATTGACGTTCGCTTTTGCTTCGTGTTTTGTAAGCTGTTGCTGTCTGGATGCGATTACTCGAGTCGTGTCATTGTACCTCGGTATCTGGCAAGAATCGCCTTCGCTGGACACAGAGCTTAGCAGTAGATCTTCAGGGCAAGGCAGCATCTCTGTACACAGTTCTGGTGGGCAGAGACTGTTTCCAGCTCTACTGGCAATGTACGACTTGTTATCAACAGGCATATGGAAGACTGGGGTTGTACGGCCTCCAGTCGGCATGATCGGCAACGTGTCTTTGTAACCAGATCTTACAGTGCATATACGAAGACCACGTCAGACACACATGCTTTGAGCCTTGCAATCCGACCCAACCTCTGAACTTCCTCATCAACTGCCACGTACAGTTGTCCGTAGCCAGAAGCAGTAATCATGTCGCTTGCACCACCATTCACAGCAGAGTCGGCGAACGCCAAAGTGAAGAAGGCACAAGACCTTTGGAATGGCCAGTAAGCAGTACCCCACGGCCAGAGTTGTTGTTGACGCTTGACTGAACTGGCTAGGGACCCCAAAACGATCGCCCAAGCCTATACTGCGGACAGTATCTGGCGTAACCGGTCTACCTTCATTGCGGGGACCGCCGACATTGAGAAGTTCCTGACCCAGAAGTGGGAAAAGGAGAAGAGTTACCGTTTGCGCAAAGAGCTTTTCGCCTTCACAAATGACAAGATTGCTGTCCAGTTCTGGTCCGATTCGAGCGCCCCCTCTATTCGAGCCTCAGCAGCTGACTGAACCAGGTATGAGTACCAAGATGCGCATGACGGTATGAAGTGGAAGCGATGTTACGGTCTCGAAGACTGGACCTTCGCGGAAGATGGCAAGATGCGCAAGCGCCAGATGAGCGGTAATGACATCGAGATCAGCGAGGCTGGTAAGTATCTCTTTCCCAACATCTACAACCCAATTGTTCAACCTTGTTCCTCCTGATTGACTGCGAGCGGGGCCATGCACTGATGTACGTGTAGATCGATGGTTTAAGGAGGGTGTGGACGTCAACAAAGTTGAGATCAGGGAAGCGCACTGGTGAATTGTTTATTATTGTTTCTGAACAGGTGGGTATCATAACGCTTAAATGACCGATGCTGTGATTGTACGCTCAAAGGCTCGACGGTTTTATGCGGGCGGCGTATCGTGGATAAGAACCAGAATGTACTTAGGATCTTTGCTTCTATTAGCGGAGCGCTTGACTTGCTTATGTCGAACTTACCTGGCACAATCACCAGCTCATTCTTCTTCGTGCGCAGTCGTAGTAACCGAACGTCGTCCTCCTTATCGAGTTCATCGATGAGACTTCCTGCGGCTCCTAAAAACTTCCAGACTGCACTTGCTACGTCTTCAGCACTGTGTATTCCGCTTTCCTTTCGCCCATTCACGTAGTTGTCAGCCGTTGTTTCGCCTGAGGCAGGCAATGTGCTATTCGGGTTCGCCGACGAGCTGTTCGATATCAGGCCAGACGTGCGTACTATGGCTCCTGTGTCGCGTGACAAGATGAGTGTGCTTTGTACGCCAGGCTTTTGACTCAGTCGAGTAAGCAGCGAGAGAGTTTCTTCGGTCTGGAAAAGGTCAGTAAACTGCTCGTTGGGAGCAGGGAGGTACTCACTGAGCGCTGAGCCATATTTCGCAGCGAGAATCTAGTGCAACCGTGAGCGTGTTTGTTGTAGTTGGTTTCCATGACATCTTTGCGCGCGAGCACCGCGGCGTGGTCCCCTGTCAAAGGCCGGCTGACGCTAAACCTACTAGGATTAGCGTCCTTTTGCAGATTCCTCAATTTTCTACGCAGCATCACGGGTAGGTCTGGACAGCTACAAATGGGATTACTCATGTCACTTTGATCACCAGCCTTCATGCTTCCGACGACCGCTATCTCATCAAGAAAACATCGTAGTATACTAATTGATTGCGGCTGAAGAGCAACATGACTACCAGCTCGAAAAAGAAGAAGGACAAGAAGAAGGATTTCCAGGTACGAAAGTGAACCCGTTGCGAAACTAAACGATCCTGACAGTTCGCAGAAACCTAAGCTGAGGGTTGGAAAGGCTGCACCAAAGGCTGCGAATGCCACGAGCACAAGTTTCAAGGCGAAGTGTAAGATGAGCATCAAGTTACGGTTTAAGCAGAAAAGCTTACGGTGTCGCAGCAATCTCTCTGAAGCAGCAGGCCCTTTCCGCAATTGCTCCAACATTAGAGGCACAATGTGTACATCACTTGGGCTTACTTGACCACAAGGCGGACAAGCAGCGACAGGAGTCGCTAGCCTTCCTTACTTCAGCCATTACAGGCATCACTCCTGGAACTCCATTACCTCAGCCCGCGTCAGTCATCATTCCTGCAGTTCAGAGACTCATTCTGGACCCCTCGAACGCTGTTCGACAGCAGTTGCTCAAGCTTCTCAAGATCCTACCAGAGAATGATGTCGCCACCCATGCAGATCAACTTCTGCTCCACACGAGAGCAGGAATGACGCATCTGTCCGTACAGATTCGGACTTTTGCCTTAGAGGTTCTCCAATGGCTGGTTCGTGTTGCGGGCGATGAAGTTGTCAGTTGCGCTGGCGGATGGGTGAAGATGCTGAAATGCTTCCTGAGCTTGCTCATTTGGAAGTCTGAAGGAGAAGGCAAATGGTCTCAAGCAAAGTCATACGGCAAGAGCGACGCAAAGCTCCAGGTGAAGCAGATGGATGCTCTCACAGCGTTCCTGCGAGCTGGTTTGTATCACGCACAGGTTGTGTCGATCTCGAACGACAGTAACTTTCCGCTTTGGCAGACAGAACACCACATGCTGTCTGAGCGGTCGAACGTTTACGCCCATTTGAATCTGTTCAGCGCGACAAGAGACGAGGAAGCAGAGATGTTCGAGGACCGCGAGGACCGACAAAGAGTGTTCAACGATAGAGCAGAACCTGCCGTCGTCACGGGTCTTGAGCAAGCCCTGAAAGCAGGCGGTGAGATGGGTCGCGCGGCTGCGCAGCTACGCAAAGTAGTTAGGGATGGGATGGCAGATTTCCATAGAGAAGAGATTATTGTCTAAGCAGGACACCAATATGCAATTATCACATCAATCTGCAATTGCGACGCTCACATTCACACTTGGTGTCATAGCAATTGATTGCTGTTGCTTGCTTGTCTGATTGCATCTGCAGCCAAGCATGTAGCGCCAGAGCCCCACTGTTACGATCCTGTGTCTCACGACTGGGCAGCAGAGTAATAAGTAACCACCAACCAGATACGGAGACTTGGAGGAAGGCGCAGCACGCTGAGGCCGCTCGGCCGGCGGCTACGAACAACAAGGATTGCTCGCCTACGAGTAGACTACACGTGACGAACACAGGGTCACGTGAAGCGCTCGTCAACGAGCAGATCTGGTGGACAGTATACAGCAAGTAAACACGCTGCCCTTGTGGCATCGTGTTCAACTTTGTCAATCAACTTTGTTCTTGGAATCTCACCTGCTCTTGAGCCAGACAGTCTACTCTGTACTACTCATTGCTACCAGCCGTCATGGTCTTTGACTACCACAAGCTTTGCTTAGGTAATCAATCCCTCTGTTCCTTCATGCTCTACTCATCCCTGAGACCCAACCAAACTGTGCTTCCAAGCTTTGCTTAAAGTACGACTTCAACACCACTTTCTCTGTCTGTATAAGGGATGCCTTTTCACATCTCTTCTGCTTGCCTTGGTTCCTTTAAGACTTAGGATAATCATACTAAGTACTGCTCTAAAGGACTTAAGTAGCTTAAAGACACTACAGCTAGAATTAGCTTTTCTCTCACCTAGCTAAGCAGGTAGGAACTAGCTACCCTGAAACACAAGCTAGAGAGGAAGTGTCACAGGCTATGCCTAAACTGAGACTATTGATATGCCTTGATACCTCAGGCACATAGGATGTCCAAGCTTGCCAAGGCAAGGAACATTGCTAGAAGGTTCTTTGGGTCCTGTGACAGCAGGTTCTTTTGGTCATGTGACAGCAAGTTCTTTCGGTCATGTGACAGCAGATTCTTTCGGTCATGTGACAGCAGGTTCTTTCGGTCATGTGATGGAAGGTTCTATGTGCTTCCATAAGATTACAAAACCCTGACTGCCAGGCTATAAAAGGCCAGAGACATGCCCCCCTGTTTCCTTTTTTCTAGCTTAGCAACTTGTATCTTAGGTCTTGTGAATAACGCTAGCTTGAACCCTCACAGGAAGCTGCCTTTGTCACCTAGGCTTCTGGCGCCTATCTTCCAGCCACATCAGCATGCCAGGTCTGGCCATGGAGCCAAACCACGCCAGCACCAGACCCTCACGCACCATATCCAGGCCGAACTATGACGATGCCGTCGCCGCAACACAGTCGATCATCAAGAAAGAGGATAATGACGACGATGAGGACGACGCTTACAGGTCGCGACCGCAGCTGCAGAAGCCGTTCGTTCTCATGCGCAACTTGGCGGAGCTGATGAGTAGGTGAGAGACTATACCTGCGAGACATGCAAGCTGATTAGCACAGAGCTTATGCAAGCCGGCGTAATAGATGTCGATCCAGAATACCAGCGAGATGTTGTTTGGACAGGTGAGCGGGTACATAAACGCAAAGCATGCAGAAACCATACTGATGTTGGGACACAGCTGATCGAATGACGGGCCTAATCAACTCGTTGATGGGTAAGTGCACATGATGGCTGCAAATACCCGCAACTGACGACGGCATTTAGAAAACTTCTACGTTCCACCCATCATTTTGAACAAGAAGCCGCGGCCTGGTCAAGATGCCGCAGCTCCTCAAGAAACGCTGGTATGCGTTGATGGCAAACAACGCCTATCCTCGGTTCTTGCATTTGTCAAAGGCATGATTCCTTGTCACGATCATCGCGGAGAGAAGTGGTAGGTGCTGCAAGAAGTCTGATTCACACAAACACTGACATGTCCAGGTGGTTCTGTGAACCCGCCGGAAGCAAGCGCAAACGAGTCTTATCGAAGCAGCTACAGAAACAATTCTACCAAAAGGATTTCGTATCGTTCGAATACAACAACCTGTCGCCCGAGCAAGAAGAGGACCTCTTCGCAAGGGTACAGATGGGGGTGCAGCTAAACCTTGCTGAGAAGATGCGTGCTTCGACAGGGCCCTGGCAAGAACTCGCCAGGTTGTTCGTCGCAGATTTTCCAGTCGTGTACTCTTTGATGAAGGACAAGGCGAGGTCGAAGGACTTTCAACTCACCCTCTCATGCTTCAGTCAGATCATCGAGTGCATGCACCCAACAGCTGCCAATGGAGTACCCATACTGAAGACGAATCACACGCATCTGCCAAAGCTTCTGAGCAACAAAAGCGCCGTAGATGACGGCCTAAAGTCACACCTTGCCAGCGTTTGGAACACTTTCAAGGACCTCATCGAAGCTGATCCCGACACATTCACGAATGGCAACAAATATCTACGGGGCGTACAGACCTTCGCACCTGTCGAGATGGTCGCAGTCACAGTCTTGATCTCAATGTACTCTGAGATACGTAACAACAGGCTGCTCCTTGGCGACATCCAAGCAATGCGCATTGCTGTTCGTGAGAACTTCGTTGACCTTCGACTCAACGCGTCTGTATGGAAGTGGTTCTGGGAGTACATCGACGAGCTAGAAGCCATCCGCGGAGCTATCGACGGGAGTACCGTGAACCGAAGAACGAAACAGCGAACCAAGATGAGTGATAAGGCACCTACAGAAGGTGCGACAGCAGGCTCGACCGCAGCAGCGATCACTGCTGCGGCTGCGGCTCCTAAGAAAGGTAGATTTACAGCCCGAACAAAACGGCCAGCTACGACAATAGCGGAAGAGGCGCCTGTCATGGTGGAGCAAGAACTGGCAACGGCTGCTTCGCCTGAACCACGTTCGCCAAAACGAAGGCGTACTGGCGACAGTCCTCTCAATGGGTTACCTATGAGCGATGGCCAATTTTGGGGTTCACTCCCGAGCACGACTGTACCACCTAATGGACTGCCCGAGGAACGAATACGTCCAGAACCAATGCATCCAGACCCATTGTTGCCGCCGATGCCCACACACGCCTCAACACAAAGTCCTCAGCCTGTTGCCAGGAAGCCTCGTCCAAGAGCATACCCAGCAATATCGGCGCTACCAAGCACTGCTTCGTTGCCGCGAAATGCATCCAGTTCGATTGATAGCGCACAGAGCCACGTACATGCACCTACCCCTTCAGAGGCACGTCAGCAGCGTGTGTCCACGCTAAACAGCTTTCAATCTGCGCATCAATCTTCAGCCCGTGCCATTTCAACTGGCTTACCCGTCTCCCATGAACATCACATGGGACAGCCTCGAGCACCTGTTGCACCTATGGTATCTGGGCTCGGCCCGTTCTCACCTGACCACAGCCATTCGCAATGGGGAGGCGTTTTGGAGTCTACACCTGAGACAGATGTTGCTCCACAAGTGTCCGCCTCATCTCGACCACGTTCGATGCAGAAGGCCAGAACAAGTCCGCCACAACCCGCACAGGAGCATTACGATGGGGCAATCGATCTGACCAGCGATACTGAACAAGAGAGACAGGATTTACTGTCTGCGTTCAAAACAAAATCTGGCTCCAGTGGGTCACCGAAGGCCCCGAAATCTGCAGCAGAACCTGTGGCGCAGACGCGGACGTCCACCGCTAAGGAGCAAAGGGTATCATCGCAGGATCTACCGACTAGGGAGAACAACCCGTATGCGAGGTTCAAGAATATATGAGGCAGCTTGCTGGTACTTAATCGGCGGAACACACTAACTGAAAAATGGGTTACCACCTCAAGTTCTACCAGTACCGCGAGATGCTGTGATGCGAAGAGATAAGCCGGCTGAGCAGCGAAAATTCTGCTAGCCACCATGAGACCAGCTTAATGAGTACAAGCTAATAAAATAAAAAATATATTGTTATAAGATCTTCAGATTGGCACCTAACTAAGCAAGGCATTGACTATCTTAACCGTAACAAGCAAGAGGAGTGAGACACTAGTCATCGCTTATCTTATCGTAATCCCTGCAATAGCAAAAAAATTCCCCGCCTCAGAAATTAACTGGTGCAACAAAGCAAAGTAACAATACAAGATGGCAGAACAAGCAACAGAACAGGAGATCCTTCTCGCAAAGCGTATCATCTCGGCAGCAAAACGCCATGATGTTTCAGCCCTGAAGGTTGCGCTCAAGGAAGGCTCAGCCAACGTCCAAGATCCCACAGCAACAGTTGCGACTTCGCCACTTCACGCAGCCATTGCGTCCTGTGGCAAAGCTGAGGAGGGAAAAGAGGCGGACGAGAATGCCATTCAGACAATCAACATTCTGCTTGAGAACGGAGCCATCTGGAACGACTTGAACAAGGAGGACGAGACACCAGGATGTATTGCCCTTCGCCTTGGTCAACAGAAGACCTACGACCTCATGGTTGAGGCTGGTGTCCGCGCTGAGTTGCTGTTTGCCAAGATGCAGGCCCTTGGTCTTGGAACCTCCGCAATTGAGGTTGAGGAAGAGGAGGAAGAGGAGACTACCGAGGAGCAGCCCGCGGCCAAGAAGCAGAAGGTCTCTGAAGATGAGGCGCAAGTTATTACAGAAGCTGTCGAGCAGAAGGTCCTTGACGATGTCTCTCTTGACAACAAGGCCTACATCAGGTCTCAGCTCCGCTACAAGCCCGGTATCTTACTTGATGAGAGCGATAACGCAGTCATGATGGACTGGGAAACCGAGATCATGCAGCGACACGCCGAGACCCTGATTCCCAAGAAGGGTCTACGAACCATGAACGTCGGTCATGGAATGGGCATCGTCGACACAGCTATCCTGACCCACGACCCCTCAGAACACCATATCATCGAGGCTCACCCGCAAGTTCACCAGCGCCTGAGGGAGACCGGATGGTACGACAAGCCCAATGTTCACATCCACGAGGGCCGCTGGCAAGACGTTCTGCCCAAGCTCGTTGAGCAGGGTGTTGTTCTGGATGCTATCTATTACGACACATTTGCCGAGGACTACGCAGCGCTCAAGGAGTTCTTCGCCGAGTACGTCATCCAGCTGCTGGCGAAGGATGGCAAATTTGGATGGTACAATGGCCTTGGCGCTGACCGACAAATCTGCTACGATGTCTACACCAAGGTTTCCGAGATCGATCTGTACGAAGCTGGCTTCGACACAACTTGGGAGGAAATTAAGGTGCCCGCGGGTCTGCACGGAAGCAAGGAATGGGAAGGCACAAGGAGGCCATACTGGACTATTGACGTATACCGTCTGCCAGTGAACACCTTCTTGAAGTAAGCAGTATGTTGTTTTGAGGTGTTCAGGACTTGGCATTAGACAGGCCAATTGGCTAGGAAAAAGCAAACCACGAATAAATGCATGATACGCAGCACAACAAGGAACACGAGAGCTATAGAAGGGACCATCAGAATGCTCGTTGACTTTACTTGCTACACTATCTAGACTTCGTGCAGCAACTTGCCTGCGAATCCAGCCTTGATCGAGTCCTCGAGGCTCTCCTGCTTAAGGCCCAACTTGTCATTCCACAGTCCAGATGGCTTCAGATCACCAAGCTTGTCATCACCGAATGTGATTGATTGGATCAGCGGCCCGATTCCATGGAAGTCGCCCTTCTGCAACAGCTCGTTGCCCTTCGCAATGTGATCCTTCGCGCTGACCTTGTTGACCGTGAACTTCTCGCCCGTAACCTTTTCTGCCGCAGCGAGAAGCTCATTCTGCGAGATCTGGAACTCGCTAACATAGACGTACTGGTTCTTGGTAGCTTCGGCGTTCTCCAGTGTCTTCACAACAGCCTCGCCGATGAAGCTGAGGTTGCTGGTGGAGAAGGTGGCGTTGCCGCTGTCAATAACGGTAGCTGTCTTGTTCTTCTGGTCGAGGCCTAAGAAGCCAACCTTGAGGCCCCAGTCGAAGAAAGGTCCGGTGATAACGCTCGTCCAGCTGATGACATCCTCCCTGCTCTTGAGGTAGTTCACTGTGCCGGTCTTAGCCTCGAAGACGCTGACTACAGCTCGTGTCTTCGGGTTGGGTGTGTCGCTGCCGAACTCTGAGGGGAGGAAGCGCTTTACGCCTGCTGCGATCGCAGCGTCGATCAGTTTGTTCTGATCTCCGATGGCACCGCTGCCTACAAGGGAGATGACGGCATCCTGTCCTTGGAAAGCTTGCTTGAGGCTGTCGACAGAATCGTAGTTGGCACGGAGGACGTTGACGCCTGATGGGAATGTGGAGTTCGAGCCCTCACGGGAGAGAACACTGGTGTTGAATGATGAGCTGAGTAAAGCTCTCAGGACGGAGGGTCCAAGGTTGCCTCCAGCACCGATGATGATGACGTTCTTGATAGACATTGTTGGATGAACTGGTGCGTGGAGTGGAATTGAGGAGTATAAGTGAACTGGTTGTTTAGTGGAGAGTGGTGTGTTGATGATTCTTGGTGCTGGACTCAATACTCCTTATATCTCTTGAAGCTTCTGAGCACGACACACAGCCAGCTCTGTATTCCGCCCTATTATCTCAGCAACAGATGAAGTCGACTTGGCTTACAATCGCGCCGATATTGCGCTTTGAAACGAGTTGGGAATGGTGTCGAGGACAACCGTGGATCGGCAAATCATACAGCAGCAACGTCTTTCACACCTACACGGGTAGGGCCGAGCCCCTCACAAAATCAGGGTCTCTGCGCCTGTCGTACGAATTGCGCAGAGCACACCACCCATTGCGCCATCGTTGGACGAAATGTGGCACGATATAGCTTGCCTGTTCTGCCCGGGTGGTGTCTTGTCGTTGGGTGGGTCCTTCTTGTCAGCAAGCGGAGAGAAGCCGCTGGGCACGGACCGCGCTTTCTGAGCCACCAGAAGTGCAATTCCCAACGCTGAATTCCGCGATATTTGCAATAATCGATTTGGGACAGAAGTCCTTGTTCATAATGCTTGCGCGCGCAAGCTGTGACGTACATGTGCCACACTCAGGCCAACATTGAGTGTCTTCGGGTCACCACTCACTTCTTCTCATGGACATTCAACCTCTGCTGCACGATGCGTCCACCTCTCCAGCTCAACCAGAAGTTCCAACAGGCCTTGACCGTTCCACGCACTGGTCTCTCAGTCTGGTTGGTATCTCTGGCTGCCATAAGTGTCAGGAATTGCCTCCATCGTCCAGATGATACGCCGTTGCGCAGCATTGAGTTCGCGAATGTACTCTGAGCTTCGACACTATATCGTTGCTCCCACGATTGCAAAGCCTGTTCAGCATGCATGATGCACGCACGTATGGAGATCGAGTGATCGCCTTGAACCCCAAGCTGATCTGATCAATGCGAGCGACAAGCGCCTCATAGGCGTCTTCCCAAAGCCCGAGCTCATCCATCTCTGGGGTATGGGGTGGGTAAGACAGACCACAGCCACTGAATCGTACAAGTCCCAAGCGGGAGCCTCGTTGGACACTTTTGTGAAGTTCCAATCGCCGGTTGTGCTGGTACCTCCGCTGGTTCTCATCTCTTGGCTTAGCCCAAGCCAGCGTACTGCTCGAAGGATTTTCATTATACCCAAGCCGTCCATCCACGAGAGGATAATTCTCTTAGTTGATCAAGTACTTGGTGTACTTGGTGTACGTGCTGCTCACTGTACGAGAGTTGAGGTCGGCTTGCATCCAGGCTCAAAAATACGGTTCGACTCCATAGCGGTCAGCGTTTCCGGCTAAGGCCCGACGTTTGCTTGAGGTTATCGCATTCAGTCAGAGAGGCCACGGGCGAGTTCGAACCTGAGATCTAGAGTCGTACCAATGACCAAACGGCCATAGGTCAGCCTGTTCAGTTGCTGAGGAAGATTCGACATTGCTGTCTAAATTACATTGTGGCATTGAAAAGCCCTGTTCACTCGAATTCACGAAAGCGTCTGTGTTAATGAAGAACAAGTGTTCTGCAGCTTTCGCATAGTCTTTGGTCGACTTTTGTGGACCTTGAGGTGTCAATGGTGCGTGTAGGATCTCGATATGTGCTTCCAGGATCTGCTCAGGTGCAAAGAGGAAGAGTGAGCTAACACAAACTACTACAGGAACTTCTCTCACTCGCAAATTCTGGCTGATCTCCTCGAGAAGAAGGTTCAGAATGGCGGTCTGGTGTTGCGTCTGCTGGTACAGCCCCTGTGACTTCGCAACAATTGCCTGGAAAACACTGTGTAACAAGCCTTGATGCTGGCTTTTCGCGTTGCACTGGCTCTCTGTACTCCAGCGTGCATCGACGTATCTCGAAGCCCGTCTGGAATCAACCGGTAGCTCGACCAGAGACCGCATTGCATTGATCAAGCGAGCATGATCCGAGTACACGATACCATGGTCGGCCAAAGCCGTTGTGTACTCCATGGTTTCTGACAAACAGAAGGCCTAAACGAAATGCACGCGTGTCTGTGTACATTGAATGCGATCACATACACCAGGTATGGCCACTCCTGAGCTATCGATAAATCGGGTTTCCGGTACTTCTGACGGCTCCCGAAAATCAGATGGATACACAAACGGCCTCTGAGGTGACCGCACTGTCGTCGAAGCTGTGATTCTCGATGACCTTAGACGCCTTAACATAGATGGCTGCCTTCGGTCGTTCGCAAAGGTGCCATTGCTGTCTAGCGTGTTTAGGCTATGCGATGTTCTGGAAGAGAGTAGATTGGGTCTTGCCTCTGAGGAGGTTGATGGCGCAACCCCGTAGATGCCTAATGGCAGATGACCTTCAGGTAGTTGAAGACAAACAGAAAGATCTAGAAATGAGGTGCTTTCGTCGGTCTCGCTGTCCTCGTCGCCCGAGATATCAAAATTGATACCACGTCCACCTCAAGCGTACCCTTTCTTAGACATAGGATCGGTCGACTTTGCGACGAACTTGGCATCGTACTGACGGTTGAGGCGGCTGGGGTACGATCGTGCAGTTGCCGCTCTTCGAAGTCGTTGATAATGTTCGTATAGTACCGGAGTGGATACTGAGCCATGCTTGAAGCCAGTCCATCTGAAGCGCTCGCTAAAACCTCGAACGTGGATTCCGGAAAGTCTTGTATGACCCAAGTGGGTTACTCGACGCAACGAAGGACTCACACATTCAGGGTAGTTGTGCGTGCCATGCTGGTCCATTAACCTTTAAGCCAGCTCACGACCCAGAGTGACCCCGCATCCCGGGGCTCTTCACATCCCCTAGAAACGGTCTGTCCGGAAAGTTTGACAACTGCTAGGCCTTCACGTTGAAGATAGCGAGTACATATGAGCCAGGATGTTATGTAGGTTCATCACGTGACTGCTATAAGCTGCAAGGACAAAGGGATGAGCACGGGGAAAGTCGAGCCGCACGGTCGCAAACTCGCTTGTGGTCACAATCCTGTTCTCTGCCTTCGCCGACGGTTCCAACAGGGGCGCATTGCTCTACCGTTGCAACGGTTCTTGCGTTGGCAAGGGCGGTGCAACGAAACCGGCACGATCATGTCAAGTCTACCAGGTCCATCGATGAGGGCTCAACATGACGCGCCTCTACCCCCGTGTCAACCATCTCTCTCGAAGTTCTACAGGAACAAGCGTCGTTCGAGCAAAAACGCTTCAGCACAAGTACGTACTGCCGCTCAAAATCGAGCTGTAACGGCCAGAAGTTGGCACATCAGTGTTCCAGCATAATGAAACCTACTTACATGATCTTCTTAGACGATACGTCAAAACCAAGGTTCGCGCTAATGGCAAAGTGTGCTCTCGTGGCAGAAGTCCCGATCAACCTGCAAAGCCAAGGTCTCCTGTAAGATTATCTGTTTGATTTTCACGATGTACATCAATCCGATGTTTAGAATACTGCTGGTATCAGCGAGTGCCTCACGAGGATGTTTCTTGAGCAAACCCGAGCTCAGGAACTAACTTGCCCACGCGAGTACACGGAGTTGTTCGTTACGTATCATGCACAGTAGTCACACGGTACCGGCAAACTTATATGGCACTGTGAACATATGTAGAGAACTTTCACCAGGCCGCCTTGAATACTCATACCTCAGCCGAAACTCCATGGAACGGTGATCAACGCCTTCGAACAGCACAACTCAACTGCATAATTGAGTATGAATACGCACTTCTCACTCTTTCTACAGTTCCAACATCTCATACTTTCTCCTTGCCGCAACCAATAAGCACCACTCAATCTGCGAAGGCACAACTTCTCTTGCATCAAAACCAGGACACTAAACCCAGCACAATGTCTCGCGGACTCAGTCGTGATGAGCGCGAAGAGCTCGACCACATGCTTGAGTACGCAGTAGAGTACTACCTAGATCAAGGGGTCTCGCGGGGCGAGGCGTACGATCGGGCTGCAGAGGCGGTGCACGAAAAGACAGGCTACCGCGCTAATGGCCCAGCCTATCGAGCTCTACGCGAAGCTGCATATCGCGAAGATGCACAACGATATGCTGAGGAGACTGCGTTCGGACCTTCCCAGCGCCATACAGAGGAGTCTGTGCGCAACTCCCATTTTGGTCGCAACACGCAGTCTGGTTCCGGAACAGAGTACGATCGCATGTTTCAAAACGGTACAGACCTTGATGCTGCTGCTCGGACGAACGGTAAGAGTTTAAGTGTTGAGGAGATCATGTGGCGAGCAAACCAGATCACGATGGACTTGCTTCGTAAGGACAAAAACGAAGGCTACGCCCGCCGACAGGGCGAACAGTTCATGATCCGAGAGATGGGTAAGCTCAACGAAGCCGAGTTAGGTGACACCGATGGCCATGGTCAGTCTGCTCGCTCTGAGTATGGTGAGTATGGAAGCCATGGTGCGCACCGAGCAACTAGTGCTCGTGCTCAGTCTGCTCGATCGGAGTATTACGACCACGATTCTGGTTTTGAGGAGCCTCACGATTACTCGGACGGTATTCGTAATTGGTCTGCTCGATCGGAGTACGGTAGCCGCGGTGCTGGTCCTGAGCAGCGGTATGACACCTCCTATCGTTACACCGAAGAGCAGCTCCGGGTCATCGTGAAGGACATCTATGAATCGTGGATCGCAAAGGGCGTTCATCCTGATGAGGCGCGTCAAGAGGCTCAGAAGTGGTTTCTTCAAAACGCTCGCGAGTCCGGATCGTCGTCTCGATCTTCCGGATTTAACAGCTTCAGCGATATGCGAGATGCTCTTGACGACGACGAGGGCCATGGTAGTCGACGTTCCGGCTCCGCGCGTGGACCTCGTGCTGGCATGCCCCGCCCGCCTGGGTGGGAGGGCCCTGAGTATGATCAGTACTTCACTGACGAGCCTGAAGATGACTTCTATACCCGCCGCGAGCCTTCTCGATACTCCTCTCGTAACGGTCCCAGCGGCTTCTCTTCTGATAATCACAACGGCTACGACGACCGCTCGGGCTGGTATGGTCGTTCCGGTAACGACCAGCCACGCATGGAACCATCCGGCGTCAAGCCCGTTGAGGACCTGTACGTGCTACTGGGCGTCTCAAAGCACGCGAGCGTTGAGGAGATCAAGCAGGCGCACCGCAAGCTGTGCATCAAGCACCACCCTGATCGCGTGAAGGGTGGCACGGCAGCGAAGAAGGTGGCGACGGAGAAGATGGCGCAGATCAATCAGGCTTGTGATGTGTTGAAGCACAAGGAGATGCGGGCGTTCTATGATCGCACGGGGCTGATTGCTAGCATGGGTAAAAGCCCGGATGCCTGACTTGTTACGGATGTGCTGAAATATTGAGGATTGAGTATACTGTTTCACCTGCTAGCCATTCATATGAAGAATTGATGAGAATATGTGAGTTGTTAAATCCATGTTTTGTACAGGTGAGCGCGATGATGACGATGTCACTGTCAATGGAAGTTTAAGGTCCACAATCCTACAGTACTTCAGTAACACCTTCACAGAAAATGAAGGCTCATCAAGGCCTCAACGTGGTTCTTAACGTGATGAATTCAATGTCGTGGTTGCGTGTGAGGAGTGATGTTTGGACCAGAAGACAAGGGCCGAGGCACGGATGCGCCTTCCCTCTTTCGAAATTCTGGGGAAGACGGCCGGAGCTTCAGATGCATCGCAGCAACGCGCTTTAAACCTCAACGACGTCACGCGCATCGTCTAACACCCTCAATCGCTTATTCTTACCGTCGCGCAACCTCCTGCTTATGACGGACCGGGTAGCCAAGCGCTTGCGGCGGCTCAGCACCGAGTACGAGGACTCGGAGGACAACGTCGAGTGGAACAACAGCAGGTATGTGGCTGACATCCCCAGCAGCGCGCGCAGCTTTGCGCCTTCCTTCGCGCCAAGGGCCATGTAGCGAGACACAAGGCGGCAATTTTGGGTGCGAGCAAACAGTCAGCCGCAGGGAGCACTGCAACAGGCCAATGCCATGACCGCTCACCACCGCATTGTGCCACCCGCGTGAATACCTGCGCGCATCCAGCAGGAGGAGCTTGTAATTTGACGCCATACGTGCTACTCTCCCACCTACACCATTTATTTGACTCTCCTTCACACCCACCATGCCCCGCCTCCGCACCCGCGCAGCTCCTGACCCTCCTCCCAGTGCCCCTACGGCCTCCTCCACGCGCCCTCGTCGCGGCACGGCAAACCGCCACGATGCGCCCTCTGCCACCATCCAGCGCTCCTCGCCCGAAGAAACACGGCAGTCCCTCTCACTGACCGTCAAGTCGTCCCCCAACAAGCTGCGCCAGGCCACCGGCGTACCTGCCGTTAGCAAGGGCAATCTCAGTCGCAACAACATTGTCTCGGGCAAGCGCGCCTCGCGGAGCAGTAGAGTTGTGCGCGAGGTGGACAGCGACGAGGACGAAGAGGAAGACGACAACGACGATGAGGCGGACGAGGTCGAGGCCATGGACGTTGATGAGGAGGAAGAGGACGACGATGTAGATGCTGAAGGAAGTGAGGAGGATGACATGGACGCTGAGGGCGACGAGGAGGACGAAGAGCCTATTGTTGTGCCCACAAGCAAAGCTATACCAGTGGCCTCGAAACCGAAGATCAGCGTCACGAAGGCGCAAGATACAGTGGAGGCTAAGGAGATGGCCATGTCTGATGACGACGACGAACTCAGCGATCCAGACTCTGACCTCGACGACATGGAAGACGCAGAGGGCGAAGACGACGATGCAGAAGGAGAGGACGACGACGAACTTGCTGGCCCTGAAGGCGACGTGGACATGGACAGCGACGAGGACATGAGCCGCGACCAGACACCTGACATGAGCAAGTTGACACGGCGACAACGCGCTGTGCTGGAGCAAGAAGAGGATGGCAGTCTGCTTGCGCTGAGCAACGAGGCGCAGAAGAAGAAGCATCTCACCGCTGAAGAACATGCCATGAGAAGGGCGGAAATGGCACGACGAAGGAAGAACCTCAGCGAGAAAAGGAATGAGGAAGAGAAGGTACGTTCCACAACAATCTCAAAATTTCCTAGATTGCTAATACAGCCCAGCTTGACACGATCAACCGCCTCCTCAAGAAGCAGCCCCCAAAACGCGGCCGCAAGAGCGCCGTCGCCGACCTCGACGAATCAGGTCAAGAAGCAGAGCCCGAGCCGGAACGCGCAAACCCGCTCTTCGTACGATACATCCAGAATGCAAAGGGCACACAGCTCGCTGTCCCAGACGAGTGGCTACAGGCGCCTATGGGCAGTGTGTTTGCGGGCAAGACAGAACCTGCAAGCAAGACGCCGTGGAGTGGCAGGATGGTTGAGGAGGTTGCGTAGAATGCGTATGTGAGCTTAGGGCAAACATAGGCAGCACTGTTGAGGGAAATACATGAAGAATTGAAGAGGTCAAGGCGTTTATTTACAGGTCTTAACCAACCATATCGGGGTTTCATCTTGAGTAGGCGTTTATCCTGTCTACATCGGTGTCCCAAATTCTCCAACTTCCCCGGCCAGGACTTTTTTCTTTTTAGTGGTAGACTGCGGCCGCACGCGTGGGCTACATATATACCTATGCTAAGCAAAGGTTCCACACGTTCGCTCAGCCCTTTTCAAGCAACATACCGGCAAATTGACATCTAGGTGGGTCACTACTAGCGAACGCCCGCTGTTGTATGTTTTTCTTTTGGCGCAGAGCATCGAGCGAAACAAGGTGCGAGCGAAGCGAATCATGGGTTGTGTGGATGTGGAAAGGATTCAGAGCAGATATGTCTACCTCTTTTGGAGCCCAAAGGCTGTTACGAGACTACATGTTGTTTTCACTACGCCAGACGATTGCTTGAGATCTATTGAAGACCTCCAGCCTCGCTGATCAAGGATCATCTAGATACCTTCATGCTCGCAACTGAGCAATCGAAAATCGGAACGAATTCACCACTGGTAGTACTTGTTGATTCCATATACTTCCTGCTTATTGAACACAAGCTACAGTATTTATGCTTGCTGCACCGCCCGATACACCCTCCTCCCCCTCGCCCAGGTCTCCGCAACAGTATCATCCAACAAGCTCTCCGGCGTCCACTTCGAATCCAACACCACAAAATCCGCCCGCAACCCCTTCTTCAAACTCCCTGTCCACTTCTCAGCAAACCGCGAATACGCAGCTCCAGCCGTCGCAGCATAAAACGCCTGACTCATCGTAAGCGCCTGATGCGGTGTGGTCCTCTCCGTCATCTGCGGCTGTGTCGCACTCCGCCTCATCGTCGCATTATACAAGTTCGGCAACGGCAAATGTCGTGCTGTCGGTGCATCGGTGCCGAAGGCTACGCATGCGTGGCTATCGAGGAACTCTTTGTACGCGAATGCCCGGTCCCAGAGGTGGGGCCCGATTAGCTTTTGGTAGTCGATTAAGATCGCGGGATCGGAGTGGACGGGCTGAACGGACGCGGTGATGCCGAGGGCACCGAGACGTTTGGCGTCTTCTGAGTTTGTAATTTCGAGATGTTCGATTCGGTGCCGTCCTGAGGGGGTATTTGCGGAGGCGATGGAGGAGATGGCTTGCGAAATGGCTGCGTTGCCGATGGCGTGGATGGCTACTTGGAGGTTGGCGCGCGCTGCTTTCGTGACGACCATTTCCATTTGGTCTTTTGTGAAGAGAGGGTCGATGAGGTTGGCGTGGCCGGGGTAGGCCTGTGTCAGGGCCGCGGTGCAACCGTCCACGACACCGTCGCAGATCATCTTGATGCCCACGACGCAGAAGTCTGGTGTAGATGATGGATGCCACTGCTCGTTTTGTGAGATGGCTGCATCTACCTGCGCTTCCAAGTTGCCAGCCGGCCGGACCAGCCAGTGTGCGGCCACGTGAATTGGCAGGGTGCCGTTCCTCTTGCGGTATAGTTGTAGTGCATCCCATGAATTGTCGTCCATGGCCATGTCGATCGCGCCGGTGTATCCAGCTGCGATGTATGCATCGAATGCCTCCTGGAGTGCTGCTTGCTTCTCCTCTTCGGTGTATTTCTCATTCAGGTAAGGCCACACGATGTCTGTCTGTCCAGCTTCTGCGAACAGTCCTGTTGGGTTTCCGTTCTCATCGCATGGGATTTGGTGATTTCCGAGCTCCTTGGCCTCCTTCAGAGGGAGTTCCCTTAGTGCCGCAGTATTTACCCAGGTCGAATGCAGATCGAGCGCTTCGACGTATATCGGGCGATGTTGAACATCGAGGTCATCTAGCATGGTAGCCAACGCTAAACGACCAGTGCTCGGCTGATGCCATCCGCGGCACAGCACTCGAGGCATCTCTGGATGTTTTTTGGCATAGTCCGAGATGGCTGATCGGACTAACCCGAGTGATGTGCAGTTGGTGAGGTCCAGCTTTCTCAGGGACAGGCCAAAGAAAAGGAGGTGGGTATGCGCATCAATGAAGCCTGGTATGATGACACGGTCTTCCAGATCAACAACCGCAGCACCATTTTGAATGATCTCTTGAACTGACTCATCGCTTCTGCTGCCAACATGGGATATTTTGTCGCCCTCGAGTACCATACAATCAACAAAGTCGGTTGTCTCTTTCTGTGCATCGCTGGACGCAAAGATTCGTCCATTCACGAAGACGCGATTGCCGGCCATTGCTGTCATCGTGCTCCAATCTGGGCTGGTACTTGGTTCTCACTCTTGTCTTCAAGAGCTGGAGAGGTAAAAGGCTAAAGGAAGGGCAGGACGATGTGATGAAGGGCTTGCCAGAAGTTGCTGGGATCAATTCGGCTATATCTGGCCCAGCCGCAATCCGCGGACGTGTCGCCTGAACATCCATAACGGATGGAGACGCCGATAAGATCGACTTGGATATCAGAGTGGGGGCGCGAGGTGGAAGTTGCACCTGGATCTTAACCCTGCATCACTAAAAGTCTTGGCCAAAAAACTAGCCGAGTGAAGTAAGGTTCGTCCCATCTTAGACGAGACGGAAGTTAGTGAGGAGTTCCAAGGTTGTCACAGAGACAAGATACGCGTCCTATCTCGCAAATATAGCGGCAGATTATCTACAGCCTATCTACGATCAAGCCAGTTCCTTGCACAGACTACGGAGGTTGACAAGCTATGGTGAATCAAGTCCCAATTGGGGAGGTCCAGGCGCGCGGATCGTCCCTTCTTCGCGGAGCGATGCCTAAGACGTGCCGAACGATGGGGTAAAACGCTGGCACTAGGCTACGGCAGTTGATAGCGTTTATGACTGGTCACTATCGCTTTTAGGGCCGCAGCTGTTACCCCAGATCTAGGCCCATGTCTGGCAGCCACCGGTCGCTTAGCCTTGATAAGGACGATGGCTCAGTCAGTATATGATGAAAGCTAGTTCTTGAACTCAGCAGCCAGGACTCACTGTCTTCGACACGTCGCGTTGGTTCTTCACTCCATGATGCAAGCATCTCAATCCAATACCGACGATGACAGGTCGACATGGCCGCCTGGCACAATCACACTCGAAGGTAAGCACTGAGGTCACCCCGAACCGGTCTCATAGCCCTCACTACGGAGCAGAGGCCTAACTGACCAGTTCAATAGAGCTGCGACGAGCTACTGGGGACCTCCACGAAGAGGTTGAAATCGTCTTGCACCCAAAGCCAACGAACGATCCGAACGACCCCCTTGTACGTTTGACGACTCACACGATCAGCTTTACAAGCTAAGCTCGTCAGAACTGGAAGACATGGGAGAAGTATCTCAATTTTGGGTTGACGCTGCTCTACTCCCTTGCGATCTTTGGCCTGTAAGTCTGGCTGCTTTTGCAGAATCCGTTGTCCACAGAGACACTGACGATCTTCGATAGCATATCAGCAGCAACTCCCACATGGTCTGCCATGATGGAAGAACTCGGTTTCACCATCGAGCTTCTGAACAACGGCTATGCGACGGGATCCGCGGCTTTGGCAGTCGGTGCCTTGCTGTTCATCCCTTTCGCTCTTAAGTACGGCCGACGACCGATGTATCTCCTCAGCTTGATTGGACAAATAGCTGTCATGATCTGGTCAGCGAAGATGCAGAACTCTGCTGACTTGATCTTGACCAACCTCTTCAATTGTCTTCTGGGCGCTCTAGCCGAGGTCATTGTCCAGATGACAGTCGCAGGTATGTGGAACTCTTCGCCTGCTCACACGGTACAGCTGCTGACTCGTACTAAGATGTATTCTTCGTCCATCAAAGAGGGATGATGAACAACCTATACGTATGGTGCATGTCCATTGGAGGATCCCTGATGCCGATAGCTGCAGGTTACATAACCGTTGACCAAGGTTGGCGCTGGCTATGGTGGTGGCTTGCCATCATCCTAGGTATCTTACTCCTCCTCTTTACCTTCCTCTACGAGGAGACCAAATTCATGCCTAGCATCAACGGCATGCCTTCTGTCGTCGCTTCTCATGATGTCTCCGAGGATCGCAAGTCGACCGACCACAAGCCTCTTGATCTAGAGCCTATCGATTCGATCTTCACAACAGTGCCTCCTCTACGGATGTCATATCTTCGGCGTCTGATACCCTGGACAACATCCGAGGGTTCCATGCTGCAGTTGTTGCACCACACTTACCAACCATTCCTCATCATGGCTACAATCCCCGCCGTCCTCTACGTCGCGCTTCTTTACGGCCTCGTCACTGCCGCCTTCCAGGTGTCTGTGACATTGGTATCGACCTACTTGCCCGTCCCGCCATACAACTTCAACGCTTCTCAAGTAGGACTGATGAGTATACCGGCACTTGTGGGCAACACACTCGGGACGATCGTAAGCGCGCCTTTTGCTGACAGGCTCATTCTGTGGCTCGCCCGGAAGAACAATGGAATCTATGAGCCCGAGATGCGTCTGTGGCTGCTACTGGCTTTCGCGCCATTCTTCCCTGCTGGTAAGTCCTCAAAACCTAGCAACGACTTGGAGACCCGCGCTGACAACCTTCAGGCTTGATAATGTTCGGATATGCTATTGGTCTAGGAATGAGCTGGCCAATCGTTGCTGTTGGGATTGGGATGTTCTCGTTCGCTATGCCGCCGATGTGTAGTGTGGCTTTGACGTACCTTACGGATGCGTATACAGATGCATGCTTTACCTCTCCATACCTTCAAGGCCTCCACTGACATGACTATAGATCATTGCGGATGCTGTTGTCGGTGTGACATTTACTCGCAACTTTATCTCGACTATTTTCGTCTTCGCACTCACGCCGTGGGTGACGAGAGTTGGAGTCCACAATGTCATGTTGACATTTGCGTTGATAACTGTCATTTCGCTTGCATCCACCGGGCTGTTCATCAAATTCGGAAAGCAGTGGCGCATCAAAACTGTGCGAAGGTATCGTACGTTCGCTGAGAGGCAAATGGATACAAGGGACAAGTTGTAGGTTGGAGAGTGCATGTATTCGGCTGCCTTGCTGCTTCGTTGCAAGCTACGCTTGGTAATTCAGCTTGGTTGATCCAGTGCTTCATAACGAACTTTGTGATGTCTCATGCCTCTTCATTATCACTTTCACCCTCGTGTGCTGTAGCCCAAGGACTACGCGTGCGCAGTGACACCCCATACTTTTCCAACACGAACGGGATTGGCGCCAAAAGCACAGCCAGTCCCGTCAGAACAAGGCAAGCGTTCCTTGTGCCAATGCCTAAGAATAAGCTCCTCCCCACCAATGGGAACCCAGCGCCAGCTAAGTTGCGAATCAAACCAACTCCTGCAAGACCTGATGCTGAAAAAGTCTTGTATGCATCTTCCGTATATGTCAGAGTCATCAGAATGAGACAGTAAAATGACCAGCCCCAGAACGCGGATGCAAGTATCGGGAAGAACGGGTGAATGTCCGGTGTCGCTGTAAAGGCGAATGCCAATAACGAGATGGGCAGTATCACAGCAGCCAGTCTGGCGTGATACACTCGCGCCTCTGGAACGTCGCGCTGACCAGCTTTGGCAACCTGTCGTTGATAGTACCGCTCCTGAAATATGTTTGTGAGAAGGCCAAAACAGATGCCAAATACAATGCCTAGGAAGCAAATGCCGATGCCAATGGTGTCGTATCCGTAGCCGTTGGGCCCGAAAATCATGTGAAATGCGCCGTTGAACAGGAAGGACAGGCCGTAGAGGAAGCCATTGTATAGCGCACCAAATTGGATAATAGCTTCGGTGGCGAGGAAGCGAAATGGTCGTGCAAGTGCCGCGCCAAAAAGCTGTTTGGGTCCTCGCTGCTTCAGTTCATCCGGTACCTCGATCTCATCGTCTCCGGTGATCTTCCTCAACTTCTTCGCCCTCTTCAATAGAATGACACTATGCCGCGTCTCGCCAAGAGCGTACAATGCAATGACCAGGATGATCCAGAATGAGAGGCAGATGAAGAACATGACTCGGAATACTGCATGCCACGTCCTTCCATGCGCGATAAATGAGAATAGAACAAAGCCTGTTGGCGAGCCGCCTGTTGCAGCCCACAGGAACCATGACATGGCGGGTCCGGTGTCATTGTGATGCCACAGATCCGCAATAGTCCCTCCGAAGTTTGAGATAGTTGTTGACGAGAAGTACCCGGAGAACAGTCTCAAGATCAGGAAGGGTGCAAGACTCTCAACATATGTAGTTGCCAGTAGTAGTAGCAGGAAAGTGCCATACGAGAAGATGTAAACCGGTCGTCGTCCGTAATACTCTGAAAGTGGAGCCAATGTCATCGGACCAAAAGCCAGTCCAAGAATATACATGCTCAATCCTAGGGTTGCGATATTTGCTGGCACATCCATATCTCTCGCGAAGTCGCCGGTTACAGGCGAGAAACTAGGCGCACATTAGCAAGAAGAACCCATGGCCCTCGGAGTCTCTTTACCCTGAGGCGCCCCAGCTGACACTGAGGTCGATAGGTATGATTGCTGCCACCATCAACCATTTTCGCAGTAAAGGCCAGTTCCGTGGATCCTCCGGGTCGTCGTGGCTGAAGGTAACCATATTCGTCCCTTCATCAACGTGCAGGAGCGGCGAGTCCTCTCTCACGATATCTGTTGAGGGCCTCATCTTTGCAACAAAAGACTCTCACCCCTGGTGCAGCCTCGGACGGAGGTGCTGCGTGTAGATGTGTTGTTGCGTATCGACACGGGTGACACCGATTCGATGACGTAACCCTGTCACGCGGTTGCGTGCGTGATGTTTTGTGGGGCTTCTTATTTTTCTTTCTGATCATGTCCACAACCATCTGATCAAAGCATTTAACTTTCAGCAGCTTCTTCATACGGCTAACATGAGTCGCTTGAATGCATCGCTCGGTCAAATGAGGCTGTGCGACTCATGCGCTTCTTGGCTCGGTCGCTTTCACACCGAAGAACCGATAGGAAATTACTATCCCCTCATTTACCCCGGATTCATCACGGACCTCAGCGCGTATTACCCCCTGAATTCCCATGTAGTTTTCCCGTCTACCAGGTAAAATTCTGGGTTTGAAACTATAAACATGAGAGAGAAGCGTTATGGACGGTATCCAGTGTTCATCATTGGCGCTCTGTTTCGACCATGCGTTCCACTCTTGCGACAACAGCCCTGCTGTCGTTGACATCGTCAACATGGGCCCTGCTCAAAGCCTCGGAGAACAATAATAGCTTGACTATCTCTAACGAGCGTCTCGTTGCAGGCGTCAGCAAGAGTCGTGGCTACATCAACCTGCTCACACTTGACGGCCAGAATCTGTTAGGCAAGGAGGATGGTAACACCGGTGTGGGGCCATACCTTGACTGCTATTGCACTCCATCCGGATTTTGGACACCTGGTCGGGGCAGCAAGGTCGACTACCAATTGTTCAACGGTACAGACGCGGCCGGTGTCAAGTACGGAGGTATCAGTATGGGCGAGACATACGCGCCTACAGGACAACGTCTGGAGCAGTACTGGTTCTTGAGAGAAGGCGAGACGGGTTTGCACACTTTTAGTCGAGTTGCTTACTACAACGAGACCGTGCCATTCTTGCGCAACCTGCAGGAGCTCAGGACCATGTTCAGGCCCAACCACGATCCTCCCCTGTTTACTCACTTCGTGACCAACGAGGAGTTCGATGCTCCTAGGCCGAGCACTGAGGGTCAAGTGGTTGTGCAGGATGCCACTTGGTATCTCCCAAATAAAGATGACCCTTACGTCCAAGGCGTCGGTAACTACTTCACCAAGTACACGTAAGTCATGAACGAGACAAACGGTTACAACGCATGTACTGATTTGAACTAGATTCCAGGACACCTGGAGAAAGCACAAGTCGCACGGCATGTATGCAGATGGGTCCGGCAGCGCCAATGGAACGACATACGGTGCATGGCTGGTGCACAACACGGTTGAGACATACTTCGGGGGACCGTTGCACTCAGACCTTGTAGTCGATGGAATTGTCTACAACTACATCAGCAGCAACCACCACGGTGACCAAACCCCCAACATCACCCACGGCTTCGACCGGACTTTTGGACCGCAATACTTCCATTTCAACAAAGGCGGTTCCCTTGACGAACTCCGTGCTGATGCCGACCAGTATGGTCTTAAGCCGAACTGGAACGCAAAGTTCTATGACTCCATTGCTAAGCACGTTCCCAACCTGGTCACTGCAGCTGGCCGCGGTACGTTCAAGGCCAAGATCGACCTTCCCAAGGGCGCTAAGAACGCAATCGCCGTTCTTGCACAGAGTGGTGTTGACTTTCAGGACAACGTCTTCGATACGAAAGCTTATCAGTACTGGGCTGAGGTCCCCTCGAATGGTGAAGTGAGCATCGACCGTGTCAAGGCTGACAACTATCGCCTCACAGTCTACGCTGATGGCATCTTCGGCGACTACATCCAGGACAACGTCAAAGTCAATACAGGAAAGAACACTAATGTCAAGGCGAAGTGGAACCCCGAAAGCGCTGGCACCGAACTCTGGCGCATCGGTACACCTGACAAGTCCTCCGGCGAGTATCGCCACGGATATGCTCAGTCACCTACACACCCTCTGCTCACCGACGAGTACAGACTGTATTGGGCTCACTACGACTTTGTGACGGAGTTTCCTGAGGGCGTCACCTACAAAATTGGTCGCGATGATCCTTCTCAAGCACTCAACTACGTGCACTGGAGCATCTTCGGCGGCAAAGCGAACTACGAGCGTCCGGAACCTGTCTACGAGAATATCAACAACTGGACTATTCTGTTTGACACCAAGGCTCAGCAGCTGAAGAATAAAAAGACTGCGACGTTCACAGTTCAGCTTGCAGGTGCCAAGTCGGCGGCTGGCAATACTGACATTTACAATGCGAGCGAGCCTTACTCCAACCTCCCGTACACTGTAAATGTCAACGGCAAGGACTTGCAGCCTTGGGTCATTCCGTACCATCACTCTAGCTCTTGCGCTGTCAGGTCTGCGGTCATCTGCTACAACATTGCAAACAAGTTCGTGTTCGATGCCAAGCTGCTGAAGGAAGGCGAAAACACATTTGTGTTGAGTCTGCCATATGGCGGAAAGAACTATGAGAGTGCGGTGCTACCAGAAGCGTTGTACGTGCAATATGATGCAATGAGGCTGGAAGTTAATTAGAGAGCTCTCACGGCAAACACATAATAGCAAGCCCCTTATTGTCATCCCAGATTGGACAATGCATAGTCTTTGTCATTGATGGTGCTCCTCCAGGTTCATAGGCTCTAGCTTGAATACACTCTCGTTGGTGCTTGCGTTGCTTACGTATCGACTCAGCCACTTCAGCCGCGCGATAGGCAACTGCGACGTCAGAAGTCATGCTCGATCTTAACTCACTGATCAATGACTCAACAGCCTGCGATGAGTCCCATTGTTATCGTCGCACAGACGCTCCTACCTCATAAGAGCCGACTTATCGCTGTTTTCGAAGTCGACTACTCTACACTAGCGCTTGCCAAGCGAAAACTCTACAAACAACATGGCTGAAACGTACGAGTACGGACAGTACTATTCGGCTTCTAAACATCCTTCCTGTTCGCCTGAGGACCCTGATGCCCAGCTGTCTTGCAGACTCGACATAGTTCCTTTAGCAAATGGAGCCCTAATCTACGATGCCGTATCATACGTATGGGGCGATCCTGACAAGACAGAGACCATTTTAGTCAGCGGGCGGACTTTCACTGTGAAAATAAACATTTAGAGGTTTCATGTGCGACATACTGGGTCACTATGGATAGATGCAATCTGTAACTGCATGAGCTGTGTTGGTTGGAGGCAGTGATCAACGATTGTATTGCTATCTGTGTTGTTGTTTTTTGAGCTCTAAATTTGGAGGTAAGTGAACTACTACGATAAGGATATCATGTGATTTAAGCCACGTGGTTACACAATCTGTATTGATCAAAACGATGTCGAGGAACGGGGTCGTCAGGTGGCTATATTGGAGAGGATCTAGTCAAATGCTACCAAAGTGTACGCTTGGCTTGGACGTGCTACCGGAAATGAACGTGTCATTCATGCGATGCAAAAGTATCGTATATCATGGAGACCACAGACCAAAGTTTTTTATGCTAGGAACTGGGCCTTCGTAGAGTGGAGAGACATGCTGGGCTCTGCAATGTAGGTACTGGCCAAGACTGTGGATCGTTGAAGGATTCGTCTTAGCACCGAATCTTGTGATACGTTGTGGATTTGCGAAGATGGATTACGACAAGGGATGCTCGTATCAGAGAGTTTTTGACAGTGATCTACGCAACTACGGTAATGGGAGTAATCCGTGAAAGAGAGCAGTGGCGGTCCCCTCGAAAGATTGATGGAGCGGATGCGCTTGGACCTCTTGTCTAATCAATACAGCAACTCACACTGCTAGGATATTCTAGATCATATCTACGCACTACTCTTCTTGTTGGGCCGATATCCTTTATTGTACCAGACTATACGAAGTCCCCATCGAAATTTTCGAGGATGCGTATCATTTGATAAGAGCAAGTTACGACATTGTTCGCCACAAAGCATTAATATCAGATTACATGCGAGGTATCGGCGCGGCGCTCCAACTAAGTTTCGAGAAAGCGACTGTCAAAAAGTGTCCAGAGAGCTGGTAGTCAGATATCTGGTAGACACAGTCATGGATCCACCGAACACACCTGTACATGAGGGAAGCCTGTGCGGTCCTCTCAGACAGTCTTTAGAACATGAAGGCCGTGTAAATGCCCTCGCTTCTCATGTCCTGTTCAGATTCATTCTAGTCTTTGCGTTCTCTCTTTGTGAAACATACTATATGAAGAAGCTTCGTTTTTCCTGAACGTTGTCTTGAGTCCGCCCTCCGATTCCAAACTTCACAAGGTCTGGCGGACAGTTCCAGCAGCTGTTGCAAAGTCCTATAAAACGACTCTTAGGTGCCTGAAGGTTGCATTACTGTAGTGTATCACGCGATCCCTGCGTCATGGGTCCAGAGCAATGATCTACTGGCCAATAGACCCAGCACTCAGGACATTGGCAAAATTGGTAATTCTACCTCAGACTTGCGGGAAACCCAGGCCCGACTTCTGCATAATCGCCGGCTCTCCTCCTTCTTTCCAACACCGCCCTTGATAAGTTCCATGCCCAAAACTCTCTCATAGAACGGCACACTCCTTCCAACCGATAGTAAAGAGCATACTCGTTATCAGATGCGGCACTGAGTCATGCAACTCTCCCACGCATCGTACGATCCACTTCCCAAGACCTTCACCCTAATGTGAGGGGCGGATGTATACGTCTATCAAGTAGCTGAAGGTGCTGACGTCGGTAACGCAGCGTGCAAATCCTATCAACTTCCTCTGCTTCTCCCACTCTGACACTCCAAACTTTTCATTGGTGGGGTTTTGCGCGGTGGTGGCCTCAATGACAGGCTTGGTGTCGTAAAGTCGAAGCAGAGAGAGGTCTTGAGGGCTTTGCGCATAACATTCTTGGGAAGAGGATTTACCCAGTACACAAGATCCACTGCGAAAGTCGCATTCAAATCCGAGATAGGTATTAGAGTAGAGTCTGTGGAGATGAGGTACGAGTCGCGAGTCCAGGTTCGATGCAGTAAAGATTGCTTCGTGGTTTGCCTGTTGAGCTGGGTTGAATGATGAGACCGAGAGTGAGGATCTCGAGGGAGCTCAGGCGGATAATCTAGTGGCTTTAATCACGCCAGTCAGATGACGAATGGATATCGCTCTTGTTCCTTGCTTTAAGAAGCTTACGTTACAAGTATCACGAAAGCATGGTACCCTCAGGCCCTAAAACTTCGCATTTGTTATGCGCTGGCCTAAATTGCTTGCTTTTGACTTGCACCCTCCCTGGGTCAAAAAAGGTCGTGTCCACCCCAAGCTCGGATGGGGTGATCTCTGGATACTAGCCATTCGGCTCGTCGCAATCTCGGTCCTCACCACAGGCATTGTCTGGGGCGCCACTGGCTACAAGTTATCCTGAAAGACTTTGCTGTATCTTGGTACGACGTAGATGCAGACTTGCAGCTAGCTCTTCTTGGATTCTTTAACAAGATGCTGGATGTGCTATTCATCAGTTCGCTCGAGTATACAGCCTCGATACTAAATGTTCTCGTCGTTCTTTCCTATCAGCGTACCGCCGAAGTGTTCTCTGATCCTTCAAGGCTAAGATTCTTTACAACTCAAAGGCCTCCTCTCCAAGTCCAACCCAGGACCTCCAGCTGCCCCACCCACTCTTCTTCTCACCCGGCAGCCTAATAGCCTCAATCTCCTCGGGCGCCACACTGTACCACTCCTTTGTAGGAATCCATCCGATGTACGCACGGTCTCCAAAGCCACCAATCCAGTATACCTCATCAACGACCAGCCTCACCCACTTGCTCTCATGGATCCTGTTTCCAGGCAGCCACCACGCAGCATCAGGGTGGTACTTAACAAAGCACGTCGTAAGACTCGTCTTGCTAACCTCGTCTGCACTGATATCTTCCAAGTGCCCTACGAGCGAGAAACGAGGCAGCGATGCTGGGCTGCGCCACACGTTGTCCTGAGGGTGCCAGCGCATGCTCAGCGTGATGTTGGACCCCGCGTCGACGTTCTTGAAGGATGTTGCGATGGTGATAGCGAGGATGGTGGGGTTGCCGGTGTCGGGTTCGCAGTCGCCAAAATAGTCCATCAACCCGATGGGTGCGCCATCGACAGAGGGCCGGTTCTCGGTGGCGTGGTGGGAGGAGGGGGGGAAGACGGTGGAGAGCGTGCCAATGCTTTCGAGACGGAGGATGCGGCGCGCTTGAACGGCGGATTCGTGAACGGTGGGGATAGTGAAACCAGCATCATGTTGAGCAGGGTTGGCGAAGAGGCGCTGTGGTGATGGGAGGTTGGTGGCCGAGGTCAGGGAGATAAGAGAGAGGAGGGCCGTGGAGAGATACATGATGCTCGGTGAACAAAGAGATGCTGTAGAGATAGAAGAAGTTAAGGATATGGCACGCTGATATGCAATATGGTGACTGTGAGGCTGTCACTGGTGTGGTGTAGGAGGTCAAACGGTGCCTCGAGCGGGACAAACAGATGCATCACGCGATTGTGCAGGCGGCGGGTGCCGGCCAAGTATGCTTACCCGAGTTCAAGAGTCATGGTACAATATTGGAGCTATGAGGGCGGAAACACACACAGAAACAGCTCCAGTAAAGTGTAGCATCGCGTTCGCCAAGTTCGTTGATGATGCGGGGTGTTGTTGCGAACCAGATGCGCGTCCCTCAAGTTTGATGTTCGCGCCTTCCATCAGATAAGATGATCAGTGCCAAGAAATCAGTGCCAAGAGGCTCGCTTCGCACACAGCGTGGCTGCGAAAATCGATACCTCACCTACGCCGCCGCCGCCAGTCATCGACACCCACGACCGCACCGCCAACCTGTACGTATCCCACTTGCACGAACGCACCTTCCACGAATTCTGCACACGGACTCTACGACGAAAACATCTTCGCATCGATCGCACACGACAGTTTGACAGTAGAACACAGCTAATCTGCGATTTGCCACACAGAACCAACAGTCGCCAACTCATCAAACCCATCAACCGCAATCATGGGTAAGGTTCACGGATCCCTCGCTCGTGCCGGAAAGGTCAAGTCTCAGACTCGTAAGTTGCATCTTATCGAATGAAGTGTATGACAAGTGCTAACAAGTCGCAGCCAAGGTAAGCCTACACACCTCCTAACACGCTCAACGACCGCGGTATCGACTCGACTTGACGCATTCCACGACGAACATACCGATGGCGCAGGACGTGGCAAATGATAGACCAATGCATAACTGGCACAGAGGCTGACACGCTGGAAATAGGTTGAGCCCCAGGAGAAGAAGAAGACCCCCAAGGGTCGCGCCAAGAAGAGGCTCACTTACACCCGCCGTTTCGTCAACGTCACCATGACCGGCGGCAAGAGGAAGGTCAGTGGAAATGCACGTCTAGCCTGAAGATGAAATGCTGACCCGGCGCAGATGAACCCTAACCCCACCTCGTAAACACCTCAGTAACGGGAGGGCGTTCGGAACGAGCACGATGAGCTAGATGTTATTGTCATGAATTCGGTTTCCTCGGGCTGGCTATGACTCTGGATCAGAGGGAGTGGGAATCTCCGTATGAGGTGGGCGTCGCCACGGCACGCCACCCCGCAGTAGCAAGATCCCACACTTTGGGATGATGGGGGCATACTCATGGCGTAAATGTACATTCGGCTTTTGCACGGCTACATCACGAAATATAGCCTTTTGTGTCTCGAATCCCTTCTAATTCCTTTCTCATTGAAGTGCTCTCTGATTGTTGAGAGTTGTGTCCGTATGATTCTTGTCACTATCGTCTTCCACGACTTCTTTGAATGGACGAATTCTGGGCTGTTACCGTTTGCTTCAAGTTTCACATACACCATCAAAGAAAGGCGCATATCCCCGCAATAACTGCACATGTCTGGCGGATGAGTGGGTTGCAGATCCGGTTGGTCAGCTGTGCACCTCAGGCATGAAGCTCCGACCAAGCGATCTACGTCACATCCAGCCTCAGCTCATCAGCTGCCTAAGCTCCAACTAAACTCCACCATCTAACAAACAGCACCAACTGCGAATACAACACCCTGAATAACTACTATCATGTTCAAGCGATTCTTCGGCGAGGTAAGGCTTCATCAATTGGCCTCTATAATGCACTACTAACAGCATCACAGCATGGCGCAAAGAACGTTGTGACCCTCTTCCACAAGCCCTCCAGCCAGGCCTCCCTACGTGCACACACCCTCCTCAAGCAAGCAAACGCCCAGCCTGTTGCAACTGCCACCGAAGACCAGGCCAGCTCCCACAATGCACAGAACAAGGCGGAGCGATCCGAGTTCGAGCTAGATGTAACAGAGGCACCTCCCACAGCAGACCAACTCAAGAACATTCTGGAGTACCTAGGTGGACCCAGCGCTGTTGGGAGGGTTGTGCAGGGCGCAAAGGATGAGACAGATGCGCTGAGGCGGTTGAAGGCGGATGCGGATTCGTTCCAGAGACCGCTGGTCGTGGACTGGAACCAGGGCAAGGCTGGTAAGCTCACTGCGCGCGTCGTATTGCATTTACACTGATTACTGACTTTGTGCTTGTAGTTGCTGGTGATAACGAGTCTGAGATCCTCAGCTTGCTGAGGAACATCTCGGCCGAGAAAAAGTAGCGAGCCCATCACCTGTAGATCAACGAAAGCACTTGACACGAGGTTGGTAACCTAGTTCCCTTCAGTCAGCTCCTTGGTGTTGTTCGATTTAGCTGTTTCCACGCCGAAGCTCCAAGGACCCTCACCGCTGCTCTGTGCGCAAGCACTGGCGACGGGTACCTGCAGAACGACTAAGTGACTTGCCTCTATGCCAGTCCCTGTAAATTTCCGCTCAAATGTCCGTGTTTCTCATCTGCGTCGTTTGTTTACTTCACCACCGCTCAAGCTTTTCTTTGTGTGTGTTTATCCCATCTCATCATAGCTAGTCCTTCGTGCATGACAAAACCCTGCACACTGCCCTGTCAACCTCCATCCGGCAATTAAGATGTAGACTGCAAAACATCTAGTATGATTTGTTGATCGGCCAAGTCACGCTGCACGGTTACTCTCACCTTCACCTCACGCCGCTGGACCCGCCAAGGCTGCCCCTTCCCTTTCGGTCAACAACGAGCTCCAACTTCCCAACTCCACTTCCACCGCCTCCTCAACGCTCTGTGAGCAGCCTCTAGCCACTCATTTCCTTCTAGCGTACGGCATCGCACGGTATGCAGCTGCGTTGTTGAAGCTTCTGTCGTTTGACTTCTTCTCCTACTTTCTGTTTGTATTTACATCAGCTTTTTTTCCGTACTCACCAGCATGGGTGACATAGCCCCGCCGCCGCTGGAGGCAGCGAGCTCGAACGACGAGCTGGCGTCCAAGGGCTCAGAGCTGTCAACAACGTCACCTGCAGGCTCAGATAAGACCTTAACTCCACCACGTTTGCGCTCCACCAGCAATGTCGAGCCGCAATTGGGTGGTGGAAGCGCGATGTTCAGCACAGATCTCGGCCGGCGGGCGCCTCGTAGGTTCCAGAGTCCGCCATATGCACCAGTCCTCGTGCGCAGCGACATAGTTAGGGACGTCGTCACTGCTGCAGGCTACTGGCGCAGCAAGTACCCTCACCAGTATCTGTGCATCTTCCCACGAGCCGGCTGGCAGATAGGCGATCTTTGGGACAAGGAAGACGTTCACCGCGAGACGGAGCCTTTCTGCAAGGAAGTGCTGCGGTTCATTGAGCGCGACAACTGCGTTCGTGCACAGAACTACGTGCAAGATTGGTCCAAGTTACATCCGGAGCGTCTGCCCATTGTCGGCGGTGACATGACTGAGCTCTACGATAAGAGCAATCCTCTTTCGGTTGTGGACAAGATCTTCGTCAACGAGGAGAGGCGACAGTACCCTCCTATCTTCCTTTGGCACGTCGCGCACATCATGCGTACAACTATGCTTACGGTCAAGGGCGCGAAGCTGCCGGTTAAAAAACCAAGTGTTCCTGAGCGCTTGGACACGGGACATAAGGATCCTGTCGCGCATGGCACTGCTCCAATTCCAGCGACAGTCGAAGGCACAGCGATATTGCCTGTTGCTTCTAGCACCACTGCGACTTGTAAGTCAAGCCGCGAGATCCTCATGCGTGGATACTTAGCTGACATGGTAATAGCATCAACTCATGTCGTCAACCCAGCGGCGTCAATGTCTGGTCAACAGCCAATCCCTGCGTGGCACTCAGACCGAACATCGCCTCCTTTCTTGTCCGATGCCCCGCCCGCCCACGGTCGCTTTGCTGACCCCATAGAAGGTGGTGGCTATACTGAAACTGTGGGACACATGATGCCAGGTGTTCCGGGACATGAGGTGGGCGGTCCGAATGCTGCTCACTCTGGCTTGCACGTCCCCAGGAACAGATCGGCACGCTCCGCATCTGGTACGTACAACCAGACCGTGCCATCAGGCCTGTATGTCGAGAACATGCCTCGTGCTCCATCTGGACACGGCCCCCGTCAACATGCCAACACTATACCAATGACACAGTCACCACGCTTCAACCAGGCGCACATGACGTTGAACCACCCGATGGTCAAGATCCATCATGGTATAATTCCCTTTGCTCACGAGCAAGCCCGCATGACACCTGGGATGATTGCAGGTCAAGCACACGCTCCCGGTGTTATGCACCCTGGCATGATGCCCCCTCACGCGATGCAGAACCCTTCGATGACGCATGGTTACTCTCGACAACCTTCAGGCTTGCAGAGTACACCATATGCCGGACCTATGGGAGACGTGACGAACATGCACTACTCCCCGGGCATGCCCTCGCAGAACATCGACCCACGACACCCAGGTGATCGTCGCTTCAGTCAACAGCATGGAAACGGCAGCGCATTGTACGACCCCTACGAGGGCAGTAATCCAGCTTTTAGGACTGTGGGATACTCTAATGGAAAGAAGTACAGCCAGAATAGCCTCCACAATTCCACTGGCCGCCAGCGCAAAACATCCTTCCCAGGTAGCCGACCCTACCATGGCCAGTACACGAATGATCGGCCTGGCTTACTGCAAATGGGCGGCAATCGCTTCTTTGGGCCGAAACCTGACCGTGAGGATGATCCCGCAATCACACAAGACCAAGAGTATGGCTGCTATATTGATTGGATCGGTCCTCGGAACGAAACCGTGAATGAGCTGTTCGTAAAAGACTTGCCAGAAAACATCCAGGATGCTGAGCTGGAAGCTCTGTTCCTTGGAAGGCTGGGTGTCAAGCCTACATCGGTCAAGGTAAAGAGTGCTGAGCATGCCCAGTACGCTCAGGGCCGAAAGCATGCTTTCGTTGGGTCAGTTACTTACACACACTGGTTGGATCACTGAAGTACAACTCTGACAAATTCAGGTTCCCTGATGCTGCGATCGCTAAACAAGCGTTCCTCATGCGCGATCCTACCATCCGTGGACTACCAATCTCGATCACAGTTCCTAAGCGGTTCTTTCAGAAGACGGTGGATGTCCAATCACGAGATACGATCGAGGCAGGATCCTCTGCCTACTCTCGATACACTAGCAACCCGAACAATCGTGAAGGTCGCAACCGTGTGTCCTCAATCAACCACGACAGTGATGTCACAGCATCCACTGCTGCAAGCAAGGACAATCTATCCTACTCTCCACAGGACGCAAGGAGCGACTTGCCCAAGAAGAAGAAGGGCAAGCAGCCACAACAGGCTTCGTCAGCCGCCGGGAGTCCCGAAATACGGAAGGCGAAGCTGAAAAAGCGCCAGGAATCACCGACGAAGGAGAAGCTTGCTGGACCTACAGAAGCTGTCCAGAACGGTACCCTGAACGAAGCCATCAAGGCCGACGATCACATCCCAGTCTCCGATACAGCTCAAGGAACCCGTTCTACCCTCAATACACAATCAGAGCAGCCTCAGGCCAGCGAAAGCACTTCTTCCAATACCGAAAAGAAGTCCCCACCAACGGCAGCTGAAGATGGGAACGCAATTCACGGAGCAGACAACAACGAAGCCAGCTCCACAACAGACCAACAACAACAAGTCCTTCCACAGCGAGTAGAATCGCAGCCTCAGCCGAAGGTCGAGCTTCAAATCGGGAGTGTGGCAAAGCAGAGTCCTGCCAAGCAGCCTGTGGAAGCCGAACAGACTGCTGTGGAACCCGCATCTACGACTTCCCTCGCGGTCGAAGACGTAGCCTCTGATGAAGACGAGTTGAAGAATGATGCGAGCTTTCACTCAGCAGCAGAGTCACAGTCTGACCTAGAAGCGAAGGCGAAGCCTGTGGTTAGTTCTGATTCCACGAACCAGGGTACCACCACCCTCGCGCTCAAGGCCACCACAACCACAGATATTTTTTCCCCTACACCTCCCGTCTCGACTACCATCACTGTGCCAGAAGACACCATTGTGCCATCAAAAGACACTGTTGTGCCCGCAGCAGCAGGGAGCGAGCCATCCACATCAGAACTGAAGGCGACAACTATGTCGCCAGCCAACTCGAAAGCAGCTGAAGTCTCAGCAGCTACAGAACAAGAGACAGCTCCATCCACAACAGTTCCTACCATTGCTGAGCCTGGGAAGAAGGGTGGAGCTCAACATACCGAGTCGCTTCATCCCTTTTCCAAGGCGGGCAAGGCTCAAATGAGGAAGGAGAAGGAGCAGAAGCGGAAAGCGCAGAAGAAGGAGAGGGAGCAAGCAGAAAAGGCCAAAGCTGCGAAAGCTGCAGCGAGCAAACCTACTGCGAAGAGCGCACCGGCTGAGAATGGCGTACCTACCAAGGTGAACGGCACCGCTGAGAAAGAAGAAATCAGCAATGAAATCAAAGTTGCAGTGGAGAAGGAGTTGGCTGAAAGGAAAGCGATTCATTGCGCAGAAAAAGAACCTTCTGCGTCTGCTCAGGAAGTCACTGCGGCAAATTCGTCCGTCAAGAGGCCGGCGCCTGCTGCAAAAACTTCGAAGGGAGCCGGCGACAACCGCGACAAGCCAGGAAAGCGCAAAGGCAACAAAGTCGACACTACAGTCACAGACGATGCAGCTACGGCGGAAGATAAGGATGAAGACCATGGTAAGCAAACCGGTGGCTCCATCAGCATCCCCAACGAGACCGGCTCAGTGACCAACAAGGAAGTGAAGGTCGACCTGCCGGAGGACGGTCTGGTCTCGGATGCACAGTTCTCTAAGCAGGAGGACGTCAAGGACGCGTCTAGCGGCACGAAAGAGCCAGGTCCTGTCGATACTATCGCAGAGGAACCAACTCCTTCTACTAAAAAGAAGAACAAGAAGAAGAGGAAGGCGGCGCCCCGGGTGTGGCCAGACCTCGAGTTCCGTCCTAAGTCGCCAAACCCACCATGGATGGGCCAAATCGACACCGCAACGGACGTTCAGCACTATGACGAAATTATCAGCAAAGCATGCGGTGGAGAGGACGACTCGGACTTCTCATGGTCTGACCTACCAAAGATGCCTGAATCCGAAGGAGAGGAGCAGATTGAAGATGACAAAGTAGATGAAGATGGAGATGACGATCTAGATGTGGATGCAACCGACAAGCGCATCACAGAACTCCAGGCTCAGCAAGGTATACTCCGTTCGTCGGTCTCTTTGCACTATCTAACGTGAACAGCTGCGACACCCTCCGGCTCTTTGAACCATGCGGCCAGCAGTTCCTTTAACTCCGAGACCGTTCAATCCAGCGCCGCACCTCGGGAGGTTGTTACTGAACGGGTCATGGCAGCTCTTGAGACTCAGATTGGTAAGTCTTCAGTTGATTTGTCTGCAGGTTCCTTGCTCATGTTCACAGCCGCGACCAACAAAGAGTATAAAGCAGCCAGTGCGAATCCGGCTGTGGCCGAGGCGCAACTTGCGCAGCGCACAGGTACACAAGAACCGTCTGATACAGTCGCCGCAGACTCTCAGCCGACAAAGAAGAAGAAGCCAAACAATCGTAGGAACAAGAAGAAGAAGAAGGCAGCTGAGAACGCCGAGACGGCCGAAGCTTCCAACATCGGCGATACCGCTGTGACTACTAAACTTTCAGAGCCAACCTCAAACAAGGCCACCGAGGATTCGATTGACAGCGATGACCCGTTCTACGACCAGCTGAAGGGAATCGAGGCCATCAAGCGTGGCGACCATGGACCTACCAATGCACAGGAAACTGACTCGCAACGTCACGTTGAAGCCGCTAAATCGGTAAGTTGATACCTTTCTGAATGCATCTAGCTCTCACTAATTTTGTGGGTCGCAGATTACGGAACCGCAGATGATGCGAACCATGGAAGCTTATTTCAAAGAGACGGGTCGTAATCATACCAAGGGCAGGAAGGTCTCAAAGGAAGATCTTCGCTAGCTGGTTTCGTTTTGCTAATAGCGTTCATGGAGCGTTCTGCACTGCATGCGAGGCCGCCCGCTGATCTTTGTTTCCTATCGATCGCATGTGAACCGACTAGCTGGTGTGCATGAAGATGAAAGATGGTTAGGCAATGATGGAAATACATTCATCAATTCTCATATCGTAACGCCGTCTAGGCCAGGTGGAATCTCACATTATAACCCTTACACATAGAACGCCAGCACAATGTGATTCTAGGGTGCGGACGTACTCGTGAGTTTCTTGCGCGTGCTTGAGGGCAAAAATGTGTTCTTTCTGGCGGTCGACGAGGCGCAAGATGGGTAAGGGGATGCCGGTTGCGCCGGGGGGTTGGTCGGCGGTGGAGGAGTAGAAGCGTGGTTCACAGCCTTTGTCGTGGAGGGGGTCGATGAGTTTGGGGTTGATTGGGGTGCAGTGTGGTGCTGGAATGTGATCGACGTATGAGAGGCTGGAGGAGTGGTACATGTGATTTTAATCGTTCAGTGTTTCCCAGACTTCGGTCTCGAGGAGAGCTTCGGTTATGTTCAAAGCGCCATATGGGTTGTCTGGAGCGAGAATGATACTCAAGTTCCCGTAGCGAGCTTTGAAAATAGGGTCTGCACCATTGTCAAGCAAGAGTCTGATTGAGTGCCGGATTCGTGAACGTTGATGTCCAGAGGTTACTTCAGCACGAAAACACAGCTCGTCCAGAGCGGCTCTCCCACCATAAATTCGAGATGGAAAGTTTGGACTGTGGCCATGCTGAATCAAGACGGATGCTGCATCGCTCTGCAAGCATCGCGCTGCCTCATGGAGACTGCCATCGTTCTTCAGTGCTTTTGCTGCCAATGTCTGCACCGTCGATATGGCCGAAGTACTGCTAGCGTAGAATAGTGCGGACCGGTTCTATTTGTCCCGTACAGATGGACTCGCTCCGCGCTCGGGTAGGGTCTGTACAATGTCACCCCGGCCTTCACATGCGGCAACAGGAATTAGTGTTATGTCCGATGTGGGAGACGCATGAGTGACGGAAGCCACGAGCTTGCGTACGATGGAATCCGAGATCCGTTTCTGAGGCTTTAGCAAAGCCCACAACAGGTTGGAGATATTCTCTTCGCCACGCATTGGGTCAACCACATCTCAGATGATTATGTCTGGGTTCCAGCCGTGATCAAGCAAGAGCTTCAGAAACGTTGCACTTCGAGGGTAGCTCCGCATAGTCATTACGACAATTTGATTAAAGTGATCACTACTTGGTCTGAGGTTTTGGAGCTGAGCAACGCTGAAATGACGAGACTGAAGTCGGGTTGATGAAGTAAAAGTTGTTCGAAGATAGAATGATCGTGTCTCTGCGCTGCAAGCAAGAAGCAGACGCCCTCCGCACTGTTGACGTTTGCGTTGTGCTGCAGCAGAATATCGATAAAACCCTCCATGCGCAGAAGGTCATTTCTGACGTCAAGTGTAGCTCGCAAAGCGGCATCGACAGTCGGCTGCCAGACGCCACAAATCAAGAGCTGCCGGGCGATGGAAAGGGTGCTATCTGTATCGACGGTTGTGTCATGTAGAGCTCGTTCGAGAAATAGTGTACGAAAGCCTTCGTAGTGTCAGATCGTGAGGGTTGGCGCTTCCCACTAAGAAGGATGTTCGTCAGCGATTTGTCTCCACATGATACTGCAATCCCCAAGGCATACCACTCACAGAAGCTCCCTGCCTCATGAGAACCGTAGTGGTGCTGAGGTCTTTGTCCTTCGCCGCGTATTGCGTCTCGGTCGTTAGTGCTTTATCAAGAGCTTCTTGAGGGATCCCGAGCTTCAGCAATGCCTCCATGAGCGGCTTCTTCTTAGAGGCACCTTCGAGCGCGATCGTGTACTCAAATGCCGAACCAAGAAGTTTCGGATTGGCTGCAAGCAGTCGCTGGACAATATCAAGATTTTCAGGGCCCCCTTCTATCGCGATCCGCAGCGTCTGAAGTGCTGGCGTATCTTCGACACCGTGTGCCAGCAGTGTGTCTAACAACGCAAGCGTTCTCGAGTGTCTTTGACCTTGAGGGCCGAAGACTAACGGCAGAGCTGTCGAGGTCGAAGCAGAGGTGGGCTTATAGCTGCAGAACAGCCGTAGTGTTGATTCGTCAACTTGAGCGACTGCTAGAGAAACAGCCTGTGCATCGACTGGCGCCCCCGCTTTGAGCAAGAGCTCCATGAGAGGCACATCGCGCTCTTTGACTGCAATGCTGAGCCACCGACCGAGTGAACGGCTGCTAGCGCCTTTGTGAACGAGACTCTGAACGATGCGCAGCCTGTCTGACTGAGGTGTGTCTAGTGACAGTGTGTCGAGTGCTGCTGATGCATGTTGGCCCTCGATCGGGGTGCTGAGAATAGCATCGACCAGCACCCAATTGGCGTTCTCTATGGCGAGTCTTAAGCACTCGGCTTCGTTCGTGGTAGTAGGAACGCCATGATTGATCATCATTTTCGATCCGGGAGTATCGTTCTTTCGAACACGACAGATCAGAAGGTCGGGTAGACCAATACTGGCTGGAGGCAAGCCGCAACAAAACAGCAATTGTAGAAACTGCAATGTTGCTATGCATGTCCGCAACCGCATCACGGTGTCTAGCAGTCTTTGTAGGTTCGGTGGCGCGAGAGGGGTTGGCCCAGACACCAACATGAGGGTCATCTTCCAATCTTCCTTTCCAATAGCCATGTTCAGAGCATTGGCTGAGTCAAAGTTGGGATCAGCACCGTAACTGATGAGCAGCGAAACGATAGGCTCAGAGTTCTGTCGTACGGCCGCAGGGAGGCAGGAAGAAATGACCTCAGGGCGTAAGGCTTTCGGCGCTCTGAGCAGCAATTGAGCAAAGCTCTGATCATTCGCTTGTACAGCGGCTGCGAGTGCATTGGGAAACCTGTTGAGGTCTGCTCCATGTCGTAATAGCTCTTCGACGCATGGATGATCTTTGGCAGTAAGAGCAGCCTTCAGACCCTCGTCCAGTGTAGTCTGATCAGCACCGGAACAAGCGAGTAAATTGACAGAATCTGCTTTGCGAAGAGTGGCAGCTTGCTGTAGTACTGTGCTTCGACGGCGAAGGCTAGAGTTGGGCGTGTTGCTCTTGGACTTCTTCTTATCAGATGTGTCGACGAAGTTGATCTTTACTCCCAAGCCCAGAAAAGCTTGCACAAGTCCAAGGTTGGATTTGGGGTTGCGGATTACGGCAGACAAGGCCTGATCCAACTCGTCTTGAGAGAACTCCCATTGCGTTGTGTCCAGTGCCTTCTCCTTGTCTTTGGGGCTCTTGAAGATGCGTTTCAGCACAGCATCTTTGCTCTCTGGGTTCTTCTGCCGCCGCCTGATCAGGATATCCCGGGCTTGTGTGCGGTCTTCCTCGCTTGAGAGGTTACTGGGTTGAGACGGTGCGGGTAAGCATGGCTGTCGGGTAGTGGCCGGGGTGATGCCTGCGTGCCGAATGAGCTCACCCAGACTGACTCTTTTTTCTGCTTGAGCCATGGTGATAGTGAATGAGCATGTTGAAGAATTGGGACTGCAGCGACAATATTAGAACCCAAGGCCTTAGTCGTGGCGTATTGCGTGTAGCTGGGGCGGAGGTTACGGCCATCGGATCTGCACTAGCCAATTCCGCGTTCCTGCCATTGCCAACCAGACGACAACTTCACCCTTCTGCCCGTCGGAAGGCGCAAGGCTCCGAGTCTGCATGAGCGCATCCTTCGTCGCTTCCACACCCGTTTGCATTCATCATCTCAAGGCAGATTCGCCTTCTCTCGCGTTCCTCAAGTCGGCCACACGTCAACTTTCGTATCTCGAAAAATCTCTCATCGCTCCTAGAGGTTGAGCTCGGCAGCCCAATGCCGTTGCACTGGGGAAGTCGGCTAGAACAGTCTGGAGATGTGGAGGATGCGGGTTAGTGTCATTAGTGTCTCGATTGACCCCAAACCTAGCCTAATCGAGGAACATCCGTTCATCGCGGCGGTGAAGACAGCCTCACCTGCGGACGAAGAGCGGAATTTGTTGTACACCGAAGACGCGGCCGACTTTGTGACTCCCACTCGAAATGTGCGCGAACGGCAAAACGGCAACTGCGAGGTTTGCGCCGAACCAGCCGTGTCAGAACGCTTGATCCTCGCGTTCCCAAGCCGTTCTCTCGAGCCAGAGGGGCCCCACGTTTCGAAGATCTGCAGGTACCGTTTCACTCGAGTCTTTTAGAACACTGCGAGGAACTTGGTCAAGTCGTAAATATTCTCCTTGGATCAAATCAGCATGTTTTCAAGGGCGGTAAAGAAGCTTCAAGGTAATATTAACCGTCAACAAAATCTTCGCCTGACAGGCACGCAATATCCAAAATGCATACTGAATCGAGGCGAACATGCTGCCGGCTATTGTCTAACAGTTGCAGGTGTCTAGATGCGATGTTTCGGTTCGGTTGCCTTCGATCAGACTGCGGGAAACAAGCGTCCAAGCACACCCTGTCAACAGCTGCCACAATTTGTCTCACCACGAGCCTCCATCCAGAAGGCGGGAGCGTTTCAGCAAGAACTCAACGCTAACTTGTATACATAAAACTCCACAACTATGTTCAGCAAGGGAGTTGTCGTTGTTAGAGAACTATGACCCAAGTCAAATCGGTCGCAGCGAAACATCACCAACATGCAGGAGGGTTTCGTCTATCGTCTGAAGTTCAATCCTTCAACATGACCAGGATGGCTGCTGAGCCGCTCTCTGTACCACCGAAAACGTCGTAACAGAGTGGCGACCTATATATTGACTCGGAAACCTGCATCGAGCTACCCAGCACGCGCCTTCAATCAGCCATCTCTTTTATCATTGTCATTCTTTCGGCTCTGGTAGCCCCACTTGCATTTGCTATACATACTCATTCTTTCGGTTCTGGTAACCCCACTTGCATTTGCTGTACATACTCACTCTTTCTTCTTCTCTTTGCATTTGATACCCACTACTTTCCAAACGAAATGCTCTACTCAAGCATCTTTGCTGCGTGCGCACTCCCGCTCGCCTTCGCGGCACCGTTCTGCACTCGTCAGAACAGCACCACAAATGGGACTGCGACGTGCGACCTCAGTACCGTCTCTCAGCCTGCCAACGCCCTCACGCCACCTTCTTCGGATCTGCACCTCATCCTCATCGCCCATGGAGAAGGGACGCAAAATTATACATGCGCAACGCCGGCTTCCCTTCCATCAGCAATTGGTGCTGTAGCCGAACTATACAACGCCTCTTGTGAGGTCGCCAACCCCAGCGAAGCGCAGAACAACATCGTCCAAGCAGCGGCCATTGGCAACCATTTCTTCGCTGATCTCACCACGCCCGCCTTCGACATTCCAGTTCTAGGCAACGCCAAGACGAAGAAGGTCGAAGAGGTTGCTGCACCAAACCCGAGCGCTGACATCAAGTGGCTCAGGCTGCAAGCGCAGACTTCAAACTCTACGAGTCAGGTCAAGTACATTTACAGGCTAAACACTGCTGGTGGACTTGCGCCTACCAGCTGTGAGGGGAGAGCGGAAGGTGAGGTGGTTACGGTGCAATACCAAGCACAGTACTGGGTCTATGTTTAAGTGCGGTGGAACGCAATGTCGCATGACTGTGCGATGGCCGAAGTTTACGATTTTGGATGATCATGTGTAATGGGGTGTGGGTTTCTTTTGGGTAAGTCTTTGAGCAAAGGGTTTGGGTTGTACGTTGTAGGAGAGCGAAGACAATTCAAACATAATTGAGCGACCGACAGAATGGCGCTCACACGCCGCGAGCGTTTGTATATGCATGCAAACCTGTGTCTCCGAGCTAGCGCGCATCTGCGTGTGATAACGGCATCATGGCCGAATGCAACTAGTCCCAAATGGGAATGGACGGCAGGGAGCTCTTGCCTCGGTCCAGCCGTCGCTCCCGAGCATCATCATCACACGCGCCATAACACAGAGACAAGCCTTCAGGTCATCGCCGCACAACGCATGTAACACACGTTGGACTGCACCAAACGAATACACAACGATGTCGAAGCCATCAATACCTGCCTGGCAGCGAACAGCAACCACCGACCCGCCAACTTCATCTGCGGAACAGGAGCCGAAGCCGGAGAATGCCGCAGAGGATAGCACAAAACCTGTCGCAGATGAGCCTGCGAGTTCAGCGGCTGCAGAAAATGATCTGAAGAGCACAGACTTGCTGGAGCAAGCGTCGCGCTTCTTGGAAGACCCAAATATCCGTAATGCTCCACGTGAGAAGAAGGCAGTCTTCTTACAGGCGAAAGGCGTATCTTCTGAGGACATTGAGACGCTATTGGGGAAGACGATACAAGAGGATGCGCCTTCAGACCTGGAAGAAGCTGGAGCTAGGGCCCGATTGACAGTGAGCAGCATTTACTTTTATTGCGCGTAGACACTAAACATGTGCGCATCATCCTTGGAAACGACAGAACTGACGATCTTAGATACCACCCAAACCAGTCGAAACATCGCCTGCACCATTACCTCAGCCTCGCGAAATACCACCTATCGTCACATATCCAGAGTTCCTTGCACAAACGGAGAAGCCACCGCCACTGATAACAACCAAGCGCCTGGTGAACACAGCATATGTTGCAGGAGGTTTGATGGCGACAATATACGGCTTGTCCAAGTACATCATTGCGCCAATGGCGCAGAATCTTGCTGAAGCACGGCATGACTTTGCGGCGCATACGCAAGAGCAGTTGATGAAGCTGAACAAGAAGCTCGGTGAAACCGTTTCGGTCGACCCAGCCAGCAAAGTAAAGAAGACTACCTCAGAGGTCGGAGACGATGTATCAGAGGCCGACTCGGACCCAACAGAGTTATACCATCGCGACTACGGGACACAAACCACGCCCAACCTGTCGCGACGGCCCTCGCTCGCTGACACAGACGCCCACCCCACAGTAACAGCACACGAGAAACGATTGAAGATCATTTCCTCGCATCTGAACGAGATTGCCGCCAATCGAACAAACAGCCGCGTCTCTCACGATTCGCTACAGACTAAGGTGTCAGACTTGACAAGCTACCTCAACGATATGAGCTACCAGAACCAGTACTACTCCAGTATGGGAGGTTTGTATGGAGGCAGCTATGGTCTGCCCTCGGGCAAGGATGGGAAGAAGGATCAGATAGAGATCTTGAAGCAGGACATTAGAGCGGTCAAGGGTGTCTTCCTTAGTGCGAGGAACTTCTCTACTGGTGGGCCACGCACCCCTGGGTCTCGCACACCTCCAACTGCAATGCCAACTGGGAGACGGACACCGCCAATGCCTACAGGAAGGGTTGGAACATAGACAGTGGACTCAATGGAATCAGCTCAAGGGCTTTCTCGCCCAAGTTCGACCATGGCCAATACGCTGCCGTGTATTTGTGAAGGACCTGTTATATGTCTGGTGCGTGGCTCTTACACACTGACAGGAAGGCACACCCATCAGACCCGCGCTAGTGGCAGCTAACGGCAAGTGGGGCCAACCAGCGGAAAGCTACCATGATTCTACAACGACACTCAATCAACCACATCATCCAGAATGTCTGAGAAAAAGCCATCAAAAGCAGTCATATACAAACCCCCAACCCGCACCCCAATCACCACCCCCTCAGTAATCCTCTATGGCAGCATCGAACCCTCCACCCCCTCCTCCCCTGACTGGCAAACGCACCTCTCAACCTCTCTCTCCGACCTGCCCATCACCATCATCAACCCGGTGTGCGAGGCCTGGGACAGCACATGGGTCGAAGACATCTCCGATGTAAGGTTCAAGGAGCAGGCTGAGTGGGAGATGGATCATGCTAAGGTTGCTGATGTTATTGCATTTTATTTCAAGCCGGGGACGTTGACGCCGGTGAGCTTGTTGGAGTTAGGGATGTATGCGGCGATGTATGAGGGGATGGGAAAGGTGGCGGTTTGTGCTCCGCAAGGGTTTTATAAAAGGGGGAATGTGCAGATTGTTTGTGGGAGGTTTGGGGTGGAATTGGTGGGGACGCTGGAAGAGCTTGAGAAGGCTGTGAGGGTGCGGCTGCTGGGAAAGTTGGCGGCATAATCGTGTGGAGTCCAATGTTGCGACTTTGTGAGCTCAGCTCTCTCCACTCTTGTCCTCTTTCTTTGGCAAGGCTGAGAATCAACCTGTTTTCAGCTTATCCTTCGATGTCGCAACGATCCAATCAGGAGCCACGTTTAGCGCTCCAGCACCCCACCTTGACAATTGTGTCACCCTACCCTCAACCATTCACTGCCCTGTAGTATCGTATTGTCGTCTCTCTATAACCACCGCAGTGTCGCAACTGAACTCGTCCGCCGAACGTTAGATGGGATTCGACAATGGAGGGGCATTCTTCGTTGGGAAAGAAGACGATCAATAGCTGGGACGAACTCATTGAGGCATTGACGAAACCAGCACGCTACCCCAGATTCCCGGAACTCACATCAGAAGGAGAATGGAAACCTTGGAAGGCTGAATCGGACATTCAGCATCGCAACTGTTCATCCGTCAAGCAACCGCCAGAGCCACCATCGCCCTCTCAATATTTGGTCACAAGTGCACGCAAATATTGCCGTCCACTACGGTATGATGTACTCCTAGAAGGTTGCATACGGCTCCTGGACCTTCAAGATGCCAAGATAGATGGCAATATCATCGTTGGACTCAAGCTTGACACTGTTCCATTATCTACAGCACCCAGTTTCGAGGCCCTTTCATACTGCTGGGGCAGCAAGGACCTATGCACCGGTATATTCATATCTACCGCGGATCATGGTGAGCAGATCTACCGGGTCACGGAAGACCTGGCGACCTGCCTTTACAGTCTACTCATCGCTGAGCGACCAGAACAGAGACCACCGGCCTACCTTTGGGTGGATCAGATCTGTATCAACCAAGACGACGTACACGAACGCAGCGTTCAAGTCAGACGTATGGCAGACATATACAAGACTGCTTCGGAAGTGATTGTATGGCTTGGACAGAGACCAGACTGCATTCTGGATGAGACCGAGCTCAGCATACCAAATTCCCTTGTGCAGTGGCATGGCACAAGCGTACTGAATTGGGTACTGGCCTGGGCAGTCTTTGCTCGACCTTGGTTTCGCCGATTGTGGGTCTTCCAAGAGGCCGTGTTTGCACAACGCATCTCAGTTTTTGAGGGAACCAGGTTCATGACATGGCAGACCCTAAGTGATTTGTCAAAGTTACTTGAACAATTCAATGAAGATGACTACAACACCACGTACGATATCGGTATCAACTCAGACAATTCGATCATATCCCCGATCGAATCCACTAGAAAAAGGGCATTGAGTGGTGGATACATCGACATCGCACAGCTTATGTGGAAATTGAATGATCAGGGCTGTCAAGATCCCAGGGATACAGTCTTCAGTCTGATTGGCTTTTCAGGCACGATCTTTCCGGCCAACTTTGTAGACTACGAACAGTCGACCGCCACTGTCTTTGAAAAGTGCACCAGGAACCTGATCGAGGACACTGGGGACCTAGAAGCCATAATTTATCTGAACCCAGATGTACCACAACGAAGCCCGAGCTGGGTTCCGCTGTGGCACGAGCGTCTTAGGCTAGGGCTATCTGCCCACCTAATCAAACGTCCTTCCGCATCGAAGAGCCGCGTCTGGGAACCAACAGCACCTGTGGTTGAGGGTCAGCTTAATGTTACAGGAAAACTGCTAGATATCGTTGCTGGCGAGGTCTATTCTTTCCAAGAGAGCATGAGTCAACACTTTGAAGACAGGAACAAGGCTCTGCTTCTTGGAGAGCCACTGTACGAGGCTTGGCACTATGCAAAACATGCTTATGAAGCACATGTTGACCAAACATCATCAGGAAGAGCATCTGGTGAAGCAAAACCACACAACGATCACGCCACCATTTCTCTTGAAGAATTAGACTGTGAGCCACCGCCTCGTTTCTTTGAAAACTTCTTCCGCGCGATATTCATTGGCGAAGCTGTGGCAGCACCGGTCAGAAACACCTTGATCCAGATTGGCCAATCTGACAATGATCATCCTAATGGGTCTGCCAGTAATTCCATTGGTGAGATTTCCAAAAGACTCTTAGAACTTGGTTTGCATGCCGACAGTAGACTCTTTGTGCTTAAGAGCGGTCGACTAGCTTTCGCACCGATTCTTGGACGGGATCCCAAAATCGGAGATCACCTCGCCATTCTGCATGGTCTTGACGTACCATGTATACTGCGGAAAGCAGAAGAAGGTGAAGGTTGGCTGTACATTTCAGCCATTTATGTAGATGACATTATGCAAGGAGAAGGTAAACATGGATCCCCGAATTACCTTGAGCCGCACTGACTTCTAGCCAGCGGTTGACTGGGAAGAAGACGAAGCGGACACGTTCACCCTCGTTTGAACCTTCGAGTCCCACATGTACCTATAATCCGAACCAGCCGACAACCCCATCTATATTATTCAACCTCGTAGGGTGTCAACACTGCCAAGAAGCCATCACCTCATCCAACAATGAAAGTTACGACCAGAACCGCTTCTCACAAAGGAACCGTGACAAGTTCCTCTATGTATTTCAATCTCTTCAAATCCACCATTGTACTCGTCATCCATCAGTCCTAACACGAAAGCCTCGCCAGCTATTAGGTACCCGTCTCTATCGGGTTGAAGTAGGAGAGGTACGTTTGTGCCTTGGATCATACAGACTTTGCCCCCGGGTTTGGCGTAGGGTGGGCCAGTGCCCATGTCACCTTTGGTGGTGGTGAAGAAACTCTTGTCACGAGATCTGATTTGTGTGTTTTCGAAGAAGCTTGCTTCGTGCAGGCGTTCATTCTATATCCACTGGGTCCAACAATTCAAAGACGGCTCCTCTGCTTCTGAAAAGAAATGCAAACTTGCGTCGCTAACTTAGGAGCCTGAGAACCAAATCTAGATTTTGGTGCAATATTCGACGGCTTGTGAAAAAGACTTTCATCTCTGACGTATGAACTCGGAAAGGTTCTTTCTCCCCACTCGAGGAAACTGACTGCAGAGAGATATTGCACCTGAAGCTTTTGGAAGCCACACACGATAAACTCCTGAACAATCCATAGTCATCTCCTGTAAGTCCTTTTGTATAAGCTGGGGAGCGCATTCTATGCTCGTTTGGAAAACGGATCATCGATTTTGTCGAGAAAGGCTTCCACATGCTTCGGTAGCTGGAACCAAGTGACCGTGTGAAAGAATTCAGAGCTATCATGAAATCCCTTATTGGCAAGTGCCTTTCCCCATCTACCAGGGAGCTTCAAGGCTTCATCACTGTCGTTTTCGCTTTCGCCCAGCCATGCAATTACTTCTTTGGAGGCCTTGTAGATCCGAGCCATCGTTTGGACTTAGTGGTTGCACTCCTCGATCTTTGATTGATTGATACAAATGGCATCAACTAACAATGTCTCTTTCCTTCGCTTCTGACACAGGTGACGCAGTGCAGAGACGAGTTCCGTTGTTGCCTCGAAGTCGGCCCCGTTCACTGTAATGGTGGAAGTTACTTGTGGGTCATCCCGGACGTATGAAAGCGCTTTGTGGACGGGGGTGGGTTTCCTCGAAAGTTTGACCGTGCGCAGGGATATATGAATTGGTGATGCGAAGCCCTGACTGGGTGCAGATGCAGGAGCTGAATCTTGTCGTCACCGAGATCGCCATAGAGCGGTACCTGTTCAGGTTCATGTCTAACTAGGCTCCGAAGGAAGCCCATGTTGCGGATTGCGTCAAAGGGCAGAACCGGGGTCACCAGTCAGTGTCGAACGCGTAGGATGATGGCGGTTAAGCTCATAGTGTAAGGTTGCAAAGAGGAATGAATGTCATGGAGTAGGATAGAGGAAGGTTGATTGTAGGTGCGAGGCTGAGTTTACACGTACCAATGTATACGCCCACATCTGGAGGTTATAACCGAAGATAATGGACGGTGCAAGGCTGCAACTGCTTCCTCAGGCTACACGGATTAAGACAATGACAAATGTCTGGAAATTACACAAGAACATACTCTCATAGGTGTTCAATGGTTGATGCTCATGATAGGACTCAAAGCGTATAAGGTTCCTGCTTCCAAGTAACCCGCCTCTCATCCCTCATCCGATCGAACCTCACCACGCTCTCCAACAGCACCTGCGCTCCCGTCGCACAATCCACCTCCTCACAAAACTCCCTTGGATTATGACTCACCCCCTCTCTACACGGTACAAAAATCATACTCGTTGGGCACCGCTTACTCGCATACACGCTATCATGCCCTGCGCCCGACGTCATCTCCATGACCAAACTGTTACTATTGGGGCCGAGGACGGAGAGTGCGGATTGCTGCACGGCGTGAATGCAATCGGAGTGGAAGGTTGCCGCGGGCGAGTCGAAGTCTTCGGTTATGGAGACCGAGAGGGGCAGGCCGGCGGTGCAGCCGTGGTTAAGGGAGTCGATGTCTTCGCCGGCTGCGATCTTGGGGAAGTTACGTTCGACGAGAGCTTTTAGCTCGGCGACTGTGGAGTCTTTCTTGGCTCGGATGTCGAGGCTGAAGGTCACGTCGCCGGGGACGGTGTTGGTGGAGCCGGGCTTGAGGTTGAGGATGCCTGTTGATGCCAGCGCACCGTGGGCGGTAGCCAGTTTGTGTGAGTGCAAGATCATCTTGGAGGCTGTGAGGAGCGCGTCGGCGCGTGATTTGAGATCTGTAGTACCGGTGTGGGTGTCGCGACCTTTTACCTTGACGGTCAGCCATTTGTAGGCTTGTACACCGGTTACTACGCCAATTTTCTTGTTCGCCATTTCGAGAAGGGGACCTTGCTCAATGTGAAGCTCGAAGTGTGCAGCCATCGGCATAGCTTCATAGCTTGCTGGCGTTGTTCCTAGGTAACCGATCCTCTCAAGCTCAGACTTCTGAGTTGCGGTTCCTGGATGTACTTCGCGAAGATTGTGTGCCTTTTCGAGAGGTATGGAGCCAGCCCATACACCAGACGAAACCATCGACATCGGGAAACGTGCGCCCTCTTCGTTCGTCCAGTTCACGACACCAACAGGATATTCAGTCTCGACCCAGTTGTCAGCCAGCACTTTCAACATCTCGACACCAGCGGTTACTCCAAGAATGCCATCATATCGACCACCTGTCGGCTGGGTGTCCAAGTGGCTTCCAACATATGTTGGCGGCTTATCATTCTTCAGTCCTGGCCGAATTGCGAAAATGTTACCCATTTCATCAACAGTAGTCTTACAGCCCAAAGCTTGCGTCGTCTCCACAAACCAATCTCTTGCTTGTTTGTCTGCATCTGAAAGGGCAAGACGAGACATTCCAGTCTCGGTGGCAGCTCTGCAATCATCAGCATTTCGATATGTACGACGCCCGGGAATAACTTACTCGCCCCATTGTTCACCAGTTCCCCACTTGCAAGTGTGGTGGATGTCTTCCATCAATCGCTTTTGGTTGACTTTCAAATCTTTGAAGTGCTCTTCAGTCATTTCCTTGGTACGGATCTGCCATCTTGGCGTAGTTGAGAAGGTAGCTCTTGAGATAGTGTTGCCTCTCAATGCGGGGTATCGTCTGCTGGCGATTCGAAGCGCAGGGATTCTGAATGCAGACAAAGCCATTGCGAAGGACTTTTGAAGTGTGAAGGAAGGAACATGGCTGGGGATTGAATAAGGAACACGGAATCGCGAAGGATGCGAGGCGTGTAGTCGTATGACACACGACTAGTTGTGGGGTCACGCCTACATATTCCGATAAGAATGCGGGAGGGGCTGGCTCTGATAGGGTTACCCGTCGGCGACTTGCCCGCGACTCTGTCCGTCAGTTCCAAGGTTATCAATAAGCATCGCACGATTCGTACATGGTGTCGTTAATGCGGGTACGAATATACAATATGCATTGTCTGTTGTGCTTGCCGAAAGCTAGTATACAAGCCGGGTATCGAGATAAATCGCTGGACAAACGCCTGAACCATAATAATGCTGTAGCAACTGCCGTCACCTCCTTGCAGTTTCGAGATATAGATGATTGCGCTCACGCTGCCTTTCCCTTTCCTTTACCCTCGAACTCTGGCTGCTTCGCATCCTCCTCAGATACCTCCTCCTCTTCATCGCTATCGCTCATGAACTCGTCATCTTCATCGTCCCATCCAAACATAGCTCGTTGCTGCGCAGGCTTCGATGTCGAAGCAGAAGGCTTTGCTTCGTCCTCGTCTTCTTCTGAGCTCTCCATCTGTGCTAGCAGCATCTTCTCGATCGCCTCTTTCGTCTTGTTCTCGGCCTCCTCCTTATCCTCGAGCCACTTGCCGTCCAATCGTGCTTTGCCACCAGCGTTCTGCAACTCTTCCTGTTTTCGCTCTGTGCTGGCCACAATATCCTCCCACCGCTTCCTGCGTTCGTCCTTCTCACGCTGTTCCATCTCGGGCTTGATCGCGAGGTACTCGGCGAGTGTCTTTGCTTCAGCGACGGTGCGCAGTCGTCGTCCATCCAAATTTCGTGAAGAGGCGTTTGCGTCCTCCTGGTTCTTCTTCTTGCGTGACGACATGCGGCCACCTTGGGCACGCAGGATGGATCCAAACCCACCCTTTCCACCACATAGAGGTACAGTCAGGCGCAGCGAAAGGAATGTGTCTGACGGCGAAGAGAGGAGGGTCGAGACTGGCTCCTCAGCATGGCGGACTGTTCGGCGTGAGTTTGTTGTGAGGATGTATGATGAACTCTGGATCCATGGAGCGCGTTCGTACAGTGTGTCGTATAGCGATGTAAGTGAGGCATCCTTAGGTGTTGTGAAGGCGATGTTCTGGCCCTTGATGCTGTTGACGATCACAGTCACTGGGGTCTGAGTGATAGGCTCCATGTTGGTTCTTGTCGAGTGTTGTATTCGTGTGCGGCTAGTTTTTTGGGTCTTTTTTTTTACGGTTCCTTGCAGCTTGGAATTCTCGCGCTCGCAAATTGAGTGAGTGTGTGATGATGTTGGTGATGTCGATGAGGCAGCGGCGAACTTTGATGATTGCGAGGCCCGTGCGCCTTCCTCCACTTCACCGCCAAGTCGCTTATGCTAGCGTGGCAGGCACGAACACCGATATTCGTGCAGTCTATCAACAATTCCTCCCCATCGCCAACCACCAACTAATCCTACAGCATCCCCCGAGACTCCTCGCAACAGTCAAGATGCTTATCCCCAAGGCCGATCGCAAGCTCATTCACGAGTTAGTCACCCTCACCACCGTCAATGCGACGCTGCGCTCGAGCTCTGAAGTTTCGCACGAAATTACGACTTGATCATGAGCACCGCTTGGCCCCTCTCAACCTTGAATTGAAAAGCATTTGCTAACATTGTTTTTCCAGGTACCTCTTCCGAGGTTAGTATTTTACCCACACGCGAGCCATGGCTATGGCACACTCGTATATTTTCGCAGTTCTGCTGCATATAAGGATAGGCTGACACACGGTCACCACAGAGGGCGTTCTCGTTGCTAAGAAGGACTTCAACCTTCCCAAGCACGGCGACATTGACACCAAGAACCTTTTCGTCATCAAGGCTTGTCAGTATACCTGATCACTCCATGCGTGATTTTGGTCTAATACAGCGCAGGCCAATCTTTGACCTCCCGCGGATACGTCAAGACCCGCTTCTCGTGGCAGTACTACTACTACACCCTCACCCCCGAGGGTCTCGACTACCTCCGCGAGTGGCTCCACCTGCCCGCTGAGATCGTTCCCCAGACCCACATCAAGCAGCAGCGCTCTGCTCCTCCCCGGGGTATGCTCGGTGGTGACGGCGAGCGCCGTGGTGGCCGTGGCGGTCCCCGCGGTGACCGTGGCGACCGCGAGGGTGGCTACCGCCGCCGTGATGCTGGCGAGAAGGCTGAGGGCGCTGCCCCTGGCGAGTTCAAGCCTGAGTTCCGTGGTGGCTTCGGGCGGGGCCGTGGCGCCCCTGCTTCTTAAGCGATTGACCTTTGCTTAAGGAGTACCGGACTAGATACAGGATCATCTTTTGCTGCATTACAAAAAGGGACAGGACCTGGTGGCATACGGCGAAATGAAAGGATGATACCACGAATGTATTACACGTACGAGATGCGGCTTCGCACTCGCCGACCACTTTCACAATGATACCCAATTCGTTCAGTGAGCTCTGTGTGACTTGTGATGTCCTCCTATATCCTGTCTGCTATTTGCGTCTATCACTATCTGCCACAATGTCAATGTCCACCCTTCCCAGGCTTCATCAACCCACTCCCCCTCGCAACCCACTGCATCCTGACCTGCTCGATGCTTATATCTCCACTCATCTCCTTCACAACCACCTCTCTCGCATACTGCAGCCTCTCCTCCAAGCTCCTGCCATCATGCTCCTTCTCAAGCTTCCTCCCCACCACCGCAATATTCCTCGTACTTGGGATCCTCAAATGCTCCTTCTCAACCACATACCCCATGCTCTCCGTCAACGCACTCGTCCAGCTGCACAAACTTGCATATGCACTCGGTTGCGCATTCTTGTTCCCCTTCGGCTGTCCATCGTCAGGGACGTACTTCTTGACCGCTGGTGCGCGGAACCGTGTGCCTCCGAAGTCGTGGCTGCAGCACGGGATCGCGATGAAAGGCGATGAGGAGAGGGAAGCGAGGAGTGGCGTCCAGGGTGTAAGTTCGTCGGCGTGGTTCGAGACGATGAATGTTCCGGTCGGGAAGACACCATTATGACTTGCTGGAGACGGCGAATCCTGGCCATCATCCGCCGTCGTGGCGGCTTCCAAAACTTCAGGGATAAGCAGCATCTCCTTCAGCTTCCCCTGGCACTTTTCCGGGAAGGTTTCCCACGTCTTCCGTCGTCGAGCATCGAAACCCCAACCCCTCCACCCTTCCTCATTCAAAATATACACCAACAGTCCGTTCCCACACCCAATATCGACAAAGCCAGGAAATGCCTTTTGCGCCGACACTCTTCTCTCCTCACCCTCACCCTCCCCATACATCCCCACCCAAAGCTCAATCAAAAATGCTGCAATCCCCAAATCCTCAAAGACATGTTTCCCCGGCGGCGTCTGCTCGACCCATCCCTCAATCAGAGCCTTCGCGTACTTGCCCTTGAGGTACGCGTAGGTGTCTTGAAAGGGTTTTTGAGAAATAATGACATCGTGGTGAACGCGCTTTTTGTACCCGGAGGCCCGGCCGCGCGAGTGCTTATGTATGACTTCGAGCAGTTTGAGCGCTGTGCGCGAGAGTCTGTTGTCCAGTGGGTGGGAGGCGAAGAGATCGAAGTAGATGCTGAGGTGGCCGGGGGAGGGGAGCAGGGTGGGGAGCGAGGGCAGGTAGGTGTAGAGGATTGCGAGGCGGCGGACGGTGGGATGGTAGTAAGGGATTTCTTCAGGGTTGGAGATATGTGGGGTGTAGATTACGAGGTAGCGCTCTGCATCGACTGTCTCGGATTTGCCATCTGAGCGGATTGTGACGGGGGCGGTAGAGGTGTATAGGTGGCAGGTCTGCACCATGGTGTTGTCGAGCTTTGGGTTCCGCGGGATCAGCTTCCGCACTACCAACCATGTCAGATCGTAGCCGTCGACTCCGCCTTCAATGAGACGTGGGCGGTGTTCGGCGCGCAGGTGCTTGATGATGTCTGCCAATTCCAGAGACGTCGTGGCTTGGGGGTTGAAAGAGGCATCGTTGAAGCTGGTGTATGACAGCTCTGCGCGAGCGAGGTGGGAAGCTGTCAGATTGGGATTCTCGAGAAGATTGCGGCTGACATCGAGGAAGTATGGCGGCGTAAAGCTGGCAGGCGCAGATTGCACGATCGTCCAGATCTCAGGCGGTAGGCCGGAAGAAAGGTTCGGTGCTGACACAAGATCATAGGGTGTGAACTTTTCTGGTGTAGGCTGCGCGCTCGGTTTCTGGTTGCTCTTTGTCTTTTCTTCCTGTGCCTCTGGGTTCTGCTGGTTGTCCTTCAAAGTCAAGTTGGCCATGCCTTCTCCAGCGCCATTTTCGGCCATGCTCAAATGGTCTGCCAAATCTATCTCTTTCTGTGACGTGACTTACAAGCTCTTGCTGCGCGTCGCACGTGCAAATGGTCAATAAAGACACTGGGTACGCTCTCCAAAGCTGACGTGAGTATGTTGGGTCAGCTCGAAGAGGGTGATGTGCGTGTGTGGTGCCCGTCAAGTTGTGGTGTTGATGTCTGAGAAAGTAGACTAGTTTCTCGCTTGTAAATGCTCAAGAAAGTGCTCATAGTACGTTGCAGCAACTGAACGTGACAGCAACAACATTGCTTAGGTATAAGATCTGAAACAAACATGGGGAATTGAAAGATGTCATGTTTCAAGCTGTCAAAGGGCAAATACGGGGTGTTCATATACCATCTATCTAGCGTCTAATACTCTCCCCTTCGACAAGACAGCCGTCCTCTCGAGCCATAACGCCCCCAAATGCAACCACGCCCTCCCGCACAACATCCTTCGTTTCAAACCTTCACCATCTACCGTCCATAGTAATGCGCCATCTCCAGCCCGGCCCTCTTGAACCCACACTTAACATAAAACCCCTCATTTGCCTCACTACAATCTAAAATCGTCTTATAGCATCCGACCTTCTCCGCCACGAAGTCGAGCGCCTGAATAATCCTGAGGCCCAGCTTCTTGCCCTGTTGGTCCTTGGCAACAGCGATGTCCTCGATATGTCCGACGAGCCCAAGCTGGTGGATGAACTTGCGCTCGACAACCAGGGCGCCGGTGCCGACAATGCGCGAGGAATTGTCGAGGATGGCGATGAGGAAGTAGGAGTCGTTGTGGGTGGATATCCATGTGTAGCGCTCGTTCCAAGCCTGCGGTCATCGGTATGTTAGCATATGTCTCTCTCTCGTATTGTGTGGGGGCGATATGGGATGATGGGGAGGGTGAAGTACCTCTTCAGAAATATCGCCAACTGTCGTCAACACCCTCAGCACGTCCAGGAAGCCATTGTGGTAGTCTTGGCGCTGGATTGGCCGACAGGTGTAGCCTTCTGGCAGCGCTTTGAGGACCTCGGGGGAGATGAGTTCGGAGCTGAAGAGCGGCGCGGTCGCGTCGCTGACGGGGGTTTGGAGGGCCATTGTGAGCTGTTGGAGTCTAGCTGCGGCTGCCAGATTGTTCTGAGTGGAGGAAGGTGCGATTGTGCTTGCAATTGGCGTCTGGAGGGGTGCGAGGGGTGCTGAAACGTTATCGATAAGGAAAAGAGGCGGTGAGGTGGAGATTGATTGGTTTAACGTCCTTTCTGAGTCTGCGACTATGGAAGACGATGGTGAGGTGGAGAGGATGTCGATGGTTCTAAGAGGTCGGTTAAAAGGAGTCAAGAATGCTCGATATGTTGAAGAAAGGGGGACTCTGCAATCGACTACTTCTTCTACGGTCAAGATCTACATGTGCTGGCAGCTGAAAGTCAAGCATCCACATCCCAGTCAGGAACCAATTCGTGTTCCAAAAATAGACACCGGAAACTTCCCCTCCCAGCAACGTCATCCAAAGACTTCAGTGTCACATCTCCATTATTGCGAACATCGGATCAATTAATATTGACATTACCTGTATATGTAGACTACGTAAAATTCGTACATTGGCCGTCACCAAGGAGGAAGTACCCATCCACCCCGACTCACCACCCACTTGGCGTCCTTGAGTGCCTACACCTCCTGAAACTCTTGAGCACATACTCCGGCTCCAGATCTCCATCCTCCAACTCCAACCCCACAACCTTGGCAAGCGCCGCCGTGAGCGCCGAGTTTTGCCTCTGCAGCAGTACAACTCTCTCCTGCAGCCTGACCATCTTGTCCGCGCTACCCTCCTCGAGGACTTCAATCTCGACTGCGCTATCGCCTACAATCTCATCACTGCCCGGCTCAGGAGTCTGTCTAGGCGTCGGCAGCGCACCAGGCCCGGTGTCCGAGTTTCTTTGTTGTGTTGACGTCGACATTAAGATAGTGGGATGTACTTCTTTCCTCCTGATTTTCTTCAGATCGCGCAGCTTCCTCGCTTTTGTCTGTTCCTCTCGCGAGATAGGGTGTTCAGCAAGAGGATGCTCAACCACAAGAATTGGCTTCGGACTGATCGGCGGACTCTTCCCTTTTCGCACCGCATGGGCAGCGACATCCATAATGTTAGGCGCAGAGAAGGAGCGACTTGCACGGTCGTAAGAGCTGAACCCTTGGATCGCGCGCTCGACGGCGGGCGAGGCGAGAGCGGGGACGAGCATGTCCTCGGTGAAGCTGAGTGACATGTGCCGGGGACGGTGCTTTTGGTTCTGTGGCCCGGGGACAGCGATAGGGAGGGTGAGATTGTCTGTGCCGGACAACCTAGGGATGATGATTTTGAGATGCTTCGCTCCGCCCGACGTTGTCATCTCGCGAGCGCAGGTAGGTACCTTCGGCTTCTGGCGTGCACGTTGAGGCGAGCCTTCTACCGAGCCGACGCGTGCAGCGAGGCTCTTGCGCTTGACCTTGAAGATCTTAGGGCCACTTCTTGTACGCTGTCGACCTGTCGCTTGGTTATCCGTGTTCGGTCCTGTGTGCTTAAGGTAGTAGCTGAGATCGTTCAGCCCCAGGTGGCTGCTGGCGGTAAGTGCGTCGTGGCCGAGAATCGGTGGCGCCATTCGTCCCAGGTTGGACGAGCCAGCTCGGGCTGCTTGTCTTACCGTGACGTACTGGCTTCGCTGTTTGGGCACTCGGATGTCCGAGTCCCTTCGTTCGTATTCTGTGAACTGACCTTCAGTCGCACGTGTAAAGTCACTGTCCACGGACACAATAGATTCCTTGCGGAGTGGGAACCGAGGGTTGGTGAGACGTTTAGGGCTGCGTTCTGGTACGGCTGGTGGCAAGTCGGTGGTCAGCTCCAGGTCCTCAATCGGAAAAATGGCGACGGGCTGGTTGGAGCGTAATGTCGGATCTGGCGAATTCGGCAGTGGCATTTTCGGTGGACTGGGTGTGTGACGGTGGCGCACCCTCAAACTCGACTCTCGACTGTCGGCCTGGCTGTCGAAATATTTCTGAATTACTCCAAGCGGTGCCACTTCTTCAAGCTTCTCAAGGTCTTCCTGAGTAGGCATGTCGCTGTTCGTGTCGCTCCTCGATGCATTACGTTCGTGTTTAGCTACCCAAGGCTCCAGTGAAGCATATGGAGCGCTTGTGTTTGCCTCAGGGCTGGTGACCTTATAAGGTGTCTGACGTCGCGACTGCTTCTTTTCCTTTAGGTCATGATCTGGCATGCTGGTACTTTGTACGCGGACTTCCCTCTTCTGGTAGCTGTTTGAGATGATGGCTCGTGCCTGGCGTGGCTGGTAGGTGATGATCTTGGTCATGGGACTGGAAATAGATCGACGATGTGGAGGAGCAGCCATCGGCCGGTACACCTCTGGAGACATTGGAGGAGAGGAGGCAAACATTGTTGGTGAGGAAGCAACACCGACTTCTGTTGACTCGAGCTCGACGGGGGCACCAGGATTGACAGTCAGTCGTTTCTGCTGAAGGTAAGGCCCTGCCGACGAGCTACGGCTGTTTTGACTGTTAATCCGCGGACGTGAGTAATTCTCGTTGGAAGAAGATGTTGAAGGTCGATACACTTCGATGTTCTGTGGTGCGCGCATATCGAAGTTCCTTGGGGTGTGGTTCACAAACATATCCTTCCGCTTACGTTGGGCGCCAAACTCGTCAATATAATGCACCGGAGCAAGTGGCAGCTTGTTCTCGCACTTATCAGTAGCTGCAGTCGTCGTCGTCTTTGTGTTATCGTCGTGCGTCTTGGCGGTAGACTTGCGCTTCAGGCTCGCTGTCAGACGATCCGCCTTCAGGCTATCCGTTGGAGTAACACTGGCCCTGCGGTTCTTCTCTTTGGATGCAGCAAGCGTTCCGGCGTACTCGAGCGCACTAATACCAGGGTGGCCAAACATAGGGAACGAGTTGATCAACGTCTCTGTAGACCGAGACTCCAACATTTTTGCAAATGCGGGAGACCGTGCCGCCTAAATGCTCAGCGTGAGTAGCAGGACCGCCGTGTGCCAGACCTCACGGGCGCGAGCAAGTGCAACGGCTGGCAACAGCTGAGCCCAGAACGTGGCACAACCAGGAGACTGGTACTCAGCATATGCTGTTATTGTTGTACCGCTCATACTTCGGCAGAGGTTTGACTCTGCTTTGGCGCTTAAGTGACAACGTCGGCCAGGGATGAAGGCTACATGCAGTATTTTCCTCCCTTCAGATTCGGACGATTGTCTGACTTGCAGGATCCCACTCTGTGGTGGAACCGGTGGCGGTAATTGATAGTAGGGATCAGTTCTTGAGCTCGTGATGGACGTTACGTGACGCGACGTGGCACGGCAGGTGCTGATAACGAGGCAAGTGACTGGCAACAATGACCTGATCCTCAACGAAACGACAGACGCGAAAGGCTGGGGGTGAGGCCCGATTGAGGGATGTAAGGGCCCTGAAGTAGTTCGTCGCCAACTTTCTTCTTCACGATGGTTGCCTGCGGAGTTGGACGCAAAACAAAGTCCATCGTGGCTATTGACCACTTTACTATGCAGTTGTTGTATCGCGGATATCGGGTTCTCGACCTTGGTTGTCGGAAGCTTTCGTAAGCCTATGACGGCTTGCTGCTTGGAATGTGGGACAGAATTGTCGCGTTGCTGCGCGAAAAAGCGTTGTGCGACTTGCTTCTTTTAGCAACAGCGAAGGGAGCTTCCAGCGCTTGCGATCCGCAGGTAAGGAGAAGACCAGCCGTCAATAGCTACTTTCTAGAAGACAACTTCGTGAGACCATTATATCGATGTTTGGGGCGCAATGGATGGGTCTGATTGCTATCATGCGTTCCGTTGTTTTGGTGTTGACGTGTGTCGTCCAGCAAGACCTCGCATATGTTGTGCGCCATAAGCCGTGCAGGTAGCCGTTGAATGCAACTGCAGACGAGAAAGGCACTTTAGCCGCGGCGAGCGGGGTCATTCAGGAGCCATGGCGAATCCAATCCACAGTTGCCAGATCTGTGAGAATCACTGGTCGATCATAACCATGAGAAGCCACAGCAAATCCACAGTCGGCACATCTGAGAATCACTGGTCGATCACAGCCATCAGATCTACGCCACGAGCGCCTTCCCGCTTCGTGGCCAATCTTCGGAAGCTCGACGAAGCTTTGTGGGAACGCCCGCGAGAAGCAAAGAGGTGCAGATCCCTCTATCTAGTCTACATAGTGTCCAAAATGTATGGTGAACGCCGATCAGATGCTGAGTATGTTTACAAACACGCCAAACGCCATGCAGGTGAGCAGCCACCACAATGTTCCCCAGCTCAGACCTTCTTTCGTGTCCTTCATGACCGTTACTTGAAAGCTTGGTCAAGTAGCACCTGCTTGTTGATCTCGATAACAGTGAGATCGCTTGCGTTACCAATCGTGGGGCGTCTATGCCGAGCTCAGCCCGTCCTAGGTTTTTTGGGCCTGTTGTCAATGAACGGTCCACTAGGCTTCGGCCTCCTCTTGATCTTAGGCTTTGCCCTCATACCTCCTAATACATCAGTTGGAGTGTTGGCACGATCGCTTTCGACCGTCGGTGAGCTCCTTGCATGTGCGGCAGGCGTTGATCGACCACTGCCTCCATTGTGCATGTTCGTGTTGGCATTAGACGCCGTGTCTGATGGAGCATCGAGCATGTCGAAATCGTCGCCGTTGTTTTCGGCCTTGATGTCTGGGCTGTCGCTGAGCTTGCGCTTTGCATGATGCACGAGCCCCGGTTCTTTCTTGATCTCCGGTTTGATCTCTGGTTTGACATCTTGCTTAATGCTGCTGCCATTGGACTGATTGCTCTCATTCCGACTCATGGGCTCAGACTTGACTTCCGGCGTTGGTCGATGCGGCTTCATGTAACCCTCCTTAGGCGCAGGGTACTTGCTCGAATGCTCACTGAGCATCTTCATAACATTGCCATCGGTGTACCTCTTCCTGTCTTTTGCGTCCACAACTAGCTTCTTCCAAAACTCTCCTCGAACAAGCGATTGCGAGTTGCCCAGGACCCAGAGTGAGGACTTAGCGCGTGTGAGACCGACGTTCATACGTCGAATGTCTTGCAAGAAACCGATGCCGCCCACTGGCGAAGCACGCACGCAGGAGAAGATGATGACCTCGCTCTCTCGGCCTTGGAAAGCGTCAGTGGTGTTGAAGTCGATCTCATCGATAATGTTGGCACCATACACGTAGGAGAATTGACTCTTCAGCTCCTTTAGTTGACTCTTGTAGGGTGTGATGATGCCGATTTTGCCTTTGAAATCGTAGCTCGAGTAATCGGTAGTGAGCCGCTTGTATAGCTGTAGTGCAACATCGATTTCGGCTCTGTTGATCAAAGAATGGCCTTTGGGTGCAGCTGATTGCTGACCCTGCACGTCAAAGAAGCGGTATGGTCCAAGGAGCATGCTCTGATGCCACGGCTGCTTGCGCAGACCGGCCATATCACCACCGTCCAGCAGCTTGCCATCGTAGAATGTTTTGCTTGGGAACAGACTAATCTCAGGATGCATACGGTACTGCGTGTCCAAAAGGTGAACATCGTCTGGGTGGTTCTTCTGCATTCGAACGAACAAACTCTGCTCGTAAGCAAAGCGAGCAGCTTCCTTCGAAAAGACAGTAGGCGGCAGCTGCTTGGGATCCCCGACAAGGATGCACTTTGCGCACCCGTACTTGAGAGGAATGAGTGCGCTCATCTCAACACACTGCGCGGCCTCATCAACGATGACCGTCTCAAACTCGATACTGAGGCCTTGGAACATCTCATGACCAGAACCACTGAGTGTTGCGCAGATGACGTGGGCATCGTTCAAGATGGCTTCTTGAGCTCGTCGACGGTTGAGGTCTGCGTTACGACCAGCGAGCTTCTCGTCGTCCTTTGCATTGTCGATCTTGGTTCCAAGGGCCTGCTTCTGTTTTCGCAGAGCGTTGATGTCGTCTTGGAGTTTCGTAGCAGCATCTCCCTTTAGCTCACCGGTTTGAATATGCTCGATAGCGTTCCTGAGCTTCTCCGATACCGCCTTGTGGTCTGTGAAAAGCTTCTGAGTCGCCTCGCGGTCGTTGTTCTTTGGGTTGGAGGTGCCTAGCCTTTGGCTGACGAGCTCTTCCAAGCACACGTCCTGTACATCCGTCTTAATAGCATCGCTGCGACCGAGACGCACAATGTTAAGCTTGCGCTCTTCACCGGCCAGGGTCTTGATGCCGGCCTTGAAACGCATGACCAGTTCGTCCACGGCGGCGTTACTGGGTGCACAGACCAAGAGCTTCTTCGTGGCAGTGTCGTTCCGCTGTTGACCACCAGGGACTGGTACAGCTGTTCCACTCCTTCGAAGAGTATCTGACAGAATCGCTCCGACGATGGCAGTGATGGTTTTAGTCTTTCCGGAACCAGGGGGACTGAAATATTGTCAGCATTAACACTTGATCAGGCGCATGTACGACTTGCCCTTGAATCAATGTGAAGGCATCGTTGTCAATAGCTGACTTGACGGCCTTAGCCTGTGCCTTGTTCAGATTATAGTTGTCCATTAGCGGGTCGATCTGCTTGTCGGTGTAGGTCAATAGAGGTGACGGCTTGGCCCGAATGATCTCATCGCAGAGATCGTAGTACTGCAGACCCTTGAGAGCACCATACTCGCGCTCAAGCGGGGTGATGGATTGCAGCTTTACACCAAAGACAGTACTGCTGGGGTTCAGAGCAGATGAGAGAGGGTTACCGGGCACGACCCGGTATGAGGCTTCGATGTGCTGTTGCTTCCTCTTGACGCGGAACACTCTTGCTAAGCATGTCGGCACCTCAGCAGACGGCGTCTTCGTCCGTGAGAGGAGAATGATGTCGCCTTCGGAGATGAAGATGTCGCGGTTCTCCTCGTGTGTCATCGTGCTACCGACCTCTTGGAACATATCCACACTTGCTCGCGATGTGATACGGATCTCATAAGCCTTGTTCTGATTCTCTTCGCGAGCCTTGACGAAACCCTGCCAAGCTTCAAGAGTCAAGAGTGGCTCAAAGGTGTTTTGATAGTCGTTCGGTGTTCGGAAAGTATTAAGAACCTTGGAATAGACCCCAGGGTTCGACTTGGGTGGATAGTCGCCATCATAGAAGTAGTCCCAGCCAAGAATAGCCCTGTGCAGCGATGACAGATCAGGAGCAAGACGAGCACGCATATCCTTGATCGAGCGCTGCACCCTCTTCTTCTTGAACGGCATCTGAATCTTGACTTCATTGACGATGTTTGTCTTCGGCCCAGCCTTTACCTTGGTCTTCTTGATGCCGAAGAGATCTTCATCGATGTCGCCGTCGCTGTCCTCGGACTCGTCGGATGAGTGCATGAGTCCTTCTCCTTTGGCTGCTGAGTCTTTGCCCAGAACACCCAGGCCTTCCAGTCCAGAGCCTGCCTCGTTGGTTTGTGTAAGGCCTCGAGCCTGTTTCGCCTTGGCAATGGCAGCGGCTTTCTCCTTCTCGCGCCTTTGCAGCTCAAGCTGGCGCTTTCTCTTGAACTCATCCTGAGAAGCGTTCTTCTGGGCATCGAGAGCTTTCTGCTTAACAAGTTTCGCTTCTGTGGCTCGCATAGCCTCCCGCCTCTCCTTGAACGCGCTCGAGCCTGAAGTAAGGCTTGACATGAGTCTCGCCTTCGCGTCACTCGGCGATGCTGCGGCTCCAGTGGACATCCATTTGCTGATGGAAGCCTGTCTAGGCGCCGCAGGCTCTTCGTCCTTGACGATAGAGTGGCCGAGATGTGTCTCCAGAGCTTGTTGCAGCTCAGCTTGTTGTGTTGTACTGAGCTTAGCACGGATGTCGCCGGTCAAAATCCTCTCCATGTAAGAGAGGGTATCAGTGTTGACTTCAATAGATACGTTATGCAACCGAACGAGCAGCTTGCTAATGAGGGTGACAGACTTGCTCGACAGAAACTCGTCTCGAAGACGAAGCCACTTCGCTAGGCCTTCCATAGCATTTGCGGGCAGCTCGAGCAGCTCTTGCAACAACTCAGTCTTAGCCTTGCCCTCGTCGTCGCCTGACTGAGCTTGCTTCTTCAAAGCAGTCGCAAAGATGCTGCACTGGTCGAAGACTTCATCAGCGAACTGCATAGTGTCTCGACAGAAGTCCATCATCATCTGCTTGTCGTAGAAGCCGAGATTACTCCATGCTTCCGTAGTGGCGAAGATCATGGTCAGCGAATCCCACAAGTTCTTCCAGATGTTCATTGTCGCCGCCGCTTCTGCGATGTTCAAATCTTTCGTACGGAGAATACCGTCTTGAGAGTTGCAGAGAACGTCGATGACATCTCTGCACGTCCTGATCATACTTGGAGTAGGAGCAAAAGCCTTCTTGCGCATGACTTGACGAATCGAGTCTGATATTCCCATGACTACGTTCTTAAAGTAGTTGTTCAGGATGTGCTGCAAAGCATTCCGTCGCTCCTCTTCCAGACTGATGACCTTTAGCAGCTCGATGGCTGAACTTCTCGTATCTTCTGTCGAAGAGAACAACAGTGAGACAATCGCACTTGCCGCCACTGGCTTCTCGAAGAGTGCATGTAGCTGCGAAGGGTTGAACTCCGACAGTCGATCAACCACGTCCGTAATTGACTGGGAGAGGAGTTTGAAGCGATCGTTGAAGTGACGTACTTCTGCAGGGATCTTCTCGACACCAGACTTCATCGACAGAGGCTCAAGTCCGATTAGGGCTCTTCCCGCAACCAGCAGATGCGATGCAAGCTCCAAGCTCTGGTGATCGATCGCCTTCAGTATAGTTCTCCAGATTGGCGCAGATGATGGAGTCTCGGTCGGCGACGGCTTTTTCGCAGAGATCAGTTGTCTCTCGATGATCAAAGACTGAGCTTCGAGCAGAAACGCATTCTGGATTACGACCAGAGTCAAATCAGCGTCTTCAACATCGGCGTCGCTGTCACCGAAGGTCTTCAGCCTCGAAACGAGCAACTGGGTATGTGTTGAAAACATGTCCATCATGCCGTTCACTGTTGGCTGCCCGACAAACTTGCCTATCGTCTTGCCCTCGCACATCTTCTTGAAGGTGAACTCGAGCACCTTCAAGCCTTCACGGAAGCATCTAGCTCTGGACACCTGTGGATATCGTTCATCCTGGAAGCGACCGAAAAGTGCTTGCGCGAAAGGTCTAGTAGCTGGGCCGAGATTTGCTGGCTTGATGGATGCGGTGAAAAGAGGTATCCAGCTGAATGCGGCTTGGACATTGCTCATGCATTGTTCGTCATCTTCCCTTGCTGCGATTAGCACCTGCTGTAAAACAGGGCTATTGAAGATCTGCTCCACAACTGTGGCTATTGAAGGAGTGACAGCGTTCATGCCTTCCCAGAAGTTGATCGGAGCCCTCTTTAACAACTCCTCCATTGTGGCGAGGATGTCGAGGAACGCTTCCGACTTCAGCGAGAGATGATCGAGCATCAATCTGTAAAAGTTCCCATCAAGGCCGCGAATGTACTCTGTTATTAGCTCTCTGTCCATCTTGCCAATGATCAGACGAGCTCCACTCCAGAACAACGGGACGAGCTCGATGTCAAGGTTGTTCATCTGGATCTTCATCATGGCGCTAATCATGTAGTCCCGCACAGCCCACTCGAACTCTGACTTGAGAAGGTTGCGCTTGAACGTTGACCATGATAATGCAGCCCACCTCTGACGGCTCTCCTTCTTGCTGAACAGGAAGCGAGTCATGGCTGGAAGGTAGGTTTGCACTTTCAACCGCTTCTTTGTCTGTACCAGGTCGAATGGTGCGTCGAAGTGCTGAGTGAGGCGGTCCTCGTTTCGTACCAGAGCGTCGCAGCTCAAGGCCTCGAAGAAGGCATATGTGCATTGCCCTGGCAGTATCCGCACGCCGCGAGCTTTTGGTTCCGCGCTGCTCAATATTGTATTTGCCTCGTCCAAGCCGGCTTGTATACGTCCGAGACATTGCTCGTCCACCACATTCAGGAAGTCTCCAATGTTCTCCTCGTCGTATGTGTCGACCAGCCGTGTTCTCCATTCAGCTCTCGATTGGTGGAATACCCGTACGCAGACATCGCAGCTCTGCATGAGCTGATTCAGCCTTTCTAACAGCCATTCCTTGTGTGGTGCTGCCTCGTCTCCATCGAAAGCTAGGATCTCTGTAGCTTTCAATGCCGTCCATTTCCGTTCCTCGGCTTCTCGTATTCGTAGCTCGCGGTCTTTCAGCACGGCGGGGTCAGTCTCGGGCGGGTAGCTTGCTACGTCTTCGTCGTAGTATACGGCTCCATCCTCCCCGATGCGAGGGCAGAAAAGATGTTGATCTTCAGGTAGTGCTCGAAGCTCGCTGTACATTGCAAGGTAAGTCATTGCTGATTGATATATGAGGTGCTTGCAGTTGGTAACAGTGTACGAAAGGGAAAGAGGCAATGAGGCAAAGAGAGGTGATTACAGGTAAGATTTGGCAGGAAGTGCCCATCGTACTCACTTGATCTTCTCGAGGATTTCCGCCATGTCCCTATCTATCCCCGCGGTCCTTTGCGCCACTCGGAGGCAACCCTCCCAGTCACTAGGCAGAGCAATGGTTTATAGCACGCTTGCAGTGCCTCAATATATATAGTGCAAGCGCTTGCAGCCGCTGCTAGAAAAAGAAACGCTATCTACAGCACGATGTTCGCCCTTCCTCGTACCTGCCTCAGCTAGGGTCGTGAGCGCGGGTGGGCAGGCAGCAGGGCGGCCTTTATCAAGAGGAGATAAGAATTTGTCCGTGAAGGAGCGGCGGTTGGCTGCCGGGACGCCGAGCAGAGGTTGAGCGTTGCGGTGACGGGATGAGGAGTGAGTGTATGGATGATGGGCGTCATTGCGGCTAGGGCCCGCTCAAAGAATCTCACAACGCGACGCGACCCACTAGCGCGTATAGCCGTCGCCAAGCCTATCAAGCACCCAATTTCCATCAAGCATCACTCTCAAGGTTGGAGCATCTGAAGATTGCACGCAGAACTAGTTTGTGCTGGTATATTCACGTGTCAAAACATGTCATGGAAAGTAGTTCAAGATCCAGCCGGCCCAAAAGGACCGGCTATGCATTAACTATTTACACCGCACATCCGTAGTCATCAGCACATCTATCGTTGCTGGTCTACGAACCTCACAGCCGTTAAAGCCCCCAACAGAACAAGATAAGGAAAATGCAGAAAGGAATGGGAATCGCGTATGCCAAACAAAGTGTAGCCAAGAAACGCCCACTTGCAGCTGGGGCAAGAGCAAAGGAAGCTAGCAATGGTGTATACGTGAACGCCCGATGCGTAACATGGTGGGGAATATCTTTATATACAAGTCGTTAAAAACAGTGGAAATGCGGAATCACCGCGGTCACCTAGGGGGGCTCCTGGGCGGTGTTTTCAGCTCTGATGATTTCAGCTCTGGTGAGTTCTTTGGTGAGCTTGTTGTTATCGCCGGTACAGCAGGCGCATCCCGAAGGTCTGAGGGTGCCTCCTCTCTTGTGATTGTCGCGCGGCGAATGGCGTTCTTCAGTCGACTTCCTATGTTGCCAGTTGATCCGCTCTGGCTGCCAGTGCGACTACGTCCTATGTAGCTGTTGCGGCTATGGGCTGACTCGATACGGGTCAGCATAGCAGCTGATGTGAAGTCGTTGCTCTGTTCAAAACTTGGCCTCACACGGTCCATAGACATCCTAGCGCGGTCGTAGCTGGGTCGCACACGGTGTTCGTAGCTGTTAACCGGGCGACCTTCGGACGACATGCGAGGAGCTGCAGGGAGGCCGTCCATCGAGCGACGGTATGTGTAGTCGGTGCTGTTGCTACCATTCTGACTTCGTGGGTTGTGTGTTGTGGCAGTGGGCGCTACGGATGGTGGGTAGATGGGTCGAACGTCCTCATCGGTAGGCTCAGCGTTGGCAGCCTTGTACTTGTCTGCATCCACATCCGGTACAACAGTCTGTGCTTTGCCCGGAGGGGGAGGGAGGTAGCTGTTGTTGTCCTTCAGGTAGTCGAACTTTCCTTGCTTGACCTGCTCACGGATGATGTCGACGTCGAGAGGGAAATACATCTTCTGTGCGGCCTTGAAAATGAATCGCGGAAGCAAACACATGATCGTCGCAACGAGAACATATGCCCAAAAGTTCAAGTTCCCGTACACTTCCGCGCCAGCCTTGTAGAACTGGGCACTTCCAGTGAATGATGTGTAAATACCTGTCCAGAACCAGACCAGGATTGTACTGATGACAACGATCAACAGCATCAGCCAATCCCATCGGTAGGTGTTGTAAAGAACGTAGATGTTGGCGGCACAGACAGCAGTAGTGGCGGCGTAAACACCCATGCGTCGGTACTCTGCGAGATCCAGACCGCTTGAGGTTGTGAATGTGGCGGGGTAGAAGATCTCGTATACCAAGAAGAAAGCAATGGCGGATTGGTAGACACCGTCAATCATGTAGGCCCTGTTGTTGGTTAGTGACCGTCTTCTTACCATAAAGAGCGTACGTACCAGAACTTAGGCTGGGTCCACTCCTTCCGCTCAATACCGCGGCGATACAGCTGAGGAACTGCGAGCGATATCCTGTCATCGACGTCTTGATCCAAGACACCCATGACGATAACCGGAAGGGAAGTGAAAGCAAGATTGAAAAAGATAATGTAGGTGTAATCGAAGATATACTGGCTGTCGAAGTTGGTGTAGACCTGGTACCAGAAGAGCGCGAACGTCCAGACGATGTTCTGCATACAGATTAGCATTCAGCACAGTCACGAGTGCTATCGTACTGACCTTGTAGAAGAAGTTGGCAATAGTTTCTGCGAGTCGTCGATAAGACCATCGACCGTGGACGAGTACGAGGCGAGTCAAGAAGCGGAATTGTCCAATAGCGTAGTCGGAAGACATGACGGCTGCGCGACCCTCAACACCAGCAATACCAACACCAACGTGAGCTTCCTGAATCATAGCAACATCGTTGGCACCGTCACCGATGGCCAGAGTCAAGCAGTCGAGACCAGTCTTGACCATGTTGACGACAGCAGCCTTCTGACTGGGACTGACACGACAGCAAAGCACAGATCGGCATCGTCTGCAAAGCAGGAGGAACTTTCGCTTGAGGGAGTCGTCCAATGCGAGCTTGAGGGTGTCACCATCAATGATGATGGCGTGGGTCGGTGGCGGAGGTTCGTGATCAGTCTGAGCAGCTTCAAGCTCTTCTTCAGAACCTGTCAAGCCAAAGATAGCTAGCTTCTCGTCCAGCTGAGCTTCCACCGACTCAATACTGTCGTCTATAACCTTGAGAATGACGAGATCCATGTCGTTGTCGAGGAGGTTGCAGGAGAAACCAATGTTGATGGCTGTTTCGACCTTGTCACCTGTCAAGACCCAGAGCTTGATACCGGCTTGGCCAAGAAGCGAAATTGACTCTGGCACTCCGTCTTGCAGCCTGTCTTCAATAGCAGTACCACCGATCAACCACAGCTGGTTCTCGATTCGGTCGGAGACCTCTTCGAGCTTGTCCTCTCGGTCGGCGATAGCATTGGCGGCAATGTCGTAGTCCTTGTTCCATTCAGCATATTCCTGTTCCGAAATCTCCTTCTGTGCGATACAGAGAGTTCGCAGTCCTTCTCTTGCAAACATTTCGAGGTGTTCGCCAGTCGTGACGCGAAGCTGTCTCTGCTCGTTGGGGATCAATCGAGAGTAGATCATGCTATCCGCACCCTTGCAGAACAACATAATCTTTCCATCTGGCATTCTGATGATGGCGCTCATCCGTTTTCGGGTCGAGTTGAATTCGAGGGTGTTCAGAACCTGGTATTTGCGCTCTTCGCCAAGAACGTTGACGATGAGCTTGTCGTCTTCTCGGCCTACGAAAGTGAAGCCAACGTCACGAGCTGTCGCAACGAGCGCCGCCTCATCGGGAGACTGAGCCTTGAACTCGATCTTCGGTGGATCTCCGGGTGTACGTTCGGTGACAACGGTGTGGCAGAGAGCAAGCGCAAGCATGAACCGTTCGTTAGCCTTCTTCTGCTCTGGACCGGACTCGCCGGCGAGATCGTCGATGTAGTCTGGTGCGACGAAAGTGAGGTCCTCATCCCACAAGTAGGGGTTGTTGTGCAACCTGCGGCTTCCCTCGAGCATTCGTACGCGGTCACGAGCAATCTGCTCCCTCGCACGAGCAGCCTCGACCTCGACGTTGATTCCTTGCCTTCTTTGCATACCAGCTTGAGCCTCGGTATAAGCCTCGCCATAAGGAACGCCGTTGATTGTGCACTTCTTAAACTCCATGACATTTTGAGTCAGTGTACCAGTCTTGTCTGAGAAGATGTATTCGACCTGACCGACATCATCCGAAATGTTCCAGGACTTGGGAGTGCAAGGGTAGTCGAGCTCTTCGTAGTACATCTGAACATCGCTGTAGATGAAGAGAGCCTGCAAGGTGCGGATGATTTCCAGGGTGATGTAGAGAGAGATGGGCACCAAGTTCTGGAACAAAATGATACCAGCCCAGAAGGAAATAACACCGTCGGTTGCTGGGTTGCCACCATATGATCCATACTCGAAAATCGAATGCGAGGTATCGTCTCTGGCCCAGGTAACACCAAGGACGACTCCAGAGACCAAACACATAAGAGCCAGGATGATGAAGTTGTAGATGACGTTCCAGTTGAGGTCTTTCGAGATCCTAGCGCGCTTACTGGGGGTGACACCGGAGTTGATCATGATCTTGGTCTCCTCTCCAGTGAAGACAACTACGCCGAGAACCCATTCGGTATTTCGCAGCTGGCAACCACGCAGAAGCAGATTGTTGATCGAGATCGGCTCAGCCATTTCGTAGGTGGGTGTCTCGGGGTCCTTGGCATTGTGCTGCTGCCACCTAATGACAGCGCTGTAAGAGTACAGATTCGAATGAGGACCTTCACTCTCGATTGCGAACTCGGCGCGTTCGCAGTGGCGGGCGTGTCGCACGTCGCGTGTGCAGTGAAGGGCGTTTCTAACTTTGAGATTTGTCTCTCCATCCAAATTCTTGGTCTCAACATAGCAAGCGCCGTCGTCAGACGACGTCGACAGGACAATGACATCTGCAGGAATCTCCTCGTCGTTGTACAGGCGAATGAAATCACCAACCTGCACGTTCTTCCAAGCATCTTTCTTGAAGCGAGCTTTTTCTGGAGCAGTCTTGAAGGGATTGAGCACGCTACCCCAGAACTTCTTTGTCGTGTTGCCCTTGGAATCGTTGCCGCGAATCTTGTCGTTGTCGCCAGGGCCGCGTTCGGTGGGTGGCGGGGAATGACTGGGGGATGCGCCAGGCAAGGGCGAAGGGACCGGGGTCATCTGGATGCCCTCTTGGGCGTCGAAGTAGGATGACCTGCGAGTAGCAACAGATGCTCGTCGAGTATCGACTGAGGGACGGGAGCCGTCAATACCACGCTCACTGTCCCCCTTGCCCTTTGCGCCCTTTTTGCTTGTCGCATTCTTCATGAGCCTATACGCCACAAGAATAGTCCTTGTGCACGCCTTCTTGAACTTCCTCCATGGCGAGACAGTGTCTTCTGCAGTGTTCACGTTGTTGAAATCGACCAGACGGTGCACGGGCGCGTTGTTGAGGTCGTTGTCAAGGACGGTTCTCCTCCAGTCCTCGACCGCGTCCTTGATCGCCGTTACGACGATGATGACAATGAGCGGTACGGCGTTCAGCGCTGGATTCGAGGCTCCAAAAATCTGGAAGATCTACAGGATGGGTTGTTAGCGCTGCACTGACCACTATCGAGGAGATGAGGGTGTACGTACACCCAAGATAATAATAAACAAGAAGTAGATGTTCGCGATGTTGTGGAACTGGAACCAGAGGTTCTTTGGTATGAAACTTATAGGGGTGTATTTGGCGGTTCGTATCTTGTTGCGCGCATACGAGTGGATAGGGTGGCCATCTTCGTCGCGTTCAGAGGGAGGGAGCGGCACGTTGAAGTAGACTCTGCGCGCAGAATCTTCGTCGTCGTGGCCTGCATCTGAAGACTCGGGCGACTTGTCGGCCTCAGGTCCACCTAGGGAGCCAGCTTCTTTCCCTATCGAGTCTCTCTTCTCGCCTGAGCCTATCCGTCGATGCAGCCGCTCTTTCAGTGAATGCCGCTTGTTCTCAGCCTTTGCGCCAGTCGCACGATGTGTCGCCCATCGTATCCTCTTCACGGGATTGGAGATCTCTGGCTCGAGCTCGGCGAAGGGCGGCTGCAGGTTGGGGTTGTTGTTGTTGTTCGAGCTCATGGTTGCTGCGAGACGGGCGGCAGAGGTTCGGGGGTGCTGCAATGGCCGGCCGCAGCCGGGAGGGCCTCTATGCTATCGAATTCGCCAATGCGCCTGGGGGAGAGAGTGCGCGAGTATTGGAGGACTGACGAACGGACAGCCGGTGGGCGGAAGGGTTGTGGTGGGCGGTGCGAAGGGGATGAGTAGTGAGGCCAGAGATGAGCGTAGTAGCGTTACACGGGCGTGTGCTTATGCAGATATTATGGAGCCCCCGGACAGCGAGGAGGGCAACGCTTCCCATGCAACACCAAAACAGTCAGGGCAGAGCGAGCGTCGGTCGGCGAGCGAGTCTTTCCGCAGCAGCCCTAGAGTCTCTGTTCGGTGCAGATGCAAAAGACGTTGTCCTGGTGTCAGCGGTGTCGTCAAGCACCCGGGCGCGGGAATAGAGGAAAGTGGCGGAGAGCTCGGAGACCAAAACGTCTCTTTCGCTGATTGCTGATTGCACTTCTGCGCGTTGCTTACGAGCGCATTCGCCGGGGTGCTACGGCGTTTACACACTACCGTGCCGAAAGCCCGCGCTATGCTCTATGAGCAAAAGGGCTGCAGCAGAGAGCTGCTTTTTCGTCCGCGTAGAAGGGTATCAAGCGATCACCGCATGCTCCACGTTCGCGCGCTGCGTGGCCTCCAGACCATCTTGCAACCGCTGTGCAACGCTCGCGACGGCTGCTGGTGGGACGTGACGCCCTTGAGCGCTGCTAAGGTCCACTGGTCACAGCCCTGTAAGCAGCAAGCCTCGATGCCTCAGCCCCCAGCGCCCGTCAGCGCCCGTCAGCGCCCGTCACAGCATCATGACCCATACACATTATGATCCATACACATTATGATCCATACACATTATGAGCAAGCTCCCAATCTGATTCCCGCGCCCGTCATCCGTCTGCTTTCTTGACCACTTTTCGCAAGACTTGGTGCCGGCTGCTAGTACGGGGTCTCAGACCTAGCGGCTCGTACGAAGCTGCTGTTAATTTGGGGCACGGCAGAAAAGATACATGAACTCTGGGACCCTTTTGCAGGGAAGACACCATATCTGACACGGTGGGCCCCGGGAGCGCTCATAAAGACAAATGCGAAACAATCAAGCAGCCTCACCACGCACTGCTGTCCGCGATGCGCACGCATTGCACTTCCCAGGCGCACCCACGATGACAGCATTGTAGCGTGTCCAGCGTGTCCAGCGTGCCCAGCGTGCCCAGCGTGTCCAGCACAACGCCAGTCTAGAGCGCGGTGCTCGGATGCGGACGAGCGAGCATTCCGCTGCACGTCGTTGATGAGCGCCAGCCCGCGCGCGCGTCATGCCCGCCTTAGCCTCCCGTGATGGAGACGTTAGCGCAGGATCTGATCCCGTGAGAGCGCGCCGTTGCGTCTCGCATCCTGGCCAAGCATTCCGAGCTCCAACCCCCACTCTATCAATCACGCGTCGCGGTGCCTTGTGCAAAGCGACTGCCGTCATGAAGCGGCAGAACGCGTCGAACAACAAGAGTATCTTGCATTTCTTCAAGAGTGTCCCGCGCACTTCGCAAGAAAGCTCGCCAGGTACCGCGCCTTACCTACCTAAGACAACCACACAGTAGTTGCAGCCTCAGGCTGATCAGTCTAGCGATAGCAGACATTAACGCCGACAATGTCTCGCAGCCACCCAGCTCCGGTGGCCCCGCGCTGCCAGAACGCGCGCAACCTTCCACAGGCGGTCCCTCGATGTCATTGGGTTCGAACACGTCGACCGTAGAAGACGCGCCCACCACCGACACTGTCATGACATCGATCGAGACGCTACCACCGAATACCTCGCAAACCTCTGCGAATTCGGGCGCAAGCAAGCGAATCTTGTCCCGTGGACAGCAAGTAGTCCTCAATTCAGACTCCGACTCTGACTCCATGGGAGAGCTCGACTTTGGCCTGCCTGCGCCAAAGCTGAAGATTCCAACGTATACCAGTCGCTCAACCCGTAGGACAGGCTTCGATGAGCCTCAGCTGCGCAGACCGCCCAAAGCAGGCAGGCACAGTGGCAAACGCTCTTTCACTCAGCTCATGGAGACCGCACAAAAGAACCTAGACACAGAAAGGAAGATCCAAGAGCGCAAAGCTGCTCTGGAGAAGGAGGACGAACAGCCTGCTCCGGTGGCGACGACTCTAGACAAGAGTACACTCAAGCATGCTATTCAGGACGGCGACGACTCGGATCAAGCTGATCGACTGTACAAGGCGATGCGAAGAACCAACGGAGTACAAGCCCAGACTGCCTACCACTTCTTTGAAGATACTCCGGATCTGTCATCGATACCGTCTTTTCCTCAACGGAGCTTACCAGACCATGGCTGGACTGCTTGCTTTGAAGGTGCGTCTTCAGACCAGCAACAACTGACATTGCTAAAGCGGATCCAGAACCGTCCACTCGAGATCAGGCCTTCATGACTGGATTCGCGCATCAGATCTTCCGCCTGCAAGAATTGCCCAAGGAGCTCGCCACCTGGATGCTTGATCAGAGTAAGAGACGTTGCTGTTTTGAGAGGTTCACATGCTAAGCTAGCTCAGTTTGTCTTGGTCGCAATGCAGCTCTCGATCAAAAGTACCTCGAAATCCTCCAGACGCATGATGAGCAATTACAGAAGCAGCTCAGCCCGAGGAAACTCGACGCTATGTTCAAATCGATTGGCGCTCAAGTTGAGAGCTTAGATGCCAACTCTGAGTTATCACCCTCTGAAGCGCAAGCAAACAATCACCGGCCATTGCCGCCATCGTTGAAACGCATCGCTGCTCTGCTCACGTCAGCTGCCCCTTGGTATGTCGGCTCTCAAAAAAACACGAAACTCAAGCTGACCTCGGGAAGGCTGCATGCAAAGGCTAGAATCCATGCATTCCACTTACTATGTCACACCTGCTTAGACGACCGTGTGTTACTCGACCCTGAAGCACTGAGACTTGTTCAAGACGCCATAGAAGCAGTCATTTGCCAGTACGCCAACAACCACAAGTTGACCTCTGGCGTAGGAAGCCCTCCACCGGACGATTTGCATTCTCTGATCACATCTCAGCTCACATATGTCATCCCGAAACTGCTTTCGCGCGTTACAAACCCGCTCTTGCAAGCAAACCTCGTACACGCGTTCCCAACGGAATCGCCATTGACAGCCTACCTACAACGGCATCTGGCTTTGTCATTCCTATTCCACCCTGCTCCGGTCGATGTACCCCTTGCAGATCCGCAGCTGCCCAGACTCATTCATACATACCTGGAATTGTCATTACATTGGCGCATGAGCAAGGACACCAACTACAGTTTTGTAGCAGCTCGCCTTGCGCTTCTCGATATTGCTATTGGACCTGGGCCGTTGACTGTCCCTTATCTACCGCTCATTAGCCCGCCACCTTCAGAAGCAGGCTCACCACCTCCCGTGGCACCGACGCCAGCATCTTCGGAGGTAAAAGAGTTCAACAGAGAGGTGGACGCACTCGCACAACATGTCAAGTTACTCGGCAACTCCATTGTCGAGACCGGTGCAGCCCTTGATCTCACGATCCTGGAGGCCAAAGAGCGTTGTGAGAGAGTGTTCTGGAGGCTGCAACATGCTGTGCGGATTGGCGGGAAGAAGGCAGACAACGTCTTTGGGGGTGGTGAGGACGAGAAGCAGCTCAAAGTAAAGAAGTTCTTCAGAGCACTCCCCGCTGAAAGACCGTATCTTTGACCAGGATGGTGCTGCTGAGCTACCAACGTAGAGCGTGGTACGTTGACCGGTCAAGAGGTCGTTGCAAGCTATGCGCAGCTATTAAGTGTGTTGATATACCCACTACGATGAACATGTCTTGAGCCCAGCGTGCTGTAACCTTCATCTGAGAACCAGAAATAAGGGCTCATCTCCCAGACATCTACCTTTGCCCACACGTCAAGCAGTTCTCAACCCCAAAACGCTGAGTCTTGCATCCTCGTACGTGAAACCTCAGGAGCTACCGTGATACCGCGAGTATGCGTTGTATGCGCCCTTCAGGGGGATCTACATACACCTCACGCCGCGGCATTCGCAGTCCGAACGTGCAGCACAACAGCAGCCTTGAAATCCTTCGCTCGGTACCCACCGCAACCAAAGGGCACCTCGCAATCTCACAATCTCACCATCTTACAAACCCCACATCAGGTGCTTTATCTGTGCCGCAGCGCCAAGCCAGTCTAGAAGAGGAAGTGCGTGATACTCTGCTTCCACCTGCATTGGGCAAATATTTAGGCTGCTTAAGCGAGGTTTGACAGTCTGTGAGAACGCGGAATTTCAATGGGTGGCAGCTGTCGAAGGGCTGGGAGCTGCATTGGCGCAAGGTGCTTTAAGATGCGGTGAGCATGGCGAGCAGACACGATGTTTTTCGACCAGGCCGAGGCGTGAGAGAGTGGATGGTACTTGGACTCCGCGGTGCTTGCTCGTGCTCGTGCTCGTGCTCGTCATTGCTGTGGTGTTTGCGATGCTGATGGCCAAGTTCCCAGCCCATGGAATACATATGACTCGCGCGCACACAGCACAGCCGGAAAACTCTCAACGCAAGACCCCACCGAAATATCCGTTGTTATGCCTGACTCGGCAGCCTCGCGCAGCGGACTTCACTTTGGTCCGAGGTGCCTGGCGCTGGGACCTTTCCCTGAGCTATGGCATCTGGCGCGCGCTGGGTCTCCCGTGGAACGATGCAGGTGTTGGAAGTCTGGACGCTGGAACTGGGACAGGGGTGAGAGGCAGGGTGGAGACCGGAAGCTTTCTTGGCCGGATGAGGAATCGTTTCAGTGTTGTGCCGGGTGCCGAGGGGACGGTCGTGGACGGCGAACGAGAGGTGTAGGCAGATGCAAGGTAAGTTGTGGCTGCAAGCAAGTGGTGGTGACAGCTGTCGCGGTTGCTTGGGATGCTTGGTGCTGTGCAGAGGGCATTTGATGGCTGTGACAGTTTGAGGTTTATGAACACAAGTTGCTTTGGGCGGTAAATCATGTTGCGTGCTCAATTGACGCGTGTTGATGGATTTGAATGTACTGTAGCTGTCTGTCTGATTTGATGGTCTATGAAAATGTTATATGCATGTGAAATGTAGATTGAAAGAGAGGTGGATCATCAGCACCGCTGAGTCCTGTCATTACTGCATCACCCCATACCAAAACATGAGGGAAAGAAAGAGACGTTCAGAATTGGGTATATGTCGATCAGCCTTTCGTCCCATCTCCTCCAAAACCCACAAACCTCACCTCCACTTACTACCATTCTTCTTTACTGTACCCAGTGCCCCCTCTTACGGTCTCTACAAGCCTCCAACGCCGTTCTTCTCATCGATGTGCCTGTAGCGCTCCTGCTCCATCCTGTACTTGAGAACCATGGCGACGCAGAGGACCAGAATGAAGTCGATACCGACGATACCAAAGGCGGCGGTGAAGATTTGGTCGAGGTATCTGTTGGTGAATGAAGAAAAGGGCCCAATGCATCCACCCTTCTGAGCTGCAACGAGAGCGTTGGTGCAAGTGGAGTCCTGGACAAAAGGAGGTGTAGTAGCGTTGACATATCCACAACAGTCGAACTGAACCACATTAGCATTCATGCTCAAGGCTTCTATAGCACCATCAAGCCTACCTTCTGCTGCAATAGAGACTGGATCTGCGGTGTCTCACGTCCCCAAAGTACGCTCAAGTTCTGGCGTGTCTGCAGCGTTTCCACCCAGATGGCAACACCCAAGCTAAGTGTGAAGGTTGCGCAGATGACCACGAGCCATCCTTGGGCGCGGAGCCAGCCTCGATTTGTGGGAAGAAAGAGTGCTGGTAGTGAGAGCAGGAATGTGGCGAAGACGAAGATGGCATTGACAACACCGGCTGTCAACGGGCACTGGCCGAGCAGTAGGTTTTGGGTGACGTTGTCTACGGTCTGTGTTTCCCGCATTGCTGCCTCCGACATCAACGAAAAGCCCAACAGTAGTCCTCCACATCCAGCGAAGAGGAAGTCGAATCCAAGGAAGGCCAGCATCAACTTGTTCGGCATGATGGCGGTTTACGAATGATTTTACTGCGTCCTGCGGCTCGGTATAGTATGATAAACTGGGTTAAAGAATGTAAGTCGAGTGCAGCGGAGCCGTCCGGCGTGCTCTCGATGAACTACGACAAGTGCAATTATTAGGTATAGTGAAGAAACGAAGAGAAGAGGAAACGGCAGCAACAGCGGGAAAACAGAAAATGCATGGCATTGCGCAGACGGGCAGCTCGAGCATTAAGAGGCTCTGCTGGGCGCGTCACAATCGGAGAAAGACGAGGCGTGCGTGGTTTCAGTGCTGTTCGAGCATGTCCGCTGGCGAATCACCACCACGGAAGTCCATGGTGGTTCGATGTTTGGCGCTGAGACTGTCCGCGACGTTGCGCCTCACACGATCACGAGGGACGAACCATCAGATATGCCTTCAGATAGCAATGAAGATATTGTTACAGCAGCAGTGCAGGTCAATGTCACGAGCGACGTTTGGTGTTGAGCACCGAGATGCAGACCGGTGCGGTGAGGTGTTGGTGGCGCCTGCAGCGAGGGGGAACGCTCGACCCCCAAGGCGATGCCGACTTTGGCAGGAGCATTGCAGGATCGAGGCTAGTGCCGCTGAGGTCAGCAGCTAGCAGGCAATTGGTAGACCAAGTGGGTCGCCTTTGGGCACGCAGACGGTGATTTGTGGGAAAACGCTTGGACTCGAAGCAGAAAGGCGCCTTTCGTGATGAGGGAAGTGCCCGCTGCTGCTCTTCTCAAAGCGTACTGACAGCTTGAAGGTCGTCTCAAGGGCACGATATGGGTGTCTAAAGGCTCGTAGCAGCGCGCTCTACCAACGTAGACCCAAGGAACATGATAGATAGCACCAATCTGTCGCTGCCACCTTCCCATTTCACCCCAAGCGCGCGATCTGCGATTCAGCGTTGACCAGGGTGCACGCTCAAGCGGTCTCCCGCCCCCCGTCGTCTGCAACCACGGCAGGCGTCCGGTCTGGCACTGGCACCAAAGCAGCTGCTATACTTTCCCCTCCACTGCCCGTTTCACTCTTTCCCCAATCTCTCTTGCTCTTTCCCTCTCTGAGACAGCTCTCTCGCACCTGCACCACCCAGCGTGTGCCCTGCGTCGCGCTGCCTATCGCTGCCTTTCCTGCCAGATACCCGCGGCCAAGCTCCGACAAGCTCTCAGGGTCTCTGTTAAACCGTTTCCGGCCTGCTGCTCCACTGCAAAGGCTGTTTTCTCGTCTCTTGGTACGTACTGCGCTCTTGTTGTTGTTCGCGGCCTGCGCGCTTTTGTCGCACCCCAGCCATTCCCCCCGGCCCGCCGAGCACTCGCTAGCCTGCCAGTCACGGGCAGTGAGTGGCCTGCGCGCCCGAGCAGGTGCGGTCCTCTGTCCGCCGGCAGCGCCGTGCAACCAAGCTCTTGCCCTCTCCTTGCATTCCTTGCTCGCCGCAACCAAAGGGTTCAGCACCCGCTTCTTAACTTGTCTCGTTCTGTCCCCAAGCGCGCCTGCTTTTCCCCGTTCATCGACCCGGGCCTAATCCGACTCCAGACAGCTGCACTCGTCTCGTCTATCCTGTTACGCGCAGCTCTCTCCGCCAAACAGACGCCGAGGGTCTCCCCACACAAACACCCGGCCAAACGCAGTTAGGACCGCCAACGCCAAACACCTGCAACCAACGACAGCGCGCGCAACACCATGGCCTCTGAGATCACCGAGCACGACCAGAACGCGTCGCCCTCGCTCCACGACGACGGCAACGGCGCCCTCAATGCCGGCGATGCCAACCGCGGCACCAAGCGCCCGCGCCCTGCGGCGGACGACGACGACGACGACGATGACAAGCCCGGCCGCGAGCGCAGGAAGATCGAGATCAAGTTCATTCAGGACAAGTCGCGTCGCCACATCACCTTCTCGAAGCGCAAGGCCGGCATCATGAAGAAGGTACGTGACTGACCGTGACTGTGATTGCGCGCTGCCGCCTGCGAGAGGAGCACGCGTTTCCGTCGCATTACACATCAGCTAACGCCCTGCACCAGGCCTACGAACTGTCCGTCCTCACCGGCACCCAGGTGCTGCTGCTCGTTGTCTCGGAGACTGGTCTCGTCTACACCTTCACGACGCCGAAGCTGCAGCCTCTTGTAACCAAGCCCGAGGGCAAGAACCTCATCCAGGTACGCTGCACCGTCCATGCACTCGTCGCATTGCATCACTAACGTCCCACAGGCCTGCCTGAACGCACCTGAGCCCTCCAGCGGCGATGCGAACGGCGTTGAGGACAACCAGGTCGACTCACCCGAGGACAACCACGCGCAAATGCCACCTGGCCAGCCCCGCGGCGTGCCCAACAACAACGCCATTCCCCAGGCTTACATGACACCAGAAGCTGCTCTGCAGTACCAGAACTACCTCCAGGGCCACCAGCAATCACAGCAGTACCCCATGGCCCAGCATGGCATGCCTCGCCATCCCAGCCAGCACTATCCCCAGGATCAGAAGCTCGGCTAAACACATCACTTTGCGGGCCTCTGCCAGATTTGGTGGCTGGCCACGATTCGGGCGTCGTGCACACTGCCCAGGACGGATACCCCTTATAATGGCCAAAAAGTAATTGAGCAGCTTCGCTCACGAGCAATGCTCTGGTGTACGGTACGCAATGGCGCTTGTTTGCGAATGTGCTTGACAGAGGGGACGATATGCATGTGGAAACGCTATGTTGGGAGCCAGGCGGCTGCAGTTCTGATCAGACGATTGTACGTCTTAACGTGGATACCGGCGTGGTGTGGTGTTTTCTTTCATCTCTCTTGCGGTCACTATGGACATCTATATCATCTCCTGTGTGTCATTTACGAGGTACTGTGTATTTCGATTCCCCCTCAATGCTGGAAGCATCGGCACAATACGATAATTCACTTCAAAATGACTACCTTGTGTCTGCGACTCCATGTGGCCTAGCAGCTCTGGGCGTATTTCCCTGTTCTAGCAAATCACCATTTTTGGACACCGGGTCACGAACCTTACACTTTGCAAGTCATGCGCAATGCGTTCTTTCCCAAAATGCGCTGCTGCATCGCATTATTGCGGGGTCAAAGGGAAAGGTAGCCGAGTCTACTACTGCAACCAGGACCAGACAATGCGTTGCTTCACTTTCCACCGCATCACCAAGACCCCCACAATGTCGCTCCCAATCCACTCTCTGACGCCTCCAGTACCCTGGCACAGCCTCTTTGCCCAACCGTGGCGGTTTTGCAATTCCCTCCAATCCTTGTGATTCTCGAGGACTCGATATACTTCGGAAAAGCAAGATGCGGCTTGCCGTGCACGGCAACTCGTCGTTACAGTGCAACACGGTGCTCCGTTTAGCATAGCCTCGATTCCCAAATACCGATGTCACGCAGTCACACATCAATGCTATGAGCCGCGTTGTGGTCACGATGGCGTAGGCTACCGCGGACTCGAAGCTTTGGAAGCAACGTAGAAGGTGCAGCGTTACAGTCGGCGTTGGTGGAGTGCAGCAAAAGAAGGACTTGTGGCTCGGCAAATTGAAGCGTTGAGGCATACAAATGGTATGGCGCTCCGTGATTCTGATGACTCTCATTTGTCATTGCGAACTCAAATCTGCCAGAATCAGCCTTCCTACATACACTCTGCTAGCATTCCTCAGCATCCTCACATCCTGAACGGACATCAAAGTTGTGTTATCAACGTTTAGGCAGACGTGATTGTTCCAAGTCAACTAGGGAAAGAGGACTCGAATGGATCTCATCTGGCGGGAACACAGCATCATGTTGTGAAACGGGACTTCATCACACGGCCGGTGTCACACGCATGCACCGACAAATTGAGATTGCAGGACCTCTGGAGTCTGGTGATCTTGGCCTGGCCGAGATACCACAACGATTCGACCCCTGAAGGTCGTCTATGCAATGAGATATGTCAGTCGATGCGACTACCGTCTACAACGACAGAGCTTGGTCGTCTCGTGTATCAGCACCGACTGATACTTTCGACAAATTTGCACATTTCGTAATCGAGAAGATTTTCAGTAGAGCCTTCTGGACACTCGCAGATTCACGGTAGCTTTCACCGTACGCGCATATTGACGCACTCGTATTTTCACTCTCATCGTAGCAGCTTTCACTCGATGTCTTGTCACGGTGACTATACGGTCACTTCGACCTTGTTTCCTTATCAAGCCCAAATCTTTCCTCCCAGCCCTCTCAACCAGACAACATGTGCTATCTATAAGGGACAACTTTCAACTGCGGTCACACCCAAAAGATGCTCTTCATGGCATACAAGTTTGCTGAGCAATTTACTCCAGTAGCCGGCGTTAATGCAGAAGCATGTGAAGCTAGCGGCAAGCAGATCTGTGACTGCCTGCAACTCAAAGTGCTGAAGCCACTCATCGATCGTCAGACACTCGTCGAACATGAGTTTGGAGTGTACGCTGAGCATATCTGCAACATCAAGTCCTGTTTGGAGAACGGTAAGCGCCCTATGTACAACTTTCAGCAGATCGTGAAAGAGCAACAGAAGCGACAAGACAGTCTCTGGAACCGGCTTCTGCCCGACTCTGTGGACAGGCTAATCACCCTTTTCACAGATAGCTGTAACGAGATGACGGCAGCATACACACTCACAGTCAACGACATCCTGAAGAAGCACTTTCGCCGCTCATCACCCAGCTCCGAATTTCCAGCACTCAAGATGCGACTAGACCTTAATTGGAGGCTGGAGAACTTCAAGGACTTCATCGCTGAGAACCATGTCCAAGAGATCCAAATACTGTAACCTTTCGAACAGATGTTCTACAAGACACGCAGGGTACTCCAGCATGAGCTGTTAAAGCTCGAAGTTCAAGTATTAGAAGCGTGTATCGACGATGTTGCATGGGTCTTGACTGGGTGCGATGAGGACGCAGAGGATTGTTTGGAGTGCATGATGGTGAAGCGGCTTATCCAACCCACAGAGAACTCTGGCACAGCCATCCGAGAAGCGTTCGTCTTCCAAGGTCATTCACACCGGCCACCGGCAGAGATCATAAAGATGTTGGAAGAGGATTACTATGATATGATGGGTGACGAAGACTTCGACGATATGACGGATACGGACGACTGATTAGCAGATGGGTCAGCGACGAGCCAACCTTCGAGTGTAGGCATGAGCTATAAGACCTAGATTACTATTCTAGACCAAATGAATATATCGACTTACAGCTGCCATCATTATCAACGTCGTGTGACCATTTCTTTCTATCTAACCATTGCTTGCTCAATTTAAGGGGATAGCCAGGACTCGTAGCACCGTTTAGAGCGTCAGGAGTTACTACGCTCAAAGCGGCCTAGTTCGACCGACAGGGCAAGTATGTCATCATCGATCGCGCTTCTACCATGATTGGTGCAACTTCAAGTCTGTCGTGTTCAGCTGTCAAACATGAATTTACACACCACAGATACAGTGTCAATGTCACGATGCCGCCATGGTCAATGATCTCGCCTGCCTCGCGGGGCATTGGTTTCGCGCTCGCCAGAAGAGTACTGCAAACCACCAACGCGCCTGTTGTTGCGACGGCGCGTAAGGACCTCGACAAGACGGAAGAGGAACTGCTTGAGGGGTTAGATATTGATGAGACGCGATTGAGGGTTCTGAAACTTGATGTCACGGGTAAGTTCTCATGATCTTTCGTGAGCGGAAACCTGCAAACTGTTTTTGTTGCTCCAAAATCGTTTTAGATGAAGCTTATAACCATCATAGACGAGTTCACAATCGCAGAAGCAGCGGCCGCATGCAAAGAACAATTCAAGCCAGGCATTCATCAGCTTCAACTCGCCTTCTTTGTGCCGGGTTTGCTCTTCCCCGAGAAGTCGCCAGCTCAGATCGATGCCAAAGATGCGTTGTTGACCTTTCAAACCAACACATTGGGGCCAATGCTTATGATCAAGCACTTTTCATCATTCTTGCCTAAGAAAACCGCATCTCCGGAAGAGGTTGAGGAGATAATGAAGGGACTTCCGTCCGCTGCAAGCATGGCAATCATGTCTGCACGTGTGGGTAGCATATCTGATAACAAGCTGGGAGGCTGGTACAGTTATCGCGCATCGAAAGCTGGTGTCAACCAGGTGGTGAAGACATTCGACAATCACCTACGGACAGCATCGGGGGACAAAGCACTAGCAGTAGCGTTGCACCCGGGCACAGTCAAGACTGAGTTCAGCAAAGAGTTCTGGGGCGGTGTGAAGAAGGACAAGCTCTTTGAGAAGGAATGGGTGGCGGAGCAGCTTGTCGATGTGGTCAGGCAGGTAGGAATCGACGGACGAGGCAAGTGCTGGGACTGGGATGGCAAGGAAGTGCCGCCTTGATGGTCTTGCAGGTGCAGTCACGTGCGAGGACCGTCCTTCCACTCTGGAGGCCCTCACAGATTTCACACTTCCCCAATACGTTACTTTCACGTTTCAACAGCTCTCACTTCCCAACATTCTTTGCACTATCATTTCACCCATTCATTACAATGGTCGACGAGACGCCTGGAAACAACCAGCCGTCAGATGGCGAACAGCAGAGGCGCGGCAAGGGCAAGCAACCAGCCCCACGCGAGCAATCATCTTCAGCAACGTCGAACATGGCTTATACAAATCACAATGGAGACAAAACACGCAAGCACCTATACTCTAGTCTTTGCAGCTCAACAGACACACTCGAGCCTCCGGAGTTTGAGTCCCTCGAACCCGAGTCTCCAGAACCGGAGCAAGAGCCTGAACGTTATACCAGAATGACAGGGTGGTCTGAAGACACCGAGGATGCAATCGGCTCAAGCCATCGTAGCTCATCTCCGGGGCGGCGGCCTTGGGATCGTCTGGGAGCTGATGGCAGTCCACTTCAATGCTTGGCTAGTGGTACACGTCAGATTGGTGAGAGACATCATACTCCCGAGCCCAACTAGCCCAGCCCTGATCTCGAATCTGTCACCCGATCCGACCCTTCCACGTCTGCTACCGATGTCGCTTCAAGGCCAACACGACGATTACCCAGCACTCATTCAGAGTATATAGGACAGCTCCCCTTCCTTAGCCGTTCAGAATCGACGCTGGTACAACGCAATAACGTTCCCGAAGTGAATCAGCAAACGCCCCAGGCAGAGGAGCAGTTGGAGCAGACAGAAGCTCAGGCAAAGATACAAGAGCGATCGAGGCAGCCAGAAGGGGCTGATGTTCCAGCCTCTTCAGAGAGACACGATGTTCCGGCGGCTCCTGGACTTTTACGTATGTATCTGCCTCCCAAGCTCGTGCAGATTGCTGATATATAATTGCAGGCGATAAGCGATGGTAGCTCTTTCCTCGTTACAAGTTCATGCCTCCGGAGCCGAATGTCGATAACGAAAAGGCGTGGAAATACTCCAAACCGGACCTAGAATGTCCCCCATTGGCGATATTTACGAACAGAAAGATTGTTGGGCACAAATCCAAGGCTGATTGGGAGAAATGGGTGGAGGCACCTAGATTTCGAAGAGATGTTCCGCGCCGACCTGACTACGCATCAGACCTGTCAACATCGAAGCCACGACTATTGTCTGTATCGGAGCAGCGACCCTTGATGAAGTCTGAAAAGTTCGTGTGGTACTGCAGGAGCTACAAGTTGATCAGATGCACGCCTCTCAATCCCATTTACGGGCTCCCGTGGCCGGAAGCATCAGCGAAAACCTCCGAGGACCCGTCTGATCCAATTGACTCGCCTGAACTTGGCGATCCGTCCACTCCAGCAGAAGCGCTCCAGCTTACATCCTCCCCAACTCTAAATGACTCCGCAGTAGATCATGCCAACGACCACGGCTCGGATGAGAGAGCTCGTAGCTCTTCCACACCAGATTGGCTTCAGCCTCGCTCACTAAACGATACTGAGGTAGACGCCATCGAAGTGGAGCCTGTAACTCTGGACAATGCAACTGTACTAACCTCGGATCGTACGAACGATCATGACTCGGCCAACAGCGACCATTCGAACGTATGCTAGCGGCAGTCCTCCGATGATGTTGAGGCCGAGGTCGATTCAAGTACGAGATCAGATGACGCAGACAGTTTATACAACTACCACCGCCACACTGAGAATCTTCAGAAGTTGGACACAAAGTCAAGCGTCTGGAGTCGTTACGGCCGCCCTCCACTGTCCAGGGATTCGGACTATCAAGGTGGCAATGAAGGTTGCAATCAGGGTGATGACTCCCTCAGTGTCGCATCTCACGGCGACTCCGATGCCTCGACAAGGGTCTTAAATGACAAGGGCAATGCTCCCGCGGACCCTAGGCTGCGCGAAAGGTATTATGCACGCAGATCTGCAGACAGAAAACCACAATCAACTCACGCCCAATTAGAGGCTGTTACAGATCTGAGAACCTCCACTCAAGCTGAGCAGCCCGAAGAGCCTCAGAGCAGATCAGACACACCGATAGGAACGGAGAGCGAAACAGACAGAGAATTCGAGGACTATTCACTCGAAGAATTGAAGCCCTCCCTGGCAGTAGAACATATGAGGCTTGTTCTTCTCAAGATGCATGCAGGAGGCTTTTACAAACACAGAATGGGAACGAAAGCTTTCAACGATCTTCTGGAGGAGACAGCGGTGAAAGTGTTCGGTCCAGTATCGCAGCCATGTTACATCGCACACGAACGAGACAGACCTTCACCTCAGCAACCCCATCAAACAATTGACAGCTCACGGAACAGTAAAACTCAGAATTGTAGATCACAGTCGACGGAGGAGCATCGTCGAAATCTTGCCACAGATTCCCTGGATGCCTCCGGGCTTTACTTGGACACAGAGTACGATGCGTTCATTGGGCAGCGTGGAGGTATTCCGGTGACTTATCCTGCAGCGGAGCTATCACACCAACGTCCAGACAGTCGACCACAGGATATGGCTGCTACGGCTTCGTCGCCTGATATCGGAGAGCAGACTAGTCTGGGGTCGTCATCGTGGAGGCAGACAACACACCGTAGGGGAAAACAAACAGGCGCGTGGAAACTCAGAGGAACCGATCAATGTGATGGGAGTTGACGCGATGTTCTACATGCCGGGGTTAGATGGTAGGCAACCATCTACTTGTGGCGGTGGCGAAAACACAGGGCAGGACGGTGCTACTACTGGATGCCGGCTGACGTAGAGCCATTCAAAGATGGCTTCTGTATAGAGCAGGTATTTATAGACTGCAAGACCAATGAAAAGGATCAAAATCTTCGGTCAAGAAGCATTGCAGTCTCTGAATGCCAAGGAACGGTTTTAAGAGCCTTTGCAAATTTTGTTGAAGCTGCCTGTGATGTTCTGAGATTGGAGTGTTGGTAGAGTAGCTTTCAAAAGGGACGATACACTGACTACCCAGCGTCCCGTCGCTAAGATCACAGTATTCCAAAGCTGAAGAGCAGCATCGTTTTTTGGATCAGCGCGATGCTAAAGTGCTTGCCAAAAACAGCAGTGTCATACCCCCAACTAGTTGTGAACACTGTCGTCCTCTCTGAACTTCGGTTGCCTAGGAAACTGCTTCGAGAAATCCATCTCCATCGGGCTACGCACACTGGGCAGCTCATGCACTGGCAGTAGCAGGACTTGTTCCTTACGGTCACCCAGCTCGCTCAGACCGCGTACATGCGAAGTGTGAGTGAGACGATCCGGACTCGTCCAACTACCTTGCCAAGATGGCTGTGGGGAGGTATTCGGTGTGCCAATGTAGTGCGACATATCTGGTGATCGTCCTAGTGTAAAGCGGGAGAGTAAGGTTGACGAGTAGCTGCGTACAAGTGCTCCAGGGAGCTCGATGTGTGGACTTGGTCGGGCGATATGGTAGCAGGTTTTAATGGGTGTCATCTCTTCCGTCTTCGGCGTACGAAGAACAGACAGACTCCGATTGCGATGACGAATACTACGCCTCCTACGGCTCCTCCGAATGCGAGTCCGATGATGGAATCTTCATTCGTACTGGAAGATTTCGGACCAGTTGATGTAGGGATTGGTCGAGTTGGCGCTCTTGAGGCAGGCGTATGTTTCCTCCCGAAGACGATACCCAAGTCCCCTGTGTCCCAGCCTTCTTTTGGAGCAGCGACTGTTGAACCGCCGGATGAGTTGCCACCAATGGTCTTGGTGACCTCCGGTGGCAGACTGTAGGTTGCCAGGCTGGCGTTGAACGCGGCACACTTCAGGCCCAAGTCGAGCGCGTGTTGTTAGCCCGTGTTATCCGTATATCGCAGGAACGTCGCAGTCGGTGCTGTTGGTGAGGTGACCACCCATGATGATCATCTGCGAATTTTCGTAAACATCGCAGGTCAGCGAGTGGTGTGGGATTGTCTCTGCGTCATCGTCTGATGTCGGGAAGAACTTGATCCAAGTGAATGAGGGTAGGCTCAAAATCCAAACATCGCCGTAACCAATACCATGATCAACAGAAGCGCCACCACAAAAGCGTCTTCGACTCCCCGGTAGCTCTGCACCGCTCGTCGTCTGCTTATACCATCTGGCGTTCGTGATGTGGTATACGAAAATGTCTGACATGGGAAGCGACTCTTGTGTCCCGTTGATCACCTGAATACCACCGAAGTATACAATGGTTGCTGAAATGTAGAGACCTCCCTGAACTTGGCTCACTACTGCGACAGATTTACGTTATGTAAGAATGAAGGCTTCTAATTGGCTGTTTCTATCTTAGTTGACAGAATTGACAGTCTGGTATATGTCCTGCAGGGCAACAACGTGGTGAACGGCCACTCACAAGGCTGTCTGCCTTCATGAACCACGGTACGTACCTACTGTACGCATCACTGTACCAAGGTCAGGGGGTCTGCACATTTTTTTGCAAGCACCGATATGAGGAGTCCAGCATCGCCCGTCGGTATGTACAGTATAACGCCCTCCGCGCGACTGATCTGATCAAACCCCGATTGGGTACTGAACTTATGGTTGAGCATGTTGTAGCCTCCTCGTCGGACCTGGAGGCATTCGTTAGCCAACCACCATAATGATAGCCCGGGGCTTTATCAGAAGCCGTTGTGCCAGCGCCTGTGATGGTCAGTGACAGCCCTTTCAAAAGCTTGGCCGGAACTCACCCCATGCAGCTGGACTAATAGCTGTGATGCCATTCGCAACGGAAGCATTCCAAGTGTTGTAAAGTATGTCATAGTACCATAGCATCTCATCTGGTGTATCACTATCTTCTTATTCCCCACCATATGCATAGATGATCTTGTTGGCAGTGTCGGGCTACAGAATGCCTCCACTAGCTGAGGGTATGGTGTCATTCCTCGCGAGCATGGTACGTTTCGGGAAGCCTAGGCGCGATGTGTCGAAGTCGCCCACTCTGAGCCAGGTGTTTAATCGCAGAAAGTCAGGCCGATCTAACTCTACAATTGGAAAGACACTTATTCGTCTCGTTGGCGGGATTCACAGTCGATGGCGCCCAGTTGACAAAGCCTCCATTGATGTAGAGCTTTCGATCTACCACTGCCGTTTGATAGCTGTGTAGCCGGCAGAAGTTGTCTAGACGGTCTAGAGCAATTGTGAGACCGACAGTTGTGAGGAACAGCAACTAGTAAAGAGACATTGTGGCAGCTGGCTAGTTGATGCGGCGTACGGCGAAGGTAGAACCTACTCGGTGGACATGGAGGGATGATCAGCAGCAACAGCGGCTCATCTACCGCTGATGACTGCATGCCACGACTCACCTGCATGGTGCAGACGTTGTCTTTGCATCCTATCTAAATTTGTCTTTGTCTGTTGTTGTTTGTTGTTGCAGGATATGACAAGCGGGTGTACCTGTGCGTTGCCTGTGCATTGCGGCGCGGTGCTCATCATGGTCTTTGTTCGGTTCTCGAAGCGGTACGCCTGCAGAACAGTAGCACACTACAGCAGGCAGCGAAACGGGAGGGGAGCAGCTTGATCACAAAAAGTCTTATCTTTCTGGGAACACTGCGCAGTGCTGAAGACAAGCTCAGTGTGCGACTGTCATGGCTTGTGGCTGAGATACCAAGGAGCGATATGAGGAGCGGGTATACAGTGACGAGATCCACGCAGACAAGGACGCCGATGAATGGTCTCTTCGTGCTTGCAAGACCCTTGCAATAGCACGTATTCGTAAGTTTGGTGTAGGAGTGATGCAAGACGCAGCAGCTTCCGCAAGCGGTGGTTCTCAGGGTTGGGTACGCTAGCCGGAACCAATGACCGAACACAACTTAGCTGTGTATGAAAGGATTAAGGTGAACTACACCATAGCTGCTATTGGCGACTGCTTCACAATCTCCTATCCTGAGTGCGAACGATGGTCTCTGAGACTGTCTGGTCATCTGAGAACGGCATTTCCCTCGACATCATTTCCGCACTGCTTGACCGACACGCGGTTTTCTGACACTTGCATGATATCAAGGCGATGAATCCTTAAATTTAAGGCCTTGGATGTATGTTTAAGGTACCGTCCCAATATGGGTTTCGGATGCCTTACCCAGAATGATCTTGACCCCTCCTTACGAGCCTTGAAGTCATCTGACAATCTACATCCCATCTCATGTCATACACCTTGCCCAACCCACCAAACGCCAAGACATATACCACAAGGTCCAGGATACTACCACGTTTCAATAGTCCCTGCCGCTGACTCAACCGAAAAGCCCGAGCGTTTCCTTCCAGAAGACGCTCACCTCGCACCTTCCTAGCAAGCAAATTTTACTTCCCCATCCTGATCCAGGTTATCCTCCGACGAGATCCAGGACACCCAGGAATGCGTTCAGAAAGACGTCTTGAGATCACGAGGTGGGTTTTCGGCACTGAGTCGAATGCAGACCCACTCCACACGTGGCAGCGGTCGGTGCCTTACTCAGACGGCCGCCACCAAATTTACTCTCCCCGCATACGAGCGTACGACGACTTCATGTCGTGATATCCCTACTCTCATCGATATGAACCAACGCAGAATGAATCCGGCACCAACTGCTCTTCGCATGCTCACGTCCGCCCCCTACGTCCCACGTCACCAACCCAGCTCACCTGCTCACTCAGCAGCTCCACTCGCAATCTTGGTACACTAAAATCCCTAACACTTGGTCTGCCTAGCTCATATCAGCCGGCACCAAATCCCTACGCAATCTTCGGTTCAACATCTTCCCATTTTCACACCGCCCAGGGGTACTTCCGCGGCACTCGCGGCGCGCCCAATGTGCTGACTAGCCTGTCCTCGAACCATGGTTGCGAGTTACCGCTCTGGTGTATGGTGGGTTTTGACTGGGTCTGCTTGCGCAGGTGAGTGGAGGGCGACGCGGGAAGCGGCTGTAAAGCGGCGAGGCACGTGAGGACGTGTACCATAGTACACATGTTTTAGCTGAGAATTAGATAGGTTTAAGGGGGGAAGATAACACCTAGACACGGGGTGCTGAATCGCCGTGGCGGTGCTGATGTTGCTCTGGATCGATGCATCTTGATGAGCAAGGGAGCAGATTTCGGTAGTTCCGTTTGTAGTGCTGCGGGAGGGAGTGGGAGGGAGGCCCACGGTGTTGGGTTTCGAGAATGCGGCCTTCTTTGCGGCCACGACGGGGCGCTGGAATGCACGGACAAAGACGTAACGCCTTGCTTGTTGGAATCTGCGATGTAGTCGTTCAAACTTCTCGCTTTCGGCTGCTGTTGAAGGCTATTGATAGGTGTCAGCCACTACACCGCAGCCAACAGCAATAGCCGTGAAGTCAGCTGTGATCCAGACACTCGTGACATCCCACTTGCTCGATCACAGTGTCTTACATCCAACAGCCACAACGGTGTATTCCGCCGCACCCAATGACTCCTGTTCGGCACCTCGCAAACGCAACTGGAAGAACAGTTCCTGCATACAGTAGTTCAAGTTGGCCTGAACCAAGCAAGTTGCCCGAATTTTGCCAATAGACAACAGTAAGTTTCGGTACCCTAAGACCAAGGTCCGAAGCGCGCCGAGTTTGCAAGCTCGGGTCCCTGACGCCGTCCAAATGCCCTTTTTACGTTGCGCACCGGTCCGTGACCTCGCAGAGACGGACCGTGAGTTCGCAGAACCGATAACAGACCGGTTCAGATTATAGTCCAAGTCTGGTTGAGCGGAAAATGGTTGAGCAGGTTGCTTGCAGCTGTACGTGCGTGTGCCGTGCGTCAGCGTGACAGACTGACAAATGGCAAGTGGCAGACCCTGGAATGAGGAGAACCGTGGTTGACGTCTTCGATGTTCAGGAGAGATGCGGTGATGTTGCCGAAGAGGGGAGGATGTCGCACCGGATGAAGCTCGAATGTGTATTAATCCTTCAATTTAGATAGATCGAGATCCAGTAACTAGTATACGCTGTTCGCTTTGTGAATTTCAGATTGCCGCCCAAGCCAGTGTACCCAAAGAGAAAAGAGATCTCAGCCGAAAGGGCCGAGTCGCGGTAGGGACAGGAGAGAAACGAAGAAGCCACACCATTTTGTCAAATCGAAATCCAGACAAACTAAGAGAGTATATGGCGCAAATGAAACACGAACAACCACGACGTCCAGCAGGATGCAACGAAGCACAATGCTGGCTCCGACCCCGCGCGTGCAATGATGCTTGTGGAAGTAGTCAGAGCACCTCCTGTATGCAGCCCCAGATCTAGTAGCGAGAATGTGCAGATATCCACCCAGTTTCGAGGAAAACGTAAGAAAAGTGAATCGAGCGCTCGCTGCCAACGTATGAAATCACCTCCTTTCTAAGGTGGTAAAACAGTTGAGACATCCTCCAGTAGGAACATGTTTTGCGGTAACCGAAAGCTCGGCACAGGAAACGGTATCCGGCAGAGACAAGTTCGAGACGAGTATTAGAAAATCGATTGATGCTCTTTGACGCTGTGAGATTCAAAAAACCGCCCAAAAGTAGAAGCTATTGCCAGCCTGGACGCCTTGCGAAGGACAGGCGGTGCAATGGCGACGAAATCAAGGTTGTACAAGAAAACAAAGCGACGACAGACGAGTAGTGGTGTGTATAGCTCTGCTTGTGGTTCGTTGCACCATGTGTGCTCCTTTCGAGAGCCAGCTCAGGAGCCCCTCTTCTAATGCCGAAGAGAGATTTACATGGGGCGGCGGTTGAGCATGTTGAGCATATCCGAGTCGGTCGAGCTGCGTCCGTTTCCGTTGTCGCTCACAAGATCGTTGATACGCATGCCAGGTCTGCTGGCAGGCTGGGAGGTAGGTGGCGGTGGAGTCCTGCCATCGCTGCGGGGAAGGTTTGGCTGCAGAGCACCGTTCTGCTGGGGAGGGTAGTAGGGAGCAGATGCGGACCCAGGCGTGGTGGGCGCTTGCGAGTGTGGGGAGGAGGAGGTGCGGCTCGGGTCGTAGCGGTAGGCGCTCTGCGGGGAGGCCTGGCGAGGCGGCTGTGCGGTGTAGTATGGCTGGGTAGCTGAAGGGGCAGTCGAGTAGGGTGCCGAAGGAGTGGCTGTGCGAGGCGCTTGGGTTAGAGACGGTGGCTCTGGATACGCATAGTCTTGACCAGATGCTCGATGAGAGCCCTGTGACGCTGAGCCAGGAGCTGGCGGTGGCAGGGTGGGAGTGTGAGGCTCCGGGTGGGGCCTCTTCCTGCCAGTCAGGTCGTCACGGCTGCCCTCATCTGAGTGAGCACTGGGCGGACCATAGGAATACGGACCTGCGGTAGGGCTGGGTAGATAACCCTGCTGCTGCTGCCCTTGGCGAGGCGGCTGGCCGTAGGCCTCTGCGTGGTTTGCAGGAGGGAGGGGCTGCCCGTAGGCGCCATACATAGGCGGGGGAGCGCCAACACCGCGCCAGACGGTGTGTGCTGGGACGAAAGCCTGCGTCTGAGCCGAGACAGGCGTGAAAATGCAGTCCTGGTTGAATCTCAGGCAGTTGGAGCAGCGGCCGTCCTCGGTGGCCTCGAAGCCAGAGCAGCGAATCTGTAGGAGGTGAGCAAGACACACTGGGCGCGGTCGTCAATTCAACTTACCTTGCGGCGTCTGCAGTAGCGACAGGCAATGGCGGTGCGCTGGCGGGGTGCTGGCGGCTGGTGGTGCTGCTGAACATACTGCGGTGGAGGAGGAGGGCCCTGCTGGCGGTACGGATCTTGCGGCGGCGGGGCGCGCGTCCACTCGTTGGGGCCAGGAAGACGATACTGCTGCTGGTACTGCGGGTGCTGGTGGGCAGCCATATCAGGGCGCGGCTCTTGGGGAGGAGGAGGGAGGGTGGTGTTCATCTGCATCGAGCAGGTCAGTGGGCGGTCAGACAGCTTATGGCAGGAGCGACGTTGGACAGGAAGGTACGAGGGGCGTTGCACACTTGCTGACAGGCGATGACAGCGAGCGCGCACGCGTGACTATGAGACTACGCTGCACTGCAGTACTTACATGCGAGGGCGGCGGCGGATAGCTGCCGTTCGCAGGCTGCTGCGAGGCAGGCGGCTGCCAGTGAGAGGGCATCTGGCCCTGGCCGCCCTGGTGAGGGTACATAGCGGCGTCTGGAGTGGTTGAAGGGTGCGTGGAAGCGTGGTTGACGGGTGTCGAGTGCGTGGAAAATGCCGCCCTACAACGTGGTGCGGTCACGCCGTCATGAACCAGTGGAACACAGCTCAACGTGTGCGCGCAGCCTCCGTCGCAGCAGAGAGCGTGGTGTGGTGGTGCGGGAGATCCTCTGGGGCGGGAGAGGTGTCACAAATACTGGCGGCCCGCAAGGACGGCTGCAGGTCAGAAGAGGGCAGTGCAAACGGCGTCAAGGGAGCCAAGCAGAACAGGCGTTGGCGGGGAGGGTGTGGAGGCAGCGCAGAGGGAGGGTAGGAGGCAGCTGTGTGGGTGGCAGTGGTAGGGCAGGCAACCGGTGAAGAGCAGAGTGAAGGGAAGGCTTCTCGAAGCGCGCGTGGAGGATCCCAAGAGCGTGGAAACGAGAAAGGAGATTCAGGTCTTTCGCGGGATGGTGGCCGCTATTACTACCCACCGCGCCGCCCGAACTCCCAAACCTTCTCGCCGTTCTGACTGGGATGGCGTTTTGATCCCTGCACTGCGGCCATGCAGCGAACGAGTGCATCGGGTCGAGCCAGTCCGCCATCTAGCGCGGCTGACAGTCGCACTGCGCGCGCCCCAGCACACACCAGCACCCACCAAGCAGCCCTCGCCGCACCCGCACATGCAGCCCGTGTCGCGCTGCGCTGTGGGTGGACGGTCGGCGCGGCTGGTGTGCACCAGACGCCGCGACTCAACTCTAATGCCAGCGCGAGCCGCCCACCTACAGTAGCAGTGCACGCTGGTTGCATCAGTGCATGCTCCATCGTCGCCAGCCACCGCATTATATGGTCCACTAAGGCAAGGTGCGCCCCCTTTCGGCCTGCAAGCTGGGGCGGGTGGCCTGGCATGCTGGGGTCTCTGCATGGCGTTGCTGGCGGCCCGGGTCCGGTCAGGTTGTTCATCAAAGCCAGCCTGCCAAGATTCGGGATGGCCCGTCAACGTGCGATCTGCTTCCTTTAATTAAAAATACACGTCCGCCGCAACACACCATACACGCCAGCACCGCTAGACTCACCATCGCCGTACGCTCGCGTTCGCGCCTGCACGGCGTCTCTCAATGCACGCTGCGGCTTGCTGCTTTTGCCGTGCCACAGCACGTTGCAGCACTCCACCGCAGCGTCGCCGTCATGGTCATGTTCCCCTCGTTTGCAGCATGCAAGAACACCGCTAGGTACGTGGAAGGGCCCTCCTCGGAGCGATAAGGGCCTGCGATGTGCGCGACTCAATCCACGCGGGCCGTCTCCTGCTGCGCACTGTTTCGTTTGCACCACTTGCACCACGCTGCGACGACAGCTCACCATCATCGCCGTCACTGCACGAGCCTGTCGTCGTGCTGGTCGTGTTGCACTCCGTGTTGGCCCACCTGCACCACCGCCCATCCGAGGCCTGCTGCTCCGCCGGTGAGCTGCTGCACGCTCCCGCACATTCTCGATGGACATGCATCCTCGTGAACGCAGCGCGCAACATCCACTCAAACGTCGACCCACGTCCGCATCCTGAATCCTGTACACCCAGGGGGTGCCTGTCTGCTGTTGCCCGTCGCAATTTGAGATAGGGCTGGTTCCGCTCTTGCATCGATCTTTTGTCTGTTGATGGCCGCACCCGCAGCCCTGTCCTGGCTGTTGGTGTGCGACTGATGGACCAGTGACGTGCGCGCAGCCTCGCTAGTAGGGACAGCCTGACCATGTTCACGACTCGGCGACTTCAGGCAGTTTTCTGTCAGCGGCGCGCCGCCATCCCAAGTAGCGGAAGGCAACGTCTTGTGGAACTGCCGTTCATCCTTCACCTCGTAAATTCGAACGTAATAAAGCCGACGCTGGCCCGCTGAGTGATTGTGATGAACTTGTGTTTGGTCCTCAGCTCTCATTGCCTCGCGTAAGACGAGCATGGCACGCGGCGAACCCACATGAACCACCAAATCATCTTGCAAAATCTGTCAATCGCCATCTGGTAGATCCTTCATCCCTTGCGCCGGTGATGGCTCACGGACTGATATCCATGGAAACAGCCTCTTCGTGTCTGTGATTCGCCAGCTCCACTGCACCGCTCGAGCGCAGAAACGCGGCCAGTTTGTTTCTTACACTGGGGCTTTTAGTGCCGGGCTTCCCGCTGCTGAAGATGACGCAGTGGGTGGGAGGAGGCGGATGCACGCATCGCGGGACGAAAGAGAAGGGCGAAACACTCGTCGCTTGCCGCTGCCTCCTCCGCCTCGGCATCTTGCAGAGCGTTGTGACTGGCTGCGTGTTGGTGGAGTCGCAAAAGTCTAACGAGAAAGCTATCGTTCATCAGCCACAAGGTCTATCGATAAACGCCAAACGATTCTGTTCCCTTCGTGTTGGGCGAGCGAGGCAAGCCCTGCCGGCCCGCTGATGGACAATTCGGACGTTCCGATACCCAGGTCAATCAAATAAAGTCGTCCAATCAGTGCCTTTGATGCCCATATATTCACGTCGTTTTCCAACTTCCCAGCTGAGTGCCTTGCATGGAGCGGGTAAATCATCGCTTGCTATGCTTGAAAGAAAACCTTGCATGGTCAGAAGGTCACAGGACCGGTCCAAGCCTCGTCCTTCCAACACTTCTGCCCCTACTCGACCATCATCGTATCGGGCTGACTCGTTGCAGCCAATAGCGCATGACCATGTTGCTGTTGTAAGTTGATTGTCTGCCACACCACATCACATCCGAGGCTGTCACGAGCGCATGTTTGATGAGCGCAGATGCCGTGAGCGGTCTGAGGTCAGCCCAACGGCGACGCACATTCGAAGTGTGCGGTCACCTGCGTAGGTGCTCAATAGCAGCAGCCTTGCATTGAGCAAGTATCGAAGTGCCGTATACATGTACCTGTTGCCAACAGCAGACAGTACCGCCGACCGAGCCGCATGTTGTGGGGTAGGAAACCGGAAATGTATCAGGAGTGTTCAGTAGCCATGTCCGTCAGACAGGGTACCCCGATAATCGCACTCTGCACCTGAACGATTTCGGTGATGAATAGTGGTCGTACAAGACATGCGAGCGTTGTGAGTGCAGGGCTGGCGACCAGCACGTTGGTTACACGATTTTACGGGTCGGCACGGGCTGTGGATGCTCTCAAATGCCGCATCTGTCGGTTGGGTTTAGATTAACGAGCTCTGTGTTACCAATGGCTTTTAGGCTGCCGACGGAGATGCGTGGCATAGGTCGACATGCGGAGACTGCATCTTCTGTCAGACTGTAAGTAGTGGTGTCACTGGTGCGAGCGATCCAATCATGGCTTGAGCGCGTCTGATGTACCTTGACATATGCACGCGGAGTCGAAAAGAGAAATAACAAGCGGAGGAGATATTGTCAAGTTCCCGAGATGAGTAAAGAACCGTGCCGGCTTGTCAGTCAGACTTGTGAAGCATTGCAGGGAATCTTCAAACACTTCTTCACCAAAAGACCTACAACATCCGAAGCTTGTCGCACTTGAGCCGTCACCTGTCTTGTGCTGGTCGTGCAGGCTGCATTGTGCTGCGTTTTGGTCAAAGTGTCCTGTTCGCAATTCGTTGAGCATTGTAATCATATGCATGAGGCCGGTCCCTGCAATTGCATGTTCAATAGGATGATCTTGAAGAGTCAGCCCACATAAGGCCTGATTTTTTCAATGACACTGCCATCGACGCAATTGATGTAGGCTCTACTTTGGTGTAATGCTCGAATCGTGCTACATATGCCAACTGGCTATCGTGCAGAATCGCCGGCCGATGGCAAGTGCTGACAGGCCTGATTTGTTGGACAAGGACGGGAACGTCACGATTGCAGGTTAAGCCTGCGAAGGTCAGCATTGGTGATTATGCAGACTGCAAGCCATAGTGGATCGCGTTGGCAAGCCATTCGTCAAATCAACAAACACCGCCATCGGTGTGATCGCAAAGCTACGAGCTCCTTGCTCACGCTGTAGTGTGTTGCGGCATTCGACAATTTGCTTACAGCCATGGTTCGTGACAGTGGCGGTCCTTGCTCATAGGATCTTGCGGGCGTGGGCAGGTTTGATGAGCTTACACACAAATGCAATTTCCATTAGCATGTGCAGCGCACCGGCACGCCCCGAATGCAGCTCCTATCACGTAGCCGCAGTCGATATAACGGGCTTGAGTGATGAGGTTGTCTCGCGACGTGGATAGTCTGGTGTGGGACGCGTCAGGCGGGAGAAAAAGGAACCCATGCATCGCGCTCCGGCCCGTCCTCGCAGCAGAACTGTCACCGGAATAACAAGGGTCAATGCGCAAGGTGACTGTATGGGCCACCGTTGTTGCCGTTGCTGGCGAGAACTTGCGGGACTGTGAGTGCCAGAAAGCTGACCTTGTAGGATGCATATCGTAATAATACTTTGTGACGGCCCAGGCGGCGTTCTTAATGCTGAAAGCGGAGAGAAGGTTCGATCCCACAGCTCAGCCGTCTCTGCCGCACACCAACGAGGGAAGGCGGATGCTAAGAGAAGCGGCCCGACGACTAGAAAAGGGGACCAGGGTTGAATGTCACATGACCAGTAGTGCATGCGAAGCTAAAACAGCACGGTGCTAGCCAAGACGGAGACATGCAGGCGCTATGCAGAAATTGTTCGGCCTCGCTTGGAGCGTGTCGTCGAAGCGCTAATTGGCTCCTTTCGCGCCTGTGAAGCCAGGCCACCAATCCAAAGTTCCCAATATAGCCTTCTGCAAGGCGTACCTCCAGACAGACCGGGGACGAGGCCGTGTGAGTGCAATTGTGTGAGCTGGGAAAATATTTACTCATCGACACCATCCGCTGCGGAACTGCCCTCACCGTTCTCGTCTTCGTCGCTAGAGCTTGACGACTCCTCGTCGGGCATGACGACGCTGTTCAGGTAGGTGATCTGCAAGGCAGTGTTAGCGCCGCGACCATCCATGCGTTCGTCCTTCAGTCCAGCCAACAATAGTTCATGGCGCGCTTCCCCATCTTGACTTCGGCGGTGCAGCTGTCGGTGAAGCAAGTGTGCTGCACTGCCAACGCACCATGGACAAAGGCTGTGTCTGCTCGTGTCTGTACAAGGACATCCCGTCGCAGACTCTGAAGCCCGCCGTTTTCCGGTGACCCCTCTGATACAGAGAATCACCAGGGGGCTTGTCATCGAGGGTTGGGGATCAACTCACAAAGGGCTCTATGCAGGATATTAACCCTGCGATTCGGTCCATGCCCTCCGGGCCTACAACTTCCTCATCTGAGAGTTTCTTGCCAAGAGTGAAACTTCTAAGTCGAAGAAGGTCAATGTCTTTGTGATCGATGGGGAAATCCTGGGCACTCTGTCAGCAAATCGGAATTCTTCCAACGAAGCAGTCATGCATAGTTCACAAATGAAACCGTAGCAATGACGATGATTGTCAGTTACAGTCTGTGGCACGGCGGTGTTTGCCGTCCGTTTACGCGCTACGTAGCATCGGTGAACGGATGACCATCAATTGTCTGGAGACCACGTAGCTCCTCTGGAGCGTCGGGCATCAACGAAACAGCCAGTGGCGGCGATGCATCGGTTCCAATTGCCGAATAGGTCTGACCTTATAGTGAATGACCAGGTCGCTACAATAGTCCACATCGCTCTCAACCGGATTTACTTTCGAGATTCGAAGATCGCAAGTGGCGCCTCGAACGTGACAGTGGCATAGTGACCTACCATGTCTCGAAAGTGGAACATTCAACACTATTGTCGGGTTACGAACGAGTCAAGTCTGCTGAGCCGTCGATCGCACACAATTGCTGTTTCACCAACATATGGCCATGGGCGCAGTGGAAGTATCGAGTGTCAAACAGAAATGTACAAAGTAGAGAGATTGCCACTTACTTTGGGATGGCGCTTCAGCGCGGTCGACGCATTCGAAGTCAAGCCAATGAAGGCCTTGATGACCTTCTTCTCATTGTCGGGAGTGCCTCCCAAGAACGCTGTCCGAATCCGCTGATCTGTCAGAACCTGCTTGATCCTGATGGGTCTGCGATCAATCTCTCGCCGCAGCTTTCTGAGAGGCTCTGCATCTGGCTGCCACAGTCCGCCGCCTTTTGACGTCAGCGATTGCAGGAGTTATGGCAAGGTTACGGTTGTGGATGAAGGATGGGGCAGAGCAAGAATGCGAGGTTGATAGCCGGGTACAGTTGCAGATACGAGTGTCGACGTATTGTAAAAAGAGGACAATACTCACCAACGAAACTGCCTCCATCCGGCTGAATCTGAACGTAGTAAGCAGCATATGGACCTTTGCGACCCGTTCTTGACCACGCCGCCGAGAAGTAGGTCTACTGGTGCGTCAGTTTAACCAGAACTGATCCACTGCGGCTCTTGGGCTACAAGCGGATGCATTGTGCTCGTGATTGATCAAACTCTCCTGGATAGAGATGGAAGGAGCTAGCCGTCATTGTTATTGGAATGCTTACCTTGTAAGGTGTCTGGTCCTTTGAGAAGCGGACATCTGGTCGCGTCAGCACTATCCTTTTCGTAGCAAACAGGGGAGGTCATACCTCGATATATTCGATACACCTGGCGTTGTAAGCATTTGAAATTCTGTGGTGCTGAATGACACTTACGATATCCTTCACTGGCAACTCAGGTATCGTCTCGTCTATCTCCACAATCTTTTCTGATAGTTTGCCAACGAAGTCGTTGAAGTCTTGTACCGCGACTCGATAGTCTGGATCATGCACTGTTCAAAGGTTACTTCGCAGGCCCAGTACTTAGAGATCATCTGACGACATACACTTGAGCCACTGGCGATCATTGTTGGCTTTAATTTCCTCGAGAAACAGCATGGTGTTGGGGTGGATGGTACTCTCGGTGTATGGCGTATCACCAGCTTCGCGAGCCTTTGGCTTCTTGATGATCAGCTGTGTCCCAGGCTCAAGCTTCGCGCCCGGCTTCCATAGCTCTTTCTCGTTGGCTTGATTCTTGTGTACCGAAGATGGCCTCCTCTGCACTCGACCTCTTGGCGTGGCCTTTTTCGAGGTAGGCTCTTCGTCGCTGGCGTCCTCATCTGGTTCAGACTCAGAAGTAGCTTCTTTGTCACTCTGAGCCTCGAAGTCAGATGCGTCTCCGGACTCCGCGTCATCTTCTGAATCTGTACCGTTGGCAGCCGCGTCAGAATCCGTATCTGATTCGACATATGACTTTCTCGATGTTGCTCTCGCCCTCTTGGAGGTTCTCTCAGGAGTGTTCGCAGCAGGGCGCTTGGACGTGCTCTGCGATTTAGATTCCGGAGGTGACTTCGCTGACTTTCGTGGCATCTTGATGTCTCTTTAGATGGAATTTATGTGTCAATGTCGTGTGCTGCACGGTGTTGATGGATGGCGAATGTTTGGCAGGTGTCAAGCCGAGCAGGGGCCACAACAATGACGCAAACGAACCAATTGGAAGGCACGGCCCGCGAAAATCCCACACACGTTCGCGTCGCCATATCACGGGACAGGATCGACCACTTAACTCCATCCTCAAAGCATCGCAGTGATGACATCACGTTTCCTAGCCCGCAAGCAAAAGATCTTGGAGCAGCTTGATGCACCAGATGACGAGTATCACGACCTCTCACCGAAGGGCTCCATCGATGCGCCCATTCGTGACTTGATCAGCGAGATCAATGGCTTTGATGGCATCGTCACGACCAGTAGCTGCTCCGGTAGAATCAGTGTCTTTCTTGAAGGCCGGAAAGCGGGCAGCGATGCTTCGAAATCTGCTGAAGAAGGCGAGGAGTCACGCGCAGGACCGGGAGGAAAGGGCGGAGGAGGCACCTGGCTTTTCATCTCACACGATCCAGTGGAGGTGCCAGACGCAACTTCCCCTTCGGACTTCACATCGCAGTTCAGTCTTGAAAAGGCTACAGCTGATGCAGCCAAAGGCCTTGATGTACATCAAAGGTTCATTCACCTCAAGTTCGAGCCGATGGTAAGCCCCAAGAATGCCAGCTTATGTGGTCTCTAACACCAATTAGATTCTACACATTTTAAGTGCATCTCTAGATCATGCACAGCGGATACTGAACGCTGGAATGGGTGCTGGTTTTCGGGAGAGCGGAGCGGTAAGCCTGGGTTCATCAAAAACAGGAGAGGCCAACCCAGTGGTTGCTATTCGGTCTACTGGCTACTCATTCGACTCTATCATCGGCTATCAGGACGAAGAGGGCCGCAACATATCCTTGGTAGACGATAGTCACCTAAGAACTCTAGTGGACATTGCGAATGAGCGGTTCAAGATCAATATCGAGCGTATAGCACGCTTCCGTACACAGCTCTTAGAATCGTATCAGCCTATGTCTACAGCAACAACATCTGGGGCGTCCAAGCCGGACTGGGAAGATGCAAATGTTCGGAAGCAGCGCAAAAGGGAAGAGGGTTTGGCACGACAACGAGCGTTACAGGCTGCAAGTTCGGACGAAAAGGTGCCCACTGGCAATGAGCCACTCAATGTTGAAGATCTCGGAGGTATACTGCCTTGAGCGAGAGTGGACTTGTTTGTAATTCATGGAAATGAATGTCTCCGAGCCAGCATCACTCGACGTCGTTGAGACAGCACCAGGGCACAACGAGAGCCTTCTAAAGCCGCTACACAGCATTCGACAAAAACGTAGGAAGCTGGTGGTCGCGATGCATGGATCCAGGAAAGTTACAGAGCTATCACACCAGCTCTTACCATCCGCAATGGCAAGCTATACTGTGGGGCTAGTCTCTCTTTCAGCCAATAGGGGCGTTACGTCAGTAGCTCCGCGGCGACTTTCGACAGCCTCATAACTCTCCGCATTTCTCCACAACGACGTGCAAGATCACATATATAACATCAAAACCTCACTTCAAATTCGATCATCTACACAGCACTTTATCTATCTAAGACACAACACTGAACATTCTGAATTGCACTTGCCACACCAAATCCATCAATATGTCCGTCGCAGAACTAAACCGCAAATACTTCGAGTGCGTCTCCCTCACCCCTCCTATCCTGAACCTCAGCCTAATAACTTTCAGCACTATATCTGACTCCTATGACACCAAACCCTGGTTCGCAACAGTCAACACCCAAGTCGCCAACGAGCTACGCTCCCGCCTCTCCTGGATTGGGATCCCTTTCGCCAACACCGGCTCTGCCTCTAACGCTCCTGACGCCTCTGACGCCTCTGACACCTCTGAGGTACGCCTTCTGGACTACGCATGCGGCACTGGACTCATGACCCGCATATTCAGCCCCTACGTGACCAAGACTTTGGGCATCGACATATCCCCCAACATGGTCTCAACCTACAAATCTCGCGCTGCTAGCGCCGGCCTCCCTCCATCAACCGTCGACGCTGTCGTCGGCGATCTGTTCAATAAGTCGAATCCTCGTCCTGAAGAACTTAACGGAAAGGAGTGGTGGGACTTCGACATCGCGACTGTGGGGTTCGGATTCCATCATTTTGAAGACGTGGTGCATGCTGCGAGGCAATTGAAGGAGCGACTACGACCAGGCGGTGCGCTGGTGATCAACGAATTTCTTGAGGGTGGTGATTTACTCGCAGACGAGAACGGGCATATGGTTGAGGGGAGCGAGGGTAATCATGCTGTGCATAAGCATGGCCATGGTCATGGTCACCATGGACATGGGCATAAGCACGAACAGGAACACTCCGATGACAAAGCACACCATGTTCATAACCACTCCCACTCTCACAGCGGCAAGCATGAGCACACCGACAAGCACCACACAAGCAAAGAAGGCGACTTCACGAACCCGGATCCCGAATTGCGCAAGAAGATGAATGACTCAATCGTAGTCCCGCACTTCACCATTGACGGAGTGAAGGAGTTCTTCACAGCAGCGGGGTTTGTACATGTCGACGTTATCACGCTGAAGGAGCGGTCGTACATGGAGTTCGGCGGGAAGAAGATGTGGCGCACCATATTGATTGCGAAGGGGATGAGGCCGGAGAAGGAGGGTGAGGTGGGATACGAGAGTGGTCGCAAGGAGTGTTGAAGACAGGTTTGAAGCAGAAAAAAAGTAGACGATGTTGAGTTTGTGCAGCCGTTACACTAGCACGATGTCCTTTTCTTCAACATTCATGCCATCGGCCTCACCATACATGAGACCTGCCACGTCTGCATCGCCAACGAGCATGTACCTCGCCTCTCCACCCCTATCTTCTGCTCCACTGAGCACAAATGGAGAAACATAATCGTTAAAGACGCACACGTCACCTGTCTGCGCTCCCGTGCATATGAACCCAAACCTTCCATCCTTCGTATTGATCAGTTGATGATCACGCGTGAAGCAAAGACCAGTCATGGGCCTAGCCACAGGGTGCCCTGGGTTGCGGAAGCAGTCCATGATGGCTGCCTCTTCTTCGGACCCGGCCCAGTCGGGGAGGTTCTAGGGTCTGTGCTGGTTTTGCTTGAGGTTGATCAGAGGGCATCAAACACTACTCTGTGGTGTAGTAACATACTTTTTGAGTTCCTCGAGTCTTGGAACATGCCTGCGGAAGCATTGGTCCGCTTCCCGGAATTGAAGCCATTTCTCACGCGTGAATTTCATACCGGATGTGATGTCGACGCAAAACCCCTGCCACAAGGGCCCGCCAGTATGTATCCTCAGATGTGCTGTGCTTTTCACTTTCGTCGCTAGCAGCTCGTATGAATCCGCGGGCTTTACCTTGTAATACCGCGTCTGAGACCTCGCTTTCCCATCGGATAAGATCAACGAGGGCGGCCATCCATATCATACCAGTACCATCACTAGGCGCCGGATCGTCAGGGAAGTGAGAGACTTCGGGGTGCATGAGCATGAACTTATCAAGTAGCTTGCCTCGCAGTATGGTTTCACCTGGCTGCGGCCCATGGGAAGCTCCGCAAGGTCTGGAGCTGGCTTGCCAAGGGGGGTCACCCCGAACGGCTATCATCGATTCGTAAGGCTGGCGTTTGGATTTTGCGTCGTTGTTATGTAGGTCTGGTACCCATGATGGTAACCTGCCGATCCTTTTCTGGTTGAAGGCTATGCTCAGATAAAACCACCAGTGTAGCTTTGTAAGTCCTGAGGCTTCGAACATCAAGGTACTGAGCCGAGTGTATAGGTTTGCGATCGAGGTATATGTGTGTAGGTCCTTGGCGTGGTCTCCAAACTCTTCTTGTACCATGCCCAGTATACCAAGTCCTCGATCTTGCAGAGCGAAGTAAGTCCTATTGTTCAGAAGATTGGCGATACGAGTTGTTTGATGTGCGTTTCCTTCTTCCCCATCGTAGTTGACGATGCTTCTGATGGCGAAGACAGTGCCGTCGTCATGTGACTCTGCCTGCACTCGCATTCGCCCTCCGTTCGTCAAGTCATATATGGCCCAATTTCTGATGTATCAGCTGTCAAATACTGCCTTCTCCATCAACTGCGGATTTATCTCATGGTCGCCACACAGGAACATGATTTTTTTGGCCAATGCCACTTCTTGCACCGTCCAGACTCTCTGGAAGTAAGTGTTCCTCAGGAGATGTAGGATCGCTTCCCAGCCATCGCGTCCGAGGTGACTGAGTTCGCGGTCGACCTCGAAGTCGTGCTTCACAGTCGATTGACAGGACAGTGCAAACTCTTTGGTCAAGAGAGGTACGATCGCACGTGGTGTGAGGTCCTGCCATTCTGGCTTCAGTGCTAGGCCGAGCCAAATCAGTACCTTGTCAGCTTGTCGACAGATGGTGTTCATGACTCGGATTTGAGAGACTTTTTCCTCCTCATCCATTTGGTTGATGCAAATAGCGTCAATCCAGTAAGGTATAGTCACGGAAGTGTCATCTTCGTAAAGCCGGGCAAGGAAGGCAGGGCAGTGTAGAGATTGTAATGTGCCCGAAGTTGACGTCCGTTGCAAGAGATGGGAAATGTGTTAGGGTGCGACTGAGCTGCCCAGGCGTACGACAGTGCGGTGAAATGAAGAGTTGGGTCATCAACATCGGCCGTTCTGAGCGACCAAGACAATCCTGTTTTGAGGGTTTGAAACACCTGGAACGAGTAAATGTATTTCGCGCGCGCTGAAGTTGCACTGTATATGAACGGCGGTAGATCGGCCATAAACAAAGGTTAATTGACGGTGGGTGTGGGTACTTTGGTAGCGGGGCACCAGACTGAAGTACGTGAGGCGACCACAGCGAGGTTTGAAGAAGAGTGTCCGCGGACCAGCTCACTAGGTTGCTTCGGGCCCGATTTGGCGAATGTCATGCGGAATCTCGGGTTGCTGCATGCCTTGGTAGTCAGTAAGGGAACACCTAGGTATGGTGGTTGATCGTAGATTGACGTTCATATATGTATGGTATGGCTTGTACCTAGAAGCCTTGGAATAGTCAGCGTAAGGAAGAATCGTCTTGAGCTCTGAACATACCTCTCTCTGTGTTTCCTTCTCCCATACTCTTGCTGCCCGAGCTACCGCTCTGTATGTGGCCAAGGATGCCATCGATGTAGCTAGCACCGCTCCACTTCTGATGTGTCAGGACGTCGCAGCCGAGCTCCTTCTCGCGAGATTGAACCAATCTGACGTATGCAAGCATGCCCTCGTCCTTGAAGGCGCGCGAAAGTTCGCAGGTGATTGTTGCTGTTGAGTGGATGCCAGCAAGTGAGATCAGCTGGAAGACGAAGCTAGTGCCTTGTCAGCGACTTCCCGAGGAGTAAAATGGAAAGAGCCACTTACCCGTGCTTGGCTAGATCCCACACGAAGCTCTTCAGAGCCTCCTCACTGAAACCCTGGCCCATCCAGTTGAAGCTAGGCGACAAGTTGTATACGAACTTCTTGCCCGGGTACTGTTCTCTGATCTCGCCAGCGAAGCCAGCGGCCTTCTCAACGCTTGGGTCACCAGTCTCGACCCACAAGAGGTCAGCGTACGGTGCGAACTCTTTGCCTCGCTTTGTCGCGGCGGCCATGCCGGCCTTGTAGTGGTAGAAGCCTTCGCGTGTTCGTGGAATATCCCAATTGAAGTACACAGGGGTCTTGGTGTGCTTTGCGGATAGTTCGCGACGCTTAAGAAGGGATAGGTTTGGGTTCTGCTTAGTCTCACTGAGGTATGCGCCAATGGTAGACTGCGATGCGCCCTCCTTCTCAAGATGTTGTACGACGGCTTGGTCGTAAGTGACAAGCTTGTGCTTCTTCACCCACGCTGCCTCGAAGGCATCGATCTCCTTGCCGGGCGCACCGGCTGCCTCCATGTTCTGCAAAGTCTCAGCCAAAGGTTCTGTCTCTTCTGTGACACCCTTGATAAACTCATGATCGCGCACGTCGACGGCACTTGACAGCAGCTTGCCGCTCTCCGAGTCGGTACGGGCGATGACGAGGTTTTCACAGCCCATGGTGTCCCATTGGAATCGTGCGGCTACGAGGCGGTTGATGTGGTCGCCGACAGGTACCAGGACCTTCCCAGCCAAATGTCCGCACTTCTTGCCGCCGTGGAGCTGGTCCTCGAAATGTACACCAGCAGCACCGTTCTCAGCGAAGAGTTTCGCCAGCTTGATCACCGCTGACAGTCCGCCGTGACTAATAGTTGTTAGAATTCAACCTGTGCCCTAACGTGAGCTTTTTCTTACCCGGTATCACCGTCAGCGATGATGGGTCGCATGTAGTCCAGGTATGGTGTCTTTGCCCGTTCCTCTGCGCTCATCTTTCGCCTGTTGTCCCAGTTCTTGCGGTCATGGAACTGCTGAGCCTTGAAGAGCCGCTGCACCTGGTTCGGAACGGTGTTATAAGGGTAGTCGCCAAAGTCGGCGGAGACTTCGTTGGTGGTAGTCAGGACGGAGGAACATGCCCACCCGGAGATGTAGAGCACCTCCTGGTTGGGAGCTTGCTGGGACATTTGCACGGGGTCAATGGCACCCACTACGAGAAAGCATATCAGTCATTGTGTCATAAGAAGCATCTGGATTGAACGCACTTGTATGTACTGGCTCGCCCTTCGCTGCGCGCTCCTCCAGCAGGTTGAAGAGCTTGCGCGCCATCAACGAGCTGGGGTATGACTGCTGCAGCGCGCCACGCTTGCTCACAACATCCTCTGCTGAATATGGCCGCTTGATCCCCTTGTAACGCGGCGATGCCCACCAGTCCTTTACAGCCTGTACCTGCTCGTCGAAGAGCGCATCTTCAGCCTGGCCTGCCTTCGATGCCTCGGGGAGCAGTTGGAAGGAGTCGCCTGGCAGGGCAGCCGATACTGGAGCGTCAACCGGCTTGAGCGTCGAGCTCGACATGCGACACGCGGTGGTGGACAGTGGGCGGAGGAGCTGCGGTGCTCGGTTCGATGTTCTCAGAGTTCGGCCCTGGCGCGCGACGGAGCGTGATACTGTGCGCAGCATTGCGATTGCGGTTTGATAGAGGAAGCTTTAGCCTGCAGAGCTCACTCTCCAATTGCAGAATCTTTTCTTAGGATGGGTGTGGTAAGCAACAGCTGCGGATATGGCGGAGTTATCGCCCTATGACTAGGATCTAAAGGGTCGATGTTTGCCACCAGCACGCTTCTTTGCCGTCTTGCCCAGTCGTGCTTTCTGTGCGCGAAGTAATTATCCTTTGGGGCTTCAGACTGTGTGAAGTGCCTCATCCATCGTGTTTCTTGGGGTAGCTTCTCCTCAAAACCGAGAAGCCGAGGGTAGCCTGTGCCACTAAGCCGCACTCGAACGATGCCCCTCGGTACATTGGCGTCGTGGGCATCAGCGGACGACTCTGTGCCCTGGGAATTCGAGTAGCCGAGCGTTGCCGTTGGTTCTTTTTTCCTTGCTTCGTCTCTGCATTGTCTCTGCACTCACAATTGTTGACAATTGTTAAACGTCGCAGTTCGTTGAAGAGAAACAGCTGCTGTGTTCCCCGCAAAAGTTACCCCAGCTTTCCCCTCACAAGTCCGAGCTATGGCCCTGAGCGCACGAACTGCTGCGAGAGCTCTGCGAGCTGCGAAGGTGAGCTTGCACAACCTCAATTGCATGTTAATTTGTTAACAAAAGCCACTACAGCCCTCAGCTACTCGTCCTTTCGCATCTGGTATGCAATTGGCTGCTACAAGCCAAAGCTCACGGCACTAACACTTTCGGCGCAGTGCAAGCATGCAGCTACTCCTCGTCCCCCGAACCAACACTTAAGGAGACGTTTGAAAAGGTCCTGCCTGCGAAGCGCGAACTGCTGAAGAAGGTCAAGGCCCAGGCCGACAAGAAGCTCGGTGAAATCAAGGTTGAGAATGCTTTGGGTGGTATGAGGTATGCGCATTCGAGCAAGACTTGATGTTACAATCTGACATGACTGCAGAGGCCTCAAGGCCATGGTCTGGGAAGGCTCGGTCCTCGACGCCAACGAGGGCATTCGCTTCCACGGCAAGACCATCAAGGACTGCCAAAAGGAGCTGCCCAAGGGCACATCTGGCACTGAGATGCTGCCTGAGGCCATGTTCTGGCTGTTGCTTACAGGAGAAGTCCCCTCAGTATCGCAGACACGTGCCCTGTCGCGAGAGTTGGCAGAGAAGGCTCAGATACCCAAATTCGTCTCGCAGATGCTCGACAACTTCCCTAAGGACCTCCACCCCATGACCCAGTTTGCCTGTGCCGTCTCCGCGCTGAACTACGAGTCCAAGTTCGCGAAGGCGTACGAGAAGGGCATCAACAAGGCTGATTACTGGGAGCCTACCTTTGACGACTCCATTAGCCTGCTCGCCAAGCTGCCTACCATTGCTGCGAAAATCTACCAGAACGCTTACCGTGGCGGAGGTGCTCTGCCCAACGAAGTCGACCTTGACCAGGATTGGTCGTATAACTTCGCTGCCATGTTGGGCAAGCCTGGCAAGGAGAACGAGGGCTTCCAGGATCTTCTCCGCCTGTACCTTGCTCTGCACGGCGACCATGAAGGTGGTAACGTGTCTGCGCACACCACGCACTTGGTCGGCTCTGCCCTCAGCGACCCCTTCCTCAGCTACAGCGCTGGTCTGCAGGGTCTTGCTGGCCCACTCCACGGTCTCGCTGCCCAGGAAGTGCTCCGCTTCATTCTCGACATGCAGAAGGCAGTTGGCGAGAACTTCAGCGAAAGCGACGTGAACAAGTACCTCTGGAGCGTCCTGAAGTCTGGGCGTGTCATTCCTGGATACGGTCACGCGGTGCTCAGGAAGCCTGACCCGCGTTTCCAGGCACTTATGGATTTCGCCGACGCTCGTCCCGAGGTCGCAGCCGATCCGGTCTACCAGCTCGTAAAGAAGAACTCTGAGGTGGCTCCTGGTGTACTCACGGAGCACGGCAAGGTGAGTAGCCAGAACCCTAGTATTGCAGCAAAACCACTAACATCTGTGCCAGACAAAGAACCCCTTCCCCAACGTCGACTCGTCCTCTGGTGTGCTCTTCCACCACTACGGCTTCAGAGAAACACTCTACTACACGGCTACGTTCGGTGTCAGCCGTGGTCTTGGGCCGCTCGCACAGCTCATCTGGGACAGGGCGTTGGGCCTGCCCATCGAGCGACCCAAGAGCATCAACCTCCAGGGCATCTTGGACCAGGTTGGCGCCTAGAAAAGGTCGAGCTTCGGCTCCCTAAAACAGCATGTTATGTCGATACCAAATTTTCAGCGTTGCGCCAATGAACAATAGACTCTAGAAGAACAACGAGGAGTCATCACGATAACCTTGCGTGAACAAGTGTGACTTGCTTGTACACAGTAAGAGAGCAGACTCGAAAAGCTCGCAAAGTGTTGACAGGTCTGTTGCCAATTATATCGATGCCCCCCCACTCTTTAGCCTCCGTGGCCGTGATCCGTGTCGCTGCGTGATGTGGACTTCGGGAGGCGTTTCCTAGCGCAAACCCACTCGATCGGCCAGGAACCAGGGGCGATGATTGCCGTGGTTTCGTCACATTGCACTCAGGCATCCTCCCACAGACCTTGTGAGACGCGCCGTTGGGTCTCGACAACCGATTGCTGCACTCGCGCATGCCAAGCGCAAACAACCTCATGACCTGCTAGTAATAGACTGAGCTCGACGCTCGCGCGCTTCCTTATCATTCGCCGTCATCGAGCTCGAGCGCAAACCACTTTGACTCTCACTCGAAGACACAATGGCGCCTTACGAGTCCCATCAGCTCCGTCGGGGAAAGTACGCTAGGCTCGATGCCCCGACCGACGACGACCTGGAGCCCACGCCAACGCGCTTCTCCTCCGAGTCGAATGCGACACTGGAGGACCTCGAAGAGCACGACCCGCTGGCCTTCGATAGCAAGCTGAAGCGCAAGAAGAGCGCGGGCGACCTCAAAGTCCGCAAGGCCTCGTTCAAGGATGCCGAGGCCGCTGCGGCGATACCGTATGCAAGGAGGAAGAAGTTCACACCAGGGCGGTGCTGCTGCTGGCTGCTGACGTTTGTCGCCGCCACAGTGCTGTTGCTCGCGGCAGGGGGCATTTGGGCATACAAGGTGTCAGTACCGGTCGATGGGCGTAGTCCGCCCTGGTACCCGGCGCCGAAGGGTGGAGCGGATCCTGCATGGGAGGAGAGCTACAAGAAGGCGGCTGAACTAGTCAAGCAGATGACGTTGGTTGAGAAGGTCAACATCACAACGGGCACCGGCTGGAGCATGGAGATGTGTGTTGGTAACAACGGGGCTGTGCCGAGACTCAAGTTTCCTCAGTTGTGCCTGCAGGTATGTGTACCCTCCACACGGTTGCGACGCGAGGCGTTAACACTTGTTGTAGGACGGTCCTCTCGGCATCCGCTTCGCAGACAACATCACCGCTTTCCCTGCCGGCATCACTGTTGGAGCAACCTGGAACAAGGAGCTCATGTATCAGCGCGGCAAGGCTCATGGCAAAGAAGCACGACTCAAGGGTGTCAACGTCCTGCTCGGCCCGGCTATGGGTCCCCTTGGTCGTCTGCCTGCTGGAGGCCGCAACTGGGAAGGCTTTGGCAGTGATCCAGTACTTCAAGGTATCGCCGCTGCTCAGACCATCAAGGGTATTCAAGAGGAGGGTGTCATGGCCACAGCGAAGCACTGGGTCGGCAATGAACAGGAGCACTTCCGCCAGGCACGGGAGTGGGGCATTCCGAACGCCATCTCGAGCAACATCGATGATCGGGCTCTGCACGAGATCTACGCTTGGCCGTTTGCTGACTCTGTCAAGGCTGGCGTTGTTTCTGTTATGTGCTCATATAATCAGGTCAACTCGTCCTACGCCTGCGCCAACAGCAAGCTGCTCAACGGCGTGCTGAAGGACGAACTGGGTTTCCAAGGCTTCGTGCAATCGGATTGGCTGGCTCAGCGATCTGGCGTTGCAAGCGCACTCGCTGGCTTGGACATGACAATGCCTGGCGACGGACTTCGCTGGAGCAATGGTGACAGCCTTTGGGGCGCAAGGCTCACGCAAGCCGTGCTGAACGGAAGCGTGCCAATCGACCGCGTTGACGACATGGTCACCCGCGTTGTGGCATCTTGGTACCAGGTCGGACAAGACAAGTGGTCCAACGAAGGCCCCAACTTCTCCTCCTGGACAAATGATGAGGTTGGCAAGCTTCACGAAGGCAGCCCGTCGGATAAAACCACAGGTGTCGTCAACAAGTTCGTCAACGCTCAGGGCGATCACAAGGACATTGTCCGCAAGGTCGCCGCTGAGGGCACTGTCTTGGTCAAGAACGAGGACAATGTACTGCCGTTGAGCCGCAAGGGCCACAAGGACGGGTCGAAGTCGAAGAGGCAGACCAAGTTCCGCGTTTGTGTCTTTGGTGAAGATGCACGCCTTCCTTACGATGGTATCAACAAGTGTCCCGATCAGAGTTGTAATGACGGCACTCTGGCTTCGGGCTGGGGTTCTGGCGCCGTCGACTTCCCTTACCTTGTAGAGCCAATGTCCGCTATCCGGGCTGCATTTGACAAGGAGAACGTTTACATCACCGACTGGCTCAAGAACAAGCTGCCGAAGCAGAAGGAGATTGTTGAAGATCAAGACCTCTGTATCGTCTTTGTCAACTCTGATGCTGGCGAAGGTTACTTGAAGTGGGCGGACGTTCGCGGTGACAGGAACGACTTGTCCATCCAGAAAGATGGTAACCAGCTTGTAAAAGACGTCGCCAAGGGCTGCGGCAAGGGTAAGGGTGATGTTGTCGTCGTGGTGCACACTGTTGGCACTGTCAACCTGGAAGAGTTCATCGACATCCCCAACGTCAAGGCCGTCCTGATTGCCAATCTGCCTGGTCAGGAGTCCGGCAACGCCATCGTGGACGTTCTCTTCGGCGACGTCAACCCCTCCGGCCGTCTCCCATACACCATCGCCAAGAAAGAAGAAGACTTCGGTCCCGACAGTAAAGTCAAATACCTGCCCAGCCCCTCTGACGGTCTCGCACCCCAGCAGAACTTCTCCGAAGGCCTTTACATCGACTACCGCCACTTCGACAAGCAAGATATTGCTCCACGCTACGAATTCGGCTTTGGGCTCTCCTACACCCAGTTCAAGCTCTCCTCCCTCCTCATCCGCTCCAAACACGGCAAATCTCCCTTGCCTTCCGCCCGCCCCTCCGGCATCGCACCGCCAACCTACCCCACCGACCTGCCCGATCCCAAATCCGCACTCTTCCCCAAGGACTTCCACAAAGTCGGAAAGTACATATACCCGTACCTCGAGTCAACGGACGGCACTTCCTTCACGGCCCCTGAGCCTGTGCCCCAGTCCCCGCTCAGCGAAGCAGGAGGCGGCCCCGGCGGCAATCCTGATCTGTACACCACGATCCTGACCGTCTCCGCATCCGTCACCAACACCGGCCCCGTCGACGGCGCTACGGTGGTACAGCTGTACATTTCCTTCCCGCAGGGCTACAAGGATCCTGAGACCGGCGAGGCGGTCGATTTTCCCGTCAGGGTGCTCAGGGGCTTTGAGAAGGTGTTTGTTGAGGCGGGTAAGCAGGAGCATGGCAATGGTGGAGGGAGAGAGTTGGTCACGTTTGACGTGACGAGGAAGGATTTGAGTTATTGGGACGTAAAGAGGCAGAATTGGGTTATGCCCACCGAGGGAGAGTTTGGGATTAGTGTGGGGTTCTCGAGTCGGGATTTGCCGCTGCAGGGGACGTGGTAGATGGCGTTTGTCGATATCAGAGAATGTCGTTTGGGAGTTCGAGACGGCGTTTTGGGGATATGCATATGGTTAGCTAGAGAGTGTGGGTTCGCTTCGGTTTTGGCGTTTGATGTTCCTTCCTTTCCTGTAGATCATACTATCTCAACATCGCTTTCCTATGGTCACGACTCACTTGAACTCTCCGCTAGACTTTGGGACTTTGTGTTTGCATACTGTTTTGGATCAGAAGTTGCGGGTGTCTTGGGTGTCTTGGCTGTCATGGGCGTTCGTTCGCAAGACGGCTTCATGGCATTGTTGATGCCGTGCTTGTAGGTCGATGACTATACGAACACTATACCTCTCCCTTCAATCTCCAGTTCGTGCGCTTCGTCATACATCAAACCACGCACGTAAGCGTCTCCAACAAACGGGTATCTTTCACCACCATCGCGGTCATCCATCCTTCGCATGACGTGAGGTGTCTGCGAACCGTTGAGGACAGCTACCAGATCGCTGGGTTGCACGCCGCATAGTGTGGAGCCGAATCTACCGTCTGTAGTGTGGAACAATTGTCTTCCTACAAGGCGGTTGAGCATGCAGATGTGAGCCATTGATGTTCCATTCCATGTGAATCTCTGATCGTTCTGGGATGATGCATATATGGTTTCAATTGGAGATGGAGGTCTGGGACACACGATGGCAGGCCCTCCCTCTTCTCAAAAGCGAAAGACATGTTGAGGTAATTACACCGATTATGGGGTCTAGTGGATCTCAAGAAAATGTACTTGCTGAACTCGGTCCATCCTTTCTGCGTCGCGCCAAGTATGGAAGGGCGGTGTGTAAGTTGTGATGAACACGAAGATGGCAACTACTGCAACTGATGGGAAAAGTCTCATATTGCGAGCCCCAGGAATAGGATAGAGCGTCGAAGTCTAGTCTGTCGTCGAGGCTGGCAATTCGCAGGGTCCAGACAGGCCGTCGTTGGTCAGCGAGGTGTCAGGGACGAGGAGACGTATGTCACCAGGCGCACGAGGGTTGCAGACGAAAGGTGGCAGCTTGGCAGGAGCCATAGACATCTTGGCGGCGTGTTTTGATATTCGGTTGGTGTCTGCGTCTCGGTGGAGGTGGACACGCAGGGCAGTTACCACAAGGCTGAGTCTTGGAAGCTGCAGGCTGCATCGTACCTGCCCAGCTGGTCACCTGAGTGAGCTCTGTGCGCCATCTTGCATCGATTACCTGGGCAGCCATGAGATCAAAGACGCGAAACAAAAGCGACATCCCTTCACAGCATCTTGCACTCCACATTGCTTTTCCTCATTATACGGCCAAGAAGCGGATACGCACTAAGCTTTCAATGTCGAGGATATACCCCGTCACTTGTCATCCAGACCGGCCAGGCATGTGCAAGAGGATGTTCATTGCAAGTCATCAATTTGCCGGTGTTGCGCGAGCTCACCAGTTGCGTGCATGGAGCAGGAGAACGTGCTTACCGTCGTCGCCACCGTGAGTAGCTGAGATTTACCGGGGGTTAACGGCGGGAACGCAGCCCTAAAGCGCGGTAGCTCGTCAAAAAATATCCAACGAACCTTGCCCGTGCGCGGATAAGGGCAGGCAATAAAGCCCAATCTCTTCGTTAAGTCTGCCCCTCAACGCACTTTTTGCAGGGCCTCCGGATTCTCCTGCCCTTGGTTTTTGTACTTGTATAGACTCTCCACTCTTCGTTAGGAGCGTCTCACGAGCACGATACCCTTTGTCCTTTTCGTTTTTCTTGCATAGCTGGACTCCGCCGCTTACGCTTCAGCCGCGGAAATTTTGGGGTATCGATAAGCAGCCCCTCCAAAAGGAAGAAATCCCGCGACAGAAAACAGCACCTGTCGCAGACACAACACCTCTCAGCGGGATATGCCACACTCTGAGTCGCCTAGTATGGCCCCCGCTATTGTCGTCGACAAGGCCGGCGCTGCGCCCGCGCCCTCGTGGGAAGATGTCCAGGCGTTTTTGAGCAGCATCGTCACTGCAAAGACGTCGCACGCCTCGGTCGACGCCGCCTACGCCCTCACCGAACTCCTCCAGAACTCGGTGGGCTTCCGCGGCCTCCAGGGATATGGCATCCTCGACTCGCTCAAGAAGTCGGCGAGCAACAAGAAAGACCCTGTCCAGAGGGAGGGCGCCATGAACGGCGTTGGCGCGCTGTTCGAGCGCTTCCCGCGCGCACAGAAGCTGACCGAGGTCGTCTTCATGATCCAGGACGAGGCTCTGCTCCCTCTCACAATCGACCTGCTCTCCGACAAGGCTGCGCCTGTCAGGGAGTCGGCCAAGTATGCGCTCGACTCGCTGTTCGACAACCTCACCGCCGAGGCCAAGGTCTTCGGTCTGCTGCCCGCACTCATGAAGTACCTCGGAAAGAAGTCTGGAAAGTGGCAGGGCGCAGTTGGCGCGCTTGAGCTGATCGGTCGCATGGCTGACAAGGCCAAGATGGGCATGGAGAGCCTCGAAGTTGAGAAGGAGAAGGATGTTCTTCGCGAGGCCATGGGCAAGAAGCTCGAGAGGCTGATTCCCATCGTCGAGGGCAGCATGCACGACCTCAAGACCGAGGTTCGTATACTCCGAGGACCACATAAACGCATTTGCTAACTACTTGGACAGGTCGCAAAGCAGGCCATCAAGACGATGAACAGCCTCACCACCCTCCTCCAGAACGACGACATCGCTCCCCGGATACCCCTCCTCGTCAAGGCTATTGAGGACCCCTCTACGCAAAGTCTGCAGAAGGCCATCCACGCTTTGTCGCAGACCACCTTCGTGGCCATTGTCACATCGCCCGTCCTCGCCATGGTCACACCTCTGCTCGAGCGCTCCCTGAACAACCCCAACACAACCCAGGAAGTCACTCGCCAGACTGTTGTAGTCGTCGAGAACCTGACCAAGCTCGTCCACGATCCCATCGAGGCTCGCGCTTTCCTACCCAAACTGAGGCCTGGTGTCAAGGCTGTCGTGGACCGTGCTTCCATGCCTGAGGTCCGAGAGATCGGTGGTCGTGCGCTAGCCGTCATCGATGATGCTATGGCCGACAAGGACGGAAATGTCGAGCACGGTGCGCTTGCTCGCGTCTCGCCTTTCGAGGTCTCCCTCACCCTGGAGAAGCACATCAAGGACGCTGGCGGCCTGCTGAACTTGCCTGGTGATGCGGAGGTTTGGGCGGCCGCAAAGGCTTACATTTCGGAGATGATAGCCGAAGACATCTTCGAGCGCGAGATCAAGCGCATTCCGTCGCTCGTTGCCCCCTACCTCCAGCCTTTGATGAACCCCGGCGACGCCGAGAAGGTCACCGAAGCTGTCTCCCAATACTACATCGATGAGGACCACCGCAAGTTCGGCCAGCCTGTTGTTGAGGAGGACGGAGAGACCGAGATTGTCAACGCTACCTTCTCTCTCGGATACGGTGGTATGTTGCTTCTGTCGCACACCAACCTCCGCCTGCTCAAGGGACACCGTTACGGTCTTTGCGGTCGCAACGGTGCCGGAAAGTCTACTCTCATGCGCAGTATCGCCAACGGCAAGCTCGAGGGTTTCCCTCCCCAGGATGAAGTCAAGACCTGCTTCGTCGAGCACAACCAGGGTGAAGACGCCGAGATCACCATTCTCCAGTACATTGTCAACGACCCTCGATTCAAGGATGAGACCAAGGAGCGCATCTCCGAGGTCTTGGAGGAGGTCGGTTTCACTTCTGGTCCTGAGGGCAGGCAGTCTCACAAGGTTGGTTCTTTGTCCGGAGGTTGGAAGATGAAGCTCGCTTTGGCGCGTGCCATGCTTATGCGCGCGGACGTCCTGCTGCTCGACGAACCTACTAACCACTTGGATGTTGCCAACGTTGCCTGGTTGCAGGAGTACCTCAAGAGCCACACCGAGATCACCAGTTTGATCGTCTCCCACGACTCCGGCTTCCTTGACGCCGTCTGCACAGACATCTACCACTACGAGCAGAAGAAGCTCGTTTGCTACAAGGGTAACCTTGCCGACTTCGTCAGGCAGAAGCCCGAGGGCAAGAGCTACTACACTCTCTCTGCTTCGCAGGTTCAGTTCAAGTTCCCTCCTCCCGGTATTTTGACTGGTGTCAAGTCCAACACTCGTTCCATTCTGCGTATGACCGACTGCACATTCACATACCCCGGGGCTTCCAAGCCATCGCTTTCCAATGCCTCCTGCAATCTGTCGCTCTCCTCTCGAGTTGCTATCATCGGTGCCAACGGTGCTGGCAAATCTACCCTTATCAAGATCCTTACTGGTGAAGTTGTTCCTCAGGAAGGAAAGGTCGAGAAGCACCCCAATTTGCGTATTGGATACATTAAGCAGCACGCTTTGGAGCACGTTGAGATGCACTTGGAGAAGACACCAAACCAGTACCTCCAGTGGCGTTATGCCAACGGTGACGATCGCGAAGTACTGATGAAGCAGACTCGTGTTCTTACTGCGGAGGACAAGGCGCAGATGGAGACGCCCATCGATCTCGGTGACGGCAAGGGCCCGCGTAAGATCGAGGCACTGATTGGTCGTCAAAAGTACAAGAAGACCTTCCAGTACGAGGTCAAGTGGCTCCACATGCTCCCCAAGTTCAACACCATGATCTCGCGTGAGACATTGTTGGAGAAGGGCTTCCAGAAGCTGATTCAGGAATTCGACGACCACGAGGCGTCCCGTGAGGGTCTCGGTTACCGTGTCCTCGAGCCCAAGGTCATCTCCAAGCACTTTGAGGATCTTGGTATGGACCCCGAGATTGCCAACCACAACGAAATCTCTGGTCTCTCCGGAGGTCAGAAGGTCAAGGTCGTGCTCGCCGGTGCCATGTGGAACAACCCCCATCTTCTCGTCCTCGACGAGCCGACCAACTTCTTGGATCGCGACTCTCTCGGTGGTCTTGCCGTTGCTATCCGCGAATACAAGGGTGGTGTCATTATGATTTCCCACAACGAAGAGTTTGTCGGTGCGCTCTGCCCCGAGCAGTGGCACGTCGCCGATGGCAAGGTCGCACACAAGGGCCACCTTGCTGTTGACATGGGCCGCTTCGAGGACTCTCGTCCTGGATCGTCGGTTGCTAGCAGCAACGTCAGCTCCGCAGCACCCAGTTCCGCCGGAACACCGATGGGGTCCGATGTCGAAGGCGCCAAGGACGACATGAAGTTCAAGGCGAAGAAGAAGAAGAAGATGACCAAGAAGGAGCAGAAGGAGCGTGAGGTCAGGCGGAGATTGCGATACATTGACTGGCTCAACAGCCCTAAGGTACGTTGCTCACTTTGTCTGGCACTTTTGACATTATACTAACGACTTCACAGGGCACTCCCCAGCCTCCTAATACCGATGACGAGGCCGAGTAGACGACTTGTTGATACGACATGATATCATCTTAGACTTTTTGCATTGTCCGGCGTTTTAGAGGATAAATCCTGGTTTCTGCATTTTCTTGCTCATAGACCGTGACGACTCATGAGGTTGGCAATCTCTCTATCTAGCAGACCAAAAGCATCTTTTTACACCTTCAGTTTTATCCACATGTTGTGCGTGGTATGTCTTTGCTTGTCTTGATCCACAAGAAGTACCCGGCCAACAGCCCAAGCGAAGCTTGTAGCTGCATGTCTTGCCTTCCCTTTCCAGTAGGTTGGTGACATCGTCTCATCCTTTGCTCCACCTAGTCTCTCTTATCACCCTGCGCCTCCTTTGCAACATCTTCCTTCTTGCATTCACTCTCCATAGCAGCATCTATGAGCCCTGCCGCTGTGGCCGCGACGGCGACGGCAGTCACGGTTCCGGCCACGACACCATGAACAAATGGCAGCGCCCAAGCCACCTGCACCTACCGCTCTGGAGAACGGCAAAGGCGCTGCCAGCAACGACATTGCCTACCACCGATTGATGGGCAGCAGCGGTGCCCACGACAAGGCCGATTTCTCTTCAATGTGACTTGACAAGAAATTCACCAGCCACAATACCGTTAGCAGTGAAGCCTGCAGCGCCCAGGCCGTACCGTCTAGCCGCTACAGCAATCGGTGCAGCAACAATGCTTCAGCTCAAGGTCACACGAGTTCAAAATCCTAGTGTGGTTTCGGTACAGACTTGCAAAGCCAATCGAACGTGCAAGTAGGTACGTTCGTTCTTGGAAGATGGACTTGCCATTTACCGTATGTTACCTCGCAGGCACATGAATTCTGACGACAACAGATGGTAATCGTTACCCTCGTAGCTAGGAACTTGGCCAGGCCCACATGGCTTCCGCATGCCAGCGACCATCCGTGGGCGATATCTGACTCCGTCGCGGGCAGGAGCTCGAGGAGGCGTCACTGGCGGCGTCACAGCCCGCGCGACCAGCACGCTGTCTGTACCTTGTCGACACCAACAAACTCATCAGTTAAAGGCACCAAATCCTTGCCAGCGATGGAGAAGTGGCACGCAGCTTCTGATCCGCCTCCCACAACTTCTTATACCACGCATGCAGCTCATCACTGAACGGCTTGTACTGCTCAATGTGATACTGAATCTTGAGCATGCACAGTTTCAAATTTGCCTCAAAGGGTGGCTGATCGTGTGGGAAGGTGGCTGTTGGAACAAGTACATTCGTCATTAATACACATGTACAGCTGCTGTGCTCGAATTTGCCGCTGCTCTTTCGAGTCTTTCTTGCCTCGCGTCCTCCTGCAACCCCCTCTTCTACCGTCTGCTTCTCTATGCCGACTGGGACTGCACGAGCTCGGTGACCTTCTGCTCGATCGACTTGTCATCCAGACCCTTCAGCGTGACCTTCTTCTCCTTTCCGTAGTCTATCGAGTGGTTAGTTTCGCCGTGTATGTAGCGTGTCGCCGGTAGACGCACTGTATCTCGCGTAGAGGGTGGGCTCGATGCCGCTGGCCTCGCGGATGAGGATGGGGGTGTGCGGGTTGTGCTTCTTCATTGTGGGGTAGCTGCGCTGGAGGAAGTGTCTATGGCACTCGTCAGCCTGCATCACACTCTCGACCGTGCCTTGCTATGTCCATGGGCGCATCGCAATCTTCGTCCTGTCCCACGGGGCGTCCTACCGTGTCGCAGCGCTGTGCTCGCTAGTCTGGCAGAACAGAAACCTCAGCTCCTTCAGCCCCGCATTGAACGCATACTTGGACGCCATCTTGTCTCGTGTTCCGGCCGGTGGTGGGTATCAATTGGTGCAGTCTCTCGCCATCTTCACAACTGACGTTCCTCAAGCTCTCAGACCCTCAATCCCACCATGCCCAATGCGGAAAAGCCGATCGGAGCACCGCCCAACATCATCCGAAATCTGAGCTTCCGGCATCGCGACAGCGACAGTTGAACGACCTCCTCACCGTCGACCGCCAACAACCCAATTCCTATACTCCCCGCCCGAGATAGGATAGCCCAGCAACCATGTCGTTCCGCCCCGGCTCCCGCATCTTCAGCGCCTTCCGCACCAACTTCCGCCAGTACTACGCCCGCCGCAATGCGTCAACAGCACCCGGCGCTGAGCCCGCTGGCTTCGCAAAGTTCTGGAACTCCCCCGTTGGCCCCAAGACAGTGCACTTTTGGTACGCTCCCAGCCGCCCCCCAAGTTTTTCCTGCACACAATGGCAATGGCAATGGCAATGGCAATGCCTTATCTCCGGGCATCTATCCGAGCCCTCCCATGTCCACCGCAAACAACCACACCCAAACACCACATACTGACCGATCTCACAGGGCACCAGTGATGAAATGGGCCATGGTCGCCGCCGGCGCCTCCGACTTCTCCCGCCCCGCCGAGTCTCTCTCCCTGACGCAGAACTTGGCTCTGATGTCCACAGGCGCCATCTGGACGCGCTGGTGCTTCGTGATCCGGCCCAAGAACGTCGCTCTGGCGGCTGTCAACGCGCTCTTGTTCTGCGTCGGTGCGACCCAGGTCGGCAGGATTTACAGCTACAACCAGAGCTTGAAGGCCGGCGACTTGGTCAAGGCCGAGGGCAAGGAGCTGGAGGCGGATTTGAAGGCGACGGCGGCTAAGGCGGAGAAGAAGCTGTCTTAGAGGAAGCTTGAGCGAGGGGAGGAGGGGAGGTGGTGATGAGAGAGGAGGGGAGGTGGTGTTGAGAGAGGAGGTGGTGATGAGAGGGGAGAAGAGCGAAAGCTGGAGGCATTCGGGACTGTGCACAAGGATACGGAATTGGGGTGTATGATTTCTCTCGATATGCGAGCATGGCACAATCAATTGGACCGTTTGGCGATATTATATTCTCTACTCGTCTAGACACTTTGTTCACGCACGCAATTACTGGACCGGATGGGTGCTCAGTCCAGGGACAATCGTCTGATCTGGAGCTCTTCAGTACCCTAAACCCATCAAAATTTGACCTCAGGGTCGGTACTCAGGGTCGGGATGCGCCGCCACCTCGTGTCTGCGCCAGGAGGTCTCGTTTGGAAAATTGGCCCAGCATATCCTACACGAGAAAACTTCCTCGAGCTCGCCAAGGTGCTTCCCCGCTTGATGCTTCATGCGTAGTTCGTCTGAGCTAAACGTTTCCGAACATCCGGCAATCTTGCACTCAACAAACAACTCCTCGTCAGCGTCTTCTCCAACAGAGGGGTCTGCTACCACTTCGCTGTCTTTCTTGGCTGGCTGACTGCCTCCCTGGCCGCGATGATGCTGCTCATTATGCTTTCGTAGGGAATTGAAGCCAGGGAACCATAATGAACAAATTTGACAGCGCAGGGACAAGTTAGCGTTCGTCGCACGGCTCTGCTGGGAGACATGTGCCTGCGATTGTGCAATGGTCATGTTCAGGGGATATGCCGAGATGCAGCGGTTGATTGAATTGTTGCGGTTGCTCAAAGCGGAAACTCCACTACCATTCTGCGCAGGCTGAGATGTCGATGGAGCCGCGTGAGCACTGCCGGATCGTGATTCGGATTTGAGCCTCCCCATCTCAGTTGGTGTCAGTGTGGTGTGCTTGCGACGTCCCGGATATGTGGCGGCCGTCCGTGATACCACACCATGTTTGCGCAGCGGATTCGGCTTCAGAGGCTCACTCGGACGCCGCGCTGTTGCATTGTCAGAGATGTTGGTATCGGTGTCGGATATGAGTCCGGTCCATTTGCCAAAACCGCGCTCGAGAGCTCTTCCTGTCTTGCGGACGTATTGCTTGCTCTTTGTCCAGCCCTTCTTCGCCATCTCATGTATCGTTGGTATGCCCTCCACCGCAGGTTCTGGGAGTTCCTCTATCTTGACTGCAATCCCAGTCAGCATACGCAAGATCAGTACAGCCAAGGTGTGAGTTACCTTTTGTGGTATCCTTCCCCCTTTTGGCAACAAGCTTAACGCCACAAATTGGCGACTCGCAATCAAAGTAATAGCGACCGGTCCGCTTGAGATTTTCCACGCGCTCGGGTGATGTGCTCCCCTGTAAGTTACACTTCGGGCATGTCCAGTTGTCGATGCTATGTTCGTCTCCGAAAGGACTTTCTGCTGCGTTTGCTGTTGTTGCTATACTCACTGAACTATCAGCCCAGATCTTGTGTTTTCATCGTAGGGATGAGGATATAGGGTCGTGGAGAGAGTCAATGCATTTTCCACATCCACTTGCTTACCTGCTGCCTGTGATTGTCCAGCATTGGTTCTACGAATCGATTCACCTTCTTTGAAAGGTGGCTCGGGACGAGAGTGTTTGGGGAAGTTGCTGGGCGCATTGTTTCTGTTCTGTAGGGCCAAACGTTCGTGCTCTTTGGCGACAGCGAGCGGTGTCTTATGGCGGTGAATAACCATATTGGTGATAATGATGGGATGTAACGAGTCCGTGGGGTATGATATGTCCGTAACGATGGTAAGGTGAGATGAGCGGTCGTGTGGAGAATCCAAGGCGTGGAGGGCCAAACGGCATCCTGGAGGTAGTCATGGTGCAGGCACGTTCTTGTCGTTGGGACGCGCAGGTGGGCGGCAACGATTGTAGTTGCTGTTCAATTCTCAATCCCACGTGCTTGTCTACCCTTCTCTTGAGGCAGTTGCCATCTCAGCCCGGAGCACCTTCCGCCATGTCTTTCAATTGCAACAGTTCACAATGCTATTGCAGCACTCCCCACAACAGTCTCCACAGCCGCTACAACAATTCCCGCAACAGTCGCCGCATCCATCGAAACATGCAAGGACGCCAGCCCAGCAGCCGGCGATGCAACTGGCGAAGATGTCGACACCCCACGGCCCAGAGCGATCACAGCAGCGATTAAGTCGCGAGCCCATATCGTCCATGTTCTGGGACTGGGCCAACCCGTAGTCCTCGGGGTCAGACATTGGTGCGTAGTTCATGTTGAAAGTTGTTGTGTTTTGGCTTGAGGTGCTGGTGAAGTAAAGGATGACAACGATGCAGTAGGATGCGGGACTTATAAGCGAGTGTAATGTTGAGATTCTAAACTTCGCCTCGATGCGCCCAAATTAGATATGAGTAAGAGACTGGAGCCAGATGAGATGAGAGAGATCTGATGATGATGTTATAGGCGTCCAGCGCCCGCGGAAGTCTCTAACCGCATTAGGCTCGCTAAAGCAGATTGCTACCAATGAGACCACACCCGTCCTGCACTGCCATAAATGAGCCACCTCAAACCCCGTATTTGTTTCCGTTTGATTCACATCGGTATGCTTGGACGTGTTTGTGGTGATGAAGACCGAGGCTTGTGACACGGTTTCGGGTGCGCTAGCTCTATCAGGGCCAGGCGAAGTGCGAGTATGACTAACGCCAAAGCTGACATGAATTCTTTCTGAAGCTTAGCTACTCGATCTTAACTGCATCTACATTACCATTCGTACAATCCATACCGCCTGACAACTCCGCGCCAGCCATGTCTATCCAGCTCTCAGGGTACCTTCAAAATCCGTTCGTTCTCATCACCGAGCGGCTCATTATCGTACCAACTCCAATCGCAGTTCGATTCAATGCTTACGTCCAACTGTATGGCAGCTTGCACGCAAGCGAGGCGTTTTGCCAAATGGCTTTCGGTCCGCACTTCCTCGCTCGCAAGTTGAGCGACGAAGGCACAAAGAATGCCATCTTCACACGTGACCTTGAAAGATGCTGGAAGAGAAGAGGGTTGGGTGATTTGGCAGTCGCTTTGCGAATCAGAGACGATGGATCGGACGTCATCTCTAGTGATATTGGGAGAAGACTGGAAGGAGGAGAGATCGTGAACATTGTGCAGGTCATTGATGATGGAGGGTCGAACATATCGCTTGGCGAACTAGGTTCCCAAATCTTGAACGATATCGAGTGGGTCGGTTATGCAGGTGTCCGAGACGCAACAACGACATCGATGCCCGACTGGGTTGAAGGCGATGACCCGCTGCCGCCATGGCAAGAGATGATTGAGCTGAGGTACGGCGTGCATGGCAATTACTGGGGCAAAGGTGTAGCTGGTGAAGCGGCGAGAGCAGTGATGCAGTGGGCGGTCAGCGAGAAAGGAGTGAGACGGTTCATTGCGGAGACGGAGAAGACAAACACGAGAAGCGGGAAGGTGTTGCAGAAGATGGGCTTCAGAGAGAGCGGCACAAACTATTGGAAGGAGCCTAGTGAGACCGAGTGGGAAAAGGTTACTGCGTAGATCAAGAGCTATGTCGTACGCGAAGGTCAATCATACTGACGGATCGGAACCTCTCTCATAGAGTCGGACCCAGTAACACCGTGGCACATGCAGTCTGACAGGTGCCGTATGCCGCATTGCACACAAGAATCGATGCAGGAGCAGTAGCAGCCAGGGTAGCTCCCCAGGTGAAGCCTGTAGCAGAGTAGCAGGCCATTACAAATGCAGAGCAGCTTGTTTGGCAGATACCATAGCCGATAGGTCCAGCCAAGACAATCTTAGTGAGTAAGAGCATGCCGGTGAAAGACGCCAGAGCAGAGGGAACGCACATCATGTGAGGGTTCGTTCACTTGCCGAAGGAAGATGTTATGTTGTCAAGGAATGTTTTTGACGTTTGAAGGATGAACGATGACATGCGGACATGTTTTAACTTCGAGTAGCAATATGCTTATACATGCTGTATACGCCTTGGATACACTTTAGCTCCATTTCCCGTAACGACATAAGCTTCAGTGACACTTACAGCAAAGAACATACACGGTGCCTCAATGAGGCTTGTTGTACCCAGAACCAGACCGAGTCGCTTCTTAGCAGCCAGGAAGAAGGACTCAGCGGTGCGATACGCTTCTGAATCACGATGAACGTATCCACCGTCGAGCGACGTAGCTGTAGTACCCAGCGCACAAACTTGTAGGGCAAGGCAGGCATCTGGCGACCAGTCTATGCCGTGTAAGCAAACTCGATTCACGGTTCTTCTCATTTGTTGTTCGTCCAGTACCGGATTCTTTACATGCACATAGTTGAAGAAGTTATCAAGTAATAGCCGAATTCGATGAGGCTTGAACTCATCAAGACCAGATATAGGCGGGGAAGTTGTCATCTGGAAGTCTGACCTATTGGTTCAAAGAAATGCTGGACCGCTTAATTCGTATTCTGCGCTCAATCTCCTCAAAGGTTCCCATTCTAAGAGTGCATCAATCGAGCATGACAGTAGCTGCGATCGATCCGGCCTCGTCTCGTTCGGTGTTGCCTTATAAGCTTTTTCGCTCGAGGCGTTCCTGGCCAGTACTGATACTCTCTGTACGGGAACCTGTGGAGATGTCGAGTGATGTTGGGACGAGTCCATGTCGGAATTAGGAGTTGTGCGGGTGAAGAAGGTATAATGCAGCGCGGAGTGTCGCTGGGCACGATCAGCATGCCCGAAATTGATCTAGACCGAAATTCTGTCGCGGAGTATAGTCCTCCGTATTTAACCCCAGGTTTTCGGCTCTGCAAACGGCATCCATGCTTGCTGCACAGCAGGCGACTCCTCGGGCAACTCCTATCTCCGCGTCGAGACCTGTTCTTGAAGCGAAGACTTGTTTGCCAGCGGTCCGTTGCAGTTTTTACCAGCGGTCCGCTGCACTGATTGTTCAGCTCATTCGGTTAGTGCAGTCTGCCTCCCCACCCTACCACTGCTATTCCCTTCCACTATGGAAGACGATTGACTTTGTTGCTCTTGGTTGGCATCATGGACGCCATACTAACTGGACCATCCAAGTGGGTTCAGGCTTCCTGCACTGTCATCTACGGCTTTGTACTTCATGACCATCGGTGCCATGGATTTCGTATTGTTGGGCGAAACATCCAGTATAGGCCTCTGAGCGCACCCCACCGCTCTCGCAACAGCAACACAATCGGTTCTCGGTATCGTCATGAACATTACCATCCCGTGTATGGTCAACCCGGATGAGGCGAATTTGAAGGGCAGAGTCGGGTTCGTGTTCGGCGGTTTCGCTGCAATTGCGACATTTGGTTCGTGGCTGCACGTTCCGGAGCTCAAAGGGCGAACGAACTGTGAGGTTGACACACTGTTCGCAGCTCATGTACCGCCGAGGAGGATGGACTCCTATCAGCTCGATGAGACGAATGCGTAAGGGAACAAGAAGGTAGAAGAATATGTTGCATTATATGATTGGGTATCGTGTACATGTGTGCCTGCAGCTTTAAAGAAACCAGTCACTCAATCTTTCGTCCCAAATATGCGGAGTGGGTTCACCGCAAACTTCACCTGGTTTAGTGGCCGTCTATACCCTGATCACGATGTTGATACCTAAACCCCGCGCTTCGCGAATGCAGCAAGCAAGGCATGATCTTTCCACGCGCCCAATCAGGGCATGGAGTCCCTTCTCGGCGCACCAAGCTCTTGCAAGTAACTGGGAGTCTGGTGTACTCCGAGCATCAAGAACAAGCACGGTTTTATGGTAGTTGTGGCCTGTACCTTCTTCGTGCCCATCTCTCAAAAGAGTTGAAGATGAACAGGTCGGCAGCTTGTTTGCAGACACTGTGAAGGGTGTCATGAAGTTTGAATCCAGGACACTCGTGACAGGCACAATTTTGTGATGGTAAGACATATGAAGAGGATGCGCAACTACTGGTCCTGTCATCGTTGTCGAAATCGCCTGCTCACTGTCCCACTCAGTGGCATAGGTACGCTGCGGCCCGATATCTGCCGCCTCTGGAGGGTGTGATAGAAGAGGTTCGAAGCCATGACTGTTGCGACGGGATAACTTGGTGCTGACGCTTCGCTTTGAAGACGTGTGTGATAAGGTGCCTGTCACTGAGCGTTTGGCAACATGTCGCGGGCTTGCGGTCGACGTGGAAGCTGGCGCAAAGCAAGGCCAAGATGTTACAAACTGCACTTCGTGTGTGAGAGTCAGAACATGGTCCTCAGTGCCATCACCGTTTCGGAAGGTAAGCGATGGCGTATATATATCGCTTTCGGTTGGGGGTCCCAATCCCGTGTCGTCGTCGATCAGATCAGTGTTGAGTGGCGTCAGATCCCATTGTACAAAGCGGACTGGCGCCTTGGAAATAGCATCAAGGTCTTTGGGCATAACTAGGTCTGTAGACTTGACCGAGATGTTTGTATCGGCTGGCAGGGCAGATGAGTCTGCTGCTACCAAGTCCTGTTCAGGTTCTATGCGTGACCTGATTGGTGATTGCTCGCTGCGTATAGAATGCCAACCCTCGTATGCGCCCTCCGGCAGCTTGTCCACATGGATCCAGCCCATGCACTCTTGTGCTTTCTCGGTGCATGCAAAAACTCGGCCAACGATGGACGCTTTACTCCACCAGGTCTTGCCTTGATAGATGAAACCACCGTATAGATCTGCCGAGTCGCCAAGCGTAGAGATAGCAAGCTGATCGTTCTCTAGAAGCGTAGATATCAAGAAATGAGAAATAACCTCTCCGGGCATAATCATTCCTGTGAGGAATGAGCGGCTGAGCCACCCACCGATGTTAATTATTGCCGGTCTTGGACCATCTTCTAGCGAGAGGAGCGTCGTGGATAAGGGAACGCGCAGTGATCGTGAGTTGTTGCGCCTCACTGCTGGTTTTTGGATCCGCCCGAAATAGTCATCTAGTTGATGGCTTGCCGAACGTGGGGTCTGTAGGGGAGTTCCATATACACTAACGACGGAAGGCGTTGTGGGATTGAAAGACCACGCACTTGGGGAAGACGGTTGTGTTGTACGCTCAGTGTTCTGATCGGCCACTCCAATTTTCTCTGCCAAAGACTTGACGATTGAGTCCATGGTTGGCCATTTGATCGACTCGGCGAAGTGAAGGAGCCCTGCCAGTTGACGCGACTGATGTTGCGGCAGAAGAATGATGTCAGATCTGGGAAGTTCCTTTGGTGTGCTCCCGCCAAGGATCGAAAATAGTCCACGTCGTTCTGGCACTGGTGTTAAAGCACCATTGTCGTTGCCCTTGATGACCAAAATATTCTCCAGGAACCTGCGTGCCAGGACCATGTCCCAGTCTGTCTTCCTTGTGGTGAGGCTGGCGAAAGTTTCTATTTCTTGAGCGCTGACATGCGTCTGGTCTTCTACTTCGCCAGCGCTCGTCGCTGAGATCGCATCCAATCTAAGCAACAGTTCGCAGGACAGGCTAATTTGAAGCAACAAGATATCGCGTTCCGTCCACAGAGGTCTGGATTCGCCTTCAGGCACAGGCTCAGGATCGCTAAAAAGGATTTGACCAAGCCTGATCCTCCACTCCACCAGGCTAAAGTCGTGCCAGATGCCTTTCAGATGCAAGACCCTGAGAATAGCAAGGATTTGAACTTGCAGACCTGTGGGGTCAAGATTCGCTCCAGTATAGCCAGGCGGTGTCAAGAATGTACTAAAGAGGTGTGCATACAAGTCTCCGAGACTCTGGTTATTGAGAATCGTGATGCGTTCTGGACTTCCTTGGAACGCTTCGTACAAGTCCTGAAACTCGATAAGACGGTCGTACACAGAGTTCATATCCACAGCGCGTATGCCAATGCGCTCAGGGTTGGTCTGCATGAGCTCTTTGTTCCTGGCAATCTCAACAAACTCCTCGCTATCCTCGTCGTATTGAGGATCCGTGACAAGATTGTCCGCTCGAGGCAATTCGACAAAGTGGGCGAAGCCGACGCTGCCCGGTTCAACGCCCTGTGCACTGAGCCAGCTTGGCATTTCGACAGCGTTCACGTGGTACACATGGTGTTGTTCCTCCCCACCATGTATTGTCTGGCCTGTCGTAGTGTACGTATGCGTTGTCGCAGCCATATACGATGGCTGTGCTGGGTGGATCGAGTCGGTGACGTCGTCATGCTTTACATCGTTGTCCCATGGATACGAAACGCTCGGCGACGGTTGCCCGTTCACGATCTTGACACTGAATCTTGGAGCACCTGAGAAGAGCGCATGTATGGCCTCTCTAGTCAGGAGATCGGACTCTTCATCCTTCTCCATTGTTAACTTAGAGTGCGACGGTGTGCCCTCAGCTTGATCTGTGGATGCAGCGAGCTGTGGAGCGTCGACGCGACTCTCCGTTCGATCCAATTCAATGTTGTCGATGTCCTTCTGTTGATGTTCTTTCGGTAGCATCAAATCATTGGACGTTTCTTTGGCCTTGTCGAGCGGGGCCGCCCTAATCGAGTCGAAAGAGCTCCCTAACGGCTCAGGATTTGTTGTCTTGGTTTCCTCAGGACCTCGAGACTGTTGCAGGGACAGTGTCTCGTCTGCACTTGTCTTTGTCTACAATTCAGAATATCTCGTTAGCGGGAGTGCGTGAGCAGCGGGGTTGCAAGACAGACAAAGAAGGAAGGAAAGTGGGCGGGCGTACAGGTGCTTCATCGTACTGCTGTGGCTTCTGTTTCCTTATTGATTTCGTACGAAAGAACTGCGAGATCCGTTCTCTTTTGCTCCTCTTCTGCTCCAGTTTGATACCATATCTTTCATCGTTCAGTTGCCTGCTCAGTCGTCGCAACATGTCGACAAGCAGTAGTGGGGTAGTGAAGCATGCTGGCTGGATGCCTCAGGAGATTTAAAGTAGCATCCCTCGCAGTCAACAAATCTCCTTGACTTGTTAGGCGACATGATCCCACCTAACACATCAAGCAGGGCAGATACCCTTGAACTCGAGTCCCTGATCGCTGGAATGGTGCCGCTCCCTGGTGAACATCCTAGGCGATCGCCCAATGACGTGTGAATAATGCACGCAAGCACGCGCCCACCTGAAGCGCACCAGCAGCTGGCTGCAGCTCGCAACACAACAGTGCTCACCGCGGACGCAAGGATGACCAGCGATTCAGCTTTGCGCAAAGCAACGCGTGTCCGCGGCAGATACAATGCAACTGCACAGCGCGGTCGTCATGGCGCTATTTCTGTCCGCCCATCGATAGACGACGGTTACCGTTCCGCCGCTGTGGGCCTTCTTGGCATGAGCGGGCACCTTCTCGAACAAATCTCCCCAAAACAGGGAAGCGTGTCGAGGCCCTTTCTCCCATGTTGCAGCCAAAGCCTGGAAATGTTCAGAGTGATTGTAGCTATAGTACAGGATGAGGAAAACTACTTGTAGCCTTGTAGCTACTTGTGAGTCGACAAGAGGGCGGCAGGCACGGCTTGACTACCTCCGATAATTTGGGCAATACCTGCTTGTCTCCGGCTTGTTTCGCTAACATGAGAGCCTTTCCGATGGCCGCTCACATCCAAGTTTCGCACCCTACAATACCCATAAAGAATTCTTACGAGTACAATGTCTGAATCAGCGGTCTCGTGCACAAACACGGATTGGTTCTTCGAAAACATTTGAAACACTCGTACGTCTTACACAACGCTCGTCTGGCACATTGCATCACATGAGCTCAAGGCCATTCACGTGGTCATATGGCTATCTTCAATCTCAATTACCAACAACTCTCAGTTGATGCTCTGTTGGTTTGTTTTCTCTTTGTCTGCCTTGCAAAATCAACAACGCAGCTCGATCTCTATACGCTCTGTTCGAAGATAACACTATTCGCTTCTGCAATATCGAACATCATCCTTCTGAACAAAGTAAGCGCCAACAGAAAAGTCAGCTCTTCCCATTTGTACAACAGGCATCACAAATCGGTCTGAAAATTCTCTTCTAAAGTAATACCAACCTTTCCAAGTACATTGCTCTAGGTAACAGCATCATGACTGCGTCAATTGCCGTCAAAAGTCAGACCCTGGCAGCCAGTGAAGATATCATCCGCTCCGACTCCCCTACTTTTTTGCAGACGACCTCACGCGTGGGCTTCTTTGACCGGTAGGGTAGGCGAGTATCTATTGCGCCATCCATTACCCCCTCAACCGTTGCCGCAGGAACCTCATGTACGGACTCCTGTGACCGATGTAAGGAATCGAAGGCGCAATCTGATATCAACTAAAGCATGTTGAACAACTGTGCTACTGACTTCAAGATCAAGGAAGCTGAGGCGGAGGCTGTCAAATGCATGGTCAAGAAGCTGCAAGCTCAACTAGACTAGGCAGACATCAAACTTCATCTGGAGCAGGCGCGCTTCAATCGTGAGCTCAAGGCGAAGGACAAGCAGTTGGCTGAATAGGTTGCTGAATCTCTACTGCACGTCAATACGTCTAAGGAACTCGCAGCCCAGCTGACTAAACAGCACAAAGAGCTCACTGAAGCTCATGTACACGAGAAACAGCAGGTCGACGCTATGCAGACCGGCCACCGACAAGAGCTCGCTTCTTTTAAAGCTAAGCTCGAAGCCAAAAATCAAGAGATTGCGTGCCTTCAGGGTAAGCTGAAAGAGCAAGAGGCAGCAGGGAACAGATTCGAGGCAGAAGCTAACGACAAGATTGCACAGCTCAATGATATCTGTGTCGTCTGAAGCAAGACGTCGAAGGCGAGGCTGCCAAGCGTGCCGCAGAGCTGCAACTTCAACACGAGAAGCAGTTCAACAATGATTCCACAAAGTGTCGCGCCCGTATTGTGGACTTGAAGCCGAGAACAAGAAGCTAAATGCACGGCTCTCGATCGAAGATTATTTGAATGACGAAGATGGTTTGTTAGATGAGGTCGAAGAAGAAGGCACAGATGGGATTGCTTTGTGATGACCTGCTAGGTACTCGCGTACACAATTGCTAGAGTTCACACGATTTAAATGACGGTTTGATTGCACAGAGCTGCACGATTCGACGAATTCCGCGCTAGTGAGGGCACACGAGTCATGTCATCATGCCTAGGCGCGTCGGTAAACACGAGCAGACGCGTTCAACGACTTCAACACGACGTCATGGTATGTATCATATCACAAGCTGCAAGTCAGTCATACTAATTCTTTTGAGGCGCGGATCCGCGCGGGCGACAATGGTGCAAAGAAGCGAGGAGACAAGCCACCTAGGAGCCGCAACAGCGGTGCGTCCGCAAGCCAAGTCGCAAAGCCTGTAGCAACTGCGAAGAACAGCAAGAAGAGCAAGAGAGTGGAGAGGTCGCAAGATGACGATGAGGAGGATGAGCTCTTTGTAGCGGAACAGACGCAGTCGCAATCTTCTCAAACACGGAAACGCAAAGCCCATGCTGGAGCAGACGAAATCGCCGAAGAGCCTGCGAAGGCGCAGAAGAAATACGTGCAGTTGGAATCGAAGACAAAGAGGATACCACAGGACATAATCGAAACATGGCCACACCTGCCCCAGCAAGTCTTGGACCATATAAGTGCTGTCATCAAAGACGCAAAGAAAGACATCGCGAACACACAACGAGATGAACGCAAAGTCATGGCAGCACACAACACATTGAACCCACTCGTGAAGAGGCTTATGCGCCATCTTTCGGCCTCAAAGATACCACCTCAGGCTCGAGACATTCACTTCAACATCGACAAGCTCATAGAGCGCAACGGACAGGTCTTTCGAGACGTAACCGCCGCCCGCCATTCAAAGCAACTGCTCAGCGAACAGGTCAAGGTGACACAGAGTCTTCTGACAAGGGACGATGAGCATTTGGATGAGCTCAAGAAAGATGCGAAGAAGTGGAAAGCAGAGTGGAAGCATCAGCAAAGACATGGGCGGGTATGTATTGGCGACTGAGATCGTACACTATCCACACTAACTAGGCACAGATCCACCCCCTTCTACGAGACAACGAAGACATGAGTACTGATGGTGACGGTCCGGACGACATTCGCCTGAGACGAGGAGCTGCTATAGATACCTCTGCGCTCGATGCGCCCGACGCTGAGCTTGCGCCAATCCTTGAACAACTCCAACGCAGTCTCGAGAACATGCAGGGAAATCATGCGCAGGTAAAGGGCATTGATGGGGCGATAGCAGATGCGCAGACAGCACTAGACGACGTGCTTTTTAGACATGCCAATGCACAACAGTACGCTGCGCTGTGAGCTATTGGCATGCAGGTCCAGTCTACATTGGGGCGTCTCAGGAGTTCTGATAGGTGTATATGGATATCTGCAGTGGCCATATGCGTGCAGCAATGCGGTGAGCATGGGACAAGGCCTGTTTACTGGAATGTATCAAGGCGTTTTGTGGGATTGGCGCATCTGTCCAATACATGGGAACGAGCTCTGTACGACAGGGACGGTCCGCGGCCACCATGTGGCTCCATACGCAACAAGGCCACATCGTAATGCAGAGGGGCGAAGTTGGCACATTGCTATTCATGTGCCACTTATAGCAATAACAATACCGGTGTGATGGTCATCGGAAGGGGTGCATGCAGATGGACTGCAGGTGTAGACATCGTCAGCTGTAGTGCACTATTGATACACGTGATGGGACCCACACCCCCCAGCTACTGAGCTACTGCCGGGCACCAGTCATGCTCCCACAGGGCGCTGCGGCTCTTCGGTAGAACTTCTGCGAACTCAGCGTTGCCCAGCCCGCCGTCGTCGAAGCGGGACGTCCTGAAAGTTGACAGCGGTGACAGGAACTTTGTGGGCTCGAGCGCAGGTCTCCAACCCCGCTGCTAAAGCACGTTTGCGGAGAATCCGACGTTCCGGTTTCTCCTCTTGAGCGTCGGCTAACCACGCGACCATGAACATTCACTGATCGACGCCTATATACCAACTTAGCTCTCATCTACTACACACGCTGCGGTGTGACCCAGGAACGTGCTCCACTTGCCAGCTTGATTTGCTTCTTTTGGCGTTCGCACGCGTAACAGACCCATCTGTACCACCCCCAAGCGCCCAGCATTCAGCTCTGAAACCCACCCACACCACTACGGTTGATGCCGGAGGCTGCGCGAAGATCCAATGGAGCAGCCTCGCCTAATATGACAAGTGCCAAAGAAGCAGATCAGGGGAAGGATGCCTCCACATCAAATGTGTCCAAGAGTAGATCACCGTCCAAGGACAAGTCAACGTCTGCGCCAGGGTCTGATGCGCCTGCGCGGACCTCGAAAAAGCGCAGAAAGGTCAATCATGGTAAGACTTCCATGCTGTGCCCTTGTGATGCTCTTGATAGTCTTTGCTAACTTCTTTGCTTCCAATCAGCGTGCATATATTGCAGACGTTCGGTAAGCCGCAGCCGTCTTCCTGGCATCCAAAACATGGCGTTCTGTTGCGTTACGACCTTTTGCAATACTTGCTAACATAGCCATCATCAGCATATGACCTGCGACCTTGTGAGTGGATCCAGCGTCTTGCTCTCTTCTCCGAAGCTAACCTTTGCTGTTTATAGGAGCGACCATGTACGAGATGTGTCAAGAGGAACATTGGGCATCTCTGCCATGATGAGCCTCGTGAAGGCGTCAAGAAAGCCAAATCAGAACCTGTGAATGGTAACGCTCAGAGCGAGGCTCCTAAAAGCGGAGTACCCGCCTCCGATACCGCCTCGCATGCCATGTCCCAGCAAATCAGCGCTCCTGATGCAGGGCTGAACCTGGCGCCTCCTCACCTGCCTCCCAGCAGAACTGCCAGTACGTCTTCGATCACGCAGGCCAACCCCGTATCCGCGCCACAATTACCTGGAGTGGCGTCTGGCAACCAGTCTTGTAAGTTACACGTGTTCCCGGCTCTTCACACTCGGCCTCCTACTGAACCCTCGCAAGTCTTGAACTACGATGACCTCCTTTCTTCTTCCCAAAATAACTTTCAAGATATGCACCATTTTCACCCTTCATATATGTTCAACACATCAGAGGTCAGCAATGAGTACAATCTGTTCAACGACTTCCTGAACAACAATCTCATGGATGACGGCTCTTTCTACGGAGGTGGGGATCTTCACACCCTATTCTCCGACGCATCCTTGATGAACCCTATGGGTACCCTGACCAACAATGCGACCTTCGACCCCAGTACATCTAGAAATCCTCAGCTACTTCCGCCACCCGCGCAAACCACTGTCAGCAAATCTGTCCAACGGTCATCAAATAGCGTTACCGCTGACAAGGCGCGAGAGAGGTACCTTATGGCGGCTGCTGACCCAGCTGGTAACGACAGTCCTGAAGAGCGCATGAACAAGTTGCTCAAGGCCAAGATGGACGCTGGTTTACTGAAGCCTTTCAACTATGTTAAGGGCTACGCAAGGCTGAACCAGTACATGGAACAAAACTTACAGCAAATTTCGCGCGTGCGAATACTACGGCAACTTGACAGGTTCAGGCCGAAGTTCAGGGAACGAGTATCGAAGCTGACCGATATGGAACTGGTGCGTGTAGAGATGTGGTTCGACAAGAGCTTGATGGAATATGACCGTGTCTTTGCCAGCATGGCGATACCCGCGTGTTGCTGGCGGAGAACGGGCGAGATATACCGAGGGAACAAGGAGATGGCACGTCTCATTCACGCGCCAATGTCGAAGCTACGAGACGTGAGTGCCACATCCATACACCATGTTCGATCGTCTCAGGTACTGACTTCAACCGCAGGGTAATATTGCGCTGCACGAGATCATTGCTGAGCCCTCGCTGGTGTCCTACTGGGAGAAGTTCGGCGCTATCGCCTTCGATCATACCCAAAAGGCCATTCTCACTAGCTGCTCTCTTAAGAATCCCGATCCGAACTCTAAGGACCCTGAAATCCGATGCTGCTTCTCATTCACCGTCAAGAGAGACATGTGGAACATGTGAGTATTCTACATCGATCCGATAAGGGGCTTGCTGATGTGATGTAGACCGGCATTGATTGTGGGCAACTTTCTTCCGATTACAGAGCCAATCTCTGGACCTTTACCGACCTCTTGATACCGTGCGAAACGTTTTCAATTGTACAGATACCGAGTGCACTTTCTGAAAATAGCGCATACTGGGGTGCTATGCAGACTATGTGAGCGTTCGTTAGGAAAAGGTGTCGCATTCTAAGGTCAACAGCCTAATTGTCTCGTTGCAAGGTTTTCTGTTCACATATACCAGCGTACAAATTGCGCACATCACATGCATTCTTTTTTCTTGTTGCTTTTCCTGGACCAATGCTCAAGTTCTCGCGTGTTACGCCTCTTTGTTGTTGTTGGTCAGCTCTGGCTCGTAGAAGGCAGGCACGACTCCACCCAACTTCCCTCTCGACACCTTCACCTCACCACCACATCGTTGCTTGATCTGCACTCACAGCATGGCCCTGGGTCAGTCTGCGGCAAAGCTTGAGCGCGAAAAGAAAGTGCAAACGGTCATTGGTGAGTGCCCTTTGCCACACCCGTCGCATGTCCATCCTAATGACTTGCAGCTTTCGCCTCTAGCCTCACCTCACGCCTCGACAAGCCCCAAAAGCCAGCGCTAGTCACCGACCTGCAAAATCACATACGTCACCTGCCGCTCCAAGCTTCGCCAGCGGTGACCGCGAAACGCGATGAGCTTGACAAACTAGGCACCGAGCTCTGGAACCTGTCCACACGATTACGGCGTGATGAGCCTGCCCATGATGGAAACCCCAAAGACGGAAACGCTCGTAATAGCAGTATTGTTTGCCTCCTGCGTGCATACGCCTTCTTGCTGCTCGACTCGGCTGGCAGCCAGATGGTCAAGGGTCGAGAGCGCAAGTCTTGCATTCGACTAATGAAGGTTGCGCTGAAAGCGGCGAAAGCATGCATACTAGGCAAAGATCTGGAAAGCGCTACGAGGGTGCTCGAAAGGGCTGCAACATACGAAGACATCCTGATTGGCAAAGGGCAACATGGCGACAGTGATGACGCTGAAATCGCGAAGCGCCTGCGTCTTGAGTACTTTGCCATACGGACTGTTTTAGTAAGTCCATGTCATTGTTGCCTTTGAAAGTAACACGCTAATGTGAAACCGCTAGGCCTTCCGTCAAGACCGCCTCGATATGGCAGAGCACATGTTCGCGAAGTGCAAGCAGATCGACAGCAATCCCACTCCTGATACGGCAGAAGACATAGCTGACCTGTTGTACGAGATCGGAAAGCAGGCCTCGACGGATCGCAACTATGAAGCCGCGGTGAAGTGGCTAGAGCGTGCTTGTAACATGCTGGGGGAGCAGGACCTTGGTATACTTAGTTCTGAGGCTGTTGAACTAAGACTATGCATAATGCAAAGTCTCGGTGAGTTCTTTGATATTTTAGACAGGGCAAAACTGAAGCATGATGTAGTTCAGGCGCACATGAAGCTGGAGACGGCCAACGCAACTGACAAGGCGTGGCATCTGGTCAAGCTCATGGAGGCTGATTATGGAGACAAGATGGCGGTATCCTTGCTCAAAATTGAATTGCTTTCAGCAGCTGAGCACGTTGATGAGGACGAGTACTATCAAGGTAAGTTGGCCTCAGACTCAGAGATTTATACTGATCAAGAAAGTGCTCGCTCGGATGATCCGAACCATCGTACTCAATGACACCAACTTCAAGACACTGGTGCATCACATACAAAAGTTGAAGGACCTTAGGTGCGAGGGTTCGGTTTGATTGTGGAAGACAAGCGCTGAACATGGACAGCAATGTGTATGCGTGCAAAGCACTCGATGACTTGATAAAGACTCGGTTACTTCGAGAAGAGAACGGACCGTGGATCGAGAAGGCTATCATCACTCGTATTTGGCTCAGCACAAGTGATGTCCACGCCGAGAATGCTCTTGAGCAGCTGCAACAGGTGTTTGACATTGTGTTGCAAGAGTCCAACTTCTCGCTTTCGGCTCCGGCAACTCATGCTGCGCAAACGCTGCTCTGGAAGAAAGTCGAGGAGATGGCAGCCCAAGAGCAGCACGACACGGTTGAAGCTTGGTGCCGACTTTGTCTGCATTCTCTGCTCGAGAAGGCCGGTGCCCAGAACAAGGTCAAAGTCACAAGGCGCGATTGCCCAGCCATACTTCTACCAATACTCAGTGGCTGACCGCTTGAAGGAAGATCATCCAGTCCGCACTTTCGCGACAGGATTACACAGCTGCCCGCGATGTGTACTGTGAAGTACCTGAGACTGGCCGAGACGAACCGATTACAAGGTATTTGATGTACAAAGTAGGCATCAGAAGTGGAGATGCAGCATTTGGTAAGCACCTCATCATATGTTGATCGTTCGTGGGCTGACAGTGCCAGCTGCCGAGTGCTTAGATGTTGTGTGTCGAAACTCTGCGAAAGATGCGACGCTCCTCTATGCTTGTGTTATGGAGGCACAGAGCATCGGCGACAAGCGACAGGCAATCAATGCCCTCGAACGCGTCCTGGACAAGTATGACTACACCGCACCTGCTGGTATTCACCTCCCTGCGCTCTTAAGGTAAGGTTACAAATAATTCTATCTCGACTGTTCTGACCGTAAGTAAGGGTTACACTGAGGCTTCTTCAGTCGGAGTTCATCAAGGATGGTACAGTTGACCACGAGATACTGGATCAGTTATGTGCAGTATTCGAAGGCGCATATAACCAGGCCAAAGCATCCCGACGCAGACCCAGCACGCCTGAACAACAACTTTTCACTGCACAAGAGCTCGAATGGTTTTCGAAGAACTCGTACAACTTTTCATTAAAGCACTGTGCTGAGATACCTCCGCAGAATCTGGTCAGGCTGCTGAACATATGCGCTGAGGTCAGTGATGGAAAGTTGGTGTCACGATATCCTTACTGATAAGCATCGCAGTTTATCAGATTGCTGGAAGAGCAAGAGCAAGAGCAGTCAGCAGCCGCTGCTGATCTAGGCTTGCGGCTTGCCTTTTGCGAATTCCTTACTGCTTGTACGTACACGACGTTGGCTCGAGCAGAAGACAACCAGGAAGCTTACGTGAGTCTCACAAGCTTCTGCACTGTTTGAAACGCTGACATTGCAGCTTCAATACTATCTCGAAGTACGCAAACATTGCCAGGACTTTCGCCGTGCCGTACTCGGAGGTGCAAACAAGTTGAGCGGAGCAGCGCAAGACGACATTCTATCGAAGCAGCTACAGGTAGTGAAGCTTGAGCTCGAAGCTGCCTTGAAGTTGCAGAGATGGGATGATCTGGAAGGTCTCTTTGAGCAATGCTGGAGTTGCAAGAGCTCAGATCGTTACGAGACACTTGCAGACCTGGTACTCGTCATTCATTCGTGCCTCGTACAAGCCAACGTTGATCATTCATACCAAAGCAGTGAGTCATTAGGACAAATTTCTTGGAGGATGGTGCTAACTACTTTTTAGAAGTTCTATCGATGCTGCAGAAGATCATCAACCTGACATCTCGACAAAACGGCAATGATGTCGTAAGACTCTCACGTTGGCTCCGATGTCTCTTCAATCTTACGCTCCCATACGATGAGAACATCAGCCTCAAATGCCTTGATCAAGTCACGCAGATTGCAGCAAAGAAGCATCGGGTACGTTCAACCCCGTGAAGCTCAACCTTATTGTTTTCTAAGCACACTCAGCATACGCACCGATCCGGTACTCCATTGTCGTTCATGGCAACCCCTCCACTATCAAGTCCTGTAAAACTCGAAGATGATGCAGACTCAGCTGACGAAGAGCCCAAGCAACCCGATTGTTACCCAGCTACAGAGCTTGAATGGATGGCTACGTCATCTTTCAACCGCGCAATTGACTACTACGTAGGAGACAATGACGCAAAATGCAAGCTATGGGCCGAGAAGGCAATGACAGTCGCGCAGTGGCTCGAGGACGATGGAAAGCTCAGAGATCTGCTGATGGGGAAGTTTTCGGCCTTGCAGTTCAACAAGTAAGTCCCACTGGGTCCGCGTCTTGACGTCCTACCGCCATGCTGAGCGTCATCGAAATGTCGATTTTCAATGTACCGGGACAATTCCAATAGCTTGTTGGCAGATAATATCATCCGACACCACAGCAAACTCTCGCTTTGGAGACGACATGGCCAGTGTCACTGGCGATCTTCTCTAAACACGGAAAGACGCAGAAGGCGAACTCGCGTTGTGCGTACGGCTCGCCGCTCTCATCCATGGCGGACTCTAAATCGTTGACAGGCTCCATTGCGCGATCGTCGAAATGGTGGCATTTTCCATCAAGAGTGTCGAAGAAGATGACGCGATAATCTTCCTTCTGAAGACACAGAGTACACTGCAGGTCCGCAGCCAGGCTCATAGTCCCAACCAACGCCAACCGAGCGCTCGACGTAAGCTCTATAGAGGATATCGACAACATGATAGCCTCAAATTCGCTAGCCAATCGCTCCAGCTCTTGATTCTTCCAACCGAGAGTTGTCGCTGCCGGCGCACCTTTCTCAATCATTCGAAGTGTCGCACGCTTCCACTCCCGGAACTCGGTGCCAGTATGTTGCGAACCTTCAGCGAATACTCTCAGCCCAGCATAGATACCCTGATCTGGCATGCCGACAACCAAAGAATTATCGAAGATTCTCATGAGTATGCGTGATACGATGGCTTGGTATAGCGCCAGTTTGTCAGCTGCCTCAATCTCCTTGTAATTAACCTTGATAGATCGCAAAATTCGCACACTCGCATCAGGAAGATTATCAAAGCTCATCTTCGTACGCCGATAATTTGACACAACCAATTCTCTCACTCGGTTTGCAAGCTGCGAGAACGACTCTGCAAGCTCGCTGTCGCTGGCTTGCGAGTCCGTGCGCGTGAGGGATGAGATGCTGGATTTGAGCGACAGGAGCTGTTGGAGGCGCGCATGGGATTCTTTTTCGGTCTCGTGGAGACGGAGAGTTAGGGCGTTCCAGTCTGCTTCGCTGTGTAGAGGCTCTGAAGGGCGTGTTGATGATTGTGTGATGAGTTGGTCTTGGAGCAAGGCGAGGCGGTAGCGGAGGTTGTGGTTTTGGTTGATGAGGTCCTCTTCGCGGTCGTTTATTTCATCGTCGCTATCCGGATGATTGTGTTGATGAGAATCAATGGCACTCTTTGGTGTTGCTTGCCGATGTGCTTCGGCAGCCTGATATCTGGAGACCTCGACGGAAGCTTGTGCATCTTGCTTCACTCTCTCCAGCTCATGTCTCAAAGCAGCTGTTTCGTCTTGAGCAGCCGCAAGCGCCTTTTCGAGCTCGGCGAGCCTGTCGTCTTCTATAACGGGTGGATTCTCATGTTTCAATGATCGACTTCCGTCCGCGGCAACAATTATGTTGGCAGCTACAGAGCTGATATTGCCACGTGCACCATGACTTTGAGGTGTTCGAGTTGCACCTGATGCAGGAACGTTTAACAACGCATGTCCACCATCTTTTTCTTTCGGCGATCCACGCAGCATATCATGGAACGAGTTCTTATGCCGTTGCACTTCATCTTTCTTCACCTTTGATGCGCCAACAGCAGCCTTAGGTGGTGCACTTATCGAAGGCGGCGATGATGACTTGCCTAAGGTCTTCGAAATCAACTTTCCTCCACGCTTGACGCTGAGTCTACTAGAAAGATCTGCTCTTGTCAGTATTGATCCAGACCCATGCAGCAGCTTGTGTGACGTCGACACTGACCAGAGCTCTTCTTCTCGCCGGTCATAGCTTCGACGCGTTCTTTCCGATTTCAAGGTTTCATTTCCCGAACACCAACCATGCTTGAACCTTTGAAGAATATGGCCGCAGCACCGAACACCTTAAAGTGTTGCCTGATCGATCTCGTGAGGGATGACTACCGATACGGAGCACAGCGGGGCTGCGCCGCAGCCACACGCGACTGATGATCGACCAAACCGCAGCTGGGCGCCCAGCGTGTAACTTTCCGCCGGCTTCAGGCTTCACTTTCGCCCAAGTGAGCTCTGCCGGTGCCTGAACTTTGCAATGCTTTCCAGGCTGCCGTTTACTTGACCTCGAGGTCTCTTCGCTCGCTCAGCTGATTTCGAGTCTTTACCGCGATTGCTGGCTGTTGGCTGATTCGACCCCGCAACGCGCCCAGGAGCGACATCAGCTTATTAACGCGTTTACCTGTTGTCATTGAACCTTACAAGAGATGAGCATGTCACTTCCTTTCAGAGGGAGTAATGTTCCCTTCTCCTTCAACCCAGGGTCCAACGCGAATCTGGCGACTGGAGCAATTGGCGCTGCTTCGAGCGCGAGCGCTACTCAAGATCGTCTGATAGTTGGTGTCGACTTTGGTACAACATATAGCGGTAAGTCGCTTGCAATGTGCAAGTTGAAGGAGTATGGTGGCTGATTGGTGAAGGTGTGGCTGCTGTCTATTCAGCGACCCCGGACGACATCGACATTATCAAGACTTGGCCAGGCGGTAACGGTACGCTCCCTTCCGATTGCGAACAGACGAGCTTCGTGTGCTCACAGACCGTCAGGAATCACCTCAGACAAAGTACCTACCGAGATTGGCTATACCGAAGCACCCCCGTCGAACGGCTCTACGTCCTCCCTCGAAGCCTCCGCGAAGCCCGCAGCGAATGTCAAATGGGGGTTCCAATTCAAGCCCGAAGAATCGCGCCTACGATGCATAAAGCTTTTCCTCGATCGCAATCAGAAGCTCCCGCATTTTGTCTCGCCACTCGAGACCGCAGCGCAACTGCGCAAATGTGAGAAGACGGTCAATGAAGCCGTGGCGGACTACCTGTCCCAAATATATAAACACACAATGGAGACCCTGACGAGGAGATACGGAGAGACATTTATGAGCATGACAAAGGTACAATTTGTCCTGACTGTGCCAGCTGTCTGGTCAGACTCGGCAAAGGATGCTACGCTGAAAGCTGCTGAGAAGGCAGGGATGGGCAACAGACATGATCTCAAGATCATCTCTGAGCCTGAAGCTGCTGCGGTGTATACGCTCAAGGCCATACAACCAAACCACCTCAAGGTTGGAGATAACTTCGTTGTCTGCGATGCCGGTGGTGGTACTGTTGATCTGATTGCATACAAAATCACTCAATTGGCCCCTCTACGAGTCGAAGAGAGCGCTGTTGGAACCGGAAACTTGTGTGGCTCGGCCTTTCTCAACTACCGGTTTGAAGACCATGTCAAGCAGCGCATAGGCGCCGAACGTTATAACTGGATGCGCGAGAAGAAGGCGAAGACATGGAATATGGGACTGAAGTACTTCGAAGAGTTTGTCAAGCGCAACTTCAATGAGGACGAAGACGCCGAAGTCAATGTGCCCTTTCCCGGTCTACCTGATGACGAAGAGGCTGGACTTGATTCTGGGTTTTTGGTCATGAGCAGCGAGCAAGTCAAGAGCATCTTCGATCCCGTCGTACAAGAGGTCATTAACCTGGTGGAAGGTCAAGTGGAAACGATTAGAGCAAATGGCGGCCTTGTCTGTGGAATCGTTCTTGTGGGAGGGTTTGGACAAAGCAACTACTTGTATTCGCGTATGAAGACTCATTTCAACAGCGCACCCCCTCCACCCTACTCGGAACGACCGACTCACGCCATCGCCATGGCCGCCACACAATCCGTCGAGATATACCACCCTATACACGCTTGGACTGCGGTAGTAAGAGGAGCAGTGCTTCGAGGTCTGGAAGGTAGCATAGTAGTCAGCAGGAGAAGTCGATGGCACTATGGCACAAGCTATGCAACTGTGTTCGACGAAGCGAAACATCCCATATCTGACAGGTACTGGAGCCCGCTTTGGGAGAGGTGGATGGTCAGCGATCGTATGCAGTGGCATATTGCGAAGGTACGTTCACCAGGAAGTAGCAATGAGGAGGTTGTTAACATTGTACAGGGCGCACAAGTTTCTGAATCACAACCTATTTCGTTCCACTACACACGCAACTTCCGGCCTGGCCAGTCGCTGATTGTCGAAGACGACCTGATTGCATGCGACATGGATGTCGCACCGGACTCCTTCTGCAAAGGTCTCATCAACGTGTGCACGCTCACCACGGATCTAAACACTGTGCCGAAGAGTCTGTTTACGCGTTTGACAACGACCAAGGGCGTCGAGTTCGACAACCTGGACTTCACACTCGACATGCGGATAGAGAGTGCAGGCTTAGTCTTTGAGCTGAAAGTTGATGGTGTCAGATATGGAGGTGTGCAAGCCAAGTTCCACTGAACAACTATTACAAGCGCTGAGCTGGAGCATAAAAATCGCCAAGCGATTGGGCAAACAGCAAATCCCTGATGCGGTTTGCTTCGCACCCAGCAATACCCAGCCGGCAACCTTCGTGCCAGGCACTGCCAACATCTTCCTTGTTGAACAACCGGCTTCTGGACCTCTACCACAATATCAGCGCCATCTCCATCCTTCAATATGTATGTACTGTGTCGGATGAGATTCACAACTCCAGTAACATTATGGTCTCTTCCCGGCACGTCTACAGTCAGCGTCAGCCAAGGTGTAGCTGATAGGAAGGCGTAGGGAGCGTAAGGACAGTCAAAGCTATAAATCGTTGTGATGATGGCATGAGGGCAGTCTGTATGGACCCGAACATGTTGGATACACATCTTGTCGACAAGTGCATATTTTGGAATTGCAGAAGAGGTGGACTTCTTTAACGAGTAGACAGGTACGCATATATATGCGGCCCTTCTGATTTGAAGCTCACATCAAACAAAAAGTTATAATGATAAGAGCTGCTCTCCGTCAGACAACATGAGCACCATCGTGGTTGTGATGAAAGAATCGTAGCGTGACAATGAAGCAAGCGCGGCGCACGCCAAACGCGGGAGAGCAACGATCTCTGACAAGGGCTACATCCCGCAGATATGGTTCACACGTTCAGCATGCGCTGTGTTCCGCTGTAAAGTCGTTGCGGTACATAGAATTGGCCAATAAAGTGACATCATATGCTCGTTGAATATCGAGGCCACTACAACCCATGCGCGCCTCACACCTTACGATAATTCTCAGCCTGCACTTTCCCCTCTTATGTGTCCACCTGCATTTATTTTTACGTCCTAGCTACCCGCCAGACCGTCATGTTCGTTCCAAAAGTTCCCTCTAACGTCACATTGACGCGCTGCGCGTCGCGACTTATTCGTGACGTCAGCAGACAAGACAGTCTTCGCTGTATATCAACTGCCACACGACAGCCCCTCTTCCAGAACTACATAACAACTCGCAGACCTTTTATGCCAGCCCAGCAACGCGCAAACCAAATATCAAACCAACTTCGACAATCGTGTTCCACAATGAGCAATAACGCAGAGCTCCAGCAGTCCAGCATCTTCAATGTCAAGGACAAGATCGCCCTTGTCACTGGAGGTGGATCGGGTATCGGCCTGATGATTACACAGACGCTTGCTGTCAACGGTGCGAAGGTCTATATTGTTGGCAGGACGGAGGAGAAGCTTGAGAAGGTCGTTGAGGCTCATGGCAAGGATATCTCGGGTCAGATTATCCCTGTTGTTGGGGATGTGCAGACCAAGGATGGCGTCCAGTAAGTTATCTGACCTGCTCCTGAGTCCCTTTTTGCGGGACCGCTGTTCATGGTTTCCTGTTGGTAGTCTTGGGTTTACGGCTTGAACGCCTCCCGGCTCTGGTTCGAGGCTCTCAATTTCCCAAAAATGGGAATTGCGAGTTCCTCATCTTGGCCTCCGGGTTGGCGTTTGGAGTACCTCCGGGCTTCCTCATGAGATGACCAATCTTTCAAAATCGGGATTTGCGATTCTTGTATCCTGGCTCTCGAGCTAGTGTTCTGAATGACTCCAGGGTTTTATTTGGATTTTCTTATACTTGAGACACGATGCTAACAATCGCAAAGGAAGATTCTGAACGAGATCGAGTCGAAGGAGAAGTACCTAGACATCCTCGTCAACAACGCCGGAATCGCATACGGCAAGACTAGCACTAAGGTTGAGAGTGCTGAGGAGTTCTCGAAGAATATGTTTGGCGAGACAAGCGAGAAGGAGTGGCTTGACACCTACCAGACCAACGTCGTCGGTCCTTTCCTGATGGTATGATGGCACCATGCTTCAATTCCTCAAATTGACATCAGCTAATATATTTCTCAGGGAACTGCCTTTCTTCCTCTTCTCGCAAAGGGAACCGAGCAGACGCACGGCTGGTCCTCCACCATCGTCAACATTTCCTCGATCTCCGGCCACGTCCGCATTTCGCAAGACCACTTCTCTTACAACGCCAGCAAGGGCGCTACAATCCATCTTAACAAGATGCTCGCAACCGAAATTGCAAAGAACGGCATCAAGGTTCGCGTCAACAGCATCGCCCCGGGTGTCTTCCCCAGTGAGATGACCACCCAGGAGAGCAGTGACAAAACCCAGAAGTCGGAGATGCCGAAGGAGAAGAAGGAGGGTCTTCCTGCTCAGCGTCCTGGCAAGGACACCGACATGGCTCAGTCGATCATGTTCGTTACCACATGCCAGTACCTCAACGGACAGACGATTACCGTGGACGGAGGCTACTCCATGCAGGCCGGAAACTAAGTTCAGTGCCGCGACTACTCCATGCTTGCTGGCCAAAGACACCTTCCGCGCATCTTACCTTCTAGCTCACCGGTGAGCAACATGTGTATTACCTAGAATAGCAGGGTGAGGCTTGGGGATAGCGCCCATTTAGTCCAGCCGCATATTTAGATACGAAGCAATGAAGTCATGAACAAGCCATGTATTTTTTTCTGTAGTACAATCGATGGACCCGATTTGCCCTGGACATGCGAGAACGCACAAGTTGCTGAAGACCTCCGGGGTGTCACAAAGGTAGATCGAAACGTCTAATGGCTCTGGTCTAAGAGCAGATATGAAGGCATGAACGAGCCATATTTCTCTTCTTCAATCCAAAAGGGGTAAGCGACATGATAAGCAACGCCTCAAAGCTTCGTGCCTGACGATGTCTGGATCAGGAGCCAGAGTCAGGGGTCAGTGTGAATAAGGCCATGATTGGATCCGGCCGTTAGCGCTTGGCGTTTGCTTAACTTTTCGGCATTGACGGCTCCACTCCAGCTCCTCCACCTCGTAAGACTGCGCATTTTCGTACCTCGTGTCCAGCTGATCAGGAGCGTTTGCAATCTCGCTGATTATGGATGTTTCTGTTCGATGCGTTGTTGAACGCAGGAAACGCTTTCAACGCGACACGTCAGCTGATGGTAAACAACAATACGACGTTGACTACGCGCCAGCAAACTTCTTCATTCCACCGCATGATAAGGCGCCACCTCGGCCACCATTTCCGCCGTAGGCAAATCTCCGGGTCAATGGGATCTGCTTTGGAACCTCCATGATCCCTGCATTCGGGAACGGGCTTTGCTTTTGACGTAAACTGGCAGCCCATAGCGCCCGCTAAGGGTTAAAACGCTCAAAGTCGCTGGAACAACCTTGCAAACTGCCCATCAGGCCTCACTGCACGTGGTGGTGATTGGACATGCAAGGTATGAGCGGCAACAATAATACGGGGTCATCTAAAAATATGTCTACATAAGAGAGCTGCCCTAGACGTTTGGTGGGTTTCTCTTGTGTTGTCGATTGCATCTCGTTGTTTCGTCGTCGCATACATTCGTTCGTTTCCAAGTACAAGTCATTCGTTACAGAATCAATCGTAGTCATAATGAAGTTCGCTGCTGTCGCTATCCTTTCCCTCGCTGCGGGTGTCATCGCTCAGATCGACCCCGAGCACTGCGGTCCTAAGTACGGCAACCTGGTCTGCAAGGACAACAACTGCTGCTCTCAATATGGATGGGTACGTCATCTTCAATCACCTTAAACCAAGTCAATTCGACTAATGCATCACAGTGCGGCAGCACAAAGGATCACTGCGACGCCTCGACATGTTTGAAGTCCTTCTCCGCCCCCGGCTCCTCCTGCGCCCCTAAAGCCTCCACCACATTGAAGACCACTACCAAGGCCTCCGCACCCACTTCCGCCGCCCAGACCTTCCCCGCCTCCGTCCCGGTCATCGACGTCTGCGGCCACGCCCAAGGTGGCGTAACGTGCCCTGGCGCTGGAGCCAACGGCTACTTCTACCGCTGCTGCTCGACCGCCGGCCACTGCGGCCCCAAGAACGACATCCAGGACCAGGCGCTGTACTGCGGCGACGGCTGCCAGGCCGGCTACGGAAAGTGCGATAGCCAGAAGGCGCCCTCTGAGCCCACTGTTGCGAGAGGTGCGGATGCGGGTGAGGGCGAGACTTGCGGACCGATTGTCAACAAGAAGTGCAAGGCTGGACTCTGCTGCTCCGGATCCAACTTCTGCGGTACCGGAGATGATTTCTGTGGTGCGGCGAACTGGTGTCAGAAGAACTGGAGTGGATCTACAAACCTGTGCAAGGCATAGATGTTGGAAACAGTGCTGAGGGAAATTTGGATATGGGAGATAAACTAGAGGCAGTGTTGCGGTGATAACGGATCGTTTCCCGCCAGTAGAGAAAAGTTTAGAGGAGAAACGGAAACACCCAAAGCCATTGCAGGCATCTTTTTTGTCTCTATCGATCCGCTGGTGCACTGCTGTCTTCCCGGGCGCCGTTTCCACTGATATGGAAGAGAGTTTTCAGGATGCCAGAAGTCTGAGTACCTTCAGGTCACACTTTCAGCCAGACCCTTGCACCGCGACGATAAGAACATAGGGATGTCTCAATGGTACAGCTTGAGTGTATTTTCCGGATAGGTCTGTATGACGACCATGTCGCGATTGAATCTCGAGAGCGGCATTGAGGAGCACTTCGAAGCTAGATCCGTTTCTTCGTTCATTACCGTCACAAAGCTATGGATTATGACGATGGCACAAAGCCTAGCCTAACACATCCCTTAAGAGACGTGAGATACGCCATTACGGGCTGGTGTACCAGGTGCAGCGTGTGTCTCGACAACCAGATAAGCCCAATCAATTCGCGTAAGTTGGGTTTCATAGCGCGGTGTTGGTGGTGTTTAGGGTTGGAAGGTGGAAATGAGCGTGACGGTACCGAGTTAGTCCGCACACGCGACATCACGTGATCATATTTGCTATCTGCATTTGCGGCAACGTCCAGATTGAGAGTTCTTCACGATTTTGAAAGATGGAACTTGAGATTGAACGCGTATAGCAATATTGGCTTCTCAAGCGCCGGCTAAGCTCTGTGCCGTACCTATCCTCAAACGTATAGCCTTATTTCTCGTTGTATTGCTTTCTAGCCCATCCTTATGGATACGCAGCACCAAGAGACACCAACATTGTTCTTCTGTACGGGTGTGAAGCTACAATGCAACAAGCTTCAGCGTGCTATGGTAGTACAGGTTAAAAAAATACGGCCCCTTCTAATCATTCATCCATCCTAAGAAACAATCGTAAAAGATCCGCGTAAGCAAAAATGATGTGTTTCCGTCACGGGGAATCGAACCCCGGCCACATCGGCACTTAGCGATGAGAGCGATGTATCCTAGCCACTAGACCATAACGGAGATTTCTGATGAAAATCTAAACGAATATAATATATATATTCATTATGATTTTTGTTTGCCTGACGGCATCCCTGAGCGCTAGACCTTCGAAGTTAGATGCTGAAAGTTTAGTTGTGCGGGCTACCTCGGTACCGAGTGCCCCACCAGATCACTGACTTTGCCATGTTGATGTAGTAAGAAGCTTTTAGCAAGTGGTCTATATTCGTAGGGATACTGTCAAACTGACTGTGGGTATTGGGGGTTAACGAGAAAACAAACATGCCACCGCGCTCATTGCAGGAACGAACTCTCTCTTCTTGCACGCCAATCTTAGCAGCCTGCTGTTCATGTCGGCTTCGATGTCACAACCTCAGAGCTGTTGCGCTCCTTGAACCAGGCAAACCATGCAACGACCAAAGTAATAGCCAACACCAGGGCAGTCGTTGCTTCGGTCGAGAGACTCGTGGATATGCTTCGAGAGAGTCAAAGGGAGTTCTCAGACTTGTCACTGAGGGCGGGAATCTGCTGGTTGAGGTAGGCCTCAAGGTGGTCGATCTCGTCGGCATCTGCAGAATGTACCAGGCCCTTGTATGTCCTGAAGTCGACCTTGTATCCATGGCTTGTGAGCTCATCCGCGCTCAACTTGCCGTATTTGTGTGCAACAATTTGGTCGGCGTCGCCGTGTCCCATGAAGATGGGTGTGTTCTGGTTGGGGTTTTCCGTGGGGATCATGTCCTTGATCTTCTTCTGCAGCAGCAAGTAGCAGCTGAGACCGAAGATACCTCCCAACTGGTTCTTGTATGTGACGCCAGACAGCAGAGACATGGCGCCTCCTTGAGAGAAGCCACCGATAACGATTCGGCTCGCAGGAATGCCCTTTGCGACTTCCTCGTCGATGAGAGAGTGGAAGTAGTCACGGGACTTGATAATGCCCGCTTCGTCCTCCGCGCGGTCGGTGAGGGTGCTGAGGGACTTGATGTCGTACCATCCTGGCATACTCATGCCCATGTTCTATGGTTTTCAGCATACACGGGTTTCAGCGTCGTTGGTGTACCTACGAGGGTGATGGGAATGTTCGGCGCATTTGGGAAGATAAACGAGACTTCCTCAAACTTGCTGCGTCGGCGCCAGTTCTCTGCGAGGAAGATCCTACGCAATGTCAGTATGTCTCGGTACTACAAAACGATGCGACTTACCATCCTGCGCCGGAGTCGCCCAGCCCGTGAGCAACGATGACAGTCGCGGTGTGCTTTTTGAGGGCAGGTACGACGAAAGGTGCTCTTCCAGCCATGTTTCTGAACATATACGGATATCTGTAAAGGGGTCTAGGGCTGTAAGGGAGGCGCGATACGGAAGACTAGAATCGCGGGGCAGACGCGTGAATTCCGAGGAAGCCTGTCGCGCTAGACATCTAGATATGCAGGGTCTAGGGGTCTGAGCGCCAATCAATGACGTCCTGTACCTTTGCCATTCATCGCGCCCTTAGCATTCACCCATAAACTCTGTTGCTCCACTGATGTCACGTTTGTTTTTACCTTAAGCTTGCGAACTTGCGATTGTGTTTCCTTCTTCTGCCATAACAATTGACGTTTAGTCACCTTGCCTTTGCCTTTGCATCTGCATCTGCATCGCCATCGCCTCCAATCTGTTTTTTACTTCCCTGTTCGTCAGAACTTCGCTGATTCGTTCTTTACGTCATTTGAGTTTGTCAAAACCGCCCATCATGGCAAGAGTTACGCGAGGCTCTGCACGTATAGCAACGGCGGCGTCTTTGAAAGACGTGATAGATCAACCAGTACAGCTCTCAAGTCCGCCATCAAGTCCACCAGCAACGCCCAAACCTACCAACTCACGCAAGAGGAAGGCTATCAAAGAGGAAGACGTGTCGCCTGAGAAATCCTTGGCGATACCCAAGAGTACGAAGCGCGCAAAGAAAGTGAAGAAGGAGGAGGGCGTTGACGATCTGCCGCACAACCTCGGAGCTGTTCCTGACCTCTCGCCAAAGGTAGAGGAAGAGGAGGAAACCTCATCTGCGAAAAAGACCAAGAAAGCAACGAAACCAAAGCAAGCCGTCAAGGCGAAGAAGGAAGGTGTCGATGACCTCGTTACAAAAGCTATAACGACCGACAAGAAGACAGCCAAGAAGAAGGCTAGCTATGGTCTTACACCTGGTCAAACCCCATACCCCAACTACCCACATCCAACCCCCGAAGAATGCGAAGAAGTAACGCGTCTCCTCTCCAAAGTCCACGGCGAAGTCACAATGCCCAAAGAAATCCCACTGCCATCCCTCGAAGTGTCCGGCTGCGGTGAAGTTCCCTCGGTCCTCGATGCGCTAATCCGCACGCGCCTGTCCGCAGCAACATCCTGCGCAAACTCTTCCCGCGCCTTCGCGGGTCTCGTGAAACGCTTCGGCATCCTGCAATCCGGCGTCGGCAAAGGCAGCGTAGACTGGAACGCAGTGCGCAAAGCCGATGTAAAAGAGATATTCGAAGCGATCAAATCCGGTGGCCTCGCAGACGTCAAGAGCAAAGACATCAAGAAGATCCTGCAAATGGTCTGGGAAGAAAATCAAGCGCGCCGCGACGCACTGAAGTCCTCAACCATCCAAGCTCAGGGAGAAGCGAACGAAGCAGCAGAAGAGAAGGACAAGGAGATGCAGAAAGCAGATGAAGACATCGTTTCTTTGGATCATCTGCACTTGCTATCGAACGACGATGCTTTCGCCCACCTAACCTCCTATCCCGGCATCGGCCCCAAAACAGCCTCCTGCGTACTCCTCTTCTGTCTCCAACGCCCCTCCTTCGCAGTAGACACGCACGTCTTCCGGCTGTGCAAGTGGCTGAACTGGGTCCCGCCTCCAGGCGACGAGCGCGGTCTTGCACCAGGTGCGAAAGGAACCTTTGCTGGCCCAACGCGCAACTCGACATACGCGCATTGCGAGGTTAGGGTACCGGATCACTTGAAATATCCGCTGCATCAGCTGCTGATCAGGCATGGCAAGAGTTGTCCTAGGTGCAGAGCGATCACAGGGGAGAGTAGTGAGGGGTGGGAGAAAGGGTGTCCGATTGATAATCTTGTGCAGAGGAGTGGTGGGCGGAAGGGGGATGGTGGCAGTCCAGTCAAGGCTAACGGCAAGGTTGCAAATGGGAAGAAGACGAAGGCAAAGGCAAAGGGGAGGATGAGAGTTGAGAGTGAGGATGAGAGCGAGGCTGAGGCTAGTGAGCTGAGCGATGCAGAGAGCAGCGCGCTAAGCGATCTTGTGAGCGATGCTGAGATTGAAGCGTCGGAGGTTGAAGGGTCTGTTTCCGAGTAATCTCGTTTGTACACTGGCGTTAATCTACGATATTGCGTTTTGCGAACAGCATCATCTTGTACCGATATGTCACGATTTGTTTCGAGTTTGAAGCGGGCGTCATAGGACATAGTACTCTTGCAAAAACACGTGCTCTCAATTTTGACCTTTCACGAGCCCTGACTTTTTAGTGTCGCCATCGCATCAATGATGCATTGATATACAAGGCGTAACTCATTCTGACATTGGTGGCGTCTGTCGTCCAACCGATCAGCCTCACGAGTACAAATCTCGACACGCAAGGTGGCTTAGTGTTGTGTAAGGAGCAACATGCGGCTGTGACGGTACACGATGCAGGGACGCACAACTGTACTCGCCCAGTGCGCCAAGTCTTTCATGGGCACTCTCGTTCCTCCAGCCTGAGCGAAAGAATCTAAACAGAGCTTGGGAGGTCCACACAACAGAGGTGCAAGAAAGCACAATGCAGTAGCGTTATGCAAATGGGGGTGGTCTTGATGTTGTCGATTCCCTCCTGCAGATCATAGTACTTCCTTTGGGGAAAACGTCCCTTGTTGTTGAAGTGGACAGTCGTTCGGATCCGAGAACGCCTCACGAATTGCATGTCGTTAGCATCATCTGACGGCCATGAGGGCCCTTACAGGACTTGAGGCCTGCTGCATGCGTTGTTTTGCAACGTCACGGGACTAGTATCATTGGGTAGTACTAGACGTGTCCGTAGCCATTACATGTCGGGTACCTGCAGGATCAAAAGACTTGAACGTTATGGTTAATGGTTGGCTGTCAAAGAACATGTGCCCTGGTTTCATTCAACGGTGTGATGATATGCATACTTGATGTCAAAGGACGACTGTGGTGTTTTCTTGCACCGCCGAATGACAGTGCAAGAGCGATGCTAAAAGTTGCATACTGTACAAGGCTACAAAACGGCAGCAAAGGAGCGTGACCATCTCGTCGCTGCAACTATCCCAGACCTCAGAATACTACCGCGAAATGTGGATCTGTATTCAGAAGCTCTTTTCTACCAAACAGTCTCGTCCCGTCAGTTCCGAAATTGCCCCAGCAGTCAGCCGCTTTGTTGTACAGATTATTAATCTCTGGCGTTGTAAGCTTCCTCGACTAGTGTTTGTGGTGTCTGTTCCACAGGCACGTTGGTAACTGAACGCCCAGGTGATGCATGTGTAGTGGCATGTAAAACGGCTCTCGAGATTTCCTTGAGTAACCTGAGGTCAAACGTCGAAAATCTTTCTAAGACCAAATATGGTGGTATATTTGGTAATGATGATACCGGCAATGTACACAGATCTGCAATTCAAATTGCCAGAAGGCGGAGAGGTGGAGCACTTCGAGCTTGGTCGTTGGGATGAGAGCCGACAGGGTTCCTGAATGTCAACGTTTGTGCCCAAGCCTCAAATTCAAAGACGCAGTGCGGCGGAATGACCAGGAGACAGCATGCAAGATGCTGACGGATTTTCAAATCTAGTGGCGACGAGTTGGATAGTGCGCTCAGCCCAACAGTACTATAGCAGTCAGTACTTCATAGTAATACTTTCAGCATGTTTGTGATATCTCACCTTCCCAGTTCCAATCTCGCATTACGCCCAACCAGTGAAGGCGACCTTTGACTGTGAATTCTGGATTGAGCAGCTCTACGTTGTCGTTTGGTGATGCTCCACTCCTTCGGCGTCCCTGTTCGAACAGATGTGAGATCGACGTTGGATGCTGTGCATCCGAGTCGGGAGCTCTACGATTAGGCCTTGATTCAAGCCAGCAGACGTCGTCATCATCGTTGTCAAGATAAGCGTCGAGATTACGCTTACGTGGTATTGTAGAGGATATGCTATCGCTGCGCATTGCTTCGAAGATGTTGCACTCCGCGGCATAGATGTCTCGTCGAGCCCATACCTCTTTGGTCACGGTCAGGGACTTGTCAATGATACCGAGCTTCATCCTGGACGAGAGAAGCTCCCAGCGTTGCGTTACCCAGGCTCGATCGTCTGCCTCAACCATTTCGCAGCCTGCGGCCATGAGAGGGTAGATATGTATGATGCATGAGCGAGAGCTTGGCTCGACTGCGGCAAGCTCACATAATGCTCGCTTGGCAAGGACAAGCGCCGGTAGTGAGGGAACCTCGGGAAAAGCTTGGTGAAGGTAGAGTAGTGTTGCATACTGGTAAGCCGTGGCGGTCTTGAGCGAGTCTCTCGGGCTTGTCGTTTCGTCTTCGGGTTTCTCAATATAGGACGGCGGTCTCCACTCCTCTAGCTGAGACTTCAAACGCATCGCTTGCATAGTAAGGTCCGGACAATTTCGAGTCGATTTCCGCAACCTCCGGATGAGAGTGGCAACACGGCCAATGATAGGGAACAGTGAATGTGCGCAGCCCATCAGCGGGTCAAGTGACGCTTCCGTTTCCCCTGTTGAGTGGATACTGTCGTAAATGGCATCAACATCGTTAGATTCGTCATCATCTGCCGATGTCAAGCGAGCGATAACGTCCATATAGATCCACGTATTGCAAAGGAATTTTAGGCGCTTCCACTCCTCATCCTGCTTATGTAGCTGTCGATGTTGTATCAGAGCTTGGTTGATCAGGATCTTGGCACCTTTTATGTGATTGATACCTGTGCTGATGTGCACATCCCAGGACTCAGCGAAAGCTAATACCAATGTCGTCGATATGGCTGCATCGAAACGCATATTCTGAAGTCCTTCTGCGAGGGCCTGAACTGCAGTGTGCATATGATCGATACCCTGAATCCGCATAGATGGAAATTGAGAAGACTGATGGAATGATGTCATGGATGCAATGGCATGATACAGAGCTGGACAGTCGCGTGCAAGCGGCCAGATGAGGGTGCGCCACGGATTTTCTGTAGGCCCATCTTTCACGGACAGTATCCCACACGTGTCTCTATGAAACCGTCGTGACATTGCCTCGGGCGAAGAGAGTGCATGTTGGGGTTGCACAGGTATGCCGTGATCTGGAGATCCAGCAGACGAACTTGAAAAGTTCGACGGTGTTGGAGAGGAATGTCGCAAGGACCAAGATCTCGAAACATGGTGTAGATTTCGGGGTATCTCCTCGATATCGTCGTCATCTGGATCTGCTGGAGGTGTGAAGCCAGTAAGCTGATAGAACGTCTCATGCTGATTTCGATACGATAGATATTCTTCTGGAGGCGCGCAGTGGTCTGTCCCAGGTACGAGGAGGTCCATGAGCCGAGGCGACTGTCCAGCAGCCACGCTAGAAGGCGCGGTGATCTCGCTCCGCCCTGTCCTCACCGAGCCATCTCCATAAAGGCTCTCTGATCCTGGGAAAACTGGTGCATGTGAATCAACTGGGGAGATGGACTGTGGAGTAATCGCAAATGGGGACAACATCGATGTGGCGTACGTCCTCTCGGCGAGCGGATGTGATAGGTGTGGAACGGAGCTGCCATGTGCCGAGTTATATACATCGGGTATCAACGACTGTGGTGGCGCATGATAGAAGCTTTTGGCGACATCAGCGTAGTCGTGGTATGGCTGATGCGAGTTGAGTCTGTAATTACAGTCAGGCTGTGCAGGGACTGTGCTAGATGAACCTGAGTCTGTCCAAGTCAGCATTAAAGAAGAGCGCGCTCGAGTGACCATACCTTTTCTTGCTTTGGTGGTCTGTTTTCCTATATAACCTGGTTCTTCAAAAGGTCGCCATTTGAAGTCCTTCTTATAGCCTCCACAAGGTACATTTCGTTTCTTGCACTGCTCACAGCTTGGCTTGACCTCGTCGCATTTGAGACGCTTCGCTTTGCAGGTGACACAGCCTATGATCGTTCGTCAAGATTATGATCCGAAGAAGGGTGATGGCAGAATTCTTTCTGAATGTATCAGATCGAATTTAAAGCCACGTACCATTGCGACTCTTGGATTGTTTCTTCTTGGTGATGCCACTGCTCTCTGACGCTTTTGGCGCATCTTTGGATCTTGGTCGTTGAGAGCGGCTCTTTGCTAGAGTTCGAGGTACCGAACTAGCGTGCGGAGAAGCGAGTGATGCCGGGACCGTAATGGTCTCCGCCATGTGAATGTTTGACTGCGATGCTCCCCTGTCAGCTTGGAGTAGGCCACGACCACTATGTGGTGTTGAGATTGGTCGGATCGAAGTTTCAGTCTGTCAAGAGTCAGCGGATAAACGACAGGCAACCGTATCTAAAGTGGAATCAAGGCAACTGGTCCTAAGTTTGCACTTGCACTCGAAAGGTTAATGCGGGGAGCTCGGGCTTGGGATAGCGAATCAAACAGCTTGCTCGGACGTGGGGTGCAGCGCATCATCCGTGTCACCCAGCTCATTGGGATGACAGGGGCACTTGTAAGATCTGGTGTTCTTTCGAGACACTGCTGGTGTTCTTGTGTATGGTTGTGGTCAGGTCGAGTCCATGTTCGGGTGTGACAGCTGCAGGAGGCTCTACTTTCGGCAGTCACATTCTGGTAGTGCAGCATCAAAACGTTGACTGCGCCTTTCCATATTGCAGATCCCGGTCCTGCTTCAAACGGGCGCTGCTCATCAGTACTGCTACGGATGTCGCAAGCAGTCTTGAGGAAATGTACTTTTCTGCGTACATGCTAGTAGTACATGGGTATCGTTCGCAACAACATGAAACCTCCTTCAACTCCAACTCCTGGGATATGAGTATAATCGCGCTGAGTTAGGCTGGGCGTACGGAACCTCGGCTTCAGTAGTAGCTCAGTCCTGAAGCCCTGACTTTCTTCTTGCCCTTCTTCTTTTTCGCCGCGGTAGGTGTTGGGCTGGGCATCCTTCTCCCGCTCGGTTTGTCCTTTCTCTTATCGTTACCAGCGCCTGCGATCTTTGACACACCCCTTCCCCAGTTGAACCCATCGAACATGCTGTTCTCGGAGAACGCGCTGGGCGTTGCAAGTTCTGATTCCGGAGGCAGCATTTGCATCCAGGCATCGCCATCTTCCCAAGTGACACCTGAAGCTGTAGCGGCTCTGACTTCATCGATATATGCCTCCATTCTAGTCCTCTCGTCTTCGACTTCGAACCCGCAACCGCACCCACAGCCGACCACGCACTCACCTTCTTCTATGCCCAATCCATCATCAATGCAGTCGAAGTGTGCAACGTGGCCGCATGAGGGACAAAGACGGAAGCGACCTGAGACCTTGATCCAGCAGATGCCGCAACAGTAGACAGGTTCGGCTGCAGCAGGCTTGGACGTGGTATTTGTAGGGGCTATTGAAGGCGCACGGCTGCCGATCAAGAGTGAGGACCCAGAGACGTTCGATGTCCCACGTGAGAGACTCGGTCTGCCAGGCCTGCTGCCTTGTCGAGGGTGCAAACTTGTCTGCCCTGGCGACGTACCCAGACCAGCTACACTCTCATCAAATTCCCTCGAGGGGGTAGGAGCCGGTATGGAGAGGCACAGATACTTCTCTGAGGCAATGAGGACGTCAGTCGGGGCGGCCAAGTCCTCAGGTTGGGTGAATGCTGATTGACCTGGTTCGAAGGCTCTCGCTTCAGGGTTAAAAGAGAACTGTCTTGCAGATGCAGCTGGCGAGCGTGACTCGGGCGCGGGTGAGGGAGGCATCAGTGTTGTCGACGTTCTCGAGCGTTGTCTCGACGTGGCATGATCTTCCCCATCTCCACCTCCTTTCTTCAGCGCAAGATGCAGCGAGTCCGCCTTTGAGCTGTTGCGAGAGTCTTCTGGTGGGAAGTAGGACACCAGTCCGTTGAACTTCATGACCTCAGCTCTTGTGCGAACGAGTCCCCAACCGCTCAGCATCTCAGCATATTGCTCTCTCCAAGCACGATACAGCCAGTCCTTGCTCATGTCAAGTAAGGGTCTGCTGAGACAAGACTCATCGTCGAACTGATCCTGATTTTTGAGTGTGACCCTAATCCTTCCTCCCGAGTCGCCACCATCGCCGTTTATTCTTTCTACGGATGATCTATGTTCGGAGAATCCATCGTAAGCAAAAGTGCTGCTGTCGGGGAGCTTTTCTTCTTCGATGTCAGAATCATACAGATCGTCTACGTTGACACGTTCTGTCTCGGCGAAACTGGCACGTTTGTGATGTTTGATACGCGCTGGTGCAAGAGTGCTGCGGTCCTGGGAGTCGCTGCCGTAAAACGTTGTAGTGCCCCACGTAACTCCACTTGTCGGTGCTGAAGTCGAGAGGTCATCTGTGCGTGACCTCACAGGTGGCGAAGCCGACATGGCATTTGCGAACGGCCGGGACAAAGCAGCGACAGCGCTTGCAAAGTTCGCAGTCGAAGCCCGCTTGATGTTTGAGTGACTCTGCTCAGGTGAAGTGGAGTAGGGCGTATGAGTTGTTGTATGGGCGTTCCTCGCAGTCGAAGCTCTGGACAAGACGGGTGGAGTGTTATCCGTGGAGTAGGGCGTGATGGGATCAGAGGCTATCGTATCACTACCCCAGGGTCCGTTCGAGCTACTGTGGCTACCGTAGGTATCAAGATCTTTCGCAAGCCTCTGCCACCCGAACTCGTTCACCGGTGTAGCAAAGCGCGAATGTGATGGGGTAGAAGGGACAGAAATAGTCGGATTGAACAGGCTCCATGCTATGTCTGGAGATGCAAAGTAATCCAGGGAGAATGCTGGTGCAGTCATGGACATTGGAAGGTGTGATTGTCTCATCTTCGCCATTGCTGAAGTGACTCCCTCACGAGCAGCAGGTTCTGCAAAGATGCAGGACATCAGGGCAAGCATCTGCGTGTCTGCGAGGCGCTCGAAATGGTCAAACAAAGCAGGGATAAGCCAGGAGACAACAGCATGGTTGCCCCATTTAATGCGTCCTTTCAATCGAGGGTTCGTGACCGTGTCTGCTTCGTCAAACTGGAGGTCCAGCCCACTGTCCTTACGCTTGATTCTCACAAGAGCTCGCCGAGCTAGTACGACAACCTGTTCTCTCCGGTGCTGTTGCGGCAGTATTTCCAGAGGCACTTCGTTGCTGAGGATCAGCTTGCAAAGCATCCAGATGTCTGAAAGGTCATCTAGGCCATTCCTCTTCGCCACATCAGCATTATGCTCACAAACTTCCGGTCCAGGTCCAAAGATCCGGTACTGCTCTGCAAGGCTTCGTTTGCTGGGCACCAGATCTTGAACCGCTGCGGATAAAATGGAAACGATGAATCTGTTCCTGGCTGCTGGTTTTCCTGCCCCATTTGACGAAGGTAGAGAATTTCGGGACTGAAATCTGGCTCCTGCTTTCTGCCATGCCATGGGCGGCTGGAAAGTGCCCAGGTGAGCTTCAACCATGGGCTCTGAACCCGATGCAGAAGATGGTGAGCTCGATGACTCCCATGAAGCCTCAGAGGACCCAGGCGAAGATGCCACATCTGAGTCCTCGGCATGCTGAGTCGTAAAGCGACCGAATGAATCGAATATGTCGTCCTTGGCAGGTCCATGTCGAAGGCTTCTGGTCATGCGAAATGGACTAGCAGTCAGAAGTGGTGGCATCCGTACTAATGGCACTCTAGCCACTACAAGCGATCCAGAAGCAGAGAAACGAACAGAACACTGAACGGGTAGCGGTACGTTGGCGTTGGTGTGAGATGATTTCATGGCATCATTAGTGTACTCGCCCTCGTTCTCGTCGTCTTCACTGGAACTCTCTTCCCCTGGTAAGTTGTCGAGTTCGTCCGATGAATGGTGGTCTTCCGGTAGATGAAGACTGTTCTGGAATCCACGTTCCCCGAGGGCATACGAGAGGACAGCTTCCAATGCCTCACGTTCCTGATTTGCGCATGTTTCAGCGATTTGATTCATGCGTTCGACCAAATCATCTTGGTTTTCCTTCGGTATGGAGGCTGTGGTCTTTTCGAACTCGATCTCTAAAGGCGTTGTTGTCCTAATTAGACCGACATCGGTCTCAGTCTCTACGGCCCTCGGATACTCAGCCGGGAATCTGATGGTCAGTCGCAGAAATACAAGCTTGACTTCGTCGATGGCCTGATCGTAATCACCCCAGGGCCCATTGAATGTAACTGTCAAAAGACGATTCGGTACATCAATGTTCTCGAAGTCCAGTTTTTTGTACTTGCTGCCAACCTGCGAGATCTCAGCTCCTAGGTCAGCCTGTTCTTGGTTGGAGCTCTTGTCTTCATGATACTTTTCTTCTGGGCGAGTCGGTATCTCGTCAGTTTTGTCATGCTGACCACCGAACTTGACGCCATCCATCCATTTGATTTGAGTGACTACCCGAGACTTGTTGCGCCGTATTGGAACAGTAGTCATCGTCTCTCGTGCTGCCTGTGTCTCGACTTTAGCTTGAGATCGGATATCGCCAGCGTGCCGCGAGCTGAAGACATCGTTGTGGGGGAAATAGTTCTGGAGGAGGGTAGACAGGTTGCCCTTCGGTGGTACGCGTGGTGATGTGATCTCGCCTTGGGCGTTGGTTGTTTGCGTAGGTATGGGACCATCGCGATATGTGACATAGGCTGCCCCTCTGCGCATGAGATTGGGTGCTTCAAGACGCGGCTCACCCTTTCGAAAACCAACAGACTTATCTAGGAGTTCCGGTCCCATGCGGTGAAGATGCAAAAATCTATCCGTGCCCCAAGAGACTAGTTGAAATTCTCTATCGTCAATATAGTCATCTGTGCCACCTCTGACACGCCATAAGAATTCTCGAACCTGGGCATCGGGCTTATGTCCACGGAACTCATGAACAGCTTCGTTGGTGAAGGTCTCCCTATTGCTGTCGTTGACATGCTTGTAGAGCCATAAGCTGGAGTTTCCGCGCTGAGGCATAGCAATTATGCCATGGGGGAAAGGCGTGTGGCGAGCTCTCCAGATTGGATAGTTCGTGTAAATAACGCGTCGAGGAGTGTTCGTCGTAGCAGTCTTGCCGACATGATTCCAGAGCTTGATAGTCGAATCGAGCGAGCATGTCAATATCTTGGAAGGATCAGAGCGGTTCCAGTCGATACTGTAGATCTTGGTGCTATGCGCCACGATGGTGGTGAGCGGCGTAGCACCTTTGCGAACATCCCAAATATGGAGGTGCTTGTCGTGTGCACTGGCGATAATCTTGTCATTCTGACGGTTCCACTTCACCTGCGTCGCGCCTGCTGTGAAGTCTGCAAGCTTCAGGGGTGCTCGCTGAGAACGCAAGTCGTGGACGAAGACGAAACTGTCAATACCGCAAGTGGCAAGAAGATCCGGATGATGGGCGGAGAAATTAATGTCGGTAATGGCGCGGTCATGGGCTCGTAGTGTATACTCGATAGGAGCTTTCTTGGAGTTGTGTGGCATGGAAAGATTGTAGACGAGGGCGAGTTGATTACGAGTCGACGCGATCCATTCTGCGCGCGCGGCAAACGGCGACCACTGGACGTCCGCAACATCCCAGGAAGATTGATTGGCAATGAAAAGTGGCGGAGTGTACAAGTTATCGAGATCTAGGATGCGCAGTCCTGTCCTGCTGGCCAGCACCACGTCCCGGCCTGCCGGTGAGATGGAGGCCGCGCCGATATCATCATCGACTTCGATCGATACATTTCGATCAAAAGTCGGGCTTTCGTAGGCTGTCGCAGGCCCAGCCGCAGTTGCCATCGCGATGGAGGTTGGGTGTCGTGATGATGCGTGAAGCAGAGGGCAGGGGCACGCGCTGCGCTCTGCTCCCATTGGCCAGCTGTCTTAGCGCGTTTCGGGCAGCGGCACTTTCCCACGAGCCCCGCTGAGGTCATGCCCGTTGTCTCGCCCTGTGGCTCAGACATTCACGATCGTGTTACTGTGATCGCCAGCGCAAACATTACAAAGCCCCTCACAATCCAACGCAAGGGGGACCGCAACCACCACCTGAACCTTCACCGATTCTCTCCAAGCATACTCACGTTCCTCCTCTCCCAACTGTACAGCCCACTATGGCTCTCCCCAAGCGCATTATCAAGGAGACCGAGCGTCTGATGAACGAGCCGTGAGTCCTCTCAGTATATTGTTTGTGGTAAATGCTGATGTTTGATCGTTGCAGAGTGCAAGGCATCTCTGCGACCCCTCACGACGACAACCTGCGGTACTTCGACGTGACTATCGATGGCCCCTCACAGTCGCCTTACGAGGGTAGGTTTGGGCGCATAAGGCGGAGCTCCGTTGCAAACTGACAGTATGCAGGCGGCGTCTTCAAGCTCGAGCTCTTCCTGCCAGATGACTACCCCATGACTCCTCCCAAGGTCCGCTTCCTCACCAAGATCTATCACCCCAACATCGACAGGCTGGGCCGCATTTGCCTCGATGTTCTGAAGAGTGAGTAATCCTGCCATGTGCGCAAGACATAGCTGACGTAATCAGGTAATTGGTCGCCCGCACTCCAGATCAGGACTATCCTCCTCTCGATTCAAGCTCTCCTCGGCGCCCCGAACCCAGACGACCCGCTCGCGAACGATGTAGCTCAAGCGTGGAAGGAGAACCAGGCACAGGCTATTGCCACGGCTAGGGAATGGACACAGCAATACGCAAAGGCTTGAGCGCAAGTTGCTTGTATCTGCAACAGCATTTGCGACTCGAAGCCTAGCTTTGGGACACTCCATGCTTCTCGCATTTTCCTTGCAACGGTGGGTTGGACTCTCAAGGCCCTCCACCATTCTCTTTGTGCATATACTTGCTCATTTTCGTGGCACTGATAGCCTGGCGCCGGTCGGACAATCTGGATAGCATATAGGTGGTACGCCCTGGCAGGATGGAGATTAGCATTTTGGCCCTCCAGTCAGGTTCTTGGCCAGCTTGATGATTAAATACGAATGATGCCCTGAATCGTCAGTTCCTTTCTTTGTGTCATCCTTCTGAGAGTTTACACAACAGCGGCGGCGCACGAGACCTTCATGGTTTCAGGCGAGTTGACTTACAGATCCCACGAGGTATGAAAGAGCGTAGAGACGTCACCATTCTTAGCAACTCTGTTATCTACAGAATCGGCTCGAAATACCACACGTATTTGTCATTGTTCAGTTGACGAGCTCGCAGCAGAAGAGAACTGGCCAAGGTACCAGACGTGTGATCGATGAAAAGCTGTTCATTCAGGCCCAACGCTATCAACAATTAACATGCTACTCTAAGCTTGCTTGGCTCCACACATATTACACTACACCGGTTTGCACCAAACTCAGCGCATACCTCCCAGGTAAACACTCATCCACCTAGACCGCACGTACAAGGCCTACTATAACTCCCCACATGTCCCACCCTACTTCTGCGACACCTTCGTAATAGTCTACAAAGTCTGCGACAACGTGCTCGCTGCCTTGTTACGCTCGCCTCACTTCTTCTTTTGATCTTCAGCAATCCCCGCTCGTCCCCACAAATAGCCTGCGTACTCGATTCGGTCCGTCCGTGCTGAGCAATGAAATACGAGAGCTCTAAGCGCTGTAGGCGTTGTGGGACCCAAGTGTTGTTGATGATAAGGCTAACCGGGTTTGCATTCCGGTTTCGTTGACAATCTTGCTTTCGAATTCAAGCTCGTGCTGAAAGGAATGATCCGTACTGAAAGGCCGTAATGTGGTCGACACAAATCGTTTGTCCTTGCTTCCGTCGTGCGCCACAAAGTGCGCAAAGTAACGAGCATGAAGCGTTTGGTTCATTGACTGTTTTTCCGGCAGAATTGCTGTGTGAAGTCGGTTTCAAGGCCACTGAAGTTGCCAGAGGCTGAGGGTGGCGACATATGCGAGCATGATTCTGGTGTCTGGAAGCTATCAGCATAAGTTTCCCTGGTAACGCTTTTCGAGATGAGACTTGCCGAACATACTGAATCCCTACGGATTCGTGCTGCTTCCTCTATAGCTCTGCCTTCGTACGTGTAGGTGATGCGGAGCAAATCGTAGATGGTCAGGCGAGTTGTCGACATCTTAAAGCTCTTCGTTTCGTGCAAATCTTGAACAAATAGATCTGAGCTCGTTCAGACACGCAAGGGCTTGCTACGCAGTATAAATGCTCCTTTTCTCGGTGTCGCAGTAATCACAATTCCTCGCGCTATCGTTGGTCGAAGTGCAGCCTAGCCAGACTCGGCGGCTTACACAAGGCTCAAACAACCAAACAACAAAATACAAATGTTCATGCAGCCACACACACCTCAAGAGCAACGGCCGCTTTATACCCCTCAGCATTTCTCATGCACAACATCAGCCCATCAGAGCGCTAATGTGGAACGGGAATAGTCGCATGTATACAATGCATGTGCGATCGGAGGTGGAGATGTGGGAATGCCGATGCAGGGGCGTGCGTGGCCTGCAGAGGGTTATTTGTAAGTTTGCGTAGGAGGGGCCGCGATATCCGCTGGCTTTGGTGGAGATATCGGGGTCGGTAATGGAGTGTTTCGGGGTATGACGCTGTTGCCTGGTGAACTGGCAGTGAGAAGAGAAGGCGGAATTGGTGGGGGGTTCCGGAGATATGACGACGGCCGAGCAGAGATGCCCGAATTCAGCGAGATGAGCGATTCGGACGAATGTATACAAGGCATCAGCTTGCTTGATTGTGCAGTTGCTTCTCGCTCCCTCGATGCTCTCTCATACTTTGGAGTGCCTCATAGCACAGATGTATCCAATCTATTACCTATGAAAGCCGAGCTTCTACTCGGCACTTGGAACCTGATCCTGTACCCTTCTCAGCAAAGGTACCCTCTCTGCGTCGACGATGCGGTCTCCGTCGCTCTCCGGATCTGGGTAGAGCATCTTCGACCATTCACCCTTCGCGACCTTGCTCACGCGCCACGTCTTAGCTTCGCTTGCCTGCTTGAAGAACTCTTGGTTGTCATCGAAGCTCCTGCCGCCAGTCTCAGGGAGGTAGAGGTATGTCCATAGTCCGGCGACGGCGTTCGTCGCTGCAAACACTAGGAATATGAAGTAAGAGAGGTTGTTGAACAGGACGGGTGTCAAGAAAGTGATCGCGAAGTTGGCGAGTCCCCAAATGATGACGGAGATGGCAGTGCCCTGAGCGCGAGCGGTCATTGGGAAAATCTAGATCCCAGTAAGTAGGAATTTAGCAAAAAGAGCAATGTAACATACTTCAGTCGGGATCAGCCAGACCGTTGCAAGCCATCCAATTCCAAAGGCACCAGTAGCAAAAAAGAGTGTAATAGAGCCGAGAATGCCAGGAACGATGATCGGAATGTCGACCTTCGATGAGTTTTCGGAGAGACCACCGAAAACTGTAAGGATGAGGAAGGAGATCGACAATAGGATAGAGCACTGGATGAGTAGCTTGCGGCGACCGAGAGCATCGATGAGTAGCCACGCGAGAGTCATCAGGAAGAAGTAAGAGGTGTAATTGCCGAGTGTGATGTATTCCGATGTGCGAGTATCGAACCCGAGAAGCTGTAGTCTGGTCAACCATGGCTGAGCTTGACTTATCTTCGAATGTGCTTACCTGGAAGATCTGAGGACCATACACAGAGACTGCTCCATATCCGGTCAGAGCTTGGTTGACTTGACACATGATCGTAACCATAGTCGCGTGGAACTGCGGGTGGTATGGGTTGAGCATTTCGAAGTAGCCCACACTGTCACCTTGCTCTTTCTCGTGCGCTTCGACCAGATCATCGTACTGTTGTTTGCCTTCGTCACCGTAAATTTGTTTTAGAGCCGCCTTCGCCTCGTCTTGCTTATCATTGAAGATGAACCAGCGCGGACTTTCTGGCAGAGTGTCCACTAGTGCCATGAGTGCAACCGGGTACACCTGCATGACGATGATGGGAATCCTCCAGGCCCACTGATTAGATGTACCTAGAGCTACGGTGACACCCAAGTTGATGCCGAACGCCATGACCAGTCCAAAGATGTTTGACTGGAACTCCTGCGCTAATGCCTTACCTCTCGCATCGTCCGCAGACAGCTCAGATGAGTATGTCGGGATTACAGCGTCGATTCCTCCAACTCCAAGACCCATGATCACCCTACCGGCTAGCATTACCCAGAGTGCTATCTGCTGGAATTTGAAGCCGGCGACGAACATGATCAAGTTTCCAAGACTAGCCGAGGCCAAGCTGAAGAAGATACTCTTCTTGCGCCCAAGCTTGTCCGCCAACCAGGAGAAAAGTACAGCTCCTACCGCTGTACCAAGGTAGTACACAGCAACAACGACACCAACGATCGGCGGCTTTTCTTCAATGCCCATAGTAGACAGGTAGTCTTCATTCGTGTTGATGAGTGACATCATACCTACTATCGTCAACGTCTATTTAATAACAAATAAAGCACTATGCATATACATACCCTGGTCGTAGCCGTACAGCGCAATGGCTGTTGCAGAAAATGCAACGACATGCGTCTGCTTGTCGTTCCACGCAGAGCGTACATGATTCGCGATGAAAGACATCGTTGCGGTTCAGGGTCTCGGTTGCAATTGCATAAGCAAAGGTGCAGTTCAGAAGGAAACGCCGCGCCAATTCCACGAAAACATGGCAGGTGGGCAGATAAAAGACGTTGGATGTCTTCCCGCGATCGTAAAAAGCTCGGTCAGATGGTGGGTACTTGCGGCAGATGATGACGATGGTGCGTAGTGTTGGTACCGAGGCCTTCCTTGATGCGGGTTGGTGTACGCTGAGACGGGAAGGCCCCACCACGTTCACTGCCGCACATCGTCCCTGCCATCGATCTAGATCGTGAGCCTCATCACTCAACACCACAACACGAAGTTTGGACGATCTCAAACAGATGCACGCTCTCTTTGCGATATGAGCTGAGAGCTCGATATTGGACGTATCGAGCACAAGTTGGAGGTGATAGCTATCTATAAGAAGTGTCCTTCCGTCCCCTCCAATCCATCTCCTTCGGGTCCGAAACCAGTGGACGGGCTGTGGCTCGCCCTAGTATGCCTTGGTCAGTAGATGCGCTCATGTGAGCAATTATTGTAATTTACAGTCGTCGCTCGTAAGCGCAACTGCTGTCTCCCAGTGTACGTTTGCCTTGTCTACCATAGGTAGATTAGGAAGTACAAGAGCAAGCAACATAAGCGTCTTCATGGGATGGCGCTTGGGCATAGTGGTGCCATCTAGGAGTTTGCGAGCTGCTTCAGCAGCGGCATCTGCCTGATCGTCATCCCATAGCCTGTTGGCTTCGTTGAAGCTGTGAGTGACGGATCTGTCAATGGTGTTATAGTTGGGACTGTCTTCTATTGTTACTCCGTTGAAGAAAGGTGAGATAGAGAGACAGCAACGAACGCGTTAAGTTTGAAGTGCAAGTAGTGTTATTAGCAATAGAGATGAGACAGAGCAAAGGGACCTTCGCGCACACAAAATGTGTACGACCTCGAAATCATTCTCTTGAGCAATCGATGGATCATCTAACTTCTCTACATAACTGTGCTCCTGATCCGCTTGAAGCATGTCCCATCAATGGTTTTGATCGCAGGATTGCAAACGCACCTACAACCCAGCTCTTCTCTGGGAAACAACCCAACTTTCCCTGCTTGACTTGCGCTCAGCACAAACTTTCCTTTTTCCTTTTCCTCCTCGGTCGGTGCACACGTGCAGTACTGGAAGTCAGCGTGCCTGTACCCAAAGTCGAAGAAGTGATGCACCTGCTCTGGCCTGAGTAGCATCGCAGCTGCCAGACTATGCACTGGTGCATCACCCCACCACTCATAGTTGAACCCACCATCCTCATCTAGAGAACAGAACATATCCCGATACTGTGGTAAACGGAAGAAGTCCATGTTTGCGATCTCAAAATTCGACCAGAAATGGCACATGTTCCACATATCACCGCTGGCGTCGCGATTGCGCAATAACGGTAGGATGTATCTGAAGGGCCAGGGCATATACGATGCGTCCATCATCACAGTCCAGAATGATGTCGTCGGGTAGTGCATGTTTGACTCGTATGCAGTGAGTTTACGGAAGAGGGAGGCTGCTGTTCGACCGCTTTCTCAGAGCGTGATCGTGTATCTGTATGTTTTGCAATGCTTGGCCATCTCGACGAAGGGATTGTACGTTATCAAATGTTATCGAACAGGCGAATGTTGTGTCAAGCTCGACGCGCCAGTACCACTTGTAAGGTTGGAGGGCTGGATGATCGTAGAAGAAGCTACAGGTCAGCATCAGCGGGAGTTTGAAGTGCAATGGTTGTGGTGACCTACCCAGACTGGAATCTACACATGTGGTGATAGCTCTCCGTGCCTGCGTACATGGTGCCCCCTAGCGCTGCATGTCATCTATGCGCTCTCGTGCAAGCATCACCAGCGTTGCTTTGGCCCGAGCGGCCGTGTTCAGAACAGGTTCTTGATAGCCGACATGAAAAGAAGGGTGGAGATTCGTTACTAGGCGGACGACTTCGAAGCTACGTATGTGGAGGACAAGCTCAAGAAGCATGGAAATTGCCAAAAAGGATAAGACTTTCCAGTGCCTCGATATAAAGTGGCTGAGGCGATATACTAGATTTCCAGGACGAGCCTGGCGAAGGCGTGAGAAAAGCATTTTGGATGCACACCACGGTCTTTGGAGAGAGCATGGATGACGCAACGGCATAGCCGAGATAGAAGGTTGAACAGACGAGAGACTGTGAATATAGCTTGGCAGGTTCACCTTAGTAAACCCTTAAGCTCGTTTTCCGCGAAGTCTAGTTCGATCGGGAGCTTAGTTCCAAACTGTGAGCCATCAGAAGCTTTGCCCGTGCGTATGAGCTCAACGTCTCAGGACTCTTCACTGCTTGTATGTACGGTTCCTTTCAGTGGCAATCTCAGTTCCGCTCGCTCGGATGCCTGGACCTTGGCTCTAGAGCTCTGCCACTTTTAGCAAGCTTCAAACGAACGACACGTAGATGTAGGCAGTCAAGACTAGCCTCAAACTGGAGTGTACGAGCATGGACTTCGAAGAATCTCGTACTAAGACGGGTTGGGGTATATGAAGCATGGATCAGGAGCTTTCGACCGACATGTTCCGTGTGCGCCGTTGATGTGCAAGTGCTTACAGATCTGCAGCGAAAGCTATCAGAAACACACTGGTCTCCTGACTAGAGGGTTGAATACATTTGCTAAGTACTCTCTTGTGCACGGACGTCCTGGGGGGTTTTTGTCCTTACGGGCATTGTGTTTCGATGATTCCGTGGTATTGTTCATGGTCTAAAGAGGTGCTGCAGCTGCCAAACACGCGTTGGCGTGCAGCTGGAGGCGTTCTTGCAGGACTGGAACACATCGAATCATTCTCAGAATGTAGCGAAGTGGCTAGGAAGGATGGCCTTGGGTGTAACATATATCAAAGAGTAGACTCGCTTTGCAGTCATAACATACGCAAACGGTGAAGGCTGTTTGAACCAGTGCGTTTTCTCGTGATCTGCTCTTACGAGGGTCGCGTTAAAGTGCTGTTGTGCGAGTATTGAGTAGTGCACAAAGCAAGTTGATCGACTCGAAGGGTTGCGGCTCGTATTTTCGATCAGTATGGGTAAGTGGCTGCACTGCCATGTGAGAATGTACGACGAACGTAGTGCACTTGTCTGCAGAACAATCTGAAATAGGATAGCACGATGTTACAAGGGCCGATCGCATGCTCCAAGTTGAGAAAAAGCAACGAACATCGAGGGAGAAGAACAGATCGTACGAGTGCAGAATAACGATTATTGGCAAACATCAAAGGAAATCGACCCGGGTATGCCCGCAGATACTCCAAACATAACATATCAGAACGCCGACTGCCGTGAGGCACCCAAATCTCGGTATCCTCCCTAGAGTTTTCCGAGCCGTGAGGCTTCCTCTCTTGAATATGTAGTGTCCATGAAGATCGCTAAGTGCGATATAATGTCGTAAGTCGTGAGTCGAGAAGGAGTGTCGGTGATAGGGACATATGTAAGAGTATTTTGTGTAGGCAGGCTCAGAAGCGGCGGTCCAGATAGTCAACACGCGCTTTGAAGCCCTTGACTATCTCACCAATTCGGCGTACTTTATCAAATTCGACTTGGAGCTCGTCAATCTCGCGAAGTATGGATCGAAAACGGGCGATTTCAGCGTCGGCCATCTGCATCGCGTTGCCGGCGCGGTCGTATTGCAGCTGGGTCGCCGTCTGAGTCTGTTGGGTAAGCTGCGATACTATCAGCACTCTATGAATACAGAAAGCCCCTAGAACATGCAGTGCCAGCTTACATATTGCCATCGTTGCTGTATCGAGTACATCAAACGATCAAAGTGGGCGCCGAGCGCCTGTAGACTGGTGGGATCCAGGAGTAATCGGCCTTGACTGGATGCTCTTGAAGCGGCGCGGGACGAACTGCTGCCCTGTTGCGATGCGGCAGTTGCAATCTGTTCCTGGAGAAATCGCTGCTCTGAGGAGTTGAGCCCCAGGTCAGAGACCCGAACGGTGGACATGTGCACATTATCTTAAGGACATTGTGGGGACGCTCCTCAGCCCACAAACAGCTAGTAGGCGTCGCACACTGTGGTTTGTTGCACGTTACAGCACCTGCAAAAGGAAGCCTCAGGCGTTGTGATGGCAGGATGAGGGGAGCGCGACGGCAGGCGAGAGGGCCACAACCAAAAGCGCGCTGGTGCAGCCGCCGAGAAGAAGCAACCATTGCATGAACCATCCATTTCATCACACACACCACAATGACCACCAGCAGCCCTGAGGCATGTCCGAGCATACTGATTCGCAGCCATGGTTTGCCCCTGCACCACTCTGCGCGACATTCCTCGGCCCAGCGCTTCTCGCAACTCGCGTGGAGATCAGCGGCCAACAAACAACCGTCAAAAGAGACCTGAAATTTACATCCCCTTGCTTCATTCCCCCGATGGCCGTCACTATGCCGGCGCAACGTGGAGTCTCACTTAAATGAAGGTGCAGTCAACATGTGCGCAGCCTGGCATTTTCTCGTTCGCTGTAGACCGGGGGTGTTGGATTTTGCCGCGAGATTAAAAGGAAACCCCCGCCATCTTGCACGGAGTTGCACGAAGGGGTAGACCCCTCAAGAAGAGGGTGATACCGGCAGATGAACTGAGCCGTTGTGATGCTGACTTAGCAAATGTACTTGAACTGCACCGACTGATCACCGGCTCAGGTGGCAGTCTTACCTCTCAAGCACCGGAGCATCTCCCTCCGAGAGCGAGGAACAGGACAAGCATCAACATAGACCACCAAGCCAATATCTTTCTAACGGACTACAAGGTAAGAAATCTGGGATTATGACGATGTCATGCCTATAGCCTCATGTCGTGTCATTTACTACCTCCGGGAGTACGCGTCGATACCTCTCCATAAAGCTCCTCTAACTCCAGTCCGTTGATTCATTCTACCTTCTCCCGACACTGGGCTATACTGAGCAGTGACCATGGGGCTCTCCAATTCCTGCTGAACAATCACGTCGCTCATAGCAACAACAGTCAATGCTGTGATCTTGCAGAATGGACAGGTCCGAGAGACCCATTTCTTGAACACGAAAATCCACAATATTGGGAGTGGGAACTCAACAGTGTGGACTACATATGGAGCCAATGTCACCGAGCTCTCGTACAACGGACGATGGGACAGTCAGCATATTTCCTGGTGGGCAGCACCTGGTCTCAAGTTCGCCTTCGAGGGGGAGGATGTGGCAATCACGTTTGGCCAGCATACATCGCGCAGGTCATCATCATGTCGCCCTGGAACAGGGTCAGTCAGCGCGGAAACACACACACACACACACTACGAGGTTGGTGCTTTTAAGGATGAGAACTATAAAGTGTACAAGCATCACGAAGATCAGGGCTATGTGCATTATTTCGACAACACCGGCATTCTTCAGCACAATGATTTCGGCCCGCAGTACCATCCGACGGATTTGGGGCACATCAGGATTGCAAGCCATGTTTTGCAGTACATTCGCATCAAGTTTGGCTGGGAGTTTGCGGCGACGGGACCGGAAGTGCAGCATGAGACGCTGTATTGGAATGATGAGTCGAGCTACCAATGACACATCAGCATGACCATGTCGCGTGCACACAAAAGCTGGATAACCAGTTTGGTAGAAGAGAGTTCTGCATTTACCGCGCTCTATCATAGGTCATAACATACATACAAAAAGTCCTGCAAAAGGGGTATATACACCAAACCATCCCAACCGCTATACACAAAATTCTAAAGAAAAATGCCGTACGGCTCGCGCACTACAGCGCATAATTCTCCGCATGCAAGAAAATCTCATCTCTCTCCCCGTTACTCCACACGCTCCTCTGCAAATCCGCAACCGTCTCACTAACGCTAACACGCATACTCGGTGGCCCACAAATGAACACACACGTCCGCCGCCCAAAATCGCGACTCAGCCCTTTCAACAAAAATGGTATGTCGGGACGTCCGTACTCGGTGCTCCAGCCGTCTTTCTTCTTGACGGCCGCGGGTAGGAAGGCGAACCGCATTAGGTTCTTTTGGAACTCGGTTGGCGTGGATGGGAAGCCGAAGTCGAAGCCTTGCACGGCCGAGGAGTTGCTGGGGTCGTAGACGTCGGGGTTTATGGCGCCGGAGCCGGCTTTGATGGCTTGTGAGATGTCGAGGGAGAGATTACGGTCTGTGCGGCGTGCAGAGATGGAGTGGGAGATCGGGGAGATCGTGTCATGGTGCGATGATGTGTCGGAGTGGCTGCTTTGGTAGCTGGGGCGTGGTGGTGCGAGGTGTCGAACGTGTGTTTGTGGAAGCGCTGTGATGTGGTCCTCGTTCTCGCGACGGAGTTCGCTTTCTTTCTCGGGGTCGCCTTGAGCTTCGTCGCGGATCATGGCGGAGTGACGCTTTGAAGAGATGCCGGATATGCCGGACAGGCGGTGGTCTGCGATGTTTTGGAATGCGTCGTTGACTTTGTCGTGGAAGAACATTGACACAGGGCGTGTGGGTGTCTTCGCACTGACGAGACCGCCGCCTACAACGCGCTTTGCTGCGGTGATGTAGAATTGGCATTCCACAGTCTCTGGAGGCGCAAATTCTCGGCAAATGCGAAGTTCCTCCTTGAACCATTCCATCGTCTCGGGACGCTTCAGTGCCCAGATAACATGGATCTTGCGCGTAACAGCTTTGCCGTCGCGCATCTTCTTGATGAGGCAAAGAAGCTGCGAGATGATTGCGGTGATACCGCTACCACCAGCAATGAGCACAACGTCGTCGAAAGCTTCGATGCGTCGCTGCATGCCTCCATATGGGCCATCTACAAAAGCGCGATATGTGTGCCAGGGGCCGTGTGTCAATGCGCTTTCAACAACCTTTTTGGTGAAGCCACCAAATGGCCTGAAGACGAGAACCATGTCCCTGTAGCCCTCACCATACTCTGATGGAAAGTCGTCATCGCATAGTGATGCGACAGTGAACGGGTGGTTCTCGAACACCGAGATACCAGGCATCCTGAGGTACACATACTGCCCAGGTCTCCACTTCGTCTGGGTAGGTATTGTGATCTTGACAGCGTTTTCTGGCATGAGGGTAACGGCAGCTTCGTCTCCAATAAGCCACGATAACCGGAACGGGTTGGTCCAATTCAAGTAGAATAGTCGCATGAAGTAGGATAGAAGCCAGATGCCAAGGGTGGAGAACAGGTAATGCCAAGAGGTGAGGTAGTTGTTGCAATGCCAGAACATCATGCCAAGGAAGACGATGGCGACCGGCACGTGGAGAGCTACGAAAAGCTCATACATACGATGGCGGAGGGGTGCGACAGAGTGCATGCACAGGAAGCATAGTGGAACAAGAGCGGCGATGCCTAGATGGATGTTAGCTTGGGAACCTTTGAAGGTGCAGAACAGGAGGGTTTCAGGAGAAGGTGGTCGCACATACCGGTACCATAGGCATAGAAGCCGTCCTGCTGGAAGAAGCTTTCGAACACTCTTCGAGCACCCTTTTCCCAAATCGGAGTGACGTAGAAAGGTACAGTGTGCAGGATACTGAGCACGAGACACAGATAGGCCGCCCACCTGTGCAATACATTCAATCGCTCGTGGCTAATACCGGTGACCATGGTTATAAGGTTCGCTTTCGTCGAGAGAGCTATGATCCATGGCAGTAGAGCAACGGCCATCATGCCGGACCGAACGGCAAGTGGTGGCGATCCATATGTGATGCTCTTCCAGAACAGTGGCTGGGGTATACAGCAGTAGAGTATTCCTACTGCAAACGCGAGAAACACGATGACGATGACGCTCAAGGAAGGAAATACAAGTGGTCTCCAGCCTTTACGGATGTTGATTTGTCGAATCGGTCGGTAGAAAATGAAACGGAACAGGGCCACCAAGTTGTTAATTGGTCCGAGCGAAGAGACACTTGATTGTGTCTTTGGTCCATTCGGCAATGGACCCTCTCGAGGAAAGAACTTCATAGTAGACTTGTCAGTATACAGGACCGACATTTCGTAGTCTGTGTCGGGGGAGGAGGTCGCTGAAGATTGTAGTACCTCTTCTTGGTGTAGCGCGGTCCGGATCTTATCCGTGAACAAATGGTAGTATCGTAGGAGCGCAGCAATAGTGAGCAGTGGTATGCAGAAGTAGACATATGCAAGAGCATATTTGCCACTCTTGTTCCAGGGGTCCACTGTGTTGGCTTCGATCAGCCCTGCTGGACTTGTGCTGTTGTATGGTATGTTCAACCGTCGCACGAGCGAAGAGACGACATCCACGATATCGCGCTGCGCATGTGTGGCTGTGGTTCCGAACTGTGCCAAAGCCACACCCGCTTGGCCCAGTACCGCATCTGATATCGCCGGCATCTTGGTCGTAGGGTTTCGTATGCGCAAGAGCTTAAAAGCTCGTGGAACCTGCTGCCAGCAAAAGCTGGATCACAGAATCGATTTGACCAGATCCAACGGACAATGAGGTTGGGGTAGCGATTGCTTATAGAACAACCGGGGACTCGTTCCTACATAGGTACGAGTGTGGAGTAGCATCGGTTGTGTTCATGCGGTGTGAAGGCACGGTGGAGCGAATCGGATTCGATGTGTTGTGTAACCGATCGATACTTGCGCGGCGTCCGTGTTGCAATGCGACAACTCAACTCTTCATCTGTGTACCGACGTGATGCTTCTTTCCAGACCAAACTGCAGGAGCAGAAAAATCGAAAGCCGTTTTCTGTCAACAACGATCAGACAACGTGCGTAAGCAGCGGCCTTATGTGACCCTTATGTTCCATGCTAGAGTGGAGAAAGTGTCACACGCAGGATTCAGGGCATCCGTATCGTGGCAGCAAATGGCGAATCTTATTCAACCGCTCACACTATTGGACCAAGGTGTGATAGCGATATCTAACAGGGGTACCCAAAGAGGAACCGACGAAGTGAAGCACTATCACGTTCGCGGACCGCACTGACGATTCACATCTCAAATACTGCGTCGGCCGTATGCATCATGCGTGATGAATGTTGTGACTGGTTGGAAAACATGGAATCTACCAATGGGACAAGAACGGACGCCAGGGCAGTACTACCGTAGGCAAATCTTCTAAGCGGATGGCGTTCTCGGTTGCAGCGGGACGTCGACTCGATCCGTTTCCCGTTTCTTGCTCGCATGCGCTGTCAACGCAAGGGGGAGTTGTTTTAAGAAGTCGTACAACTGCAGTACTCGTTCAAATTTCCTCTCCGTTCCACGTTGCATCTGAGCCTCGTCATCATCCCAGAAGCTGAGCAGACTCTGCTCACGAGTTCTGTCCATTTCGATCGCGGTCTGGGCGAGAATGCGACACCGAGACAGATCAGCCACCTCGTGGGCGTACAGTCGAATCACAGCGGTTGAAAGCATGTTGACCCTTGGGCGCAGGGCCACGCTGCGGAGCCCCAAAATGGGCCGGCTCCGGTTCGCATGACTCGATGGCAGGCGAATTGGAGGATTGGGATCGCAGTGCACTGACTGGAGGAGTGCAGACAATGCATGGGCAGAAGAGATGTGGAGCGGGGTTGGCATGGATGCTGCGAGGCTTGAGTGGTCGTCAATCGCTCTCGAAGCGCCCACTATCTAGTTTCGGACTAGCTCAAGACCAAGCTTTGCTGGTCCGCTGATGTGCGGTGGTTGGTCGCAAAGCTTCCATCAACCTTTGCTTTTGAGATTCGGGACCTTGGTCCGGCTGTGGAAAAGATTGACTTGAAGGACCAAGACAAACTTCGGATAGACGGTCCATGCCTCATCCGTCCCGTTCACGGCAAGATACGGCACAGCTTACGGCACAGCAAACTCGTAGGTTTGCAGACTGAAGGCGTGCGATACACATGATCAGAAAGCATTACTTTGAGATTCCGTTGATCACTCAAAGAATGCGGGGGATACTTTCGAGGACCTAGAACTTGGTGTGGAACAGGTCCAGTGCCGAATCTTTTCTGTCTAAGCCCACCACTTGAGTCGCGCCTTTAATCCCATCACACCGCAACAAACCCTCATCACAGCACAAGACCACTGAGGTTGACGCCTCTACTTTGCAATGAGTTCTCTCTAAGCGCCAGCCCTACAGCAAGTGTGTCCCGCGGCACCCACATCGCCCACGATCGCTCCAGGACCCTGAATCAGGCACGGTCTGGCTTCTGGACTGTTACGCGCTCGATTGTGTGCGAGATGAGTTGCGTGGCTGCAACTTTAATTGAACGTGCCGGTCTGCTGTGAGTGCTGGACTGCAGCCTTGTGAGGTGGGTGGACATATCGAAATGGATAAGTCGAGCGGTTGGGCAATGTGTACCTGCAGGAGGCGGCGATACGAGGGTGAAGATGGTGTAGACGTGCAGGATCCACACTCATAGTCGAGTGGTGTATGTGTGCATCTACCCAGTGCGTTGACAGAACGCGGTCAACCAACGAGTGCCTACCGTGGCATCTGCTATAATCCGCTTAGAGCTTGAAAGTCATACAACAGCCAGACCGGTGCAAGGGAATCAAAATGCGAGTCCGAGTCTTCTGCGACTGTATATACTGAGTCTCCGCCCTCTGATTCAGATGACCAGGTTATAGGTTGATAGATAAGCTCTCTAGGAGGCGGCTTGTAATGCGCTGGAAACCCTTAAAACTCGTCAACAGCATCGTAATTGTATTGATGACCAAGGAAGACTTGCTGAGCTTCTTCAGTCTCGAGCCACTCTTTTGTAAGCCCTAAGATGTCCATAACTTTCTTAGGCAAGGTCACAGTTGAGGCGGTGAATTGAGGCGCCATTTGCACCCTTTTAGGTCCGTATATGGCCAGGGTCTTAGCCAGAATGCCGTAATCATCATCCTTGGAGTCATAGTCGTCCCAAACCTCCACTTGGTTAGCGTCATTTGAAAGTTGTGATGAGCTTAACTTACAATCATGGAGATCTAGCTGAACTTCGTACTCGTGGCCAACGTTTCACATCTCCGAAACCTCATGCGTCGTCCGGATGTCTTCATTGGTCGAAAGCGAACAACAGGCGTTGTTCGCGCGCTGAGTTCAGGATGTTATCTTGGCCACAATGGCAGGTGAACATTAGCGAGGATGCATCTTGTCAGCTGCAAGTTGGAAATGATCGATAGAATTCCAATTATTGGTTATATGAGTCACTTGCAGGAAGGGGCAGCAATGTGAGGATCCACGATGCTGCGGCGCCGAGGCAAACACCGGTGAGCCCTAGGGTTTTTGTAGAATGTCGACAAAGGTTGTACGGATACAACAGCTCGACAGTATGTACTCGTACATGGTGTGGACGGCTGTGGATCTTAGCCGAAAGCGGTCGCGATGTATGGACTACCAGGTGGAGTTCGCCTTCAGTGCCAATCGTCGTCATCATCATCCGGTGTATCTTCTGAATCATCATCCATCAAATACCTCTCAGCCGCTTCAGCTCGTAGCCGACGGGCTTCCTCCAACCTTTCCCACTTCGTCTCGACTGCATCGTAGTCGCACTTCTCCTCAAACAAGACCTCTTTAGCTTCTTTGGTTTCCAGCCACGCCTTCTTGAGACCTAGGACATCCATGACCCTTCTAGGCAATGTCTTGTCTGCTGCATGGAAATGAAGCGCCATTTGTACGCCTTTGGGACCGTAAGTGCTCAATTCTTTGGCCAGGACGTTAGTCTCTGCATCCAGCGAAATGGACTGATCAAAGTCTGTGTGCGCTGTTAGTACAGAGCTGCTAGGAATGAGGGTTGAGATTTACTGTCGTCTATGTCCAGAATGACACCGTATTGGAAAGTCGAGCCAACTTCTTTGAAAGCGTGCTGTATCTGCCAAAAGTCCATAGGGAGAGGGCCGTTGTGAGGCATACGCATGTAATCCATTTCTACTGTCTTGAGTCCATCACTGGTTCCAGGGTTGCATTCATTGGCCTTCAAAGGGAGGCCACCTATGAAGAAATCCTCAAAACCTTGGTTGCCTGGCGTGTATTCTGGGCGCATGTGGAGCAGCAGCGTCTGCAGCTTCGGTGGCATGACGTCGCGGATCGCTGGATATTGCCAATGGCCTGTTGGTGACCATACCCCGTTGGTCACCGTACCTGGAGGTCTGCCCATGAGAAGCATGGAGGGAACTTCCAAGGATTCGAGGGCTTCAAGCGACCGTAGGCCGTCCAGATGAATGAATCCATGATCCGAACTTTCGCGTAAATCCCGGTCGAATGGCTCCAGGACAAGCTCTTTCAACGTCTTACTGTGTCGCTGGAGACTATCGAGGATCTCTGTGCACCATGCTCTCGAGCCCTCGAGGTCGTCCTCTGCGAATTCTTCATCATGGGCGCGATCGCATTTGAAAGAGATCAACGCCTGGCAGCAATCAATCATCCGGACGATGAAGTTGGAATGCACCTCCATGGCCTCCAACTCCAGAGTATGTACTTTCGACGTAGGAATTGATTCGGGCCAGGGGGTGCGATCTTCCATAGGTATCCACTGTACGCTGCTAATGCTGAGACATTGGAGACGTGGTAGGTGAAAGAATAGAGCCAGGTACACGCCGCATTTCTCGTTCATGTTCACAATCAGGGTATGTAACTGTTCGAACCAACCCTTGTTTTCCAGTCCGAGGAAGACACGCGACGCAGCCATTGCAACTGGAAGGAGCCAAACCGGTGGCAGGTCGAAAACGAAGTTACCGGACCAAGAGTTCTTGACGCTCAAAACCTCCAGATTCGGTGCCTGGGAAACTAATTTCCAGACTTCCAGCTGGGCGCACTCGTCAGTGGTCAGTTGATGGCGTGTCCTGATCCCGTATTGTTTCAATTGAGAGTGACGAGCCTTAGCCCAAGTATGATAAAGGGCCCGTCGTTCACGCGTAGGTTTGTATTTCGCACAATATGGCCCTTCATTGCGGGTTATGATGCTCTTCAGGCCCTTGTGCAGAGAGGTGTCTGAGCTTATACGGTCAACGAAGGCATGGATTGGGATCTGGAACCGAGCTTCGTAGAGGCTGTATAGCAGCGGCACAGCAAGATCGTGAAGTAGTCGACACGTCCGTGCCACAGCAGCCAACGCGCGCCCCCAATGCCGTATGTCCCATTCGTTCGGATCGAAGGTAGTCAGAGGGTGAGGGAGTTGGGTGACGGGCTGTAGATATTCCAAGACTTCGTGAAGGAGTTCATTCGGCAAGGAGAGCAGGGTGGCCATTGCGGCGACGGTTCCACTTGTTTTTAGCGATGAGGGGAAGCGAGGGGTCCAGAATCAAGTAACACCTCGGTCTACGTTGCTTGATGAGTTGGATGAAGTCGCCGCGTGGATGGATGTGGCTTCAGAAGGTGCAGCGGGGCTGCCGGACCACGACGCGTCGAGTCGAAGAAACTCGGCAATGACGACGCGCATCCAAACATCAGCAAGTATCAGCAAATATCAGCAAATATCAGCGAATACAAACTTGAAACACCCTGTCTACGAACGAATCCGATTCACTCTCTTGTCTCCGTCTGACGCACTTCTGGAGTCGAGAGTATGAACAACTGATGATGCAAAGCGTGGATTCACAACTTGATACAGGCACGCAACATGGATTGCTCCTACGCTGACCAGCGCCTATGGATATCCCTTCCTCCCAAACGAGCCAACAATGGGCTAAGCAGAATGCAAATGCAAAAATGATCCTCCTCCAGAAATGATATGGACTTCGTCGATTACAATGATATATGTCCGGTCAGAGTCGCTAATCTTTGCCGTGGGCGCGAGTCTGGGGTATGTCGGACTAAAAGATGCTAGTCATCTAGACCTTGACGCTAGCGCGCGAGTGCGCGGAGTGTGGTCGTTCTACCAAAGTCAGCCTGTGCCCAAGTGTACGTGTCGCGGGTAGCGTACCCGGGATGTCCATTGTCTGCGGGTGCCTTGCCGCCAGCGGACTGTTCGCAGGAGCTGTGTCCTTGTTGGGAAAGATGCCTGAGATGGGACTTCGGCGCTGGCTGTCCTTTCGTTTCGGCGGCGAGTTGCCCGTGGCCTGGCTCAGTCGCTCTTCGGCCTCCCGTAGCCTCTTCTGCAGGGCCTCGAGCTCCTGTGCTTGTGTGCTAACGGCTTGCTTCCTAGCAGGCTGTTAGCTGGAGCAGCATGGGACGGTACTTCCCAACGTACTTCTCGTGCACAGTCTTATCCAGTGTATCGAGGCTGCTGTCGAGCTTGAACAGCGTGTCGAGCTCGTCCATGAAGTTGCGGGCAACGGTGCTGCATCTGTCAGAAGGGGCGGGAGCTACGCTAGCGGGTGATCATACGACTGAGGGCGGTTGTTTGGCTTCCAGCCGGCGTCAGGGTCCTGCACGGTGTTCTGGCTCTGCATGGTGAGACGTGGGGGAGGGCGAGCTTGGGTGAGATGGGGAGTGAGGCGGACGAGGCGGACGAGGCGGTGTCGATAATACGGGGGGGGGGGGGGGGGGGGGGGGGGAGGAGGGGGGGGGGGTGGAGAGGAACAATGGGAGCAGCTGGAGTGTTAAGCGGACAGCGGGTTATATGGACGCAAGCGGAGATGTTTCAGAGGGTGTGACGATGGGATGGAGCATGAAGAGGGCGTCCTGTGATAGAGATTCGAGTGCCTGTGATTAATCTGCGGAAAGGGGTCGTCGGCCATAGCTCCACGGCGTCGATCCCTAGTGGAGCAACCAGGCGTACGAGGGCTTGGGGCAGCAGCCACCGTTGGGGAGGCATAATAAACATGACTGCTGCGCCTGCTGCGCCTGCTGCACGCTCGACGGTGAGGAAGGACGCTCGCCTGGAGGGTCAGTGACGATGAGGCGCTGCCGCCCTAACGGCCAAACGGAGCGCTCCAGGCTCGGCTTCCCGCTTCCTTTGCGTTCTGGACGCGTCCTGCATGCCGATTGGCAGAGCGCGACCAGGCGCCTGCACATTCCTAGCGGCCGCTGAGTGCATGCTGGTGCCGCAAACACCAAAGCCGCATCGACAATTTTTCACCACCACACGCGCTCTTCCACCACCACGCGCGCTCCGCCCCATCGCCGCACCCTCGCTCACGTGACGCGTCCATCTGCCCGCCGCGCTGCGATGCCCGCCTGCCCCTCGTGAACGCCGTCCCCCGTCGCGCTGGCTCCCATCCCGCCCCAGGCTGTCCGCCCGCCGCGCGCCCCAGACGCCGTGCACCGACCCCGGGGCATGACAGCTAGCGTCTCCGCGTACAGCACCCTCGAGTCGCTCCTCGTCTTCCAGTGCCTCAAGAACTATGGCGTGACCCCGAATGCGTTCAGCAAGACGTCGGAGCTGCTGAAGGCCAACCCCGACATCACGGGCCACACGTTCTTCCAGAGCGGCCGGCTAAGTCCTGATGCCTTGCGCAGCTTCTACCTCGAGCGTCTGAGGAGAGAGATTGAGGTGGAGCAGAGCGGCGACAGCGATGCGCAGAACGGCGAGAACCCCAGAAAGAGAAAGGCCACAGGCGCCACGTTGCCCACCGTCCAGGAATCGCTCCGGTACACGCACCTGATGCCCAAGCTCGTCGAGAAGCTGTACGCCACCTACCGCAACGAGATCGTCGAGCAGATCAGGGCCGAGGAGGAGCGCTATGAGAAGCTGCAGCGCGAAGTGCAGAGCATCGAGCGCGGAGAGTGGGATGAACAGCTGCGAGAACGGGTGAACGGAAGGACGCGGTCCTCGCGCAGCCCGAGTGTGGCTAAGAAGTCGCCTCCTGTTGCGCAAAGCCCGCTGCCACAGGCGGGCGCTGAGAATGGAGCAAGGGGACCGGGTGGACCGCAGCAGACACCACAGCAGGGACAGGCGGTGGTGGGCGCTCCCAAGACGTCACCCAGAAAGAAGAAGGACCAGCGCCCAACGCCCGGTACTTCACAGCCGATCGCTGCTTCGCCAAGTCAACACCCAAATCAACACCCAAACCAGCCTCAACCTTCGCACTTCCAGCAGCCTCCTCCCCCGAATGCAGGATACAACGGCCCTCCTTATCCACATCTCTCGCCCTTCCCTCCGGGTCAGCAGCCAGCCCAGCCCAGCCCCCAGCAGGGCCATGCTCGTCCTCATCCCCCGTCACCCGCGCCAGGACAGCCAGGGCAGCCAGGACCGCAGTACCAGCCTCAGCCGATCCAGCCTTACGAACCGAACGGAGTGCCGCAATACGGACCACCTGGCGGACCTCCACCGTTTTCGCCTAACCAACGCTTCCCACAGCAGCCGCCAGGGCCACACTCCCCGAGCATGCACACACCGCAGCAGCAGAAGGGCTACTTCCCGCATCCTGCACCGCCATCCCATCCTCCTCAGCACCTGAACCAGCCACCACCACCTCAAGCTGGCTTTATGCTCCCTCCATTTCAGGTCTCACCCCAAGATCCTTCACGAGTTCACCATCCTCCGATCTCGACGCCACAGTATCCTCAGGTTTCTACGCCCATCAACAAACGATCTGCCTCTCAACAGCATCATCATCACACTCCAAGCGCCAACAGGCCAGGCGCGCCGCCTATGCATCCACTGGTAACCCAGGCTCGACAGTCATTCTCGACACCCCTCAACAACCGATCGCCACAACACAGCGCCACGAGCACGCCACAATCAGCGAAGACCCGCTGGAAGCAACCACCTCCTGGCACTCCCGGCGGTGTACCCGGAACGCCTCGTCCTGTACCAGAGATCATTGACGATATGCCGCCGCTAAGTAGTTCGAAACAAAGTCCGGCCAAGTCGAAATCGCAGCGGAAATCGAGAGGGAAGGGCAAGGCGAAAGAGAAGGAAGCGGAGAAGGCTTCGGAGGAGAAGCCTGTGCCAGACTCAGAGGCACATCCAGAAACACCTCTGCCATTCAGCTCATTGGAAGTACCTGCACCAGACTCGGGTACTCGACAAGGCCGATCACGGCGCAAAGCACCTGCAAAGCGTGGAAGACCCGGTAGTGTCGCTTCTTCACGAGCGGGTGGTTCGGTTCGAGATCGTAGTAGGAGCCGGTCTGTCCTGTCCCACACCGACACCGTAGCCGATACAGATTCCCAGGCTGGCCACCGAATCAAGACTGAGCGTAGAGGCTCTTTGGACGATGGGATGGAAGAAGAGTCGGTCAACACACCCTCGCAGATGACCAAGCGCCGACGAGGTGCAGCACCCGTAACCGCGCCTTCCTCAACGCGTCGAAAACGCAATGCCCGTGAAGCCTCCCTGGTAGAATCCGAAGATACGCCCGGCACACCCAGCCCAGATCGCACCATCATCGCCCACCGCAACTTCCACCGCACCTGCCAGCCCATGCTCGACGATATCACCTCCCACAAGCATGCATCGATCTTCAGCACCGCCGTCAAGCACAAGGATGCAGAAGGCTACTACGACATCATCAAACGCCCCACAGACCTCTCCGCCATCAAGAAAGCTCTCACTAACGGTGCAAAGTACGTCACAGCCGCTGCTTCTGATACCCCCATCGGCAGCCCCGGCGGCGCGGGCGCGACGATCGAGCTTCCTATCACGAGCGATGTTGTACCGCCCAAAGCTATTGTGAATCCGGCACAGCTGGAGAAGGAGCTCATGCGCATGTTTGTCAATGCGATGATGTTCAATCCAGGCGAAGATGGCGTCGTCGAGGATGCGAGGGAGATGTTCGAGTCTGTGCAGAGGAGTGTATCGAGTTGGCGCAATGTATACGGGAGAAGTAGCGGTCGGGATCAAGGGGAGGGCACGCCAGTCGAGGGCGAGGAGGAGGGGACGAGCAGCAAGCGCAGGAAAGTATAGGACTACTCCACTGTGCTCTGTCTGATGAGGATGCAAATGGAATGATGATATCGAAGAGAAACATTTTGTTGCTACGAGTCTGACTATTTTGCCTAGTTGCTTCCGTGTTTCTGTGCATTTCGAGAAGCGTCGCACCCATCATGATCCTCAGCCACCGTAGGAAGTATATCAGGTCGGCCATGACGATGGCCGAGCTAACCACTCCTCAGCGCCTTAGACGGCCCATCTCTGTCAATCGACCGCTCGAAGCTGAACTGCTCGAGCAAGGTTCTGGGAGCCGTGAGCTCGTATTGAGGGATTGCAAAGACCACCTTGACTCTGATGTTCCCCCCGATTTCTGAGTATTTCTCGAGCAGATACCGAAGAGCCTTGCTCAGGTCGTTCGTCATATCGCTTGGGTTCATCTCAAAGTGGATCTTGAGGACTGGTATGTCGCACAGCTGGTGAACGGCATTGTCGAAGAAGGTTCTGAAAGTTTGAGTATCGGAGATGGAACCCAAGCGCTGCTTTTGATCCAGGGACATTCGTTCCGATGTAGTGATCAAAGTGGTGCAGGGATCCTCTAAGTATTTGTACCCGTTGACATATTCTTGGAGACTGTCTTGAAGCCTCCAAATGATTGGAGCTATCCACCATGTCTTCCCAACCAAGTTCATCCCGGTTGCAAGGTCGGTGAGGCGAAGGATCAATGCCAGGTGTTGGCGATGTAGCAGGATGGGTGTTGCCTCCTTCCGTGTCAATCTTGATACTTGCAAGATAGCGAGATCAATGTGGGAGTAGAACATGTCGGTCTTGTCGAGAGGCAGTCTGCGAGTGCTGGGGAGGCTCAGATACTCGTACACTTCCATGCGGAGCTCAGGTGGTAGGTCTAGGAACGCAAAAGCACCATCGGTGCGTCCAGCGTCATCTTCAGTTTTCGTAGCGGAAGTCATGATGGCACTTGGCGAAAGGAAGCCATGGAGTGAATTTGGGTTTGAAGGTCAGTGCCAGCGATGACGATGTCGAGGGTGGATCTGGTGTTGCGCGTGCAAGGTGCAGTTATGGAAATGGTACTAGTGAGTGCCCGCGAGAGGTGAAGCGGAAATACAGGGGAAGAATGTGGGAGGTGCGCAAGACCACGTGGGCACTAGCGCCAGGTGAGTAAAGTGAAGGCGGAAGGAGCGAACGTGCTAAGTCGAGACTGTCACTCCGCGGCTGTGCTGGGGGAATCCTGAGCTAGACTGTTTGCTCTAAACGGTCGTCTCCTTTCTCATTCACTGACCGCACATGAAATGTGAACCTCGTCAATGGATCATTCGGGAGGGAAAGAATGTGTTGGAAAAAAGAAACGTGCTCAGGCTCGACCTCCAGGGCAAGGGTGAGAGGAACAACGATGGCGATACGTCAAGGCGCATCCGTTGTAGGTCGCTGTTGGCTTCTCTCCGTACAAGCTTACAGCACTCGAGGATGGCCAGATTCACATCATGGTAGTTGATTGTGACCTTGTCTAAAGGCATAAGGCATTCCACATCTTTTACTATATTGTTGTGATCATGAGTCGTAACTCGACTGGAAGGTTCAGGAATGAAGAGACACGCGAGCCGTGTCCGGTGCCAAACATAAGTGCAAAACTGAGGGACATGCTGATTCGCTGTATGGACGGCAGTGGAGATGTCGATGTTCGTGGATATCTGTTGTCAGACGTAGATGTGGGAGTGATGGGCATGCTGCGCGGACGAGAGTGGAGGTGCCGATGTGCGTAGAGTGTGTAAAACAGTAGGCCCACAGGTAGGAAAGGGGCAGGCACATGGCAGGTAATTTGGAAGCTAAAAGTTGAAATTAAGACCATGGCAATATTTTGGCTAATACGGACTCTGAACACTTATGTCAACTTCTTCTGGCACCGAGTGTGATGCGAACCTTGGAACACCTCAATGTTGCGCTTGCCTGAATGGGTATAGAATTAGGCAGACATTTGATGACCATAGGGCTGAACGGTAGCTGCCCGACGACACTCGAAGAAGAAGCTGCTGGCAGGCTTCAAAAACAAGGAGGGAGAGTGATCTCTTTGTGCCAACTATGTATCTGGTGGCGTTAACCCTGATACTCAATATATATAACGCAGAGCAAACCTTACTTACTCGATCGTCATTCTCGAATCCGAACACAAGGGTATTGTTTCTTCCATTATACGACCGCACTCTGAATAGAGCCAAAGGACGCTCTCTTCATAACAAGACATTACAATCTGAATTGATGAAAGATAGCTGAAAGACAGGATTAACCGACAGGCCCCCACCGTCCAGCGGGTTCCATCATTCCAATTTGGTATAAGCCAGAAACTAGAAGAAACAGAAAACGCTCAAAGACACGAAACAGTAAGAAACATGAGGATAAGAGATGGGTATCGAGTAAGTCATGAGTTGTGGTAAGCCGGGACCAGCCGACAGCGAGGAAAGAAGGAGGAATGCTGTGCTTGCGTGAGACATTGCCGCATGGCCTTATGAGGCGATTGCCCGCCTGCTTCGAATGTGCTGGAGTCCTTGCAGGCCACTGTTCCTCTGGCGATGCGATCCTCTGCCATTTGTTTCAACAAAGTTCTCAGGTGGATGGGTAAGGTTGTGGTTTCCGCCTTTCAGTTCCTTAAGGTCTTGGTCTCCAATAAGACGCTGTTGCCAGAGGTACTGGAACAGGTCGAAATCTGGTCGAGCCGCTCTCAGGTTCCAACCGTATGCAAGATGCGTGCTTGCAAGGTGTTCCATCTTCAGGTTCCATGCTTCCGGGCCTTCGTTACAGATTGTCTGCCATGCACAGAGCGGACATTGCACGGCGCGTGGAGGGTTCTTGCCACGGAAATGACTAAGGCAGTGCGTGTTCCACTCTGATTCGATGCGCGATACGTATGAGCAGTTGAGGAACCAGAACACACATTCGTATTCGGGTGTATTCGCTTCGGCAAGTTGCTGCATCAATACGCCGTCGACTTCGTCCAACAGCGGCTTGCCTGCGCACTGATCTGCAAGACTTGTACTTATGGAGCTGTCTGTGATGGTATTGGATTGAGTGTGACAGGAATGAAGCGAGGGTGGGTAGTCCGAGGCGTTGGAGGCGTGGGATTGGTGAACTATGGGCGCCATGGACGAGCTGCTGAGGATCGATAGAGGGTATCCGTATGGCGAACTCGATGAGTACGAATGAGGAGCCTCGAGCTCGAGAGCAGCGTAGCCGATCTGCACAAGGCGGCCTTGAAAGTCTATGGAAGAGTCTTGTTCCCAGTCTTGGATTGGTCGAATGAATGGGACATGCCTGTCAACCGTCGTTGCGAGCATGTTGGCGGGGTCGTCTAATAGTGGCGCCTGTCAGCCTCACGTCGTGCAGGTCATGCCTTACAGCCTTGCTGTAGAATCAGGCAAGTAAGGCATACAACCTAGTCGAGCGTGTCAGAACTCACCGCCGCGACTTCGTGATGTTTGGCGTCGGGGTGTCATTGGGACTGATGTTCAGCCCGAGGGTAGGGCTTAGCGCTAATGTGAAATGTGGGGTAGTTTCTTTGTATCTTTTGAACCTTTGGGCTCTGTTCACTTTTACACGCCTGAGACATCTTCTTGTCTTATATGCACCACTAATACAGCCAAAGTATACCAACTCATGCGAACATGTTCGCTGCAACGCGGCTCTGCGGTCTTCCCGACCGCTTCTTTGACAACTCACCTCCATCCCGCGCTTCGTCATCCAGATACAACACATCATGAGCGAACCAATGACAAGCGAAATAGTTCAAGCGTCAAGCTCGCGAACCCCCAAGACTCGCCTTGCTATCTTGGAATGGCCTGTCATTGGTGCGGACTGCTGCATATGACGAAGCGGGGCGTGGATGAACCCCACTACCTGTCATGCGAACTCATATGCAAGCGGCAGTGCCCACCGCCTTTTCGCTATGAGGTTCGAATATGGAGTATGGTAATCTGCCTTAATCTGTCGGTGTAAAATTGGACCTAGAATATTGGTTCGAGTCGCTACTGACTAGTCGCCGACTAGCAGCACACCGCACCGCCACTACACATCACTATCACGGCAAGGCTGGCCCAAGACTTTGGATTTCATTTACGGAAACTCGGTCTGTAATCGGCCGACACACCCCAAAGTAGCTCTGTGCAATCGCAATACTTCCGCACGATGTCGAACTCGATTGCTGATCTACGTTGACCGCCTTGAACTTAGCCGCCTATCCACACGAGGATTGACTACACGACCCCTTCATCTTGCAGCACTACGATTCCTTCACTATCATACTGAGCTAGCGAGCTTGTACCCACGGCACCCCACTCCTCGCTTCCAATCCCGTGTATTGTGTCAATGGAATGTCGGCATCCGGCCATCTATACGATGGTCCAGTCGCACTCAGCAGATACCCGTGTGAGGGAGCACAGCTTGTGCCATCTCGCTCATTATCCGAGAACATCCTCTCCCGCTCAGTGGTGTCTGTCGAGCCGCCACTGTCTTGATTGAGCTGGCCGTCATCACCCCTACTGGTAGTCGCCGCTTCCTCTGGATGGTCTGTGGAGCCTGAATTGTCATTGTTACCAGCGGTCTGGCGCTGCTGAAGGTTCTCTCGAAGCCTTTCTGAGAGCGAGGTATTCTGCACTGGGATATGAAGAGCGGATATTGTACGAACACACAAGCCATTGATGACAGTCACCTTAGAGAATTTGGGTTCATCACTCGATTCTACAACAACCTAACCTGATGGTGTTGAGGAATTGTTGATGTACGTTTTACAGATCTGGTGACGCACATCTTCGTAAGAAGCACAGTGGTCAGAGGTAAGGGAATGTAAAATGACCGATCCATGATTATACCAGAGTGCCGCCCAGATATATTGCTCTAAGGTAGTTGCTTCAGAAAGAGCCTGTCTCGGTGACGCTCCAGGACGATCCGGACCCAACGTCACGTTCATCATGGAGTAGAAGATGATTAATTTGCTGGTCGAACGATGGGTGGCGATGCGCGCTGCTTTAATTCTCTATGCTCAATAGCTGCTTGTTTCTCGAACACACGTGCTAAACTCTGCTGACATCAAGTCAGGTGACTCGCTGTCACATCCATGGTCTAGTTTCCTCTGGCTCAAGTACATCATCGCCACTACCAAGCGTCACGCAGGGCCTATCCTGTTACAAACACTTTCGTGGTATGATGTACTTCCGAGCTGCATTCGTCATCTTGTCAAAGAAGAGAAGTATCAACACGAGTGTACAGATACGCAGGTGGCTGGCATTGCTTCATTGCAGGCTCCCAGTTGCTAAAACTAAGTTAGCTTTTTGGTACTGGTCTCTCCGTTCCATATCTCTGACTCATTCTTCCTACATAGCCGATGCCTGCTCTCCCAGCGCGTTGCTGAAAAGCTTAGATGGTACTGTAGTAAGATTTACGGATGTTCCCGCGTCTGATCAAGCAAAATTGCATTCTCACAAACTTTGAGGCTCGCCGCCTTGGCCTCAAAGGTAGAAAAGTCGATTGTCGAGTCCCTGTTGGTTGACTGTCTGGCGCCAATGACATCGTCGTCATCTCGCATACTGTTCTCGCTCCTCACTTCATCTTCGCCCTGTGTATCACTCTGTAATGCTGTTGAGTTTCTGATATTACTCTGCTGAGATAAATTCGTCCCAACACTCATGTTTTGAGCCGTGGTCTCTGTGCGGGTGCGAAAGCGTTGTTGGAAGGTGGTTTCCACCGGTATCCATTACCTGATATAGTTAGCGTTGTTTGTACAAGTAGCCGGTCCCTCGCGGATCTCATCCATCTAATCTGACACTCTACTTTCTACAAGCGTATCCTCGAAGATACTCCCTCTCATGCCTCGCCACTCTAGCATCAGTCGGAATCCTTACCGTCGACAATACTCGTACACTTCCATTCTGACCCGGGATACTCATCTTGAAGAACTTGTTGACAGGGTCGCATACCTTGATTCTCCAGCGCGCCGGTTCCGGAGTACGGCCCACGACCTCGAGCATGATCCGACAGACATGCTCATACGTTTGAGGATCTTCATTGGAACCAATTCATAGACCGTTAACCTGATGAAAGTAGTCGAGGATAGCGTATCTATACTGTTGCTGCTTGGACGGTTGCTTCGAGGGCTCTACAGCTGTGGAGCCGTTCGGACGCTTTGTTTCGCCTGACTGGGTCGACATGAACAAGTGAAATCAGCAGAGTAGCTTTGCACGTATCCTATAGGTATAATGCTGACTCCATTATATTTCCTCTGGATATGTTTGGATAGTGAGCCTTGTGGTTAGTCGACAATCAGTTTTTGTGGAACACACGGTGCTTCCTGACTTCCTCGCAAACAAAGAGCAAGCTCTTGAAAACGTTGTGGTGTAGTCATCTCCGGTTCGTTCACTGATACATAGCGTCAATGCTCAAATTTTGAAAGGAAGACTATACGTGAGAGTGAAACGGTCATGTATGCCTCAGGTTCAAGGCGACAAAACAACAAGGCAACAATTGTGTCCAGATCGATGGTTTGACTTGAAACGACCAGACGATCCGACGGTTTTTTTTAGATTATTTTTGAGCTTCAAGCGTGACATGTAGTCATGATCATCAACATGCAAGATAGGATGAGAAACAAATCGCCTCCGGTGGTGTCTTGTGAGTCGTGAGGTCAGCATCCAAATTAGTTGCCGTTAGCCTAAGTGGACCACAACCGAGGTCCAACACGCAACAAAGACAAGTCTACCAGCCACACAAACCCGTCTTCGGACCCACACCAGGGATGACTGTCTGTTCGACTCATTAGCCCCTGCATATTGGCTACTGTTTGTTTATACTAAGAATATATTTTTTATTAAAAATTAATTCCCCATCAACAACAGCCCGGCTGGCACAATTGTAAGACCACTCCGTTCAACGAAGATATTCGGGCAAGCATTAACAAAGTTTCAGGGTTAGCGCGTGAGACTTTTAATCTCAAGGCTCAGGGTTCGAGTCCCTGGTCGGGCGATCTTTTTGCTCTTGTCAACTCTCACCACGTCTCTCGGCATAAGCACAATAGACAGTTTGTCTGCTGTCTTGTGTGCAATATTCTTTTTTGCACTTGTTTCCGAGACATTTGAGTCATGTACGGAGTTGGCTACACTTCAAGTAACGCACATCACAGCGTGACGGCCTCAGTACAGTTTGATTCTCTAGTGTGTACTTGTGGTGTGCTTTAATTTCATTTACTTTCATAACTACATGATGATATTGCACATAAGACCTCAATTCACATATATACCACCATCTGTCACAACTCAAGGCTTTCAAAGTGCATCTAGTCCAGCTGAGGCTCGGGGACCTGACCAGCAATAAGTGCAATGAGCGCAGCACCAACACCAGAGCCGTCCTTTGCAATACCAATGCGGATGTGCTTCTCGCCGCGCTTACCAATCTCAGGGATTGTGCGCAGGGCCTCCCTGATGTGCTCCTCGAAGTCGGGGTAGAACTCAACAAGCGAACCGTCAACACCGACATCGACAACATCCTCCTCGTTGACCTTGAAGTCACCTCGCGGAGGGTTGATGCCAGCCTTGTCCTCGGTTGTGGCGGTGCTTTTGGACTTTTCCAGACGGCCGGTGTTGATGATGATGGCACCGATGGCGACGGCTGACAGACGAGCAGCGCGGCGACCTATAGCGCCGGCGATCGTTTTGACGGCCTCTGCGTCCTCGGTGCTGGCAGCTGAGATACCGAAGTCTTTGTCCAGTGTTTGCCTGATCACACGGTGGCCTACACTGTTGTCGCCAGCGCAGATGGACAAGAAGCTTGTGTCGATACCCCACTGCTTGAATATCACGCTGTCACTGTCGATCTGTGTTGTGCTGTGAATGTCGTTCGACGAAGAGTTGTCGTCCTGGAACAGGGGAACCTTGGGGTCCTTGATCAACTTGACCAAAGCAAGACGGAGAAGTTCACCCAAGAACATGCCAGACACGCGCTTCTCAAACATCTGGATGCCAGGGTTGACGGACTTCTCGTCGAGCTCGACATCGTAGGGTGTGTTGGGCAGTGTGCGGAGGGAGTTGTCGAAGGAACCCCACTCGGTGTTGACAATCATCTCGCCAGTCGACTTGTCAAACTCTCCTACATTCTTAGCCTTTGTGAGCTTGGTGACTTTGTCCAGCTTCTCGACGTAGGCACCGTTGGTACCGGTTCCGAAAATAGCTCCGAGCAATGTCCCGGTCTTGCCTGGCGAGGCATACGAGCGGGCCATGAGTGTTCCAACAGTGTCGTTTACAAGAGCAGCTACCTTGACAGGCAAGTGCAGCTCGTCAATCTCAGCCTGCAACAGGGCGCAAACGTCCTTGCCAACTGCATCCTGGATGTCGAAGCCCTTTGTCCAGCGCATGAGCAGGCCCTTGTTGATGCCAACCTGGTTCACGGGGAAAGAGAATGTGAAACCCAGGTTGAAGATCTCCTCAGCCTGCCCTCCAGTCTGTCGACGCTTGAGTGTGCCAGCGTAGTGGTCTTCGTGGTGTGCCTTGAGGAACTTCTCGATCTGCTTCGCTAGAAAAGAGAAGAGCTCCTTCGATGTCTTCGCGGTCATGAGCTCTTGGGGAACGGCGACTTTGCTCTGGGTGAGGGAGAAGGTGGTGTTGCCGTGCAGCTGGATGGAGCAGACACGAAAGTTGGTGCCGCCCAAGTCGACAGCCATGTACAGGCCCTACAATCGCAGTCAGCCTTTATGTCCCCTGCAGCAGGCTTCAGAAGTGGTCGCGTGCCTTCTCAGTGCCATTGGGCACGGCAGTGACGTAGGTAGGGATCTGGCTTAGCTCGGTGCCGTCCTGTTGCAGGCCCTCGTCTGCGCGCAGTCAGCCTCTCAGTCGCCCACTATGGTGTGTTTGGGTGCGCATACCCATCTCCCTGATGAACTCCTTGACCGTCTTGTTCACAGCATCGTTGCTGAAGTCGAACTCCGCGGCGACCCGCTTTGCCTGCTCAGCGAGAGCCATGCTGCGCTTGGGATGGGTGTTGAAGGTGCCTTCGAACTCGACTATCTGCTCGGGCTTCGGGCAGATCTGGGGCTCGTGGAAGAGTACGGGGTTGCGGAGGGTGATGCCTGGGGAGCTGACGTGCCAATGCTGGTCTTTAGTGAAGAAGCGCAGGACCGTGTGAGAGAAGTGGGGTGCAAAGACTTGGAAGAAAAGCGCTAGCAAGACGACGATTGCACCGATCACAGTGTGGGTCGCAAAGGAGGCTCGGCCAGGTTTACGAAGGGGAGGGCTCCAGTTCGACTGGGACCTGCTGGATGCGGTGGTGGCTTTAAATGGGTTTGCAGGAGCGCTGTACCTCCTGAAGTGTCTGTTGACGGGCATCACCCCCGCTTTGTTTGGTCGACAGCTATGACGTGAGGGGTAAGCTCGAGCTTGGGCAGCCCTCACTTAATTACATGCAATCAACAACAGCAACGCCGTGCATGCCGACTCGTTGAGGAAACGGGCGGGAGACGTTGGGCCTCGCAATTGGAAGCAGCCCGTGTTCCTTTGGGGAGGTGTTGTTTTCACTGCACTGCGCTAGCGGAGTTGAGACGAGGGGCTGCCGATCTGGCGGAGGGCAAAGCTTCATCGATCGTGCGCAGCGGCCGTCAGACCATCACCAGCCTCGAATCTGGACACAAGTATCATTCGAGCGGCCATGTCGGCCCGACACGTTCGGAAGATATCTGAACGTGCTTGAAACAGCTTCCTGACCTTAACACTTTACTGCATCTCCCGTTACTGACCAATTCGCTCTCATTGGCTGCCCAGGTGCAGTTGTGAGGCCATCACATGACGAGTACCACCACCATCAAGGTTACCGATACCGGCAGCACCATCCCCGAAGCCCTTTACAGCAGCTGTCAAAAGTAAAAACCAGGTTCCGGATATGCTGAAGTGCCGAAAACTAAAGGTAGAGGCAACTGGGTGCAAACATCAATGTCACTTCTCTCACAATGCTGCTACCCTTTCGTATCCTCCATGTCGGCCGTCGCCTGGCAGTTGGGCATTGGGTTGAGCTGTAAGGCTGAGAGCACCGGATGGAAGTCCAGACGTCGGGAGGGCCTATTCCGTACGCGATTTTTTTTTGGACTCTTGGACTCTGCATATGATTGTTCGCGGGCTCGATCACTGGTACTTTCGAGTTAGCACAGTGTCATTATATCTCCTGGCTTCAGGTTCGCAGCTTATGCTTCGCGTCGTATCGTTCTTTCACGCTGATGATGACGAATGCGAAGGCGTACAAACTGCTGGAGGCTTTCGAAGCGTCACGAGGCTGAGGCCTCGTACTTGCTTCACTGGGCCAACACCGGTCGATGCGTTATGCAGCGTACTCTAAACGAATTTTACGGGAGGTATGGATATGGGGGTTAACCTGTACAATAGTAGCGCAAGCTGGTTGGTCATTTCGGTGAGTCGTCGGATTGTGGGTGCCAGGTGGTGGCTGTTGGGTGGTGGTTGTCAAGAACATGCATTCCCGCGACTCGCTGACAACTGGCGGTCACTACTCACGACCGATTGTTTGCCAGCGGTCCGCTACGCTGATTGTCCAGCGGTCCGTTGCTCTGATTGTCCAGCTCATTCGGTTAGTTTGGTTTGCTTCCTCACCCTTTCACAGCTATTCCCTTCTACTATATAGTCCCGATCGATCCCTGCCATAGCTCTTCAGATCAATCAACTCAACCATCTCAACTCTTCCACACCGACAAGTGCTGAACCTCAGTCGGCTGCAGTTCACTGGGGCGAGACTGCAGGCTAGACAGAGAGGGCAGCATGTCCACTGCGCTGGCTTGCAGTCCAGTGACGACAACTTTCGAAACGGATAGGTCCAGGACTGTTGTAGGCTACCCAGGTGATATCACACAGTCTGAAGATGTTGCTATGTCCGGCATTGGATGCAGGCAGTACCAAGCTACAGAGTATGGGAAATAGGGGAGGCCGTGGGGAGTAATCTACAGTCTATACGATATGCCGAACGCGGAATACATAATGGATCGCCGCCGCCAGACCTGCTCTTCCACCTAATTATTATGCGTAGGACACTTCTGTTGGTGCGCCTTCGTGTTGCACAGCTTTTTGGTGGAGAACCTCTCCGGGTAGCCTTCATAAACATGATCTGGCGGTGTTCCGTAGGCCGGGCACGTCGACATATGGGTCTTGAGGTTCATCTTGTGCCTGAGGTAGTAGCCTTTTGGGCACCCCTTGCAGTAGAGATCTGGTGCTGGCACCCTAGGCTTGAAGCTCGCTCGATACGCCTTGAACGTGTTCGACTGCCGAGTAGCCTTTGCCGAAGCCTTGCCTTCCTCGGTCTTGCTTCTGACATTCACTATCCCCTTCCGTCCGGAGTCTTTGTGACTCTACCTGATGCTAGCCCATCTCACACGCTTTGCATGTTCCTTCTGGTAATCAGCCTTCTATTCTTGGACATGAGCGCGAGTTCACCTAAAACATGGGAGGTATTCAAGGCAAGATGAGAAAGCGACTTGCACACCAATAACGAGTTACACGACTATAATAGTTTCGTTGATGTCTTCGAAGTGCACCTTACCCACTCTTTCTTCAAGCGAGCCATAATTGAAGTCCTGAAAGGTGAGTAGCCGCAATCATGTCCTCGACACTATCCGAGATCTGGGCCCTCGACATGCCTTTCTCAAAGAATGCATGCTACGCCTCTCGTAGGCCCCAAGCGAAGGAAAAGAGCTTCCGCAATAGGCATTTGCATGAGCACCGCCGTACATCTCGAAAAAGTGTAGGTATGCGATTCAGCTTTCCTTCAGATCCACCCTGGTGAGGTCGCATTGACAGGCGCTGATCAACGGTAGGGTGATTCATTGAATTTAGAAGTTGAAAACCCCAGCACCGAAGCGGACTGGGAAGTACTCGAGGGCTTCGATAGCAACAGAATGGTTGTAGTACACACGCCGAAGCAATGAGGTGACATTTCTGTCCCTACATAGGACCGAATGGAGGTGGCTAGCAATTGCCTGATGGTCTGAAGACGTGACGCGAACTGCGAATGGAGCTGGTTGTCGAACGCAGTGGACGTGATCAGTAAAGGTGCATTTGGTTCGGTCGCTCCTTACGGATTTTTGGTCAGATGAGAAAGTGCTTTCAAAGAAGTGGGTCTGAAGGAACGTCTTGCTTTTGTTACGTGCTCAACGAAGTATGCATCGCTACATGGTCTGTCGCTCCTGCCTCAAGGGCTTGCTCTGCTCTCTGCCAATCCTGTCTGCAACAACGTCGCTAAGGGAATAGACGATAGTAGTGTACACTGTGTCAGTCCAAAGCCAGACACAGCAATGTAAGGGGGTGCCTCAACGGCAGAGATAAATGCCAAAAAACAAAAAGCATGTGCATGTATCAAAACTCCTAATCGAAACAAGACCCAGCCCACTGAGCAACTCATGCAAGAAACACGATTAGCGAGTGCCAGTGCAAAGTGAGAACGACGCCGCCACAAAAACGTCTACAATATGTACGATGGTGACAAAGGAAATAACCGAAGCAACAACCTCGTCGCCAGGTTGGTCTGTATACGTGAAAATGTTCCTCCCCAGCCAAATTCTATAATCATCATTAAGTGTCTGCCACAGGGCTAAATCAGCCCCTGGCCATTCATGAAGCCCTTCCAACCCCAATGTGCTGCGGTCGGGATAAAATCTGGTGCGTATGCGTGTTCGAGAAGAGAAGCCGATTGGAAATCGAAGACCAATTGATAGTTGACATCAAGGTGCGCGTCCATGGAGGTATTCCGTGGTTGGAAAGCCCGCCAGCTTCCAAATACAATAGATAGTTTCGTCAAAGTGTCGCCACAAACGCTGTCCATGCAAAGTCCGAACATACTCCAAACCGATCGCCGCAAATGTGAATCGATGAGATCTCCTCTTCTACCGGACGCCGAGTGGAGGACGGGGTCCTAGGCTGCTCTGGCTGCTGTGTGCCGAGTTTTCTTCGGTGGAATTACTACCCGCGCTAGCGCTTGCGGATCCAGTCAGACTGCGAACATTTGGACGAGACTTGGGCGGGTAAAGATTGCTCACCCCAGCGTGTTGTTCAACTTGTTGTGGCGCGAGGGGAACGGGTTGTCTCATGCCAGGAGGTCCGTTTGGCCCATTGCGAGGCATACCGTTCGATGGTATCATTCCGTTGGGAGGCATTCCATTAGGTGGCATGCCGTTGGGTGCGTAGCCGTTAGGGGGAGAAGGTCGACCCATCGGTCGAGGGCCAGGGCTGAGAGGGTTGCCAGGCGACTGGCTTGTGCGGCGGCTCATTGAAGGGTAGCCACCATAGTTACCACCTCCTTGCATTTCGTCTAGACGTGATGCAGTCAGTGAGTTGGTTCTCGATTGAGCGCCCATAGCGCCACGATCGACATCGGCGTATCGGTTAGAGGAGTAGCCCAGCAGAGGGTCGTTCATGATGTCCGAATGTAGCGCAGGAATAGACGCCATACCCGCGGAAGTTCTCTTATTCATTCCGGGGCGTGAGAATGGGTTTCTCGAGCGACCTTGAGGGCCGGGCATGTAGCCCATACCTTCGGGGTTCTTGCGGATCTGACCTGCGCTGGGGACCTTACGGTTGCGCCGCGAGGTGACACTCATCATATCGAAGTTGTCGGGATCGATCATCGGACCAGGCTGGCGACCTCCTGCCATCGGATCAAAGAAGTCATCCTCGTCATCGTCATCATCGAAACCGTTGATAGACTGCGGTGGTGGGGGTCGTCGGGCTTGGCCCGGAGGAGGACCGCGGCGCATGTTGAGCTCCTGTTCCCGGAGCTGAATCTCGCGCTGTCTGATCATCAATTCCCTCTCCCGCAGAGACAGGTTGTTTGATGAAGCTGCACCATTCTCGTACGGGCCGTTGGGTGCACCGGGAGGACCACCTTCGACCATGTCATCGTACAGCATTAGATGCGAGAACTCTTCCAAGTCGTTGGCCTCGAGAGATGGACGACGTTGGCCATTGGGAGCGCCGTTCATGCGTGGAGGATAGCCGTTCATACCTGGTGGTGGGCCGCGACGCATCATGGGTGGGGCACCGTTAATTGAAGGTGCGCGGCTTCCAGGACGAGGCCCACCCTTCATGGGACCGTTTCCGTTCATGATGGGTCCTGGTCCGTTTGGGACTGGCGGGCCTCTAGGCAGAGGGGCTGACGAGAGCCTAGGGGGAGGCGGTGGGTGTTGCATGTTTTGAGCGGGTGTGGGGGTAGGACCAGCAGCCGGTCGGTTTCGGTTGACGATGTTGATGTGATGAAGGGTAGCGTAAAGGGTCTCGATACGAGGGACAGCGACCTTGACCTCGAGAGCAAGTTTGAGAGGAGATCCAAGATATGTCTCGATCTCCATAGGACGCTTAGCCTCGAAGTCCATCCACATTGTGCTATTGGCTTCTTGTGGCTGGGTCATCTGGCGAATTGTGGTCTCCTTGAAATCGGCTGGGAACGTACAGCCCTGAGCGTTGGCAAGTGCAAGGAGTTCGTCGAGCACTCCAGCGATTAGAGCACGAACACCAACTTTCTCCATGAGTTCGGCGTGGTTTGCTGTTTCAAAGAGAATACTGGCCGGGTGAAAAGCGATTGGACTGTAGCTTGTTAGTGATATGTTGTCAGAGGGAGATGGACGCAACATACCCTATCATACGCTCAAATTGCTGTTGCCTTATGTTGGGTGCGACCTTGCAGTCGACCTGCCCCGAACTCAACGTCATGGCCAGCGCCTCAGCCATGTCGGACTGAATCTGCGCTGGAATGGCAGCGTTCTTGTTGGCAGGGCCGACCCAGATGTCAGTCGCTCCCTTGTGCTCGAATTCGCTAGCACCAAGTTGTGAAATCTCTGCTCCTGATACCAATGACAGAACAACGTTTGTAGGGAAACGCTGCTCCAAGTATGATTCGACGCCCAGGCTGTGTGTGGTGTTCATAAGGATGCAGGTGTGCTGGGGCGAGACGACCGACTCGATGATGTTGGCGATATCGTATACGTCAGGGAGGGCTTTTACGCAGAGAAGAACATAGTCAAAGGGCTGTTTGGAAGAATGGGCGGCATCTTCGGGGGTTCGAACGACTGCAAGCGCTGTTAGTGCCGTGCTAGCGGCAGAGAAAGACCCGCAAACTCACCAGAGTAGGGCTTGAAGCGCTCGTTGCCATAGAGGGCAGACCTGGAGTGGTCGTTAGCGTCGATGAAGACAATCTGAGGCCAGGGTGCTTACTTGAACGAGATGCCGTACTGTGCGACGCTCTCATATCCTGATTTCCACACGAGTGTGACGTCGCAGGCGTTGGTCGTTTGTAACCGCCATGAGAGGAACGCTGAGACGGCATTTCCGCCAACTAGCAGCTGTTAGCAGAAGCTCTGGTGCATACTAGAAGCATTCTCAGCGTTCTCGGGGCAGAGCCGTGTATACAGCGCTGAGCCGTATGCACCCTGCCCCGGGCGTGTAGGTGCAGAGAATGCCCTCCGGGACTTGGAGTGATGACGCACCTGACAGAATGCGCAGTCTGGGGACGGCCGGAGCCATGGCGGGCGATGTGGTTAGGTGGTGTGCGGGTGGTGAGGTGCAGTGGCCGGCGGAGAACGAGGAGCCAAAAAGTTGGCGATGGGTGCCGCGTTGCTAGAGCGCGGACAGCGCAGCAGCAAACCTGGCAGCGACGGGGCGATTACGGATTAAGATAGCGGCAGAAACGAGCGTGCGGTGTCGATGGACTCGTTCACCAGGTCGACATGGAACAAATCGAATCGAGGGAGTGGGAGGGCGAGAGCGGACAGAAAGGATAACTGGACAACACAAAGGCGCAACGGTCGCGACGACGGAAGGCGGGAAGCAGCCACAGACACGGCGATAGGGCGGCGTGGGAAAGTGCCAATGGGCGCGCGGGCGATGCAGCGCAGGTGTCACGGCAGACTTGATGCTAAGCAGGAGGAAAGCGAGCGGACGCTGGCAGCGAGCAGAGGGGAATGCAAGTCAGGCAAGCTGAGAACGAGGATGCGTTGATGGGAATGGGCGGAGAGCACGCGCAGGAGAGGGAGCAATTTGGTAGGCCGATCGAGGGAGGCTGCTCTGCTCACAGCTTGCTTGATTTGCTTGATACCCGTTCACTGCAGTGCCCACCGCGCTCATGTCTGCCCATGCCTGCCTGGGTCCTGCCGCTAGCCCGTCCTGCCCGTAGTGCTGCACTTATCGCGCGCAAGAGACGCCTAACCGTGCTAACCACTCTGAAGATTATGGCGGGGCCCGTGCCCAGTGCCGTCATTGTTTTTGCATCACAGACGTGTCGCAGATGCGCAGCCACGGTTTGGCGAGCCAGCGGCGAGCCAGCACATGCGCTCTGCCGCTGCGTGGCTCCAGGTGCTCTTAGCTAGAGCTGTCAACCCATTGCGCGGTCTCACTCTTGGTCTGCGTCCCCTTCACGCGTTGTACGCGGCCTGCTCGCTGGTCCGGAACCGAGCAGTGAGTGGTAAGCAGCTATCTCACAACCCTGCCGTGCTGCTTGCGCGGCGTTCCGGGCAGGCTGGAGATCCGCATGCAAGAGTGGCAGATCTGAGGCGCCTATCAAGGGGAGACAGGCCACCACTGCTCCCCCCACCGGGGGCACACCTTCCACAGCACGATGCCGCGCTGCGACTGCTGCAGATTGTGCAATTGCGCGCTGCTTGGCTGCCTCGCGCCTGTACAGTCTCACTCGTAGCTTCGTACACCGTACCGCCGCGTGCCCATCCGGGCCCTCTCATGATTCTTTGTCTGCCTGTGCCTCGACGGCGAGCTGGCGCGAACTCAACAAACCCGCAGCAGCCAATTGAGAAGTTCCTGCTGCCCGGTGCTGCAGCAGTTCAACGCTCCTGACGTCGGTGGACGAGTTCCCATACAAGACTCTGCCAAGCCTAACCAAAATACGATTCCCATTGAAATTAGCCTGCGTGCACGGTCTGACACGTCCACATCCTTGGTCGACCTCCCAACGGCAGCCTGCAAATCTCCTAAGATAGAGGCTGCCGTAAGGCCACATTAATCTCGCTTTCACACCTCTGCCAGCATTGCAGTCCGTCTTTGGAACGCTCGTCGTCCGCAGTTGGACCACAACGTTATTGCCAAGGCAAAGGCGGAGCGTTGAGGCGGGGCCCTTTTGAGTTTGCACGCTCGCTGTGAACGCGGGAAACCCGCATCGGCGACGAGTGTCCAGCAAATGAAAATAGCTTGCACACGTTGAAGAGCGAACAGCACGACTCGCGGCTTGGCACCGTTTTGGAGAGCAGCAGGATCGGCTATATGATGAAGTCGATATCGACCAAATGCAAGTCGAATTGCAGCTTCCAACATCATCAGTTCGAAGAAGAAAGAATGCTGTCACAACGGGGGCCATCTCTTTATTACGGCTCGACGATCGCTGTTCCGGAGGTCCTGGTTGCAGCCAACATTGTGCTGTGATCCCGAGCTGGAAGCCTTGCCAAGCACTGCACACACTGCTGTTCACGACCACGACGTCCGTAAACACCTTGAAATTGACGACAATTGCGTTCCACACAACCAATTGTGCGTCGTTCATTCTGCAAGCGAAAAGACCGGGTCGGCGCCGTCTCTTTAGACCCACTACGATCGAGATTCAGCTCCTAGTCGATCCGTTCCATCACCCTCGAACTTGTGGTGTCACGACAGATTTGCACATCATTTCCAATCTTGCAACAAGCGTCTGGATGAATCGCAAATCTCTGCGCAATCTTGCTCGTCAAAACTTGGTAGATATGGTCTACAATTTCCTGACTCAAGCAAAACATTCGATATCTCTCTGAACCTCAGCTATCAAAATCAGGCAACGGAAATTATGAACACTCTTGACAGCGGGATGCCACGCGCCGAACCATGTTCAGAGGGGCTCAGTAATACAAGAGCACGTGTTATCTGAACACATCTGAGCTCCTCAGGGTTGCACGTTCATATGTAAGGGCAATGACCTTGAACCGCGGTTGATGTTGGGAGAGCAGTACTCGACAACCCTCAGCAGTTCCTCGAGCGCCGCTCCCAAGCTTCGAGTCAAGCAATAATACCAGCTCCGCCGGTTTGATACCGAGCCTTACGTTGACTCTTGTATCGACCGGGTTCATCATCCCCTGGCGATGCGTCACCTTGGCCCCCATGAAACTTGACAGCTCTCACGAAACGGTTTCAAGCGCTTGATCAGAGGCAAAACTTTGACATGGGAAATGCGAATGCGATGCTCACAGCCGTCTGATCTTCAACACACTCATAAACGCGAAATTATTGCCCTGCGAAGGATTAGTGTGATTGCGCACGACGCCCGCGCCCAAAATAGAACCATCGACAGGCCCTCTGCACATCCCCTCCCCAAAGGCCTGTCCGCAACATCATCGAGGCTTGCCACGTCTGCAGGCATCCTTTCAATGCATCTATCCGAATTGCCTCACGACTATGCAGGAAATCTGTACACCACACCAAATCACAAAAAGCCACGGCTTTCAGCCTCTCGGCACTTTTCTTGATATTGAGGCCCAGCTAACCGAATTCAGCCTCATCACCTCGTGCTCTCCTGAACCAGACTGAACGCAAACGCCTCCGCCGCGCTGCCCCACTGCGCTCCGCGGCCCCGTCGCCTCCGTTTCGTCGATCGTATGTCATTGTCCACTTTTGTTTTTATGGACGCGTTTACGGTTTACGACCGCGGCCGCTCTTGTACGCGTAGCGCGCCCACTGAGAAACAACACAGCGAATTATCGCAATGTCGCATGAACATCGACATCTTACGGTGCAACACTATGCTTACCGGCAGAATTGCATCTATTGGGAGGAATCGCAGCCTTCGCAATAATGGTCGTGTATTAAGCACGTGTCATCACAACATCAAGACTCCAGTACCAGAAAGCGTGTACCAAAAACATCACCCCACAACCATAAACAAACGGTGTATTCCGCGGACATCAACGGTTGGACATTAACGTCGACAATGTTTGATATCGCAATTTTGGATATGCGTTGTAAAGGAGAAGGATCCGGATGCTGCTCATACCGAGCGCTCACGCCGAAGTCGAACGGTGAAGATGCTTTTGCGATTGTTGGCCAGCGAGTGCGAGGGCGATGTGTGCACATCGCCACTGAGAGACCTCACCTCAACTGCAGTATATCGCTATTCTGGCGACTCAGGAGACATGCGAATACAGTGACTGCCGAATGGAAATCATACCCTGGTAACGGCTCGCTTGTATCCTTATACATCGCCACCGATCAACAAAATCTACTTCCCACATCATTTTGCTCTCTGACAAGAAAGGATGTGTCTACAACAGATGAGTAGCGTGTGCCTTCACACGTTGCCGCTGATCTATGTCCGCTCTGTGAGTAAGGATGTATAGTGCAGGAATTAAGGCTCGCGTACATTCCATCTTAAACGGTCTGCTTCAGATAAGAATCTGGGGATGCTCTCGGTTGGACAGCAGTGCCTTCCTTCATCCCCATACTCATCTTACGCATAAGGGCTTAGGAGATGAATATGCCGGATACCGTAATGACCAAGTAGTAGACGTCTTGCACTGGATATTACGGCTATACTCGCCACCAGGTAAACATCGCGTGCGAAGCGAGACGTCAATCAATAGCGAACTCGCTACTGCAGCATATCCAGTCGCAAGAGGGTGATGAAGGCGACAAGAGTGCAGACAGGTTGGCTTGATCGTCGATGAGTCTTGGTCCTAGCATGAGCTCAATGCGAAAGCGAGGTGCCACCGGGCGACCAAGGAGGTTATCGTTGACCGGAACTGCTGAAGTCACCGGGGTACTTTGATTGGGATAATGATTCTGCGGTATGACGATCGCGAACAGAACGTGGGTGCCATGTGTAACATCTAGCTCTCACTTGCAGACTCGACTCAGTGTTGTATGAAATGCAAGAGTGTCTGCCATCAGAGCAAAATGTCTTTCCATTTGTGTATCTGCTAATCGCGTCGCGTGGTATCATAACTTTTCATTACTCGTACAAGTCTTTCAACATGCTCTACCTCCTCTCCCAACCCTCACTACGCATGCCCATTCTCCCACTCCCCATTTCCCAACAAATCCCCCACACCAATCCACTTCCTCACAAGGAACGCGCCCTGCGGCTTCAACTTCCTGTAGTACGTCTCTTCCTTCCCCATGATCTCAAAGTTCCTCTTCTTATACCACTCCAAGCCCTCATCATTCGCCTCCCACACATGCGCCGTCACGCACCTCACTCCGTGTTCTGCGACTGCATTCTTAACAACTGCTTGGAGCAAGTGCATCGCAATGCCGTGTGTGCGGTACGGTGACAGTATACCGATAGTGCTGATGTAGAGTTGCGCGGAAGGGAGCAGACGGCACCGAATTGCGCCTATGAGGCGCGGGTTAGTTTTCTCTTTTTCCTCTTCGGTGGCGTCTTTTGAGGCGGAGTGCCAGAGGGCGATCAAGGTTATGCTGTGGTGCGGCTCGGTCATTGTCTCTTTGTAGAATGACTCTGGGTATGGTATGGGCAGTGTGAGGGCGTTGAGGCGTTTGAATGCATCGAGGTGCTCGTTTGTGAGGGGTGCAAGTTTGACGTTCGGTGGGAGGGGGCGCAGTGAGAAGAGCGATGGTATTGAGGACTTCGAGGTTAGCATTGGAGGCGTCGATGCCGCAGTCGAGGGTGTCTCGGTCGCTGTTGGTGGGGTCTCGTTTGAAAGCCCGATTGGTGTCGGTGCTCTTGAGATGTTCGCTGGTGTGCCTGTAGCTGAAGGTCGCGGGCTCTTCTTTGATCGCGGTCGTGACAGAGGTGCTGAGAGAAAGTCTTCTGGTATGTCGTTCCATTGCTCTGTTGTCTTAGGCATTGGAGTCGTGCTTGAGGGTACGCGATTCATTGGCATGCGGGGAGGTGCGGAGACAGATTTCGGAGGTGGTGGAGGTCGTTTCGGTGCTGCTGAAGCTGGCGGAGGCGATAGTGGAGGCCGAGCAATCTCTTTGCTCGCCGCTGGCTTCTTCAGCCATCCTGACAAAGAGGATTGTAGCATGTTTGCGAATGGTGTACGCGTTGCCTAGTTCCAGATATTATGTAGTAACGTGTGGTTGTGAGAATAGGAACATAAGAGAAACGGATTTGTTTGTGTGAAAATAAGTATGTTGTTATAGTGGCCAGCTGAGCTGCCTAGTCATGAGGACAGATGTCGTGTTGTTGAGCTCTAGACATGGCGTCAACTTTCTGGTGAATCCAACTGCTGCGCCGATCACTGCTGTATTCGTCTTAGCGCGCGCAACGCTCGGCCAAGCCTGAACTCCGACTTCTCCCAGCAGCTGCATCATCGCGTTGGCATCCCACACCTCCGACCACAGCAACATGGGCGCAGAGAACTCGAAACCCTCTTCGGAGGTCAAGCAGCATGTCTTTTCCGCGTATGTGAAGTTCCGCTGGTCCAATGGCTGTTGTGACTATCTATAGAAGCAACAAGCAAGCTGTGTACTTGTACTGATAAGTTTGCGCGCAGAGATCACCCCGTCCGGTTCTCGAACGAACTGGTAGACTCGCTGCAGAAGAACACCTTCGTAAGTCGCTCCGTGATCATAGCGCAAAAGACGATGAATTGGGGCTGATGCTCAGACCAGACGGATGCCACGCGCTCGAAAGCGCAAGAACTGCAGTACCAGGAGCGCCTGACCGCCGAACTCGAGAAACTGCGCGAACAGGGATCACAAGAGTTCTCTAAGTTCAGCGAGACCCTCTCCGGTGAGGAGCCTCAGCAATCGGAGCCCTCCCTAACAGAGAAGCTCGTGGATGCCACATCATCCTCGTCCACCCTCGCCGAGAAGAAGAAGCAGCAGGACATGAGCAGGACAAGCGTCACAAAGGAGATCGAGCAGCTGAGGGCGAAGCTCGAGCAGAGGAAGAAGCTGGAGCAGGTTGATGCGGACCTAAACAAGGCCAAGGAGGACGTTGTCACATGCTTGAGGATGCACGACCGTCGACCGCTGGACTGCTGGAAAGAAGTCGAGACTTTCAAGAGGGAAGTAGGAAGATTGGAGAAAGAGTTCGTCGAGAGGACGATTCGGTGAGCGACAAGGTGTGGTAACACACGTGCTTACCACGAATGATAAGACAAGCTCGGCCGATTGGGGTTCTGCACAAGATAGAGTGGGCTTGCAAAAGTGACCCAAGAGCGGCTTCCTATTCCTTCACATGTTCAATTTGGGTTTTGAGATTGTTTGCAATCTCTCGAGTCGTACATGCGTGTGCGTGCACGGCTTTGCACCGCCTCCCACCTTTTCATTATCTCTTAACGTCGAATCCAGTCTCTTCGTTTCTTGCTCAATTCTGCTTCTCGCTTCCTAGGCTGCCCACATTCACGTTCACCATGACGTCCGGCTGTCCCCTTCTACATCGTGTGGGACAGCCCTTGTCACCGCGCTTTGGCTGCGGCTTGGTCAAACTTCACTCTCACCGCGTATCACGTTCTGCGCGCGCCAGCAAAATCTTCGCTCGAACATCGTGGTGACCACGACGCCCTTCCCTCCTCTACGCTACCTTTCGCTCTTTGTTTTTCTACCGCAACTTTCGACAGACAACTCTGGAGTGCGGAGCCTTCACAAACTGTTCTTACCAGCTGAGACAGCATTGGCACGATGACGGATCGAGATTGTCTACAAATCGTGGATGACAGCGAAGACGAGCAGGTCGAGGTTGAGCTGATCGATCTAAGTATGAAATGCCTTTCATTCACTCAGACTTCTTGCTGACAGAAGCTTTGTAGCAAGCGAAGAAGATCATACCAGAGGTCCGGTAGATCTTTATCAGAGCGCAGGGAATCGTCCGAACCTTGCCTCCAGCGCAACGCGAGCGCAAACACAACCAAATCGCTCAGATAATGAAATACGTTTGCACAGATTGGCAGATGGTACAATCATCCGACCTGGCGACACGGTCGAGATGCACATCCCTCCTCACCGAAACGCAGATGCGGAATCTTCGGGCGACTTTCTCAAGATTGTGAAGATATGCAAAGAGCATCAGACAGGCCAGATCACACTTCAAGGCCATCGATTTATGCGAGAGAAGTATCTCATCGGCAAGGACTCCGATGGAGAGGGCCCACGTCTGAATGAAGTCGTGCAGCACCTGGTCGTAAGAGAAGATGACGATAGGCCAGGGTTTGTCCAAGGGCTGGAGGAAGTCCCCATAGCACAGGTGGAACGGAAGCGAGCAATCGACATAACAGAAAAGCCGTTCCCCATGCTTAGCTTCCGCGACAAACCTGCCAGCACCTACGAGGGCCTGATAGGTATATCCAGAACGGAGCAGCGGAGACATATCTTTCAAAGCGGTGCACTGGTCTGTCGGTGGAGCCGAACCTCCATCATATCACCGAATGGTGGTGTATATGGCGGCATATACCGACACGTGTCGAAGACAGGAACGACTGCGCCGCAACCTTCTCAGCAGTCTGGAGCCAACTCCAGTCCCACGCCGCATGTCAACATGTCTGCATCCTCGAGAGGTCACGGACGAACATTGTCATTGGAAGAGCTATCCACGCCACATACGCCTCGAACTGCGCTTCCAGCAAAGAAGCAGCGATACAAATTCTTCGACATGTTCTGCGGCAACGGAGGGGCCTCGAGAGGTGCTGATCAAGCCGGTCTGACGGTCATGGGTGGCTTAGATCACAACGAAACGGCCATGGAAGCCTGGGAAAAGAACAACCCGGGTGGTATCCCGTTGTGCATGGACTCTTTCGAATTCCTGAAGGACCTCAACCACAAGATCATTGGGAGATGTGATATTCTGAATATCAGCAATCCCTGCCAGACTTTCAGTCCTGCCCAGTATGTTCAGCTTTCAATTCATTTGTTGCGGTTTGACTTATCTAGCGTAGTACGTGGAAAGGAAAGAATGATGAGGTTAATATTAAACAACTGAAGATCATCAAGCCTCTGATCGAAGCGTTGAAACCGCGGGTGGTGGTTCTCGAGAACACCACCGGGTTAGTCAACTTCAAGGAAAATCGCAAATACTTCAATAAGGTTCTCAACAGTATCAGCACTGCCGGATCCGGATACAACTTACGCTACATGATCGTGAACATGGCCGACTATGGTCTGCCTCAGGTACGGAAGAGAGTCGTGATCATTGCGGCTAGGTATGATTATTTTTGCAGCCAAGGTTTGCCTGTACTGATAAGTCTCAGGAAGGGCACACCATTGCCGCCATTCCCAAAGCCGACCCATGGTCCGTCGGGAAACGGCCTAAAGCCATACGTCAGCATCGGTGATGCATTGAAGATCCTCGATCGACTTCATACACGTGCAGAGAGCGACCTCTATCACACACTGCACAAGCAAGTTTCGTGCCAGGAACGACTGTATGATCCGTTCGCAAAGTTCATCGATTGCATCGTGACGAAAGGTGTGACGACTCCTCATTGGAGCGGCGAGAAATTCACTCCACGAGAGTTGGCGCTGCTTCAGTCACTCCCTTACCACCACTATCTAGCTGGCAGTTGGAACCAGGCGATCAAGCAAGTAGGGAACATGTTCCCGCCGTTGATGGCAGAGTTGGTCTACAGAACGTGCGCGCAGACACTCGAAGCATTCGATAACGGCTTCATCACAGCGGATGAGGATATTGACGATCTTAATGTCACCTTGATCGAAAAGGGTATTGATATTCCCGAAATATCGCACACGCCAACTTCTCTATTCGATCTTACCGGTCCGGCCACTCAGTCGCCATACCAGTACCTCTCTCAACCGGCATTGAGCGACGCGAACCACGTCGATTATTCGTCTGCTTGGGCAAAACGGGCATTCGAGGGATATGACTTGGAGGTGAAGAGGGAAAAGAAAAGATCATTCAGCAACAGTCCGAGCAATGGAGATGGTAGAGACGACACTCCTTCACCTGCTGAACCCAAGAGTAAGCGCGCGGCGACTAGCACAAGAGAGAGCAGCTTCTGGCAACACTACAATGGAAAGACTATCGAACTGTCTGATAGCGAGGAGGAAGTCGTATGAATGGCTGTTCGCTCTACGAAGGAAGAACGCTGCAAGAGGACGTCAATCTTGTCTCATGCATCATAATGATCGCTTGTTTACGAACGAGTACTTGCTCTGACACGTACAGCTGTCGGAGTCTGTAATTTTTGGACGTAACATGAGGATTATTGTACAACGTCTGCGCGTTACTGCTTAGGCAAAGAGGGCGTGCGCGCAATGCGCACACCACCACTTTCACACTATACTATTGAGCCTCCTCTTTCTCAACACCACGATGCCAGTTCAAGACGCTCTTGTAGATATAAACGCATTAGGCTTTGATGAAGGATTCTTGTACCAAAACCTTGCTAAAAACACAACTGTTGACACTCAACTTTAACGCATCAACACAAGGGGAAACCGTATCGCGTGAAGCCCAGGCGCTCAAACAACAACTAGTGCACCCATGCAATGAGCAGGCGTGTGAGGCACATACCTCAGCTCCACTGTGCTACACTGACCAAAAAGGTACGGTACTGCTGTAGATAGCAGGTACTGGGAGCTGAACAGTATATACCCGTGACAAGGAGCTTGTGCAGTACATCAAAGGACTCACAGAGAGACACCTCATGCCTACAAGGCAAATGATCAGGAATTTTGCAAAGCTTATAGTCAGGAAGGACATGTTACGATCCTACGTCCTACGATAGGACAACGGGGCAATAAGTAACCACCAACCAAACACGGAGACCTGGGAGTAGGTGCGGCACGTCAAGACCGCCCGGCCAGCGCCTAACGGGATCGCTCGCTCGCAAAGCAGACCCCATGTGACAAGCTTGTCAACGAGCATGGCGTGGTGCTCGTCAACGAGCCACAATCAATCCGGATAGGCCAGGACCGAACCTGCTCGTCAACAAGCAGGATCTGGTGGGCAGTATATAGCACGTAGACATGTTGCCCTTATGGCATCGTGTTCAACTTAGTCAATCAAGTTTGTCTTTGGATCTCAACCGACCTTTAAGCTAGACAGTCTACTCTGTACTACTTGTTGTCACCCCTGCTGTGAGGCAACAGCTCGGCTCCACTGCGCTACACGGCCCAAAAAGGTACAGTGTGCTGAATAGCAGCACTGAGGCCGAATAGTCTATATACCTAGCCGTGGCTGAGTATACCCGTGACACCTGCCTTTGAGACAGACAGATCATATCTGTACTCCTCATTGCAACCAACACACTTTGCACGCAACATTTGCATCGCTTGACTATGTTATCACAACGACATCTACTCTAGGGTTTATGTACAGTACTCTTTCAAACATGGGTATCATCGAATCATCATCATCTGCTGTCGTCCGGTTCTGCCCAGCAGGCTCACTTCATCATTTCCACGACGTGCCTCGCCTCCTGCACCACGCCAACCAGTTCCCGGCGCTGCCCCCCTAATGTGATGTCTGACGTAGCAGCGCCCTCATGTGCCTCTGCTTCCTCCGCTTCGTCCAGTCCATCATCACTGAGCCTCTCCAACATGGCCTTGATCTTGATCTCAGTTCTCGCAAAGACCGTCTGACATGCCAGAAACAATAGCCCTCTCTTGCACAGCTCCTGCTTCTCGACTTTGAACTTGAAGTCTGACTCGGGGAAGGAGAACCCAACCGATACGCTTCTCACTGCAACAAGCTCTGATACAGCCTTCGTGAACCGTAGATTGCCTTCGATGATATGAAATGCCGTCAGAACCTTCTTCACGTCCAGCGAATCATCCAAGCTCTCGTCATCTGAAGACAGTGCGCCGAACACTTCGTCACTGAAGCTCGCATACGATCGCGTATCAGCCTTGAAACTCAGACTCAGCAGTGTCGACTTGACGAAGGTGAGTAAGTGCGTCAGGTTCATTATATAGCGCTCTGCAGCAGGACAGATGGGCTTCCATCCTCCAACACTGGGCTCCGTTCTCAACTTCTTGGGATAGTACAATGGATCGATTTCCAAGTGCTGTAGCAATGGGAGGTCCTTGACTTGCAGTGGTGGTTCGAATGCGCCGGACCCTTCGACATCGTCATCGCTTTGGCTCGGCAGTGTTGTGACGTAAAAGGTGTTCTTGCCAAAAAAGGCATTCCTGGCTTCCGCATAGATCTGCTTGTTGACTCGAAGGATCTTCGTATCCAGGCCATATCTGGTGTTTCGTCGGGCGATGACACCCTTCAACGGTTTGTCTGCAACGAGAAGGTAGTCGTAGATGCGAAGTCGAAGCTCAGGCGGGAGCATATCGAGGAAAAGAGACTTAATCGTCGGCGCCATGGCTAACAACGATTGGTATGCGACGTTCGCAATGGGGAAGGCGCTCGCTGCTGCAGCACTGAGGGAAACAGCGAGTATGTATATTTAGGCGTGTGTGTGATTTTCGACTCAAGGCTCCACCAAGCCTTTTCTTTCTTTGCAGGTTCCAAACTCCTCATAGGATCAGATGTTCATATAAAAGATATTGACCAAACAGCCATAACCCGGGCGCAGCACACCTTTGTACCTTCGCACCCCAGCGGCCCCCATCCGCCTTAAAAAGCCCTGCATCCACAAATTCTCCGTTCGCTCTGCCCGTAGACTCGCCACCCCTTCCCAACTCACTTTCCGTCACCCCACCCCAGATCCTTACTCGCAGAATCTACCATTCAGGAACGCCATCCCACACACCCACATGGCGACCACCGTTGCAGATCCCTGCAACGGAAGCGCTCCGGGGCCTGTCAGCCGCGCTTGCGGTGACGATGGCGCGTTTCCAGAAGCTTTCTCGAACGGCGGATGAACGCTAGAGCTGCAGAGAACAAAGCGAGAAGGAAGAGACGCCAACGCAGAAGCTGCGCATGCGGTTAGACCCGCGGGATGATCGGCGTGAAGGCCTGAGCGAGAGCCCTAGCAGGGTGCGCGGTGCAGCTAGGGCGAGTGCGAACCGTGAAACATCGCTTTTTGCTTCGCCGTGAACACTGTTCGGTGGTGTGTCACCCACAGTTCCCGTCTCCACTGCGCAGGAAAACACCTCCGCAATCCAGACAGTCCACAACATGTAGGAACATACAAGTGGTGCAACAGTGCCATTCGCCTTGCCCGAGCGTCCATCATCATGCATACCCTCCCATATACCCACGGCTCGTTCTCCCAAGCATATCTCTAGGAGTAGCAACCGTTCTGCCTATTGTTTCAGGCCGCAACACTAAACCTACACCACCACTCCCCATCTCACCACCGATGACGGCTCACTCGTGGTACTTCTGTGCTTCACATAACAATGTGTCATCGGACTCAATTCCGGCTCGCATGATCAAAGAATTCTTTGGCAAAATAAGACGATGAGAAATAGACGGTCCGATGATGCAAGGCCTGAGTTTGGCCGAGATTGTAACATGTAGTGGCGTAAGGAAAGCGAGCCGATTATGGAGAGAAATGTCATGGTATATGCGGGGAATCTCCGGATGTCGAAAGGTAAGAACGGCCGCTGAAGCATGGATAGTGTTGTGGTGAATTAGTAGATTTGGCCGTTGCTGACCGTATTGTTCGGCACTTCACTCGCTCAACAATCAAACAAAAGGCCAAGAAGAGAATCCTTCGAAAAGACCCGAAAATCTGGAAAGAAAACACTGAAATCTCATTTCGTGGTTGTCGTCATTCATCATTCATTCGTTGCGTAGTTATCAATCGTTCCTGTCTAACATCATTCCAATATGCTGGACGTAAAGTAGAAAAAAAAACTCAAGGTAGTCATACAATCATCTCTTCGTTTAACTGCGTCTTGTAGCAGACGCTTAGTAGTCCCTTCTCTTGACAGTCTTCTTCCTACGCTGAACGACAGGTGATTCGTCACCATCAGAATCGGACTCAGTGAAGTAGTCATACTCTTCATGGACCTTGTATCCACGATCGGGGCGTCGACTATCTCTGCTCCTGTCACGACGTCTGCGGCGATCATCACTATCGTAGTGACTGCCGCTGTCGTAATGCCTGTCGCGGTCATCACGGTCATCGCGTCTGCTGCGGTCGCTGCGGTCGTCACGATCATCTCGTCCTCGAGACTTTGAGCGGAAGCGGTCAATGATACTTCGGCTTCTAGCTCGAAGGCCTCCACCGCTCTTCCGGTCCCGGCTGTGGGCGCGATCTTCGTGCTTTCGGTGTCGAGAACGTGAGCGCGAACGCGACGGGAGTCGCCCATGCTCGTCTTTGGCCCTGCTTTGAAGTAAGTCTATGTCCGAACATCGCTTATCCTAATCTCTACAATACACATACCGGTCGACATTCCTAGTAGCGATCGCCTGCCCACCCAACGCACCAGCCGCGGCACCTGCTAGCATAGTCAGCCTACTCTTACCCGCAGCTCTGCCTGCAAAGCCTCCTGCCAACGCACCAGCCACTGTAGCCCCTAGATTTTTTGTCCGCAGATCCATGTCATCGAACCTTCCACGCATGTCAGACATACGAGAACTTTCACGACGCGGACTGCGGGAATCTGCAGACCTAGCTCTTTGCCGATGTTCTCGGCGATTGTGCTTGGTACTACTACGACGGCTAGGGGAGTGGCGGTCGTCGTACGGAGCGACTTGCTGGTCGGAGCTGCGGGGGTTGTAGGAAGAGTGATACTGGTTTTGGTCGAATGAAGGCTGAGAGCGTGATTGCTGGCGGTAGAATGGTGGTGGTGAGGCGTATCCGTTTCCAGGAGGGTAGGCGGGGTTGTGAGCGGCATAGATTGCAGGGTTGTAAGGAGCATACGGCGCATTTGCACCAACTGGCGGAGAGTTAACACCAACAGGTGAAGGAGGAATCGGAGCCGCAGGCATCACTGCAGGCGAAGGAGCATATCCAGGGCCAGGAGTGTAGCGCGCTGCGGAGGCTGATCGCGGCGCTTGACCGGCTTTTGCGTGCTGGATTTCCTCACAACGATGTGCAGTTTCGTCACCGTAAGCTACTGCAGGCGGCGAGGTGCCGTCAGATCTGTTGACGGGCGGCTGTGTTGGAAACGATTGGCCGTATGCTGGCTGGGGAGAGTTAGTAGGAGGGAGGCGTAATACTGCCGCAAGAGGCGGCTCATAGGATGGCGAGAAAGAAGCTGAGATTGGAGTGCCACGATGGAGGTGATCGAATAGGTGAGGCTGCAGACCAGCAAAAGGAGATGGGGCGTTCGAAGGCGGCCGGTTCAGCAACAGCGGTGGACAAGAGTTCACCGGTGTTGGATGAGAGGCCATCATCGGAACTGTCGCACTTCGGAAACAAAAGGGACTATTTACCTGTGTTGGGTAGCTGTACTGAGGCTGGGCCGATGTTGGTCGGTAGTCACCCTGGCCCGGCCTGGAGGCATGTTCCTGGGTGTTGTATGGCGCATACTCGGACGTTGGCGGAGGCGGGAAATACGGTTCTTGACCCTGACCTTGCTCTGCGTGTGCCATGTCTTTGCCGCTGTATTCTCCTTCCACGTCTCTACTGCGCTGTTGGTCTCTTCCGCGACTTAAGCTCCTACTAGTGCTTCTTCCCGTGCTCTTTCGGCGTCTGCGCTCTTTCCTCCTTTGCTCTTCTTCGTAATCTGTATCGTGGCCGCTGTAGTCTGAATGGTCGTTTAGAGGGCTGCGCTCTCGTCGCGATCGCTCACTGTTGCGCCTGGACTTCTCTTTGGGCGGTGATCGACTCTTCTTGCCGTTCTTTTTCTCTTCTCCTGACCTGAAGAAACCGCCCGGGATTTTCTCAAAAAATTTGTCTGGTATCTGTTCGGCGCCGTAACCGAGCGCCTTGAATGCAAGAACAGACATCTTTCTATGGGGCGCTCGCCAGGATACCGGATGGCGAGGTTTGGCGTGTGACGTAAGGTAGGCTCAGCAGTCTCGGCTGCGATTGGGCCACAACCGGCGTACCTACGGAAGCGCGAGGCGGCTTGGTGAGCAATAGCGTGTGGGTAAGACCGTAGTGAGGGTTAGGCGTCTGCAGCCTCGGATGCAAGTCGTGTATAAACAATATAGATCTGAGGTTTGAGGAGGATGAATTTTGGGGAGGTTAGGAGCTTTTGCTGGCGTGATGAAGGCACAGCGAGGTATAATAGCTTTAGTGGCAAGCGCATTCTAATCCACACCGGGAAGGAAGCAATTATGCCAGTCGGGCACTTGCGCTTCAAAGTCATTATAGCTGTGATTTGTCGTTGGTAAGGTAGCGCAAACATGGAGAATAAAAGTATGACATCACACGTCTCGAACCTCGTCACCGCCCAAGACTGCGCCTGAATTGCACACTTGGGATGAGGAGTCGCAGATCTCCCCACGGAAATAATTTACCTGCCGCAAATGCATCTCCCTTGCGCAAGGCGTCCTGTCTTCAGATATTTTGGTGTCATGCTCTTTCAAAGGATGTTTCGTGGAGCTGAAGTTTGTATTGGGGTCTCTTGTTAGTGAGTACGTTTGTGCCCAATGCTGAGATGACGTAGTGTCCTTCATAAGCCACCCCAGATGATCTCGTGAACACCCGCATCCTCCTATCGCGAAAAAGCACGGGTAGGATCGCGGTAGTTACCAGCCGACGAAAGAAGCGTGAGCAGAGGAGCTCCTTACCGGAACCAATGCCTCCATCCGCCGCGGCAGAGATCCCAGTAACACCCTGGCTACAGCCATCCTTATGCAGGGCACACAGGGACCATCGTGAGCTTCACTGGTGCGTTGTTCAGCTTCATTAACGGAGCCATCCGCAAATATGCGGCCATGTGCAATTGCGACATGTTCGAGCATCCATCTCACCGCCTTCGCGTCTGGAGTGTCCTTTGCGCGTCCTTGCGTGGCGTCTATCTTTTGTCCTCTTCTCTTCTTATCATGCCTGTTGCATTGGTCACAGGCACGTTCGACAAGCGGCGTTCTGGCGCTCAGTCAAATTTGCTTGACATGGACGCATATCTCACCCAATATGCTCTGTGATATGACCACTCGTCTTGTTGCGCATAAGCAAGGAATATCTGTCGCGAAGGAACGCCAGTCGTGGAGGCTTGAGCTTCGTGGACAAGTCAGGTCTGGATTGCAGATGTAGGCTTCGACCTGCAAGTGTTGCCAGCATCATGAGTATCGGGAAGCAGGTTAACGACCATAAATAGGGTATCTCTCTACTTTGAACACTATCAACTCCAAAGAAGACTCTTACAATAGAGAATGGCGGCCTGAACTTGGATGTGAACTCCTTTCAAACTTCCTAAGGGCCGCTAGGCGGGGTTCTGATCTCACCCGACGGTCTTCCAGAACTGTCCAGCACTTCGACCATGTCTTCCACCATACCCAAGAATCTCTGCCTGTACTCATCGCTGTTTGCAGTAATGCTCATTGGACCATGATCTTTGCCAAACTTGAGCGTGTTGTACAGCTTGACCAAGCCGGTAAAAGCATGTGCTTGCAATGCGTCTTTCGACCAGAAGAAGTCCAGTACGATGGCTCGGTAAACCCACTTGCCGTCCCGCGAGACGACACCTGTACGCCACGTCGAGCCACGTCCTGGAGGATTTGGGACTCTGTGTTTTCCGGAGTTCAGCTCTGCCGGAAAGCGAACCAGGAACAGCGAGTAGTCAACCGCATTGTTCTCCTGCAGAAGCTTGCTATCCTTAGATAGTTGCGCAATCAGCTCTTCTTTCTGATCGATGGTGACCCTGATCTTGTCCTCGAACTCATCGATAAGACGTTCTTTGACGCTCTCTGGTGCCAATCTGCCGCCGGCGATATCTCGCTCTGGGAAAAAGTAATCGTTCGGTTTCAGATCGAATGTCTCCCATTGCTTCTGTTGGTCCCTGTTGCAGCTTGACTTTCCATACAATATGTTCTCCATCACAATGTGGTGGCTCGGAGTGGCGCCGAGGAAGGCACCAAGCGTCGATGTCGGGCAGTAGAGAAGGTCGGTTATGCGGACGAGAAGAGAATCCTTGTTGAACTGCATGTGATCGACATAAGGGTCGAGAAGTCGTTTACGAAAGAAGGACTGTTCGAAGTGACGCGGCAGTGACTTGACTAGAAACTTAGTATTCGGTGTCGTGAAGAACGTCTGCGATTTATTAGTGGTGAGGCAGACATCTCATTTCTCACGCACTGAGCCAGAATATCCCAGATCTCCAACAGACTTGAGATCCGTCCGCTTGCCCTTACTAGGGCTTCTGAAACTTTCTGTGTACTCTTCCTCCTCGATCTGCCACGACTCATTCCTCAGCTTCTTGAAGATTTGATCACGATAGCGTGCAAGCGTGAGCTGGAAGATAGAAAAAAAGGCGAGAATGCGCGCAAGCAGGCCTGGGCGGACAGTCTCATCGTTGCTCACAGGCTTAGTAACGAAGATAGCGCGCAAGATGGAGGTACTGATCAGGCGCTGGCGGCGTCCCATCTTGAGCGTTGATGTTGTAGTTCAGTTGTCGCGCGCAGAACCGCGATGTTTGTGCAGTTCTCTATTTACAGTCTCGGCAGCTGACGTCACCTCGCGCTAATCACATGCGTTCTTCTCATCACTGCGCTCTGTGTCCTCTTCACGCCAAACAACCATCAACGTCAACTTCGCCTCCAAGCCAAGGCCGCGGGGAACGTTGTGGAACGCGCAAGCTCGCGCGTTGTCACTGTTTTCGGTCACCGGTGGTACAGAAATGCCACGGCCGATGCGCCTCTCGATAGCCGCTCCTGCGTATGCAGGTCAAACGCTCCTGGGTTGCTGATTGAACCATACTCCAACGGCGAAGGGGAGTTCCGTTCAGCCACAGCGCCCCGTTCCTAGCATGTGGCATCTGAAGATCTTGTAACAAACTAGACCCCGTAGATGGTTAAGCGATCTCCCGCTCGGATCGAATCCCGCGGTATCAATTTCGGACCCACCACCCTGAAGGGCAAGTGTCTCATAATCAGCCGGAGCGATATTGGTTGAAATCTAGACGAACGGTTGATCTCAGCAACACAGCGGTCCACTGATAGATTTGGCAACATCTAAACGTTGTGCTGTATTGCCCTGAAATCACACTTGATGCTAACTGTGATGCCAGAGCCAGGTAACCCCCTCCGAACGTTCGTCTGGTCAAGCATCCAGCCTCTCCACTGACCCAACTCTTGAGCACTTAGTCCCATTCGGTGCCTTGTTGGCGTGCGAGACTGTCGTCTAGACCTCCACATCAGCAGCATGCCGAGCTAAACGTCCCGTTTCACGCACAGTAGTGCCTCATGACCCACTAGCCCTCCTTCCAACGCCGTAGCTGTGGCCAATTAGGGGTTTCCCATTCGAAGTAGTCGACGAAGTACAAGCCCTCACCTCAACTGTTGCATGTCTGCATGGTTAGCTTGCCTGCAGGGCTTACGGGGCTACCGCCGACACAAGTATATTTGGATATACCTCCGCTCTAGGCGTGTTCTTGATCATATAAATCAGCAACAACTCTTCCACTGGCTGTACCTGCAGCGTTAATTCTGGTCTTTTACTTCTTCCGTTACCCTTTTCATCCCAACGTACATACTCTTAGATACCCCAAATCATCGCGGGTCGAGATTCCAGTATGGCCGCCGCAGACGTTCAGCAGATGCCCGCCCATGAGCCAGCCCCTCCAGCACTCCCAGACTACCTCACTGACCCCGATGCTGTTCTGAAGGACACCGAGGTCAAGTGGCGGTACGGCAGGGCACCAGATTACTCAAAGACAAGACAGGTCTTCTCTGAGAGTGAGTAGCACCAAATCAGCCACAAGGCCACAAAGCTGACAATACCTAGCAAAGCAGAAGTCACACGAAGCCGGCTCCCTTCCTGAGCTCGTTCAGAACCTTGTCAAGAACTGGGAGGTTGAAGCCTCCTTCAAGCCCGTCATCAAGGACTGGCGTACCATCGACCACGAGAACTACTCGTTCGCCATCAACGGCTCAGAGCCCGAGGGTGCCGAAGCTATGCTCAAGGTCGGCACATACAACGCCATCATCGCACCCAATGAGTACTACTCGCCCGATTACTCAGATTTCGCAAGCAGCCACAAGACCTTCAAGCGCATGATGCCTACCTTCGCGTGGGAAGTCCTCGAGGTGTACAGCGGACCTCCCACGGTCAGCTTCAGGTGGCGACACTGGGGCGTCATGAAGAACGATTATGTCGGTATCAATAACAAGGGCGAGAAGGTGACCGCGAAGGCGCACGGAGGCCCCATCGACATCCAAGGTGTCACAGTCGCCACTGTCAACGACAAAGTGCAGCTGCAGTCTGTGCGAACATGGTTCGACCCCATGGATATGTTCAGGCAGATTGCGGCCAACGGCGTCGTGAAGAAGGAGACAGTCGACAAGAACATGGCACCTGCCGATGTAGTTGACAGCACATCAAGCGGTGCAGCAACACCCACCACCACCACTACCACAACAACTAGCGTCACCGAGGCACTCGAGGCTATGGGTCTCGACAACGCGGCTGCTGCAGGCTGCCCCTTCGCTGCCGGCGCACAGAAGCAGAACGGCGAGACTGAGTTGCCTGAGGGTCATCCTCCTGTCGAGGAGAAAATCGAGCAGGTTGTGGCCGAGTCTCGTAACAAGAATGATACTATTAAGACGGAGCTCGACCCTGAGCAGCATGGCAAATTTGACCAGGAGGTCGCTGACCACCCTTTCATGCCGGGTGGCTTTCGCTAAGCTCGCAGTTCTAAGCAGTTAGAGATTGTTGGCTTTGCAATTGTTGCGTTGGAGCGAGATGTTTGCACGCATGTGCGATTTGAGAATAATACCGTTTTTCAACTTCCACATCGTCACTTCACTTATGAGATTCGCCTTTTGTTTTACAATGACGCATATCCTGTTGCCCGCATATTACTTCGATAGCATTTAGTCCGAGCCCATGGTCACCTGACGCGCAAGCAGATGCTACCCAAGTCGTACGTCTGCACGGAGAGCTGCCAAATGGACTCCCTTCCCGACAACAGACCTCTTCTCCATTTCTTAATGACCGTCGTGATTTAATTCAGGCTGTGTTTTTGGACCCATAGAGACTCAAGATACGTCATGCATCATGAACATGGGTGCCCTGACGGTTCGATGCATGTTTGGCCACGTGGGAGGAGCACAACATGAGCTCGTGAGGATTCGAAAGCTGCCTAGAGCAACTAAACACCCCTCAGCTGCCTTTGAAGACAGACTCTTGTTCTAGTAGATTCTTAAAACTTGAACACCGATACTGTATATGTTGGTCGTTGGGTTGCAACCTCGATTGAAAGGCCTGGCGTTGTCGCGTGCGAACGTTGGGTTCTGACAGTGCGCAGCGAACCCTTGCGTAGGGACACCGCCTTCAAGCACAACGACGCAATATCGATGACAAGCCGCACGTCGTAGTCGAAGCTTCTAAGAATCTCTGTAGTTTGTAGTTCGTTCATTGTTCGTTGAGGTTCGACGGCCTTCACCTGCGTAACGCTCTTGGCTGACGCGCTAGAATCCGGGATTACGGGCCAGTCGGGAAAGAGCCGCAGCAGCCCTCACTGACGTCTCGCATTCACCACCAACACAGCCATTCTTCCCCAGCTTGTGGCGAGTGCAACGCGTGGCTAATCAGCATCGAGCTATTGAATCTTCAGCGTCGCCAGCCTGGCGAGTGCGACACCAGAGCATTCATGTGCTGCCTAATCGGCGCATAGAGCACCACGGCCCCGCTGAGCTGGAGACACGACATCTCGAACTACGGACACGATCCCTCTCTCGACATTCTTAGCGCACCGCCGCCATGCCTTCGATCCTGTCCGACGAGGACAAGCTGACGGTGAAGCGCACCGTACCCAAGTCGGCGAACAAGATCCACGCCGTCGCTGTTGCCAAGCTGTACATTGCCTACCCAGACAGGCACAACTGGACATACACAGGGCTGCAGGGTGCAGCAGTGCTGGCGAACGATCTGGTTGGCAACACCTTCTGGATCAAGCTGGTCGACATATCAGTAAGTAGGCGCAGACAGTTGGTAGAGAACACACTAACATGCTGTAGTCTGCCAACCGTGGCGTCATCTGGGACCAGGAGATATACGATACCTTCACCTACAACCAAGATCGCGTCTTCTTTCACACCTTTGAGCTCGAAGAGTGCCTAGCAGGACTGTCGTTCGCGGACGAGAAGGAGGCTAAGACGTTCAAGAAGAAGCTGGATGACCGCGAAAAGAACGCCCACAAGAACACAAAGAACAAGCCGTTCGGCGCAGCAGCAGGAAGCAGTGGACCGGTCACAAATGGAAAGAGTCATGGACACGGCCTCCTGGGAGGCTTGTTCGGTCACCGGCATTCCTCGAACCCTGCGCCGCCGCCGCAGTCCATCATACCTCCGTCCGCGGTGAGCGTCGTATCACCTTCTCAAAGTAGCCATTCCAATGCCACAAGCGCACGAAGCTCCGCAATCGATACTACAGACCCGTCATGGCAGCCGCTGCTGAAAGAGTTGTTGGCAATGGGCATTACAGAGGACCAGATTGAGGAGAACGCAGACTTCATCAAGCTGTATATTGAGCAGAAGAAGCACGATGAGAAGGCTCAAGCTGAGAACGAGGCAAGAAGAGCAAGAGCGCCTCCACCTCCTCTACCGAGCGCACCGCCGACAGCGCGAACCATAAGTCCTCAAACCACCGGCAACTCGAAGCGTGGGCCTCCTCCAGCACCGCCGCCAGCTCGAAGAACGAAGAGTGAATTGCCCAATCGCAACTCGTCCTCGAGTCCTGCACCGCCATCGCCTCCACGAGAGCCCTCTCCGCCCCCTGGCCCACCGAAACCTGTTTTCAGAGCACCTCCCCCGATCGCAGATGCTGGCAAATTTGCGAACCAACCTCCTGCACCATCGAACCGAGCACGAGCGCAGTCTGGTGCTGCTTCTGGGCCTCCCCCGCCTCCTCTACCGCCGAAGACCCCAGTACCGGCCGAAGACCAACCTATGGGAGGCAAATTTGGCGTACCGCCGCCATTTACAGGCAGTCGAGTACCTTCAGGTGCACCTCCTCCACCTCCAAGTCGCGGGCCTGTTCCACCTCCGCCTCCTGCGCGAAACACTCCATCGGCACCTCCTCCATTACCGCCGAAGACACCAGGAACATCACTCCCACCTCCTCCTCCACCGATGAACAATGCTCCGCCAGCACCACCTCCTCTACCACCAACAGCATCTCGCCCAGTACCGCCTGCACCTGCTGGCTCAGCACCCGTTCCACCGCCGCTACCTCCTACATCCTCAATCCCACCACCACCGCCAATGCCAGGAAGGTCAATCCCTCCTCCTCCACCTATGCCGAACAGTGCGGTTCCCCCTCCTCCGCCAATGCCAAACAGTGGCGCTCCTCCACCGCCGCCGATGCCAAACAGTGGCGCTCCTCCTCCACCGCCGCCGATGCCAAACAGTGGCGCTCCTCCTCCTCCACCGCCGCCAATGCCCCCAGGCTCTGGACCGCCTCCGCCACCGCCTATGCCGCCAAGGGATGCTGGTCCACCACCCCCTCCTGGCGGTGCTCCACCACTGCCAAAGGCAGCTACAGTTGGGCGCGATGGTCTTCTGGCGGACATCCGTGGAGGTGCAAGATTGAAGAAGGTTTCAGACTCGGAGAAGAGAGATCGCAGTGCAGCAACAGTGCCTGGAGCAGAACCAGCTTCGACACCTGGTGCTGGTGGTGGCTCTGCAACACCGGGAGCAGATGCTGGCTTGGCTGGAGCATTGGCTAGTGCACTTGCAGCGAGAAAGGCTAAAGTCAGTCACAGTGGTAAGTTCCAAATATTCTTTCTAAATTACTAATATGCTGATATACTCGCAGATGATGAGTCGGACAAGGACGACTGGTAGATGAGCATTGTCGAAGATTGAGACTAGAGGAGAGACACGCACCCGAGCATACGCTTCTTCCATGGACTACAAGCCTAACGACAATGAGACTGCGTAGTAATATCGCAGTGAGATCCGCCAACATAACGAATGACGCAGTCGCGGTTAGCTTGTGGAAGAAGCAGCTAGCGAAGAGCCAGATTAGGACCCGTTGTAGGACAAAGTCGGGGGAGGGAGACCAGAAGTTGTACAAAGCTTTCAAAGCCACATTTACATGCCAGGTTACCCGCACCGTTAGTGCTCTCACTCATTTTGCTTGCACAACTCCACTGCTTAATCCTCTTTCCGTTTCTGAACATGCGGACGACAGATCGGCGGAATCTTGCCTCTTCTGATCGTATTCCCGTCGTTTGGGTGCCGAATGCCAGAACAAGATACATTCTGCTGACACTTCTCGCACCTTTAAACCTCTCCCTCCCCCGCAAAAATACTCGCAAGAAACCCAAGTTCACAACTGCCTCGCCATGGCTCCTCCACATAACCCAACCACGATCGCCTCGATCGAAGCAGCGAAAACAATATCAGGCCCTCATACTCTCTACATTACACCTTCATCCTCGAACGCCTCTCGCCCCCACTCTCCCTAAACGCCATAGTTCTCATGCGCTGCACCTACCTCCTCCCCGCCATGACCCTCGGAAAATCACACCCCCAAGCTCCACCCCTGCACCTGCACTTCTTGCAACCGGAAACCTTCCTCGTGACCAAAGGCACCTTCAACACCACTATCGGGTACGACCTGCAGGGCAGAGCGACTCAAGATATCTTGTATGACAATCTAAAGAAGTTGTCCGCGCACGTGGAGCTAGCGCTTTTACTACTCCAAGCTCTGAATTTGGGCACACTGTCCGTTCAAGCCGTACCTCAAGACTTGAAGAACGAAGAAGGAATGCTACACATATGGCTTACGTCAGTACTTTCGGCAGTTCCAATGATGTCCGGCGCTCTCGAGTCGAACAACGTCTTTGGTCAATTACGCACTCTGTATATCAGCATGGGTGGCACTTTCAGTGTTGACCTGGCTTAATTGTTTCACATACCGTCTCTGCGGTGTCTGTGTCTAGCGAACTGTTGAGCTGAAGAATACGAGATCAAACCGCAGGACTGGCCGGTCTCAGATTCGGGTATACAGTACTTTGGACTCGACAATATCTGTTTTGAGTCATCCAGTATCCCATTTCATCTCATCTTTGCGCTCAGTGCTGGTTCAACAATTAGACGTCGTGATCAAGCACAGTGAGCCCGATACCTTTCGCTCTCCTATCCGAGAAGGCCTTGCTAACGATCTACACAGCGTTCACGAGAGCAAGTCACAGTAGGCCCAACGCGGACGAATTCACGGCATACACTGTAGCAATCTCCGACGCATTGATCAACGCATGCGTGACCTATGGTGAGAGGGGCGTCTTCCTTGCTGATGGCTTGAGGAACGGCAACGTCTATGAGGATCTGGTCCGACGGTTCATGGAAAGGCTAGACTGCCGCCTAATTGGCTTCTTACACCAGAAGGCCGGAAGATGTTGTTCTTGAAAGACGTGAACGAGGCACGCCGTTGGATTGAGTCGCGTTCGATATCGATGGTTCACTAGAGTACAGTAAACTACAGTGATCCCTGGGGATATCGCAAGTGGCTCATATGTATAAACTGAAGGCATCCAGTGATCACATTTAGTTAGTGCTCGGCTTTTTTTCGATCCATCGAGAGAAGCCGGTCTCGAATGTAGATATGACGGTTGAGTTGTGTACTGCGAGTGTCACGTACTGAAGACGAGAACGAGTTGCGTCAAACGTTGATTGACATACCGAGTCACTAGTTGAGCAGGGTAACACGGAACTTATTGCGAAACAGTCGACATCTAGGTTTTCCTATGACACTGTAGTACATTTTGATATCTATTTCTTCACATACAGATCAACGTACTCATCGACATCCATATTGTCAATGGTCTTGGCATCCTGCGCCAGAGCGACGAGCTTGTCAACGTGCTCAGCAGGGTAGTGAGGGCCAAGATGCCTCTTGTACTTGGCCAGAATCTCAGGCTTAGCCTCCTCACGGCGCAGACGGTGTCCGAGAGGGGCCTCAACAACCTCCTCGTCAAGAACTGTGCCGTCCTTGAGGGTGACGGTGAGCGCGTTGGAGATGGTGCGCTTCTCAGGGTCGTGGTAGTCCTTGGTGAATTGCGGGTCCTCGACACAGCTGATCTTCTGGCGCAGGGACTCGACGAGGGCGGACTGAGCGGCCTCGCTATCATCGGGGTAGTCGGTGGCCTCGAGACGGTCGAAGACGAACATGGTCGAGACCATGTACTGGACGCAGTGGTCACGGTCGGCGAAGTTCTCCATGGGCTTGAACTGCTTGTCAATGATGCGGATGCAGGCCTCGTGGGTGCGGTTGACGACGTGCTCGATGTCCTCGGCAGACTTGCCCATAGCCTTGAGCTTCTTGTTCAGGCGCTGAGCGGCCTCGACAGCGGTCTGGGAGTGGAACTCGGCTATTGCTGGGTTAGCACACAATTTCAAACCCTCAAATAAGACTGCAATTCTTACCAGGATAGGAAACCTTGAAGAGAACGTTCTCCATGACGTAGCTGCCGTACGGGCGCTGGAACTGGAAGGGCTTGCCGCCAAAGTTGACGTCGTAAAAGCCCCAGGTGGGAGCAGACAGAACGGTTGGCAGACCCTGCTCACCCTTGAGCACCTTCAGGACGAGGTTTACAGCGGTCTGGCAAGCATCACCGGCAGCCCAAGACTTGCGCGACATGGTGTTAGGGCTGTGCCTGTATGTCCGCATAGACTGGCCATCAACAAAGGCTTGCGAAACAGCGTCACGAGTTTGAGCCTCAGTGAGACCCATCATCTTAGAGACAACGGCGGTCGAGGCAAGCTTGACGAGGATAACGTGGTCGAGTCCGACCTTGTTGAACGAGTTTTCAAGAGCCATACAACCCTGAATTTCGTGTGCCCTGATCATAGCCTCCAAAACATCGCGGACCTTGAAGATCTTACCGTTTCCAAGGTTTCCTCCGTTCTTGTTTGTACGGTTGATCCAGTCGGCAGTCGCGAGAATGGCGCCCAAGTTATCTGAGGGGTGGCCCCACTCAGCAGCAAGCCAGCAGTCGTTGAAGTCCAACCAGCGGATCATAGCACCAATGTTGAAGGCACCGTTGATAGGGTCAAGCTGGTAGTTTGTACCAGGAACCTTTGTGCCGTTAGGGACGACGGTGCCCTCGACTGTAGGGCCAAGAATCTTCCTGCATTGCTCGAATTGCAGACCCTCGAGACCGCAGCCAAGAGTGTCAACAAAGACCCAGCGCGCTGTGTCGTACTAAATAGTGTTCACATTAGTCCAGGCTGGTAATTGGTAGTCCGTTGGCCATACCGCAAGCTCAGAGTCGATGGAAACGTTGTGGATGTAGTTTGCGATGTCCTTGATCTCGGGATCGTACTCGCGCTTGCCGCTGACAGGCGGTGCAGCGCTCTTGAGGGAAGTCATGGTGGAGAAAGAGCTTGCAGTTGCTGCGCGGGGAGCAATTGAAGCTGTGGGGGTAGCTCGGAGAGCAATTGGCCTAACAGCTCGGCTGATGACGCTGGATCGTTGGCGGAGTGTGCGTGAAGCGGTGCTGCACAGATTGCGACTGAAGGCCGACATGGTCAGTTTGGCTTCTTGAGCTCAATGACCACAATGCAGCTTGAGAAGGGAGTGTCGTACTAGGCGTGATTTGAGAAGCTCTGGACTCTGAGGAGATAAAGCATAGGAGTGACGCTCGGCTCTCAGAATTCGGGAGGAGGTGTACCGGTACGCCGTGCTCAACCGAGGCTGCAGCTATGCAGTTTTGACGTGTCAGCGACGCCGATGCTTGCGGCACACATCATGGGCGCTAGATGAGGCTCAAACAGCTGTACAATCCCTTCAACTCTCATATACCAACGACAGATCGAGGTCATTGGCTGTCAAGAATAGATGAATGCGAGGTTGAGGCTTCTCTGCCAGCATCCTATACCCCGCCTTAACCCGCACTCCACGAACGCACAGACGTCTCGGGCTTTGTGTAGCCAAGCCTCACGGTCCTCTTGATTATCTGACCATCTGATAGCAGTTTGGCCGAATACTGCCGGACCTCAAACATCTCATACGTTCGAAACTTGACTTGCTATAAAACGAACTTCCTTCAGGTATCCAGAGTGCGTTCGACTGCTTCATATCTTAGATCGTATCGCCGAACTACAAAGTCTTCTTGTTGGGTCCAACACTCCCTCTCAACTTTCCAAGCTTGAAGACATAGGTAAAGTACCAGTCGAAGATCTTGGTTGGCATCCACTTCCACCCAAACCATACGATCCAGCTCATCTTCCCCTCCCAGATCTCCCTTTGTCGGCCAAACCAGCCATCTCCACGCAGCACCTGCCTCACACAGCTCCTCGCATACTGCTTGGTGTCCATGCCCAGCTGTTGGCTATGTGTCAACCTTGACTCGTACTCAGGCGCAAGCGGCTGCATGTATGAACCCGGCGGTAGTTCGCGATGTGTTCGTGCAATGTTCGACTTCACACCACCTGTGATGACATTTACGACTCGCACACCAAGGGGCGCAAGCTCGACACGCAAGGTGTTTGTGTACGAGTGGAGCGCCGCTTTCGAGGCATTATAAGGCGCACCCCAGACGTATGGCAGGATGCCTGCTACGGAGCCAGTCTGAACTATGGTGCCCTTTGCTTCGATGAGAAGGGGAGTAAACTCTCTGCACATGTGCATCACCGCAAAGACGTTCGCCTCGAAGAGCTCGTGAAGCTCATCGGTATCATAGTCGAGCGCTGGAACGACATAGTTCCGCCCAGCGTTGTTGTAGAGGATATCGAGCTTGCCGTTCGTTATCTCGGTGACGCGCTTGCAGAGTTCCCGGATCGATTCGATGCTCGTGAGCTCGAGTGGGAGGAACGTGATATTTTGGTGCGGCGAGGAGTACTTTGAAGGGTCACGAACAGTGCCTAGCACTTGGAAGCCCTTCTCAGCAAATTCCAGTGCGAGGAAGTGGCTTTCACATGTCAGTTGGAACAAATGCAGTCTGGCGATTGACCTACCCAATGCCTCCAGGTGTACATCCTGTGATCAGCGCAAACTTCTGTCTCTGTTGCTCGGCCATTATGATTACTATCGGGCGGTCTCTAGGAGTCTCCGTCGCCAAAGATCACTTTCATTTGGTCAGACGGAAGCCCACGGGCGGAAGCTTGGGCCACATGCCTCGGTTGTTCTTGCCCCACTCGATCCCCACTGCCACATGCCTCTGATGTCTCACCTGCTTTCGAGCCTATCGTTCCTCCTTCCGGACGCTGATGCCAACGATCCGTTGGTATTCTCCAAAGTGTAAAGAGCTATGGAGCTCTTCCTTCAGCTAAGCTGTCTTCTGTGCTCAGCTCCTGATCCAACTTGTAAACACTCACCTTGACAGCTCCTATCGTTAGCAGGATAACAATCATCAATCAAGAAGACATCAACATACAATCACAATGCCTCGATCGATATGGGTACAGGATAATATCCTGGCGCTGCTACGCCCTTCGCTGCTTCTTCTGACTGGTGCCTATCGTTCGTGTCAAGCACTTGCAATCATTGAATAGGCCTAACATTGTAAAGACTTCTTCATGACCATCCTCGAAGTCATCTTTGTCGAACGCAGACCACTCACGCTTTTCAACATTACCAAGCTCCGCTATAAATCGTTTGCACGCCTTTGGACCAAGAATGGAGAAGCGATGTCTATCGAAATGCCGGGTCCCCTCACGGAGCTACTGTCAACCTGCGAAGGCGTGGTCCTCAACATAGGCCCTAAATCCGGTGAGATACTGTCCCGCTTTAACGCAAACCGTATCACAGTCATGTACGGTGCAGAACCTGCCGAAGATTTCCACACAGACCTGTTGAGGAATGCGCAGAAGAAGGGTTTCGGCGACAAATATCACGCCTTACAATGCGGTGGTGAACCTGAGAGCCTGATCCCGGCGCTGTACAAGAGTGGGATTTTGGAAGTCAGTGGCAGGGCCGGTCTGGCTTCGGATGGCGTGTTCGACGAGATCTGCTGCGTGCGAGTGTTGTGTGGCGTACCTCATGCCCAACAGACCATCAACGGGCTTTACAACCTCCTCAAGCCCGGCGGTCGTATGATCATCTGCGAACACGTCGTCAATCCATGGAGGACCGAGGGTCGGATGCTCGCACGGTTCATGCAATTAGTCTACACGCTGCTCGGATGGCCATTCTTCATGGGCGGTTGCGAACTACAAAGGCACACCCCAGATTTTCTCAAGGACGCTGGCGAGTGGGACAAGTTCGACCTGAAGTACTACGGACCGAAGGATGCGATTCCATTCGTTGTAGGAGAACTGGTGAAGAAAGGAGGAAAGTCATACGCTGAGGTTGTGAAAGAGTAAACGAGATGTACGCCGCGGTGCTATAACGATAACACCTCTGAACGCCTCTGAGCGCAATCAAGTTTCAATCTGGCGCAAAACTGACCATGTGTACTGCAGTGTGTACAGTGTTAGGCAGCCTGAGATGTACTTCGAAAGGGCGCGACTAGCGCCGCACTCCATCGCCGTGCTGCAGATAAGCGAGGGCCCTTCAATCCGACATCAAGGACCAGCCTCGCGTTAGTGTACGAAGGTATACGTTCTTGTAGATTATCAATCAAACTCCGACTGAATACTCCGACGTCTTCAATACCAGATTCGAGGTTCATATATCTCGTAGTTCAGTTCAAGGTCGCATTTACCAATCGGTACTGCAACTTTCAGAATATAGTAACAGTTCTGATCAGTATGACAATGCGATTAGGTACTTGTCGGTCATTGAGCAGACAGTAAGCCAGCTTGAAGAGTACATATGGTCAATTCCTGATAGTTGTAGGTTAGCAAGAAGTCGACCAACGCCAACCCTACAAATTCCAACAAGAATGAAGTCGACATCCGCACCCATCACATCAGCAACAGAAGGGCACTACAAGATCATCGACCGCGCAACCGGGTTCGAGCAAAGGCAGGCCTCACGTCCAGACTTCGACCCTTTGAAGCCCATCACCCTCATCAAAAGCCCCGACCCAACGTGGACCTACGGCTCCGGCGTCGCACAAGACGATGCCGCCTTATCCTCAAAACACGTCGAAGTCGACCCGTACGCCCCTGACCGCCCCATGATAAACAACTACCGCCTCCTGATCTCCGGCATCGCACCCCGCCCCATCGGCTTCCTCAGCACCGTTTCCAAGAACGGAAAGAAAAACCTCGCGCCCTTCTCCTACTTCCAGGTCATCGACCACGACCCGCCCATGTTCATCGTGGGCTTCTCATCCCGGCCCCACGGCGCCAAGGACACGTTCCTCAACCTCAAAGAGACCGGAGAGTGCGTAATCAACACCGTAAGCGAGAACATGATCGAAGCCGTAAACGCTACGTCCATCGACGCCCCCTACGGCGTGTCGGAGTGGGAGATAAGCGGGCTGACGGAAGCACCAAGCTCCACTGTAGCCGCCAGCCGCGTCAACGAGTCTGTTTTCAGTGTTGAGGGGAGGGTTGTAGACATCAAAGAGTTCCACGACTGCGAGACGGAGAGGGAGGGGTTGAGTGTGGCTGCGAATGTTCTGATTAAAGCGAGTAGATTCTGGGTTCGGGAGGACGCGACGAATGACGAGGTTAGTAATATTGACGTTGAGAAGTTGAGGCCTGTGGGACAGTTGGGGGGGATGGCGTATGCGAGGGTGAGTGAGACGTTTGAGGTCCCCAGGCGGAGGTGGGTGGATGAGGTGGGGAGGAGTGAGGTTTTGAGGGGGTTGGAGAGGGAACACGCGAAGACTGGCGAGCGCGTTAGTGAGGAAGATATGGTTGAGGAGGCACAGAGGGTTAAGGTGGGAGGTAGTCAGGTCGGAGGAGCCGGTTGCTGAGACGCAGAACGGTGATGCGGTGCGTTGGACGTCATTGTAGTGAGCTGCGAAGTCAAGGCAGGAGGTCGTCAGAGAGGCGTGCTGTACATTAGACTTGTAACGATAAAAAAGGGTATCCATAGTAGAGCGCATGACAGACCACTAAATCATCATACGGTAGTCTCACCAGATCAGAACGCCAGCAACCACCAGCAACTGCGCTACGAATGCACCATGTCCGACCGGTATTCCGGGAGCAGCATTGGCGGTCTGCTCAGGAAGTCCACCGCTAGTTGTCGGAGACCCGGTTGCAGTCGCTCGCACACTGCTGAGGGTGGCAATCGAAGCTGCTGAGGTTGGGTCTCTGTCGTCGGTCTGTAGCAGGGTTGAAGACGCTTCGGGGACTGGTGTCTCGACAGCGCTCGTACGCGTGGCGCCCTGCTCTTCGTCCCCGCCGGAAAGCGTTGATGAGGACACCGACACACTCCCGGCTGGACTCGAAGTCTGTGCAGGTGCCGTTGCACTCACCGCGCTCGACCTAGCTGTCGTGCTCGCAATCCCCGAACTCGTTCCGAGACCAGCAGTAGGCAGTCCCGAGGGTACTTGGTTCGCGTCTTCCCCTCCACAATCCGCCGTTCCGCCCAACTTGACGACCATGCCTACCCCAGCAACTGGATCTTTCAGTCCGTTATCACTTTGGAACTTCTTTGCGTCGAAGACCTCCCCCTCCGCCGGCAACTGCATTGCTGCAAACTCTCTCCGCTGCGGATTAGTATACATCAGAAACACATACTGCCGATCGTCCCCCTGCTCGCCGAGAGCACCAGGGGCCTTGTAATCCAGAAGCGGCGGAGAACCGGTCTCGATGTTCGTCCCGCCCGCGAAGGAGAACTTGAAGTTGGAGCGCGCGTAGTGTAGCTTTCTGGCGCCGGTGCATGTGGTGTCGACCATGATGAGGGTGTAACGCGTGCTTGGGGAGATGCCGTTACTGTCGCCGAGGGCGAAGGTTGGTTCTGTGGCCACGGCATCTTTCCCAAAGGTTGTGCCGGATGCGAAACCATCGACCGCTTTGGCGGAGAAGGAGACTTGGATTTCTTTGTTGTTGAAGCCGGCGCCGAGGTCCAAGGGTATGATGTTTGGAATTTGTGCTAGGGCTGTTGAGAACAGAGCTGCGATGGTGGTAGTCCGTTGAAAGAAGCGGAAAGCCATGGTGGTGGAGGTGTATGAATATGATTAAACAATAGGATTCTGACGAATCGTGATGACTGCAACTGCTGTCGGCGTCGATACTAGAGCGCAGGCAAAATTGTAAATGTGTTCAGTCAGTAGCCCTACCATCACACTCTTATACGTCACTCGACGCGGGTACAACAGCATCTTGAGCATCCACACCGAGCACCGCCCCAAACAGTCACTCACTGCCTCAGACGGCAGCAAGGCCTACATTCTGCCATACAAGGCTTGTTTTCTGGTGATTTGCTGCTCTCCAGACGATTGACGCCTGAAATGTTGGGGTTGGCATGTTTGACGTCTTGTCAGCTGTTTCGGTTTCAGCAGCGTTTCGGTAACGACGATGCCGGGCGCCTCAGACACGGATGGATCTTCAGGCACGCAGAATGGATAGATCTTCAGGCACGCAGAATGGTCTGCCAATTTCTGTTCCTTCTCTCGGGGTAGCTGTGTGTGGGAACTCAAAGTAGCGAAGCTTTCCGGGATGCGGTGTGCCCTTGGTGCTGGAGCCATATCGTGCTCTGGTAAGCGCAAGCAGTGCTAGCCTTGCGCGATGAACCGCGATACATTTGTCGACACGGAGTTCTCGGACTGTAGCCCTCCGAGGAGTTTTCTTTGAATGAGAAACGCTCGCATTCTACCGCTAAAGGAAGCTCAACGGCTGTCTGTCCTTGCGATGAACCTGCCCGGAAAGGGCACGATGGCAGGGGCCAAAACTTCCTCCAGTTACTGGCTCCGGATCGGTGACGGGGCAATCGACAGTAGAAACCAAACTTTCCCCATGCAGCAGGTTGCGACCGTTTGTCGGATGCGATGGCCGAGTCGTGAGGGCGAGGCTCAGGGCAGGTGATCACGCGTTGATGGCGCCAAAAAAGGTTTCTAGGGTGCAATGACCGTCCACCGTCACCGTTGGCTGCCATTGCGCATTATGGAGCACCTGGACGAGTACAGTGCCTATGTGCTCGGTGCTGTGGGTGCAGTGACACTCTACTTCTTGTATCTGCTGCTTCGAGCAGACGCAGAGGCACATGTACCGTACAATGTCACGCCGCCCGAGCAAGCGCAGCCTGGCTGGAGGGGCCAGGCGCTGCAGGAGCCTACGCTGAAGGTCTGAAGTTTGTACAGGCCTTGGAATGCCATATGTTGACACAGCCAGGTCTCCGGCTCATCACTTATTCAATGCTACGCCCCAGCAACTGGCGAAGCCCTCGGGCGCGTCAACCCGTCCACAGCAGAAGGCATCGACCGCGCCATCGCCAAAGCCAAAGAAGCACAACTACAATGGGCACGCACAACTTTCGCCGAGCGCAGGAGGGTGCTCAAGACAATGCTCAACTTCATCCTCGAAAATCAGGAAACAATCGCAAGAGTGGCATGTCTGGACTCTGGCAAGACGATGGTGGATGCAGCATTGGGAGAGATTCTAGTAACGACTGAGAAGCTGCGATGGACCATCAGACACGGCGAAGAGAGCTTGAAGAGCGAGCGCAGAGCGACAAACCTGCTCATGATGTACAAGTGGAACGAGGTCCTGTACCAGCCCCTGGGTGTCGTGGCGGCGTGCGTCTCCTGGAACTACCCCTTCCACAACCTGGTCTCGCCCATTATCGCCTCCATCTTCGCTGGCAATGCCATCATTGTCAAGGGCTCCGAAGCCACCGCCTGGTCCTCGTCCTACTTCGCCTCCATCGTAACTCGCGCCCTTGAGGCATGCGGTCACTCTCCCCATATCGTCCAGTCGGTCGTCTGCTGGCCCAACGTCGCCGACCACTTGACATCTCATCCCGACATCAGCCACATTACCTTCATCGGCTCTCGACAAGTTGCACACCACGTCTGCGCCTCTGCTGCAAAGTCGTTGACACCAGTATGCGTCGAGCTCGGCGGCAAGGACCCAGCCATCCTGCTCGACGACCTGTCAGACAGCGACTTCAAGCGCGTAGCCAGCATCCTCATGCGCGGCACCTTCCAATCTGCCGGCCAAAACTGCATCGGCATCGAGCGCGTCATCGCGCTCCCCAAAGTCCACGACCGCCTCGTCTCATATATCACGCCCAAGATCCTTGCCCTCAAACCGGGCTCCATCCTCACTGCCTCCCCAGACACGCCCGTCGACGTCGGCGCCTCTATTTCCTCCGCCAGCTTCTCCAATCTTGAAGCTCTGATCGAGGACGCCGTGAAGAACGGCGCACGCCTCCTCGCAGGCGGAAAACGCTACACGCACCCGGACCACCCACAGGGCCACTACTTCACATCCACCTTTCTCGCCAACGTAACCGCCGACATGAAAATCGCCCAACAAGAGCTCTTCGCCCCGGTCTTCCTGCTCATGCGCGCCTCCTCCGTCTCCAACGCCATTGACATCGCAAACAGCACCATCTACGCCCTCGGCGCCAGCGTATACGGCTCCTCGTCCGCTGACCTCGAGCGCGTGGTGCGCGACGTGCACGCCGGCATGGTCGCCGTAAACGACTTTGCTGTCACGTACATGGTGCAACTGCCGTTTGGTGGTGTCAAGGGGAGCGGGTACGGGCGGTTTGCGGGTAAGGAGGGGTTGCGGAGTTTGTGTAACATGAAGGCTGTGACGAGGGATCGTTGGCCGGGTGTCAAGACTAGTATTCCGCCGCCTATGGATATCCCACTCGAGGGAAGCGGGGCGGGGCAGAAGGCGTGGAATATGGCGCAGGGCATCGTTTGGCTGGGTTACGCTCCAGACTGGCGAGGGAAGCTGAGAGGGCTGAGGGGGATTGTAGGTCTGTGATCTTGGCGCGAGGTGGAGTGGTTGTTTGCAGAGTCATATAGATCGGTATACCCAACGTCGCACCTGGTATCATAGTGCATAAGAAACGTCTGAAACGTTCAAACCCGTTCAACCCACTCATATCTACACCGTCTCAATGTACCGCCTAACCTCCCAATCCGTAACCGCCTCGTCCCAAAGCCTGATCTCATGCTGTCTCGTCCCACCAAAGTGGTCCACGAAGTCGTCCCCAAACACCTCTCTCGCCACACTCTCCTTCCTCATAAACTTATCCGTCGCCTCTTTCAGGCTCTTCGCCAACCTTTCTCCCTTGTCAGCTGCACCACCCACATCCTCTCCCTTGCCCAGCGGCGGTATCGAGATCTCCATCTTCTTCTCGATGCCCCTCCACCCCAGCGCTAAGATCGCGGCGAGCACGAAGTGCGGGTTGGTGTCTGCGCCTGGCACACGGACTTCGAAACGTGTGGCTTTTGCGCTCGCTGTGGGAGGCGCAATGAGTCGGATGGAAGCAGCGCGGTGCTCGAGGCCCCACGAGACTGTGACAGGCGCCCAGAAGTTTTCCACCAGGCGCTTGTACGAGTTTACATTGGGCGCCAGGATGGGCATGATGTCTGGAAGACCGTCGATGAGACCTGCGAGGAAGTGCCGGCCCAGATCGCTCAGGCAGCGGATGTCGTGGTATGGAGCGTTTGTGTCTTCGGTCTCGCGCGCGAAGAGGTTCTTGCCCGCCGCGTCGACGATCGAGACGTGCATGTGTCCGCTGTTTCCCGGCAGGCCTTCGCGCGGCTTTGCCATGAAGCAGGGGGTTATGCCGTATTTGGAGCCGAGGGATTTGACGACGAGTTTAAAAAGGGACGCTTTATCGGCCATGGCACTGATCTCGCCGAATTGGAGGGCCTGGTCATTATACATCAGTGATTGCGGCAGACTGGGGTATGAGGGGGAAGCTTACAGCTTCGAACACGCCTGGGCCAGACTCGGTGTGCCAGCCCTCAATGCCGCAGTTGAACTTCTCACACGCGTCGAAGATGCCGTAAAAGTAGTCCTGGTTGTGCACTGTCCGTGTGATGCTGTAGCCGAACATGCCTTCCGTCAGACTGGGCAGTGCATTCACTGGGTTCTCCCTCAAGAAGGTTGCTGTCCCACTCGAGTTCCTCTCTGGCCCATCGTGTGTCTGCGGCGCCCTGAACTGGTAGAACTCGTATTCAGCACCTGCCATAGCGCCATAGCCATTGTCCTTCAGCTTGTCCACCGCGCGCTTCAGAAGACTCCTGGGGCATGCGTGCAGTGTCTTGTGCGTGTCCGGGTCGTGGAAGGAGACGAGGAAGAACGGCACGTTGTTCTCCCAGGGAATGCGGCGGAAAGAGGACAGATCCGGGATGGCGATCAGGTCACGGTAGCCGTTCTCCTTGTTGGAGACACCAAGTTCGCGGAAGTAGGTCTGGTCGTGCATGTCCCAGCCGAACACTACACTACAGAAACCGAAGCCTTCTTCTGCTATGGACAAGAACTTCTTCTTGGCCATGAGCTTACCACGCAGCATACCGTCCACATCGACACCGGCAACCTTGACTGCGACATCATCTTTCAGGAGCTCTGGCAGAGACTCGACGGTTACGGGCTTGTCCTCGGCCATGTTGTCTGTGTTACTAGGAGCGAGGGAAGGGAAGAGCGCTGTTGAAGACGCTCGGCTACGTTGAAGGCGTAGGAGAGAGGGGAGGGACAGGCACGAGGGACAACACCAACAGATTTCTGTGACGGGTGCGGGCACACGGGCTGCAAGCTTCAGGTCTCTGGATCGTGGACGCGAATAGCTGAGCAGAGGCAGGAGCGGGACCAATGACGTGGAGGCGCGTCGGAAAGGAGGCTGCTAGCGCGACACAGGGCTATGCGGACAGCAGCATCTCACATGCCTGCACCTCTGCTATCTGCTCGTACACGACAATCCCTTGCAACACTCTGATAGCCACACGCGACAACGAACTTCCCAAGCAACATGGTGATGCCCCGCCAAATTTCACCACCATGATGCCCCACTAGATGGCGGGGTACGCCTCAGCTCTGTGCCACTTCATGTAGACAGCCGTGACAGCATGAAAGCTGTTCGTGCGCGTACACGAGAGCCACGCGATCGTGAACGAACCTTGGAAGCTTCTCGAGCTGCTCCAGAAGCTCTCACCGCTCCGTGACGCATTCGTCCCTGAGCTGTACGCGCCCGTCGCCGACATGGACCCTTATCGTCCATTATCTATCAGCCGCCGATTTCGGGGACGCTGAATACTACCGACCGTCACCATCCGTGAGCTTCCTATACACTTCAATTGAACGCTTCACACGCCGCCGCTACCATCTTCACGACATCGACAAACTACTCATCAGTCACAGGTACGCGATCTTGAGTCTTGGTGCTACGCTGGCAAACCTTCCCCGTTGGCAAAGAGAGATGACGCTTCCCACCATGTTTATATTAGTCATATGAACCATCGTGACTATAAAACTTCAAACATCGCCTCTAACGCCCGGGCAGAACTCTGATACCACACCCGTACCCCTCATACTTCAACATCGAGATTGTACAGATTTAACATGGGCCGTCTTGAAGGAAAGAACGCTATCGTCACCGGCGCCGCTGGGTAAGTGCTATCAGTTTGTTCCTAGAAGAAACCGCGCGTTATGTGGATCGACGACGTCCAGAAACACCATTTTTGAAAAAGATGGACAGTATTGGAAGTTTACGAAGATTGAGCAAGAGTTGGGGATCATTCGTGGCGAGAATATCCGCATGCGTATACGATTTTTCGAAACCTTGGCATCAACATACACAAGAGTCAAAATCGATGAAATCGGGTGAAAGGCGTATTCTGAATGGGCGCTAACACCGCACAGCGGCATTGGACTCGAGACATCGATCCTCTTTGCACGTGAGGGCGCCAACGTCCTCCTCTCCGACATCTCCGGTCCAGCTCTCGAGAAGGCACTGGCCAAGCTCCACGAAGTAGTCCCAAGCGCCAAAGACCTAAAGGTTGAGACCAAGATCTGCGATGTCTCCAAGGAATCCGATATTGAAGCCATGGTCGCACACGTCGACTCCTGGGGCGGTCTGGACATCATCTTCAACAACGCCGGTATAATGCACGCCGACGACGACGACGCAGTCAATACACCAGAGAAGATCTGGGATCTGACACAGGCCATCAACGTCAAGGGTGTATGGTTCGGCAGCAAGCACGCAGTTTTGAGCTTCCGCAAGCACGGAAAGAAGAAGGCCAGCGTTATCAACACTGCCAGTGTTGTCGGTCTCGTTGGTTCTGCTACACCGCAGTTGGCGTACACAGCTAGCAAGGGTGCGGTTTTGGCGCTGACAAGGGAGTTGGCTATGGTGCACGCTAGGGAGGGTTTCAGGTTCAACTCGCTGTGCCCTGCACCGCTGAAGTGAGTTTTTCCTGCAACTCCGTTCTTATCTACATACTGATAATCCCAGCACTCCCCTCCTCCAGGACTGGCTTGGTGACGACGCTGAGAAGCGCCACCGCCGCGAGGTCCACTTCCCCACTGGCCGCTTCGGTGAGGCTGTTGAGCAGGCTCAGGCAGTCCTCTTCTTGGCCAGCGACGAGAGCAGCTTCGTCAACGGCACAGACTTCGTGGTCGATGGTGGTATGACCAAGTGCTACACAACGCCCACCGGTGCGCCCACCGAGGCACCAAAGAACAATGCCCGATAAGTTGGTCATCTACATGTGTTTTTTGGATGAGTAACGGAGGGCTTCCCTAGCATGGAGCATGGTCTCAGCGGCGGTCAATGTTCGGCCAGAACGGGTACTGCATTCACTAAGGTGGTAATGACTAGAATATAGAATTAAATCACACAAGTCGCACGCCTATTCTCGTGCACTCGAAGAAGTTCGCATAGAAGTCCACGGTACCCAGCTGACTCATGTGTCTGACATTCTTCTTAGACCAGCCACAGCCATAGGTCAAGTTCCTTGGTGCTTTGGTAATGGTGAAATTCGCCACTCAAGCCAAGGACACAGAATATATCGTCGTGGTTTTCGATTATTAGAATAGTTGAACAGAATTACTGTTGTGGAGTATATCATCGAAAGGCATATTGTTCGCTGGAAGAGAGGAGATGATGAGCTCATGGAAGTAGATTCTAGTCGGTACAGTCACTTTTCGCGATCGTGGGCCACCTACGGTCCGATCAAAATGCTTATTTGAGAACTAGAACAATTCATGGAATACCGTGATCGACATCCTCTCTCGGAGCCGACATGTAGCAACCCATGTAAAGGGTCGGGCAGTCCCATGACGAGGTAGACAGACAGACAGACAGACAGACAGACAGACATCGAAATATACGCAAACGGGCTTCAGGATGGAATCTTGTATGTTGACAGAGCTCACGCCCAGACGCAATTGTGACATTCTTATTCGGAACTTTTGCAGAGACGCAAAGAACATAGAGTCGATGCATCTCGTTTTCGGTTTGAACTCGGTTGGAGAAGTAAACGTATAATGTATGTAGCACAGACGGGAGAGAACATCTTAAGCGCGTGTTGACCTTTTGGGAGAATATAGTTTCAGCAGATGTGAGATCGAGGATCAGCCTTAGACGAGCAAGAAGACAACCTTATGGCTCGTACGGAAACACAGAACCGCAGCCCTCATAACACGATGGCCCTGTAATTTGGAAGAGGACTTAGCTGCTTGTAGAAGCCAGACCTTATGCTCGGTCGAGGCATTGATGAACATCATTCCCGGTCTTCTTCATATATAGGCATCTGGCTTCTCTTTTTTCGACCCGTCACAAAAGCATGCTTCATTAGCAGCAAGATATTGGAGTACAATATCTGGTTGAGAAGAAGACTAGAGGTTGCTGACCCCGTTCAAAGTATCGTTCTTGTCCAAGGCATCATTCTTTCATACATGAGAGAAGCGATGACCAGGTCTCAGGATCATGCCTTCTCCACAAAAGAATTCTGAGCGCTGTGGTGCAGAGAAGAGAAGAGACAGATTTTCAGACGGAGTCATTAGCGCTCATAAGTTGAAGCGGATGCGAATCTGAACTGCGAGTTCAGAAGAACAATGAAAGCAGGTGTCGAATGGTGTGTAGTTGATGAACGAGGCCCATCGGAAATAGGCCTTAAATGGAAAGTCCTTCAAACACATCGGCGTACTTGTGCCGATTTGACCCACATGAGGCTCTGCGGTTGATGGGCGCTCCACAGCTTGAGCTACCCTGTTTTAAACCTGGAATAATTGTTAGCGCGTTTCTGCTTCCGTCATGTAGAGTCAAGTTCCGTGTTCATGCGACAGCGCATTTTACTCCTCGCTGTGCTCAACAGAAGCTGTTGTGCTTGCTCTGAGTGGAAGCAAGGGGACGCGGTACGGGTGAGGCTGCTCCACCCCATCAACCCAGTGAAAGTCGTGAAAACAAGAAGGAGTATCGGATCGCATCCGGAACTTCACGAGTCCTAGTGGTGCATAGCAGGGCCATTAGCATCCACAATTATGATGTCGATCCCATAACTTCCGAAAGATCGCAACACCAAATGTTTATACGACATCTGACGTCAAGAGCAAGCACTAGGTAAAATGCTTGTACGAACTTGGCAGCGTGCATGCGGCTCTGCAATTCTTCCTTCCTTCTTCTGGTACCCATATTCTGGAATTGGACGTTCATCTGTACTTTCTTTCTTGATCCTGATCTACGATGGCGCACAAACGTCGCGAACATGATTATGACTTCGAAGTACCCTGGCGACTCGTTGACAGCGACATTGCGCACGGCCTTGAAGATGACGAGGGTTCAGAACAACACAAGAGAAGGAGAAATCAAAAATCGCACAAGCAATCAATACGACACTACCGTCATGCAACGGGCAAATGGGGCGCTGCGCTTGAAAGCTTCAAGCCTATTTGGGTGCGTGATCCCAACATCCTAAGTGACAGTACTTTTCTAACAAGACTACAGTTCGCGATAGCAATCTCAACAGGCGGTCTTGGTCTGATCCTCGCCTCGCCCTTTCCCTACTCCGCACCCTGGCAACTGCGCCTAGCATCCGTTCTCTACGTCTTCGAAATCATCCTCTTCGCCGTCTTCCTCGGACTTACACTTGCCCGCTGGATAATATATCCACACGTTGCCGTCCGCCGCGCGCTCACAGATCCAGATGAACTGTGTTCCTACGCCATCCCGCCGATCGTGTTGATGACAATCGCTGCGCTGACGGCAACGCAAGTTTCAACAACAGCATGGGGTGGCCATGCGTTCACGCTAGTCGCGTATGTGCTGTGGTGGATTGGCATGTTTTGGATGTTCCTCACGGGTGTGGTGGTGATTGTAACGTGCATCTACACGGGAAACCAGATAGACCGCAGTATGACGCCTGTGCTGTTCATGGCGCCTGTGGGTCTCGCGACTGCGGGTGTGGAAGCTGGAAACATCGCAAATAACGCCGCTGAGATGAGCGCCAGGCTCGCGATCCCTATGATCGTTGTTGGCTACTTTGTAGTCGGCATTGCGCTGTTCATGGGTATTATCCTCTATACCCTGTTCTTCCATCGGTTGTTGGCTGCTGGGTTGAACCCACCGGCGCAAAGAGCTGGGTTGTTCATCCTGATCGGTGCGGCTGGCCAGTTGAGTTCTGCGTTTCAGATCTTGGGTACTGCGGCAATGACATACTTCCCGCAATATAAGCCGCAAAATACGAGTGCGACCTTTTGGGAACAGGAGACTGGTGCTGGGATCGACTATTCCGGATTGCTATTCGGGCTGCTTCTGCTTGGTTTCGACTACTTCACACTCTGCCTCGCGGTGGTCGGAGTTGCTGATGTCTTCGTAAAGAAGCAGTTCTCCTATACGCTGACGTGGTGGAGTGTGGTATTCCCGACAGTTACTTTGGTGACTGCGTGGCTGCAGTTAGGCAAGTCGATGGATTCGCCGACCTTCCGGGGCTTGACGGCTGCCTTGTATATGCTCGTCGTTGTTGTTTATGTCTTGAATTGGGTCGGCACGATTCGGGGTATAATTACTGGCGATTTGATTTGGGCCAAGAGCGAAGTGCAGAGGGAGGAAGGTATGATGAAGAAGGCGAAAGCCATGGAGAAGACGAGAGACAGTGGAGAAGTTTGAGCCGGCGTATAGTAGATTAAGCTCGTGCATCAAAGGTCATGTCCAATCCACATTTGTGAACGCGCATTGACATTTCTAGACGGCGTTGCTCGTGATCGTGTCCGATCAAATCTGCTCGGTACCCGGAACCTTTTCATAGCGAAGTGAAGGCCTGTACTGCATAGACTCGTTGGTGTAGTCGACTTTTGCGAGCTCAACAGAAGGTCGCATTAGACGCGCGTGGGTAGGATCGCTGATGTCCAGTGTCGCAAGCTTCTCTTCGGATCGCGTCACTGGAACAGTTCCTGTTGTGTTCGACCAAGTGCCCACACCCAAGCTTTCGTGTGCAAGTCGTTGTAGTTGTAGTGTTGATCCAGTTTGCCATTCGGCGTAGGCGTAGCGCAGTTTGTGATTGCGTTGAAACCACGGCAGCTTGAACAAGCCGGCAAAGATTGGCTCAAGCAGCATTGCTGCAAGCATCAAGAAGCCTCCCACGACAAGGATTATTCCGACCCCAAGAACACTGAACGAGTAGTGTTTCGAGCTTCGAGCTTTCTGCACGCGGATCATGTATTAGCAAGCTGTCTTCGGTCGAAATCAGGCTCTGTCAACATACCTGGCTGTAACAGGTCCTCCGGCAAGGCTCCCCCTCACAGAGGGTCCCTCCTCCAAGCCAAGACCCTCTGGCATAGTCAACGATGGAGTGCTGCATCGCAGCCAGAGTAGCCTGACCGACGTATTCCATCTCCTTCTGCCATTGATTTGAGGGCAATACTTTCGTTTGTATCGCTGTGTAGTTGTACCGTGGGTTGTAGGGAAACAAGGTCTGCCGCGCAAGCAGGGTTGGTACGCTTCTAGCCGTAAAGAATGATTGCATGCCTCCAGCGCCGTATGTCTGAAGTACGATTGAAAGTGGGCGTAGCGACATTCGATCCTGGGGGTTAGGGAAGACCCTTCGAAACGAAGCTTCGCCGGACACATACAAATCGAGGCAACCTTCCGGAGCTGGTAATTCCGGGTTGCAAAAGGTTCTCTCTGACACGCAGCCCAGCACTGCAGCAGGTTCGTCCGGAATGTACCACGTGCCGGCCCTGTCAGACGTTGTGGTCGCGGAAAACCATGGGTCATCCGTCCGGTTCATGTAGGCAACGCCCGATGGCACCAAGAAATACAAAGATGTTCTCGCTGTCGCCACCTGAAGCTGTGGTATGAAAGGTGCATCAAGGTACACATGATCCTCGGGGCTGGTGGATCGTTAGTACGCACTTGGATTTGTTTTTGCACCTTGACAACGGGGAAAGGGCCCGAAATATGGAACTTATAAGAATACTTACTAGACCTCGTAGTCACCCGTGCTGTCCGAAGTGTGCGATGTCGCGTTGTTCGCAATTTCGAAGGTATAATTGTACCAGCCTCCTCCGTAGTAATACCTTGTGAAGTTGACAAAGGAACGGTCTGGATCCACGGAGGAATTGGAGAAGCCGTTCGTAACCAGGGGCGCGCAATGCTCTTTTACTTGAACAGTCACGTGTGGCCCCGTATTCAAGCCGAAATGAGTATAGCTGTCAAGTGTTCCGGTGTCCAGTACCATGTTGCCAAACGGTTGTTTACACATGTCTGCTGCAAAGGGACAGGAAGCATTGCCGTCGAATTTGTACGGCAAAGCTGGAGTTGTCATAACCTTGCAACTGTCCGGTCTGTCGGCATCCCCAGTTTGGTAACACTGTGAAGCATAGGCTAGATTTTCAGCGGCTTTGCGGTTGAGGAAAGGCGTAATGTACTGCTGGCTCTCTCGATCGTCCATTTTTGGAAGGTCTTCATTGCAATCTCTTCCAACTAAGAGGATTTCATTGGCTGAGCTATTGGAGACTCTGGATGAGAATATACCTATTGCATATCTTTAGCATCTAGGACAAAAGCGGCAATGTGAATCTACCGCCAATACGTACCAGCAAATATGAAGCTGACCGCCAATGTTAAAGCTAACAACGTGGGCAACAGTAGCTTTCGAAACAGACTGGTTCCTCGTCGATGCCATGCGCGAAAGGCAAGTATGAGTTCAACAGCTGCATCAAGTGCGAGAGGCGTGTTTCTCAGTATTGCCTGCCGCTGGTGGTATACTCCTTCAGAGTGTCTGTCTGATGAGTATACAAAATGAAGTACACATCGAGTTATCTTCCAAAGACTACGACCGCTTGTACTGACGAACAAGGCAAGGAATGCAATGAGCAGACCTCCACGGTTGCGATCTAAAGTAAGAGTCGCACCTCGAACGCTATCAAACGATCGGTTTATCCAGAAGCCGAGATATATATCCTCATCAAGCGAACCTGGAATAGCATCCGTTGCCATACTCGTGACCTCAGAGTTGAACCCTCAATGTGCGAAAGAGATTCGAGGGCAGCGGAGCCAGGCGCTCATTTAATATAAAGCAAGAAATGATATGTTGGGGGCCGCATGTCAGCAGCCCCACAAGGAACATCCCTTAGCCTTGTGTGGTTGTGGCTGTTTCGTCAACCCTGCTCGGGCATTTGGCGCGCTGCAGTCCTGGGCGCCTAATGGGGTGCACGTTGAATTCCGGTATTATCTTGACCGCCATGAGCTCCGCAGGAACACTTTCTCGGCGAAGGGCTCAAAAGCGGTGGGGCGTCAAACTCTGCTGGAGGCTAGAATAGCAGCTGCTGACTTCAGCTTGATGCGAGATGCGTCGTTCTTCCTCTGACAGCAATGTTGTGATTTTAGAATGTGCTGGGTCATATAGATTTGATGCTGGCGTATCATGTACAATGAGTGGTAGGCGACCAGGATTGTTGTGGGGACACAGTAAGCCTCCTTTGGCCTTGGCAGCAATCCTTGCTCTTTTCCCAAGAAGCACAAGCTGTCGAACTTTCGATGAATGCAAGAAGAGCTCAGTCGTAAATAGCTGTCTGTCTGTCAAAATGTGGGGTTGTTTTTAGTCCGACCCGACATTTACAAGCTTAAGATCATCGAAGAGAAAGGAAGGTGTTAAGAAGTATGAAGTGGTGAATGGTGCTAGAAATAAAGGGAAACTATGCCTCTGTGCCTGGAAGAGTAGTAAATCAAGGCAGATGTGCCTGCCAAATTCTGCATCGGCGCTGACCACTGTTTGTTAAAGAGCATCGCTACTTTGGAGTCTCGTGTAACGAGCTGAAGGCCTCTTGTTGACGAATGTTTCAGTATCGATATGCGTGAGCTCATGCGAAGACAGTGTGAGTCGTGGGTGTCCGCGTTGACGAAGATCGAGGACGGCGAGAGTGTCTCCTGGGTCTATCACCGGTACCACATCCGTTGCTCCAGTCCAGGTGCCGGCACCTACACTCTCATGCGCTAATCGCTGCAACTGGAGCGTCGAACCAGCCTGCAACTCAGCATACGCATAATCGTAGTCCTCGTCATTTCTGAGTCGCCTAAACTTGAACAGAAAAGCCAGTATTTCATCAAGAAAGAATGCAAAAAGCACAATGATGCCGCAAACGGTTAGTATGATGGACATTCCTAGGACGCTGAAGGAGTAATGTCTCGAGCTACGAACTCTCTGCTAGACATGAACATCTCTGTCTAGACTTATCGTGTAGAGTAACGTACCTGACTGTAGCAAAGTCTTTCGCAGTCGCCTCGATCGCATAAGTCCCCGCCAAGCCACGATCCTCTTGCGTAGTCAACCAAAGAGTGTTGCATCGCTGCCAGATTGGCTTGGCTGAGATAAGGATATCTTCTTGCCACTGATTTGGAAGTAATGGTTTAGGTTGGTTCGCATAATTCGGGTTGAAAGTCACTGGTGGAACTCTGAGAGTTTATCTTGCGAGCAAGTTTAGTACGTTCCTAGCCTTGGAAAAAGCACTCATGCTCTGCGCACCAAACTGATGTAAAGTCATCGCTAAGGGACGCTAGTACTTCCGATCTTCGGTACTGTTCCATACTGTCATGAAGTCAGCTTCTTGTTTGGTATAGTCTTGATAGACTTCAACGCAGCCTTCTGGGCCAGGACGGTTGGGATTGCAGTACACTCTCTCAGTGGTACATCCGACCGTTGAAACAATGTGATCAGAAGCACAAGTACCATATTTGTTGAGGATTGTAGCTGAGAACCAGGGGTCTTCCGTTTTTTCCATGTAGTTGACGGACGGCGATACCAATAACAGCATGGTTGTAGCCGCATCGTCTACTGTGAAGTCGTCGATGAACGATATGCAGTGGCCGTAACGGGAGCCTATTTCGAGCTGGCTGACTGTGCTGAGCCGATTGTTAGTACGTGAGTCGAAGATGTCGACAAGCAGCGCTCATTTTGCACTAATGACTGCTGCAGCTGACAGATGGTATAACTCACTAGACTGCGTAGTTGCATCCGTAGCTTGAAGCTGAAGTGTTTGTGTCATCCCTGACCTCGAATGTCAAGTTTCTTCTCTAGCCCCGAGATGATACTTCAGAAAACCATCGGGAGATTGATCTGGTTCGACATCTAAGGGTGCGCAGTGATGCTTCACCCGCATAGTCAGAGGTGAGCCCTGATTCGGCCCAAGGTGTTTGTAGCCATCTAGCAGATCTGTTTCGATGACCAGATTGCCATGAGGTAACTTGCGCTTGTCCTTAGCAGGAAAGGGGCAAGGTGCGTTGGTTACAGTCGTGTAAGGTAGGGTTAGGGTGCTGAAATTCCGCATTCATTGGGCAATTACGACTTGTCTTTCCTTTGATAGCAGTGCTGTGCATATGCTAGGTGTTCGGCAGACTTTTGATTCAAGAAAAGGTGCGATGTACTCCCGTACAGCCTGGTTTGTAGACCTGAGAAAGGAGACGCCCATCAACTTGACGTTGCATTTGTCTCTCGGACCATAGATGAAGTCCGTCACGACTGGCTTGCAAGGATCCTTTGAAGTGTAAAAGACAGCGAATGAGTTTCCAGAAGCGCCGACCGCTTGCATTCACGTATAGAGCGAGAAACGCAATCCGTAGTCCGCCGCTTCTATGGCCGAGAGTTGATGTCGCTCCTTCTACTGTACCAACGGAGCGGTTGATCCAGAAGCCACGGTAGACGTCTGCATCGAGAGAGCTTGTGATGAGTCTGATGCTATTAAGTTCCGCTTCCATTCCTTGGGAAGAAGTATAGCAAGATGCTACAAGAAAGAGAAATTGAGGATTGCTGACGTCGAGGAAACAAGGCCGCATTGCACGATCAGGCTGGCGACCCTTTATCCCACATCCCTCAGCCAGATTACTCAGCCTGGCCCCTCAACCTTATCCGTCAGCCTGGCCCCTCAGTCTTCAGCCTGCAGTGCCAAGGGCACCGAGTTCTTTGAATGCGCTTGGCTGCATTCCTTGCACGCCGGGTTGTCATTGACTCTGGTCAGCAACGACGAAGGTCCTTGATGAGTGCTACATTGGGTCCATGTACTTGTAGATTTGAGAGCCGGGGCGCAACACAAGGTTCTCTAACAAAACACGAACAACTCACAAGGTGGACTGTGCCAGTGAAGAGACGGTTCGCCTTCATTGGTCAGTAGGCGCAACCGTTTGCTATGAAACGCGCTGAAGATGCTATGATCGTATTGCTGGCATATGGAGGTCGTCGCGTCCTTGCCAAAGATTGAAGAAGGGTCGAAGGTGTTGGAGGAAGAGATCACAAGCTGGGGAGGAGTACGCTTATCGAATGCGATTGGCGCGTTGTGGGGGAAAGCCGAGGCTCTCGTCTCCAGGTTCACATGTTGCCGCGAAGCAGCTCTTTGGTCACGCATCACCGCGTCTTGCATGATCCACGAGGTTCACATGTAAGGCGCATACGCGAGGTAGCTTCTGCGAAGGCCTCGTTCTCCAGATTACACCCACGAGCTTCCCAATAATCCAGAACACCACTCAGCGGAGCGCGAGCATTGAGTACATGGTGACGTTTGACACACCTACGCTACGAATGCCTCGCCTACGGTAGCCATGGCCGTCTTGTCGAAACCTTGGGCGAAGCAAGGCCTATCGGGCGCTTCGATCAAGTCGCTTGTAAACGAGTTCACCTCCCTCTATCTTCGAAATCGCACACGCATATCACGCGCCGTATACCTTACGCTCTTCGTCACCCTCATTAACCGCGTTCGCAATGCTATCGCCGAGCAAAAAGCAGCCTCGATACGGCGCGAAGCTCAACGCAGAACAGGGTCAGGGCCCAGTGAGGGTGAAGCAACTGGGCGAAAAAAGGTGGAATTGAACCGCGAGTTCTTTAAGAACTTGTTGCGGCTGCTGAAGATCTGTATACCCGGATGGAGGAGTAAGGAGTTCAGACTCATCATCAGTCATAGTGTCTTCTTGGTGCTGAGGACAATGATCAGTTTGTATGTCGCCGAGCTTGATGGAAGGCTCGTCAGTAGTCTGGTGCGGGGGAAAGGGAGCGAGTTCCTGAAAGGGCTTGTGTGGTGGATGACAGTCGCTATCCCGGCCACCTTCACAAACTCGATGGTACGTGGTCTCATGCTTCGAACGTAGGAATGAAGACGTGCAGGCAACTGACACGCGCAGCTCTCCTACCACCAATGCAAACTATCATTGCAATACCGCACACGACTCACGAATTACATCCACAACAAATACCTCTCGCACATGACCTTCTACACACTCTCTGCTCTCGACGACCGAATCAAAAATGCCGACCAGCTCATCACGGTAGATGTAGCCAAGTTCGCGAACAGTCTTGCGGAACTATACTCGAACCTAGCAAAGCCTGTGCTCGATATCATAGTATACAACTACTCGCTGTCACGGAGCGTAGGAGGAGAAGGTCTCTTCTTCATGAGCTTGCTCGTCCAGCTATCTGCGACCGTCATGCGCGCGCTCACTCCACCCTTTGGCAAATACGTCGCAGATGAAGCGAGACTCGAGGGCGAGTTCAGATTCCAGCACTCGCGGCTCATCGACTCCAGCGAAGAAGTGGCACTGTATCACGGCCATGAGGCGGAGAAAGACACACTGGACAAGGGTTACTTCACGCTTATCAAGCATGTCAACAGGATACTGAGAAGACGTCTATACCACGGTGTCATGGAGGACTTCGTGATCAAGTACTTCTGGGGTGCGCTGGGGCTTCTGCTCTGCAGTGTGCCTGTGTTCTTCCAGGTTCCCGGACAGAACGCAAAGAACATGGGCGACCGGACAGAAAGCTTCGTGACCAACCGTCGCATGCTACTCATGTCTTCTGATGCCTTCGGCCGCGTCATGTTCTCCTATAAAGAGATCACTGAGCTCGCCGGCTACACGTCGCGCGTGTCTACCCTGCTGGACGTCATCGACGACATCCAGGCTGGCCATTTCGAGAAGAAGCTCGTTTCATCCGCCGATACAGAAGAGAATGCTGCCGTACTACGCGGCCGCGGCACGATCACAGAAGGCGAAGACATCAAGTTCGTCGACGTGCCCATCGTGTCACCCAACGGCGACGTACTGGTGCGCAAGCTGTCATTCACCGTAAAGCCAGGCGATCATCTTCTCATCGTCGGTCCAAATGGCTGCGGAAAGTCGAGTTTGTTCCGCATCCTGGGCGGTTTGTGGCCTGTCTACGGTGGCACAGTACGCAAGCCACCTTTCGAAGACATATTCTACATCCCTCAACGCCCATACCTTTCTCGGGGAACATTGCGTCAACAGATCATTTACCCTGACAACTTGCGCGAGATGCGCGATAAGGGCATTACAGATGATGACCTATACAGCATCCTCGGTGTAGTCGAAATCGAATCCGTAGTCGACCGTCCAGGTGGTTGGGACGCTGAGCAGGAGTGGACAGATGTGCTATCCGGCGGCTTACAGCAGCGAGTCGCTATGGCACGATTGTTCTATCACCGACCTCGGTACGCGATCCTGGATGAGTGTACAAGCTCTGTAACGCTGGAGATCGAGAGGGTGATGTACGATGAGGCGAAGAGGCTAGGTATCACACTCATGACCGTCTCGCACAGGAGGAGTCTGTGGAAGTACCATGAGAAGATCTTGCAGTTCGATGGGCAAGGAAGGTATGTGTTCACAAAGCTGGACGCAGAGAGAAGGCTTGCGCTTGAAGAGTAAGTTGATTGATCCGACGTTCTGCAACTTTAGATGCTAATAAATTACAGCGAGAAGGAGGACATTGAGCTGCAGCTGCGAGCTGTCCCGGACATTGAGGAGAGGATTGCGGAACTGGAAGCCTCAATGTGACGACAGCGGTGAAGGGCCCGACGGATATGCAACCAGCCCAACCAGTACTTCTTAGCTTTCTGCTAGCTGTTCTTATGGACAGCATCAGAATGGTAGAGAATGACACAAGAATAGCAACTGATATGATGCATGTGAGAGTGAAGTAATTGCGGACAGCTAGATCCATGTCAAGTGGGGCCTCTCTGTATTAGCGCGCGCTAGTCGGCGAATCAAGTTTCCGTGTTCTCGAAGCTCAGACGCGTCTCCCTGCAACTCTCCACAAAACACAGCTCGAAGCTGCCGAGTCAACACGCAACTGCGTCCGGCAGCAGCCACACCACCATGTTGCAATTCAAGGTCGGCCAGAGGCTCGAGACAAACACCCATCGGACGGGCATTGTCAGATATGTTGGGCCTATACACGTCGCAGAGGGTACTTGGCTCGGCATCGACCTGCAAGAGCCCACAGGAAAGAACGATGGTTCTGTTCGCGGCGAGCGTTACTTCGACTGTCCGCCTCAGCATGGTCTCTTCGTGAAAGAGACAGATATCCTCCAAATTCTCTCGCAGCCAGCACCGAAAGCTGCAGCACCGAAGCCTAAAGCCGCTGCGCCTGCCCCGAGGTCACGACCCTCGAGCGTCGTTGCGCCTAGGCCAGCATCGACTCGACCTGCCAGCGTCACCTCCCCCCCGGCTGGCTCGAAGGCGCCCAGCCATACAAAGCGCCAGTCCGTTGCACCTGCTGCCCCTCGGACCCCACTACGAGGTCCAGCGCGCAAGCCCAGCGTTGCCAGTGCTTCCACCGCAGCCCCTTCCCCACCCCCTACACGACCTTCAGTCACCTCGAGACCAAGCACATCGTCAGTCACGTCGGCATCACAACCGCAAAACCCATTGAGGACGTCAACAAGAGATGGTAACGTTGATGCGTTACAGACGAAGATCAAGCATTTGGAGAAGCAACATTCGGAGGATCAGGCACGTCTGAAAGAGCTGTCGCAAGCAGAAAGTGAGCGCGACAAGTATCACGGGATCCTACAGAAGCTGCAGGCAAAATGTCAGACGTTTCACCAAGAGTCTCTAGACGCCAAGGAACAACTGAAGAAGGTCCAGGAAGACAATGAGCGGCTTACTAAGGAAGGGCAAGATCACGAGTTCGATCTGGAAGACGCCTTGCTTGAGAAGGAGATGGCGCAGGAGCGCGCCGAGCAAAATGAAAGTGAACTGGAGGCGCTACGTGCGAAGGTGGAAGAGCGGGATCTTGAGCTGGAGATTCTCCGGGAGGAAGCAGAAGCGTTTACTGCGGATATGTCCGAAGAAGAGAAGGAGCAGGCTGGCTACTACCGATTACAACACGAGAACGATCGTCTTCGTGAGGCGTTGATGCTGTTAAAAGAGGTCACCGAAGAAGAAGCGCACAATAACAAGGCTCGGATCGACGAGCTGGAAGAGGATTCTTCTCAACTGGAGACGTTACAAATGGAGCGCGAGACGTTGCAACATCAACTAGTCGAGGCTCAAGGCATCGCAGAGCATCTGAAAGCTCAGGTCAACGACAGGAATGAGTTGGAAGATGTTGTCGAAGAAATGTCAAGCAAGATCCAGGATCTTGAGAGCAGAGTACGGGACCAGGAACTTACAATAACAGACCTGGAAAGTTTGAAGGAACTGAACGAAGAATTACTGGATCAACAAGACGAGGAGACCAAAGAACTACGTGCGGAGTTCGAGACCAAGGAGATTGAGCTTGAACAGCTCGGTGAGCGTGCACTCGACCAAGCGGTGACTATTTCGGATCTGGAAGAAACGAACACGAAGTTCAGGGACCTTGTTACCGAGCTGCTCGCGCAAATCAAGGAAGCCGAATCGACAAAAACAATGACAGAAGCCCAAGTCAAGGACACGACGGGCCGAATCAACGAAGTCATGGATGTCAACCGACGTCTCCGTGCTGCAGAAGTCAATGCAACAAGCAAAGAGATCACCTCAGAGCTCCGTCAACTCAAGGTCGACCAGACGACGGAGATGCTGGAAATTCTAAGCGAGACACAATCTCAAGAGTTCGGCAGAAGTGAGTCAATGCAGGCCTACTTCACAGCAAAGCGCATCACGTTCAAATCGTCTGTACTGAGCAACCTCTTGGCGAACGCAGACAAGCATGCAACTCACAAGGGCGGCGTTGAGGAAGCATCCTCGAAGCTGCTATCTATTGAGGCCAGCTACTACCTCGCAAACCTGAAGAGTGGAAGCAACCGTATTTCATCCGCGATGGCAGTGTCGACGCTACCACAGTTCGCAACATTTAGCCCTGCATATGCTGAGCTGGTCGCCGTCGAGAGGAACCTGGATCAAGGACTCGAGGCACTCAAGGCCGATAGAGTCAATTTCTCGGAGATGGCAAAATCGTTTGGTGGCTCAACAGAAGTGTACAAAGCTGTTCTTGCTTCCCACCAGAAAGTGCTGGCAGAACGACCCGAAGACGAGACGATGTTGCGGGTTAGCTCGATTACCGCAAGCTTGACATACCTCGATTCTACCTGTACAGCCATGATCGCAATGCTGAAGTCCTGGGCGGCTACTAGCGAAGAGCTTGTAGATGAAGCACAGGCTGTTGTGGACCGCTTCGCAGCACCATCTGCGATCTGCAGCAAGAGCATGTTGGCTGCCACACGGTTGCAGAAGACGTGTAGCGATCGAAGGGGAGATGGTTTGTATCCTCAGTTTAATGGCGATCTTGGCTCGGTTATCGAAGCTGAAGAGTACCTCACCAAAGCTGCTCGCGATGCAGCTAAGTGGTCGCACACCGCCGTGGAAGTGTTGAGGCGATCAGTCGATCCCGACGGTACACTTGTGGAACCTGTTGACCTCAAGGATCTATTGGTGCCCTTCTGGACTGATCACTCGAGTAAGCTCGACAATCTTAGCTCTTCGCTGAACAGCTGGAACGAGTATGCTTTGCTGCTCAAAGACAGTGTTGAGATCCAGCACGGCCCTGCGCCCTGGACAGAGAAGGCGAAGGAGATCGAGGCAACCAGAAGACAGGTCGATGAAGCAGCTACCAAGCTCCAGTCGATTACCGCCGAGCATCAGGCGACGCTTCTGAAACTGCACGAGCGCGAACAAGTTATCGAGACCAAGGAACTAGAGATCGAACATTTAGCAGCCAAGAACCGCGAAGCCACGACCAAGAGCGAAGACGTCCAACGCCTGCAAGACGAGATCGAGGAAGCGCAGGCCGAGATCAAACAGTTGCAGAAGCAAGATAAAGTCCAGAAGCAAGAGATCGAGGACTTGAACAACAAGCTGGCACACGCCGCGCAATATGAGCCCACAGAGTCAGAGAAGGCGCCTGCTGCTGCAACACCCGGACCCGAACCTGCGGACGCGTCGTCACGCAGTGCGCCAGCAAGCCTGATGTCCCTCCTCGATGCCCTTCAGGTCGAAAACCGCTGGTTACGCCAGAAAAACCACAGCGACGCTTTCGGTGCGAAGCAGTTGGATCTCCTCAAGTCTATGCGACCTATCGAGAAGCGTGAAGCAAGCAAGCTGTCTGCTGCTACCGATAGTCTACTCAGCTTGGCTTGGTTGACAGATGACTTTGAACAGCCTGAGATGCTCACCAGCATCTCCAGTCAGCAGAATGATGCTGAGGCCAATATCAAGCACGATAAGCCTGCGCCTCTGACACGGACTCGTCGGTCTAGGAGAGCACCACTATCTTTGTCACCTCTCCAGACACAGCTCGAATCGATCAAGAACAATGGGCGCTTTGACTGGTCTGGTCTGGAAGATCTGAGCTTCGCAGACCTGTCGCCGACAGTGGAGCATTTTGATAGTGAGATGATGGGGTTGCTGCCATTGAAGAGTATCATGGCACTTTAACGGCTGTTAGCCGCTATGGTGATGGATGCATGGCTTCGGCATTGCAATGGAGTTACTTATTATGCGATATACCCCCATAGTGGCACGGTGTGCTGCTTGCATTGGATAGAGATTCGCGAATCTATCTGTGTTATCTATGTGTAGTACACATTCTAGACGTGGCCATGTTGGTTGTGATTAGTGTTATATGGACGTGGTTCTTGCGGCAATGAGGACGAAGCCCGGAGACGCATGGCTGACGTTGGAGTAGAAGAACAGGGAACAAGCGATACCGACGTACATCTCCTCGAGGCTCCCAACGATGATATCCTCTCTTCTCACAGCGCCATATCGTGAACCACAGGTTGTTGGGTCACAGAATGCGTGTACACAGCGATCTAGGGGTGTGGAGCTTTGCAGAAGCTGTCCTGTGGCAGACCCAATATTTGTGTCATTGGGCTGATTTACGCGGATCGATTGAGATTTTGTCAAGATCAGAAAGCTCATCCATGAGTTGCTTCACTGTAGGGTCCTGCCTGTCCAATCTAAGTGTTTGCTGCACGACAGTTGCGGCTTTCAGGTTATGTCGACCAGTAGGTCGTCCTTGAAGACTGCTGATGAAACTCCTGGGCGATCCATATCCTGGACCAGTGTTGCAGTCGAGTGAGCTGCCAAAGCGTCGGGAAGATGTCGACGTGCCATGTCAGGGGTGGCACTTGTGTTTGACCGATGCTGGAAAGGAAGTAGCTTTTCGCTGCGGGCCAGTCGAACTCTGACAAACCTTGGACCAGCCTCTCCGTCTTCTGTGATCCGTATCCAAGCCATATGTAGAAAAACATGGCTTTCGAGTAGATCTGGCGCATGATAACAATTTGTTCCCTCCGTTCGTCTATGTTGTTTTGATCGATGGAGATAGCGTTGATCCATAGTAGTGCAGTGTCTCCGTTGCTTCGCACAATAGGTATCTGCCCATTCACCGTTATAATCTTGGTGACTAACGAATTACCCCGGACATATGAGACTGCGGCATATGACGGTGGGTTATTCAAAGGCATAATCTCGAGTGTGCAGCAGATTGGTTGCTCGGATGACGATGCGGGCAGAATGCGTAGGACTCGAGTGTTGGCGCGACCTTCAGAGTTCGTTGTAGTTCGTTTCCAAGATGCCTACACAAAATTTCCTAGCGTCGCGAGCAGCTGGCGATGGATCGATTTGCTGTTCAAGAGTATGCAATATAATCTTTCGAAAACAACTCTGTTGTGAACGTTGACTTTCGGTATGTGAACATGGTGGTGTTGATGTCTGAGAGTGGCAATCACGATGCATATGGTCTGCTCCTTCCCCTTCTGACAGGCGTTCAGAGCCGCTGCCACTCCTCCTTGAATTGATTGATACATCTAACATGTTCTTGCAGTCTTGCTTCACAGGTTGATCTGTCGATCAGTAGCGTTCGCCAACCGCGATAAACTGCTCTGCATGCGCTCCATGATGTCGTGACCGAGAACTCTGAGACGCGAACACTCGTGTGATTCCCAGTTCCAATTCGTCCTCTTACTTGAAGCTGAATGATTGCTGCACTTAGACTTTCACGATACGGTATACGCATCTTCATCACTCGGTATTGTGGCAGGCAGATCCCGCGACGATCAAGCCGCAAGCCCGCTCGCCATGCGTGAGATCATCTCTCGTAGCCGGATGAGAAGATGAGCATATAAGCGCCACAAGGCTGCTGATGAGTTGTGGTAATTACTGCATGCAGCAATATGCGCGATGAGATAACAATCACCCGACCGGACAGTTGTCGTAACAAGCTCATCCATGCTTGCCATTCCGCTCGTTACCGCCCAATCTTTGCGCGGGTACCTGAACATCTTGATCAGTTCTTACGACTCGCGGCAGGCATTCCCAAACACATCGAAATTGCACTGGCCAGTCCGCTTCAAAGCAAGATCCATCCAATCTTGCAGCAAGAGTGACACCGAGGTTCAATGACGCCTTGTATTTGCCCTTGTCTTCCCCTCGTGGTCCGTGAGAACCTGCGAGCTTCATCTCCTCCAGCGTTGCACGTTCCAGCATGATGCTGGAACGAACTTGTACGCGAGGACACACAAAACGCGCCGATTTGAAGCCAGTTTGGCTCCCGGTAAGCGACCCAAACTTTGCCTTCGGGAGGACAATCGACTGACGCGATACTGGTGAGACTTGATGATTTGCGCGCAATGACACTATGTAGAATCAGAAGATGAGGCTGGCCGCTGCTAGCAAGCCGCCGAAAGAACATTGCGCTCAAACAGCGCCGGAGCGGACCTCGGAGACGCAATGACTTGCCAACTAGCACACCGCCGAAACGTCTTGACTCGCACCATTTCCGTGTCTGCAAAATGGCATGTTGCCAGGCCGGGACGTGCAGGGACGGCCCTGAACTTACCAGATCCCAGGATTGTCTTGTCGTTGATGCTCGTGTTGAAGCTAGTACCGGAGCAAAGCAACCGGGGCCCGCTTGTTCGCACGAAATGATGGTCTGAGGGGCATAAGGGCATGACGGACTACCAAAGTTAACAGGGCGATCACAGCTGTCGTGCCCGTGGCGACTGTGCGACTGAAGCAAGTGCCAGACATTGACGTGTCTCGCGGGCTTCTGGAAAGACCCTCATAACCTATAGCGCCTGGGTTAATCCTGGAGGTGAGACTCACCGCTATCGTGTCCATAACAACGGCGGTGGAGGTCAGGGGATGGTGGTCTATATGGTCGATCATAAAGAGCCGGAGATACAGTGCAGAGTCAAGCGTTCGGCGCAAGATGTTCGTGGCAGGTAACTGATCCTGAGGCTGCAGGTACGACGACAAGAGCGCGCGCAAAGATGCACATTGCAATGGATCTCCCTGCGCATTGAAGCCCTGGCAGCGACGGGCACAAAAAGTGGATACAATGCCCACGTTGTTGCTGTGCTCGTGCAGTGTGTGTTCCGCAAGAAGGCAGCGATTTGGAGTCTGGGTAATTCCGTAAAGCTGTCTTCTCGAAATCCTGTCTCCCAGGATTATCGCTGTAACGTTGGAGGTGTTGTGTGTGACGATCGCGTAGGGCGGGAATCGTCGAGATTCGACAGCTGCCAAAATCAAGGCTAGTGTACGCTGCGAGCGCCGGAGGAAAGCTTTCCTGAAAGCTACCTCTGACTTGGAAGGAGTTGATAGATGTCGTTGCGCAATATGTATACGAGAATCGAATAACTTTGTGGCTATTTTGAGCGCACGATACGATGTGAGGAGTTGCAGCGCGGTTCGGGTGACTCGCCCGCGTTGGGTGATGGACAGCCGCGCTAGACTGTTGACGTAACGGACAGACCTGCCTCCCGGGACAGACTTATCTCGACTTCAACCAAGACATCGTATGATTCTGCCGTCACTGAAGGAAGCACATCGAGTTGATGATGACCCGTTTTCTTGTTTTGCGGGAGCAGAGATCTGCATGGTGACGGTGTCACGATCTCTCGAATACGCCTCGTCTGTGGGGATGAGGCTGGGGATGGAAGCAGGTCGTGACGAGAGGACGAAAAAGCAAAACGGTTTTCATAACATGTATACGGATCAAGCGCAAGCTCCGAAGCCTCCGTCATGGCGCTCTGCAGCTCACCAGGGTGAGTAACCCGAATCACACCATAGACAGCCAGGAGGGAAACGAAAGTGAGGTGCGTGTGTTCAAATCGTTCTCCTTCAGTGACTTTTTGCTTTTTCGCGCCCTCGGCTGAAAAATCAAGAAGAGTAATTCCAGCGGGCGCGTGTCCCAACGCGTGGCTTGCATTAATCGTTTTGGTGCGGGAAGAATGCTTTTTGCTGTTTCCCCGGTCGTGCAACCGCATCCTTGGTTCGTTGATCGAACGATATGCGTTGCTTTTTAACGGCACGGGTGGTTCAAGCCATAGACGAGCATGCTAATCTGAACGTCTCTGTTGAACAGCATTTCTTATTGTGATACGTACGATAACAGCATGAATCGCATCTGCGTTGGGCGGCTTCAGGATTTATTGAGAAAGATTATCTGGACACCTATGACTTTTCACGGCGCAGGCTCGGGACAGAAAATGGCCCTTCGGGGGTTGGAGCGTTGATCATGGTCTCAGACATGGAGTGCTTCGCTGAATTGCGCCCACGAAGAGACCTTTGACGCTCAGTGAGCTGACGGGCGCCACATGTGGCCTTATCACAATGTATCATTCGTGTAGACAGTGGTGAAACGTTCGTGGCGACTCTATAGCCGATGAGCAGAGCTGCTGGCGAAGATGACCAGGAAGGAGCAGTCGTTATGCGGCATGCTTCGGCGCACTCGATGGAGCAAACCCGCAGAAGGTCCATGCCGACTTTGCACGATCGACGGCTCCTCTTTCCTCAACAGGGACACAGTGTGAGAGCGTGCATTGGATTATCGATCAGACGCCACTGAAGAACTTGACGCAGCTTCCCTGGCCGAGCAGAAGTACACCTCACCTTCGCTGTTCCACCTTCGCCGGGCTGGAGGTGCAGCCGCTCCTGTAGCTGACTTGAAAAATTGCAAAGATCAAGGAAGGTTGTAGATCATCTCACTGTGCTTTGCTTCGCTTCAGGAAGGTGGATCCACATGAAAGACCGGCTTCTGACTGCACAGCAACTGCCGATGGATGTCGGGTGTGTATTGGTGAAGCTGCAGGAATTGATTCAAGGAGCCGCACTGCTCTCCTTGCTATCACGGCACCAAGAGATTGCATTGCCTTGTTCAGTCAAATCAGTCCACAGGTCATGATGTGTAGACTGCATCCTTGCTATGAAGTCTAGCAAGTACAGTGGCCAGTGGTTGTCTTCACTGTGTTCCCACTCTCATACAAGAGAGGCGGTGAAGTCCGAAGCCATTGCTTGGGCAACTGTCGGCAGGATAGAACTACCTCTCCACATCAAGGGCCATACATACCAGCATTATATGTCCACATGCGCAGCAGGGCGACGGGAGATGCGCATAACCATAGTGATATCCATGGAGACGAGCATTGTGTCAGCATTGTCAGGCATGAACCAAGTGCCACTGCTGACGTGGATAGCAGATAGTATGCGCAGGCAACTGTTGTTGATGCATGGGCAGGCAGTTTGTAAATAACAGAGACCTTAGGCATCAGGCCCTAGGAAATGACAGCATGTGATATGACGGGGTCAGCATGGGTGATCCTCAGTATACTTTGATTGCATTGGGTATGCGAAGCTGCGACAGTGCTGAACTTGGCGGTGAAATTCATGCAAACAACTCATCAGATCCGTGGTTCACCCACTAGATCGAAACACGCGATTACTGGGATGTACCCTGGAGGAGAGTTCGAGAACATTGATCGATTGTTTTGTCGAAGCACCAAGTGCTATGCAGTAATCCTATTATAATACAGAGAAAGAAAGAAAGCGCCGAACCAAATAGCTGGTGGCGTAGGTAGACAAAGGTATTGAAAAGATGGCCACGCTGTGTAGCGAAAGCCGGAAAATGTCGCGACGCCGGTGTAAATGCTAGTGAACAATAACAACATCTCCAAGAACGCCGATTTAAAGGCCGTGATGATGATTTCGATGGCAACGCGCGCCAAACGGATAAAAGCCGCCTTGCTGATTCCAAGTATACATTATTGGCAACTGAGGCTAAGCCAAACAACGCCGGTAGAGATATGACAGTCGAGATTAGCTTTTGAGTCGTTATGTCGTGATGGTTGTGCTGGTCGAAGCGTGACACCCTCGCTCGTGGCGCTTCATGTTACTTCGCACGCTGAAGGCCTTGCCACATCCTGCCTGAGGGCACTTGTAAGGCTTCTCGCCAGTGTGGCTGTGACTGTGAATGCGCAGGCTGCTTGGCCGCGAGAAGGCCTTATTGCAGGTCGAACAGATGTATCGGTCCTGGGACTGAGGAAATGCGGACTGGCTGGATGTGCTGATGTAGTGGTGGTGTTGCCAGGGGTTTGTGCCAGTGGCCGAGACGGTGGGTTGGGGCATTGGCAGCGGCATTGTGGGTTGGTAGTTCGAAGGTAGCGGTCGTTGAGCATACATGCTGGCGTTGTTGTAGGAGTGCTGCTCAGGCGAGTAGAACGAGGTCGCTGATGCGTTACCTGGAGACGACTGGTAGGGCGACTGAGCGTACATTGAGCCGCTGTAGGGAGACATCGAGTGCGATGGGAGTGAGTCCCGCTTCATAGGTGGCATTGACGACAGGGCTTGACGCTGTTGGTGGGGCTCCATGTTGTTGAGCGATGCGCCCATAAAGTAAGCTGCTGAGGCAGCAGAGTGAGTAGAAGCAGAGGAGGGCGACCGTTGACCGTCGCCAGCAGCATCAGGGTGCATTGGTGGCGTAGGGGGAAGTGTCATTCGAGTGTTGCTTGTAACTGTTGGGGCTGCAACGTAGGTTGAAGGTTGCTGTGGCCTTTGCATTGTGCCAGTGTTCTGTTGTTGTTGCGTCTGTCTCAGCTGTGGCGAAGATGACTGTCTGTGTTGTGATTGAGGGCTCCCAGCGGCTACTTCCGTTAGAACCTGCGATGAGGAAGTCGCGGCGAGGTACTTACCAGCTTCTGAAGCAGGCTTCTCACCACCGGCAAATTCGAGGAGACTCGAAATTGAAGGCAGCGACAGCTTCTGCTCCTCTGCGGGTGGCGATGGCGGTGACTGAGGCCGTTGTCGCTGGTACTGGTACTCAACCTGCTGTGGGTGTGCGGTGTAGAGAGTGGGCGCAACAGTAGTCGACACGGGATACCCACGAGGCTGCGGTTGCTGGTAGTAGGCCGACTGCGGTGGATGCTGGAACGCCTCACGCTCCCGTACGCTGCCGTGTACCATGCTGGCAAGGTGCATTGCCATGGAGAAGGTTCAAGTCACGGGGCACAGTAGAGGCTGCGTAACGTTGAGGTACTTGGGTAGTAATGTTGGGGTTGGTGGAGGGTGATTAGGTGAAGAGTGAGCAAGTGATGACGAGATGGAAAGCACAATAGAGTGACGGGTAGTGGCAGATATGGTGCGCCAGGACTCCGGGCGGCCTGCAGTGCCTATGTAAGAGTAGCGAGCGGTTGGCGAGATTCAGCACGACGCCCGTTCACACTGTAGCGTCGTCAGTGGAGAGGCCCGCGGTGACCAAACCGTTGCCAACGAGGTGGGTCAGACAGCGGTCGACCCCAGTCCTGTCAAGTCCCTGTCGAAATTGCAAGAGCGGTCGACGAGGCGGCGGACCGTTGTGACAAGCAGCCAACCTCCCAGCACGGCTAGACGAACGCTGCCAGCCCTGCAACGGCAATGCAGATGACGGGTGAATTGGGACTAGGGCAGCGATGCGCACGCCTCCGTAACAATGCCTTGGCCGAGCGATCCGCCCACACATTCCAAACCAGCCAATCTGCGCACCACCGGCGAAGAGTCGCTTTTGGGCTGCTGGCACGGAGGCAGTGGAATGCTAGTAATGGCGCTGCAGGGGTGCCCGACTGCTGTTCCAGGACAGGCCGTGATGCACCGCAGATCGACCCTCGAGGACAATCTGTTTTGTAGGTGCGCTGATATTCGGCTGCAAGCACCCTGACTTCTGGAGTCGCTGCACACGCCGGCTGGGTCTGGCAGTGCTGGTGAAGGTCGTAGTCGTGCCTTCCCAGCGGAGCGGATCAACTACCTCCGGAAAGCAGTCACGCACCCGCGCCTGCAGTCAGTCGATAGTGACACAGCCCTCGAAGCTGTGCGTCGCCGACTGCTGCTGGTAGCTTCTTCGAGCGCTACGCGAGACGCCTTGGTGCTGGCGTGGGTGAAGGCGGTAGGGGTGGTTTGGTGTGGCCCTGCACAGTCCACTCGGACAGAGATCGATCGACAGCAGGCCTGCAAGTACCTGCTGCACGCTGAGCCGTGGAAATGTCGAGGCAGACGTGAGTGTCAGACCAGTCACCAGAGTCAGACGTGAAATACCCGGTCCCAGATTCGGAGACGCTTCGCCGGAGTCGTGAGTAAGGCCCCCGGAAAACCGCCGACAGGTTGCACCCTCTCGCAGACAGTGCCCGCCAGTGCCAGCCAGTGTGAGAACGACAGCGCCGCGAAAAGGGCGTCGAGACAAGCACGGGATGGGCTGACGAAGGATTACGCAGGGGGGATGGAACGGCAGACGCTGGGGTTCAGAAAGGGACAGACATGAGACGAAAGACCATTCTGCACGCTTTAAACATCCCAGCCGCCTCTCCTCTCATATCGCCTACACGCAAGCGGGCGGGCAATTCGTACCGTCGAGGGCGAGCGACGTTCACTAGGCACGATAGCACCATATCGTCCCGCGAAGGTTCGGTGGGATGAAGGGTGCGTGATTGGGGTGCGACCAAGGCGGCGCCTGCCAAACCTGTCTAATGTCGTTCCCGCTGGCGGCCTCACCGACCAAACACTGGCGCTGGAGCTCCTACCAAGCACCTTATCTGGCCACTCACTGGTCGACAATTCGCAAAGCCCTCTGCAAGCGATTAGAGAGCTCCTGCTCTGGTGATGCACATGGCGGCAGCCGCTGGCGAAGCGAGCAAGGGATGATGTGACGAAAATATTGAGAGGCGGTCATCAGCCGTCATTGTGCGCGCTCTCGTATCGTGCTGCAGAGAGCTCCATGGCTGTGTTACAGCCGCTGCTGCGACGAGCAGTAGCACTGGGCGCCCCGCTCTTGACTCGCAATCGAACAATCCCATGCCCTTCACCGTTGAGGTGCTGCCGGGCGGAGTGGAGGCTCTTCTCCATCAAGCATCCTCACCGTACCTTTGCTCGACGGCAAGCTCCTTCGACTAGCTACTTAGGCCGCGTGGTCTGCAGCAGTTTCAGAGCGAAGGCAAGCGCGGAAAAGCAGACAGCGACGGCTGGCCGGACGATGCCCTTTTACAGCAACCATGTCCGCCCCCCGTACGCGAGGTCCTCACGACGCCGCGAGGATGGATGGCGGCGTAATCCCATGTCTTGGCCTCGTTCGTCTGTGGAGGATCTTGAAGAAGAGGCGGGTCGATCAGTACAAGCGCATGCAGCTAAACCCTGAAGCCACGTTGGCTGCTGTCACCGTCTGCTCACTGTAGCCGACCTCCCGCTGTCCAACCACAAACCTCCACAGCCTCTTTCTTTGAGCGGCTTCGAGAAGCTCGCCACGTGAGTTGCATGCCACCACAGAGATCTTTTCTCAATCTGCACCGATTTGCGCAGCATGCCGAGCCGGAACAGCCTCGGAGCCATCACCCGCGTGCGATGTCCATCAGGGGCAGACTGCGCATCTACCGAAGGCCCGTCTACGGCGGCGGCACGTACGAGCCATCACATCCCTCTGAGATGGACTCGAGGATTTACCCAAACGGCGAAGTAGCTGTCTCACAACATAGCTCTGCTTTGTGTTACTCTCCAACCACGTGTCTATACCCTTCCAGAAGACGCAGAAAATTGTGTACGGTACGACGCAACCACGTCTTTCTGTGCTGCATACACGATATCACGAACATGAGAGTGCACGGACGTATGGGAGATGAACGGCCAGGGTCTTCGTTGATGGAAAATCTCCCACCTCGGACATGGTCACTCGCGCGATTCGCGGAGTTCCTACCACCACTACCCTGGATCTTGTGCCCGATGTGGGTATCGAATTTACCCGGCTTTTGGAAGGCACTGCTTCCACGACAATTCTCAGCAAAAGCGCTACAACAGTTGTTGAGTTTCTGTCACAATCGGCTCTCTCAAGATTCGACTGCATTTTGCAAGCCGTTTCGATGGACGTCATGCACCTGTATCGACTCTCTGTTTAGCCAGAGACCTGCATGATCTTCCGGCACAACGCTAAACAGGGACATTTCGTATCTTTCTAAGCGAACAAGAACACGCAGGGGTGTCGCTGCTTTGGCCGCTGCCTGATCCGTCATCCACGGGACACAACACAGTCTTGTGTTTGTGCCATCCTAGTGATCATCTCGGTCAGTTAATGTTACGAGTCGGCATGGCAGCGGCATCCCCACTAACATTGCCACCGAGGCTGTATCTCGTCAGCATGTGTATAGGTCGGTCGCTGGGATGTGGTGTCCTCTCAGAGAGCAACCGCAAATCGACCAGACTCATACAAAACAACATCGATTGTGTGCAATAACGCATCTTGAGCGTGACTGTGAAGGATCACTTGCACTCTTCCAGTTGCCGTTCAATGTCGAAAGGTATTCAAAGACTACAAGAACTAGAGCGCGCGCCTGCACTGATACAGGCACGGGAAAGTAATCTCAAACCAAGCTTGTTCCTATGGGCTCTGGTACTCGACGTCCTAGGACCACACCGTTCTGGAAGCATGTTCACCAAAACACAACTTCGATGAACCCGGTCATCACCTCATCTTCCACCGTCATCATTGTGGTCGATGACATGGCAGTATCAGTGACACTCGAAACGAGATCTTCATCGATTATTGAGTGCACTCTAGTGGTCGGGCAAATTTCAACGCTTCAGGAACTGCCGAAAGACTCGTTTCAGTCGCATGGCGAAAATCTGAAACACATCTTCTCCATAACACACGATTTAGACAACTGACAACGAATCGACTACTCAAATGATATTTCCGACTCCAAAGCGTTGGTTAGCAGCTGTCCTTCGAGATACCAATGCTGCATGCTGGCACCGAGCTTGGTCAGAAATGAACTTGCTCCGTTGTACTGTATTGGCGCAATGCGAAGCATCGTCGTAACTAGTGCGTTGGGTGTACTTTGGGCACGCAGTGTGAGTGAGGCGGAACAAACTAGATGGAATTGTGTTCAGTCCTGCAAGCAACACCTTGTAAAGAGGCCGTTTATTCCATCAGAACTCAAAGTTCCTCAATAACCGCAGCGGCTGGGGTACCCATATCAACCATCGCGCTATCTTACCGCCTCACGCAATATTCGATTTTTTCATACGCAACGTGCTGATTTGCATTCTTCAACAAAAGGCCCCAGTTCGAATCGGCTTTTCTGCACTGCGATTCGGAAGTCGGCGACATTGAATCCTTCGACAACGGCGCCGCCATTTGGCCGGTCCAGCAAGGCTGCGACACATCAGGACCTTGTCTCTTTCCTCAAAATCTCCGCGACGTGCGCGACTTTCCTCTGAAGGCCCCTGCGTAGCCGTGCGAAGACCATGTGGCTGCTGGGATGGCTTGCAATTTACCCAGACCATACGACCGTTCGCGCATCTTACATAGCAAATAGGCATTTGCGGCAAAGGCAGCCACCAATGTATCAAGATTGACCAGAGCCACAGGCGCCCACCATCTCATCTGACTGCAAGAGGATCTTGGGCCTGGAAGGAACGAGTCGGACGAGGCGCATCCTGTTCTGAGAGCGCTTGGCCAGCATCCATCGCGAAAATGAAAGTGGGTTGTAGGATCGCCAGGCCCTGGTCCATGTTCACCGTTTTGAGGTTATCCTCCGGGACCACTCCGCCACGACAAGGTCTCGAGAACGGCTGACGTAGATCCATCGCAGGTCCTGTCTGGCATTAACACCGAGATGTGCTCGGCTGACCACCAACACATCCTGCGAGTATCGGGCCAGGTCTCAGATCAATCGAAAACACACCATGGTCGCTTTGCCTGCTTCGATCACAGCTCAAGGTCATCGAGGTTGGTCCACTGATATGGAACGATCTGCCGGCCGTACGGGTATATCTCGTTCACCACGATACCCATGTCTTAGGGACGCGCCATTCTGCCATCTCCAAGGCCGTTAGGGAACTGATGAACAATATCACTGACACTCGGAACCAGAGCGGCTCGCTGGTCTGTCCGGTTTCAGCTGCCCTCACAACCCTTAAGATCCACCCGTGTGGCAGATATCGATAGTTCACTGGCCTTTCATGGTTCTCGGACGTCGCAAAAGCACACCAAGAACGGTCTTGCAACTCAGAGGAATCCTCGGTCGATCGTGATTTTCCACCCCCTGATGTGCTATCCCTTGCAATCTTCGCTCAGGTGCATCTCGGTCGCGAAAGCTTACCGAGCCAAAAGCAAGAGCAGTTTGGCGGTCTCGGCAGGCCGTATCCAGCCATGCTTCCACTCTAGCCTTCTTGAGACGTTCGGATGTCTCCACTCTCCACCAACGTCCGCGTCGGCCTGCCTCTGCTTCCCTGTCATCGCTGAAAAGGTCAAGCGCCATCTCCACTATGTGGATGAACGCAACAACGTTCCTTCGTCGACATTGGTTAAAGGTAACTCAGGCGCTATCGACACCTGCCGAAACGCTCAGGGTCTCTCGTCTCGACAAGCAAGCTCGATCTGGATCCGGCTACTCGTGGATGCAAATCGTAATGTGTTCAGCCCGGAGTACCTACAAGATGCGTACACTTGAAACAATAACCCGACTCATTGGTCCTGTCTCAAGCACAAGCATATGGTGTCGAGAGAGCCAATGCTGCTTTCGCAATGAAAATGAAGGCGCTGAACGCGGCAACACAGGCTTCTCGCAGACGCGTCTTATCGTACGACTTCTGCAGAAGGCTCAATTCTGCCGGGACATTTCCACCACTGAATTTGACCGAGCGATCTGACGCTCCTCTTGCACCAAGGGGTACGATCGTCGCCGATCATTACTGGACCAAGATTTACCGTTGCGCAGCGCGATGGATCCTGTATCCAGTCTTTCTTGCGATTTTTCAGTCGTAGCACGTGCAGAACAGGTCAAACGCCTACGTATCTCAGTGAGGGCGTAAGTCCAGGAGGTCATCTGGATGAGACGCTGAACTAGCTCACAGCTGTCCTCCAGTCAATAGCGCGGATCATATTGGCTTCGACGATGCGAGTGACTATGCAAACTACAGCACTTCATTTGCTGGAGAGCCTGTATGGGCGTCAAAGACCCTACGAGCCGGAACTACGCGCATTGGCACCTTATGTATTACTACAAAACAAAGTACAAAAGTGCCAGCTATACAATTCACTGGCGTTTTCGATCCGTAAATATATCAATTCGGCAGTCTTCCCGCCATCATCTGCACAGTCATCACATACTTACAGCGGTAAATCTACGGAAGTGCTTCGAATTTGGGCGTGCATCGACTTTGCGCATGCCCTTGCAAGGACGCAATTGAGGAACGGAGCTTACCTCGAGTTCTCGACAGATTTGCATCCGCTAGTTGTTCTTCCGAGACTACTGCTGTGGTGAATATTGGCTGCCAAACCTCTTTAACGCCGGATGATCAGGATGAAGGGGGGCCAGGATCTGGTGGGTCTCTGGGCACCCTACTCAATATCATCACAATTGTAAGTGGGCGCAGGGCATTACCTGGGTGTCGGGTCACTCAGCCCTTTCATCTTGAAGGGGGACGCAATGCATTATCGAGCATCTAATCATTCACAAGCTATCATATATGCCTGACGTGCACATTATGCAAATGCTCCAGACAGTGGATCTGCTTCACATCCTCTGAAGTGGCCCCCAATGCGCAAAATGAGGATGTGGGGTCTTGAGAGCTGCAAATGCCGCGGATCCGTGTCAGGTACTGTTGATATCGAATATGGGCCCTCAACACATGACGACATCCATACTTGAAGTTTGACGATAGGTTAACGGTTGTCAGGGATCGTCTACATGACGATGCCCTCAGGGTACCAAAACCTCCGGCCTTGATTCTACGCATGCGGTCCTGATGACGACATCAGTTGCATGGGCACTGCCTTGGAACCTCGCTGAATCTCAGTGAGATCAAGCTGGCCTATGCAAATGAGCAGAACTTAGATCTGGGAAAGCTAATCTCCGCTGACCAGATGTTGCAGGACTCGAGAGGCATCTACGCGTACATTTAAGCTCCGTCTTAAGCCAGCATGGACTGTGTCTTTCGAAATTGAACGACTATCGACCCCACAAACACAGCATCGATTGAGCTCCCCACAAATGACGTTCTATGTGGTATACGATCAGTCGCTTGCATGCATCCTGGATCCCAACGATGCACATTCCACATGTCAAAAATTGAGACGGGTTACACCCTTGTGCTCCAATATCAAGCTGCACAGCCAACAGCACAACAGGAATATCTGCAAGCATCGGTAGATGATCGCTTTCCACGCGCACATCCCAGGCGCTGATCGCGTGTGCCTGCCTTCGGTCTCGCAAACCCAGTAACTGAAGGCTGATACTGCCTTAGCCAATGCCTGCAAATGCCTAAATGGCTCCCGGCCCGGCCACGCATCGAGCGATCGGCTCACGTAAGAAGTCGAATCGAACTATCGAATGCACTCACCCAGGCGTTCTGTGCAGCTGAGCTGCAAAGGAGCCTGTACTGTCAGATGGGATTTTGGTGTCGCCGAAGCATGGTAGATTGCTGATGCCCACTGGACGGAAGATCTGCGTAAGACGGTGCGGGTGTGAATCGGGTACGGTGTACGCTCACCGTTGTATGCAATGCGACGCATGCACGTGAGTGACACCACGTGGAGGTTACCTTCAGCTCAGGAACAACGTCGGCCTTATGCTCTGTGATCATCGAGATTTGCATGAAGGTTGTTGACTTTCTGGGACATGTGTCACACTGAGCTGCAAAGCCGGTACCGTACGCAAGCGCTTGATAGGCGCCCGCTTTATAGGCACTGCGTGACGGCAATGCATCGGCATGTGCACCTTATGAGCCCTATCGCTGATCTCTGCCAGGTGGACATTGGATGTGAGTAGTCATCAAGCTCGAGTTGAAGTACATTCAATTCTGTTGACTACATGGGTACGATGAGCTACACCCCTGGCAAAGCTGACTAAGCGGGTGTAGGCGACACGCTGCCCTTCTCGCAACAGCGGCAAGCGATTGTGAGATGCAGTGGAGCCGTCACTGATATGTGATGTCCATGTTCGGATGAACATGTAGCTGATGTCTTTGTGGCTTTCTTGCAGAGTCGGAAACCAAATCCTATACGAGTCCAATCACCTCTATTTTGCGAACCAGAAAAAACAATCGAACGTATTCCGATAAATCGAAAAGCCATCTAGAGTATACTACTATCCTTTCGATATGATCAAACCACTGCAGTTATCTCAATCTTTATCGACACCAACCATCCCACAGCTAACCTTCCACAGTGCCCTCTTCCAACCCTCATTAAATGCCCAGGCCGCATACCCAGGCGCACCCATATCCATTGTAGGATCTCCCATCGGAGCAGGCGCCGGCTCAGCAACCGCACAATCCTCGAGATACTTCTCCATCCTCCCTCTCAGTTCTTTAGCAACCACAGCCTACACAGTTGTTGCGGCGCCTTGTTGAATGCTCTTGAAAGCTTTCTGAAACTCTGCATCAATCCGCCACATCGAGATACAGCTTCTGGCAGCGAGGCTTGGGGTCCGGTCCAGATTCCTCCATGCATGACGCTAAAACGTGAAGGTTGTTGGTGCTGTAGCGGCGTTCGATTTCGTTAGCCATGTAGATCGCCGCGAGTTTGGACTGTGCGTAGGCAGCAACAGGGTCGTATAGCTTGCTGACGAAGTTGATTTCGTCTGAGCTGGTGAAATCCAATGCGCTGCCGCGGTGGCTGACGGAGGACAGGCAGATGACGCGTGAGCCGAAGTCTGGGGTGGCGGAAGTGAGGAGCTTGGGCTTGAGGAGCTTGAATAGAAGGAAATGCGCGATGTGGTTGGTGCTGAACTGCGGTTCGAAGCCATCTGCTGTCTTGCCTTCGGGTGTCATCATGATGCCGGCGTTGGTGATGAAGATGTTAAGCTGACTGCTCTTCGACAGAAATTCTTTTGCACAGGCTCGAACACTAGCGAGAGAGTTCATGTCCAGCTCAAGGACCTCAAGTCAGCCAGGTCGAGATCGTCTTCCAAAGCTGCTCTGGCTTTTTCCGAGTTTCGAACGGCGCCGAAACATGCATACCAGTCGCTTTGAGAGCTCGGGCAGTTCCGATTCCGATGCCTTAGGAGACTCCGGTGAATAACACGACTTTGCCTTCCAGCTTGCCATCAGGTCGTTGTCTTTGACGATTTGCATAGCTGTGGGACGAGCATCGCCAGGCCCTCGAGGGCTCTGGTGTAGTTCGGCGTAAGAGGGCATGATATGAAGCAGAGTATTTATGATCGCTGACTGTTGAATCGGATGCGAGATATGAAGACTGGATTTGGTGGCTTCGTAGGTGATGATGTTGGAAGATGGTTCTGGTCGATGGAGCAGAGCCTGAAGAACTGCTCTATGCTTTCACATCCTCTCAACACCCCCAGCTCAGTGTCTCGTCAAACCGCTGCTCACCCTAACGCCATTGCAAAGTCCATTCTCATGCCATATGACGGCGCTTGGAGTGTGCGACTGGACAAAGATGTCATGATGGTGGACGAAATTTGACTGCGAATTCCCAACCACAGTTTCTGAGCTCGGCCGTATGGCAGCGACTCGAGGTGTTACACGGAGGTAGCGATTTTATTTGTAGTAGACAGAATGATAGCAGCACCTTTGTGACCCTACGGCGTACCTCCTCAAGGAGCAACTTTGGTGCTCCACTGACCCAGCAGGAGTTTCTCACTCTTTACGTTCTGTGTTAACTTATGTGTCCGAAATTATACTTCCTCATTGGGACTGGTGAGCGAAATACACTTGTCGAGGGAAACGAGGTGTCGTGATAGCTTCACGGGGTTCCAACCAAAGAATAGTGGGTACTTCATCTCCCAGAGAAGTGTCTTCTTTCACTTCTTGCGGTCATTCAGATGCCGTGCGTAGTATTTGAGCCAACCGCAGACATAAGCTGCGTTGATCCTGAGCTTCAAAGCTGGTGCGATAACCCCGCAAAGTATTTGAGCACAGTCAGATTCACTGATTAGGCTCAGTTGACGGTTGCGGACGTTCTCGATATTGCGTTCGATCACTTTAGATATCCGAAGCGGATTTTCGTGCTCTTCCTGGGACAAGATCGACCCTGCAACATAAGGCTCCCGGTCGATTTTTGGGCAGAGTCAGGTAGTTGACAAGGCGTTCCGTAGCGCTTTGTAGTCGGCATCATAGTTGAAAGCGATGATGTCGAGAAGGGAAAGGTTCAGAAGCGGTGCCTTAGAACAAGTACGAACGCTTTCAACCTGAGGCGGAATATACGGCGGTTGTGGTGAGCACATTTTGTGAATATGACGGGTGTGTGTGAGACGTGCAGGCTTTGAATGAACTGAGCAGCCCAGATCTAAGTACTGGTAGGTGGAGAGAACCGAGTTGCTGAACCGTGGTACAAACAGTATTGGATGAACCAGCTTATGTTTGACTCAAATTCCCTCTTGCCTAGACCCTACCAATAGCGGCCATATTTGGTACAGAGACAACAGAATATCGACAGCGTCCAGGGCCGCCAAAGTGAGTTCGTGGCTGCCATAGTACTATGCTCAGTCACGGCTCTTCAGGCTGTGGTTCGATATCAACTCCCACTGCATACATTCGCCTTTTTCAAGATGGACACCAAACATAATACCTTCTTACAACTTCCAGAGGAGCTCCTAATCAAGATTGCTCTTCATATCGACGGGGAAAACTGCAGTGACAGCCTCCGCAATCTAGCCCTTAGTCACAGTCATCTTCAACGCCTCGCTCACGAAGCACTCGTTCGAAACGCAATCATCCCGCGTCGCAGCATCCCAACGTTCATTGCACTTCTGTCTCAGCATCCGGATTGGATTGCTTTGATCAAACGATTCGAGCTGAGAGATTGCTCAGGCCACCGTCAAGAGTTTCAAAAACCGAATCCGGAGCTCTTGAGCATGTCCGAAAGCTTCTTGCGTTCGCTCATTGTACTCGATGGCGAAGTCACAGTGTCGCCAGAAGAGCTGTACACGCAGCTAGAAGTGTGCAAAGCATGGCATTTGCTCCTTCTCGCGGCTCTGCCGAATGCCAGAGAGTTATCCATGGGTCTACTGTCCTCACAGCATGGTATACATGGATCTTCTGTACAATTTCAACCCTTCGTACTTCATGGAGGATTCCAGATGAGGATGCTTTCGGGCGCTGCAATGGAGATGTTGCACGGCACTGGCAGACACTCCTGGATTTGCATCAAGCGCGCGGAGAACCTCAAAGTGCTGAAAATTGACGGACGACTGCTCACTCGGCTCAACGTAGATATCTGGACTTTTCCGCAAAGTATCGAAACATTGCAAGTATCTTGCGAATACTATAGTCGCCCATGGCTATGGGTAGCAGCACTACGTCGAGAGATTCAACAACGTCATTATTCACGCCTCGATAACCTGCAACGGCTGCAGTTGTTCTTTAAGGTCAAGCATATCCCGGAGCCGTATTGGGTGGCTAATGTGTGTTCCGAGGCTGAGGAAACGCTCAAGGCATGGGAGCACTCGGGTGTCTCTCTCGAGATTTCGTTCGTCTGATCGGAAAGTACTGGTGCCTCGCAATCCAACCATGGTGTATCTGACAGCGTCCTGGGTCTGTTCTTCGTATGCATCAAGAAAAGGCGCACACTGAAGCTCAGATCGAAGTTATAGCTTCCTTGGCAACTGTCGGTGTTTCTAGAAACGGCTAGAAAGCAAGGGCCCATAGCGAGGCGTATGCCAGGCAGTTTTCCCACAACAACCACGCCAGCTTTGAGAAGATGGGAATTAGAAGAAGTTTGAACATGCTACCATCTTTGGAGGATCGCCTGGGTGACCTGTAGTACTCCCAGCGACCACTCTACTGGATGCCGAATGTGTGGAGGATTTGGTAGCTGGGCATTGACTTTCCCGACAGTGCTAGGCATTTCGAGACTCGATTACTTTATGCATCTCCTCAGCTGTCTGCTGACTACTGATGTTGTGATTACTTCCACGGTATTTTTGATGATCACACCCATCAGCTCGGCAACGGCCAGCATTCCTAGCCGCAAGTACTTGTCAGGTATCGTCTGGGTGTGTATCGTGTCAGCATGACTGCCTTACCTCTGCATTGCAACGCGTTAGGTAGGCAACGGTATCCTCGATTCCCCACAGGCCTGTCGCATAGAGCATCAAAGCCGCACTTGTGCACATACCAGTCAGGGAAAGTCTCTAGTCTCTGTGGTAATTCGATCAAATGCTTGGAGATGGTGTCCAATAAGCTCTTGAGCTACAGACATGGAAGTATGAGACAGTATGACACCTTTACCTAGAACCACATGTAGCTGTCATGATGAAGATTCAGTCAAGCAGCTATTGCGTGAATATGAGGTCCGGAGTGTTCGTTATAGCAATGCGTACTCTCCAGCTCGCTGAGTACCTCCAAAGCCGATGTTCTTCAGGCCGTTCGTTTATCGGTCGATACCCTTTGTTGAATATCTCCTGAAGCCACTCCATCTCTCATTAAATGACCTGACTGCCTCACACTGCCTCTAGGATCCACGATTCCGCGTGACGCAGCTCCCTCATCGTCACCGTCCGTGCGGGGCTTGCGCCTGTCCTAGCTGCCCTAGCTCCATTTAAATAAACACGCCGCCGCCTTCCTCACTCACCTCACCTCACCACGGGGCCAGTCAGGTATCCCAACTTCTTAACAACAGCTCCTTTCGTCTATCACGTCTCGCTACGGCGTCGGCCGCCATGGCAAAGAAGCCTGCAGCTTCACAGCACTTCTGCGGTCGCTGCCCACAGACCTTCAACACTAGGCAGGCGCTCAACAAACACTTGCAGAACCACCCAGATAGTGAAGCGGCTGTTCTGAACTGTGCGGTCTGTAACTGGCCGTTCGACGACTCGCTTGACCTCGAGAAACACTCCATCACTACCGGTCATTCTCAAGCCACAATACTACCTCAAGAGTACGTTTGCAACAGGTGCTCTCAGAACTTTAGCACCCAGCGCGACTACAATTGTCACCGGGAGCTCGGAGAACCTTGTTGCGACGCTTTTCACGCCAGTGACTGGAAGAAAGGCCCTCGCCCGGGCTACATCGGTCCAGATAAGCCAAAGCTAGTTTCTAGGGAAGTCAAGGAACTAGCTTACGGCAGTGATTCGTCAGATTCACCAAGCGATATGAGCGAGGGCCGTGTTTGCTGCAAGCACTGCAGGAAAACCTTTGCATCTGAGTTCTCGCACGATTGTCACCTTCTTGGCTGCAAGCCGTTCAATTCGAAGCTGACCCCAGACTTGTCTCTGGAGATTCTTCGCGTCCGAGACCAGGACCAGTACCAGAATGTCGCTCAAGCTAAGCGTCACACGACGACGCTCGAAGTCATTGCCCCGCACATGACAAATTCGACGACTCTTGCCGATGCTTCGTGGCCTACGCCCCTCCAGACTGTCACGCTGAATACTAGTGCTCCAGTGTTCCGCCAGTCGCTTCCATTTCCAACAGCACCAAGGGATGCATCTTCAGCAAGAAGCTCGGGGATGTTTGTGTCCGCTCAGGCTCCAGCTCCTCTGAAAACGTCCATCACATCGTCTGCTGATACTGGCACTTTCGTCTGCAACATCAACGGATGTCAGCGAAGATACAACTCTGAGCCAGGCCTCAGGATGCACCAGACAGACGCGCACGGTGTCGGAGGTCAAGGTCTCGATCTGCATGGTAGAGACTCGTGGATGCTCGGGCAGCGCGAACGTGAGAGACTTCGAGCAGAAGGCCTTCTCAAGACCCCTACAGGCCCTTCTCGTGGTGGCAAGAGCAGCCGGGGTGGTAGTCGAGGTGGCCGCGCTGCACCGGCCCCAGTGGCGACTCGTGCGCCTCTTCCATCTGCTCCTGCCCAACGCACACCAGAGACCCACGGTCCCTATCATCAAGTGTTACATTACGCCGGCGCCAATGCACCTCCCCCTCTCCCTACAAGCCAGAACATCGGAGGCGCCTTAGAAATGGAGCAGGCCAAGTCCATATGTGGCAAAACGTTGCGTTTACTGCTCCAGACTGACATCTTCATCCATCACGATGGCAAGATGAGTGTTGGCGGCATCGACTGGACACGTATTGGGGTAGAGCGACAGTCTGCCGTTGTTGGCATGTTCGACGACATGTGCCATTTGCCTCGCAAGCTTCAGTCTCTCGAGTATGTGCCGGCTCCAAAGACGTTCATGGCTGAGTACACCGCGCAGTATCCTGTGACAGAGTTCGAAAGCGCGCCGGCCCGAAATCCCGCAAAGCCCGGTCTGGGTATCATCGCCATGGCTTGCAGCAAGATCACTCTCAGCAATAGGTGTCAGGAAGTTGTCAAGATTGCCGCCGTTGATGTCCTCACTTGCCGTGTGCTGATGAGCCACCTAGTGTGCACAGATCCAAACGCACAAGTCGCCAACTGGCACTCCTCTGTCACAGGCCTGACTAGTCTCAGGGACATGGAAGACGCTCGCCAGGCCGGCTACAGGGTCCTCAAGAGTTGGGCTGCGGCTCGCTCAGCTCTCTTCAAGTTCATCGACAGGGACACGATCATCATCGGCCACAACCTACGCTCTGAGCTGGACGCACTACGCATCATCCATGGTCGCGCCGTTGACATTGCCAAGGTTGTCGAGAAGGCCGCTCAAGGTCCGTTATCAAAGGCACAAGTCAGTCTTGATAGCTGGTGCCGGGACGTTGCGAACGTTGCGAGATTGAAGACGGACCCAGTGTTCGGACGTGATTGTGTCATGAGCGCCTTCGCAGCGCGTGAAATTGGACTGTGGGCCATCAAGAACCGGGAAAAGTTCGAGAATGTGGCTAAGCAGAAGACACAGGAGTACCAGATGGTGCTCAAGGCTTGAAAGTAGGATTGTGAAACGTTGGAAACAGGCAATCAGGAAGGAAGCAACCCAGAATTACGTGTAACGACGTCCAAGAGGCGAAAAGATAGTACAAGCTCAGTCCAAGTAATGCAAACGAAACCCAGAATGACCTACATATGACAATCGTAATGGTAATGGCGCGTCGACGACGTCCGCAGGTATACTTACTGACGACTGATCCTCAACCACGTGAAGCTTATTGAAGATCCCCAGGCTGCTTTGCGGTTTCCAGGTCGCTGCTCAAGGATACTGTTTCGTTGCCTCCTCCTTCTCCTCTTCCTCCTTCTCGATAGCATCAACGACGAACGCACCACCCAGCAGAATCGCCGGCTCATCAATACTATGATGCTCATAACTCAAGGTCCCCACACCACCAGCCTCCAAAATCAAACTCGGATTATCTTCCAACTTCTTCCCGATCCACCTTGCCGCAAATGCTCTCAGAATATGCCCATGCGCAACAATAAGCACGTCATTCGGCTTCCCATCCTTCCCAAACCTGCCCTTATGATACTTCTCCCGCAGCTCATGAATCAGCTCGTCCAACCTCTTCGTGACATCCTCGGGGCTCTCACCGCCCTCACACCCATCGCGCCAGATATCCCAGTCCTCGTTCAGCCCGCGCTGCTTACGCAGCGAACGCACTTCAGACGATTTGATGCCTTCATAGTCGCCGTAGTCCCACTCGCGCACGCTTTCGGTGATTTCAATCGAGGCGTTGGTGCGCACGTCGAGCGTGCTGGTAGGTTCCTTGCCAGACTGGGCAGGGTGGCCGTGCCACGGGTACCGGTCGCGGCAGCCGAGGTCGAGTAGTTCGAGGGTGCGTTGGGCGCGCGTGCGGGGAGACACGTAGCTGCTGCATGTTAGGGACAGTGCTCACGGTGTATATACTAGAGCGTGTTGAGTGATTGAGAGCTTACATATGCGCCAGATTGCTCGGGACGATGAGGCGGTCGTCGCCTACGAGCGCTTTACCGGTCGCGCGTACTCGCTTCTCGCCATTTTCTGTGAGGGGGATGTCCGATGTGCCTGTATGTCGTCCATTAAGCGACCATTCTGTCTCGCCATGACGAATGATGAAAACACGTGGGTCGGGCATGGTGGGGTGGAACTTGAACTAGAGGGGTCAATTGGTGTGACAAAGCGAATGATATGCGATCGTAAGGCTTTAGAGCAATGAAGTTTAAGGGTTCCAAAGTATATCAACATTAGTCTACATCTTGCTTCATGGAGAGCGCACTGCCGGAGGTCCCGCTAAAGTCCCGTATGTATGACGTTATTCTGCATGGGGATTTGATAAACGACGCGCAGCGGGGCAGATCAAAGCTACCACGCGTAGTAAGCTTTGGTCAGCTTCTTAAGATAGTATGGCCGAGGGCCACGCAAGATCACGAACGAAGCAATGCAAGTCGGTTTATTTGGGATTAATGCGTGTCAATTTGCTTTTCATTCTGGCCGAGGAGCTCCCCAAGCTAGAGTACAAGATCATAACAAGCCAAACCCACCTGCGCCGTGCTCACGTTTTCCGTTGCAAAGCGAGACGAGTCTTTCTTCCGAAAGACATTGTCCCATGTGTGTGACGTTTCGCGCAGGCATTCATACACAGTACCCATAGGACAAGCTTAGTTGTCCATGTAGGTGCTGGCATCGACACCCTTCTCAGGGAATTCGGGAAGGGAGACCTCGAAGCGCTCCTCGATCGACTTCAGAACAGCCTCATCTTCAGGGCTGCTGATGAAGGAGATACTGAGACCCTTGGTTCCGAAACGACCGGCACGACCGACACGGTGGAGGTAAGAATCGGCCTTATCGGGCATGTCGTAGTTAATAGCGACGTTGATACGCTCAACATCGATACCACGACCGAAGATGTCAGTGGACACGCAGATACGGGTCTGGAAGTCCTTGAACTCCTTGTAGCGTTTGATACTGTGTAACATTAGCATAAGAACCTTATACTTTGGTGTCTAGGCACATACCGCTCCTCCTGGCCAATACCAGAGTGAACTGCAGTACTGGGAAAGTTGCACTCGCGCAGAAGCTTGTCGAGCTCTGTGCATCGCAGTGTCGAGCGAACGAAGATGATAACCTGGTTGAACTCCAGCTCGTCAAGAAGGTCGTTGAGCTTTCTGTTCTTCTCACGCTCATCAAGCTTCATGTAGTATTGCTGCAGACCGTGGAGTGTCAACTTCTTCTCGTCATCGACGTAGATCTCGAGAGGGTTCTGCATGAATTTCTTGCAGGTCTCGCGGATCTCCTTCGCCAAGGTGGCTGAAAACATCATCACCTGCTTGTGGGCGGGTGTCGCGCGGAAGATGGACTGCACATCGTTGCGCATATCTGTATATATGTCAGGCAAGGTCGGTTATCGATTTGTTCATGTACTAACCAGGCTGGTCCAGCATCTTGTCGCACTCGTCAAGGACGAAGTGCTTCAGGTTGGAGAGGCGGAGATGCCTATCGCGGACGAGAGCGTTGATACGACCGGGTGTACCAACAATGATATGAGGGTGAGTCTCCTTGTTGCTGAGAAGCTCGATGTCCTTCTGAACGGGTGTTCCACCGTAGAAGACACCGACCTTAACATCGGGCAGGAACTTGGCGAAACGGTTGTACTCGTTCCTGATCTGGTAGGCCAGCTCACGAGTGTGGCACATGACCAGGATCGTGGCGACACCAGGCTCGGGCTTCTCGTCCATCTGCTGCAGGGTAGCAAGGACGAAGACGGCTGTCTTTCCGAGACCGGACTTGGCCTGGCAGAGAACATCGTTACCGAGGATGGCCTGAGGAATGGTAACTTGCTGGACTGTAGAGCACGAAGGCATGTCAGAACGGGTCTTAAAGCGGTCGCAACGAAGTGTGTAAAGGGAAGCGTCCGTCCATCAAGCGCAGTCGAAGTCCTCAACACGAGATAGCCTAGCCCTACGGAGGCCACGCAATCCAGACACCATCTCTTTCGAGCCCTCCTGGGGCACATGTCTGCCAAAACCAGTGCTCTCGTTCCAAAACGATATACTGGCAAAAAGCCTGCAGGCTTCTTTGTGTACAGGACCGATCTAATCGCGCCCAGATACAGCAGTCGGCTGGTAGCTCGTGTACAGTGGAAGGAGACTGGGTCCCTCACTACTTCGCTCGTGTGTAGACAAAACCATGGCCGCAGAAATGATACCGCTCGTTGCGCAAGTGGACGGACGCTTTCAGGTGGAAGAAGGCTGAGGGGAATTATTAGACTAACCCTCGGAAGGATGTTCGAAGCCACAGTCCGTGATTGCTCGCACGAGCTCGTCCTTGAGAAGGAAGTCGCGGAAACCGGTGGAGTGAATGCCGACATAGCTGCCCTTCTTGTCGCCAGCTGCGTCGCCAGCTGCGAGTCCACCCTTAGCTGCGGCTGCGGTGCCGTTGGCGGGCGCCTCCGTTGGCTGGATCTCCTCGTCGGAGTAGTCGATGAGGTCCTCCTCGTGAGACATGATGATTAGATATTGGTAGTAGTGGTAAGGTGAGGTTGGGGTCTGTGGTTGCGCGTGTCGCAAACAAGGCTGCCAAACAATGAAGTGGCAGCTGTGCGGTAGAGAAAGCCTCGAATGGTAGCAGTTGTAAAAAGAAAAGGATCAGCGGGCGGTTTGCTGATGCACGGCGTGACGCGACGGTGAGGATGGGGGGTGCTGTCGCAGGTGGTGGATGGGAAAGAGCGAGACGCAGCGGTTGGACCAAAAGCTTGGCGTGTCAAGCGCGCTAGTTGAGTAAGGAAGGAGCGTCCGTGCACAGGATTGAATCACAAAGCCGTCGCGAAGGTAACACTCACCACAACACTCGGCTTCATTTAAGGTTTCGAAGTAAAAGGAGTTCCGCTTTCGGCTTACTTCAAGGGACTGTAGTACATTTCATTCACACGAAAGCGCCTCCAGAGGTCCACGTCATTGTCCCACGGATATTGCAGTACTCGACACTACCGCCTTTTTGGCTGCACCTTTCGAAGTCACCCAACATGGCAAAAGACAAACCTCCAAAGCCCAAAGGCGTCCCAAACAAGCATTTGCACGCGCGGACTACCTTCCTTTATCAGGCTGCTACCTACTTGACTTTACATTCTTCGATCAACAAAAACGAATGTAGACCAAACGATGCAATACCATCAGAAACACATTCTATTCAACAGCCGTCACCTCTTGCCCTCCAGCTTGGTTCCGATCTCCATACTGTGTCTCGAAAGGCACAGCTTAGACTTTCCATTGATCTGAAGCGCTCTGTGTGCAAGAGCTGCAATGCAATACTGGTACCTGGGCATACGGCAACACAGATAACTGAGAATGTGAGCAAAGGCGGTAAAAAGCCGTGGGCAGATGTCTTGGTTGTTAGTTGCAATCGTTGTGGGAGCAAGAGAAGGATGCCCGTTGGCGCAAAGAGACAGCCGAAAAAGCGAGACCGATTCGCCGCCCCAGAAACCGCGACAACGAGCGATATGGAGGGTGTTGAAGCGACAACTCCTGTAGTGCACACAGCCACAGAGCAGAGTCCTAGCTCAGGCTGAAATTCCTTCGACTATTTCAACACCTGGCTCATTCTCGTCAGTGGTCCTAATATCGCGAACTGGCACAGAACCCAACGGTTCAAACCAGGATGAGCCACATGTCGCCTCCCAGATGTTGATCTACTTCCAGTCATACAGGAGGCTTTGACCGGAAGCGTTCTGATACCTTGCAGCTTCAAAGCTACAGCCAGGACTGATCGTCGCCTTACATCATGCTCAGGTATAGAGCATGAGCCTCCAGTCAGCGCGGAGATTTTCTCTCGTGAAACTGGAAAAGCCCGGAATAAGCAGTCGCTCTCGAACCCGCTATACGTTGAACGTGGATTTGACTTTCTCCAAGGCGTTCTATGAGACCATGGGAATTCTAGCATTGTTTGTCCCAAGTTGGACTTCGAGAAGCAAGACGTATTGCGCTGAGGAAATTATCCGTGCATCGTTCCATGAGAACTACATCTCGGTTTCAGGATAGGGCGGTTGAAAATTGGATCAGTGTGCGCAAGCATCAAATCTGGTCCCCATCAGCAAAGCTTGAAGGTTCCCAGTTCATACAATGCGACTGTCCGATGTTCCTGCTATTTATTGTGGCTTTCAGCCTACTTATTAACAAGGATTGCTTGAATCCCTTTCAACTATGAGAGCCATGCTTGTGTCCGGTCTTCTATATGACATGTTGAAAGCTAGTGTAGATTGAGTGGACTCAAACGAGGTGGGTCAGCTGTGCCTGAGTGAAAGAGCAAGATGTGCAGTGGACCACGTTGTAGTGTGGGGTTTCAATCGACCCTTGCAGGGATGATGCGCTAGGTGACGGCCCCGAACAGGGGTTCGCTCGATACAACCCGCGCCGAAGTGTTCCACATTGCCATCGACGTAGCCTGCAACGCCTTGGACTGCCTGCTGCACTGCCGACATCGCCATTGCGACTCAGCAGCATGTCTGAGGATGCAGCCGTGGAGTCTGCGTCGGGCTTGCCCTCAGACACATTACCAGAGCTGGTAGGCTGAGGTATTCCCCGAGCTTCGAGAGCTCATTGCTAAGCACATGCGGAATGCAGATCCAAGATATCCTCGAGGACACACTGTCGAACATCGTCCTCCAGACGGCGCTATCATGCCACCGCTCTGAGAAGCTTCTTCGTATGCAGTCCGCTGCAACGCAAGCCGAGTCTATCGCCCTCGCAACCCTCGAGCCAGCCTCGCAGAAAGCCGGTGCGACCAGCCAGCCCGCAATTCCAGTCGCCGAAACGTCCGCTGCGAAGTACGAGAACGGCCGTGTCCTTCTCAAAGGCAATCCCCTCAAGACGACACCGGAGATTACATGTCCGCACTGCAAGCTGCCACGTTTGATGCACCCAATCATGGGCAAGGGTATGCAGAACCCAGATCTTACGAAGGAGTACTGCATGTTGTATCCTTGGGTTCAGCGATCAGGCCACGATGTCTACGGCAACCCGTTCCCCACCGACATGGCTAAGTCCAAGAAAGAGCGGGAGCTCATCAAACAGCAGCAAAAGAACGCCGACAAGGAGAGTGTCGGCACACCAGGCTCACAAGATACGGAGATGGCCGGCGACACCAAAGAGATCAAGCTCAACACTGGCGGCAAGCCCGCCTCATACATCCCGTGGCACACCTGCCCGAACTGCAAGCGTTCGTTGCTCATTACGCGCTTCGCACAACACTTGGAGAAATGCCTCGGCATTTCAGGGCGTCAATCAAGTCGGAATGCCATGGCCAAACTGGCAGGTCAGAACGGCACAGGTTCAGGTCTCGGCAATACACCGCTCGGCAGCCGCATGGGCACGCCCAACCCAGGCTCACAAGGCGACTCTTTAGGTCTCAAAGCTAAGGGCAAGGGCATCAGTCCTGTGAAGAGACTTGTGCAGGGCGATGACGACGCAGACGAGCTGGGAGACGACACACCCGAGCGCAAGAAGAAAAAGAAGAGTTCGTACATAAAGAAAGCGGACCGCGAAAAGGGTGGGAGTTCTGGGAGTTTAAAGGTCAAAATCAAGACAGGTAGACCTGAGACTGAACGCAAAGCTAGCGAAACAAGCGAACGAAGTGAGGGCAAACGGGAGAGGGAAGGCGACGAGGGTGAAGAGCCGCGGAAGAAGAAGATCAAGCTCAGTTTGGGAGGAAAAGAGAGGGCGAGTGCCAGTGTGGAACCTGGGGACTGAAAGGCTTCCGGGTGCAGGGTGTACAATACTTGGATGGAGGGCATCAACAGGCGTATTGACATTTCAAGGGTGGGGATACCATAACGGACAGGCGGTCGACAACGACCAGGGGCGTTTCAATCTATTCTGTTTCTTCAAAGGTCAACAAGCACCTTCCAAAGTGCAATGCAAAGGAATGAGAGGATGTATCAAGACTATCGAGAACTCAATTGATGGTGCACATCGAGCTGGAGACCAGTTGCATTCATGTTTCGACCTCGTGAAGGGTTTTCCACATCGAAACTCTGTGATGCTGTCACATCATCGAATACTGTTTGCATCGAGAGTATAAGTAGAGAAGGCACTGCGCAAGGTTTATCGACAGTGTAAAAAGAACATTGGCACGCGATCAGAAGCGATCGCGAGCTCAAAAAGATGATTCGACCCAGACTTGAACTGGAGACCTTCAGTGATCCAACGGAATGTTAGACTGACGTGATAACCAACTACACCATCGAACCTTTTCTTATTTTTATAACTCTCTATATGACAATACTATATATGTACCATTTCTATTTTGCCCTGTGTACTAAGTAATGTTCGCTTCTGCCCCTCAATTTCGATTCCACCGCAGTCGGAACCCTGGATCTATGAATCTCCAAGTCACACCCACAACAACCAGAAAGGTTCGATGCTGCGCTTGGTTAACACGTCAGTCTAGCATTCTGTTGGATCACTGAAGGTCTCCAGTCTAGGCGTGCCCTGCGGGCGGCCGCAGGCTTCGCCTGCAAGCCACAGATCAATCATGAACTTCGAATGCTTCACCTCTTTTCTGCTTTCTGTCTTCATCGAACCTCACTCTGTCATTCTATACGTCAAGGCTTTGCGCGACGATGTACTTGTATGCCAGTAGACGGTACCTATGGTAGCTGAGGTCAAGGGCTGCTGCCTTGTCTTCCCTAGCAGATGCATTGCCACGCTCTATCGCTTGAGAACTCGACATATGCCAACGCTATCATCTGAATGCAATGCCGGGCTTAGCTTTTCTACCGAATGAACTACTTCACGATGTCTTCGCGTAAATCTACGACCCCAGCTATGGCAACACCTCAGACAGCTATCGTGCCTTCACTGGACTAGCAAGATCATGCCGGGCACTCGATTCCATCTCTACACAGTACTTATACGCTCGCTATGAAGGTCCACTCGAGCAGCCTGTTGCTGGCTTTCTCCGTCGCTTGGCCCACAACGATGACCTCTGCCACGGTCTGAAGCACATCAACATCCTAGAAAGCACAGGAAACGTCCGACAAGGGCGAGTCAGTAGAGAACTCGTAGCCAGCATAGCTCAACTTCCAGAACCATACCACTCAGCATGGGTGGACGAGGCTCGCAGCAACCTCGCTCTACGCAATGAGATCGAGCTTGCAATCCTGCTCTTCCGTGCTACGAATCAAGAAAGCATAACCATGGAGAAAGGTACCGAACGAGCAGAACGACCTTTCGAAGACCTAACTAAACCACCGCTCTGGCTCCGGACTCACGTGCATGCAGGTCCCCCATCGCGGTACCGCTCATATGCCCTACCACAACCTCCGCAGCCTAACCCTGGACCTGCAATACTGCAACCCCCCGTCCCTTACCCACATCTTCGCTCTCCCAGCGCTTCAGAGCTTCCACCTTCGGAACCTCCTCGATCACGCCTTCCTTGACTAGATCCGACAAGGCGGCGGCTTCGAAGATCTGAACACACACCCCATCCCTGCCCCTTGGCTCGTAGCTTCCACTCCACACTTCTCCATCACCTCGCTCGTGCAGGAGAACAAGGCTGCGTTTGCCTTAAACAATGAATAAGACGGAGACATCCGAAATCCGATTAGATTGAAGATTCGTTGGTGGCAGGTAGCGAGAAATTCGGCAGGATGCTCATGGTAGGCCTTGATGGTAGTTGTTACCTAGTTACCTAGTTGTGCGCCGCCTTGCATGACCTCCGGTCAGGCTATGGTAGGGGCCTGACGTAGCCGAGTAGCACTCAAGAACGCTGTCAGTGGCCCTCGCATCCGTGAATGCGTACTCGGCATGCAGCTAGTAGATGGCGACCCGGTGAATTCTGCCTTTCGTGCTGCCCAAAACGCTGGCTTGAGGCTTTCAAGCATTTCAGTAATACCAAAAGCTTGGGACTATTACGGTGCATCTCACAACCTTCTCTAAAGCCTAAAATAAATCTGTGTCTTTGATGTTGCTTTGCAAGTCAGGTCGAAAGTGCAACCTGGAGGTAGTCAGACTTCTGGCACCACGGAGGGTACGAGGAGCCCAGTTTCTCTCCACCAAAACCCCACCTCTTCCATATAGGGGCAGTCTCGTTTTGAAGCGGGAGCTGAGGGACCAAACGCTTCGGACTGATGTAACTTCGTATGCTGTGAGTGGAAGGTTCGGATTGAGATGGCGACGCGGTTCGACGTATGCGGATGGACGAGACTGGGAGAGGAGAAACGTTGAGGTTCTGCAATTATTGTTATGACCTTCAGATTGTGCCGATTGTTAGCGCATTCACAATACTAGTCAAGTCATTGGGCTCGGGTAGGGGGTTTTAAGTAAGGCTGTCTTACCATTTTGTGCAGGACCCAAGAATAAAGAAGAAGCAGCCAGACACATGGCTCAGTTACAAAAAGCCCTCCCTTTTCTGGTAAGAGTATGTCTCGAGGCTGCATGGAAGCCACGAGGAACAGAACATGCATATGTCTGCACGTGAGAAGGCACAGTGCCACTACGGCGACTCACCACAGAAGTATACACACATCCCAAGGAGGGTATGACATTGACGAATGTTTTGATCATGTCTATGTCGTACACTACGCTAATATGCTAACCTCATTACGTCCAGGCCGTAACTCATGTCTATACCGTCATCTACTGGGTGGACTTGCTGAACTGCAACAGCCTCTTGATACCAACCTACACCAATGTTAGTGATCATTCAATACCTTCTACACAAAATAACAACTTACGATCCAGTCGCTGCCCTCATCTGTCTTGTTTGTCATGATGTCCGAGAATATCACGCCAGCCTGATCATATTGCCGAGCCTGAATGTTGCTTGCCAACTCGTTCAGCTGCTGGACGGTATCCGGCTTGACATCATTGTTGTTGAGGTGATCGAACAGGATGTTGAGACGCTTCTCGGTATCAATCACGTGTGCCTTGAATTTCTCAGGGGCTTTCGCCTTGACGCGCTGCATGTCCGCATTCAAAATGTCGTAGATCGGTTGAGAGCCTGCGGGGATGTGCGATCGATCGCCACGAGCTGTTTGGGGTTAGCAAAAGAACAATGATGTGTCATCGATTGCGACCTACGGTGCTTAGCTGCAGCGGGTGCAGCGGGTGCAGCGGCCGGTGGTGGCGCAGGACTGGAGCGAGAGTCAGGTCTTGGTGGTCCACCCTGGGGTAGTCCTCCAGATGGGGGAGCGGCACGAGGGGGTCCTTGAGGCGGACCTCTTGGTGGCGGCGGTGCTACTACTGCTGCTGGTGCTTGTTGAGCTGGCGAGGGAGCGTAAGGCGACGCTGCGGGTGTGAACTGGGTAGGTGGTGGTGCAATGTTTCGGGGCAGTGGCATGCCTCCGTATGCTGGGGCAGGGGAAGGCTGCGAACCCGGCGCCGGAGCATAGCGGTTCGATGCCGGTGCTGCCGAAGTTGGTGGAGCATACGGTGAAGCTCCACGCTGTACTGGAGGTTGCTGGGGAGGAGCAAAGCCAGTCGGTTGCACTGGGGCATAGGGGTTAGGCGCAGATGGGGAAGCACTCGACTGAGGCGGCGACATCACTCGCGGAGGTCCCTGAGGCGGCCCCTTAGGTGGAGGCGGAGGTGTTGGCCGTCCCTGCGGTGGACCTTGAGGTGTCGCGCCATATGCTGACTGCTGGTTAGGGAAAGGTGAGCCTACCGTGTTGAGAGGAGTTCCACGACGCGATGCTGGCTTGGGCGGACCGAAATCAGGGGTATCATTCCATGCAGGGATGTGACCACGGCTGACTGCAGGAACAGTGGACGTGGCGGGCATCCCGCCGAAGCCGCTGCGTGGAGGAGGTGGCAGCGAGGTTTGCTGAGTCTGACCATAGCCACCATATCCAGCTCCAGTCTGGGGAACGGAAGGCTGCGGTTGGCCAAAAGCATTAGGCGTAGGTAGGTATGGGTTGTTTCGAGCTGGTGCCTGCGACTGTGCTTGAGCTTGAGCCTGGTGTCCAAGTGGATTGATGGGTGCGTAAGGTGAGGCTGCTGGTGCAGGTGTTGATAGCGGATTCGATGGCGCATACGGATTCTGTTGGGCTGGTGTTGGAGTAGGAACAACGCGTGTAAGGCGATTACCAGTGGCGGGCTGCGATTGCCGTTGAGCAGACGCCTGTGGTGCAGCCTTCTGGGTTGCGCGCTTGACTCGGTCCTTCGCAACCTCGGCGGCAGGGTACTTCGCGGGAAGCAGATCCAGGTACTTCTCTGCGATAGCGAGCTGTCCGTGCGAAGACGCGATGTCAGCGTACTCGACATACTTCGCGTATAGAGGCTCAAGCTTCCAATCGGCGTCCTTCTGCTGCTCAGCGTCCCTGAAGTTGGTCACCTTACGGAACACTGTGACCTTCTCAATGAAATCTTGCAGCGACCTGGCATGGATTGAGAAGCTGTTGTCCTCCTCGGACTTCTCTAGACCAGCAGCTTCGTTCTCCTTGAGCTCTTGCGTCCAGTTGACAACAACCTTCTCGAGCTTGGAGCCAGCCAAGTAACAGAAGGATGCATCCTTGCGGTTAGATCCAGCTTCCTCTGAGATAGCCTCCTCCAGACGGTCACCCAGCGCCTCACAGAGATCGGGGAACTCTGACTGGTCCGCGAAAGTAGCAAGGGTAACCATGACTTCTTTCCAGTCCTTGAGATCGGCGTTGTATACAAGATCCCAGAGATTCTTGCCAACCACTGAAGCAAGCAGCCTGAGGTAGTTCGGTGCGTCGGACTGCCTCTTGAAGTACGCAGCTTGAGCCTTTGCGACACACTTCTCTCCGCCGCAAATAGCGACCATGAAAGCATCTGACAGACGGTTCTCCTTCAGACAAACATCAAGAGCGACGTCAAAGTTGCCGAGCATGAGAGCACGAGTGATCTTCTTGTCAGCGTCAGACTCCTCGCCCGTGTAGACTTGGAAGGGGTTGTTCGTCTTTGCACCCTTCGAAGCAGCAAGGTCGGATAGAAAGTTGCCCTCGTCCGTACCAGACTGGTCGAAAAAGGAGGCACCGTCATCAGCGCCGTTCGATTCGAGCTCTTTCTTCTCCTCTGCTGGCTCCTCCTCCTGTGTATCGGCAAATCCGAGGTATTCGACAAGTTTGCTTCGGGGGTTCTCTGACATCAAAGTCTCGATGACCGTCCAGTCGGCCTTCTCCTCCTCGGTAGCTGCCTCAGCAATCTTGTTCTCGCAGATGGCCGTGAGGTCACCCTGCTCCAACGCCTTGTCGAATTCCTGGCTGGCGTCACCAATCTGCGAATCTACAGCAAATGTAGAGATGGTGATCTTTGACTTGGAGTCATGAACACCAAATCGTACCAGCTTTCCACCGAAACCGAAAGCCACACCGGCCCTCCTCTTCAGCCACTTAGGGGGCGTCTTGAGTGAGAAAGATGCGCCCTGGGGCTCGACGTGTGTCTGCGAAAAGAAATCCTCGCCCTCTGGCGCCTGAGCAGCTGCCTTGCTCTGCTCTGTTGCAGCTCCAGTGTTCTGCAGGGTCTGAATCGCAATCTTGCCGTCGAACGATGCAGTAGCGAGTAGGTTCGGGTTTGATGGGTTGAATCGTGTCTGGAACGTCCAGTTTGTTACGACTGGGAACTCGCCCAACTGTTCGCCGCTGTGCGGGTTCCATGCGATTGTTCGGTTGTCCTTGCCGCAGGACAGCAGGATATCGCTATCCTGTGTACACCACGACAGGGACAGTACACCCTGGTCGTGCGCTTGGAGAGTCTTCTCGGGCGCGTTCGTATTGCGGAGGTCCCAGACCAGAACGAGAGGATTCTGGTCGGTAGGAATTGCTGTGACGAGCCTTGTGGGGACTTCGGGGTCCCATGACACAGCACTGACTGTTTTCCTGCCAAAGTGGTTCAATGTGAGCGTCTCCTTCTTCGCTCTGACATCCCAAACAGTAACAAAGCCTCCACTGCTTCCAGTCGCCAAAATGTGCGCAACCTTCTTGTTCCAGTCCAATGTGGTGTATTCATCAGGGTTCGCTCCAGCCTTGCCTAAACGGAAGGTCTTCGATTGATCGTCGAGATCGTGGATGTAAAGCTCGCCCTTCGCGCCTGCAGAGGCAAGAATGTTCGATCGGTAAGGGTTGAACTGGAGGGCTTGAATGGGTCCGGTGTGCTTGTCAATCTGCTCAATCTGAGCGTCTCTGTAGGTTGTCAGCACTGAATGTACCTATCAAATAGCAGGTCCCTCTCACCCTGCACCTGTCCGCAGCTTCTCTGCATCCCAAAGGACCAATGCGCCGCTGTCGAGGGCCCCCGCTATTATTCCCCTGGGGTACTGCTCGCTGGGTTGGCTCCAGGCAATGTCGTTGAATCTACAATGCACTCAGCTCCATGTTGGCATTTGCGAATAATCCTCAAGAAATACCTCGACTCCACATTTACTGTTGCAATAGGCTCAAGCTCTACTCCATGCTCGGAATCATCCAACCTGAGCTCCCAGAGCTCCAATTGTGTGTCGCCAGAGAAATCAGCATCGACAGCTCCAGACTTGGTTCCAGTAGCTATCAACGGCTGGGCTGGTCCCGGCGACCAAGCAAATGTTGCCGTCCGGGGTATTTCTCGTAGGCGGACCATGGTGGGCTGTGGTCGCACCGAAGCGGTCGAATAGTGAGCTGGGAAAGGAAAACCAAATCAATCGGAAACGGAGACTTTATGAGACGCTATGCTAAGAGGTACACGTGGAAGAAACGTCTCGAATTGTGTTGCAAGCGAAGTTGTTAGCAAGGCAACGGCATACTTGACCTCGAGCATCCACCACCTGTCCCTTCCATCATCAAGCGGGCTAGAAGCACGGGCCACTCGGCCCTTGCTTGATCCACGTGATATCGATTTTCTTACCAACGAGCACATTTGAGGTATACAGCTTTGCGCGCGAAACCATAATCCAACTTCAGCCGAGATGTCGAGCTTATCAGACGCGTCACGCCTGAAGGCAACGGTGTTTGTTGGCGGCCTCGACCAAGCAGTTACCCAGCAAACCCTTTTCCAGGCCTTCCTGCCATTTGGAGACATTGTCGAAGTCAACCTGCCGAAACCAGATCTGCCAAATTCGAACGAAACACATCGAGGCTTCGGCTATGTTGAGTTTGAGGCCGCTTCAGACGCCGCAGATGCAATCGACAACATGGACCGAAGCGAACTGTTCGGGCAGGTGATCAAAGTTGCAGCTGCCAAGCCGCAGAAAGATCACGCTGAAGGTCTGGGCAGCAAGACAGCTGTTTGGGAGCAGGTAAGGCCATCTACGTGTCGATAGCCCGATTACTTCCTTACTAACGACGTCAAGGAGGGCTGGCTGGCCAAGCATGCTGTGAGCGAGGAAGACCGTCAAGCCACTGAGCAACAGCAGGAGGAAGCCAACGGTCCAATGGATCCCATGCAAGGTCTGGAGGGGCTTGACGAGGCGGGCCCTAAGGCTGCTTGAGCGTGTGAAAATATTATTATGTTTCAGTCAGTCATGGCAGGCAAGGCGTTCGGGCGTACATCAAAGATGGGTTAAATGCACTGTGTCACTGCACCGAGCTGTATTCTTTTTGGCTGTTCTAAGTAGGGGTTTAAGATACCCATTTCGCTGCGAATCAAATGTCGTGTTGTGCCGAAGGCATGAATATGTGGTCTGCCAACCTCTTCGAAATCAAAGACAACATCGTGCCAGCCTCAATGGCCCCAGTGAAGAAGAACGATCGTACAGCACAAAGGAAACTCCGTGTTAGATTTCAGTTTTCGGTAACGGTCTACATGCCCAGTTGGTGTATACACAGAGCGCTTTCGCCCAGAAGTGTCCAATTTCGGTATCCCAGGAGTCTACTGCTCCTTACCCTGCCTCTTGAGGCGGAGAGTCTTGTCGACCCAGAGTTTCCTGCCGAGGGAGAAGAAGGCCATGACGACGGCAACGCTGTGAGAGATATCAGACCACTGAACTCCACACCCCGCATATCGCGAAAGAGGACTTACCCGAGGACAACGACTGCAAAGCAAGTTAGCAAACACTCAATTGCATTTTGGATAGTGGTTATGACGTACTCAATGGCCAAATCTCAGTGGGGACGTTCTTGAGCTGGCGCAGGCGCTGCGAGGCAGTGTGGGCTGTTGCATCGTCAATTCGGATCCTGCTGCGTGGTAGTTCAGCCAGTTGGCTTACCGCCCTGCTCCTGCTTCTATTGATACCATTAGCGTATACTCTACACAAGTGTGGGGAGGTACAGAGGGCATACGGGGACGGGACTGCGCAACTGCAGTGTCTGGCGCACAAAGAGCTGGGGGCTCTGACGCATCGTCATCCTGGGCGTCTGGCGCATCATCATCATGGCCGAAGGGCGCATGGCCAGGGTGCGAGTAGCTTTGAACATGGTGATGGGTGGAGTGGAGAGTGGAGAGTCGTGGTGTTGCTGGATGTGCAGGCGGTGCCGTCACAGGAGCTTCACGCCTGAGAGCTCGTCAAGTCGGAGGTTGCATGTCCGGCAATCGCCGAGTCGCTAATTGGCTATGTGGAGTCAAAGCGCAATCAGCCCATCGCCATCCTCACAACTTCACTAACGACTTGACGTCTACCACCAGCCATTGCCGCCACACCACCCCTCTCCACTCCACCAAAACCACCGCAATCATGTCCGACAACGAGAATGGAGATGAGATGGTCACGAAGCCCTTCAAGTTCGTAACTGGTACGCCGCCCCGGGCTCCCGCACAGCTTCTTTGAGACTGCAAGCTAACCTCACTCCACAGCTGGTATGACGACCCCCGAGCTCCCGCGGCACCCCGCACGTGCACAATGCCATCCCTCCCGAGCTTTTGAACCTGCGACAGGCCACACAGTATGCTGACTAGCTTCACGCGCCACAGGCTTCGATGCCCGCTTCCCCAACCAGAACCAGACCAAGCACTGCTGGCAGAACTACGTCGACTACCACAAGTGCATCATCGCCAAGGGCGAGGATTTTGCTCCCTGCCGCCAGGTGCGCCTCAATTCGTTCCATGGACGGAGGAGGCATGTGCTAATGCTTTGCAGTTCATGCTGGCCTACAAGTCGCTCTGCCCTAGCGGCTGGACCGCACGATGGGATGACCAGCGTGAGGCCGGCAACTTCCCCGTCAATCTCGACCAGTAAACAGCTTGCTACGGCGAAGCTTGTGCACAGAGATGTAAAGAGGTGGGGAGGAGTGGATCACAGTCTGGCATATGCACCTCAGTACTTTAACCATATCGATCGACACCAATGCAGCTTTGATTCCACAATCACCCTCCTCAGCTAGCATCTGTGACTCTGATCATTGACTCCATACAGAGAATCCACTAAGAACAAGAAGGGTAAATGACAGGGCCCATCAGCTCCTCTCGCTACATGTACCTGGGCATAAGTTTCGGTATCAAACCAGCAGCACCTTCAAAATTCACAGGACATCTTCTTTTGATTATTTCCCTCTGTTTGCGACACAACCCAGGGGACCCATGTCTTCCTCCTGTCCTCCAGATGTCGTTACCCCCTACAGTCCTTGTTACACCAGCTCCGAGGACAATAATATCCATACTCGCCTTGCCGGCCGCGCCTGGTGCAAAGAACCGGTACGTTGCAGGCTTCTCGAATGTTGTTCCTGCAGGGTTCTGCATCTGTTTCTGGAGCCTCCCACGTCATCTCGGTTACACATCACCGCCAGGAGCAGATGCCTTTTGGTATTACTTAGGTATGGCTTACATCCTGTTCCTTGCTGCCTTGATCTGCGTCAACATCAAGCATATGTCGAGAGCCCACGCAGACCCAATAGGAGGAGAGGACGAACCAGCAGTATAGCCATCAACCGCTCTATACCGAGTTCGACGGTCTCCGGCTGCGAGCACAGATCGACTCCCCCCGGGGCAGCAGAACAGTTACATCAGTGGAACGAGATTTCGAACAGTCACTCATTTCGAGCGAGCACTTATCGTCTTGCTTCAAAGACATAGCTTGCATCCAATCAGAACTTTCTCAGACCGTCAAGAATTGTGCTCAATGAGCGTAAACATTAAAGCTGCAAGGCCCGTACCATGGTCAAGGCTTCGGCTTCAGACCGTCTGCATTTTGAAAGCCCCAGCACAATTCCCTCCAACAATTTCTATTCCCTTACATCTCGAATGCACACTACTCACACAAGGTTATATATAAAAAAGGTTTCTGCCAACGCCCCTCTCGCAACAATGTCTCAACCAAGACACGACAGTTTCGACATGCCTACAACCATCATCATGCTGCCTGACGAAGAGAACAACAGAACCGCCGGCCCACTGACAGTTGAATTCGGACTCGCTCCTAGACTTTACCTGTCTCCCGCCCACCCAAGAATCAGACGCTTGAGAAGACGTTACCATCACCGTTACTGTCGCAGTCGCTTTCACTTCCATTTCTACAAACACGATGCCGTTCTTGACATAGCAGGGCGTGCTATCGAGGGCTGCCGGCACATCGTTCAAGCAGCATTCTTCGTTTGTGTTACCTTCCAACAATATCTTTGCGGATACGAAACATCATTCACAGGGGCAGGAGGATATAGGTCGGCAGTCTCTGTGGTATACGTACTGTTTCTCGCTGACGTCGTTGTCGTGAGCTAGCGAAGGCAGACGCGGTTGCGTAAGACCAAACTGGAAACACAAGGGAATGTTCGAGATATCTGACCCGGACAGCTGAAATCGCTGCACACGCTTCACCAAATCATGTGCTCGACCAAGAACATCAATATCCGGTACTCCGAGAACGGAGTACCAATGCTTCTTGAGCTGGGGTGATCTAAAGGAATGCTCGCGCGGGTCGCTCCAGCGTTGTACAAATCGATGGCCAAGCATATTATATGAACGTTGAACAGGCGCATTTCACGTCTCCAAGCCAGTGTTCCAGAAATATTCATCAGGAGCCGCACGTTCCACAAGAGTCGCAGTATGTGCCGATATACGCAAACTGGACTGTAGCAGTACACAATGTCGCTTTTCGTGTAATTGCAACTATGAGTTTGCAGACCAGGGCGCAAGAAGAACGTCTATAAGAAGATTAACAACTCCGAAGATCAAAGCGAGTCTATCTTACTGGCTTCACCTTAACACAAGGCCTCAGTCTACATTATCACTTCCAAGGTTCAACATGCGTCAAAAGACATTTCTTATCGGCCTCGCTACGCTGGCAACCACTGCCACCGTTGTAGCGATCCCAACTCAGGTGCCGACTGATGCACCGATCGGCCTTCCTATCGGTGCTCCAACCAATTCCGACAACGTTACTTTCGAAGCCCAGGTCTGCCCAAGGGGGAAACGAATCACTTGGCAAGGAGGAGCTGTGAGAAGAGCTGGGGCGGGGCGTGCCTTCAGCGATTCTTGAATGGCGCTGGTGGCACTAGGCGCTGCTGCTTTGATACAGTTACCTCTTGGGAAGACGGTGGTGGTTGTTGGTGGCCCTTCGAGACTTACGAGTGCGCTTGCATCCGACACTGACGTGTTCTCGACTCAAGACGTATGTTCCGTTCGCCTAAGCATTGGATCTCGATACACGATGACTGTATCGATCAAGACGGTACCACAAGACGGTACCACAAGATGAGGCGAATATGGGCTTTCTTGAATGCTGTACGGAAAGAGGTTGGAGTTCCAACCTTCTTTAACTTTGAGAAGCAGACTTCAGCTGTCATTCTCTCAGATTAGCCTGATTCAAAATGGGTGTCTGGAGGCACTGGAGACGGATCAGTCATTACGAAAATCAACAGATTCCCTGTATCGATCATGGTCTACAAGACTAGCGATGTGTACGACACTTTAAGTCGTTGTCGCACACTGGATTTCGAACACCACTTCTCGCGATTTAAAACTTCCTGACATCCAAATTCCACGAATTCAATTGTACAGAGTCCACATGATCTCGCACATTTCTCAGATGATGGAAAGGTGCGGTACCCCTCTTACGTCTTTGTTACAAGTCCTTTTCCCACTTGTTGTACATTTCATTTAGCCTGTAACACACGGTACAAAAGACAAAGGTGATCAAGAAAAAGTGTGCAGACTTTTGTGAGGAGTTTGTCTGTCTTTACGGCAAAGCTTCCGATCATGGGAAGACACGAGCTGTACATTGGTGCTTAAACAGCATGCATGCAAAAAGCCTTGCAAGCTTATCGTTGGTCAAATTGCAACTCACTGGACAACTTCAGATGTCACTACTAATTGCAGAGTTAATGATCACCACTTTCCACTTCTTTTCACTTGAAGATAAGCTAAGGGTCATCCTACCTCGGATGAGAGCAACCCGTTCCTAAGTGCTGAGCATAACGAAGTCCAAGTAAGGTGATCTGGTTGAAGAAGGTTGTATGTCTATCGGGGAAATAAAGCACACGATCTCGATCCAACCATCCAGGGACTGGAGTCTGTTACTATTGGTACAATAATGCAACCGCGTTATCGCTAGCATGGTTCACTTGAATACTGTCCAATGTGATAACAACATTCCGCGGCAATCCATGGTAAAGGTCAGTGCCTGAACCAAAGTTCACTAAAATTCAAAGATAATCGCAAGTAACTGAGAAGGACTCTCGTTGCACATTCCTGTATCTTCCCCTCTTGTCAACCACTGAACGTCTTCCACATTCATCACGACGAATGGCCCTTACTCTTACTCGCTCACTCCACCATCCATTTGGATCGCCCATAGTTCATAGAGTATCGCTGATTGATTTTACATCCACGGTACGGGTCACGATGTCGCCATAACCATCGATCGAGGTTGGACCCTTGCCGCTGCTGCTGCTGCCTGCAAAGGATCACACAAGCTCATCAAACACTGCGCGATTTCTGGATAGGGGTACCACCGAAGAGGGGAAGAGATAGGTTGGGATAATCTATTCTTGAGTAATTTGCTGATGTGACAAACAGGTTCCATCTCTTTCTGTCATTGCCACTTCTACTGCCGCCTTCTCGCGATACGGATCGAGGGGTTAGATGAACGGAAGCATGGCACAACGCTTGTGTGATATACCCGATACCCTGGGATTTGACGCCCTGCGCTACCATGGCACATGCCGTCTTCGAATTTTCACCAGCATCATTGAGCTTCAAAAGCTGGTTGTGCCGCCACTGCAGTTGCTGCGGCCTCTACAAGATGACACGGACGATCGAAGCCCAACCACCACGATAGCAAAGTCCGTGTCCTGTTCACAAGAGAATCGCAGAGTTCGTCACGCTCTATCAGCGACCCACTGAACGACCGCAGCCTACCAAGATTGCCCTGCTCTTCTTGCGATACCGCTTCACCTTTGCCGCGGACATCTGGTGTATTTGGAAGCTCACCAGGCAGCAGTGAGTCATGACTCCTCATACCTTATCAATGTGATCACACTTGAATCACTCTAGCTCATATCGACGCGCCGTTGCTCACCACACGTTGCAAATGCGGTCACGGTGTCAGCAGACTTCGCGCTGCCTTGAGTCGCCAGCAAGTCACGCTGGTGACGCAGGATCTTCACTCTATCGGGAGCTGAAAGCTGGTTCCGTTGCTTGTCTGTCTTGCCATGCGGAACTGCCGTCTTCGCACTGTGGTGGTGTGGAGGTGACTCAGCCCCTGTGTAGCCGGAAGAAGTCGGCTTCCGTGGCCATTCCAGAAGGTCCAAAGGCCGACGGTGTGGCGATTCAAGACCATTCGCGGCCCTCCAGCAGGCAAAATCTGCACTTGTGCACGCAAGAGGCGCAAACCACTTATCGCTGGAGAATTTTCGGGCACACTTCATGTTCCCGAGGTTTGCACCCAATCACCCAACTGCAAGGGATGCGCAGTGCATCGGTGAAGAACAGGGCCACGCATGGCTCGTTTCGAGGGATCAAGTCCGGCACCAACAGCCTGTCGTTGAATGGGATTCGTTAGCCGGGTGCCGAGCAGAGCAGTGAGCTGGCAGCAGGAGATCATTGTCAGGGCCGTTTGCGTCAACCACGAATCGCACCGTGAAATGGGGGCATTCACGCAACGGCCGCACAGCAGACGGAGGATGCAAATGAAGAGTGTTGCATCTGCCTGGCGCAACACAGCTTGGACCGAGGGGTGTGTCTGGGTTTTGGCCCCTAATTGCGCCACAAAAGGCATGTTGACGCCGCCCAGGATGAGGCATTGTGCGTAAGTTTGCCAGGCTTAGCTGGCACGGTTGTTTCCAGCCAATCAGAGTAGATCTATAGTGAGGAGTGCATCACTTGGCGATCCATGCCTTGGGTTCGAAGCAACCAAGGGCCAAGCTGCTGTTGAACGTTGATCCCTGGATGAAAGGGAGAGGACAGGCTGGCAGTGCGATGCGAACGCGTGTTCCAGACGTCTGATGTATTCATGGCATGGAAAAAGGAGTCGCCGTGTGTTGCAGCGAGGCTTGGGTGCACACCAGGCCGCACCAGCCTCGCTGCGCTTGCTTGACACGGTCGCTCGCAGGCGCAGGCGCGGGCAGTGTCCGCTGCAAGCTGGCACTGAGGGCTGGCAAGGCAGGCTGAAGCGGCGATGGAGTGCATCGAGCGTCTCACCCCAACGCCTTGACAGCAGTGAACGAGTATTACAACCACGCTGCACCGTGAAGGCAAAGATAATTAACACGGCGGCGACATAGTGACATAGCTGCTCCAAATTATGGCAACACGATCCGAGGTCGTAGATGGCAAATTCGTACCCAGTGTTGCTCAAGGAAGGCGCGATGAGTCTGAAGGTGGTGGCAAGGGGGCCCGTGCGCACTGCCGTGATGACTGGGACGGGGAAGGCTGTGAGTCGGGGGCTGCCTATTAACTGGCTGTCTCCGCGCATCCGCCCTCCCTCATCAGAACAGCAGCAATGGACTTCACGATACCCTACAGCGAGCCTTCGGGCCCCCAATAGAGGAAGCAACAGCCTGTTGCCGTCTCTACTATCGCCAAATCCACTGTTGACTATTCGCCCCGTTTACTATCCTCCGTCCCGTCTTTGTCCAGGTAACAGCCAGCTTTGACCCCGTCGCCGCCACGCTGCCGCCTACCGCAAGGACTCATCGAGCAACCTATAGTCATTCACCTAACGACGAGGCTGCCTCATAAACCTCTTCTCCGCCACACGATAGTCTCTCGACTATTGCGCATAGCACCTACTCTCCGCTCACCCACCGACTCCCCGACTGCTACTTCCCTGTCCACGTCACCCAACATCACACCTCGGACAACATCAACACCTCCTATGCACATCAACCAATAATAATACTCCAAACACAACACACGCATTTCCGGTTCTATACCGCCGACATTCGAAGCTTCAGCTCGGTGACCACCATCCTACGGTAGTCGCCAACTCGAACACTTCTTACATCGACACCACCACCAGAACATAGCAATGCTTATCTCGGTCTACACTATTACTCCGGTCACTCGTCGCTCAGAATCTACCACTTTCGAAAACAAGGCCTTCTTCATCGGAGGTTTCGCCTGCTAGACTCCCGCACCACCTCGAACTTTTAGCCTTTGCGACAGCACCAGCTGTTACAGGAGCTACGTACTCGGAGTGCTTTGCGGACGGTCTCTCTCACAGGTCTTGTTAACGGTAACTTCTGCAGCTGACAGTGACTGGAGTACCCTCCGGTCCTGCAACTGGGCACCTTCGATCACATAACACCTGCTCGAAGAACACTTTCAATTGCGAACTCGTCACACAACCCACGCTTCGACGTGTACGATCTCGGCTTTGCTCTCTAACATTTCCCGGTTCTTGAAGACCGTCACATCACTTCGATCATATCACGACTTATCACGAGTCTTGTACGTTTGAGGAGAAATCGCGACCCGGAAAGATATCAAGAACTCGAAAGTGCACAAGACACTTCGAAATCACACGACGGAATCCAAGGTTATTCCGTACGGTTTGTCTAATCGGTAACTTCTCGGTCACCCCACGACCACCCGATCACGCCTTGCGCCACACCTCAAGGTCTACCTCACGGTCAGCACTTCGAGACGTAACGTCAAAGCCGAGTCACATCTCCACTCCCTCCTTACTTGTCCATTTGTTATAAGAGCGTTGCTTATTGTTTCCCTTGCCGTCAACATGAGCCTCGACTTCCACTTTCGCGACTCTGGCATCTCGCCAGAGAACAACCCCTACGCCTCTGCTCTTTCTTCATCAGCTTCCTCCTCTACCTCTTCAGTGTTCTCGGATGCCGCATCACAAGTATCCAGCACAAGCTCAACATCATGCCCCTCCAATTGGGAGTCAGATGAATGGAGCTCCAGCACGGGACAGATTGCTATGGCAACTGCTGTCAACTTCTCAAATGTAGCTGCACTTCAACCAATCAGCCGTGTCAGCACCTTCCCGCAGTACCAGGCCTCCGCTTGCCGAGAGACTGCACAGGAAAGGCTGCCATCGTTGCGTCAGGCTGAACTTATTGCACCAGTGGAGCAGCGACAGCACCCACGACGATCATCGACTACGATCAACCAGCGCGCTCCTCCTCAGTTAGTACGACAAAGCGACCGAAAGGTTAACTTCGTCGACTGCCTCGTCGGTTAGTTCCATCGATACCCTCGAACCCTCGTTCCCCCGCTGACTTGTTCCCTTGAAGATTCCGCAACCCAAATGGTTGAGGTTATCTGGCAGCTTTCTGAGCCCAAGAGCCGTTGCGAGACCATTGCTGGACGTGGTGTGCTTCCTCTGCGCACTTTCATCCAGGAGACTCTTCGCCGATCTCGTACCAGCTACTCTACTCTGCAGGTTGCCCTGTACTACTTGATCCTCATCAAGTCGCACCTGCCTAAGCATGACTTCACTATGCAGCAGCAATCAGAAGACGCTTCTATGCGTGCTTTGCAGTGCGGACGTCGCATGTTTCTTGCGGCACTCATTCTTGCCTCAAAGTACTTGCAGGACCGCAACTACTCCGCTCGCGCATGGAGCAAGATCTCTGGCCTCAAGGTCTGTGAGATCAACACCAACGAGATGGCCTTCCTGGAGGCTGTTAACTGGAAGCTCCACATCACCGATCCCGTATGGGAGAAGTGGCAGGAAGTTGTCCTACGACACACTCCTACCAACCCACCGTCATCTCCCGGAGCAAGCCTTCCAAACACCTGGAAGGATGTCATTCCTATGTTGACACCGGAGTTGGAGGTTATCACTGTGAAGCCAAAGGCACCAACCACACCTGTGCGCATTCCCTCCAGGGCAGCACTTGGTCTCGCTGCGTCTCGTTCGCCTACTTCGGCTGGCTACGGTTCACAAGAGAGCACACCCACACCTGCTCTCTACCAGGCACCTCGCTTCCTCGAGCCGAAGCCTGATCTGCTTCCTCCCACTCCCATGCGCTTGGGTCCCCTGCCTACGCCTTCGTTGACACCCCAGTTCGTTGCCACTTCCACTCCTGCAGCGAGTGCCATGGCAATGAGCTCGCGTCGTCCTTCGATGTGCACAGCAATGCAGCAAGCACAGTGCTCGTCTTTGGCGCGCACTTGTGTCGACCAGTTCAACCCAAGCATCAGGAATGGACTCGAGGCCTATCACTTCCCGAGCCGCAGGCCTTCGCTGGCACCATCTGTTTCTTCGATCTCATCGTCCCCAGAGTCGATGATCACGGACAACTCTCGCTCTTCCCGCGCTTCGTCGATCTCCTCAGTCTCGTCTGCTGGCTGGGCGCCACCAAGCCAGGCCAGTTTGGCCCGGCTGGCGACGTGCCGCAACGCGAAGCTGCCTTACCCTGTGCTCTCGAAGTGCAACGAGTATGCTCCTAGCGAGCCCACATCCTCACCCGAGTCTGTGGACCGCTACCAAATCGATGATGCAGATGCGACCCCCATGCGCGTCGACAGCCCTCTGTCTACCAAGTCTATCAGCCCCTCACGCAAGCGTGGCAGGTCTTCCACAGTTGACCTCCAGCATAGTGTCCGTCACCTGCTGGACAACTCGCGCCCGAGCTTCACTCTCCACAGCCAGCCTACCGTCCTGCCTGATCGATCCATCGCTCAGCCATCGTTCTCGACATTCGAGAATGAGTTGAAGGGGCTGCAGCCGCCCAAGAACTCTGCTCCTGAATACTCCCGTCTGCCAGTGCAGAAGGACTTTGGGAAGAAGCGGACTTGCTGCTCCACCGAGGCTGCGCATGCGTATCACAGGCAAGGACCTGGCATGTGGGATGGTGTCCTACTATAAAGTCGACAAGATCGACTTTTCAACATTGAACAGCCCCACAGATGGGCAACGAAGAAAGAGAAGGCCTACAGATGCCTTCGCATACCCCTTTTGCTACCTCTTACACCCGCATGTGTATACATCTCTCTACCTCTCTACCTCTGTACGAGATATCCAACATCAATATTCCCGCAGGCGAGTCAACTATTTTCCTGGCGTTACTGTTTTGGCGTTTTTTGAACGGCTCGACAGAGCTTTTGGTGGGTGGCCTTCTGCTTCAGGGTAATCATGCTCGGAGTAGTAAGGCTTCTGGTATGGTATGGTGTGAATTGGAATGGCGTGCGCGCCTGGTGCATAGCATGGCACAGGGCCTGCCGGGAGTTGTGATGCCTGGAACGGCGACAATGTACGTTAGTCGCGATGGCGACAGGGATGATGATAGTTAGCTGCAGATAGTAGTGGTTGATGAGGAAATTATACCCGTTCCACCTTCACTGTTGTCCTCCGTTCTCGCATTGGTGATGGTTGTCGGAAACGAGGTTTAAGACGGCTTGAGCCTTGTTGGCCAGAGGAGTTCGAAGTGACGTTACGAACTGACGTTACCGCTCAACGTAGATCGTACTCTTCAGGCCCTTGTTGAACAGCAGCAACGCAGACTCAAGTCTATTATACATTTGGAATACAACAACGTTACACATCCCTCCATCCACCCATCACCTTGTCGTCTCCTCACGACATCAGCAACCTCGTGATAACGCCCACATTCAAGTTCCTCAAATCACTGTAATGCTGTCCCGTGCCCAAAAACACGACCGGGATCCCCGTCGCATGCACCATACTCACCAACGTGCCCACCATATCCCCCACCGTATCCGTCTTGGAGATGATGAAGCCATCCAACTTCCTCCCCGCGCCGAAACTCGCGTTGAAATTCCGCGCCTGCGCAACGCTGTCGGTGCCGACGAGCGCTTCGCCGACCATGAGGATTTTGTCCGGGTTAGCGAGCTTTCCGAATTTCTCCAGCGACGACATGAGCCGCTGATCGTTGTGTCGTCGGCCGGCGGTGTCGATCAACACGACGTTGAAGTGGTGCTTCTCGGCGTAGACGACGGCGTCGGCGGCGATGTTGGCGGCGTCTTTGCCGTACCCCTTCTCGAAGAGGTCGACGCTGCCGCCTTCGCGTTTCGAGAGTTCTTGTAGATTGCGTACGTGCACGCGCAGTTGCTCGACGGCGCCAGAGCGGAATGTGTCGGCCGCGGCGATGAGCACGCGGTGGTGGTTTTGCAGCAGGAAGAAGGCGATCTTGGAGAGGTTTGTCGATTTGCCGACGCCGTTCACGCCGACGATGGAGAGGACGTAGGGACGGGACCGGGACGAGTTGATGGTGGAGATTTCGCGGAGGAGGTCGAGGGAGGAGGTGGGTGTGAGGATGCGGGTGAGTGCCTTTTCCATGGAGGTGCGGAGGGTGGATTCGATCGCTGGCTTGTGTCAGTGAGGGCTAGAAGGCGAGGGAGGGGAGCGCGTACTGGTGAAGGAGGGCGTTTTCATGCCGACGAGATCGCGCTCGACGGATTCGCAAAGGCGGACGGCGGCTTCGCGCGCGACGTTCTTGCGGAGGAGGTGCTCTTCCATGGCCTTGAGGGACTTGGCGAGGTCTTCTTTAGTGAGTGTCTTTCCGCCTACGACGTTCCTGAAGTATCCCCCTATTGCGCCCAAGCTTGATCCGACGATGCCGCCTGCTGCCGCTGTTGCTGCCGCTGCTGCCGCCGTGTCCTTCTTTGCGTTTTGCTCCTGGATGATGGCGTCCATCTCCTCGTCGAGGTCCTTGAGCACGAACTCGCCCCTGGTTGTCTTGCGGCCCCACGTGTCCTGGTGGATCTCCTCGAGCTGCTCGACCTCTGCCGCGCCGCCACGGATGTCGGACTGCGAGTAGTCGAGCACCATGTCTCCGTCCTCCTCTTCTGCGCCTAGCTCGCCCCAAGTCCGGTTCTTCTTGGCGCTCTTCCCCTTGCGCTTTGCCGAAGCCTCGTCGCCTGACGACGCTGGTGCAGGGCTGCCAGACGCCTTCTTCCTGTCTCTGCGCGACATGCGTGCGCCCGCCGGCCTCGCCTTTCCTGCCAGGATGCGGCTCGCCGGCGTGGTCGGCCGCGAGGTGTCTGGGGTCTGTACGGGTGTCGAGTCGGCGCTCGTATCGAACAGTGCTCGCTGCGGTGGCTTCTGCAGGCCTGCTGCCGGCCCGCTCTCCTCGGCACTATCGTTGTCGATGCTGGAGTCCGGTGTGGTGATCTTGATGCCCGGCGCGCTGGAGTCGCTCTGGCCTTCGAGCTCCTGCATCTGCCTGTCGAAGTAGGAGCCAAACCTGTCGCAGTTGACCACACTGCTCAGCTCCGTCTTCAGCTGCTCGCCGTAGAGGCCCACGAAGAGTGCGCGCACATTGTCGAGCAGCTTGTCGATCCACGTCAGGTGGACGAGACTCTGGTAGACGGCGACGAATACGAGGCCGAGGTCTTTTGCCTGTGTCCATTTTACTGTATAGCCGTCTTTCTTGTATGTGGGCTTCGACCCGCTGTCCTCGGACTGCGGCAGTGTGTGCTCCTCGATGAAGACGTCGCGGATTAAGCTGTTGATCACGTGTGCCCCGACGGGAACATATGTGCGCGACCAGAGGACAATGCCGGACGCTGTGACGATCTCGAACGTGTCCAGCATTGTGGGCGGCGTCTGGGGTGCTTTGGTGGGGGGTGCGACAGTCGGTGGCCAGTGGTCGGTGGTCGGTGGTGTCGGTCCGTCGCTATGATGGGGGGAGGGGGGGAGGGGGGGGACAGCAATGACGAAGTTGGCGCGGCTGTGGCCAGATGGTCGGAGTCGGCGGAGAGCTGCATGCGCGCAGGCAGAACACGTTGAATCCGTGCCAACACCACTCCACCTGGCCAATTCACCCCAACACCCCCTCCCAGCACTCCAGCGGAGTCACGCGTCTACTCCAGCGGAATCACGCGTCTGTCGCTCCACCTGCAAGCGCACGGCAACGCCAGGATGCAGCGCTCAGGCTACCCCCAACAGCCGCCCGCGCACTCACCACCCCGTGCGTACACCGTCTCAATCCACCGTCTCAACATCCTCTGCTCTCCAGCGGTTGTGGAGCAGAAGACGATGGCAGCAGACTGCTTCCGACAGTCCTGGTGCTTCCGACAGTCCTGGTGCTAACGCACACAGTCCACCATCCCATCCCGCAGCACGTCTCCACCGTCCCCCAGCTGCGATCACCCCCTCCTCCACAACCGCCTTCCCAACCACAGAGCGGCTATGGCTACGGCCAGCAGGGCGGCGGCTTGCCTCAGCAGCAAGGAGGCTTCGGCCAGCACCCGGCGTTCGGCGGCTTCATCAACGACCCTAGCGCCCAGCTGGGCCTGCAGATGGGCCAGACTGCCTTCAACGCAGGGCAACAGTACATCGACCAGAACGTGCGTCTCCACACGGCCATCAGCACGTTGTTAAGACGATCGCTATGACGGCCCATGCCAGGCAAGGTTGCTAATGCTCCAGCAGATCGGCAAATACGTCTCCGTCGGCGCCCTAAAACACTACTTCAACGTCTCCAACTCGTACGTCCTCTCTAAGCTGCGCATCATCCTCTTCCCCTGGTGGCACAAGCCGTGGTCGCGCCAGCAGCGCCACTCCACCGACCCTTCCGCTGCAGGCCCAACGCTGTACCTGCCCCCGCGCGAAGACCCCAACTCGCCGGACATGTACATCCCCACCATGGCACTGGTGACGTACATCCTGCTCTCCACCCTCCTCGCCGGTCTGCGTGGCGCCTTCCACCCCGAACTGCTGGGCTACACGGCCTCGGTCGCGATCGCGGTCATGGGCGCCGAAGTCATCGTCATCAAGACAGGAACGTACCTGCTCGCCATCACCTCTTCCTCCCAACTCCTCGATCTCGTAGCGTACTCGGGCTACAAATTCGTCCACGTCATCGTCTCCCTGCTCTTGTCGCACTTCCTGTCCTCGGTCGGCATCGGCGGGTACTGGCTCAGCTGGGCCATCTTCGCCTACTTCTTCAGCGCGAACGCGTTTTTCCTGTTGCGGAGCTTGCGGTACGTGCTCCTGCCGGATCAAAGCGGGCAGGGCAATTTTGGAGCCAGCGCGGCGGGTGGGTATACAGTTGCGAAGGCGCAGCGGAATAGGCGGACGCAGTTCTTGTTCGTGTATAGTTATTTGGTGCAGTTGGGGTTTATGCTGTGGTTGAGCAAGGTCTGAGCTTGTGACTAGGAAGAAGCACTGCTCAGAAGACTACTCGGACGAGCTGCGGTGTGGCCGGTGGCAGAGCGGCGCCGCTGTAGAGAGGTCGCGGAGGGGCATTTTGTTATGAGCATAAGCAAGCGCGGCGCACAGCAAGCAGGATATTCACTATGGCCAAGCATATACATCAGCGGGAGATGCAACGCACTACATCAGCGGGAGATGCAACGCACACATCGAGGTTGTCCGCCAGCGAAACGATTTGGGACACGGAGCGTATGCGCGACCCATCGTGGCATGTATTTTAAATACTTCAAGAAGAAAGGAAGCGTGTTCAAGAAAACATTGGAATCGTTGAAACTATGTCTAAGCGCCAATCTATAAATCTGTAACCCCACGATATCTGTACCAAACGCCGCACCCATCCCATGAACTCCTCATCACTTCTCCTCATCACTTCTCCTCATCACTTCTCCTCATCACTTCTCCTCATCACTTCTCCTCATCCACCTAAGCCGCCATCGGCACCAGCCGTCCCGCCGCCCGCATCTGATCCATCTCCCTCTGCATCTCCTCCTGGAACTCCATAACCGTGTCACCAAACTGCTCGATCTGGTCCTGCGCCTTCGGCGCCCCAATCAGCACTATACCCCTCGGCACAACCACATCCGCGACCTGGAAGCAACCAAACGTCACCACCTTCTGGAGCTGTGGGCAGCAGCGGAAGATGCCGGCGATGATCTGTGTGTCGACGACAGGACAGAAGGACAGGTTGATCTCGCGGAGGTACGGGTACTGCTTTGTGCCGTCGAAGATGTCGGTAAAGGTCGCGTGGGAGATGTGCCGGCAGGACGAGATGTCCATGTACTCGAGACGGGAGCCCGAGTGTGCCATGAGTGCCTGGAAGCCGCCGGATGCGAGACCGATGGGATAATCTTCGGGGCCCTCGGGGTTGCTGTTGTCGAGGTCGCGCAGGCTGTTCACGTCGATGTAGCGGAGGGGAGGGTTTGACCAGTTGGTGAAGAGGTTGACGTAGCCGTCGTCGGTGCATTCGTGGTTCTCGCTGAACCGGAACTTGCTGAGGTGTCGACAGGTCTTGTGGATGGCGTCGAGAACGTCGTCTGTAGGGTCGCTGTTGTTGTCGAGGAAGTGCTCCAAACAGAGCGTGCGCAGGTGAGCCCCGACAGATGTGATCAGGTGGATGAGCTTTTCGCGTGGGACCTGTTCGTAGAACCGTAGCGTAAGATGCTCGAGCTGTTCCAGTCGAGCAATTGCATCGATGCTGTCAACGCCGAGCTTCTTACACCGCTCAAGCTTGAGACGCTCAATGTTCGGACAGAATGTGGTGAGAGCTTCAACAGCCTGGTCGTCGAACGCGGCATCCAGCCACTCAAGCTTCAGAGACCTGAGATCTTGGCCGCGTGCAATGAAGAGCTCAATCCACTTGTCGTTTGCAACGAGGTTGGCGCCCAGCAGCTGTATGTCAACCAGCGACTTTGCTTTCTCGATCATGTAATCGACATTGCTGTCCTTGAATTGACAGCAATTGCGAAGGGCCACCTTCTTGACGGTGGGACAGACTGCGAAGATCTGATCGTAGTCCTCTGTCTCCAGTAGAGCTGCCTCGTGGACAGCCACAGTGTCCATGTCCGGCTGAAGGAACAGCTTCATGGTTGTCGAGTTCATCGCGCGCTTCTTCGAAAAGATCTCGCTAATCTTGTTCATAATGTTCTCGGGCATTTCGCCCAGCTCATCGATGTCCTCGGAGTGCTTCGCAAGCTTCTCGATACACAGCTGTTGCAATGACTTTGTTCCTCTCACAGTCAGTCCGTCCAGGCGATTGCTCTCGATCTTTCTACGGCCCTTGCGGACGACGGGCTTCTTTGCCTTCTCTTGTGCCTTCACTTCCTTCTTTAGCTCTTTGCCGCAAGGCGTACAAAGGAGGCCGCCGTTGGGACCAGCCTGGCTGTATGGTGTGACCGTAAATCGCTTATCGCATAGCTCGCAGTTCTCAAGCTGTCCTGGCAGCTTCTTCGCCTTTTTGTACATGTCCATGAAGTCTTCGTCTGATTCGTCGTCTGGACCCTTCTTCTTCTTTGACGTCTTCTTCTTGGCTTCCTTGCCCTTCTTTATTTTCGCAATGGCTTCGTCTTGGTTCCGTTTGCGCTTGCGGGATCGCTCGGCGGCCATGGCAGATGACTCGGCTTGCAGATCTTCTTCGACATCCTCGCCAGCATTTGAAGGTCCCTCGCCGTTGTCGGCTGCTGCTGCGGCATCTTGCTCGGCTCGTTGTACTCGGTCGCGGTACGAGTCACGAATTTCTTGGGCAGAGATGTTGTTGGCCTGCAATCATCAAATTAATTACTGGTTCATGTAGCTTATGGGATGCTGATGCGGCTAAGCTTCGAGGAGGGAATCGCAGCTCATGACCTCGATTGCAATAAAAATCGATACTGTACGAATTCATAATGTGTACAGCAGCCCAGGTTATACTCACAGCCAGGAAATCTGTCAACGCAGAATGCGGCCCTCGAATACCGCTACCTCTTGGTCGTCGTCCTGCCCTGTTGCCACTCCTAAGCCTTGTTCGCCACGAAATATCTGGGGAAGACTAACATTGTAAGTGTAGACCTACTACCTAGCTCTGTAATCGCAAAGAAAAGGAACGAGTGTCTAGCGTAAAGGAACGAGTGTCTAGCGTAAAGGAATGGTGGTTGAGACCTAGAAAGTCAGACAGTGGTTGGCGAGCGGGGACGAGTGTCGACCGCGGAAGGCGCGTCCAGGGCCACTAGCGCGATCGCGTCATCACGTGGTGGCAAATAGCACTTAAAGAAGCTTAGAGCACTCCTTTTGTCACTCTCAACGTAGAAAGTGAATGACTAATCAGGAGCTCCGTTACAAACAGACTTCATTGTAAGAGTGAAAGTAAGACCAGACCTGCTTTTCAGACTGTACCCAAATTTTTGGAGATGTTGACACCGGAGCGCCTCGAGAATGGTTGAAGCGCACGCTCTCAGACTCCATGCATGCTTCATTAACCAAATGCTTTGATGTTCGAAGGTTGACTACCACCTAAACTGTCCTGAGTACCCTCTAGATCACCGTATCGTCGTCACTGTAATCTGCTTCGTCGTCTGAGGATGACTCCTTCTCGTCCTCCTCGTCGGAGTTGAATGGGTCATCCTGCGGCGGGGCTTTCTGTGAAGAGTTAGCTTTGCCTGGAGAGTACGGCGAACTTGAAGCCAGTGCAACCGAAATCGAGCCACAGAGATGCACTTACGTAGGCCTTGATCTTGGCAAAGTTTCCTTTCATCTCGACTTGGCCGCTGTCAGACTGAGATCGCTCGGCGATGCTCGAGTTGAATGAGTGCACAGAATCAGAGACGGATCGAGCCCCGGGCCTGCCGTAGCGGTTTGGATCAAAACCAGAGCGAACGCTGGAGGCTGTCTCGGTCCCAGTGTGCCATGATTTGGTACCTGCGACCTCGCTCCATGTTCCTGGCTTGGTATCGTTGGCGGGCTTGTAGGAGAACTCAGAGTCGATGAGCGTGTCCGAGACCTCGCCACTGACGGACAAAGCATGCTGGAAGTGTTCAGACAGGTCGATACCACCACCCTCGTGCCTACGACGGCCTCCGTCGGTGGACTCCGTGTCTTCCCAATCGCCCTATGCAGTCAGCGAAAGAAGTGGTAGATGCATGGTCGCACTCACAGCACTAGAAGTAGTATCGCGTGTGGAGCTGGCTGAGCTCCAGTAGTCTGGGTAACTACCACCTGAGCTCTCCGTCGTGATGAAGGCCTTGGTAGGATCCTCGTAGCGCACTTCGTCGACCGGCTCTCGCGAAACCTGAATCTCCATGCAGTCGTAGCATGTCTGTTGCTGTTAACGTTGCTCAACGTGCCCAAACTGAGATACTCACAGCGTCATCTGGCTTCTTGCGCTGGACCTTTGCATAACCCTCCAGACCCTTCGTCTTGTGGCACATGACGCATTCGATCTCGACAAGCTGGCCGCCGGTGCACTTGGAGCACTTGGGGTTGGTAGTGATCCTTCCCGACCTCGAGACTTGCCAACGGACGTCGGTGAGTTGTTTCTGGCTGAAGTTCGCCTGGTTGTAGTTCTTCAGGCACATGTTGCATTTGAGCTTTGCAGGCAGAGGAACGCAGCGTAGGCTGGAGGTCGTCAGTGCACTGGAGCTGCGCCGGGTTTAGGCAAACATACCGCTCAATCTCGTTGGGATTGTACGCATGTACCTGCTTTCGGTTCTTGTTACCCATGTTGGGCAGCGACGGAGCGTGCTAGTGAACAGCTGTGTGTGATGTCTGAATCTGGAGGCAAAACGGGAGCGGGGAGGGTCGAGAGTTGTTCTTATGTTGCTAGCGACGGAGACGAAGTGAGAGAGACGGCGAGCCGAGGGATAGGAATCTGCGGTGAGATTGCGGGAGCCTGCAGCTGGCGTGTGCTGTTTGCGTGGGTGAAGGCAGGAGCAACCAACGCACCGAACGACATGGAAAGTAGAGATGAAGACGACAAGTGGTTGAAGAGCAGAAATTGGAGACATAGACCTACCCTCTACCCTCAACTGATCTACGATCGAACATAAATTCAAAGAAGACTGAGTGCACGGTCGAGCAACCTACAGCCCGTGCTCACTTCCACGATGGGCTCCTCAGCCTTAAAAATCGAAGTTGCACAGCACATGGGATCGAGTGTGCCGCTATGTGAGGTGCTCATGCTACCCTGAACGTCTGCCATCGCAGATTACAAGAGACAGGGAACTCCATCTAGCGACATTGGTGACGATTGTAAACACAGTCAACGCGTCTCGCTCCCCTGCAGACCTACCTCCAGCTCGCTCCAACTATTGTGCCTTCGTATGATGCAACTGCTCTTGCGTCGGGAGGTCTTGATCGCGGATTCGAGCAACGCCAAGGAACAGTTGAACTGCCACCTCTGAGTATTTCGATGCACCAAACGCACCAGATTCGCTGTACTGATGGTCAAGGTGAGACGGTCGAGATGAATGTAGTCGACGCTGAAAGACAGCGCCTATCGATAGCGGATAAGCTTAGCGGGCCACCAAAAATGTGAAGTGTGGATCCACGATTTTGTCCCGCACTTGGAGCAGAAGCGCAACATTTCTGACGCATCGCAGCGAAAGTGGCGTCTTCGATTCCCTTCAGATTCAAGGCGGGCGGCAGCGGCAACATGGCTCCCTCAGTTGCGCAAGATCACCACCACCGCAGCACGACGAAGCAGCACAAGAAGGGCTTCAAGTCTCGCCATGCCACCAAAAGCGCGCTGAAGGAGCAGAACAAGGGTACGGAAGGCTGCACAAATGCGCTCACCAACGCGCTGACAATTTTGCAGGCAAAGTCGAGGCCGTAGGTTTCGAACGAGGAAGCCGCAAGACGCCCCACCAGCAAGTCATGTCGAAATTCGACCGCCGCAACCGCTCGAAGCAGATGCGCATCAACAAGGACCACGAGCATGCCAAAGCCACAAACGTATTCGCCGGACGAGACAGCGCACCGCGCGTTGTTGCGATCATCCCCCTGTGCTCGGATGTCTCCTCCGCCTCCGCAGTGCGAAGCTTGAACTCGGCACTGGACATTGAGCAGGACGTGCCAGAGGCGGGATGGGTACGCACAAATGTCGACCGCTTTAAGCAGAAAATCCAGTACTTGGTCGTGAAAAGAGACTTGCTTGCCTCGCTCGATGCCTGCAGAGTCGCGGACTTTGTTGTCTTCGTGCTGTCTGCAGAAGAAGAGGTTGATGAGGAGGGCGAGCTGATCTTGAAGTCGATCGAAAGTCAGGGTCTCACAAACAGCTTCACGGTCGTGCAGGCGCTGGACAAGGTCGAGCCCGCAAAGCGCAGGCCGCAGGTTGTTGGATCGCTGAAGTCGTACATCTCACATTGGTTACCTACCACCGAGCGCGTATACTCTCTCGACAACCGCCAAGAATCCTCGAATCTCGTACGATCCATGTGCACAATCACCACAAAGGGCGTGAGATGGAGGGATCAGAGGAGCTACATGTTCATCGAGGACATCGCATGGCCCGATGGCAAGTCGGCAGTCAACGAGGATGGCACTGGACAGGTCGTTTTGACTGGTGTAGTCCGCGGGTTGGGTTTGAAGGCCGACAGGCTGGTCCAGGTCGGCGACTGGGGCGATTTTCAGGTCGACAAGATTGTCGCAGCACCTTTGGAGACACGGAAGAAGAAGGACGGCGACATGATGGTCGACGCGGAAGAAGAGAACGTTCTCGCGCACCCAACCGAAGACCAGGACGACCTCGCAGCCCTCGCGCCCGAAGAGACGCTCATGGACGATGTCACACAATACGCTGCTTCGATTGCGCCCACTGAGCGCAAGGGAGTGTTGCTTGACGACCACCACTACTTCTCGGATGAGGAGGACGAAGAGGCTCGCCCACGGCCGAAGAGGCTGCCTCGAGGTACCAGTAAATACCAGGCTGCGTGGTATCTCGAGGACTTTTCCGACTCCGACTCCGATCTCGAGGACTTTGACACGGAGGATGCCGAGGAGGGCCAGAGCGCCCCCGCTCACCCTGCTGACGGTGTTGAGGGGATGGACATTGACGGGAAGGCGATGACTGAGGGCGGTCCCTCAGAATACCCACAGTCGGAGATGTTCCTGGATCCTTCGCCAGAAGACGAAGCTGAACAGATCGAGGCCTACCGAAAGTCGAGGAAAACAGAAGCCGAACAGGATCTTGAGTTCCCAGACGAGATTGAGTTGCACCCGAACATGGACGCGCGAGAGCGTCTCATCAAGTACCGTGGACTGAAGAGCTTGAAGCAGAGTGTCTGGGAGACCGAAGAGGACCGACCGTACGAGCCAGAGGAGTGGCAACGCCTGCTCGAGATCTCAGACTACAAGCGCACAGCAACAAAATTCATGCGCGAGGCCTGGGCTGGTGGCGTCAAGCCTGGCACCCGAGTCAACGTCCACATCCGTGGCGTACCGCTACAATTCCAGCAGTCACAATCACGACCCGTGGCCATGTTCTCCCTGCTCAGGCACGAGCACAAGCGCACAGCCTGCAACTACAGCATCCTACTCAGCACCGACCACGGCAACATTATCAAGTCCAAGACCGAGATGATCGTCCAGTGCGGTGCGCGCCGCATGGTCATCAACCCCGTAAGTTCCCAGCACCAACTTCCCAGCCCCAACCACATACTGACAAGATCCCAGCTCTTCTCCCAAGCAGGCAACACACCCAACAACGTCCACAAATTCGACCGCTTCCTGCACCCCGGCCAAAACGCCATCGCCTCCTTCATTGGCCCGTTAACCTGGGGTAACGTCCCGCTCCTCTACTTCCAACGCACCACCTCCCCCCACTCCCCCCACTCCCCTTCATCCTCCTCCCTGCAGCTCATCGGCACAGGCACCTCGCTCCCGCCGTCCATGAACCGCATCATCGCCAAGCGCGTCATTCTTACGGGCCACCCGTACAAGATCAACAAGCGCGTTGTCACAGTGCGATACATGTTCTTCAACGACAGCGATGTCAGGTGGTTCAAGAGCTTGCCGCTCTGGACGAGGAGGGGTAGGAGTGGGTTCATTAAGGAGAGTCTGGGTACGCATGGATACTTCAAAGCGACGTTTGATGGGAAGATCAATCCCATGGACGCTGTGGCGGTGAGTTTGTATAAGAGAGTGTGGCCCAGGCCGGCGAGGGCGTGGAGTGCGGATGATGTGGGCGCGAATGTTGCGGGTGATGAAGCGCCTATGCTGGTTGAGAATTAAGGGGAGGAAGGGAAGTGCATGACGATATGACTTGCATGACAGGTAGATACCTAGGTAGACAAAATGGTTACGGCGTTCTTGTTGCTCACTACATGTTCGCAAAGAGATCGTTTCATTGACACATATGAGCTCCATTCTTCCCAGCCACCAGAGGGTATATGCTACCTAATCACCCTTTCACAAAACGCCGTGTAAATGCCCCACTACCATGCTTTTCGTTCCCTCCTCGGCTCTCACCCTTAAACCCCCTTCTTAGCAAACCGCTCAAGCGCGGGCCCATACGCCTTCTTAAGCTGCTTCTGCTTCTCAACGTTCCTCTCCTTCCTCCTCTCCACAATCTCCCTCGCCCTCTCCTTCTCCTCATCGATAACATTCTTACTCCCACTCTTCCTCAAGTACCTCCTCAGCGCACTGTTCCTGCCGCGACCCCTCTTCTTCAACTTAGCAATCTTGTCCTCCTCCTTGTGATCAAGGTCGCGCTCCTTCATGCGCTGTTCGTGAGATGTGAGGTCCAGGTTGCCGACGAAGTTCGGGTCTAGGGCGATCATCTCGGGTTGGATCTTCTCGAGGAGTGCGTGTACTTCGGTTTCGCGGCGTTGTTTGCTGGTCTCGAAGGGGTTTGTGCCTTGCTCGAGCGTGTCGGGGTTGGGCTCGCCAGAGCCGGGGACGATGATGGATGTGAAGCCCTTCTCGTGTCCGATACCCAGGATATCCTCGAACGGACAGAATCGCACACGGCCAGTGCTGATGCCCTCGCCGCCCCAGGCCATGTACGGCGTGGGTAAAACGAGGTCAGGGTTGTGTGTGAAGATCTCGGGCTTGTAAATGTTGACCTGCGTGCCGTAGCCGACGGCTGTCAGGTTGCGGTCGGAGATGGAGAGCGAGGTGCCCGGGACGCGCAGGTGATGCGTGTGGATTTCTTTGAACATGCGGATGTCCCAGACAGACATGCGGCGGTCTTGCGATGTGCTGACCATGTATGTGCCGGATTTGTCGACTGCAAGACTGCGGACGGGGCCGTGGTGGGGGAGGAGTTTGACGAGGGGGGATGCGCTGTTGGGTGACCATAATGTGACGAGGCCTTTTTGGTGTCCAACATGTAAGATGGCGTTGTGTGGATTTTGTACGAATGCTGTCGGCGGGCCGAGTTTTGTGTATAGCTCGCCCAGCGACTGGCCGGTCGAGACGTCTGTGTATCTGATAATACCGGCGGTCGATATCGAGGAGAGGAGGAAGTGGTAGGGTAGGTACTCGAGGTGCGTGGCTTCGGAGTGGTTCTTGAGCTGATGTATCTCTACGCCGTCGCCGCCGTAGATGTACACGCACTTCTTCTGGGCAACCGCAAAGTTCTTCTGGTTGCTAACGTGCAGCCATCGTGCGTCCCGTACCGTCTCATTCAGTTGTAGTTCGCAGCCCAACTTTCCGTCCCTCCAGTCGAAAGTCGCGACATGACCTTTCCTCCCTGCGATTAACAGATCGCGTCCATTTCTGCTGTACTCGCACACATCATATGGTCCTAGTCCGTCTAGTCGTAGTTCGAAACCCTTCTTTGCTGTCTCTGTCCCAACTGCAGCCTTGATCTCGTCTTGTCGAACCTTGTATGTCCTTTCCAGCTCATGCTCTGTCTCCAACAACCCTTCGTTGTTCTCCAGCAGAATTTCAACATTCTTTGCCTCTATCGCTGCCTGCTTGTTCTTGTTCTCCAGTAACCGCAGATTTGACCTCAGCTTCTTATCCTTCACAGATTTTGGCCTGATTCTATCGCCCCTTCCATATTGCTTCGTGGCCTCTTCTGTAAATAGCGCGACTGCCCGGGCATCTTCATCGTCTATGGGCGCGCCTTTTTGTGATTTGCGCTGGACTTCGGTGGATTTGGGCTTGGACCCTCGCTCGGTGGCCATATTGGTGGCCGTAGAATGCAACTATCGTGTTTCAAGTCGGAATTTATGCTGGAGACCGAGGATCCGCACCACGGAGAAATCGTTGAGGTCGAAAACGAGTGTTGCGCAAATGTGTTGGTGTTCGCCGCAACTTCCTACAAATTAATTTCTGCCGCGGTCCACCGCGCTCACCGCTTTCATCTCGAACTCTTGGCAGCGCTAGCACTAGATCGGAGTACCACGACGACCTTCATTCGACGCCCATCACAAGCATCATTGGCCAGGATACGCGACATCAAATGCCATTCTCAGGGCTCACCCTTGAGCGTTTCTGTAGTGTATAGGCATCATAAGAACCAGGTGGCTACAGCGTCGAGGCCGGCTTATTACCCAAATGGGCACACGTGCGGGGCACGACCATAGTATATCGCCGATCCTCGAAGAAGCAAACTAAAAGAATGCACCAAGAAGCCTGCAAGGCTTTGGCTAATTAGGCGCAAAGCAGGGCAGCTTTTGACTAGCACTAATAGACTGACCGTACGAGTCGTGCATGATCTTCCTGATATTACAAGACGACAACTGACTTTGCACAGTTGAAATTCAGCTTCAAGACCACCTGAGCATTGACTCCAACCTGGCTCCCCTCTCTCTTATTCGACACGCTTGCTGATAAAAAGGTGCCATGAGGCCTTGCGACTACTAAATTTAGTCTTGGACGCAAATTCAGCCTCGCTGGGGTATCGCAAGACAGCGAATGAACGCTCATGATGAGCTGCACAACGAGCTCAAACAGGGGCATCTCATTGCATGTTGCCTGCTGTCCCTTTGCCCACATTGATTTTGAACATCACATTTCCCAGCGCCTCTCTTCTCTTCCGCCTCGCGGCCCTTCATAGACGCGTCGACAACGCTTTCGTACATCTCAGGAAGTCGCCAAAAAGGATACCACCAAACTAGTCAACCAACCTTTGGAACTACTTGCACGCTTTTGACGCTCCTGAAGGCCTCCAGGATCCGCTATCCTGTCTCAGCTCATTGCGGTCATTCCGAGCTGTCGATAATCACAATGCCGAGCCATTATCCTAACGAGACCTATTCAATCGGGACTTATCCAACAGGCCTAATCCTAACAGGACTTATAACGGGACACCAACTCGGTTACCTTCAAGCGGAATGATACGCCGAAGACTTCCCGGCCAGCAAGCTCCATCAGTGGCGTCTAAGTCAATGATAGACCACCCTTCTTCTGCCTCGTTCGGGCTAGCCTGTGGGAAAGCCCCGTCCTGTCAGGGTCAAGTGCACCACTACGCTCGGGATCTTTTAGGCTTCCAGGCCAGCCGGCCTCATCAATTGCGACGAAATCCATGCAAGATCTCTCCTCAACAGCATTCGAGCCGGTCTACGAAGACATCCCATCAGCATTCACGGAAGCTGAAGTACGCAAGACAACATATCGCATCCGCCGATTTCTGCTTTCAAATCTCGTGTTCACTTACGATATACGCCGGAACTCTTTCGTTACTATCTGATCGAGGATATGGTCTGCGGCTCATATGAGCTTGATGATGACGATGAGTGGTATTTGACCTCACTCGGATCATGCCTTCGTCTTGCCTGTGACAGAGTTCGACAAAACCAGCTCAGTCTGCTAATCGCAGATGACTGTAGAAGAATTACTGAGGACGTCCTCATACCAGCAAGGAGGCTCAACTTCAAACCCGAGTATCTTTGCGAACAACTCATATCGTTCGCTGAGCATAGATTCAAACCTGGCAAGCGACAAAAAACGGTCTGTTACAACAAGGCGACCAAGAAGTACAGAATCTGCGCACGCGATTGGAATGGCGAAGAAGCCCGAGCTCACCTCGCACAATGTCTTGTCTCGGACGGCTGCGTTGTCTCGGAAATTGCACCGAGGAACTACAAATTATGGTTAGAACATGCATCTCAGACTTTAGCAAGAAACACTGCAGAAAGGGCATGAATATGGGTAGTGTTGAGAGGAAGATTCACTTCCAGCAACACACTCGGCGATTGCTGCAGTACGTGAGACGCCGCAACCAGATCAGAGAAAGGCCGTCGCAGGTACCGCTACGACACGGGTCAAAGTCTGCTCCTTCATATCAGCAATCGGCGCTTGACAGCCTGCAAGGTCCTTTAAGCGCAAACCCGAACGCACTTCGAGAAGAGGATGAAGAGGAAGATAATCGCAGTACCCCGTCAACCCGAACTCCTTGAATGCCTCCACAGTCTATGCTAGCAAGTGGGACGTTGTCGCCGTTGTTGGAAATTACGTCCAGGTCTAAAACTTCGTTTCAGTACATTCTTGCTATGGCCTGATGTTCGTGTGAAACTGACGCCAATGAGCAGGACATCGTTGCTGTCACCGAGGCTCACTTCTTAGCCTGAGCTGCCATATGTATACGATGCTCGTCCAGAACAGATGAGGGTATATATGTGCAGATCTGCTTCGCTCGCGTGGTAGTGTTGACAAATCTCATACTCTATGAGTTCGTTCCCAGCGAAGTCTTTCCCTTCATTCACCATACAGCGAAGCCCATGGTCCCGCATCTACTTTTTCGCCTGCTCTTCCATGTGCAACCGATGTGAGTCCAACGTCGGGGAAGGTATGCTGGACATGATCTTTTCCACCTGCTGAGGAAGGTCGAAGACATTGGCGCACTTCGAGTGAGAGTGGAGACCATTCCCAAAAAAATCTGAACGCTCCCAGGAATAGTGTGCATCACCGACATGCAATACGTAATTAGCCATATCCATGTAGTTATCTTCATCGAGTGCGCGTATCTTGACAGAGCTGAGAATCAGAGCCAGATGCCTAAGAGAATACGCTGCATGTTTGACGCCTTCGCGTCGTGGTAGATATTTATGTTTGAACAAGAATGATGTATAGGAGCCGAGAATCATGGCGTGGCATTGATCGTTAGATCTGCTTCTAGTGCAAGTGGACTTGAGGAGCCTGTTCAAAGCCTTGTAAACCGCATTGTTGAGGTCTACAATGGCATTTGCGCGAAGCCATAACATGTTATCTAAAGGATGTGTTAGCGGCAGTTTCTAACAGTGAGGAGAGGAACAGTGAGGAGAGGAACAGTCTGCTTGTGCGGAAATATTCCGTACTCACCAAGTAGATCTGGTGGCACATATTGCGGCAAAGGAACACCATGTATCACTGGAAGTCCCTCTTTGTCCAGAGATATTGCTTTGACAATATGTCGCGACAGTGTCTCAAAGCTATTGCTATAGCCAAAGGTCCATGCTATGAAAAACCAAGAGGGGTCGCAATTCTTCAGAGTTGCCACATCCAGGAAAGTGTTTCTGGGCCCAGCCGTGCAGGTCGAGAAACGGTCGAATAAGCGTGACAAGGTCGTATGTATCACACGTGACGGCAAGGCACAACAGCGCTTCTATATCCCACGTCTGCGGCTTTGGGAAGGTCGTGAAAACGGAGATGAGCGATCTTGAGCACTATGAGCATCGCTCCCGGGTCGTCATCAGGTAGCGATATCTCGATGGCCTCGCTCTCGATCCAAAATCGATCGAACACCGCTCTCCATACAGGGCTGGCCAGACTCATGACTGTCTTCAAGACTACAATGGGCTGTTGACTGCCTCCGTCCCTGCCCACCAGAAGCGTGGCATCACCATAGCACGATCGTTGCTTCTCGCCCGGAGGAAGAAGTGATAGCTGGCGAGCTCTCGTCTTCGCTTTCAGAAGGCATTATTGGAACTCCACCTCAGGAGCAAGCTCAGTCTTTCCTTGCTGACGGATAGCCAGCCTGTAGTAGCAAATAAGGCTATGTGATGAGGGGTATCAGCTGTTAGACGACGAATCGGCGGTTATCAGGCTTTCATGAAACAGGCACTCAATTGGCCGAAGAGGAAGCACCGAGAAGCCAGAACCACCAGCATTCGATCGTGTCAATGTTTCCATGCCGGAAGGAGAGGATGAGACCTGTCGTGTGGTGTCGACAGGAGCAGCCCAAACATTTGGTACGCTAGCATCTGTTGGGGAAAGGTTGCCCCTCCTGCAGCTGCTAACAAGGCTGTCAACGTTACATGCCTACACTACAAGCTTCCGTCATTACGAAGATGCGACGACTCCCATCCAGATGACCAGTCTGCCTGGCACATTCAGGCTGCCATGGTGTTGTTGAGCGCTTGCAAGCGCCGCAAATTGTCCGACTGGAGCGGCACAGCTCGTAATGGCGCTGGAGCCTGCGCATTGCCACCACGGACACCAGCATGAGCAGGCCTGCACTGTACGACACATGTATACAAGTACAACTTGTGACGCATGGAGTCGCGAGATGCCCCATCTATACATGCTACTAAGAGCAGTATTCAGTGATGATTTCTCTCAAACGCCAACAGACCAGCATTGAGTCTGATGGTCGCGGACAGAAGAGAGCTTGCAGCAACCGGTTTCCCTCGAACCTTGTTCAAGAAGAACAGGCGACTGGGTTTCAGAATTCGACGACCCCCTCCATGCAAGCACTATTTGTGGTGCCAAAGCGTTGCATTCACAAGATTGTGACCGCTTGCAATCTGGCACAGGCCACATGTTGTGCGTGCTTGGATGCGCGCCCTGATGGCTTTCAACTTTCTGCGCTACATGGACGGACACGCCTGGGGGTTGGCAGTACTACTGTTCTGACTGTCAAGGTGCGGCAACGACTTGCTCTTCTCGTGGTCTTTACTGATCCTCGCCGAGAATATTGGGACGCCCAAGATAACCTGGGTCGTCGTCATCGACGACCACCAGGTGTGCTCGGAGCCAAGGAGGACGTGCTGGATGTAATTAGAGTCAGCTATGGGGTTGGGGATATCGACATAACCCGTTCCATGGATTTGATATGGGACGGCTTGAAGGCTGAAGTAGCACGACTAATGCGGTGCCATCCAAGCCAGCTCATCGTGAGCGATATCGCTGTATACAAGGGAAGAGTGGTGCCTCAGATGTCGGACGACAACGCCCTGACATTGGCTACGCATATAAGGTTCAGGTGTGTCACCCATGTGGAGCCCGAAGACGACGAAATGGGGGATGTGCAGTACGACTGAACATAACATTGCGACTCGACGGTGCGTTCGTCTGTGGAGGTCGTCCGTTGAATCGTCACTTGTGTTCTGATCAGCAGCATCGCATGACCAGACCAAGACTCAAAATGCAACAAGTCCTTCCAAGATGCCAAACTTGCTTCGAAGCGGATTGCAAAAGTGCATGCACGAGGCAAGTTTATCATGATTACCAGGGTCTGGTGTCAGCCAACCGAAACGTGAATTTGCCGAAGTTGCACAAAGTTTCGGCGGCGACAGATCATCTTTTCGCAACCCGACTACAATCTAACCTCCAAATTTCTGGTAGACGCACCCTTACGGCAGAAAACTTGCTCGCATTGCGTCGCCGAAGGGTAAGCAGATGACACAGGCTCTGTTCTCTGCACGAGACTGTGTTTTGCCAATCTTGATGGATAGACAGGGGAATGTCCTGGGCGTGACTACATCATCGACTGACGATCATTAAGGTCCACCCAACGAGCCTCGAAATACGACAATGTCTGATTCAGAGCGAATCAGATGACTAGCAATCCAAATCAGCAACTCGACGTGGTTGTGAGGTTTTCGGTAGGCCCCTTCGAGTACCTCCAAGCTCACTATCGGACATGACCGCAAACTTCGGTGGCGGCGAGTGTCGCGCTGGGCAACGTCTCTCGAGCCAGCCGGTACTTTTGGTGTCCCGCTTTGACCTCGCCCATCTGTCGGATTTGGTGCCGTGATTCACGGAGGGTCAGCCTCGAGGTGACCATAGCTTTATCTGTTCGCATCACGAGCGCAGAAGCCATGAGATGCTCCCTTGAGAAGCTGCCCAAGTGGCCATGACCCAGTCACACATCGATCGACTAGGCGTTTCACACACCGCATCGGCGTCCGTTGAACCAACATGTCGGACCTCGCAGGCGCCAAGACAAAGCTTCTTTCCATGTGCTTGTGGCTATAGCATTGGCTGAGTCTGATCATACAGGAAACGTCGGCTCCGCTTTTGTCACTTTCGTACCTGGACTTCTGCTCTCGACATAGAAAGCGCTGTGCCACCAGAGTAATTCTGCTTCTATAAAGACCACCATGGCTCCTCACGAACAAAACCGGCTTCGACCTCCTGAACCCCCGAATTTTTGACAATCAATTACGTGGTTGTCGATGCATTGACGTGAGCTCACGGCAAAGAGTGGAGCGTGTCCAAATCAGCTGAATCCAGACATCCGAGCTTCGTCGCCATCCTATGTCTTCAGCTGCTGGGGTACATTTCAGACCTCCACCAATCATTGAGTGTATCTCGCAAGGCAACTGTCTCGGCATTGGGCGGAAAGTCTTCAACCCTCACCAGATCTGCACCAACTGTCTTACGCGACACGACCCTCAACAGCTACGTACCTGGGCTAACAATAACCGTACAGCACTCGCTCTCATTGACGAAGAGGTCCGTCGCAAGCATACTGTCAGGCAAAACATCGAAGCACACAGTCGCTATCTCTGCGCCTTCGAAGACCCAGACTTCGAGTACCGCAGGTGGCGGCGGCGTGACTTGAACCTTCGAGGGACCCGCCTCACCTGCAAAGTCGTCCGCAGGAAAGGAGCGGCTTGTGCAAGGTGTTGGAGGAGGCATCTGCAGAAGATTGGCATCGTACAATACTTCACGCCAAGTGGGTTATGTCATGAAGAAGCGGACAAAGTCGTGTCGTCGAGGTCGGTAGGATTGGAGGAAGAAGAGGACGGCGATGTGGAAGGCTACAACGAGATCCTAGATTGAAACAGAAGACCCGTCGCTTGATGGTACGTACTCCCTTTCCCACATTGGTTGTTACTAACAGAGAAGTGTGCAGTCCGAATCCGACGCCCCACCAGATATGCTGGGCCCACCACCAAGGCCTCATTGTGCTTTTGGAACCGCCTGCAATTCTCGTCCAGAAGGACAAGAAAGAGGTCCGAATATTTGCGCCTGGTGCAAGAACATGAGCTTCGATGCTCTATACGAGCGAGCAGCGTCTCATCCTTACAGACGCCATCTGAACCGTCTTATTGATGCATACAAGCATCAGCTTGAGCATGACAGCAACGAACGCATTAGCAAAGGATGGTCCAACCTCTGCGCCTGTAAGAATCCGGAATACCGCTTCGACACGTGGCGGCGCAGCTTCAATCCTAAAGACACTCGGCTGTGTGGCACAGTGCGGCACCGTGGCCAGCTATGCGCGCGCTGCTACCAGAAAGCTCAGGAGCAGGGCTGCCCTTGGCTCGCAGAGTTTGATGGAGATAGACTTGGATTCCCGTGCGTATTTGAGGACCCCCGGCTGAACAGAGCTGTCGACCGTAACTGGAAGACTGGTCCATTGGACGATCAGGGAAATGCAGATTCACACTGGGAGAAGGACCCACGGAGGCATGGTCGATGTGGAAGGAGGAGAGAAAGAAACAGCCTGTGTCAGCGATGCTTCAACCGCATGTGTGAGATCAAGAGGTTTGGAAGATACTTTGACCCTGATTGGGGTACACTACGCCAGAGCTTCGGGCTGTGATCATGTTGATGGACGACTATTGCGAGCTGGTGTCTGTACGCTTAAGAACGACAAACAGAGACGATGAGCATCCAATGGGTGGGGCATAGATGAAGACCGCAAATCAGCTCTTCTTTTCAATCTTCTCATACCCAACTTGGGATTTCCCAAATCGAATATCTTAAAAATTCAACTTGAACACTCGAGTCCTATCCAGAACTTCATGATCGCACGAACGAAGTGACGTCAGAGGGTGAAAATGGCCTGTAGACTCTCCCGATTGCGCGTCTTGAGGTTTGAGTCAGTTTTAGGACTTGAATAGGGGCGAGGATTGCGGCACCGCTCCCAGCTAAACCATAGAGGTTGGTGAGGCTGCCCTGACAAAGGAATGACAGTTCGATGCATGGCAGAATGAGGCTAGTGCGGGGCTCGATTCGAACGCCTCCGACTCTCCGCCTTCGGTATCAATAAATATGAATGGACGACTCATCGCAACCCTGCAACGCCAATTTCTCCAGCAATCCTTATTATCCGAACGTGACTCACGTTTGTTTGCACCTTATAGAGGTCAATTCGCCTTTACGACTTGCTAGACAAGTTTTCTCTCATACTCGACTCATAGCCCACGATGGAGCACATTAAAAAGACGTTTGCACAATGCAAGAAGGAGGGCAGGGTAAGTTAAATTAGTCCAATTGTTGTGAGAATGAGTGTTGACAATGACATAGTCTGCCCTCGTCACCTATGTGACAGCAGGTTACCCCACTGCTCAAGAGACGCCCGACATCATGCTGGGCATGGAAGCTGGTGGTGCAGGTATACACGACTCACACGAGCAATAAGTGCACGAGAATCAGTCAATTGACTTATGTAGACATCATTGAGCTTGGAATGCCCTTCACCGACCCCATCGCCGACGGTCCCACGATCCAGACCGCGAACACCCAGGCTCTGAAGAACGGAGTCAACACCGCCGATGTCCTCCAGATGATCCGTGATGCGAGGAAGCGCGGTCTCAAGGCCCCCGTTATGCTTATGGGATACTACAACCCTCTGCTCAGTTACGGCGAGGAGAAGATGCTCCAGGACGCAAAGGAGGCAGGTGCTAATGGATTCATCATGGTCGATCTGCCGCCTGAGGAGGCTCTGCGCTTCAGGAACTTCTGCCGCAACTACGGTCTCTCCTACGTTCCATTGATCGCCCCAGCCACCTCGGAACACCGCATGCGCGTCCTCTGCCAAATCGCCGACTCGTTCATCTACGTCGTTTCCCGCATGGGTGTCACCGGTGCTTCCGGATCCATGAATGCTGCTCTTCCCCAGCTTTTGGAGCGCGTTCACAAGTACTCCGGCAACAAGCCGGCCGCCGTTGGTTTCGGTGTCAGCACCAGGGATCACTTCCTGAGCGTTGGTCAGATTGCTGAGGGTGTCGTCATCGGCAGTCAGATTATCAACGAGATTGCCAAGTCTGAGCCTGGAACCGGCGCAAAGGCTGTCGAAGCGTACTGCGATAAGATTTGCGGTAGGAGCAGCCGTGAGACCACCCGCGAAGTTGGCATTGTTGAGGCCATCGACGGTGCCAAGGAGCCCACTGGTGTACACGTCGACAAGGTCATCACTGATGCCGACACCCCCGACGGTCCCGGACTTGCCGATCAGCTGGAGGCATTGAACACCAACAGCGATGACTTCGACGAGGAGCATGCGCTGCCTCCCCGTTTCGGCGAATTTGGCGGTCAATACGTACCTGAGTCGCTCATGGACTGTCTTTCCGAGCTTGAGAAGGGCTTCAATGCAGCGATTGAAGACCCCAAGTTCTGGGAAGAGTACCGATCGTACTACGACTACATGGGCCGTCCCGGGCATTTGCATCTTGCAGAGCGTCTAACGGAGCATGCTGGAGGTGCGAACATCTGGTTGAAGCGTGAAGACCTGAATCACACCGGAAGTCACAAGATCAACAACGCGCTTGGACAGGTTTTGGTGGCCAGGAGACTTGGAAAGACCGAGATCATCGCCGAAACTGGAGCTGGTCAGCACGGTGTTGCAACTGCCACTGTCTGCGCCAAGTTTAACATGAAGTGCACCATCTACATGGGTGCTGAGGATGTCAGGCGCCAAGCTCTAAACGTTTTCCGCATCAAGCTGCTCGGTGCTTCGGTCGTCGCTGTCGAGGCTGGCTCTCAGACCCTCCGTGACGCAGTCAATGAGGCTATGCGCGCCTGGGTCGTCAACCTGGACACCACTCACTACATCATTGGATCTGCGATTGGTCCTCACCCTTTCCCGACCATCGTTCGTACTTTCCAGTCCATCATTGGTAACGAGACCAAGCAGCAGATGCAGGAGAAGCGCGGCAAGCTTCCCGATGCGGTTGTAGCCTGTGTTGGCGGTGGTTCCAACGCTGTTGGCATGTTCTACCCCTTTGCCAACGACCCTTCAGTCAAGCTTCTTGGTGTTGAAGCTGGTGGTGACGGTATTGATACCGACCGCCACAGCGCTACCTTGTCTGGAGGTACCAAGGGTGTACTTCACGGTGTCCGCACCTACATCCTGCAGGACAAGCACGGACAGGTCAGCGAGACTCACTCCGTCTCCGCTGGTCTCGACTACCCTGGTGTCGGACCTGAGCTGGCCAGCTGGAAGGACAGCGACCGTGCTAAGTACATTGCTGCAACTGATGCTGAAGCCTTCATTGGTTTCCGTCTGGCGTCTCAGTTGGAGGGTATCATCCCTGCGCTTGAGACTGCTCACGCCATCTACGGTGCGATTGAGCTGGCTAAGACCATGACCAAGGACCAGGATATTGTTATCTGCGTGTCTGGTCGTGGTGACAAGGATGTGCAGAGTGTTGCTGAAGAGCTGCCCAAGCTGGGTCCTAAGATTGGCTGGGACCTGAGGTGTAAGTTTTATCCATCTTCAATCTCTGAAGCTTTTGCTAATAATGAGTAGTCTAAGCGCCCTCAACACCAAAGCCTCAACAGCTCACTTCGGCAAGCTTGCGCTTTGACAGCCGTCAAGCCAGCAATATCCTCGGATCATAGACAGCAATGAAAACTACACCTGCCTTTCCGATCATTCAACTTTTCCGTGTTTCTCACTGTTCCAAAACAACTTCCGTGACTCCTGGTCAACTTGAAGAATCGTGGCGTGAGCAAGTAACCGACCGATAAGGCTGCTCGGTTACTTCCATCAAATGCTGTTCAGATGATTGGCTGCCTCCCGGGAGGGCCTCAGCAGCGCCCGAGTCGTGAGCTTTGACGTCTGCGACTCCAGATCTCCAACCATTATGTTTGCAGCGCAAGAACGACAGACGATGCGTGCAAGATCACCAAAATAACGGCAACTATACAGGCTACATGCTTCCAGTAGCTGTCGGTATCAATCCCACCTCAACGCGCTTGACACTACTTGCGTACGACCAGAGCGCCCGGATCTCCATACGCGCTTCGATGCAACCGAGGATTATCTCCATCACTAGGAGGGGCGCCGGGTAGCTAAGTTAGCGCCACTGACCTGCACTTTCCGACTATCAATGTCGTCTTAGACGTCTTTCTTTGATTTCGTTCTTCAGACGTTCTCTCTTCTCTGCATTGTACCTTCATGATGCGGGCATTTGCGCGTGCTGTTCAGCGGCAGAGGTTCGGTGCTCGCAACTCGCCCTTCCACCAGTCTAGAAAACAACGCGGATTTGCCTCTATAAATGCTCAGGATGTCAAGGGGTTGACCGTCATTGACCATTACTATGAGTACGATTTCGGAACCTTTATCGCGAATATATACCGAACATTGCTAATTCCACTTAGCGCTCTCGTCGTAGGAGCAGGAGGCGCCGGCCTCCGCGCCGCCGTGGGCCTTACAGAAGCCGGACTGAAAACAGCATGCGTATCGAAGCTCTTCCCGACACGATCCCACACCGTTGCCGCACAAGGAGGCATCAATGCCGCGCTCGGCAACATGACAGAAGACGACTGGCGTTGGCACATGTACGATACTGTTAAGGGCTCCGACTGGCTCGGCGACCAAGACGCAATCCACTACATGACTAAAGAAGCCATACCTGCGGTCGTCGAGCTCGAGAACTATGGCATGCCGTTCTCGAGAACGAATGAGGGGACTATATACCAGAGAGCGCTGGGTGGGCAGAGCTTGAAGTATGGCAAGGGTGGTCAGGCGTATAGGACGGCTTGTGCGAGTGATCGCACAGGACATGCTATGTTGCATACGCTCTATGGGCAGAGTTTGAAGGCGGGCGTGCAGTTCTTTATTGAGTGGTTTGCGCTGGATCTCATCATGAGTGAAGGGAAGTGTGTGGGTATTACGGCGCTGAATATGGAAGATGGGACGTGTCATCGCATGTTTGCTAAAAACACTGTTCTGGCGACGGGAGGTAAGTGCAGTCTTGAATCTACCATGGGATGGAAGAACTACGGCTGACGGTGGCAGGCTATGGTCGAGCATACTTTAGCGCAACGAGCGCGCATACGAGCACTGGCGATGGGAGTGCTATGGCTTCAAGAGCAGGGCTGCCGCTTCAGGATATGGAGTTTGTGCAGTTCCATCCCTCTGGTATCTACGGCGCGGGCGTCCTGATCACAGAAGGTGCACGCGGCGAAGGCGGATACCTCCTGAACTCTGAAGGCGAACGTTTCATGGAACGTTACGCCCCAACAGCCAAGGACCTTGCATCACGAGACGTGGTTTCGCGGTCTATGAACCTCGAAATTATCGAGGGTCGAGGTTGTGGCGAAAGGAAAGACTTCATCAACTTACAGCTATCACATCTACCGAAGGAGATCATCCATGAGCGTTTACCGGGTATCGCTGAAACGGCTGCAATCTTTGCAGGCATCGACATTACAAAGGAGCCTATTCCGGTCCTACCGACTGTACATTACTGCATGGGTGGTATTCCGACAAACTACCACGGCCAGGTCCTTGACGTGAAGGACGGAAACGACCAAGTCGTTGATGGATTGTACGCTGCGGGCGAAGCAGCATGTGTCAGCGTACATGGCGCGAATCGACTCGGCGCCAACTCCTTGCTTGACATCGTAGTGTTCGTGAGTCACACTTCATCTCCATCGTTGTCCCAATACTAACATCCCTCCAGGGCCGAGCAACAGCGCTCCACATAGCCGACAACCACACCCCCGGGGCAACCCACAACCCCTCCGAAAGAAACATCGGCCTCGACTCTATCAGCGAAATAACCACCTTTCTTGACTCCGCCGGCTCCACACCCACTTCCTCCCTGCGCTCTGACATGCAATCCACGATGCAAAAAACCACCGCTGTATTCCGCAAGCAAGACTCCCTCACGCAAGGAAACTTGCAACTCTCTTCCATCGAATCGTCCTTCAAGCGGGACTTGGGCGTCACCGACAAGAGCCTGATTTGGAACACGGATCTTGTGGAGACGCTTGAATTGAGGAATCTGTTGACGAATGCGGTGCAGACGAGTAGGGCAGCGTTGACACGGACGGAGAGTAGGGGGGCGCATGCGAGAGATGACTACAAGGAGAGGGATGATAAGGATTGGATGGTGCACAGCTTGACCTGGCAGAAAGAAATTGGTGACGAGGTCAAGTGGGGTACGAGGGCAGTTACAATGGGGACGTTGGATGAAGATGAATGTAAGAGTGTGCCGCCTGTTAAGAGGAGTTATTAGAGAAGAGCGGGGTAGTAAGGTACAATAACAGTCTTGCTTATGCATCGGCAAAGTGGATTGAATCTTCTATGGAGTACTGTAATAACGGGTTGAAACGCTCAAACTCGCCAACGGGAGTATAATGGTATACAACTATACAACGAAATCACACCACGTTCTGAACTGCATCCATTCCTCAGTACGGCGTAGTAACTCTTGCGTCGTTTGGCCTGCGTTGTGTTTGTGGGTGAAGGTATGATTCTGGGGGCCTATTAGGCAGGCTAAAATCGAAAAGATCAGCTTCTTGGTCTATGGCAGGATGAATGTCTTGTTCTCAGGAAATTCACTTACAATCGAGGGTACTAGCTATCCATGAACTCGTGAGGCAGTCATGACCGACCACGGGACGGTGTTGATTGATATGTTTGGCACGGGAGTTCTTTGATGTCTAAGAAGACTGGCGAGCAAGCTGAAGAAGCTAGAGTAGTGCTGATTGTCTTCATGTTCAGAACTTATGTTCTGTCCTGGCTCTATTATTCATCCTCGCTACGAAACTTACCACGGTATACTTGACAGAAGGCGCTGCTGGCTGATTTAAGGTTGCTAGCGGGCTTGGCTCTTCCTCTGCAGTGGGTTGCTGAGAGGCGGAAATACATAGCCATAGCCTGATGCTTGCGGTCAATTTAGCCAATGTGCATGAATGCCTTCAGCGTGACCGACCCCGTGCTGTTTTGATCATAATATCCAAAGATTGACCGGTCCACATGCGTTGGCGTTGGTGCTACGTACGACCAATCATCACTGATTTCTGCAAGTTGCAAGCCGCAATCCTCCTGGATGGATCTCTCGCACATATCAAACCACTCGGTAGAGAGCGCGTGGGTTCATAGTTAGATAGGTCGTAAGCAAGTCCATTCTCAAACAACTGGAGCAATGCAAAATCGCCAAATCGAGTTTACAAGGAAGCTACCTGCGCTTCATCACCCAAACATACAACATCGCTTATGGACCGTCTCCTGCTCTACAATTACAAAACTACTCAATCATCCCAGCAGACCTTCAGCGCTACACAACAGTCAGTTAACCACCTCAAAATCGAAGGATAGGGTCATGACTTACCACAAGGGAACGGGAAATACATATCCCAATTCTCCGTCAAATACGCATGATACGGATACTTCTCACCCGGATACATCTTCTTCTCGACCTTATGCAACTTCCCCTGATCGCCCAACGCAGGCCTCAAATTCTTCAACTTCGCGACCTCCTTCAGCATACACGTCAATGTGACCTTAGCCATTGGCAGCCCTAAGCACTGGTGTGGCCCGTAGCCAAGGTGAATGTAGCTGTCCATCGGCCTGTTGAGGTCGACTTCATCGGGGTTGGGGAAGATGGTGGGATCGTGCGATGCAGCGCGCAAATTGACGAAGATCTTGTCGCCGGCTTTGAGGTTGAGCGTGCGGCCGGAGTCAGTGACGGTGGTGTCTTTGGCGGTTTGACGGATAACTGCTGTTTCGCCAGCCAAGCGCGAGCCTTCGAGGAGGTAGCGCTGGAGTTTCTGGAAGGCGGGTTCGCTTTCGTCGTGGGCGAGTTTCTGGATGTCGGCCCAGTGCTTGTGGCCCGCACCAAGGAGGTAGTATTCAAGTGTTTGACCAAAGAGTTGGCCTTGGTTCGATACCATGCCGCCTGCTGTGCCAAGGATGTGGCCCCAGACAAGCTTCTCGGGCTCAATGCCGGACTTCAACAAGCGCTCGATGAAGTGAATACCATAGCTCTTGAGCGCGGAGTCATTGGGCCAGATGGCTTGTGTGATGCGTGACAGAATCCCGGAGCGTGCAATAGCTTCGACATTCTTAGCGACGACGTCACCAAGGACTTTTGTAGCCTCGTGTGCTTTGAGGTGCAGAGGGAAAGAGCGAGCGGGGTCGACATCGAAGAAGATGAGGGCAAAGACGCCCGACATCATGAGATAGAGCTCAGCTTCTGTGAAAATACCGTGGGGCCGCTCCTCGGTCTTGAGGGGCAGCATGAAGAGTTCAGCGCAAAAGTGCACATGTGCGAGGTTGCCAACATCGCGAATGATGTCGATCTGGTTGAAGTTGGAAATCTTTGCGCTCTTCTCGACAAGAAGCTCACGTGTCTTGGCCGTGTAGTAGCTGCGTACTTCCTTGTCCCAGTCGGCGACGTACAAGGCCTTCCTGACCATCTCGCGAGACTCGGCGTTCTTCTTGCCGTCGCCAGCGAGCATGAAGTCCCTCGAAGCAGAACCCATAATGTATTCCATGGCTTCGCCCCAAGTAACCTTGAAGGTCTCCTGATTTTTCATGATCTCGGTCGCAACTTTATACTCCTTGACAAGCTGTGGGTGCGAGCTTGTACTGGGCTTTGAGAAGTCGTAGAGCTTGGCCTTGCCCAAATCCTTGAGTGACTCTTCCATGGCCGACGGGATGGTGAGCGGGTAGTGCACGTAAACACTGTTGCTCTTGAAATGATTGGGGAAGGCGTGGAGGAAGAGTTTGTAGAACACACAGCCGTTGTCAACGCCAGTGTCAAAATTGACAAGTGAGTAACCCCAATTGGTCAGTGTTCGTGGGTTGTAGTCGTGTGTGTAGAATCGATCTCCACGAACAAGGGCTACAGCATCTGACAGTACGGCACGCGAAACCGTGTACGGTGGTGTCAGACCGGAACCAGGTGCCATAGCTTGCTTTGCATCTTCGACCACGATACCAGGGTAGATTTCGACCTTGTCTGGATGATCATACAAGTGCTTCAGCTGCTGCTGCACGTACTTGTCGCTGGTGATATCCTCGAAGGTTCGGTGCGGTTCCAGGTGGAAGTACTTCCTAAATTCGTTCAGCGAACCAAGGTTCCACTTTCGCGCTTGCTCGATACCCATCACTTCGATGGCACGGAAGACCGCAGGGACTCTGTTCGGACCAAAAGAGTTGGCACAGTCTTCGATACTCTGAGTGAGGATGTGGACGAGGTCGTCGTCGGGAAGTGTACCGTCGGCATTGCGCTTCAAGTTGGCAAAGTCGCGCTCCGATGGGTTTGCCTTGTAGTCTTTCTTGTAATACTCATGGAGCTTGCCCGTGAAATCGTCCTTTGTCAACGTTGTGGGATCCTGTCCTTTGAACACTTTATTCATCAGTTCTTTCGTCCATTTCTCATCACGGTCAGAGACCGTAGAGTGCCACCTGTAAACCAGGTTGAACTCAGCAGAGACCTGGTTTCCAATACCCATTGGGAGGTCCTTCACTTCAGCGCGAGGGTTAAGCTGCCAGTTGCTATCGGTTCGGTTGAGATCCAAGATGGTGCGGACGTAGTCGATGAGAATGATGTTGACGTACAGGCCGCACGTAATCAGGCGACCGGTTTGGAATAGGTCCTCATCATACTTGACCCAAGACGCATCCCACTTCGCCTTAGCCTTGTCATCCTCGTCCCCGATGACTTTAGGAGGCTCCGCAGAAGGTTTGGTGAAACGGCCCAACTCGTTGATTTTCGCCAGGTTCTCCACGACGTGATTGTGGAACCGATTGAACATAATCAAGATAGCACCTACACCGGGAGGGAAGAACAACAGTCTGTTCTCAGAGAAACAGTCTGGGTGGATCTTTCCATCTTTCTTAGTCCTCATCTTGTCCTGCTCCGCTTGATTGCTTCCGTACAGAGGGGACAGATCCAAGTACGAACTTGTTAGTGAATTGGCGTCAAGGCCATCCTCGCTGTGCTCTGTGCGGAAGCAGTCGTGGATAATGATGGATGCAATGTAAAATAGCATACTCGAAATCCTGTTCGGATGCAGCTCGGCGTGCTTTCTGGTCATGATGCTGTCGAACACAACGCCGGCGTCTGGTCTCGCTGGTGTTTGCATCATGGAGGGCTTGACAGTCCTAGCGTAAGGCGTTCCCGCAGCACCGAGCTGAGGATGAATCAGACTGTTGTTGGATCCGTCCGCAGATCTGTACTGGTACTTTGCTCCAAGGTATGACTGTGGTGGATGCTCCAAATCGTTCCAGAGCTGTGTGACGAATGTGTTGGTCAAATTGTCTCGCATCTTCGAGCCGTCTGGCAGGGCTGCAGCTGTCCGGATGAGACCTTCCATGAGGTAGGTCTTGTCGTCGGTGTATCCGCCCATCATCTTGTCCTTCTGGATCTCGAGCAATGTCTTTACATTGTCGATGCCAAGGTATGATAGATCGCCCAGGCCGTCTGCAATCTTCTTCAAAACGGCGGGATCGTCTTCAGGCGCAATCTTTGAGCCATCTCCAGTGTCGGGGACTGGCGCTGCTGCTGCGCCGACGAGACCGGCCATCTTCTTGAAGGGGCTACCAAGCGCATTTCTCAGCTTAGTCAGTTCAGACGGCTCAGCGGCCTTTGGTAGTGATTTGCCTGTTCTGGTGTCGACATGTGCGTCCCAGGCGGCCTTTGCTTCTGCAGCCATGCTTGGTAATTGATGATACTGTCGAAACGGTGTCAGCGGTGTCCAGCGTCCACTCTTGCCTAGACGACACATCGGTTGACGCGGACGACACTGCCGTGATGTGCAGCGCACTTGCGAGAGCATTTTGAGCAGACATAGTGAATCTGATGGCTAAGGAAGGAGCGGACGACTTACATCTATTCAAAGACACCAACAACTTCAGCTCGAGGTACAAAGGTGTTCCTTGCCTTTTGCCTCTTTCGGGATATGTAAAGATTTAAGGTTCAGTATATACAGCTTACCGCAAGAAGTGCAAGGTAAGACGCTGTTCAGCACACAGGCGACGAGGCTGAGATATAAGTGTTCGTCTCTGATTCGAGACCAGGGTGATACTGCTTCGCTTGCAGCTGCAGTAGTGTGATTTCACTTACGAATACAACTCCCACAAGACCCGAGGAAGCAGCCTCTTAAATGGCTTTGTGGTCCTCCTACAAGACCAGAGGCCGACGATAGTGGCCATTGCGTCCTTCCAGGCTGACGATTTCGTCGGTCGTGGGGCCAAAAAGAGAAGTGTGTCGTCTCAGCCGCACGCGACCAGCTCAGCCCTCAGCGTTGAACGTGGAGCGCCGCGGTCCGCCAAACACCTTAGTGCACCAATGAAAATAATGGAATTGTCAGGGCATGCAGCTCGAAAAAGAGCAAATCGTCTGGCCCACGCCAATTGTGGGGTCCAATGCTGGGAATGACATCCTCTTTGTTCAGGAGCGTGCTGACACGCCAAACCAGAGGGGCACAGCCTGCCGGTGAAATCGAAGCTGCCTGATAAAAGGCAACCCATGATGTCAATTGCAAGGATCGGATTTATTGCAAGCTGTTGGATGTTCCTAGATGGTGGGAACGGGCAACGAGTGGCGGGAAGCTAGTGCCGCTAAATGCAGGGACACTACGGCAAGCCCAAAAGGCAGGCGCCGTGGGGCAGTTGGCAACGCCGGCGGTTCGTGCTAATTGCTGCATTGTGTCTCTGGATCAAAAGAAACGCAAGTGTGTACGAACAGGGTCATTCTTGATGGTGTGAGCAAGTCCCGGATTGTGGCAGCGACAAGACGGGAGCTGCCGAGGGAACTCATGAATGGTTGGTCAGGAGAGATCTGAGTTGCGCCGATGCTGACATCCCACATATCTACATTGGAGTCCTGAGTGAGCCTTGCGCCTAATCTCAGCTTGACCGACATCAATTGCCTTTTGTCCTCCCTATACATCTTCTCCTTACCCTTGGTTGCGGGACTCGATTCGCTGTGCGACAAGACACCAGCCCTCGCCCCCTGCATTGTGCTCCAAGCCACGTTCTCGGCCGAGCATGGGTATGTTCACCAGATGCCGGGCAGAAAGGCATACCTCTTGCGCTTGTACTTGTCGCCAAATTCCTTGCGGTACCTCTTCTCCTTCTTCCATGCCCAGACACCCATCTGGCCCACAGCAACGATGATAAAGATGACTGTGCTCAAGCTCCAGTTGACAAGTGCAACACCAATCCACGCAATCACCTCAAACATGTAGTTGGGGCATGTCACAAGGTTAAAGCCAAGTCCCTGTGGAATACCTCGGTCGGTGCTGCCTGGACGACGCAGGTTCTTGAGTGTCAAGTGTGTGCTGTAGTTGCAGATCTCGCCAATTGCGAACAGAGCCACACCAAGATATGTAATGAGAGGGTTCGATGCCCGAGCGGCGGGGCTGTTAGGTCCGTATGACCAGTATGCCAGGTTGAAACCGGACAGAACCCAGTAGTGGCCACTGTTCTTGACGATGTTGCGTGCAGGCATTGTCGCGGAGGAGAAGCGGTGGACGAAGAGGGTCTCGTACTCGCGCTTTGCGAAGTGAAGCACACACATGATGAGTGTGAGCTTCTGTAGCTGCGAGGTCGGGGCATTGGTGCCATAAATCCATGGGCGAGCAATGTACATCAACGGGTGGACGAGGAGAGGGCCGAGGTATTCGACGAAGAAGACGGTTCGCCAGGAGATCTGGGCACCTGTGTGGACTGATTAGTAATGCTCAACGAAGACCACTTGCAGAGAACGACATACCAAGATCCTTCACATCTATAGCACTCTTATTTCTCAAGCCAGTCTGGTGGATGGTAACCCCGGCAGCGTTGCGGATGGCTGATCCATCACTACCCTTCGTGACCCTCAATCGATGGATCGAGAATTTCGAGACACTCGCAATTTTGCGGAAGATCTCTGACGCAGGCGCATCAGAATCGACGGTGATGGACTCGGGGAGGCCCTTGATCGGGCGGCCTGGTGGGGTTGTCAGCCTTGCAAAAAGTGGAATCTAGGGATGGCACAGTCCCAATTGAGCTGTGGCACAGAGACACATACCACGCGGACGCACCACAAGAGTGAGAGGCGATGAAGACATTGTGGCTGATTCCTGCAATGTGTCGTTGTGTGCTCATGCGACATTTTGAGGTTTGTTGTTTCCTTGGCGAGGAGCCTCGGTACGTCATCCGGAACGGCTAGACTGCAGGAAGTTTATTGGCTACATTGACTTGCATAAAAACATCGAGCATGTAGTGTATTTTGAGTGCCTTATGAGGTCTATAGTTGATTTCTGTATCTAGTTTCCTTGATTTTCTTGAGAGCCCTGTGGGACCGTTCATTCGTCTATCAGCCCAGATCGACCACAATCTGCGACGCAGCTTCAGGCCCCATACATGCAACCAGCTCGCCAATGATGCCCTTAATCGAGTGAGGTTGACGTATGTCTCCGTCATCCCATGAGACAAGATGCTGCAATATATCAGTAAGAATGCACTATATCTGATCCAAAAGAAGCACTTACTTGAGCTTCGGCCAGCCGGCCCTTCACTCGAATCGGTGTTGATCCAAGATCCAAGGTACTCTTGATCTCGTCTTCTGTCATGACCCCGGGAATCTTCAAGTCAAAGAGTGACATCCCACTCTGGACTGCATTGCCAGCTTCGGCTGCTGTGGGTAGAGGAAATTCTGAGAGGTCGTCCTCACTAGGCGGGGCAGTATCATCGCCATTTCCATTTGCCGAAGCCGCTGAGTCCTTTCGTCCACACTCTCTTGACAATGAGGCGTATGTCTTCTTGTCAAGAAGGCTCTTTAACTCACCATCTAAGGGGTTCCAGTCATATGACTCTGGATCCAGGACGTGCTGAGGCTTGTAGTCACCCTTGTAACGCATCTTCGTGCAACTGTGGATGTAGTAGCCCATATAGTAGTACTGGTATCCACCTTCAAGCGCAAGAGCGGCCTCTCTTAAAGCACTCAGCTTGCCAAATTGCCACTTCTCGTAGTCTGAATGGTAGAGCATGTACACTCCACTAACGCAGTGCGGCAGCAAGTCCAGCACACCCATTGCAATCAGTCTACCGTCTAGTCGGTAACATTGATGGTAGGAACCAAGTTGCTGAGGCTTGCCGTTGACTTGTCGAGCGGTGCGCTGTAACGGAGATGTGCACAAGAAGCGCTTGAAACCCGACTGAGATATCTCGCTCGGCTTCTCCTTGTGGACATGTGACTGGTAGTTGCGGAAGAGCTCGAACTTCTCAGCTGTGAAGTCAGCCGGTTCGAGTTTCACCTCGAAACGGTGTGCAGGCTCTGGTGGCTGCTTAACATTGTCGAGATCAGCTCTGTGGATTTCCTCTAGAAGGTTGAAACCGTTCTTGAGGCGTGCTTTTTCCCTGACCAGGGTCAGTCGGGCGTTGTAGTCACCAAGATGCATGCACTAACCCTTTGGACACGGGGTGAAGCTTTGCAGCGCCCTTCTTGTACTCTTCGCCCAACACAAAGTCGTTCCACTTGTTCACAGTTCGTCGCTGGTCTTTCGACGGCTTCAACTCGGCTGCAGGCAGTCTACACTTACTTTAGTTGTCGCAGTGGATACTACCCTGCATGCAAAGCTTACCGGATCGTGTAATGTGGACAACAGTGACGCAGGACGTCAGGCTTGTAGAAGATAGTGCCTGACCTTCTCCACCCTCGATCCACCAAGCTCTGGTAGACGTCTACTGATAAGCTTTTTGACGAGAAGTAATAGCTGGCTCCTGATTATGTAAAGCTAGTCAGTATTGGAACGTTTGTAATGTTCTTCCGATTTCCTCCGTATGAGGATTGCAGACGATCAAGAGCAACGACGTGACGTGGCAGTCAGAAAAGGCAGGTACCCATATGACTCGCCCATTGTTGTTTGATCGTCAGTAATTGCGTATTTGCATTTACCTAGGCAAGCAGAAGGACGAAGATGAAGCTTGGCGGCAATGCATGCTCAGGTGCAAGTGTTAGACAACGCGCCAGTAGATTTGTTTCATGCAGCGCGAGGATGCAAATGGCACACGTGTGAAGGAGTAACCTTAGCGGAACATCAATTGAAGACGAAGCAAGTGCCGCGCCTGCAATTGTTTGCCAATGTCGATTATTTGGGCGGCCTGACCGCTCTGACAGCTTCATGCACGCGTGACTCTGGGTGACTGAAACGGGGAGATGAACGGAATATCCACATACGAGAATTGGGCCTCCGCTGGCCACTCGATGCATCTTTGCAGTATCCGCAGGACTCGCTACTGTAGCCTAGGAAGGAGCATCAGCAGTTGTGGTCGCGGGTCCAGGGATAGAGGCCGTGAAGTATGCAGTGTGCAAGACGTGGAGGACGGCTCTGTGTTCAGCCATATCCAGCCAGACAAGCACGGGCGGAATCCAGGAGAATGGTTGGAGCAGAACCTACCGAAGGGCTGCACGTACGAGAGGGCCATCCGAAAGCTGGCCTACAACGAGCTGCAGGAAGGGGCATAAGCGTGGGATTGGGTCAAGCGTTCAGTGGGGGCAGGCCAGAGCGGAAACGGCGTGTAGGCGCAACGAGGGCTGCTCGAGCGGTGGAGAGCAACGGCAGCCGTTATATGTAGAGGTGAATAATAGCTCCCCTGGCGGCGCCGACCTGTCAGAACAGTGCCCTTGGTTGCTCTACCGGCGCTGCTGGCTTGTCGCTGCTGAGCTGCGCTGCTTGCTGGCACGCTCGTACCTCTACGGAGCAGGCAGTTGGCGGGGTGCTGCAGGCTATATGGGCGATGAAAGTGTTGTATCACACAGCACGCGCAAACACACGGCGCCCACTGAAAAGCATGCAATTGCCCCCGTGATTCTGCCTCGCCCGACGTCATAGGCGGACTGTCTACTGCACTGCTGCTGCACTCTTGCCTGTCTCCAGTGAGTCGCAAGATTTTGCATGCGCCCTCTGCGGTCTCGCAGCTCTCCCCGGGCCCAGCGGGCGCTGGTTCGCTTGCTTGGCATGGAAACGCTCGATTTTCTATGCGGTCGAGCACCTAGCCTCCCACTCCACCTGTCTAATAAAACATCACCATGGCCTCTTTTACTACTCCCAGGGTTCTTCAACATCCTCCGCCCCGTTCCCCCCGGGACTGAGCAACCGTCGCCCCACCACGCTGTCACTACAGTCATCCCCATTCACGCTTGCCTAGTACCTCCCTACTGCTACGCACGCCCTCGCCCTTTTGCTCGGCTTCTTTCACCGCTATAGTGCGCCCTTGCCCCTCCGACCAAGCCCCTCCTTTCGAGCCTCCACTGGAGTTGTGAGCAAGTTACCCGCCTGCGGTGCTGCAACTTCCCTTCGCAGCCACTTTTTGACCGCCCAAACATGGCTGCCACTCAGCAGCTGCCCATGCAGTCGCGCACTGGTCGCGTGAACCAACGTAAGTGTGCTCACGAGACCTTTGGACTACCTCTCAAAAGCTCACCATTGTGCTGGAAACGTGTTCAGAAATGCCGTTTGCGGTGACCTTTCGCTAATTTCCCTGCAGGGTACGGTTCTCAGGGCGAACGACTAGTCGCAGGCGTTGTTCCGCTTTCCACCGACAAGTACTACGTGCTTCTCATCCAGTCCACACGACGCGGCGGCTGGGTCCTCCCCAAGGGCGGCTGGGAGCTCGACGAAGCAACCGCTCAGGATGCTGCTAAACGTGAGGCCTGGGAAGAGGCCGGCATCATCTGCAAAATCAGCTACGACCTCGGTATGATTTCCGAGAAACGGAGAGCCGACCAGCTTACAGCCACCGCACCTAAAGCCTCATATCACTTCTTCGAGGCCGTCGTCGAGAAGCAGGAAGCACAATGGCCGGAAATGCACAAGCGGTCAAGACAGTGGTTCACATATACCCAGGCACGCGAGGCTTTGGCGCCAAGGCCTGAGCTGCTTGACGCACTCGACAGGTGTACCATGCACCGGTAGAAGGTGCCATGGTGTCTGCAGGCGCAGCAACGTACACTCTGCGCGCAGGCACCAGGTGTGGAGTTACGAAGCATACCCTATTCGGACCTTTGAGTCCTTTCTCGTCTTTTAATACCACACAGCGGGTGTCAAAAAAGCTACAAGAGGTAGCGTTATAGATTTTGGTCTGGTTCCGTTCGGCAACTGGCGTTGTGGTTGCTCTTCTATTGGTAGAAAGATGCATGTGCATGTGCGGCTCTCATGCATGCGAGCACTTTGGGCCATTGTGGCTCGCCTCAATCTAATTTGGCCAATGCCATTCGCCTTCCTCTTCCCTTCACGTCACACGCTACATTGTTTGAAGAGAAGAGCCATGAGAGACTTGACTGTAGTATGCTGAACGAAACAGTCCTTTCGAGAACATTTCGCAGCAACATCGAACAATTGTGAGCGGCCAGTATTCCCCTCGTTCACGCGGTCAGACTAGAACTGAACGGTTCCCATTTCTCTTCTTGTTGGCAGGCAGTGCAATGTCGAAACGAGCACTATAACAGCATCTCAGTTTCGGAGAGAAGTAACAACCTTCAATCTATCTTGAGGCACAAATGTCGTGCGTCGCTTTCCATGGCCTGTAAGCGTCTCGGAGGACACAGCCTTTTGACAGATTCGTAGGGCGACGCCCAGCATAAGTCAACAGTGATCATGTTTACTTTATTGAATCCTTGGGAGTAGCTCCTGTAGGATATAAGTATCTCTGTCTTCAAAAGCGCCTGACTAAATACTAGGTCTATATTGGTTCTTTTTCCTGTTCTGGTTCTGGAACCGTGAGACTTGCTACCAATCGAGCACAGCTTCCTTTCACACGATGGACAGTGACATCTTTCCACACGTGCCCATTGAGGCTTACGCCAAGTGTCACTGTCAGGCTGCTAAGGCATGACGCAGTTGACTGTAGCCTGCATCTAGACCATGCCGTTGCATGAGCCCAATAGCGATCGCCGTAACTCGACTTGTGTGAGCCGTGCTTAAGGCAAGATCATGGTTCAGAGGCATGGCATCGCTGATGGCACTATTCTACCTCAAGATGGAGAAGAGCAGCATCGAGATTGCTTGTCCAGGCCGTATTGGAAATATGGTATGGTTGTCGCACCGAATCTCATCTGCATTGCGCAAGTGGTCTTTTTGAAGAGGCTGGGCTGATGCTGGTGGCGCATATGCTTCATGAAGGCTCACCATCATTTCGTGTCAGGGTGGGTAGTTCAGGTAAGAAATCTCACAGGGTTTGCACCGTCTAATTTGACGTTGTCACTGCGCGCGCTTGGTTGTGGGCATCGATACACAATACAGGGCTGGCCGCTTCTTGCGGGCTGTCCCACGATTTCGAATCTCGAGCTACGATAGTCAACTTCAGACTCCCGATGTGTAACTGATATCCATGTTTCGAGAGAGTATGATCCATAGTAGTCTCGACCTGGTAAAGAGCCAGCACGTTTCCAGGACAAATGCGTCCAGGCAGGGATGTCTTCGTGTGCTATGCGTTCAGCAAACCAACGACTCACGGTCTGCTGAAAAAATATCAACCGTGAACTTTTCAATCCAAGGCTTCGTTGATCGGAGGTGGTTGGGGAGGAATGAACCGAGATTATTGGTCAAGGTCTTGGTCGGGTGCTGAGGCACGTCAGCTCATTGGTATACTGAGCGTATGACATTGCTACGCACAGCTGAACCGCGCATGGCCGGTGAGAGCCCTTTATGTTCCGTATGTCGGGAGGCTGGCACTTCATCACTGAGATGGCTGGAAGTATTGGAAAACTACCAGCCACCCCGCCATTCCAATTTATCATATTAACGCGACTGCCGCACCACTATGTCGACCTTCATCAGCGACGCCCAGGCTAGTCAGTCACGTGCGATTTCGCTGAGATGGCCAGCCTACCCTGTCTTTTCTTCTTGCTCCTTTCGCTATGTACTTTCACTTTCCAAGCCGTCATACCAGCTTCTCCTCCGGACCAAGTTCGCGATACGGGTCCCTCGGATGGATGGTCTAAGGAGGCATTGATTACCCTTGTCGGTGTTCCTGTGGCGGTATTTGGGATACTCATTGCTCTTGCTTCGCCCCTTCTTCATCAGTGTATCCGTCGAAAGTTCAACTGTATGCATACCCAGCTCTCGCTTCGACTATTCGAGTATACGTTGACAGACCTAAAGCCTGGCTTCCACGCACTCAGCACGCATCACGACCGCAACTGCAAGAGGAGTATAACGAGTGGTTGGAGTTCAATCGATGGCGTGACATAAGGCATGAAGCAACAGTGTCATGACTCCAGACCATAGAGAAAAATTACTTGGCAACGGAGCACGAGATGGCGTTCTTGGTATGCCCAGTACCTTCGTTAGGTTTGACCTGCTTACACGATTATAGTAGCATAGACATCATGACCCTTCACACATTAGACTATATTACACGACTACTGACCTTCAATCAACGACTCTCCCATCACCAAGCAAAGCATACTAGATCAATATTTAACTTTACGTTGTCGACTTACTCGTTGGCTTTGGACTCGGCCCCAATCATTTCCTTGGTTTTCGACCGCGTATATGGGTGGTTTTCATAAAACCATCGACACACGTGAATAGGAGCATTATCAGCCAATCAAGATTTCCCTGTGCGTACATCCTATAGTGCCTGCGTATAATAGCCAAGGCCCTAGGTTTCAGCTCCCTTGCCAGGTACACAGGGGACAGCACAGTAGGCACCCTACTTCTACGTGTTAGCATAAATAACAGACACATAGAGAGAGCATAGGTAGAATCTATGCTTTGAACTAGACCTGTAGCAATACTCTTAAGCATTGCATGCGTCTCTCTGCTATGCCCTATCCTGTGAGCTCCGGATCACGTGTGTTGAAGATATTGTGAAAACCGTTATATGACCGAAAGGACCACTTGAATTATAAGAGTTTGCAAAAGACGATTTGCACCCTGTGACTTGCAAGGTTGTGCATGGACATAATTGTATGGCAAAATCAGATTTCTGATAACTGAGAGCAACTACAGCAGCATAGCAGTTCTTGAAGTTATTGAGTTACTTGCTATAAGCTATTGCAATTGATTTCTTGGTGTTGTAGCTGTTGCAATGACCCGCCCCACTGGCCACAAACTTGCTTCTACAACCTGCAAGCCCTTCTCAGAGCTGGAGTCAACAGCACACAAATATACTATCAAACAGGCGTTGATCAAAAGATAACAGCCGGTTGGAACTCAACTTGGAATACTAAGGTCAGCTGTACACACCAACTTGTGTGAAGATTGGGCAACTGCATACGCTTTGAAACTGTTGAAGTTGTACTTTAAGCAAAGCTCATAAGCACAATTTGGTTGGATCTCAGGGATAAGTAGAGCATGAAGGAACAAGGGGGTTGATCACCTAAGCAAAGCTTGTGGGGGTCAAGGGTAGCACTGGGGTACTAGGCCGGGTAAAAAACACCGCACTTTTGTCGGTGTAAATAACACTGAAGAAAGTCCGCCGTTTACACCGCATCAGGGGTGTAATTTACACGTAGATGAGTGTATTAACACCGCATACTGATGTGAAAGTGTGATGTATTTACACTGCTAAGCGGTATCTTTTACACTGCGCAGAAGTACGAGTTCAGGTTCATTTATGTGCAGCTAATGCTTAGTGTAGATTTGTTCCTTTCTGTACATATAACGACGGAACCCTGCTTGAGCTGCCTTAACTAAGTACTATTAAAACCTTGCTCAGTTGAATCTTGCTCAGTATACTGTGTAGTTCAGTATGTTGCTGCCAACCCTGACCTAATACGGGATATATGCTGGGGGACATCCTCTTCGGAATAGCTGTGTTTGTCTACCAGGAACAAGTGTTTTTCAGTTGACGCTCCCCTCAGGTAGTAGACCTGTGCAGCGCCCACAAGATCGACAATTCGGTCTATTGGAATGCAGAAAAAGTCAGTGTCGTGCTCATTGAACATCCTCGGCTGTGGTATGTCCTGGCTAGGTGGCTTGACCTTTCGATATCTGGCAATTCCAGCCCACTGAGATGAATTGCTTGGTTCCTTGAACAAAACAACCACAGTGCCAAACGACAGTTGTACAGTTTCCCTCCGGGCGGCTGCAGGTGGGTCTGCGTAGTACATGACCAGCGAATTGTTCCTTGACACAAGCCTTTGGTGAGCTGGTGAAAACGTTCCAACCCTCGCACCAGATGGTAAAATTAGGCTACGGTATACGACTAGATCGGCCGTATGGGTTCCAGTGTGCCAGGATGCCAGGGGGTCATCCACTTTCTGAAGTTCGCGTTGCCAGCATAGTTCCATCGTCTTTGTAGTCCTACCAGATAGTTTATGAAACAGCGGCATGTAGTCATCTGCGTATAGTAGATTGTCGTCTGATGTTGTTGCGTACTGTCCTTCGAATTGCCATTGGGCGTGCAGTCGTTGTTCGCGGTTGAGCAGGTTGATCTCTGCACTTCGATGCTTATACGCTGTTGCAGTGGAGAACCGCCGTACTGTACGAAGGAATCGCTCTAGTGTCCATTGCGCGAAACACAATGGTGGTCCGAAGTCGCGAACATTCTGTCCAAGGTGGAGTAGGTAGTGAAGCTGTATTGTGCACGACGGGAGAAGCTCAGAGTCGCCATAGTAGTAGAGTCTTTCGTACTCGTCCACAAAGGTAACCGCGAGGCCCTCTACCTTAAGAATATCTGCATAGGTAAAGTTCCGCACACTTGTATAGTGCAGCAATTGGCGATAGCGTAGAAAGTTCAAGGCGTAGGGTTCCTGGAGGTAGTGATATAATGCAGGGGCGCCGTATGTCATAAAGTGAGATCGCCATTCGTGCGTAGTCCAGTTACCGAAGCTGCCTGTTCCTCTAGGGGCCGTGCCTACGCGTGTTGGGACCGTGGCTCGCGATGTTAGCACACCATAATCAATCAGTTCCCAGTCGGCTTCTGATATGACCCACGGGTGCCTTAGGACTTCTTGACCTCTCTGCTGATATTTGGTTCCCTTCCAGAGTTTGAACATGGATTTTGGTATATTGTGATTCATTGAGTGCATCGTGTCGATGGGGAAGCTGCGTGGAAAGTGGATAGTTGGCAGGTCCATTAGGATAGACCTACAAGTTACACCAAGGTCTCTTAGAATGTTGGCGTACTGCTGTTGACTGGTGGCGGTAGTGCGATGGTGCTCAAGGCCCTCAATCTGTTCTCGCATGTCTGTGTGAAGAGCTGGCCGTAGGTTCCCGTTGTTTGGATAGTAGTACTTGCCACCTCTTCCCCGTGTGCCGGTGAGTGGACACAGCCGGCAACTTTGCTTTGATTTACCAGGGCTTTTTGTGCCCATCACGTCGGCGATAGCAGGCCCATCTCCAGTTACCAATATCACATGGGCCTTTAGGATGAAATCTTCTCTTGATTCCCCGTCGTGAACGTTGACTCCACTGTGTAACTCACGAAGCTCGGTAACCAGTGGATCCAGCCATGTGTCAGCGAAGTCCTTGTTGAAGCCTCCAGGTATAAGGTGGGTAGTTAGTGCGTTTGAAGCGTTCTCCCTTATACTTGGGTGCAGATTCAGGATATATAACACGACTGGTGTTACTGTTTGACGCTTTTTCGGCTGCTTGACGGTCCCGATAGCATCTAATGTAAGTCGCAGGGCTAGATGCCTGTCGTCTTGGAAATAACCAGCTGACCAGCATTCTCGAAACCAGTCACCGTCAAACACATCGCCTCGGTGTCCGTTATCAGGCTGTGCAGGGTCGAAGCTTGCTCTGTAAGAGGTTAATTGTTTTGACCTCCCAGCATCGCTGTACTGGAGGCGAAGTCGTGGTAGTAGTGGGATGTACTGGAATGAATAAACTGCACGTCCATCCTGGTTGAAGCGGTGTTTACCGCAGGATGGACACTGAGACGCAGCTGATAGTCTACCCGTGTATGCTACGCAGCCGTCAGAGCAGCATGGTAGGTGGGTTGGCGTGATAACATCTCCAAGCAAGTCGTCAACAGCGTTACGCCCCTTCCGTATTGGGTCGCCAATGTCGACACCGTAGTGTTTAGTTATAGCCTTGCGCATCTTCTTCACTCTTGCCCTTGGTGTACCAACAAAAGCATCGAACATGTCCAACGCCCTTAATTCCAGATCATGCGTTGATGTTTCGAAGCCTCTGTTGGTATCGGTGTCGACGGCGGTGATATCTTCTAACCAATCTGCCACGTTGGGGATATCATCAGCCTCTTCCTGGCCTTGGTGAATATAAAGGTCGTGCGGATTTTGGGTGTTGGAATCAACGTTGGAGTTGCTGGTCGTATCGTAAGCATGATTAGATGATGCCGCCTTGTCTGCTAACTCAGCTTCAAGATCTGTGAAAGGGATATGCTCGTTGAGACAGGCTTCCTGGTGGCGTCTTTTCTGCTTCTTGGTTATGCGGTGCCGCGAGCCTTTATGGAGAGGGAGTCGACACTCGCACCACACCCTTCGTGTGTTACGAGAATCTCTGCGGCCCGATAACACTGGTGATCCAGCGTTTATTGTAAACATAGTAATTGTTTAAAAGTATGTGTAACAGAGATATGTTGCGCAATAGCACAGAGGTATTGCTACTACTTGTAGCTGTAGTTGTATTCTGCAACGCGCCAAGAGAAAATCTTCGTAAGACATATAGAGCCACCTAGCAGTAGCGTAAGAAAGCGGGGAAGCTGAATTACAGTTTAGTCTAGATAGAGTGAGTTAGCTGCTGCACTGTGATATCATACAGGACAGTGTTAACGTTAGTTCCAAGCGTAGAAGCTAAATTACACTCCAGGGTCTGGGATAATAACCCGGTCAGCCGTGTATTAATATTATTCCAACAGACCTAGACTTAGGGTTTTTACACTCACAGAGCAAATTCTGTAACATGCCTACTGCTCCTTTAACCCCCGAGCCTACACCAGCTAAATCGTTGGCAACAAAAGCTGCTGCGGCAGTAAAGCCACCAGACGCTCTTCTCCTTACTCCTACACGGCCAAAGCGAGCAAGAAAAGCCGCTCCTGTACACGTCCCCGAATGCGAGAAGACTGGCAACGACCACCCTAGGAACTCCCTCTACTTTCCGCAACTGACCGACCTGTCAGTACAGCTTGCTGGCGTGTTCCGACATCTCAGTTTGGACTATATCAATGTGGCTACGTACAACAAGACCGATACTCTCCTTGCACGGAGACTGTTGGAGAGAGACGTTAAGGAGTATCGCAAGCGTATAGCAACCGGTTCAGCTCGAGTTCAACAGAACACTGTCCTTCGAGCCCTTATCCTGTTCTCTTCTTGCAGCCACCACGCTACGCAATACTTGGAACATAGCGCAGATGACCGGATTGCTTGGTTGACACAGCTGAACACTGAAGGAGTATGGCTTAAGCCCTTGTGGGAGAAGGACGCCGCAACACGGATGGTGGGCTTGATGGAGCAAAACAACCAGGATCTCTCAATGTTCTGCCCCCTAGAAGTCGTGTACAGTGTTGTATATAACTCTTACTTTCTGATGCTGTTTGCTCGGTATGAGTACAGCGAGTTGAGTGAGGAGTTGCGTCTACTAGATGCTGCACCGTACTCATGGCATGACTTATCAGCCCTCCGAAAGGAGTATTTCCGTTCGAATTGTGCTGGGGAGCTCCCTCTCGATAAAGCTGTATAAATATTATACCAGTTCTGTGTGTCTGTATATTGACATGTTGCCTAATGTAGATCAAGAATAGCACACGGCATCTGGCAACTCTCTCTACAGTGTTATTGCTTATATAACTTACAACTTCGCCTTCCCAAGCACCTTTTTAGGACTTCATTAGCTCAAAAGTACTTGCTGTATATTATAGTCTGATAGCAGTAAGCTGTGACGACGCCTGAATATTTGTTAGCTAATAGCATGCCAGAATCTCGCATCTTCACCTTCACCGTGAGCGTTGGCCCTTGCGTTGCCAAGAGCTTGCCAGCCATTGCCTTTATAACAACGAGCTCCCCCATCGCCCATCGCCCAAACACCAACTCACCAGCTTCCTATCGAACCCGCTAAGTATTGCCCTTCCCAGTATAAGCAACGCTGATAGCCTGCAGGACAACCTAACCGAACGCCGCCTTGCCCCTATCCGCTCACCTAACCCGCTGGGAAGTACTCCTCTATTCGACGCTGACAATCACTCACATCACACCAGCTACCGCATACGTCCATCTCGGAGCACACCTCATCAAAGCCCCGGAGCAGACCGAGTCAAAAAACAAATACACCCCAGAGCACAACTGGATCGTCCGAAAGCCCCGGAGCACACCGAGTGAACAAGCAACTACACCCCAGAGCACAACTGGGTCGTCTTAAAGCCCCAGACGCACTGGGTGAATGGAGTAAAGCGGGCTTCGGCTTGCGCAATTGTGCTTAGGCACACACAGTGCTTCGGCACACAGTACCATACTAGCGGTAGTTATACCTCGCCTCAGGACCCTTGGGCTATGTTTACTCTGGCTTGGCTGATGGCTCGTACGCTACCACCACACATCTCTTGGTCGCTGGAGCTCCGGCTCCTCAAGTACTTACGCTTGATACGCGA